CTCTTGTATGTCATCCTCACACCTTTTAGACTTAACAAAAGACCTTAAAGAGTAACTGTAGATAGTATTCTACATCTTTAAACTTCAAACACTATAACTCATTATTCTTATTCAGAAAAACAACACTAATGATTTTTCTTAGATCTTATCAGAATCACATATAGGATTCCAACATTAAAAGTTCATGCTGTATATAGATTGCATCACTCAGTATCCAGATTCATATATGACATTTCATTATAGAAAAGTTCATATACATACCATGAGTTGCAGTACACAATTCAGAGTCTTATACCTCTGTAGCTATCTCTTGGAGATTAGTCACCATATAGAGATATATGACTAGACTTGCTTGGATCAGCCTTCAAATTCTGTGCCTTGGTTTCACTTACCAATATAAGTTTTGTATTTTCTGCCCACAGAGATTCTAGTAAAACAACTTCTGGTCCATCAACAGACCACTAGAACTGTTAAGCCCAAATTTCACATGACTAATAACATATGATAAATGACCACTACCTTGCACTTTGGGTAAAATGATCAAGTTCACTGATGCATTGTTGGTGCTGTGTTGTCAAGGTGATTGCAAGTCACTCAAGATGAGATGGTGAAGAATAAACTTTAGCTTGAAGCTGGAGTTACTACAGTGAGAGCTATACTACTTATATACTAATTTGTTATCATTCTAAAGATAAACTATCTACAAAGAGTATTGTCTGTCATCATGCTATTACTGCTGTTACTGCTGCACAGAAACAAAAGGGTATTGTCTGCTGTTGAGCTGCTGCTGCTGCTGCTGTTTATCTGCTGTTACTGCTGCACAAGGACAAAACAAGATTCTGCTATTGTACAGCTTTACAGCAGTGCAGTAGGATCTGAATCAGAATGCTGACTAAGCTCTCCTGTGATCTTAAGCACTGGTCTAGGTGCTCTGACTAAGCAAAAATAGAGGTCAATTCCTGAATAAATTAAGGAAAAAGAAAAGAAAATAGGAAAAATTATAATAAGAACCTCCAGTATTTATGACTTCCTCAAAAACTGAATCAGTGTCAAGCATAGTGGGTCATCAAACTGGCCAAGTATGACTTCTTATTACAATATAAGATAGAGACCACCAACAAAAAAATAGATTTACTCAGCCAGTATACTAATCATAATCAAAGAAAGGATGATAATGAAGAAATAGTAGTTCTGAAGGTGAAGCACTTCAGAGTAATGATCTTGCCAATAGAAAAAGAGGCACATGAGCATATTAAGAGTGCCACCAGACATATAGCATTGTGGGATCAGAAAGTGGCCTCATCAATCAACCATAGCTGAGAAATGACCAAGAAAGATAATCTCATCTATTATGACAATCACATCTATATACTCTGAGATCAAGCTCTTCAGAGAGAGCTTATTGCCTGCTTCTATAACCACATCATGGCAGGACACCCAGGCATATCAAAAACCATGAAACTCATCCTACATGAATACTGGTGGCCAAAACTAAAAAGGGATATAGAAAAGTATATCAAGACATGCAAAACTTGCCAGCATACTAAAAGCAATACCTAGATCAAGGCAGCTCCATTACATACAAATGAAATACCAAAAGAACTATGAATATATATATCAGTGAATATGATCACTGAGCTATCAGAATATCAGAGATATGATGCTATCTTAGTAATAGTCAATAGATTTTTGAAAGTGATAATCTCTGTTGTCTGCTTCACAAAGCTATCTTTGGAAAGATGAGCAAAAATCCTGCAAGATGAAGTATATGCATGGTATAGTATGCTACAAGTCATTATCTCAGACAGAGGACTGCAATTTGTATCAAAGTTTATGACAGATCTATATCATCTTCTGTAAATCTAGAGTAATGCCTCCACCAAATACTATTCACAGACAGATAAATAAACAGAATACACCAACCAAGAAATCAAGAAGTATCTCCAGATATTTATTAATTATTGACAAGATGACTGAGTCAAGTGGCTGGCACTAGCAATCTTCCAACACAATAATTGTACTCACTCTACAATAAGAAAATTCCCTTTCTTTATCAATTATAAATGATATTCTCACATAGTTGAGACCTCCTATCACTTAGCTTTAACTCTAGCCTCTATAGACTTTATCTAATACATGTTCAAAGTTTATGATGAAACCAAGGCTGTCCTGAAAAAAGCTGCCACAGCCATGAAAAAGTAGTATAATACACATCAATGCCAAACAGCCAATTACAACATCAGAGACTGAATTTGGATCAACACCACAAATCTCTATCTGCTACAACCAAAGAAGAAGCTTTCTGACAAGCAAATAGGTCTCTTTGTCATCATTGCAAAGATCAGCATCTCTGCCTATTGACTCATGCTACTGATATTCTAAAAGATTCATCTGATCTTCAATAAAACACTTCCCTCTCTCTATCATACTCCTGCCTTCTCAAATCAAGAATAGCCACCTTCATCTCTGTCTGATCTTGTTAGGTTTCTATTAAACACTCACAAATATCTAGCACTGCTTCTGCCAAAGTCTAAGTCTGGATTCTGAGTCTGAATTTGGTTTTGGTATAATAGTATGATGAGAATGATGAGATAGGCAATAAGGATTTCATGAAAGGGAATAAGAGGGTGTGGCTGATAGAAATAGTCTGCTGTGTTGGGCAAGAGTACTTGCACTAAGTAGTCAGAGAGTTTAGTAGATGTATTAAACCTTAGCTTAAGACTAGAGTATATCAGGATATACTTCTACCTTTAAATACTGTCTAAAAAAACTTATACTCTACAGGTGACTATTATCTGCTTTCCATGCCTTCTACTTATTGTTTGGTGTAACAATGACTGTGCTCTTGCTTTTGTTTATTATTGTTACTCTGCTGTACCATTGCTATAGTAAGTCTTCCATATACTGCAGTTTTTATTATGATAAAGATATAGAATGATGATGGTTGTCATGCTGTTCTCTACTGTTTATTGTGCATTGATGAATAAAGCATAGCTATAGTGTCATCATGTCTTCATCATCCTTTTGTAAAATCAACCTGAGGTCAAGATTGATAAGCATCAGCAGATCATGATTTAGAGGCAAAAATCATGATAGATCTCATTAATAAAGAGAAATATTATGAGGTAGAAACTATTCTAAATCATCATCTCCACTCCATTCATAAATGCTATGAGACTGGCCATGCTACAACTACAGACTACCTTGTTAAGTGAAAGAGATATAGACCAGAGTCCAACAAATAGATAAATGGAAAACATATAGCTGCTGATAACATCATCACCACCTACTATGACCATTATAACTCCATCTCCCCTTAATATCATCATTGGAATGATGGTCTTAACAAAAGAGTAATGTTATAATTTTTTTATATCTTATCTTATCACAGATGCTTATTATTTATCTTATCAGCCACTTGCTGATCAGAGCCAATTACTATGACTATACCAGATGACTTATGCCATTATGCTACAGCATGTGACAGACACCTGAACAACAGATGATATTTATTGTTTCATACACAACAACCACATTCTATAATACTATACTACAAAAGGACACAATAAGTAGGACTATATTTATCACATCCTAAAAACATATATAAGTAGCATAGCTCTCACTGTAGTAGACTAGCTTTGAGCTAAAGTTTATTCATATCACTCTCTCTCTCAGGCCTAACTTGCACTGGCCTTAAAGCACACATCTTGAGTATGCAAAATAGACTCTAGCATGACTGTATGAACCTGATACAATGCTAGTTTATCATGTGCTTAAATCACATGCTGAGCAGGTCTAATAACCTCTCTCTCCTTATCATCATCTCAAACATCATTATTTTCATCCTTCTGCTTTATCTTCAGTTAGTGTCAGACCCTCAGCTGTTGCAGTGCATTGCATTTGTGATTGTTTGGTTATCATCTGACAGTATTCAGAGTTAAGGTCAAGCCATATAAGTACAGGATAAGGTAAAGACAAGTCATAATGAAAATAGAGAGTAGATGGAGGCAGATAAAAATGAGCCAGGAGATTAGAAGAGTGTGTAGGCTTTAGAAGAAAATAGAGACAAACTAGAGCACTTTGTAGAGAGATACAACAGCAGGTTTCTCTGTGGCTGATGTTGAGATTTGGACTGTATCCAGAGTATATGCTTGTAAGATCTTTAGTCTTTGGGTTACAAACTCCTGAGGAGTTTCCCATTGACTTCTCATATTTATACAAGACTACTCCTTTTCTAGTAGTTTCTACATAATTCCTTCAATTCCCTTTGGATTCTTTCCTTACTCAGCATGCTGGAATGCTGGATTGCTCAAATTCTCTCACAGATTCCAACAGCTGAGGCTGAGGATTCATCAGGCTTTTATAAGTGTTGGCTTACTAAGCATTGGCAGGTCATAATTTAGAGGCTGAAATCATGAAACTTTCCTATCTTAGTGCTCAGTCATCTGGTTATCTGTTAATTCAGAGGCTGCTGGAGGGGCATAGTTGTATCAGAGGAGCCACACATCTGCTTCTCCTTGGAGTTGACTCTGGGTAGTCATGAAGCAGGGTCATTGGTCATCAAAATCATTCTTGTTATATTGGCAAAAAGTCAAGAAGATCCTTCCTCTTTTTATAGGTGTGATGCAATGGACAAATTCACATTGTTGAAAAATTCTGTTCCTCATTTGTCTACTCTGTAATTTGTATCTACTATGTAAAGATATATAAATTCTACTCAATGAAGAAGGGGGGGAGGGAAGGTGGAATCAGATTCCAGAGAAATCAGTTTGTACTCAGAGCTCTATGGCATGCAGACAGATCAGAAAACTCTGTGTTTGTTTGGGGAACCGCATCCCTCTGGAATCTCGCTCACAAGAGGTTAATTCCTCTCATCCCATTCCATTCAGGTTGCAATAGCTGCTTAGGCAGCATGTCCACCTTATCTTATTACCGGTCCGAGCCGTGAGAAAATATGGTGAATTTGTCTGAATTTGAATTTCCTGCATAATGAGCAAAATGTTGCCCTTTCCACCCATGGCTAGACGAAAACCACTATCTTCCTTTAACATCACTTCCTTGACAGTGTCTATACCGACGAAGAAGAGGGCACCTTCAACGACCCCTTCCCGATGGAGTACCCTGGAATTCAGAATATACCTCCTCATTATCGCGCTGGCCCTGCCCTGGATGGCCTGGGCCGTCATTCGAATAAGCCTTCCTACCCATCCTGCATATCATTTCTACTCAGACAGGCTTTCCAGTGGCTGGCTCTTTAGCTGGTCCGTTGACAATTGGGACGCCCAGTACCGCTCCTTCCGAAATAATGTCCCCATCCTGGCTGCGGTCGCAGGAATGCATGCCTTATTGACGCATTTCATTCCCACACAGCAACATTTACACCTTAATTTGGTGTTTGCGTTGGTCTTCAATGTTGCATTGCACGGGACGAGCACACTCAAAATCCTTGCGATCCTTAGTCTTAACTACACTATGAGAGCGCAGCATCCATCCGTAACTTGGATATTCAACGGTGTCATGCTGTTTGCTAATGACCGGTTTTCTGGGTATTCCTATGCTTGGATATCACCACCTCTTAGATGGCTGGATGACTGGCAGGGCATTTATCCGCGCTGGTACATCTCGTTCAACATCACCATGCTTCGTCTCGTTTCGTTCAACATGGATTATCATACTGCGGTGAGTTTACCGACATACATGTGTCGTCTGTTGACATAGACTGGGCAGACAACGACTCCGAAAGCAGATTCACACCCACCACATGCATACACCTTCCCTGTGTATCTCACTTATGCCCTCTTTGCTCCGTTATACATTGCAGGACCGATCATTCCGTTCAATGATTTCCTGGCACAGATCGAGGTACAGTCAACGCGCCCACTCACTCAGGAAAAAGAAGAACGCCCTACTACCTTCATCAAACCCTATTTTATCCGCTTCATCTTCACCCTTCTCACTATGGAAGTCCTCATCCATACAATGTACGTTGTTGCCATCAAAGACGCACGTCCTTGGGAACACACTGTATACCTCCCCTCTGAACTGGCGCTCCTCTCTTTCTTCTCACTCATCCATGTCTGGCTTAAGCTCCTCATTCCCTGGCGTTTCTTCCGCTTGTGGAGTCTCCTGGCTGGTATAGACCCTCCGGAAAACATGGTTCGCTGCATGGCCAACAATTATAGTGCTTTGGCATTCTGGCGCGCCTGGCACAGGAGCTTCAACCTATGGATTGTACGATACATATACATTCCCCTTGGCGGCTCCCATCGCCAGCTTCTCAACTCGCTCCTCATATTCACCTTTGTTGCGCTTTGGCACGATCTTACCTTCCGCCTGTTGGCATGGGGATGGCTGGTTAGCATCTTTCTTATCCCAGAGGTGGTAGCAGGGTGGGTCTTTAGTGCTGACAAGGTGAGCCCTTCTAGGTCCTCTCCTTGTCGTTGACACTCATCTAGTACCTCCAGTTTGGTGGTCGCCCGTGGTATCGACATCTTTGCGCCCTAGGTGCTGTGTTCAACATTCTCATGATGATGACCGCCAATCTTGTGGGGTTTGTCATTGGTACCGACGGAGTACGCTATTTTGTAGAACAGCTGGTTGGGACGAAGGATGGTGCTCCTTGTGCTCTCTCTGGATTTATGGCGTCCACTGACACTTTTCAGGTCTTCAATTTCTTTTATGTGCAGTGGCGGGACTGTTCGTAGGCGTGCAGGTTATGTTCGAATATCGGTAAGTTCGCTCAGAAGTGCTCTTTTAATCTTTTCGTAATTATCTATCCAGGGAGGAAGAGAAGCGAAGGGGGGTCTATAGACGGTGTTGAAGGCCAGAACGATGACAATAGAAGATAGATGTCTCGATCGTAAAAGTATTACAGTACGCCAAGGACGCTATTCTATAACCATCATGAGTACCAACTAATATTGTGGATCTATATCGTCTTGTGGTCTTATATAAATCTCCCATCGTTAGAGCTGTTCTCCAATGCCAAGATACAAAAAAGGTCCTACTACTGCGATAACAGTATGCCAACTTGTGACTACCCTATCTTCGATCTAGAAAAATTTGAAATGTTTCATTCATGCAGTACGCAGTCAATACACACTGAGAAGACGGGTATAAAAACAATATGGGGAATATGTTTCATCCAAGCACATGCACTAGGCACGCTTTGTTAAACGGAGACCGTAGGAGCAGGTGTGGGTGTCGCAGTAGCAGTAACAGCCACCGTGGCGGGAGCCGTAGCAGGCAAAGAAGGTGTGGCCTCACATGCAACAGCAAGGCCTGATGTGAGTGCGGCTAGCCCATCTGCTTGAAGCGAGTCAGAATCTCTGGCCGGAACTGTTCTGACATAGGCATTGAAGTTATAAATTCCGTATACACACTCCAAGACAATTTCCTTAAGGCTGGTGCCATTCATGACAGGGCCACCATCCCGGGTGAGCGCGAACGCTTGTGCACCTACACCCATTGGAACGGAGAATGCAGATGCACCAGCCAGAGCATCATAACTATATTCTGTGCTCCTGGAGTTGACGGTGACTGTTCCATTGGCAGTGAGAAGAGAGACAACAAATACTTCATCGGTGAGAGTTTCCCAGCTGTTTGGACAGCCATTAAAGTAGTTGCCGCTCATGTTGTTAGCAGTGCCCATGGTGGTGTCTGTGAAATCACAGTCAATATCACGTGGTGTTGAACGATACCAGTAGATAATCTGGTCATCACTTATGTAGTCAGAAACGGTGGTAGAGCCATTTTTGTATGCAGAGATAAAGGGTTTTGCCATGTCGAGCCAGCCATCATGAGGCCTAAGAATTGAGTAAGAAATCTGAACATGTTCTTAAAGTGTCTGAGGTATACTCACATGTCATTAACCCACTTAGAGCCACCATCATCGGTGTGAGGAGATGATAATGGAGTGACATAGTGAGATTCTCCATAATCGTTCCATGTTACAATTTCAACATATTCTGGCACTGATGTGAGAATGTTATTCCAGTGCTGATACCACAGCAAATCACTGGGGAATACCCAATTCTTGCTGTAGGTAACTTCCATGCCAAAGTGGGTAAAGAACCATGGAGAGACCACTACCAAATGACTTCATTAGCTGCTAGTTCTTGCTGAATCTGGGGAACAATGAACGCACAAGCAATAAGACTTTTGTTAGCGAGGGTTGTCAAGTAGGTGCTGTCACCATCAGTAACAGTGATATCAATGCCTTCCTGTAGTGCCTTGTTGTTGCCATCATTAGGCCAGCCCATCCAATTGAGGGCACCATTGAGATTGGAAAAGTCACCTTCTCCAGGGTGAAAGTTGGGTGCCATGAATAAATCCAGACCTACTATGGAGCATACAGTAGCAATATCTAAACTGTCACCTAAAATTCAAGGATTCAATGTGTTGGAAATCCTCAGTGATGTGCAGGGTAGACTCCAGGCTGGTAAGGCCAGAAGGTATAAACTTCTTATTCTGCAGCTTCTACTGAGCTCATATTTATACTCTTCAGGCTTGTATCTAGAATTTACTACAACTTTCTCTTTCTCTCAGGCTTACTCATCAACTCTCAGCATGATGCTGGATTGCCCTTTCTAGAACTTTTCAGCAAAATTCCAACACTCCCCTTCAATATGGCATCCTGCCACAATATTCCAGAATATCCCAATATGTCCTAAAATGTCCCAATACTCCAAGTCTCCTTGAAACTTGAAATAGTCTGAAAATTCCCAATTATATCCTAAGACTTGTGACTATTCCCTATCCTCACCCATGCTGCAGGAGCCTCAAATGCTACTTACAGCCAGCTGATCCCAATATCAAGCTAGCCAGACTCAGTCTAAACCACAAAAGGCATATTTCATTTCTTCATCATCGCTCTGCATAATGTTTGCAGCATCAGCACTGTTGTTCCATTTTGTGCACTCTGGGCAACTATGACTAATATGGCCAGTCTTGCCACATGCATAACATCTGATGTTCTGCTTCAGGCTGCTTGATCCCCTTGATCGTGCAATCAGAGCTGTTGCACCAGGTGCACTGCCCCTCCTTCCTTCTTTGTCAATCAGAGCATTTGTCATGCTACTCATAGTAGGTAATGAATGAGGGTGAATTAAGAAGTCGAGATACTGTAATCAGAGTCTAATCATGCTGGGGCCCATAACCTGTTGGGAATCCTTGGTGATGCACAGGGTAGACTCCAGGCTGGTAAGGCCAGAAGATATAAACTTCTTATTCTGCAGCTCCTACTGAGCTCATATTTATACTCTCCAGGCTTGTATCTAGAATTTACTACAACTTTCTCTTTCTCTCGGGCTTACTCATCAACTCTCGGCATGATGCCGGATTGCCCTTTCTAGAACTTTCCAGCAAAATCCCAACACAATGTCTAGTAGGACACGCACGCGGGGTACGGCTGCTGTACCTGAAAACGATGACACAAACACCTTGCCGTTGATAGTGAGTTGGGCAGATTTGGAACCGTACTGCGCAATTTTGGACCCGATACCCGAAGCATCGGTGGAATCCCACCAGTTGAAGTCAAAGGAGAGAAAGACCTTCATGTCATTGTTGGCCGCAGACTCGTATGCATATTCTAACTGCGTGTCGGTGTAATCGTCTACACCGATGTTCAATGCGAAGGCATCGATACCATAGGACTTCGCACGCTGCATGTCAGCATCATAGTCGGAGGCACTGGTCCTGTCGGAGACAATACCGATCTATTGAAAAGGGTAACAGTGAGCACGGACAGAAAAGTATCAGAAGGTATAACGCACCATAAAATGAGAGAAGACAAGCTTGCCGCCAGTCGTTTGTCGTTTAGACAAGTCGTAGTGGGGAATGGGTGCACTCAGGACAGTGAGAAAAGTAGCTGAAAGAAAGACGAGAAAGTAACGAAAGTATAGAATGCGCTGCATTGTGGGGTATGATAGCAATTGTCCTTCCAATTAGTCTTTTATACCTGACTCCCATACTCTGAAACGGGCCCATCTGATAGCTAGTGATGAGGTCAGGTCTCACAATTTTTCCGTACCAAAAGGACAAAAATACAAGCAAGGATGTGAAGGGATAGCGTAACTCTGCACCAATTGGACATGCAGCGTCCCAAAAAGTACAATTGGTATGACGACCACAACATATCGGATAAACAGTAGCATGCAACGACACAAGGACATCGTCGTTTTTTGAAATGCGGAGCCAATCCTTTTGAATAACCCTGAATGAGTGAATGCTCCAGAGGATGTATGGAAAGAGTACTCGAGCTCGTAGTATGCAGCTTGTTTAAGGCCCAGGGGAGGAGCTAAAAACCGTAGTTCCAGATAGAGGCCTTATCATAATCGAATGGGCAAATCATGGTACCAGATGTTCAGAACGCGGGTTTCATCCGAGGTAGAGATGCTGAGAAGACAGGCTTACTGAAGCGGCAACTGATTTTTGTAGATAAGGAATTGATGATTTGCCACCCATAAGTTGTGGTACGGTACAGGTGGTGACCTCAGAACCATTCAAAATCAAAATGAAATGATAAATAGTACTCTGTCATATTCACCTTCTCGCTGTTGTCTGGCTCTTCATGATTCAGTCCCGAAGTATCAAAGACGACCGACAGTTCGTTTGACGACGACTGTCTCTTGCCAGTGCACGATGCTGTCGCTAAGGAATACTGGTGCAGTTTTAAATCAAAAGAGGACAAGCATCCAGATTGTCGAGTGAAAATATGCTAGTCATAGCATAGAATTTTCCGCTGATGGTAAAGCAACGAGGAGGATTAGAATAGTATTCGATGAAGCAAGGTTTCGAGGTGACGCAACCGGCTATCTCCGGCCATGTCAGTCCTTGCCTTCGGCTGTCCAACAGATAGCCGATATTCCATGTCTCGCTGTCACCATCATGACCTCCTCTGGTCTCCTTCATCTTCGCGACATTACCGCTCAGAAAACGTCGAAATCCATCTTTGCGGTGGTCGTACTCACTTGTGGTGTCGCCGCCCCAATTCCATATCGTTCCATACGTCGCGTCATTGTGCTATGGCCATTGACGTGGTACTGCCAGCGAAGATGGTGTAGCGGATCCATAACTCTCATTTACAGCAGTCAAGAAGACTCACGGCACTAAATATCACTAACAGTGATTAGTGGCTTCACAGATTGATGTCAAGAGGCGCGACAGCGGGTTGTAGACGTCGAGAAGACAGAACAGAAGGTGTGGACGTTGTAGCTCGTCATTTTGTCTCTGATCATGGCGTAGGCCAGAAAACACCTACTTCATCGTGATATATCAGCGATGCCTTCTGTGAGATTTGTGCTGAGCCTACTTCTTGTACTGAGAACGGCGGTCACCTTCGAGTTTTCTTTTCCTTAGATGCACTGGTGCGGGTTATCAACTCCTGATAATATCTGGCTCATGTTTACCAACTGTGTCTAGTTTCTATCATCGATAAATTGGTGGTTGACCTATATATCTTAGAGCCCAGTTCGGCGGCCCGGTGTGCTTCATGAACGGCAATTGCACAATCATGAACATGAAAACAGATTGGAAAAGTCGCATTGGAGTCTGGCTGGCTGTCCCGGTAAGTAATCTCTAACTTTAGCTATTCATGGCCCTAAGCCATAGCTCAAGTGTCACAAATCGCCTTTCACTGTGCACCGTGTCTTGGTGTTCTCGCTCCTTTGACGGCATGACACTTACCTCATCAGTGCTTATTACCAGCTTCACGCCTGAAATTCTACCCGGTCACGTCATAATTCAAGTGGTTGCATAGCGTGCACGAAGGCCCTGTGTGACCAACGTTTTATGCGGTTTTATAATTACGGCAAGGAAAGTCGGTTCGGAGAGGGTGAAGGAAGCGTTCTTCAGAACGTGAGGTGCGTCGCCAGAGATACCAGCCAATATCCGGTTTCTCATACGGAAGTCCCCTCTTATGAAGTGCATCCGGTGTTGGTCTCATAAAGTTGTCGCTCCGCTACCGGCACGTTACCTACCCCTTCGACGTCTGTTCCCACCATTACTTGGAGTCTGAAATTGTGCCAGCTTTTATCACAATGTCAATATGGCTTCACGCGTACTTAAATCACGGCTCATCATATGTATCATTTTCCGGAACTTTAGGGCCCTTCATTTCAGTACACATTCTTCGTGCTCACAGGCCCTGTAAAGCCGGTGTCATTGTTATTTCTTCTCGGGTCGGAGGAAGAATGTCACTACATATCACCATTGCAGCTCTCCCGTGATAGCTTCTTCAGGCTCTTGAGGTCGTCGGCATTCTCATATGGATCTGCGACGGTACACCGAAGCACAGCGTACTGCACTTTCCTTTTCGATTCTTGAGCGGAAATCCGCATAGCGCAAAAGAACGGTATCCAAATTGCTTCTTGAACTACCACGGAACGTGGAGGGTTGAAAGCGGTACTGGTCTTTTTACACATGTACCCTCATTCTCAAGGTGTGCCACCTTTCATCTTATTTGGGTTATTCTTTGATGATTCTATCAGATCTTCTATTACGAGTGTTTTCTCTTATATTTTCGTTCTTCCGCACTGGCAGCTGCTTAACCCATTTATGCACTGCACGTGTAGTCGGCAAGAAAGAGAGGTGAAATGTGGAATTAAAGGCGCTAATTGGATGACGCGTACGTCCTGGATCAAGGGCTCGTAAAATATTGCTAATATTTCCAGTACAGAAAGTCATCTGCTATTGTTGTCCGGCGTCGCCTAGGCTGAAATGCACTGCCCGCGCCACTCCTCTAGGTCCGAGACCTTGAAGATCTCAGGCATGGATACCTGCTATGGGGATCATCAAATCCGGTTATAACGGGTTAGATAAGGGCCCGCCAGTTCGAGGACGGCCTGTTGGTCCATGCGTAACCAATACCCGCTTATCATCACAAGATCATGCCACGGCTCTGCTCTCCCGCTCCGCTTATCCTCCAGGTACCTCATGCCCCACTCGCAGAATAACATTCACCTGTTGCCCGCAGTCCATTCCCGACGCGCCAAGGCTGCGTATTATGTTTTATCTTATCTCAGGAACCATTTGTTCATCGCCACAATACCATGACATTCTCGACATCACTACATCCAGCCACATCTCCGAAAATACATAGGCGAATATGGGCGTTTATAGTATATGCTCGTCAAGAAGGGTCCGAAGCTGCGAAGACATTAATCCGTGGCGGGCTATATCTTCTTCTCTTCGTGTAACTTGCCCATTTCGTTGGTCTCAAGAGCTCGACTGAAGCCATCCTTCGGCTCCAAATTCCAATTAACAGTTCGAGTTAAAGTATTTGACGAAACGAGCTGGTTCGGTATGACCTCATTGGGATGGGAACCTGGAACTTAGGCCTTGTGATTTTTAAACGCCCAGTGCGATTGGATGCCTTGTCCATCTACTCGACCCAAGTTATGAGGGCCGCGGGGCACCCTCCCCAACGCTCTCAATGCCTATTCTTGCTCTGTGGGGTACTCTGCACCACTTTGTCCCTGTCTTTACTCTGGTTCGCGCTTTGATTATGGGTCGTCCTCGGAGAGTCGGTTAGTTTCAGTTTCATGTCAGCGAGCATCGGTAAGACGTCGGGTATCTAGCAGGTGGTCGGCCGCTGCTAGGTTTTAACGTACATATGTTTCCTTCTTCTCTGCCAATGTGACATAGAACAATGGAAAGAAGGAAGAACGGTCGGTGCATGTACGCCATTCTGACAAGGAAAAAGAACATCGGCGGCGGTGGGGGGTCGATTCTCAACGGGACTTGTACGGACTGACGTCACTTGCAAGTTCCTCCGAGCCTGTTGTACCTCGGGACTCAATTTGAACTTGGGAGCTAGGGGAGGGACAAGAGCGCTTACCGTCGACCCGGATGCAATGGCCGAGGTCAATTGAAGGACACACAGCTCGCTTTGATGCCTTGTTGTAACCAAGACTATGAAGGTGTTATATTTGAATACCGTAAGAGCAGAAGTTGGATGGCTAGGGCATGATATCATCAGTCATTGACCGAATGGAACCCGAAATGATATGATGATGAATTTGCACAAGTCCAATGCGAACTTCGGGAAAAATTTTGCCGTTGTGAACGTGCGAGCGGTTCCTAGGCTTGTTCTGTTGCAGGGCGCGCGCGCGTCGGGACCTGTATCCGGCCGGGACACGCGCAGCGGTGGTAAGATAAGTGAATAGCCGGATAGGCTGAGGTCTATATCAGAATGGACCGCAAGTGCATCAGAGCCACCAATTAAAAACGTGCTGCCGAGTTGAAGTTCCCACTCAGTATTGGGGACATCAGAAAACTGCCAGTGACACAAGTTGGCTCTCGTGCGTGAGGTATGCCATCATGCCATGCACGTACGACCGAATCGTCCCTGTGACGAGACTCGTATGAATGAACTTGTTCTTCTCACCATGCCGCAAAGCGAACTATTTCAAGTCCAATTCGAACTTGGTAAAATCAGCAAAGGGGGTGTTTAAGACCGGGAAGGGGTGGGAATGATCATTGATGGGATGCAAAAAAAAAAGACAGGAGATTTCTATAGTCCGTGTTTGAGAATGAATACACAAAACGAAGGGGAAAAACACTAGATTGAGATCCTACGGTACTATGTATACAGAGAGCGATGAAAATAATATGTTACTTTTTGCAGGACGGCATGTACAGAGATAACGTTAGCAAGGAGAAATAAGATTTAGCAGTGAAACGGCGAGAGCGCTCAAACACCTATACCGTCGGATTCGGAGGTTAGCACAGCTGGACCTCCCACTCGCCGCCCTCGGCGTGTTCGGTACTCCTAAGAGCGATACGTACGCGACGGGATGGAGACGACGACGCTGTAGCCGGAACCGAGACAGGGGAAAGAAAATCATTGTCGAATCCCATGTCGAGGCCCATCCCAAAGAACGGATCATCATAGGTTTGATACGCAGGAGTGGGAGAGGGAGGCTGGGGGTCATGTATGCGCACCCGGATAGCACCGTTCGAAGCAGTCTGGGCGTCGAAGGAGACGTCAAGAGCAGAGGACGATGGTGATGTCGTCGTAGCGGGAGAAGGTGAAATTGGGAGGGACTGAAGGAGAGGCAGGGCGCAGAGAAGTGCCATTAAGGCGGACTTGGATGAAGACGACGAGGGAAGCGGCGTTTCAGTGGGTTCTGTCTTGATGGCTTCTGGCTGGGGCGAAGACTGCAGAAGCGCCTGGGCTTCCGCGAGCTGGGCGCGCAGGTCGTCTATCTCGGACGTCGTCGACGTCGATGGTGATGGCGACGGTGGTGATGCGCCTCCTGCCAGTGCTTGCAAACGTGCATTTTCAAGTTCAAGTTCGGCTACCCGACTGCATACAAGCTGTCAGCTACCTGCCTGGTGCCAGTAATAAATTTAAAAAATTACTCACATTTCCATGGCCTCGAATTCCTCTCGTTTCCGCTGTCGACTGAGGAATGCTGCTGCCCTGTTCTTCACCAGCCTTGCTTCTCGTTTCGACAAGCCGGACACATCGGGCGGGACAAAATCCCGGGTTGTCATGCGTTCTCTGGGCCGTTTCGCAGTCACTGAATGAGGCGTAGGCGACGTCCGTTTACTTGATACTGAGGTATCTGTCGTCATTGCCATCTCCTCTGCCTGTGGTTGTGATGTGGGAGGAGGCGACGGGGAAGGCAGGGGAAAATCAAAGACCTGGTGGGTAGGAAGGCAAGTGATGGTCGTTGGCTCAGGGTTAGCCGTCTTGAACATGGGCGATGGCGAGCTCGAAGAGGAAGACGACGACGGGGAAGGATAGTAATCCCAGGACTCCATACCACAAGTGCGTAAGATTGGGGACTTGTGGAAAAGAGGCACCCACTGGATTCGCCCTTTTTGTATCCGAGCGGCTCGGCGTTAACTGCGAGTTACCTCCGAATTGGGCATCCTCTGATCCCGAACACGGCAACGAACCGAACCGGTTCCTCCACCGACGACTCTCCGCTTCAGCCTCTCACTTGCACTCTTTAAGAAATCATCCATACACGAAGTCCTGCTCTAGGGTGTATTATCGGTGCTCAGCTTTTTTTATCATTTCTCTTTTCCGATTTCTATCCACTGCTAGTGCAGGCTTCGAGACAAGGCGCATCAACCCCAGCCTTACTGATCATCTTTTGTTTGAGTGATTCATTATCATGTTTCAATTCACCGTAATATCATCTTGCACAGTAACCAAAACCCCAATTTCCGTACATCACCGTACCGATTAGATTACAACTTCTTAAAAATATCAAATTTCGACGCGCCCTGACCCACCGACGAATCTCGTACGCGCCCTGTCCTCCGTTGTCTATCTATCGTCCTCATTATTGACATGCTACCATTGAACTGTATATCTTTCTCCGTTGCGAACCCAGACTCAGGTACAGGGCCACGGATTCAAAATGTCAGTACTAACTTAAATAGACGATAATGACATTGGGACTCGGTAGAGCCCAGGGTTACTCGACCGGGATCTGAGTAGATACCCAAATAGTTGTATCATTTCCGTATGGACTTGTATTCCGGCAAAACAATCAAAGTATGTAGACTATTGACTAGGATTTCCGAAGGCAGAAGCCTCCTGAGGTTTGTTTGGTTGAATTCTCTGACTAGTAGACAAGTCCTGCTTCGGCTGGAAATCGAACCCTGCTTTCATTCGCTCCACTGCAAACACCACTCCCGTCTACTAACCGGTAGGCTACCCAGGATAACCACAATTTATAAAGTGAATCACTCTATCGGAAGCGTACACGATATCATTCCTAACTTTGACTCGTGATATGCGTCATGAACCAATGCAGGGGTCGAAGCACGATTTCCAGGAAATCGCCTTTAAGCTTCCTTCCTCCTCCTTCTCTTATCGATCAGGAACTCTCTACCTCTGAACCAGTTCAACGGAAAATACCAAAACCAGGTCTATACTTACCATCGCAGTCATTCACTAAGACCCGATACCCACATCATCCGAGACCATGCAGACAAGACCTGGTGAGTCGTTCATATGATTCCGCGTTTTGTCCGATACACCGATGGACTGATGAAAAAATCGGCGAGGATGTTAAAGAATAATCTTTTTATGTACGTCGAGATAGTAATTAGTGCGATCGGTTCGTTCGCTTGCTGGTTGGTCTTCCGGGCTCTTCCCCTCAGAGAAATCTGGAACCGCCGTCGAATCCGCTCTATAACCAAGATTTCCTTGTGGAAGCCAAGAGTTATCTATATCTGAAGATCGGTGAAAATGTCTTTTACCTTCAATTTTCGTTCTTTCTCGTAAATTGTTAGCCAGAAAATTTCGAACGCGAATGACAAGGAAACCGTGACTTGCTCACGTGGCCCTGGCGCGTTATTGACGCGAATTTTTTTCGATTATGTAACTTTTCTGCACAGCCTTCCCATCCGATTATCATCGCGAAGTCAATACCTTTTCTCCCGTGGTACCTGGATCGTATCACAACGGTCCATATTACCTGTCTAGAACGTCATGGCCAACCAGTAGGATGAGAGAAAAGTGATCAAGCTCCAATACCGTCATCCTCGTATGTCGGATCTATGAATTCGAATTCTGAGCCTCCGTGAAATGGTTCTTCTTCTTGATTCCAGATTCACTTCGCGTCCGTTTGTATTACAGGTCCCGATACCCCCACCCACAGCATCAGATATGACAACAAAATTAACAATCTGGTTCTCCTTTTTTTTTGTGTGCACTTCAATTGATGTCCTTTCGCAGTAAAAATGTTGCCAAAGACGCTTCTGCCTGGAAGCAATAATCCCAACGACATTGGCCAAGATGCGGAAACCGTGTCATTCCAGCATGACGGATTCTCTGACATTACCTCATTATGACTTCGCTAGCCTATTATGTGCCATGAGTGCCACTTTCATGTGTACGACGATATGCTCTGGCCAAAAATGAAACAGCTGCAATGACGCCGGGCGACAGCCTGAATGCCTCTTGTGAATGACCACAGGTAGGCATCGAGAAATGATATCGCTAGCCCTCACCGTTCCTCCTACACAGAGCAGGACCACAAAGATCTATTTTCCAACATCTTCCTCTTATAACCTTATTTTGGAGCGTCGCACCGATGAACGGCAGCACATGTTGACAATCGTCCACTCAGGGAATGGCGTTGCATTGAGACAAGTTCGCCTCAGATCATTGGATTGGTGGCAGAACCTGATAACTTCATATTGCTACAAAAGGGCGAAACGGAGAAAGTGCTTCCCTGGAATAGTCTCTCTGAACCTGGAATCTTTCTCGGTGCAATTATCCTCCCCTATCATTCAAAGCGGATGAATTTTCTCAATCATCGGAGTTCTTCGTGCATTCAATGGCACAGAGCCGGCCCAGCACTATTATGACCCGGAACCGTAAACATGGCGGATCCTCCTACGTTCTATCTAATTTTGGCAGTGGTCAGGATTCAAGTATGGCCCAGAAAATGCAAGTAGCGGACCCTTTTTTGGTCAGGATGTGACTGACGTGCAGAGCATGCAGTGACGCGTAAGGAGATCGAAGCGTTGTGTTTTGAACTTGACGCTTCAGCTGCAGGGTTGATACTTTGAATCCAAGTCGACGAACACGTTTACATCATTTAAATGGCAGGTTCAACGACATGGGGAAAAAAACAGAGGAGCGTGAATTACTTTCAGCTAAATAAATAGGTCACGATTTCGATGATGAACTCAATATCATGTGTAGTTCTATATATTGATCTACCCGGGAACGACTGGGTGCGATGTCCAAGGACGTAGCTAATAGAGGCTCCTCCCGCACCAGTCACGGTCATATCTACCAGATCTTCCCATGCGTCATGGTCTGCGACCCTTGTGAATCTCGCTTGCTCCCTCGACTTCCCTACCATTTCTATCTCTATCGATTAGAAATTGGCTCATAGCTTTTCATTTTCAAAAAGTGCCTCAAATTAACCAGCGGCAGTATGTGGCAGCATCTCCACCGGCAGGCGGTAAACAAGAAGCAAGTCCAAGATTAGACTAGTCCCGCGACAACCGTGCGCACGAAAGTACCAAGCTAGTCCTTCCTTTATATTTCATTTCACCGGCCAGCTAAAAACTAATAGTCCCTTGAATATTAATCTATAGCTAGACAGCGTTTTATGTCTCAGGTACAAAGTCGGTCATTATATAGTACATCAATTATTAGTCGTTTTGAGCCTTGAATCTTATTGTATTACGCGTATGCATGCAATGCTCTATGTCCTCCCTCACAATGTATGATAGAATCCTGGCTGACCCTGGATCGGTTCTTTCAGTTTACCCTCTCTCATCAGCCTGTTCAGCCTCGAGAAATGTATCACTGTCGTCAGCACAACTCCAATGAGCACAATTTGGGTCCCGATCGTCACCCACAGACCTAGGAATTTTTGAATTTCAGAGTATTTGGCAGTGAGGAGAAAATAAAAATTACCAGGGACATATTTTGGATAATCTTTTTCCCGAAATACGGTCGAAGCGATGATTCCGCCGATACCTGCGCAGCCAGAGGTTAACGCCGTTTGCACCGACCTGATGATGAGTGGATGGGATAATGAGAGGAAGGAGATGGAATATAAGGCTAATGAGTACGAACCGTTTGCTCTGCGATACAACATTATTGGCACCATACGCAAGGATACACGGGATAGCACCTGCACTTCCAATGTTGATAAGGAAAGTCCCTAATGGCTAGACTTGAGAAACGGAAGATGGAAGTAAGGGAAGGCACTCACCAAAGTACCGCACGGCATGTGGTTGGCAAAACGCTGTTAAGCAACACCCGACAACGCAAATGCACGCTTGGATTATGATGAAGGAGCTCCGGTGCTTGAATCGGTCCGATACCCATGCAAAGAAGAGCGCAGAGATGAACTAACGAAGATATTTAAGTCACTGCCAAGGTGATGGTGATAGAAGTCAGCATACTGCTGGACCGTATGGAGGTGCGCTCTATAAAACACTAGTCAAACAAGAACTTGATCTGTGCATAGATGAGTCTTACCAGAAGAAGGGACATACTTCTTCCGTAGCCCATACCGCCCAAGATGATAGAAATGAAGTAAGCTAGCATGTACGATGGCACCGTCGAACATGCCAACATGATGCCTAGCACTTCCATCAGCCAGAACCCAACACCAAGCATCATTTTTTGCTTACCGTAAGTCCAAATTGACCAATCCTTTAGGTGGAACCAAATCTTAGCTGGGGTCAGAACATCCGGTACCGAATCGCCACGGTCAATTTCAATCCTCCTTAGAACCACTGCCGTCTGCTCCGGGGTCAAGAACCGATTCTTGTCCGGGAAATCAGGGACATAAAGGAACGTGATGATGCCGAGGAATATCGTGAATGCGCCCTCGATGATCTGATATAATGTATGGCCATATGAATAAGGAGGAAATCACTGAAGAAATCAACGAGCACTTACAAAGATCCATGACCAGCCGGCAATACCGCGCCTTCCGTCAAGCAAACTGATGCAGTACGCAAGGATAGGGGCGAACCCGGCAATAGTTAGCGATATCATATAGAATGCAGCGAGTCTGGCAGTTGTAGCACCGTTTCAATTTTCCATTAATTGGTAGGTAGACGGGGCGAACCTCTTTGCGACTTCGTGGCGCGTGTACCTACAAGCCAGGAAACGGTGTCATTGAGTCCAAATAGGGTAGGGATGTAAGGAGGCGCCTTACCAAGTCGAAATGATGTACACGAGAGCAGGGAAGAGTCCGGCCTACTCGGAGTCAGGCTCGATCAAGAAACGATGGAGCGATTGTACCTCCATGGCGCCCAACAACACGCGTAAAGCGGTAAGAACTTCCCAGGTCTTGACGAACCCGATTGATAAGCATACTGCACCCCATGCTGTCACAATAAAAGAGAGGAAGACGCGTGCTCCGATCTTGCGAAGAAGGATGTTGCCGGGTACTTGACTATCACAACGGTTAGCTGGAAGCGCCATGCAAAGAAAAGAAACGATGACAAACAATAGCACGTAGGGAATGAAGTACATGCACGTCGCGATACTGTAACGAGATCCAATATCAAGTCCCTTAGGAGGAAGATTAGAATAATCTGATGCCGGTACCCCAAGGACAGCGCGTTCATACCAATGCGTCGCCCATGCCGGCCGTCCTAGCAACACTAATGTTCAATCGGTCAACTAGGGCGATAGAGTAAAGAAGAGCGAGAAGCGGAAGCATCCGGATGTCCACCCATCGCCTATTAACAGGATTCAGACATGAAATACAGGGAAATGAATTGGCAACATACATGGTTTTCCGCTCAAAGAAGGGATCGATGACATCCTCCAATTTCTCTTTTCCAGCTTCCAATGAGTCCGGTCGGGGTGACAGATCCCCCTTGGGTTCTGTGTAGTCAATGGAAGCTGTGTAACTAGAAGCCGGGGGCATGTTGAGAACAGGATGGGAGATGGGATTGAGAGAGAGACATCATCTTCGCCCTCGTATATCAATGAAAATACGCATAGGGTGAAAGAGGGACCCTGACAGACGTCAGGAACAGCAGTACGGCATCAAAGACAAAGAGCATCAGACGTCGGAGGTAGCGTATAATTCCATTCCGTTCATTTCTAGGTTACTGGATTAATTCGGCAGGCACCGCCCCTTCAGACGAGATGGATTTTAGTCCTCAAACAGGAGGAGAGAAATTGAGAAGTAAGCTTACTATTGGACCAGGATATCCATGGACGGATTTAAATTGATAAGTGTTCGGCACCAGGTTAACGACGGTCCTCAGTGGACGCAATAGAGAGTATAACATGCTGCCAATTTCTATCCAAATCTGTATGGAAAGACAGAAGAATTGACGGAAACCGAGGGATACGATATGCGGTATCTTTTGCCGAGGTATATGTTGACCTCGGATTGACCAAGTGCGGCTGGTTACTAAGTATACCTACCGGGTTCCGCTGCCGACAAACAGTAGTTGATTACCTCACACAGCCAAATAGACGGAAGGATCACGCCGTCTGAATGGCAGGGCAGAGCAATACTGATCATATCTACACGATGCAGCTTCAAGGTATTTAGTCAACAAGTTCCCTAGTTCATCCAAGTACGCCATTCACACAAGCAGGTGAAAATCCTATCCCCGCCGTGCTTCATATAGCTCAGAATTATAGGGTACACATCCTACACATTGAACTCACCCCCGACTGCTTGGCAGCCGCGGAAAGATCGCAAGCGCTACCTCTTCATAATGTAGCTATTCAAAGTCAGGACATAGAGCTCCATAACGAAACAAAGGGTCGCTTCACGTAGGGAACATCTTTGGAATATCCAGAACCAGAATTGAAGCACAGCAAGATCCTAGCAGATCGGATCCATGCATCGACCCGTTGCATGTGCGAATGGAGCGTGTTCGTCCAAAGACTGACTACTCCTCAGTGAAAACGTTCACAAGTAATAGATTACGTTCAACATAGATGGTAAAGCGTCCTTCCCAATCCACCCCAAAATTATCTGGAAGTGCACCGTCATGGCGGCAAGCAGGATCAGTTGACGACCTGGAGGGGGATCGTTGTAATAATCCCCGGAATGTATCTGGGGAAGTCTCGTTGACTATAGATGATCCCACCTACTCCGCCGAAGCTGACTGTGACCGCCGTAGTAACAGCCCTCTTAGAGTGTGAGACGATGTTATTTGAAGCCTAATCATGGAAATAAACATATACTAGAATCCCAGGGATACATCCCGCAGAGCCTGCGGAAGCGAAAAATATTCCTGTTCGAAGAGATGAAAAAGGAACGGATGCAGATCGTCGGACCCGCCAGTGTAACGCCAGCCAGGGAGATTGATATGTGCTGTCAAGACCAAGCCGATTATAGTCATCAGCGTTTGTATCGCGAGGAACAAAGCCCTCATGTGATATCTGTCGGACAACCACGCGAAGATCAAGATACTAACAGCCTGCAGGAGAAAACGCATGAGCGGCCGGTCCGTCTGAAAACCGATGTCTGGTTACTTACCGCAGAAATATACGGAGAAGCACTCTTTGGTTCCGTGCAGGGAGGCGTGTCTATTAGCAATGTGGTGAAGCTAACCAATCGGTGCTTACAAGCAACAGGGACATCTGCAAATTCCATCCCATCCCGCTCAAAATCAGAGTGACGAAAAATCTGGGAACGGACATCATCAGCCAAGATATGATAAATGGAAGCCGAAAAGAACCATATGACAAACCCTGCTACGTACGCCGGGACTGCTGCACACATATACATCAAAGCTGCACTGCTATGAACAAGACATATCGGAGATGGGAGTTGAGATACTAACCACCATAAACCCAGATCTTCCAGTCGGACCACCCGCCGAGACCCCCTTTGCCCTCAAGAAGGCTCAGAGCGTATGCCAAGATGGCGCTGAATCCACCAGCGAGAATTGACGTCATATATAACTCAGCCAATCTGCATCAACAACATCAGCTGAAAGGGAATAGTACCCATGAGATAGGGCAGCTCATACTTCTTCTGAACTTCATGGCATTTATACCTAATGCCGATGAATACGAGGTAAAACATGATAAGAATAACCGACCCGCTCACCAAATAGTCACGATGAACACCAATGCCGGGAAAAACTCCGCCTCGTACAATAAGTTACCGAAGTGTGCCAATTGCGCAATTCAGTAGGAATAGCATTACCTCGAAAACGCCTAGAAGAGTTCGGCACAGCGCCAAGTATTCCCAAGAGGGAACGAAGCTCATACCAACGTGTACAGCACCCCACGCGATAACAGCACCGGTCAAGAGATTACGGGCTCCAATCGCACGCAGGCACATGTTGCACGGAAGTTCACAGTGAACATTAGCGTTTAGATAGGTATTGACACGTCAGAAGAAGCGAGAGCGAACAGAAGGATGTATGGAATGAAATAGATGCATGATACGATGCTGTAGCGTGCACCAGCGATCAATTCCTGCAGATCATAGTCATCAACGGTTATCAGAAGTATGTGCATATACGTACAAGATCTTTGCCCATACCCGCAAGACGCGCCACGCCCATGTTGGACCTATCAATAATAGCCAGTGCATAGAGTTCCAAGTATGGGTAAGAGCCGTAAATCGACGCGACGCCTGTAAAAAATTGAACATGGCACACCAAAAGGACGCTAAAAGCGATATACATCGTTCGAAATTCAAACGACGCATCAACCTGTTTGCTGCCACCGCTGTTAGCCGCGACTTCGACATCAGACGACAAGATGGTGGCTTCGCAAAAAGCATTGTCGTGTGTTCAGCAGAGGCTCTGGAAGACGAGATGGACATGATGATGCAAAAAGATGGAGGACCTCAGCGTTGTTTCTTGATGCTTTAATATCTCGACACAACTGACCAAGCATGCGGTGATGTGGAGGCCGGAAGAGCACAAGGACAGTCGAGATAGAAAGCGCGTCTGATTGCAGATAGAAGGGTCCCACAGCAGAAAAGGTGCAGCCGCAGAAGTGAGCACCGTAATGCTGATCACAATTCTAGGCGCTCAAGGCCCATTTCTCAGTGCGATGGAGTCTGGATCTCTGGAGGCTCGCGCTACATAGTTGGAAGTCCTGTTCGGAAAGATATCCTGCGTCTAGCATACTCTGAAAGCAAACGAAGGAGCTTACTTGGCATACAAGGCTTCGATGTCACCGCCGAGTTCTGCGACTAACATACACGCAACGTTCTTGTACAGTGCGATGTTGAAGCACTCGTCCCAAGGCCTTTTGAGAGAACAGATCAACACCCAGGTCCGTATATCGATGTTCTTTTAGCCATCCACCGGTTTCGTCAGTGGTCGTCGCGCCAAGGCGTAGCCGGTGTTCAAGTACACTCGGCAAACGCCGAAGCCCGCCTCCCGTACTACCGTAGTATCGCGCTCTTTTCCTTCTACGTATTTTTGGAAGGGTAGGATCTCAGTGATTCTTTCTATACATATACTATGTTGCATAATTATAACGAACCGACGACGGCATTCAAAGTGCTCGGATGTCCTTCATCCACGTGACAATTGAAAATACTTGTCTATTCGCGCCCTAGTCGAACCGGCTTGAAGGGTCCCAGGATTTCTGGGCCCTCCCACTGTCGTTACCGCCTCCTTGTATCATCGTGATTGCTGATACCCGGAGGTGCATACACGACTGAAATCTATACCGCTAAAGATATCTCGTCCTATTCGTCTTATGCCAATGTTCTGTAGTCGGAAATTTTGTGAAAAAAAACATTTTAATTATGGCATGTGTAGGTACATCCAGCTTTACAGTATCTGCCCAGACGTCACCGTTCTGGTGCCAAAAGTATGCAGCTGTGACACTGAGTAGGATAATAGAAACCGGCTTTATATGCATTCCTTGAATGTACTTTGTGGAAGTCAATGAAAGGTGGGGTGGTTGTGCTAGTTCCGCCGATGCTCTAAAATCCACTATGACTGCTGAATTAACGCTCGCTTAGGACGACGTTGATCATGGACTAAATCATAGATGCTACCATATCCGAATGCGCAGCGAACTCTAGGACAACGTGAGCTAGGACACCGGGGATGTACCCCGCAGAGCCCGCGCTGGCAAGAAATATTCTTGGGTGAAGGGTGAGTATACGAAGGGGCCCAAAGAGTCGAAAAGGAGGGGGCATGCCGGACCTTACCAGTGTAACGCCAGCCGGGAGACTTGAATGCGTCGTCCGTATCAAACGGAGCGTCTTAATAGATAGTTTACTTGTGGCGCTTAATCAAATGCTGAATCCAAAAAAAAACATCGGGATTATAGTCATTAATTCCTGGGCGGCAATGAATGCACTTCTCGGGTGATATTTGTCTAACCACGCAAATATCATGGCGCCAACGGGCTGGCGATGGCCTGATCGATCCGATTGAAAACAGACACCTGATTATGATTATTACTACTCACCGAGAAACCAAGTGGAAATACGTTTTACAAATGCGGTGTATCCGCACACACCTAGTAATCTTGAACTCCCCAATAGTAGAGACATTTTCAAATTCCAGCCCACCGTGCTCAGTTCCAGAGATTCATAACAGTCGTGAAGTCAAGAAAATGTGGGGGACAGTTGTTCACAATAACAGCATGTTTAATGGCATGGCTGTACTAACCATGGACACAAGCCTTCTGATGAAACAAGTGTAGCATCACCTCGCTTTTCAATGAATCTGATAGTGGATTGCCGCGGCCTTCGTTAATGCAAGAGCCGTTTGTCCAACAGTGAGGATATTGTACTTATCAGGAAAACCGAGGATATATCTCCCTGATGCAACGCCGAGCGTCCTTGTGAGCGTTATCGCGCCTCCGACAATCTACATGAAACCTGATCTCCAAGGACAGTAGCCACCAAATCCGGACTTGCAAAGATCTAGGATAACCCGAAAGGCTCTTCATACACCAAGAAGACTCAAGGCGTCTGAAAAGATAGATGAACGTACATCCTAGCCAATCTGCATCAACAAGGTCAATTGAAATGGCAACAGCCCTCACGACTCATGTCGCTTATACCTATATCCAATGAACACTGAGAATATTATAGCACTCAATATCACCACGTACAGATGATTAATACCAATGTGGGGGAGATTCTGCTTAACTGCCAAATCTAGTGGACATGCATGACCTAAAGCACCTATCAGAACTAATATATCAAAGAAGACACGAAGCCCATTCGAAGCTGTGCAGAATCCTAGGCGGTAGCAGTATCGGTTAAGATATTGCGGACCCTGATATGGCAGATTATAGGTTGCCTGGGAGTTCGCTAATTTAACATCCAGAGGTTTAATCGCGCAAGAGCGACTCGGAAGACGAACAGAAAGATGTATGGGGCAGAGCCAAAGACAGTTCCAAGTAAAGGTAACGCGACACCTGTGAAGGGTTGGACACCGTGAAGCAGTACGAAAAAGAACACACATTGCCCGGAGTTCAAACGACGCACCTACATGCTTGTTTCCAGTCCTGATAGCTGTTACTACTTCGGCGTCACGATGAAAACACGGTGTGTAGTTGAAAGCTTAGAACTTGAAACAGAATGTGCATAAGTGACCCCTGCCAATGACATTGACAGTCTCAAAGATGTTTTCCTTCATCATAAATCGCGCCCAACACAGCAGAGGCCAGTGCAATTTAGCTGGTAAAAAAGGAAACTTTAAAAGGTTTTGTTTTAGCGATGCCTTTTTCGTTCCTGAAAAGGGTGTCAGTAAAACTGTATGAAAAATATTTCCCCCTAGAGAACAATAGAATTGATGTACCTTTTGGTTTTACAATGCTCGAAACAAGGGCATAAAAATGGAAGCTGAAATCGAAACCTTTTAAGGTCTCATTTTGAGCTATCAAAAATGCCCCAGCTTCTGCAGTGCAAGTCGCCTCGTCCTTCCATTCAACGCGAAATGACCGACGTAATATTGTCAAGCTTAAAAAATTTAACGTAGAAGAATAGCATTATGGAAGGTCCATAGGTTGCCCATTCATATATAAGACTGCATGCCCAGATAACCTGAGGTTAGAGCGCAAGCCCAGTCGGAAAAGAAGAGTGTCAGTGTTCGATCTTCCTTGGAAAATCTTTTGACTCGCCGGGCAAATGAAACTGAAAGATTCCAACTTTCCGGGATTGTAGGTATATATATATATTGTGTATACAACTAGTGTCTCCTCAGAGAAGCCCAAGATAGAATTCGAAAGTTTGGGTCATCACTGCACTTTCCTACCTTAGGTACCGAAGAAGTGTCAGCACCCATAGAGAAGAAGCTCTTGCTTGCCCATAGAATTCCATGCGGAAGTATGTACCAACATGATTGCGACGTCGCGTTTGGGAAATCAAAAGATCGAGAATGAGGGCAAGTGGTGGCTCGGAGCAAGTGCCGCCAAATGCGGGACTCGGGCTTTTTACATTGAAGCGGTCAGTCGGGCTGATATTAATCTACGAGTCTATGTCAACACCGCTACCAACCACCTTCTCCCTCGTATCTCCCGTCAACAAGTGAACGTCTTCGTCATTTGCGACAGCCACGAGCCAACCTCGTCTTTCACGCTCCTCAAATCTCCATCCCCAGATACCGGATAAAACCCCCTGTCCTCTTCGTCCAGAAATACATTAAATAATAGCAGTGATATCTTTTCCGCGGAAAAGGGTCGATAGCCAAGTGATCATACAAATCGTACACCCAACGGACTTCGTTTCCTGATCACCCCCGTGGTTATAATTGGTTATACAAAATAATGGATATCCCCTGTTAAAAGGGAGAAGGAGCGCCGTTAGTCAAATCACGAGCCATGGGAAAATGCTTTGACTTGCCTCCTATTTCCCCGCACGGGACGCACTATCCTCGTGATCGTACAGAATGGGGTTCGATCTATGACTTAGATCCTCCTGCCTGGTCACGCTCCTTGCCTTTTTCACCAATCGACGAGGAAGGTGCCGACGCGTTGTCCTCCTGATACAGTCCGTGTTGTTCGATATAGTCCACGACGGCTGTTGGCAGGAGATATCGCACAGATAGACCGCGGCGGATGAATAACCGAACCTGGTGTAGCATGGAACAATCATAAATATAGATCCGATAGACTGACGTACCTTGGTACTCGAGACATCGTTCTGAATAAGCTGCGAGATTAGATAGATATTGTGACGCCAACGCGCAAGGCTGTCCGTAGCTTGATCCATATCTGAACCAGCACGCTCGACAATAAGACACCCATATCGTCCCAGGATGTGATCTAGCTGAGGAAACGATGAGGAAATGCACGACACCGCTCAAGGACGACCTACATCTTGGTAGCTCCATACACCGGGTTCGGACATGGTGCCAATTAGGTCTGAGCCAGCTAAAAGCATGACCCGAACAGTTCGATGTTCGCCGTCCTCGGTCTGTACCCCGCCCAAGACAGTATTTATCTCGTAGTCAAAATGGTCAAGGACAACGGCGGTCCGCTGGTACGTTTGGACAGCCTCCCAGGAATCTATCATGAGCCATGACGAGGTATCTTCGGCAGCGAGGGTACACATAGCAATTCTACATAAGACATAATCAATAATGCACAATGACCGTTATCAAAATTGCGATATCTAGCCGGGCATCTAACCGGCGCGGATCCAGAATGACGGATCTGGGAGAGGGGAACCATTTGCTCGACGCACATGGTGCAGAGAAAGAAACACGGAGCTTGGGGACAAGGGGGAAATAGGCGCTCACCGATGCTGCGCGCTGAGTAAGCCTGGCTTCTTGTACATATCGCTGACTGGACTGAGATAACCTCCAACGATCTCAAACTCGGTATTCTGGCGGACGTAGTCCTTGGCCATTTCGAACATGCGTAGATGCAAATAGGTGACAGGGCTGAAAGACCCACACGCTACCAGCACTATTGGCGTCTTCTGTGGATCCCGAAGCACACGAGACAGACGGTGATGAGGAAAGACATAATTTGGTGGATTGACGAATCCCAGAGTGGGATGGACCAGAGCCATTGTATTAGAAGGGAAGGGGGAAAGAGAAAAGAATGGCAGCTGAGCGTGGGGCCGGTAGTAGAGGTATAAAGCAGAAATATATAGGGCACGTCTAAACTTTTTAACGCCGTCCCATTCCGTCACATCCGTGACATGAGTCACGTTTCCCTGATTCCACTCTGTAGGCCCAATATTGAATATTGGATCAGTTTCATGCCGATACTTAATAATGGTTATAAGTTATCTTATTAGTACGTCTTAAAATTGAGGTGGGGTGCGCACCAAGACAGTCCGTCTGTTGAGTTACCCTCGGTACTATTCTGAGTTGAACTCGGATGCTGACTGAGCATGGTTGTGACGTCATTTCTCCCTCCTTTTCGCCCTCCCTGGTCGCACGACTCTCTCCGACGGCGACGAGAGGCCATGTGATGTGTGATGTGTGATGTGAGCGTTCATTTAGGTGGCACAGTTCGTGGTGGGTTCCCCCCCGGAGTTCCGGAATTTACAAATTTAAAATAATCAGGGGAACGCGGGCAGTATTTCAATGTATTTCAATTGGCCAAATTTGCTGGCGCTTGTATCCTCAGGAAGTCTTAGAAATTGGCCTCCTTCCGATGATGACTTTTTAGATGCCGCATTCAAACGTCGAAGCACCGTGAGTGCACCAATCGGCGTTACGGACCGCTATCCTTGTGTGCCTGGCAGAAATCTAATCAGATAGCTCAGCAATTGGAAATTCAGGATCCCACAGTGACCACCAAATTCTCAACCCCCATACTTATACATTTGTATTGGTAGCTCGTACGATAGATTAAGGTGGCATAGAGGCATATAGCATAGAGGCATAGGGTACAAACAGTCAATGAACATAGGACAAAACACATAATACAATCTCTTTCAGCCACACAGCAAGAGCCCACAAGTCGACGTGGTGGTGGTAGATGACCGATCCGATGGAGAACACAACAAAGAACCCAAGCAATGTGGTTTCGATTTCCTCGATCTTTTTCACAGGGATCCTCTCGTACGCACGATACCACTTTACCAACGACGTGTGTCGGTCGAGACGAGAGATAAAGTAGCAGAGGAAAAGGTCAGAGAAGGAGCGGAAGGCCCTGTAAGAGGCGCGAAGTTGACGTTGTCGGATTGTGAACTTGGAGACAACGGGCTCTGTAGATATGTATGATAAAGGGCTGCGAGCGATGCAAGGAAACAACACTTACCGGTGAACTTGATGGTCATCCCACGCCCGCAGAGATTGGCAACAGCTAGAGGGCTGAGCCAGTCTCCGTCGGAAGGGTCCTCGAGCTGCCATCGCGAGGGGTGGATGGGCTATTGCAATCAATCACGGTCCCAGTGGCGAAACGAAAGTCATAACATACCACACAGGTCTGCAATCCTAAAGCGCGGCGCAACGCGCGGAGATCCAATCCTCCAAATTCGTCCCGTCGGACCATCATGTCAATATCAGGCTCCATTTGTTGATAGAGCATATTGGTCTGAAAGTAGAATTCCACCTGGACGTATCTAGAGAACATGACCTCGTTAGGAGTGTACTGTCAAGGAAGAACAGGATGGTACTCGTTGAGCGGGAGTTCCGTATGAGGGAGGGTCTCATGCTGACGCATCCATTCCTCGTTTCGCACCTCGAGACGAATCTTGGCAATTTCCTCGGGCGACTTGCAAAAGAGGAATATGTTGTCCTGGAGGAACGCCTTCAAAGCCTCCAAGACAGTCCTCGGGATTTCTTTTGCCTGAGGTCTCTGGACTCTTCCGAGCCTTCTCGCTGCAGAGAACGAAATGGGAGCACGTTTGCCGTCCATCTGAGTGTCAGGAGTGGTCAACAAGAGATGAAGGAATGGTAGGTGAGTACCGTCAAATGTTCCAGTTCATCGTATGTCCATTTTATGGCTGGAGTCGAGGTTACCCCAGTACAAGGTCTCAGCGAGCAGAAGTAGCATTTCTGTTACCCAGACACCAGGAACAAGGTCGTCAAGCAGGGAGGACATAACCTTTGGCATATTCGATATTACTTGAAGCTAACAGCAGAAAAGGGCACAAAAGACCCTTCTCTACGTGGAAACAAGGCCGCCAACAACGAGTACAAGGACGAGGTAAAGTTTTCTCACGCATCAGACGCCCCTCTCGTTCCGCCGTCATTGAACACGGCTGGTCTTCACACGTTTACCCACTAAAATCTGTCAAATATCAAGTACATGTATCTCATCTCCAATAACTGGAATACGGTAACAACGATTCAATGACTTCCTCTTCTGGGTCACTTCTTTGAACTCGATTGTTGGTACAAGTGCATCGTCTTGTGCTTCAGTAAAGAAGAATCACATCGGAACCGATGATGCCTTAGTGTCTTGAGTCCCAGAATATATTTAGCAATCAAGAGCTTGACGGGCTTGAGACGGGCTCTTAGTAGCAGGTATTCGTCCGTTTGCTTGTCGTCGACTTGAGACCAGAGACGATATATTGATACATTCCAAGGACCGCCTGAAAGACACCCCGAAATAAATAAAGAAACTAATCACCATCGTGATCATATATCGGCATTGCGCATGGTTGGCTCAATCCAAGGGAGTTCTAACAGCTCGAAGACCTCCGCTTCGCTCTTTGGGAAATAAGGGTGGGAATCTTGTCGACGTACTCTGGGGAGTTTCTCAGCACCAATCCACGGGAATATCACTGAAGCGACTTACATGCCGGAACTGTCAAATTTGAACCCTCTAGCATTCATAAGGTGTAAGTACGCTGATGGGTTGATGGTAAGGAAACGCCTACCGATCCTTTGCCCACATCCGAAGATCTCTTTCGAACATTTTCGACCCAGTCCTAGCATGCAATGAGACAGAAAAGACTCTGCTGGGTGAATGACATACCAGCCAACTACCGCAGTCCAATACAGCTCAGGTGTTGTGAAAATCAAATCGAGCCTACGATGCAACCTGGCACTAGGCCCATCAGACGGCGGCAGGAATACTGACATCACTTTGTAAAGGGAACCTCGCTCTGCTGTTCGTGAGGATGTGTTGCCGAAGTTTGACAAGCCTTTACGCAGGAATTCGCAACGAGATAACACCAATTGGAAAACAACACGCACCCATGAGGTGGGTAATCATACCTGAAGGAGTGTGAATTCGAGATTGACAAATAGGACATATTCTGGCGTACCACGACTGTAGAGCCTGTGAACCAGCTGTTCACAGAGGCTTTTCACTTGGTCCCCAGCGGTCTTCAGGTTCTCATGGGTGATGACAATATCAACGTCATTGCTATGCTTCTTGCCACGGCGATAACTAGATGTGAATGTGTCTTCAGATGCCTCTTGTTTGTTATTTCAGTCTTACCTCCCAGTGATGGTGCTGGTGCAACCGGGTTGCAGATGTCCTAGTTCCTTCATGATAGTAGCATGCATTCTCTCCGTCTCATCTCGGAGAATAGGGTCATTTAACTCCTCGTGTAGCTGTACAGCCTCTCGAGAAGTTAATGTTGGCACACGCGTCTTCTCCGGAGTGGTGGTGAGTATCATATAGGGGGATTTTTGCTTGGAAACGTCGGGTTCCGCTGAGGCAGAACGCTCCAGATTCTCATAATGGAACATCAGATCCTTGATAGTCCTAAGACCTTCAACGTCGTACATATGCCGAGCGTACGCGGGACCTATTCCGTATATTGACGTGAAGAGCGTTAGAGTTTGATATCTTGGATCTTCAGCGATGGATTCTATAGCTCGCTGGTAGCGGGACTTCTCAATATACTAGGAAAGCAACACACCAGCTTCGCTTATCGTCCCGGATTGAAGGTATTCCTTGATCTAAAGAGTGATCCGTTAAATGATGAAGACATGTACAGACGAAGCGCCCCACTTTGGCAACAGTTTTTACGCCCATATGTGACAAATTTGACACTTCCGTCTTGAGGAGGTCTTCAGTTATAACGAATGGATATGCTATGTCTCGCCTTTAGTTGCTCAGAAGTGAAGATACCAGACAATATCTCTCACCTTTGATTGTCTTTCGCCCCACATTTAGTATTACCATCCCAGATGACAGACAAAATTGTGACACACAGCGATAGCCCTCTCATATGCCAAGGTATTCATAATTTTCCCTTCGAGCTCTCTTGAGTGACGCAGTACATCTAGCTTCTCCGCCAGCTCCTGATTCGGACACTCCAAAGGTGAAAGCCGCAGACACGAGGTTGGACTCCGGTAGTTAATTTCCGCACTATCCTCCCTTTCTTCGGCAACACTGGTGGACAGGTCTTCTGTAACCTGTGTCGAAGAGCGTAGAGAACGAACAGCGATATACTCGTCATACGGCAAGACTTGGTGCTCTTTGGCGCAATCCCGTAGCCAGTCCGGTGTAATAACGAATTTTTGCACCTGCGCTTCAGGGCTCAGAGGACGCGTCTAACGCAGTCAGTGGGAACTCACCGCAAGATCCCAGTCGATATATCGCTCCAACCTTTTCCTCATTTTCACCGCAGTGACTATCACGTCTGCATCCTTCGCCTCCGCCTCGTAGACCAACTGGAACTGACCCGAGTCAGCATCACAGAGGACTTTCCCGCTCTCCAGTATCGAGCGAAGCTCTGCTATTTCCTTGACCTTCAGTTTTGCCTCGATGATGTGGACGCGTAACGGGTTAACGATTGCTGTTGAAGACTCAGACTGGGAGCCAGCAATCGACGACTTGAACCGCTTTGGCTGCGGCGAGAGCGAGCGTGAGGGACTTGAGGAACTGCTGTATACGAGGTGCGGTCGTTTGGGAGACATGCGAAGATAAATTACCATTAAGTTTGTAGGCCTGGGCAAGTGACACCAAAGGCGGCTTGACTTCATGGCGGACATTATACTAGTGGACGGACGTGTTGGCTGAACGACGTCATCTATTTGCTTGCCTTATTTGTGTGCCATCCAAGTAAATTCTAGTAGGTTCATACTATACAAAAGACAGAAAGTAACAGTACTCTAGCAAAGTTTCACAGCCTGGATTTCATGCTCGAAACCTTGAGTTTAGCATGTTCTAAGCTTTCGTCTAAAACAAAGTCACTACGTTGGAAGTCGAGTAGATAAATAAGCACTCACAGTTTCCGGCATATAGTCTATCATCTGGCACAGAGACGATATGAGACCGAAGATTTGAGATATCTACCATCTCAGGGACGACATTCCTGAGCGTCGGTGCCCCGAGGAGGCGCATGTTCATCTCAAACTCGTCCTAACACGATAATGTCAGTCCGGGGTCAATCGGTGCTACAGAGACCACGTACATGCAATATTTGCAGGGCCTTGTTGACACCGTCTTCCCCGTAGGTCGAGAATGCGTAAAGGAAGGGTCTGCCAATACCAACTGATAATACTTATGAGAACACATCGTCATCACTGGCAACTCAAGCAGACTCACCAGCCGTTGCACCAAGAGCAACCGCCTTAAGAATATCGGTAGCACGTCGCACACCTCCATCGATGAACAACTGGAACTTGTCGTTGGGGAAGGACAAGCCACGTCTCTTCTTCAAATTCTCCACGACTTCAGCAAGGACCTCGATCCCTGACCGTGAGAAGTCGAGCTGGCGACCACCATGATTTGAGAGAACGACGCCGGCCAGCCCATAATCGTAAGCCTCCATCGCGTCCTCCCAGCACTGTACGCCCTTTAATATGAGAGGCACTGAAACCAGCTGTTAGGACAGGGAAACCGACTGAGGACATAGAACATACTTGAAGTGATGCTCTTGAACCATTTGATGTCATTCCAACACAAGCCGGGATCAATAAAGGACTGCTCCGGATGAGAAACGACAAGCCTGGACAAGGATGGAACTCACACTGATTGCTCGCGCGGCACCCTGAGTTCTGTCTACTCCGTCTGAGCCGGCCTTAGAAACCTCAGAGGGATCTTCAGCTTCAAATTTCATCCTCATATCCTATACCCAAGCGTGAGCTTGAAGCCTACCCTTCGATAATAACTCACCTTTTCTCGACGACCTAGCTGTGGCGCATCGACCGTAATAAAAAGACCCTTAATTCCTCGCTCCTCCGCGTGCTGAACAATTCGCTTCGTAATATTCCGGTCTTTGTTAACATAGCTGTACGATGCATGTCAATATATCGGCAATTCTGACAATAAAATTTCTCACAGCTGGAAAAATTGCACTTGACCAGGCTTAGCAGAATCCAAAATCTCATCGAAAGAGCAGGACGCAAGGGTCGGAATCATCTGAATGATACCATGCTTCGCAGCGGCTCTCGTCAAGTTCAGTTCGCCGTCGGGATGGCCTAGCTTTCCGAGCGCAGTCGCTGACTTTAAATGCCTATCAGAGAGACAAGCCGGTGCATAAAGTGGGTCAAACATACGATGTAAATCGGCATGCTAGATTTATGTCCCAGTATCGTTGTTGACCAATCGACTTGTGTAACGTCTCGCAAGATTCGTGGCCGGAACCATATTCTAAGTGAGCGGTAAGCATCGCAACAGTATCAATACGCCAGACCAAACCTATGATAAGCAGCGTGGTTTTCTCGGTGTGTTATCTCGTCATCGGCGGCGGAAGAATAGTATGCCCAGCCTTTCTCAGGCATGACTAGTTTCGCAATGTACTGTTGCTAGGTGAGCTCCGGAATGGCAAAGGACCAATACCACGCACCTCGAAATCATGCAAGTTCAAAACTTCAGACAGAGGTGGCCTTAGCTCGAACCGTTCCAAACGAGCCTTCTCTTCGTCAGAGATCTTTACCTCAACTTTCTCGACCGTTCCAGCTTCGACTACACCAAGGCTATTTATGAATGAATGAGATGATAGCCGAACCGGGGGAAGAGGGGACAAACTGCTTCTCTGGCGGTAGGTTAGTGGTGATGGCGTCAGGGGGATGAATTGGTTCATATTCTGCCCTGTGCCACGTCAGAAAGGTTCCGACCAACGAATCACAGCGCTCACGTAGCGTCCTTCCCCGCATATTTGAGGATGATTTTGCTGCCGCCTGTTTAGGCGTACGTTGAGTACCACAGTCAGGTTGAACATTCATGTACGCTCACCGGGATGATCTATCTTCGTCAGTAAAGTCACACCATAAATTCAGATATTACTGCCTACACACCATCCAAGAATTCTGTGACGTCGTAAACCTTGCCTGGGGAGAATGAACATTTGTTAGACGGGTAGAGATATGCCCTACCATGGACGATTATCCAGCAGCTCTCGCGCGAATTGTGCTGAGCAACCTCCTTTCCGGATATTACTTGTCCGCCAGACATTTTGGAGGACGTGGAGGGAGAAGAGATGCTGTAATGGTCAAGCTAGTCACTATTTCAGCATTTTGGCACGGGGTGCCGCGAGATGCCGCCGGTCCGGCAACAGGAGCAGTTCCGGTCCGAATCCGGATGTATCTTTGCCTTTTTCCATGACACAGCTCCGTCCCGTCCTCATCTCTTTTAATACACCAAGGTGTTCCATCGGCTCCCCTACTCTCATGCGTTGAGGGATTTTTTTTTTCCAGCTTTGATCACATATTACTCCTGAGTTACTGCGAGTATGGACAGCCGCCGTTTTACTTGGACCAGATCCCGCCCAATGTATTTCACCAACCTTGAATAGTTCGGGCATTCATGCAGGATAATTCACCACGTACGGAGGCCACATTCAATGACCTATGGCATCTTATGATTCTTCACAGAATCTTACCCCCGACAATACCTTAGTTACACATGGGTCATATCTGGTTTTATAGGGCGCTTGTCACAAGCGTGATCTAGCTGAGAAAAATCTTTGACACTCAAATAAATGCACTACATGTATACATGCAATGACTTGTTCAGCTCTGGGTCCAGCTCACAGTTCCGATGGGAATTTCACACAGGTCAGGCTGCCGAAGTCGAGCTGTTTTCATTTCGATGGAACCAGTGGATATCTTTTTGCCTATGAGTCAAGACGCACATGTAAAAGAATGGAAGGCTCAGGCAGTTTATCTTGCGAGATTAACGTGCATGGTTTCAGGGGAGTTCAGATTTGGTGACGCATTAAGATGCGAACTACAATACATATTTCAGATCCAGCATGCACGCGCGTAACTGGGTAACTGGGTAACTGGTAAGACGAGGTGGCTTTTGTGCTTCTGGTAACTGAGAGTCCGAGTAATTCTGCTGAAGTTGATGTGCGACGCAAACCTCACCTTCCCTAGCCTGCCTGTTCAATGACGCGGTACTTTCTATCGTACAAACGGATTTAGTGAGCCACTCAGTTCAAAGGCAAAATATTCACTGACAAAAGTTCTTGCAGGATTGGGTCGTAAGTACGTTGCGTCTTGTCTCTCGATCACTTCCTGTGCTCGAAAATAATTGCGACAGCAGATCCGTGGGCCTTGGTCAAATAGGACATCATGATTGAACGTCCTAAGAACGTCGATTGAAACGTGATGTTCCATCATGATCTTTACATCCATGTAGGGTCTACGTCATCATGCACTCTAAATTTCAGGAAGAATGCGGTCGTCATGGTTGCGAATATTCTGTGGTGAATTTCCCTTCTGATACGGCGTCAGACATTCTATCCCATTCGCCTACTCGGGGTACAAGTGACACTCGTATTTTGATTGCCCAGATTCCCGGACCCAAAGACTGAATCATACCTCTACGGTGATTTTATCCAACAATCGTTTTGTATCTTGTGTCGAATTAAAGGTTTCCCACCAGAACTGATGCAACCAAGCCGCAGAGGTCCATCTTTCGTATTCAATTGTACAATCTTCTAATCAATTTGGTCTTTCATCTAGACTGACTTCAGATGGCCAGATGTGGTACAACAGTGCGAGTTAGAGTACCGTACCAGTTAGTGTATGCACAGTTAATATCTCTCTTCCTATATTGACGTCTTTACCGTAGGAAGACCGATTATACATTTCGGATCGCAAGGCCGTCCAATACATGTACCCACCATCAACATACAAGTTTTCAATCTAGGCGACGCGAAATTTCCCGAATCTTGTCTAGCAAGGGGAATGGGCGGGCAAATGTTAACTACCTCTTTGGATAGCGTCCAAAATGCCGATATTTTGCCGAAGACCACAAACGGCATCGAAAGGTCATGATGCCAGGTTTTGTCAGCAAGCCAGAATCTACAGCGCTCATACAAGGGTTCAATATCTATGCAGAACGGGTAGCGCCTTCCCTTGATATTACCACTTCTAAGCGAGTTCAATAAATGGCGAGATTTCATCTCACTTTCGGAAATGCACAAGTCGATCGTCGAAACGTTGATATCCAATTGTGGATATCTCATGCTGAGTGTGATTGGCGAAGGTGACCGGATCTCCATTCTAACGTTGTCTTGTTAACAGTTCATTGGCCGGATGATGGAGACAACGAGCTATTCAATAGCCATTTGTGAGATCATTTCCGGTGCGTTAGCTCAGTACCACCGACAGAATTCTATTCACGAGTATGCTAGAATCTCTTCCCTTCCTCTTTTTCTAGTGGATGACAGATCGTGCATCCGTGCTTGAGCCCGCACACTCCACGAATCGTTCCTGTTTGGGTATTGTTAATTACTTTGCAAAGGAGATACACGTGAAGGAACGGAAGATCAGCGCCCGTGGAGAAGCGGAATTCTCGGGCGCAGACTTTGGTTCGTTGTTCTACTTAGTTTTCATTGTCAGGGTTAGTGTATACTCCAGCGCAATGGCGTACGTAGCTCAACCCCAACCATAGGAGGCTCTCCGATTCCATCCAGCGGTGTTCCATGTTTTCAAAACAGAATGCGACGACATCATACCTTTTTCCAAGCCCATCACAACTTCTGGTAAAGTTTTTCATGAGATACCGAGGCCGAAAGGACAAAAAAAAAAACCCTCCGTGGTTGCATATAATCAGTAAGATCAATGAATAGTAACACTGACGTCTATGGGGCTGATGCTAGACCCTTAATCCAGATTGATAGCTTGATGGCCGACATAAGAAAAGGCGCTTTCATGGGCGTCTACGTGAATCTGTGAACCATTACAGAAGAGGCATAACTCATGTACTCCGATTCTTATATAGCCTAGATTGACGTTTTCCGCTGGTATCTATCGTTGGTCTTCCTCTTATCCATTCATGCAATACAATCGGTCCTGGATTCAAGAACCCCAATCCGTCCTCGCTGAATTGTTGAACAGCTTCTACTTCTCTCCCACACCGAAATCACAACTGATTTGAAACATGATGGTCCCTACTGTCGAAGGCGAAGTTGAAAAGGGCTTCCAGACGCCGTTGACGATCCGACTTATGCCTCGACAGGATGGCGAATTGTTCCGTGCATAGAGATTAAACTTCGGTATCATTTTGACACAAGTTGCGGACGTTTCAGACGGAAGTAATGTGATGCGAAGGCCTAACGGTACCAATGGAGTGTACACAGCTGTACATGCTCTGTATCGGGCGCACAAAACCTCCGTCGAACATATTCCAACTGGAGCTCAGAAAAAATGCACAGATAATCATTGTCAGGTCGCGGAGAACTTCGACCTACGATCCAGCTTGTGTCGTATTTGCCTGGCCCCCCAACAGGTGGACAGCATGGGCTTTGTCCATTCAATGGTTCAAACGCAGGTGCTCCAGCGCAGATGATGAAGCGGAAGAAATTCGGGCCTTGGTAGTTCCTCCGAAATGCTCGATAGATTCGGCCTTATCCGCTGACCTTGTCCTTCAAGTTTGTGACACTCCAGTTACAACTTACCAGTAAATTGAAGTGAGTCAAAATATCTTGAAGGGAACTTGAACAATTTAGGACTCTTTCATTCGACCTAGTTGACCACAGCAAAAGACCTTAGTGCTTCCCAATTCTGATAATCCCAAGGTATCTTTCCACTGATTTTTTGTGAGCTCATGGCGGGCGGTCTGGGCGGTGATTTGATGCGGGATCATCGGGTTAGTTACCGGGAAGTTGCCGATACCGACGGTTGAAGAAATCAAATTCACATGTCGACTTCTCGCAGTACTACTTCGAGGACCTTGCTAACAGTATAACCCCATTCGGACCTTATTAGGATCTTTTGCTGGCAGAGAAACCAAATGATACCTGGCGGCGATTGCGATGTTTCCTATCTCTACATGGCTCCATAATACAAGGTCGTACGTACTGTTCCCTTTCTCCGCCGCAGTGCCAGTGACGCCGTGTCTCCTTAAAAAATTTCTCTGATGCATCTCGCCTCGGAGATCAGAATTTCTGGATCATGTCTCAATTCTTGCTTAACCCTCTCGGCCCCGATTTTTCATTCAAAGCACTGCATTCCTATGGATTACATGTACCTAACCTGGCATCATAATGATTTTCTCTTCGTGTTCACTGTGGATTGGTGCCCCGGTCTACTCTGTGATTGTCTGTCTGTGGAGACTTGTCTCCAGCGAAACCTCTCCTCCTTTAAGTAGACTGTTCTTGATGGTGTCTATGTAACTTCGGTGTTCTTTGCCGAGATGGTAACCTTGTGTTTCGCGGGGCTTGGTTGAGTCGAGAGTAGCGGGCAGGCGCAATCGACTTGAGCCCTGACTGTTCAGGCCAACATCTTCCGAGAACACCTAAGCTATCATTTTCAAAATGTATAAACGCGAGGTAAATGCTCCTCCTCTTTCGAGCAACCCATCTCGACATATACATCTCACCGTCTCTCACTGTCTCTGTCTCTCTTCAACTTCAACTTATCACATTTACAATGCAGCATCCTTACAATGTATGGGGCACCCTTCCCAGCGGTTCATCATCTGAAATCCCCCCTTCAATTTACGGCGCACTTCCCTGGGATGGTTCTTCCTCTAATGCTCCAAGTCTATATGCCTTCTATTTCACTACCCTCAACCCTTCCATCATTGACTGTACGGTGATTGGACCCAACAATGAGCCCCAGTTCTACGTTACAACCAACTCAACGATGCCTGGGTATACTGTTCTCAAGGCTGCTGATGGACGGAGTTTGGGGTTGATTGAATGGAAAAACAGCAGCAGTCAGGTCGAGATTCGCGGCGCTGTGCCCAAGCAAGCCACCAACGATTTCCTCCGCTTGTCGCACGATCATAGGTGAGACTAACTGTCTCTATTCATGTCAGGTCTTTTAAACCCAACGTTAGATACCGGATTATGCGTGTCGGAGGTAGAGACTATATCTTGACGTCAGACGAAGATGGAATTCGTGTAAGTCCATCCTGCACTGTTGGAGTCGTGGTCCTGATTAACTCTCAGATGTACTTGGGTGGAGATATGTCCTCAAAGATGTTGGCCAAAGTCACTCGGAACCCTTCCAGTTTCAAACTGGAAATAAGTTCAGATGCGGTCCAAGCAGGACTTCTGCATTCCGCTGTAGTGGCCATTGTTCTTCTGGAGAGCGGGTTGCGTATCTGAACGGTAACCAATAACAGTTGGCTAAATAGAGAATAGTTTTATTTCTTGTTAATCGTCTGTTTACTTTATATTAAGTAGTCTTTGTCTTAAAAAATTTCTGGCTCTTCAGGTTGTTCACGGATATTTCTACCCTCAAAATTTACCGTCTGATTGGCTCTCAAGTAAACAAAGAAATGTGCCACGAGCCTGAGTTCAACGAAAATGTTCCCACAATCACAGTTTGGTTTCGATCTTCTTTCCACCATAGCGTCCTCGATCTGACACAGCGGTGACAGCACCTCCAGTCTTCCGGTCTTTCCAATTACTGACCCTTGGCCTACCCCTTCCAGTGACTTACTGCTGCATAAATCCGGCCCATTTTACGCGGCACGCGTGGCTTCGCGCGCGCCAGCCGCAGCTCCGCCGATTTTTCCTGTCCGGGTACATTACTCATGCGGCTCCCAAAGAAAACTGAATCGAATTCTTCATCCGGCATTCGACGACCACATGAATTCCGTCTCATAAGCGTGAGACAGAATGGAGAAATTTGTTGTATTTTTTTCCGTCACGTTACTATCATTTAAAGGCAAATAGTGAAATACTAATAGCGATCTTTGATCTAACAAAAACCCGAAAAAGACACGTCTTTTGATGCGACGCTGAGGCATCAGATCCCACAAGCCCACCGCGACCCCGTTCCCATTTAATGTATTGATACCATACAACATTGCCGACGTGTTTTACCGCTCAGGAGTATCATGAAAAGGAACCTAAAATTTGGGGCCGTCTCTGTTAAGCGATGAAGTAGGGCGACTTTTCATTCGTTCCCTCACTCGATCCAAGAGGTAGTTAGATAACATCAGCTGCACTTCGCTCCTCGCACTTGCCACGAGCCTCCATGAACGTCATCTCACCCAACCTTTGCATGAAACCACTTGTTCTAGGTTGTCGCTCGTGCCTTCCGTATCATTCTGGTTATCTATATTCTGCGAGCACATCATACTGTCTTGAGGACATGAACTCAGGTTCGTTGATTTAATCTCGACGACGCGCGATCCTATTTACCATCATATATCACGATCATGCGTTCATCATTAACCTGGAGACTCGTCTTCATTCGCCGACTTGTGAACAACAGCGCATTCACTGGACACTTCATCATCCACTTTATCCTGGGCGAATTTTCTCATAGATCCGAAGAGATGGACACATCACACCTCTATCAATCTCTCTTCATCGTCGCGTCGACTAATTCTTCAGTTTTCTGTTCTATTACTGCCTATGCACGCCGCCTTATTGAAAAGCAGCAGTGTGAGATGGATATGTCGCGCCTTGCGATTTGTGACCCAGCGTGTTCCGTTTACCTACGCCAAATTAAGTGGGGCCACAGACTGTGTTTCCAAGGAATCTCTCGAGGCATGCAGGATGGGCATATATAAGGTCCTCGGATATGATCCTCTCTCGTTTGGTCAAGAAGTTCTATATCTGTATTCCTTTCCTGAGTTCATCGACTCCCAAACCACTAGTCTCATTAACTCTGCGGAAAATCATACGATGAAGATCCTTGTTACGGTCTGTGGCAACTTTGGCTGCGGCGCAGAACTCCAGTGGTCCTTGAAGTTATTGGGACTATACGCCGATTTTCTAAGCTCTAAACTCTTGAGGTGATCATGTCTCACTTCATCTACGCTTCGATCTTGAAGCTTGAAGAGGTACTATTATCTCGAAAATCCAACAGCCTGACGTGAATGGATTTAGGGATTTTGACGGCATGCAGTGGGAGCCATTTGTCGAATTTGGATCGTAAATCTGACATGTGTGACTTCCTCACTGTCTGTGGCAATAAGCGGGTACGTACTTCGTAACCGAGTTTTTGCCGTTGTTTCTTTGATTCTCTTGTGTCGGTATTGCTCAAAAACTAGCCAGAATATGTGAGACATTTAAAGTTTGTAAAAGGTACTATTTTACACTACATTGTTCATACGGAACATTGGACGGTGACTAACCACCGTTCCCTGTGTTATAAGATCAAACAGATCACCGATAGCTGTTCGCCTTAACATCAGGTGACGGCGGTCCGTTACCTGAATCTGCAAGCGAAATAAAGGCCATCACAAAGTAGACGGCCATTATGTCAAAAGTTATTCGGTAAACTGGGCCTCTTGACTAAGGAGTAGGTCACAGAGAATGAAGAACACCTATGGCTTTTGGTTAGGCGGCTAGACTACAAATGCTGAGTCCTCACTCTTAAGACGTAGAGGGCTTTGACGAACTAGCTACCAAGGCTGAATAAGGTTCTTGTATACTGGGTAATTGGCGCTGGCGATTGTCATGCCCAGCTCGGCTCGGCTTTGAGGGGCTTCAAAGGGCTCTGGCTTGGCTTCAGAGAGCTCAGGCCCAGGCTTCATGCAACAACAGGTTCTGAGTAGAATAGTGAGTAAAGGCAGAAGCCATAAATTTAACGTGCCGTAGCGTGAACCACGGTTTCAAAATGCTTCGATCTTCCTTTTGTTGAATGGGTGTTCTGGATCTGCTGGGTTATTACTAGCGCTGCGTTGGTGTCACTGCTACTACTATTCCGCACTTCGGAAAACGGCTCGGCTTAGGGCTTCGTGCCAGGCTTTGTCATGATCGATCGCTAGACTATTAATATTAATCGCAGATGATGGCCAACGCACGGTTGGGGTTTTCGCTTTGTTCATAAATGTTGAACAAGTGACATTGTTATCTCATTTCCTGTGGCACGAAATAAGCGTTTCCTCCTAGCATGATTGGATCGAAGAACTCGAGTGCATCTGATGTTTGCGGACTTTTAGAGACGCATACATATGCGACAAAGGTTCCGCCATACTAGATAATAAATTATAGAAAGGTGCAGCTATGTTATACAGGAAATAAGTTGAAGCTTTGCGGAAAATTAAAAAAACTAGTACAGAACAGCTGTATATCTGAATAGTTTATCTACAAATTAGCACGATGCATTTCCACCGTGACATTGAAGTTCCCAGCCGTCCTTTCAAGCACCACTTTGTCAATCAAGTGCAGAACATCCACCGCACACCCAACAGAGAACGAGAAACCAGAGCCTCCTTGGCCGTACGAATGAATAATGCTGCTGAATCCACCATGCATCCGATTCGACCGCAGCTCCCGCTCTACCCGCACATTCCCTACCCGCGTCGGTCGCAGACCTTGAACCACAGGCGCTACAGGGTCAAATTCTGCATTCTCCAGTCCAGGAACACTGCCAGTGCCGTTATTAGCGGTCCGGATACATCGTATATTGGAGAGCACGTACAACTTGTTGCATCGCTCACGCATACGCTGGATCTCAGGCGACTCCATGGTGAAGTCAAGCTCCCATTTGTGAGGCTGAGCGATTCCACCGAGGATAAGGATCTACAAGTAGGGTAAATCGAAGGAGACTGAATGGGGAATGGGAGACTGAGTCAGCATACGTTGTCGTTTCGAGGAACTATGAACACGATATCTTCATGCTCCGAGCTCAGTTCGTTGTCGTGAGTCACAGCGAGGGCTTCCGTAACCTTGGCGAACCGCTTCCCGTCGTTGACGAGTCGGATTAATCCACCACGTAGGGGGTAGCAAGACTTGTCTCCTGCAGCCTCGAACGAATTGAGGCCAGTCGCGTTGACAATTGCAACCGCACCGTACGTCTCGAGTAGCTTCGCCTCCGAGTCCAAGAGATCGCCATCGATGCGGCGAGTGATCAATTCCGCGCCTTTCACCTCGACCAGATCATGAAGCCAGACCTAAATATCAGGGTCAATACAACCGGCGAAATTTAAGTGTGACAAGACTCGCCATGTATGCGTCTGTGTCGATGACAGGAGCCAGATGGGAGTATGCATCGACAACGCCAGCATTCTGGTTGACTGCGTGTTTCGCAATCAAGTCGGGGTCCCGGACAAAGCCTTTAATGCAAGACGCTTCTATCTCGCGCATCTTGCGCAATTGATCAAGGAGGTCCTCGATCGGTTTTCCGAAGAAGAAATTGGCGGTGCGCATCTTGATGGCGGGCAGGAATTTGCTTAGCTGGTCGAAAACACGGTAGGATGCCAATGACCACCCTTTGGACAACGCCAAGGACTTTGCGTCTGTGTGCTGGCCTGTGAAGAGTGTGATTGAGTGAGGTTCGAACTGAAATAATGTAGACACACCACAGACGGCTGGAGGATATTCCCACCTGGTAAACGGAGGTTAGGTCTTGGCTGAAGACGATATACGCGTAGAACTTACAACGCTCCGGCTAGAGAGAAATCACCGTAAGTGCTGGGATCCAGCTTCCGACGCAAAATTTACTTACCGATCTGAGAGGTGATACGAGGTGTCGCCGGCGCCCATTGCTCTGACACGATGGTGACATCGTATCCTGCATCAAGCAACATCCAGGCAGTCCTATAAATGCACTCATGAGCTTGAAAATTTAATAGTATGTTCTACCCACGTTAGACCAGTTACGCCTCCACCGACGATGAGTACACGTTGTCTGTTTCGCGGTGCACCTTTGGCGTCTGCGGACGTGTCAAGCACAAGAAGGCCCTTCTTGAAACCTAAGATTGGAGTGGTTTGAGAAGACATTTTCAGCAAATGCAGAGCGATAAAATCAAGGGGAGTAGACGATGAGCTTGAGAGACTGGAAAGAATGATGATAATGGTGAGATATGTCAAAGTTTGAGCATTTTATAGCCTTGTAAATTCTTTCTTCTCAACACTGTAATGAAATCTAGTCCAAGTTCGCAATAAGTCATGGGATGGGTAACATCACCGTTCTATCGGACACGGCCGTTAACTGCACGTTGAAGTATTTGATCCATTTAGGATCACGAACTTGGGTTTAACAACTTGTAATCCTTATGGTACGCTACGCCATCTGTAGTACCATGACATCTTAAAAATTGCCGGCGGCGATGAGAACCGCCTGTTGTCCAGTACCAGTAAATTCCGGTGATATGTTTTGTATATGTTTTTACCGCGACATTTTCTGTTTGATGTTCAACGGAACATTAATACCCAAGGCATCTTTCTGATACGCAAGGCAGCATAGTCAGTCTCAATTAAGTCCTCAGCTGTGGCGATGTCGACCTATCTTTCTAGGATACACCTAGAAACGAAACTGAAACACGGAATGTTCCCTGTAACATAATGTCATTTTCATTCTGATCCTCACTGAAGCAGAGGGCGCTCCAGCATCGCCAAAAGAACCGATACGCGAGCCCTAATGGTGTACTAGAGGACATTTAAACATCATTTGATCAAAAACCAGAGTCTTATGACGAATCGCACCAGGTACTCATCAAATGACCCAGACTGCCAAGCTATTGGCACTTCTGATTCTTGTCCTCTCCCCAGGATAACGAGAAGCCTCACGTGTGCATCGTAGCAAGGCATGAAGGCAAAAGATGGGCACTCCTTCTGTGCTACTAGCCACAATGCTAGAGAAGAGCTCAGCAAGATTCACGACATTGGTCCAATGACAAGTTTGACGCATCGAGCGGTCTGGCTGGTCTTTGGGTGAACCGAAGACGCTGGGTCTGCGAAAGCAGGGTTCGAACCCGGCTGCTCCATTGGGAGGTTTGGTGGGTAGTGCTGAATAGCGAGTCCCACACTGTTCGGTCTTCAGGCCGCTCGTGCGCAAATGCATTCCTACCCTGGTCCAGCGGGGTGAAAATCCCTGCCACCTAGCTGACCATTGGGACTAACCTTGTTAGTTGCCAATTGCCATAAAAGCTCAACCAAAAAAAAAACAAGTTTGGCGCATGATCGCATCACGAAGGTAGGAGGGTTCTTCAATCCTTCAGACATCGTAACCACATTATCGCCCTTCTTCTGTCATCGGAAATCGCGTGTGCCTTGTTGAAACGTTAATGTATCTGGCACAAGAACCTCACTACCGTCGGAGCCTACCGACGCCGGAAGAACCGTTAGGAGACAGCGGGCTCTCGTTGGCCAGGAGACGAACCTTTCCGAGTCTCCGCGCTTGGATGAGGAGCAGCGGGCAATATTACCTTGGTTTTGTACTAGTCAGCTGAATCCCTTGGCGTTTAGCAGCCAGAGAGCACTGGACGAAGTGACAGAATTCCGCTTTATTTGTTGTTGTACATACATGGGCCCATGAATTTAGGCGAACGCTTGTATACCAGTCATGGCTTTCCCGAGTATCAAAGTGTGAATGTCCTAAAGTAAAAGGTTCGATAAACGTATAGAAAGCAGGGTTTATGAAAGATACGCACATAAGTTCCTTCAAAAAAGAATATTTTAACGTAGTTTAAAAGAAGGAAGTGGCAAAAGTTACCTTCATATGTATTAGTAACCTGCAGATTAGCAGCATGTCTTCCAACGTGATATCTGGACCTTGTTAGCACCAATAGCATAGAAAAATATGAACGACTGACTCGTCAGCGCAAGCATTTCCACCCAAAATATCTAATACAATTCTCGAGTGTTGCAAAGCTTTTCCGCAATTGTTCCTCTTGACCATACTTATCATTTCAGGTGAATATTGTCCGGCCTCCTTGAGCCTTCCGACTTGCAAACTAGCTAGTAGCCCCAGGGTCACCTCCGTCTGGGCATCGACTAGTTTCTTCTGGACAAGCTGGAACGAAGCCAACGGACGCTGGAACTGGTGTCGTTCGAGTGCATACTCTCTCGTGCGGTCGATGCAATCCTCCAGAGCGCCCATGACTCCCCACGAAATGCCATACCTGATTGTTGGAAACATCAATCACTGTGGAAGCAATGACATGACAGCATACCGAGCAGAGTTCAAGCAAGAGAATGGCGACCCCAACCCCTTTGATTTAGGTAACAAGGCATCGTGGGTTAACCGAACAGAGTCCATGAAGATTGATCCTGTGAGAGAAGCTCGTAACGCTACTTTGTTCTTGATAGCTTGCGTCTCGAGTCCTTTCATTCCCTGAGGGACCAGGGCTTAATACACCAAAGGCGTATTGACGAAGGTCACTGACCTTTTCAAGGATGAAACCACGGATTTTTTGGTCCCACTTGCAGGTGGCCCAGATTATGAACACGTCGCTGCAAAGCTTAAAGATCAGCTACGGCGATCTTATGGCTACGATCCAAACATACGCGACAGGTGCGTTGGAAATCCACGTCTTGCTTCCGTTGATAATGAATCCTCCTTCTATTTCTTCGGCAGTGGTTTCCATGTTTGCCGGGTCCGACCCATGGTTGGGTTCGGTAAGTCCCTACAGAGCACGTTAAGATAGGACAACTGACAGGAACGTACAAACTTACAAAAGCACCAATAATTTCACCCTTGGCTGTTCATGACAAAGTCATTTATCGAGACACACATGGAAATGAGAGATGGTACCGACCAAGACGAGGGATGTACTTCTCTTTCTGAGCATCTGTCCCAAACTCGTTGATGGGATGCATGACAAGAGAAGACTGAACGGATGCTGTTGAGCGGTACCCGGAATCTACTCTATTACAAGCTCAGTGTGTACGAAAATAAGCTAAAGCAAAACTTTACCGTTCAATTTCTCGTGCGATGAGTCCGTACGCGACTTGGCTCGTTCCAGCACATCCGTAGCCTTGAATTGTAGAGCCTAGAAGTCCAAGTTTTCCCATTTCAGGCAGGACTTTCGGATCGAATTCTATTGGGTTAACATTAGAAACGCGGACACAGGTATTATCATCGTCACAAGCCTTCTGTACGCCATCCTTCCAAGACGCGAGGCAGAAGGTTTTCCTAGAAGCACACGGTTAACACCACTTGACTGAGCAATGGACCTGCAGGTGCAGAAATTTCGTGAGTTTCGACTGAGACTTGCCTGACAGTACTGATGGGCAGTATCCCTGGCCATAGATGAGGTCAGAAAAGGTCCAATAACTCAGTTGATGGACTTACCGAATCGCGATTTCCTCCTCAGTGAGAAGGTTCTCGACATTCAAAGGGTCCTAGTGGCGATATAAGCGTGGGAATGACACTGAATAATGGCGAACGTGCCTCCCAATGAAACTTGGCGAATTCTGGCTCGACAGGTGAGTGAGAGATGGCCAAGAAACGAGCTCAAGACTGACTTGAAGATGCGAAGCGTACGTAGCCGACCTGCTTGAGAGCATTTGTACGGACAAAAGGAGAACGGGATAACAAGGACATGGTCGATGGCAAAGTGTGCAAGAACAGGCGAAGGTGAGCCCTAAATCTGGCATTAGATGGCCCAAACGGCTAATTAGGCCGGCATTACAGATCAGGAATGACCACTACGCAGTACTTGGTTGTCAGACTTTGCCAGAACGTCTTCAACTTCGTGGTCAGTGGCGTCGGAATGCTGGACCGATTCGGCCGATTAACCCTAAAGTGTATGGAAACAAGAGTCACATGTACTCATTCCGCCCTCACTAGCACCAAGAATCTCTCCGTTTTACCTGTATCATCCAATAGTATTTCGAAATCATTACATTCAGAATGTACTATTGTTGCAATGGAACCATAAAGCACAACACAACGGTCTTCCGAGTTGCTTGTAAGCAGCCGGACCGGTACATTGAGGTGGACTCAATTATACAGTTATAATTTGAATCAGTCAAAACGACAGCACACCCTTGACCGTGGCACGCAGCATATATTGGTATGGATTGCATGTCCTTACACTGCCAAAAGCCCAAGACAGGATTAAATAAGTGAACAAGGATCAAATATTGTGTCTATCATGCCTTTCTTAGATTCAGACCAAAGATACCAACTCTGCCTTCTGGCGCAGGCTGATAATGATGCATACGCGACATCGTTGTTTGTGTAACAAGCAAAGGGTACTACAAAGAGCTATGGGGTGCTAAAAGTATGTGCTATAGCAGAAGATGAGCTTTAAGCTTCCAATCAGTAACCCTGTGTGGCAGCCTATGAAGAAAGATCCGAAAAAGATAGCTTTAAACGTGAGATGTTCAAGTTGGGAAGTTGAACGAATTTCCCCAAGTTCAGGAGGCACGTGCATGTCATTTCTGCTTCCAAGTCACTTCCTTTTCCTCCTTTTCCCTACCATGGTAACTTCCAGGATCATCGAAAGTCAAATTCCACAGTTATTCATACCACTGTACTGCCTATAGTGGGCTGGAACACATCTTGAAAATTTCTAGGTACGGACGGTGTGTCCGGCTATACCCACTAGCATGTAGCTTGTCCGATCGGATTAATCGAGCAGAGTCTGATCTCCAGACGGCTCATCACAGATTCCGAGCGTAACTAGCATCGTTCATTCATCCCGCCTAGCTAGTGGAGGTTCACTAATCACGCGGATGGCGCCAACTAATGCGAATCCATACTTGTATTAGGTACGTCGTTTGGACGTTTCTCTCTGTTCGAAGGTTTGACCATCCTATAAGACCCGAGTAGATTTGAATCAAGATGAGGGGGTCAGAGGAACACATATACTGTCTACGACAGACCGCTGTCTTCGTGCTTCTCCCGATGGTGGTACCTGAAATTTGTGCGTTAAGTACCAGTGGACGAAGCTTAGGTTCTTTGCCATTTTGTTCACAGACAATCTTTCGACATGCTTCTTGTCGAGAACAGGAAGGACGAAAGCTACCAATACAGAAACATCTGGAGTAGAGTGTTTCTTACGCCTGTCACAGTGATACGATCAAATTCGCTTATGGTTCTTTCACTTGGACTGCGACGCCATGGTCACCTCAAAGGACATCATCGAAGACGTCGGATTTTCCATGGAATGTACTCGTGATTCAGTCATATACTGCTGTATACGCTCGTGACATGGGGTAAGATGGTATGCATCATTGGATGGAGAGTGTGAGACAATGCATTATGAGCACCTGGGTGGCCCAGACTTTGATAGGTTCATATCTCCTTCATGGAAACTGCTCCAATGACTCTTGTCCTCAATGGACTTTTGATCAAATGATCTATAATGACCTCCACTCTCCGCGTCGGGCCCGACAGTCAAGCGTTGATGCATCTCTTTCGGGCAGTCTTTCTTTTAGGGTTCGTTTCATCTGGCAGGCAAACCTGCCCAGCAGGTTCAGAACTACTTTGTTTCATCATCACATGCAATTTTTATGACAAGGCTCAAGTCGAACGCATAGGCTCTTTTACAACGGAGAGTTGAGTGCTTATTTTATTTAGAACATCTTTGTACGAAAGATGAGAGTGAATTTCAGGTCGATCTATTTCAGCTCGTAAACCTTTCGCCCTTAGGTCTCCCACTAATTGAAGATTATGCCAGTAATATAACATCATCAGAAGCTTTCCTGGTGGCCCCCCCGCGGTGTGTTTGATGAAATATATAGATCACCCACGTGAGTCACGTCTGGCCATTACCATCGACAGAAATACTCCCTCGCTTGGTAGAATACTATAAGGACCACAGTCGAAAACTCAGTCGTGATTCTGGAAGGATCAACCATCATTCCAAGAAACGCCGTGTCCGACAGTGCGGTGGTCATGCCTCCACCGCATTATGCCATCCTTTACTGTTAACCTCGAATAGATGGCATTGTCAAGTCTCGAAGAAAATCAACAATAGTATAAAAGCCTCAAAATTCACATCCATAACTATAACTATCATCATCCACTCTGCCAGTCCCACAGACCCAGCATCTCTTAGATTTACAAATCTCTCTCCGAGTTGATAAAAAATGTCTTGTTGCGAACCGTTCCAGTCTTGGGTCTCAAGAAAGGTCTTATCGTCCTTGACACTTCCGCGAATGTTACGAGTGCGCGTCGTAACGGTCGGCGCGTCCTCGTTGTAGGCGGGGGTGTCAATGGTCTAACGTACGTAGGCTATTTTTCGTGCATATACCATTTATGCGGGACTGTCCCATACACGTGTTTACAGAACTGCCTGGATGTTGCTTGATGCAGGATACGATGTCACCATCGTGTCAGAGCAATGGGCGCCGGCGACACCTCGTATCACCTCTCAGATCGGTAAGTAAATTTTGCGTCGGAAGCTGGATCCCAGCACTTACGGTGATTTCTCTCTAGCCGGAGCGTTGTAAGTTCTACGCGTATATCGTCTTCAGCCAAGACCTAACCTCCGTTTACCAGGTGGGAATATCCTCCAGCCGTCTGTGGTGTGTCTACATTATTTCAGTTCGAACCTCACTCAATCACACTCTTCACAGGCCAGCACACAGACGCAAAGTCCTTGGCGTTGTCCAAAGGGTGGTCATTGGCATCCTACCGTGTTTTCGACCAGCTAAGCAAATTCCTGCCCGCCATCAAGATGCGCACCGCCAATTTCTTCTTCGGAAAACCGATCGAGGACCTCCTTGATCAATTGCGCAAGATGCGCGAGATAGAAGCGTCTTGCATTAAAGGCTTTGTCCGGGACCCCGACTTGATTGCGAAACACGCAGTCAACCAGAATGCTGGCGTTGTCGATGCATACTCCCATCTGGCTCCTGTCATCGACACAGACGCATACATGGCGAGTCTTGTCACACTTAAATTTCGCCGGTTGTATTGACCCTGATATTTAGGTCTGGCTTCATGATCTGGTCGAGGTGAAAGGCGCGGAATTGATCACTCGCCGCATCGATGGCGATCTCTTGGACTCGGAGGCGAAGCTACTCGAGACGTACGGTGCGGTTGCAATTGTCAACGCGACTGGCCTCAATTCGTTCGAGGCTGCAGGAGACAAGTCTTGCTACCCCCTACGTGGTGGATTAATCCGACTCGTCAACGACGGGAAGCGGTTCGCCAAGGTTACGGAAGCCCTCGCTGTGACTCACGACAACGAACTGAGCTCGGAGCATGAAGATATCGTGTTCATAGTTCCTCGAAACGACAACGTATGCTGACTCAGTCTCCCATTCCCCATTCAGTCTCCTTCGATTTACCCTACTTGTAGATCCTTATCCTCGGTGGAATCGCTCAGCCTCACAAATGGGAGCTTGACTTCACCATGGAGTCGCCTGAGATCCAGCGTATGCGTGAGCGATGCAACAAGTTGTACGTGCTCTCCAATATACGATGTATCCGGACCGCTAATAACGGCACTGGCAGTGTTCCTGGACTGGAGAATGCAGAATTTGACCCTGTAGCGCCTGTGGTTCAAGGTCTGCGACCGACGCGGGTAGGGAATGTGCGGGTAGAGCGGGAGCTGCGGTCGAATCGGATGCATGGTGGATTCAGCAGCATTATTCATTCGTACGGCCAAGGAGGCTCTGGTTTCTCGTTCTCTGTTGGGTGTGCGGTGGATGTTCTGCACTTGATTGACAAAGTGGTGCTTGAAAGGACGGCTGGGAACTTCAATGTACATATGTATCGTTCTAATATGTGATCCGCCGAGTGACCGGTTTCATTAGGTTTTACTCTTGTATTATCTTTGAGTTGTTACTACCGTTCACTGCTCCAACTTCTTGTTATGAATGCGACATAGTGTGTATTTGGATACCAACATTTCTCATCTACAGCGATATGTGGCGACCACCACGAATCTAGTGCTCCTGTTGAACCTAAAGCGGTGGTCACTAGTTCCGACGTTTTGGGACAATACTATGCCTCCGACATTAAGTTGATGCCGGTCGGTGAGAAGAGCGTATTTACACTTTTCTCCCACCATTCACGAACTTCGGGGGAGAGCTTGCCCATAAGGTCGTTCAGGCCTAATTTTCTTTGTTCTGCGCTATAAAGGTTCATGGTATGAGCAGGCAATGAGGATTCCACGAAATAATATTACCTGCTCAGCAAACAGTGATTTTCTCGGTCCAAACCACACCGTCGTGCCCACAATCTTGTTCGAGTCCGAGACGTCAGAAGCTAAATCGATGGTTCCCGCTAAATCGGCGGCCCGAATCATCGGCCGGAACAGAGGATCCATCAGATTCTTGTCATCGCCCACCAACCCTTTAACCACGAGTACTACAATATTCAATATAGATTGAACAGGAGACAAGTCGGAGAGCATACGGTCATCGTAAGCCTTCACGGTTAAATCCACATATGAGAACATTTCGTGTGGTAGGTTTTCAGTGGTGAAGCAGGGGTTTTATACTTGTGTCTAGTACCGGTTGATGGGTTGGAGGGTTTGGTATATTCATATCCATGCTGCAAGATGCTCGTTATCGTCTTCATTTCTTCTTGGGCAGAGATACAAGGTAGAACCCTGAGGACCCCGAGGCAAAGCAAAGAAGCCTGATTATCAACGGGGAACTACAAGAGTTGCAATGGCCACCGGGGAGTTGGTCCTTGGCGTCAGACTGTTTGATACTATTGACACGTGAATAACCCTGCGGAAATGAGTAGTCAGAGGACTGGCAATGGTTATCAGAATAGAGATTCGGTGCCCACCAGATGCTTTATCGCCAGTACCAACGATATCAACACTGCATCTAGGATGAGAGTAGGCTATTTCGAGAGTGCGACGTAGAGGAAAAAGCGGGAGTTTGTGGGAATCTAAAAGACTACCGAGAAACGGCTTGGTCACTGGCAATGTAGAATAAGAGACTGATTTCATGTTCAGTTTTCTTATTGCATGGTAATGGACCAAACGTCAAGAGAGACGGCAAAGTCAAGCGCTCGAAACTGAGCGATCGTTGAAACCTAAGACCTGAGTTTCTTGACCAAAAACAGTAGTCTGATTGACCTCATCATTCACAATTAGATGCCACTCAAGTTACTTGTGGACAACATCGTGTTTCGATGAGAAGGGATCACCTCATCCGGAGATGCGCTCGTCACCTGTACGAAAGAACGAGCACGGCGAATGACTAGACTTGGACCCGACACAACATACGGTACCGTTAGGTACCTACTCAAGTGTCACTTAGTTATTGTCATGCATTGATTTCTGAATGAAATATATCTGATTTGGTACGCAAAAACAGATACGAAGATTCCAGTTCAAAGTGGGCGAAATAGCTTGTGATCCCAATTGTATCTCACTGGACGGCCCCCCGACTAATGATCGGATTAGTGTATTATGAGCACTGACGAGTGCTTGTAGACGCGTTGAACTCGGGGCGAACGCGGCGAAAGGTGGTGAGAAACGTGAATAGAATGTATTTTATGCATTCTGGTCCATCTCAACAAGTTCGCCATGGTGAATCAGTGTTGTAGTATAATTTTGATGTCACCACTTGTGTAGAGGAGCCACTTAACCATAAGGCGTTTTCGAAATGATAGGATCCACATCAGTCACATCGAGCACGTATTCGAAACTAACCATCTCTTACCCGTGAAGGGCGGCTCACCTTTTGAGCTGCACACAACCGAGGAACGACATATACTAGAGCAAAGAACGTATTCAGTGCTCGAATGACTCTCACTTGCACCTCACTCGATCTCAATATGTGTCTATGCAACCAAGCATGTCATATTGCATTATGTGAATCGGATAAGAGTGCCAGAGGTGTCATACGTATACGCATAGAGTACAGACCATCTAGATCGTCGAGGGGTAGAGCATCTAAGAGGAGGTAAGTCTACAAATGTACTGGAGGGCGTATCAGAGCGACGCACCACCCGAACACTAGCACCGAACGCGCGGGGAGGGAGGTTGGAGCGGAACTTTGACTTTACGACACCAGAGCTTCCATGTGGCCGGGTCACTCGTCTATTGAGGAAACTGAGTACGCTGTCTAATTTGAAACCGGTTTACGCACCCCCAAATGACTCGCACTTTGGATCCTTTTACTTCCCGCTTCGCCTTGTAGACATATGCAACTCGCTACAATGAGAAAAACATATCAGTTTGCAGGATGGTTTCAGAGATCAAGTGCGCACACCTTGCCGAGGTAGAATTGGGCATCCTCCTTGGTAGCAACACCCTCAATCTGAAGGAGAGAGGTGTTGGGGCGAGTGTTGCGCTTGGCCCGCTTGTGTCCAAGGACACGACCTTTGGAATACAATCTGCCAGAAAGACCGTAAGCGTCATCCATTCAAGTCGGCGTCCATCCATCGTTTCTAGCCATCCAAAACGCTCCAAATCGCAGATGTGGCATCTCGGACAACATCAAAAAGGACCTCTCACCTTGTTGAGCCCATTTTGCTGGAAAAAAAAGAGTGCTGGCGCCTTGAGAACGTTCGAGGACCTTGAGAATGTGTTGACAGCCGAAAATGTCGATTGGCTTCTAATGCAAACAGAGGTAAACATTCTTATCAAGGGGCCTAGGGCCAGTGCTTGCACATCCGTCGTTGCTCACAGTTCAGAGGCAATGTGAATAGTCGGTTTCGGTAGCATCCGTTCATCACAATAGTATACTCATGCTGTAAGTACGTGGTCCATCACATCAACACCACACAAGCCCAACGCATGAAGAGACCAATCCTAAATCGTCAAGCGCAGAGAAGCAATAGAAAGCAATAGGAAGCGATAAGAAAAAAAAAATAGAATATCCCATTAACCTCTGTATGGACCACGGCCCGCCATGCTGCCATTACCTCCAGAAGGACCCCGGTCATGAGAATAGTGCCGTTGTTGGTTGGCGTATGGCCGAGGACTAGCCGTTCGCTCATCCAGTGGGCTGCCACTACGGCGCTCCACAAATGGGCTACCACTCCGCTCCTGCTGGAATGGACTCATCGTCCGATCCACAGGTACTCCGGCGTAAAATGATGACTGAGAGCCCTGCGGCCGATGTACCGGCGCCTCCCTCATAGCACCATCATTGTGCATTGTTGGCGGTATTGACGGCGCTAGGGATTGCGACGAATCAAACCCTTGCTGCTGCTGATAGTACATCTGCGATTGTGGACTGAGCAGAGGCTCTCGTGGGGAATCCATCGCGGTCAACTCAAAGTGCTCCGCAGGTGAAGTTGAGCTGCTTCCACCGGCAAGATATCGGTCGCGGTCGTAGCCATTGAGCAACGTTGTGCTACTGCCATAAAAGTTGGAATTTGAAGGGCCGCCATCCAATAATGTAGTGGAGGTTACTGATCGTGCGTCCCAGTCCAGTTCGCCACGATCACGTTGATATTGGATAGGGTCATATTCGAGATCACGCTAAGGACAGATGTGAGCAGATAGAAAGTGTGTCAGTACAACACATGCTTACCTGATCAATGGCAGCAATCTTGATCCCACCTTCGACGATCTGTGCATCCATCTTTTGTCCGCCGTACTCATCAAGTTTGGCTTGATCTCTGCCAATCTTGCCCTTGTACACTTGACCAAGGAGAGGCATCATGTTTGCATGCAACATTGGCGTGAATAAATCAGCATGAAGAGCAGGATGTCCAAAGCGTTTCCCTAGCTTGTTGCCCTTGTTATCAGCGCGTTCCGAATACACCTTTGCCAGCCGGAGTTCGTCTTCCGAAGGATTGTAGTAGCGGAATGCGCTGTCGAACACCTTATTGGCGTAGATCTTGTATGCGATGACAATGATGATGGGCGGAATAGTAATGAGCCATTGCAGTGACTTGAAACCATATTGAAGACCAATGGCTGCACAGATGAATGAGAATCCGTCGCAACAACGGGTAATATAACCTACTCAGAACAAGTAAGGCTTGCATGAGAGAAACGCAAAACAACAGTCGGTTCATGATGACATTCCACATTCGCTGTATGTTCAAATGAATGAGCAGGGGTCACGAATTCTTTGGATGCACTTACGCCACCAGTTTCGACCTTACTCACGAACACAAACATCAGTTGATATTTGTATACGAAGGAGCTCATCCAGAAGACAATAGCAGCAGCCAAGGACACTAGCGGCGCGAGAGGAGCGAACACCAGTCCAACGGAACCCATGAACAGCTAAAGGTGTAGTTCAGTGAAGGCGTGTCCGCTACGCAAATGCGAACTCACTGTGTTGCCGCTGCAAGTACATGATTATCAGTACTCTGCCACACCAATAAAGAGGTCCACTTACTAGTACACGGCATACGGAAAGATGGGAGGCTGAGTCCACTCTCGGATGTCGCGCGGAGTACGACCAAACACGCTGTAAGGAAATAAGCACTGAGCATTCAACGTCGGCAACCTTACTCACTGAGTCTTGAACGACAACCATAGCAAGTTGATAATCTGAGCCAAATCAAAAACTACTAGGAAACCACGCAAACTACAATTCATGAAATCAGCTTTCAAGCGCCCGTTCCAGAGGAGCCTACTTACGGGAAGAACGTCAGCCAATAAGACGCTTGATCAATATACGTCCTGTTAATGGTATCGGGCAACGCTGAAAGTATGAGAGGATTAGATAGATGCGTATCCTAGTGGTAGAACCTACTATCAAGATTGCTAATGATCTCATTGAAACTCTTCTTCCCAATCTGTGCAACAATCTGTTTCACCGAATCTAAATGGCGGTGAGTTCAAGTTGTCACGTATAACTGATACGACGCACTAAAAATAACACCAATCAATGTGAAGATAATCAGCTGCGAGATGACCAGGAAAGCAAAGTAGCGAGCGACGACAGCACGGTCAAGTCTAGAGTGCGTAAGAGCGCCCATATACTAGAGGAGGGGGAGGAGGGAAATGTCAGGGATAGTATGTCCTGAACGGCTTTCCACAGCCTCATACCTGCGTCAACCATCTCATGATTATAGGCAAAAAGAATCCAAAAAGACCGGACACTGCCGGTGGAAGTACACCAGAAACGAAAGCAAAGGAAGTGGGTGATGAAGACGACCATTGTGCAAGGAATGTCACGTATGAAGTCAACTAAGAAGCCCGTCAGAACAAGTAGAGTGCTACATTGTGTTACTTACCGAGTCCAAGTTGGCCAACACTGATATGATGAACAAGGGTACCGTGTTGAAGAAACATACGAGGGCCAGAAAGAGGAATCCGGTCAACTTTTTCCTTGCAAGTTCACCTTCTGATTTGTTCATGTTCTCCCAGATCTACATCTCGATGTTATTAGGCGTCGTTGCGGAAGAAACTGAAGCTTGACTCACGATATCTTTGGGATTAGGAGCCAGTTCAATGTCCGTTCCTTTAGGATGCTTCCCGCTCAATAGCTTGGCCACAATGTGAGCGTAAGGAACTGCGGCCATACTAGCGAACCCGTAGTTTTCCGCTTTGCGAGTGTCTATTTGGGAGCGATATTCCTCTATGACAGCCTCCGTGCGCTTGAGCTTTGCGCTACAGCTTTGATGAGAAATAGGGTCCAACACAAAGGACAGGAACTCACGTATAGAATTCGATAGCGTCGTGCGTTTGCCCACCAAGACCGCAATGACCACCAATTCTTACAATTGGTCGTCTCTTGCCTATCTTCCCATCCTTTAGGTACTTGACGAGATATTGCTCCAACTCTCTAACTGTGTCGTTGTGATACTCAATCAACTCCGGGAGCTTTCCGACCCTCCTTCCTATGTGAACGCTAGTTGTTGGATAGGGAACGTGCACGGATTCAAAGATGTCCTTGATACCCATGTCAGACTGATACTTCTTAGGCACATGCCTCACAGTGAGGGTCCGAGCGTAGAAAGACTGGAGGTATTCCGGAGACCGATACCACTCCTGACGCAATCGTACGACTTGCGTCCAGTTGAGGTGAACAAGCGCGATGATGAGGCCGGTGATTAGGTAGGATACCGTAACATGGACGAAGAGGAGGTTGCCAGACACGTCACGAATCGTTAACATACTCAAGATATCACGGTTGCTGGAATCGACGTTCTTAAGGTTGTAAACGGCGTTGATAGGAATGAGAATGCCGCAAGTCAGAACGGCGACACCGGTGAATAGCCAGCGCATGAGTCGCAGGAAACGAAGGAAGGTGACTGCATCGAGACCTATTTTGTCGACGAGCTCGGGCTCCTTCGTGTGGAGTAGTGGGGGAAGCCAACCGAACAAGACAGAATCATTTATCCGAGGCGGGGGCTTGTTCCCTACATGATACTTGACCTTTGGCTCATAGATAATCTAGGAAGAAAAGATGAATGCATGTTAGGGATAATTGCAAGGGGTACCTGCCTTGTTTTTGGGACGTAAAAAATTGAAGGCAAGGACAGTAACGGTCTGATTAGATGTCAATGTTATGTCGCCAGTCGACAAGATAGGATACGCACTGAAACGATACTCATCAACACCACTTGAGAGCCAACGGCAGCGGGCGCCAGCGTCCGCGAGTTGGTATTAAGGATGTCTCCAGCATCATCGAGGCCGCCCATTCTCTATCAACAACGGCCCTTGAAGAAATTAAAGAAATATTTGGTCGTGAAGAGCGTGGGCCTGCAGGACGGCAGATAGTATATGTTGCTTCGAGAAGAAGACTGAATCGTGAATAAGGAGGGTAGAGGTATAGGACGGTGAGGATTGAGGTCGTCTGGTGGGACAAGGGAAAGAATAGCTCGCAGGGACCAGCCGCCCAATGGCTACGAATGCCGTCATATTTGTCTTTCCGACTTCCGAAATGCCATCCTGACAACAAAGCAAGTGGCGAATAAAGATAGGATTACATGTATGAATCTCATTATTATTTACACCGCCTATTGTTACGACCAACAACGTCCACACGTTCGCATTCGAGGGTAAACAAGGAATTTCCACTGCAGGGTAAGGTTAGCAGGTAGAGCGGTGGTCGCACCTTACCGCATCTGCCATGTCCAAGCGATTTTCTTTGACACATCTCCTTCTTGACGTTTCAAAATTCTGCTGGCTATCTCATCTATCAGGTTGCTGGGAGCAAGACAGGCTCATGGAGTGCAGACTACGTCCGCGGCCACAGTTACGCGTAGCGATCACCATGTAGAATACTTTCATCAGTCGCCGAACTACAGAAGGAGATGTATCATGAATTTGAACTCCGGCTACTCACTTCAGGTCTCATTGTCGTCCCATACCGGGTGCCAAGTGAAATGATAAGCAGAGAAGCGAACATCATGCAAATCAGTCATTTTATGTGCATTAAGAGAACACTGCACAAAGCAAATATGCAACGTGACATTACTATTCGAGTCTAAGAGGTCCTCTCTCTTGGCGGTCGACATTGATTAGGCGGTGGTGGGAAATGTATTACCGCTAACATGAAAGAATAAACGCAACGGCACTACCGCAAAGCGGAAGCTTGGTATTCGCGAAAATTGCTATAGATATGCAGAACATAATATACATGACCATTTAGACCTTACTGCGTCCCACAGCGGCCCTAAATAAACAGCGTGCACGATGCAAGGGAGATGGATGAAGAAAGACAGACAACAAGAGCCGTAACAACTATATAGTGGATATTGCAACGAAGACACTAGTGAAATATATGGGATGAAGTACTGTGTATGACCATGAAAAAGTGAGAGCAATATATAATTGATAGTGATGGTGGTCGAAGAACGAAATAGTGAGAGGTGAGTGACGAGCAATGTATATGAAGGCTTGCGACGGATGAAACAGTCCTAAAAGGATGAGAGCGGCAGAGAGCAGAACCAAAAAAGAATAAAACGTGTCATTGGACTGTAGAATGCGTTAAGAACTGGAAAGTGGCTCATTGGTACATCGGTGGATAATTGCGAGAAAGATAATATTGCGTGTCAGATGCGAAATGCGTATCGAGGTCGAACTTGCCGTCCGCTTATACTGCTCGAGCGGGTTCTATGTTGTGGACACTGGGTGACAATGCTCGTGGAATGAAGTGATGGGAATGATGGTCTTGCTGCTGATCAGGAAGATTGTGATCGGGTATATTATGCATGGAGGGAGTCACACCAAATGGCGAGAAGGCTGAGCTCCCTGAAGTGGCGGAAGACGTCAAAGCGTACCCGTAGGAACCAGTACGTGAAAAGTTGGTAGCTGACGACACTGATCCACCAAACGCCATCGACGAGGGCGAGCTCGAGAAAAATCGTGGCGGAGGTGACGCGAGGTAGCCATGTGAATGATGTGGTGGAGGAGATAAGACAGCATCCCGCTTGGAAAAGCTCGGCCGTTCGTCACCGCAGTTATACGTCCCTGCCGAGTAGGTTTGCGACTGCTGCTGCTGTAACATAGACCCGCTACCAGTGGCACTAGTAGGTGTGCGAACACCAAGAGGATTCTTACTGTACGATAACCGAATACCCCCGCCCTTGACCAAACCTCCCAGAGGGTGGCCATACAATTCGTTTAGTGCCTTCGCTGCGTGATTGACATCTTCAAACTGTATAGAAGAGTAATCAGAATCTACACCGTAAGTGGGAAAAATGAATTACCTCCACGAAACACATGGGTCCGGTGTTCTTCTGTTTGAATGACAGTCGCCGGTACCCAGGCTGTGACGAGAACAGCTCTCGTAAAGATTCCTCCAGCGCATCAGGGGGGTAACCGAGCGGAGGAGGCGATATCGGTAAATTGCCAACATACAACGTATTGATCTAAATTTGAAATGAGGGACCCGGTTCGCGCGATGAACCATTGATATAACTCACGGGAGGGTTCTGATCTACGCCATTTCTTGTACTACCACCAGAACTAGCCCCTGATGCAGGGGATGGCAACTGTGGAGAAGTATTTCCTTGACGCGTACCCACATCTAAGCTTCCAACTGCTCGCGACATATCCTCATCCGTAATAGCATTACCCGAGCTTCTGCCACTCTGCGATCCACCATTTGCGCTCGAAGAACGAGAGTCTGTTTGGGACCGTGACTCAGTGGGATCATGAAGAGATGAAGCAACAAAGGCTTCGCGAGACGGTGAATATGGACGAGGACCTTCGGAAAATGGGACCGAAGAGCCAGATATAGAGGAGGGATCTGTAGGTGAAGACGACCGCTGAGATGATGAAGGCGGCCTGATTGGAATAGCAGAACTACCAGTCCTTCGGACATTATCCCACGGGCCAATAGAAATGTCATCCGGCTGTTGTTGGTAGGATTGAAGGCCCGCAAGAGACGTCATTTGATAGCCATTTCCACCGATAACAGGACTCGGACCGCCCGTTGCACCGGAGGGTAGCTCCACAGCGGATAACAGCCCTGTGTTGGTAGACGACTGTCGCGAGATTCCAGGAGGTACTGAGTGGAAAGCATCGTAAGCATTCACATTTCCGGTTCTCAATCGCAGCTCCTTCTCGCGTCTCTTCCATTCCCTGACTTCATCATCTCGCTCTGAGACGCTACGATGCGTGGCACCCAGACCCATAGCGTTGAGGGCAGCGACTTCTCTCTCCCGCTTGCGCTCTTCTTCATCTCTGCCGTCCCGAAAAACACCGTTCATGTCTGCAACGTGATCTCGCCACTGGGGTCTGAGAGGGCCAGCGGAATACTCCCGTTCTCTGAGATTAAGAGCCTCGGCTCCGATACCATACATATCATTGGAAACACCTCCAAGAAGCCCACTACCCCCGCCGTTAATCAGGGACGGCTGAAGTCCGTTCATTCCAGATGCACCACCAACCATTCCTTGACCAAGAGCATTGGCAGAAGCGTTAGCACCTCCTAAGCCACTGGGAATAGGGCCTACGCCTCTCTTCGTGTGCAGGTTCTTCTTCGCCATCTCAGCTTTTAAGACAGCGCCTTTCTCGATGTCAACTCGTCGACCCTGCAGCAGATCTCGGGCTGACAGCGCCTCTTCTCGTGTCCTAAACTTTGCAAAGCCAATGATTTGCTTCCTGGGGGGCATGCTCAAGCCGGCACTAGCCATGAACTGACCACTACCACTGTCATCTACGGAGGGTGCAGGCCAGGAGGACATGCCGTCACGACCACCATCGACAACGACACCACCTTGATTAACGGTGACTAGGTTATATGGATCATTAGAGCCATTGAAGGCTTGAGCATAATTCGAACCAGCGGTGGTGCGCAGGCCCGCTGTGCCAACCCCATTAATGCCGCCATATGACGTGTACTCCTTGTTGGGAATTTTGAGGGTGGCGGCCTCAAATCCAGGAGAAAAAGTAAACATGTTTTGGAACTCTCGTTCCTAAAAGAGCAGTGCTAAGTCGATTACTCTACTGCGCAAACCCGAAAAGTACACACCTGCATATCATCGGGGAAACCGACAACGAAGATAGTTGAAATGTCCTCTTGCTGTTGGACCGGACCAGAGGGCGCACCAGAACTGTTGATGAGCATGCCCCCGGGGCCGGATAAAACCGCAGATCCAGCCGCACTTCCCACAACGTTTCCGTTGACTAACGACGTAGCCGGACCAGATGGAATATGGGGACCATATGGCGTCTGTGACGACAAATGAATGCCGTTCATGTACTGACTACCGTAGCCATTAAGCTGCGACTGTTGACTTTGCGGTTGGGATTTGTGCGGGGTAAGAAGAGAAGAATGCCCGTTCGTAAACTGATGGTCGACGACACTGAACGCCTTGGGCACACTGTTTACCGTTTGGCCACCAGAAAAGTCGAGATTAGCCCGAAGCTCAAATGCTTGCATGTGGACCTGAGTGGGCGACGTTATTTGTTGAGGATACATCTCCGCAGCAGATGGGTAGAAAGTCGAGGATTCACGGTACGAGGTGGGAGAAGTGAGCATGGATGGCGTGTTGTGATGTCGCGAACGAGCAGCACTGGTAAAACTGCTGAAGGGCGATCTGAAAGGAGGGGCGTCATTGATTTTTGATGCGAGCTGCTGCTTCTGGGGATCGACGTCGACGGGATAGTCAGAGTTTGAGTGGATATGGCCACTATGGCCAGTGGTGGTGTACATGCCGTTTTGTGAAGGATGTAGATTGTACAATGTTTCCTGAGATTGAATATGATGAAGCATGGGATGGGCACCGTTGTCGGGTGGCGAGTCTGAACAAGATATGATGGGCTGCATGTGATAGGGAACGGATGAGGAGCCCTCTGAGGATGAGTTAGAGGCAGAACCGTACGAATGCCCTGCAGCGTGGTCCGAGTCAGACGACGCAAGGGGCTCAGCGTCGGCCTGAGCGTCAAGAGAATCTAGGAGGGACTTGTTGATGAAGTCCTCGTCCACTTGATGAGAAGAGATTGGTAGAAGGGGGGTCGAAGACGCCAGGATGGGCAGATAATGAGATGTGACAAAAATGGGCAGCGAGGGGGGAAAAATGAAGGAGGCTCAGCACATGAACAAGTCAGACCGCAGGATGGAAGGGAGGAGAATAGACCACAGATGGGGTGACGCAGGACAGATATGAATATAGTGGGCGGCGATGGGATGAACGATGGGCGCGGTGTACGGAATGCGCGACGCGTACAGGGCAATATTAGGGCCAACGACGACGGAAAAAAGTAGAGCAGGATGTCGCCGATGGTGTTGGGCACGATGTCGACGATAAGCAAAGGGTGTTTAAGTTCGTTGGCGGCGACGGCGACGGAAATGAGTCGGGGAAAGGGGGATATGTGCGATCGAAGAGGGTGATGGGTTGGAAGGTAACAAGCGGACGAGGCCGAATTTCCCCTCCGGATTTCGCTTCTTCCCATTTCCATCCATTACCACGCATTGACCACTTCCTTTTTAGGCATGTCAACCGATACCCAAACACAGACAAACCTGATTCATGTGATCCGAGCTCACCCTGGCCAATGGTAGCCCGCCAGTACAATTTACGCACCTCCGCCCTTCGGTTCATTGTTCCCATTGTTTCACCACCACGACAATGTCCCATACCCACAATATCTTACCTCTATCTGCGTACTGTTTCCTACCTCATTCCATCCTTCTTTTGTTCCCTATCCAAACATATCTGGCATCAATTGATTCTTTGTTCGCCTGATGCAGTAGGAAATGTTTGACTTTGTAAGCGTAGCGTCAGCCAATGAGAAAATCGTCGTTTTCGAGAGAAAGGAGTTCATGAAAGTCATGGTTGAAAAGAGAATGAATCCTTACCGAGAAATCTGCCCACATCAGTCGCACGCGATACACACGCGATGGCTCGCCAAATCCTTTGGGGCCGGACATCCTTCTGAATTCCGGCTGTCGTTATTCAGTGGCAAATTGATATTGACTTCAATTGCGATTCTGGGTGAACGTACGGCACCATGTTTTGTTCACAGAATGTCTTCTCACGTATCGCCGACGCTCCGTCGAAAAGAAGAACGGTAAACCTTGTACAGGGGGAGGCTGTGATTCTGTGAAAGACGTACATTTGACTGCGTCAATTCGGAGAGGTGATGTCATGGTCTGTAGAAATCATCGAGACGACTTCGAGAACAGTCTGTGGTCGGCTACGGAAAAACAATAACGACAGAAACGTCAACTCGCGACAAGTTACAGAGGGGCGAGAATAAACATGAGCAGGCGCACAAATACCGTATTGTTTGCGCAATACCAACAGAGGAGGTGGAGCAGTCGCAAACGTTGTACGAGGAAACTGCAATGCCATCCGAGTCGACGCAAGGAAAGAAAGGCGGCCTAAAGGGAAGTCTGTTCAACACGGCAACCTGAACGACGTAGAAGACTTTCAGGGAATACTTGCCATAAAAAATACCCACCTTGAACTTAGATTGTACGTTCATTGTAGTAAGGCTTATGTATGGCAAGTGATATGCTGTATATAGCGGTTGTATTGAGCAACGCAAAGGGACGATATTAACGACCTGTGTACAGTTAAACAGCTAAATTACATGCTGTAGAAACCTAGAAACCTGATGTTAACGCAGATATGGTCAGAATCGAGTAAAGTACCTTTCAATTATCGGCCATTACTAGAAATGAGATTCAAGCTTCGTGAAAAGAAACTAAGTCCAGCATTACGCGCATGACGAGCTCCACAGGCAGAAATAAAGAATTATAGTGATATATTCCATATGCATGCATGTCGTGAAAGATGAAATATGTGATATCTGGAATACAAGCGAATGTCAGAGACACAAGGCTAGCGTGAATCAAATGAAACCAACCAAAATTTGCCCTCGCCCATCTAAAAATACACCGTCCCAGGTAGCATACGGGATAGCCCAGTCACTCAGTCCACGCCTGTCCCCACCATCCCGCCAGAACACCAAAGAGAACCCAAACGCCAGCAGCATACAGAACAGCACCCAAGAATCTCATCCTTGCACGGTGGTCAGCCATGGCGACCGAGTACTCTGACCTCGGATCATAATACGCGTACGGGAGATGCAACTCCTGTGGCGGGGTAGGCCCAAAGCGAAGGTGCTGCACATGGTGCGGATGCTGCACGCTGTGCGGGGTGAATGTTGAGGGAAACGGCGTCAACGACGTGGCCGTGGCCGTGCTCGCAGGACCGCTGGGAAGGAGACCAGTTTGTTCGACGACCGTGACATCACTGGAGGCAGACTGTGAGTATGGTGGAGGCGGGATGGGTGATGAAGGCTTCGTGTCGTTGTCTGCCATCGCAAGTTATGTGACCGGTCGTGGTAGTACCGGTACAAGGACAAGAACGTTGCAAGTCTTTTTAGCCGGACTCACACTCCGGAAACGGCAATGTCCGTCGACATCTTGCTCTTATCACAATTATGAAAGCCCGAACGTTCAACTTCCTTGTTGCTTCGAGACCGGAATACAAAAGACTACTAGAAAGCTGTGGGTTTGAAGCTAGTTCCAGAATACAACAGTCCCATCGCTTCGAGACAAAGCATTTTATCTTCAATCCCGAAACTCGTGAATCTAGGTACAAATGCATGACTTTAAGGAATGGGTCCAGACACGTATCACCCAAAAATCAAAGAGAATACGTACGACGTTGAAGGGGGTGCCGTGATTTTGATGTATGTATTGCTAGGCATCGGTACTCGTTTTCGCTGAATGAAATCATGTCGTCCCTGATTCCCGTTCTACAGCTTATGATACACTTTGATGCCTTTGAGCTTCGAAAGGCATGCTTGTTGGTAGCTACGACGAGTTAATACCAGTGGTTCCCAACCCCAAGGACTCCACGGTGACCAGTGAAAGGCATTGATACAGATTCGCCACCAGAGGTTTTGCACCAGATCGCCTGTAGTAACGAGCATGTTGACGGACGACATGAAATATCCAAGAAAGGACAATGGGGCGAAAGGTTCCTATAAAATAAGGATCTAAAAGACGACTGCTGCTATACATTACGTTCTATTTCCCCCGTTTGATCCACTGTAAGATTAATCTTGTCCCCTTTGTCAAGATCCTTGAACTAGCAAGCTTGTTAGTGAGTCAGAAAGAACACCTTAAGCCCACTGCACGTACAGTCAACTCTCTCGTACGGTGAAGACTTTCAATTTCATCAATCCGGTCGCGAACATTGCTGAGTGTGTCTTCGAATTCTTCTTGCTCCACGATTTGCCTCGCGGCGTGTAAAATGAGCATCGAGTCAGGTCGGACGTCATGGTTGACCTGTAACGAGTAGCAGTAAGAGATCGCGCAGTTCCCGCCCAAGATTTGGTAGGCCACTGACATCAATAGCAATGATGTTCTTTCGGTCTAGGTCTATTGGTGGTTCGATTCAGCCACCGATGAAGCGTACTAGCAGCATCACACACCTTCCAAGAAGTCTGCTCTGGTCATGATTTGCCGGCATTTCCACTGTGGCAATACAAGTATATGGCAGTAAGCACGCAGAAAGGGATGATGCTCACGTAAGGAATTATAGGCAGGGGCAGCTCTGCGTCTGATTGTAAATCGGAAGTACCTGCTTCAAGGGCTCTTTGCAGTTCTCGTTCCTGTTCTTGCCTGAGCTTGACAAATTCTTGTAACAGCAACCAAGAGCATGAACTCCATTTTTGCTGGCAGCAAATCTCAGAAACACTTTCGGAAGTTTTGAGGTAAATCACTCTACCTCGTCCATAACATCATCGTCACAATCGGTTATCAGACCTGTACAGACATAAGCCACACACAACAAGAATTTGAATAGACTGACCTATTTGACTCAACAACCAAGCCTTCTCAATTGAGAGAAGTTGGTTCGCCATGCTCAGCATATCTTTAGATTTTGAGATCTTTTGGAAGAAGTACGGTTAGCTTTAGGTAGTGATAACGGATTATCATACCTTGTTTAGGTAGGAAAGACGGCCTCCAACGATTGACACAGCGTCTCGAACGACTTGGCTTTTCACCTTCTGACCTAGGTCTATTCTCATGCGGGTACAAGCATGCAGCGCCTCCTTCATGTTGAGGTCATAGATTGACAGTACCTACGGAGACTTCGTTTCAGAAATGAACACTGAAAGGCGGTCAATCACGAACGTGCATTCTACTGGCATTTTTACCTGCTAGTAGTGAGATCAAAGGGCTTTGGTATGTAGATAGTTAACATACGCATGACATAGAACGGCCAGAAATCGTCACTGTATGTCGATCTTAGTCAAGAAGCACCTTATCGTCGGCTGTGGACGTACGTGCTAAATACAAGCGTCAAGATTCCTGGAGAAAATGAATAATGGTAAGTGAGGGTCAACAAAGTATTCACCACTGGCAGCCCAAGACTCGGCCTTTTGTTGCAGCTGAAGTAAAACGTTCCGCCCGTCGTCGTCGTTTTTGAGGTAGTGTACATTGTTGATTATCAGGACCAAGGGTCGGCCCTTCTCGCCCGCTACTTTGAGTGCCACTTTCTCCAGCTTATTCAGAGCTGCAAAACATAGAAGGATTAGGACATTCTCATGGCATCCATTTGTCGTCCCTACCTCTCTCGATGTCAAGCGCAGGTCCACCTGGAATGATGTTGGAATCGGAGGCTAGGAACTTGTTGGCTCCTTACCTTCACGAGGATCACGTCTCTGGAATAAGCCAGTTTGTGAATCTTCATTGTATTCGTAGTTTAACGCCTTGCCCAAACGAAGACGGAAGACCTCTAGGTCGGGGTGGGCATCACACATAGCGACACCATCAGCCTGGATGGCAGTCATTGAGTCGAAAATCATAGTGCCCTTTCCCGACCCCTATAGCAGGTTCAATGAGACGCATTCATGCACTGTATGACTTGATCATCACCTTTGGCCCGAGAAGTACAAAGTAATGTCCGGGCTCTGCTCCCTGGACGATCTTGTCTATCCAGTCCTGTTCTTTCCGTCGGAGATGTTGTGTCCAAGGTATGTCCGGATTTATGTCAAGGTCGTCCAATCGACCACCGTCGCCTTCGATTACACTACTTTTATTATGACAAGTCGCCACTTCAAGCGCAGGATCATAGCCAGGCTGAAAGGCTTTCTCGATCTGGATGAAAGTAAAGAATTCAAATCTGTGCTACATAGAAAGATTACGCGCCTTGTGTAAAACATTCCACTTGTACCACTTCAAATACCCTACACCACCAAGGAAAACTGTGTGCATGTGAGACGACGATATACATTTCTGATAGGATGTAATAGATACCCATGCCCAGCCCAATCACTGTCGTCAGTGCTGCATCCAAGAATGGGTTGTTCGTAAATGCAAAGATACTCGTCCCCCCTACACCCCCTCCGCTACCTCCTCCAGGAGGGTTGAACGGGACATTTAGTGCTGCATTCCCCTCCTGGACTTCATGACGCGTCGGTGGCCCTTGACGCCCAGGAACTGCACTGGGCGTGCCTTTTGGAGTTGCCTTTACGGAAGTCGAGCTCTTCGGAGGCGATTTCTGAATCTGAGAGTGAAATCGAGGCAAAAAAAAGGATGGGTGACCAGCACGCGCGCGAGACAAGTAACGTGCAGAAAAAATTAAAGACATTGAAGGCAGAAGAGTGCTGAGCGCCACTGCAGTCTAGAAAACTTTTGGATTGGAGAACATGCAGCCATCATCGCAAGCTCCAAGCATCTGGCCCATGCACGTGGTACTGCCAAGCAGAAAGCCAACAGCTGTAACGCTCATATAAATGTGATCGCACCGAGGGATTATTTACATAGATATTTTCGTCAACAGCGATAGAGCTGCTGCGCGTCTATGTACCTCCTGTTGAATACAAACATGACATGGAATACCGTCTAACCGCCTGCAGTACTTTGCAATAAATGGTAAGTAGCGAAAGATAATTTCCTGCGTAGGATCGCTGACTTCGCTATCATACTTTTATGCGACGAGCAGGGTGCGCTATCGTTTCCTCGTTATCACGAGAACGCTTACGCGAGGATGACGACTGCTCGCTGGCAGGCTCATCGTCCGACACTTGTTCCTCATCTCCCAACTCATCGTCTCCCGATTCTTCTTCTGAACTGCTTCCTGATTCTTCCCTACCAATACGATGCCAGGTCAAAAATCAAAAACAAGGTCCAAAGAAAACTCACTCGCTGGAGTCCTGAGGCATCACCTTATCTATAATCTTCTTAATTTCCTTGTCGTCAAGCTCCCAAAACTGTTCCTCCTCATCTTCATCGGCAAGCCTCCACTCATATCCGGGATCTTCGATGAGAACCGCTCCACCGGACCACATCTCATCCAAAGTCCACCCGGTATCAAGCCTTCCTCTGGGACTGGACGGTCCTCCGCGAGCCTTTGACTCTGCATTATTATTGAACACAGAGTATCGCAAAAAGGTCTCCAAGCGAGTTCGGAACAGCGTCTCCTTGCGACACCCTTCGAGTATGCCGGTAGCGTCCTGTATGACTCGGTTAACAGTACTCTGGAGCTGATTGATCATGTTTAGATCGGCGATGTCCTCTTTGACTAGTGCATTCATCTTTGGGATTATCTCGCTGGGATCGAGAACTTGAGCTACGAAATGATCAGGAAAGTTGACCGAATGAGTGGACCAAGGCTTCTCACCCTCTGGATCATTAGGTTCTATTGGCCTTGGCTTGCCCTTTTTTGCTCGAAGGGGTTTGACTGCCGTGTTTTCACCTACGGGATGATTAGATACCGGTTGGAAACGACAGACCAAATGCACGTACTCTCGTCTACAATTTCAATGACATCCTCAATGATCTTCCCCTTGCCCTTCGCTTTGGAGGTCGATGTAAGCGGTGAATAATCTCTACCTTCCGCACCTTCCTTGACAACCTCCAGAGTTTCGACCTGCCTTCTCTTGCCCTTGTCCACCGCGGATACATGAGGCAGACCTTTAGCCGCCGAGTCATCGTTGACAGATGGTTGACTATCGACCGCGGCGGTCTTCTTGGCAGTCTTCAGAGGGACAATTCCCTTCGCCTTCGTCTTGACCGTGACAGACGCCGCCTTGGAACGTCGCACGGGCATCGACGGAGAGCCGCTGGCGGACTCCTTGATCGCAGTGCTCCCGAGAGGGGAAAGCTTGCGAGGCTCCAAGTCTTTGGTTACGGTTGCCTGTGCCAATGCTTTGGAGCTCTTGGACACTGGAGGACCTGCGCCTAAATCGATACGCTGCTTCTCGGAAGACTCGGCGGTCTCCTCAACAGCCTCCAGAGCAGCGGATTCAACGTTAGTGGTTCCTCTCGCCCTCGACCTTCGTTTGGAGCTGGGGGATTTCGAAAATTGTCTCGGAGACCTTCGAAATGCAGCGCGTAGAGCCGTCGCCTCCTTGATTGCAGCTGATCGTCCAAGTCTGGCCTGTAAGATGGACATGTTGAACACCGAGACTATGGACACGATGAGCTGTTGAACGCACCATATAGATGTGATGATAGTGATAGAAGTTAGTAAACAGGGTGCTAAGTGGTAGCAGGATGAAGAAGTTCAAAATGTAATGCCCCGCGAGCAGTAAGGTCAAAATATAAGGGCAGGACAAACCCAATAACATTGGTTTGAAAATCGTTTCCAATGTATTATTTTCCAGAGATAAGGATGGTCATGTTCAGCGAACAATAACGGTTTTTTGTTCTTGCATTGTTTCGACCGTTTTGTCTGTGCCTCGTGATTGCCGTTCCTTTGTTGTCACCTTGGACCACCATATCTGTCAGATGTATGGCTGAAATAATTATAACAACAGATCCAATGCTATCCCACATTTTACTTCCCTTCACCTACCCGCATACATTTCAGCGACACAAGTCGAAATTATGACTCAGAAACTCAGCCAAGATCATCTCGAGTCCTTGACTAGACAGGACCTCCAGATTCTCGCAAAAGTTCGTATTGCAATATTCTTGACTTTTTCCAGCGTCTCATTTTTTCCTCGTAGGAACATGGAATTCGGGCTAATCTGGGTACCAAAGTTATCATCAACAAGTTGTTGGCTGTATTGTAAGTAGTTTACATCACTCACTATGTTGAACTTTTTTCTGAGCGTCTGGAAGGCCCGCTACTGCAGACATCGAACCAAAAGAACGTCCTGCCGAATCCAATGCGAATAAGCGAAAGAGAGGTGGCGACGCGAAGACTCCACAACCCCCCAAAGCTTCATCACGGACAAAGAGTGCCCCTGTAGTTGCCACGAACAAGAAGGGTCCTGCGCCTCCACCAAGTCAGTAATTCCAGTTCGTAGCATATTTTTGGTTCTTATCTTCCTATAGAACGTCGACGAGTGGCTGAGCCCGACAAATCAGTGGCACGGCCCATCCAAGCAGCGGCCCGGGACAAGAAATCGCGCGCGCGACCCGTAGATACTGCAGTCCACGTCGACGAAGACTCCCCCAACACCATGCAGGTAAACGTGAGAGGACAACTCGGGCACCACGCAGAAAACAACAGCAAACGACACCAAGAGCTTGTTGAGCTGTTCAAGCTCATCAATGGAATGCAGAAGAACGTGATCAATATGCAACCTGAGCTGGCACACCACGCGCACGTCCGGGAGGTGGTTGAAGAAATGCTGATCGTCCCCATGAAGGAAGACAGGACGTTGGTTGATGGGAGTGCTTTTATGGCCCCCGGGGCTGCGAAAAAGTGGAGAGAATGGTTCCACGAGAATATCAGCTATTCGGAGACTGTGCATTATACAAGTCCAACGAATCGTGTATTGAAAGGAAAACCGGCCAAAGGGAAGGCTAAACAGGCAAAGTCAAAGAAGTAGTTTGTACTTGTATTTGATCACTCTTGTATGCAACTTGTATGCCAAAATTGCACCTCAAGCGCACTCCAGAGGAGCAAGCCGCTCGTCGAGAACGCAAACGACAGAAGAAACAGCACAACCGCAAAGAGGCGACTACTGTTCACCCAGACGACGATTGGAGCACCGACGACGACCCAGGTCCATCATCCTACAAACCCGACTACGATGCAATCCAGGCTGAACTGGAGGAGCAGCGATTTCGCGAGAGAATGTCCATGGCGTTCGCCGACGATGAACGGCTGGACTCGTTAGAGGCGCGGTTCAACGATTTTGCACATGTCCCAAAGAGATGGGGCGGTGACTCTGCCAGGCCCCTGTACGACGACGACGGCGATTTCATGAAACTCGATCCCAGGTACATGGATGATGAGGAGTACGCAGAATGGATTCGGGCTGGGATGTACAAGTCTGTCAGGATCCCATATCGACATACTGGCCTTTGACATTATAACAGGAAAACCCATGCTCAGGAACACGAGGAAGCACGACGTCGCAAGGCAGAAAAGGCAGCCAGCCGTGCTCGAGAGAAGGCTGCAAAAGAAGAGAGTCGGCGCCTTGAGCGCCAGATGGAGGAAGAGCGTCGGCAGAGGAGACGCGATAGAGATATCTGGCGGCGGGAGCATTCAAGGCAGGCATACGAATCTCGGTGGAAGGACCTCCTCTCCATGCCTCCTGCCCATCTCCACTTTGACGATATCCCCTGGCCCGTCGTTGTACCACGCTCGTCCGTGGCGGTCGAGGACCTTACTCCCGAAGCAGTGTCTCTTTTTCTTTTCTCAGAAGAGACGAAGAAGGAGAGGAAGGATAAGCTCCGTGAAACGTACCTACGTTTCCATCCCGACAAGTTTGAGAGCCGTTTGATGAAGCTTGTCAAGCCTGGCGAGCAGGAGAAAGTCAGACTAGGCATGGGCCAGGTCGTCCGGATACTCAACGACCTGATGAAGCAGGGGGATGGGTAGAATGTGTATAATTTAAATAATGAATTAAGGCGTCTACGTTAACTGAACCATGAACCAAAGAACGTCTTTTTCAGCTTTTCAATAACGCTTTCCTTGGGAGGCGGGGGCTCCTCAACAGGTTTCTCCTTCTTCTTTTTCTGTTTAGGCCTCTTCACTGGTTGTGTAGAGGCCTTTGTGGTCTTTGGGGTCGGATTTATAGCCTGTTGGGCGGCCATCAACCGAGCCTTTCTATCCCTCCTCGTTACTACGGGTGGAAGATCGATATACGGAATATCTGCAGCTTCAGGTAGGCTGACTGGAGAGGGAGCCGCCTTCCGGACTGGACTAGGTGGTGGTGACGGCTGGGTGCGTTGCGTTGCTACTTCTACCGGTGCTGCGTCCGCCGTCGCTGTAGCTTGTTGTGGTACAGGCTTAGGAAGAGGATCCCATGGTTCACGAGATTTCTTGACTACAGGAGCAGGTACTGGCCGGTAGGAAGAGGGAGGAGGGGAAGAAGGAGACTCCACTGGCGCATGAAAAATTGGCGCCTGAGGAACTGGTGGAGCCTCTCGACGCGTCGTCCGGGTGTAGCCACTATGAGGTGTCACCCTTTTCTGCGCGTCGGATTTGTCAGAATTAGGTGGTGGTCGGAAATTCAAGTCATACGTCCACCGCTGCAGAGCCATCCGCATGTGTGGGTGGTCGGTCGTTAGCGGAGCGCCTTCAGGTAGTGGCTCCAGAGGGAAAAAGCCTCCCCAGTCATAGATGGCCTTGATATTCCGTGGAACAATTTTTCGGTTTATCGAAATTCCAGGCGTATACAATGGCTGAGCTGTACGAGGTGAACCATGAGTCTGGGTGGACCTGAGGAAGGCAAAATAAAAGACATGCCGGCCTTGGAGATGCTAGCATCCATGACTCTTTCGCCTTCCCCAATATCAGGCATTGGCTCCGTCCCATCCGTTGATTTCTGCATTAGTGCACGAGGTGCGAGGAGTCCTTTCAAATCATCCAGCCCAATTCCTCCAGGGCGTACCGGGACTATTGGAGCGACGGTGTGCAACGGCTGGGGAGAGAACGTGATATCCTGTAAAGATTCCGCATTTTTAAACTGCACACGAATGACAGAAGTGTATTTTGAAGGGTCCTCTTGGTCCTAGCATCGGTGTATATCAAGTGTGCGGGTACCGAAACAACAGGAAAAAGTACCTTTTGGAACCAATACTCGTGAATAGGGCCATATTTCTCCTCTACAGCACGAAGGAGAGCATAGGCCTCTGCCATTGAATCGAAAATCCTCCATGATTTTACGACGGCGCCCCGCCCGTCTGGGGTACGTAGCAACGACCAGGCTTGTCTGCTGAGCTGTAGCTTCACGCTAGGTTCTCTACTGTTGTTGGCGATCGCACTGTACCTGCGCGATGGACAGACAACACGGTCAACGAGACGTGAACGGAGCATAGGACCATACCGTGGGAACTTGGAGTTGCCATTTTTTTACGTCCATGGCCGGACGGTTATCTTCCTACAAGTCTGCTCTCGGTGTCATTTCTGCGCGTACAGGTGCCCCGTTATCGTCTCTGCTCGTTTCTTTTGCTATCTTACACGAAATCACTGCTATTGCATCTTTTGCGGGTGTATTCTATGCGGCTCGCGCTTTCGGGGTTGGAGAACGCGTCGTTGATACTGTCGCAGCCGATGATGAACCCGCTGGATGGGCCCGACAACAGGTGAAGACATGGGTGCAGGAAGGAACCGTTTGGGCGCAAAGAGTTGGTCAACAATACGGGATATTTGGACTGGAGAAGAAGGGCAGTACGAATAAGACGGAAAGCCCAACGTATCTACCAGAACATCTTGCTGGCGACATAGCCAATGCTGTCTTCGCTTATGGTGTCACCAAAGTAAGGCCTTTATCCGTATTCTTGTTGCCATTCTGAACGGCAACAGGCTTTCCTTCCTGTTCGAATTGGACTATCGCTATACCTTTCACCTGCATCTTCCCGGATGGTCGTTGACCCTCTCCGAAGGGTATTCATGCGGTCATTTCAACGGAAGAAATAAAGAGATATCGACGTTCTATTTGATAGGGCTTTTTGATTTCGAAGTTTAAATATCGCATTCGAAGGTGTCGTGTTCTTGATCTTTTTCTTTGCACAATTCACTAGCTATTTTCATCTGTGGAGTGTGGGCATGGGGCATCGCCTATTTTTTTTGCGAGCCTCCAGCCAAAAACATTTAATTTCACCCCTCCCATCTGCCTTATATCGACAGCTACGCTACGATATGTAAGTAGATGTATATACTAGAATGGAGAAACGGGAAAAATATTTAAAAGACGGTGATGGCAACAATACAAAGAAAATACACTGTGCTACTTTAAGGTTGATAAGACGGGTGCCTGAAAATTCTTTGAGATGTACGTTCATGTGCGAGAAGGAGAATCGTACCAACGATGAGTAAAGGAGAAGTTTCAAGCAGTGATTTCGACTTGGGATTTAGACTCCTTGCTCGCGGCTTCGGCTTCCTTCAACTTCAGGCCTTTCTCTACTCGGTTCTTCTCTTCCTCAAGCCTCTCCAATTTCTCCTTCACCGCGGCCGTGTTACTAAACTTGACACTTTTGTGTGGACTAGGTCCTCCCATAGAGCCAGCCTCTGGTGCCTGGACAGTAACCAATGGCGCAGATGTCGAGAGCCCGCGATGGAATGAAGTCGGTAGAACGCGTCCTTCGGGATGCTGGAATTGACACGTCGCTCGGGTGCAACCTGCACCGTACCGGCATTGTTGAGCAAAATGGCTCAAGTTATTTGACGGGCGAGGGGGGTGGGAGAAAGTACAGTTCGGGCGCGTACAAGCAGCGCCAAACCGGCAGGCCACCGACGAAGGATGATGATGCGAGGGTTGCAAGACAGGTGCAACTGACGGGGGATGATCTTGATTCCACTCAATAACGCAGTATAAAAATGAGCAACATATTCGCACCTTTGGCCGTCAGCACTGCTGGACTGACATGCGCTTTCACACAATCTTTATCCTTACAGTCTTTGCCCTTCTCGCAAGCTTCTGTACTCGTCACCACACCACTTTCAACGGTGGCGACTGGCGAAGGATGCGTCCACCGGCAATGTGGGTTCGTACACTTGAGGCCAAATTTGCACAGAGTAGGTGATTGAGGTCGTTCGGGATACACATACCCAAGCTGCTGCTGAGACGCACCCGATGAAGCTGCAACGTGTATGGACTTGGACTGTGTCGCAAGACTTGGGGTAGGCACAGCGATAGGTACCTGCTGTGCTGATTCTGCTTCTGAAATGCCTTCCGCCGATTTTGGGCCGGATAGCGATGGCGTGTGGCCACCCCTGCCTCGTCCGTTTCCTCGTCCCCGACCACTACCTCGCCCTCTCGTGTTTCCATTCATCCCCTGAGGACCATTTTGGAAACCATTCATACCACCATTCTGGAACATGTTCATGTCCCCAGACATGCCGTTCTGCATCGGAAAACTGGGCGCATTAAACTGACCGGGACCCATCATCCCGCTGATCTGAGCCATGAGTGCCATTTGGTTCATCATCAGTTCTTGAAGCATCAGAGGGTTCCCCATTCCTGAAGCCGCCATGGCGTTCATGTCCATGCCATTCATACCAGGGAATCCAGCAGCCATCATCATATTTGCGTCGGGAGTGTTGGTGATGTTGTCTATCCGCGCTTGGATGTCGTCTTGGCTATAACCATTCTGCGTCGGACCGTTCCTACCACCTACACGGTCTAAAAGACTCCGCGAGTTTGGAGAAGGACCTTCCCGGAGCATGGCTCGCGGACCCGTGGGGACATCGGTTCGTCTTATTTTACTTGGATGGCTTGGCGAAGGTGACCGGGCAGGAGCGCTGCGCTTTTGTGCTGTAGAAGGAAGAGCTTGAGATAGAGCTTGATGATAGAGACCGCTCCGTCCAGAATTTGGTGGCCGCCGCGATGACTCGGGAGCCACACTTTGGGTTGCCACTGGCGCTGGGTCGGATGTTTCCTCAGAAGAGGGGGGTTCAGAGGGTATGGTGTCGGGACTGGTCGCACCCTTGGCTGCTTCCTGGAAGAGCCAGTCGGTAAACGAGTGGTCTGAGGTCAAATTGAGTGTGATAACGGCCAAGGCCAACAACATAAAGGCGTACCAAAATCTGACCCAATTACTATCGAAAAGTGGTCAGGTCTATATATATGGACAGCAGGAAAAAATTTAACCCACGATCTTCCAGTTCAGCTGTTACTTGAGCTAGTTCAAACTTGGTGTTAGCTGACGCAACACGATACCGAAACAAAGAGCGCACCGGAGGTCTTATTGTTTATTATCATGATGGTGATGTACTCTGCCATAACATTGTCTGTCATTGGCCTCATCAGGTCCTGGGTCTTGTTATTTGCCACCAGACTACGCACCTCCTTCAGGGCTGTAGCCCCTCGTCGTAAGCTCATGTTGGATTGCCCGCTGTTGAAATGGATAAGTTAGAAAGCACATAAAGCGTACCGCAACTGATTAATCGCACCTCCAAAGCAGCAGCACGCTCTGTTCCAATCGTAAGGCCAAAAGCCATAATATCTGAGTGGAAGATGACGGTAAACGGTGGTTTTCAGACTCCGCTGCCGAGTAGTTATTTTATTAAATTATTTCTTTCCATTAATTGCAGTGTCACGTGCCACGGATGACTTTTTCTTGACTCCTGCCTCGATTATCTCCATCTCCTTGACCATTCACAAAACCAGTTCCATCGGTGCTTTGCCCTTTTGTTCGCTTATCATGTATTCAATATCCCTGTTACCCACCGTGACTCCATTGTTTGAATTGCTGTGCCCGTTCTATTGCAGCAAGTCTGTTGTGTCTTTCTGTTGGCAGTCTGTCGATCTGGAATCGCGCATTTCCTCTCTCCCACTCTGGTTCATTCTGTATCATCTTCTGCACTGGTCATGGTGCGGCTGACAGCATTGATTTTGCTGCTTTAATTCCTTGCGATATCCTGGGGATTCATATCAGTTTTTGCCTATTTAGCCACGCGTCAAGAGCTTAACTTCCAGCTTTAAATTTGGTCGTAGTCGCCTTACATTGCTATGCGCTTCTATCTCGATAGCCTTCTTGGGCATTTTCTTTCAGCGCTTTCCCTCCTCCTAGATGATCATTGGTAGGGTCGCCCCTTTCCGGAGTCTGATTTCCCTCCCTTCTTCTCAGCTTCTACATGATATTGCGAAGATAAGGATATCCGACCGCCACTACAGCCCGTGACACCTCTTCGTAGGCCCGTCTCTATATATCCTTCCCCTTTGGACTGTTAAAATAGTCGAGTCATTTCTGGTTAACGTTCTTTCTGTGGCGCTGCCGTCAGAATGCTGAAAGCTGTGGGCTACGTCGGCCAATCATCGGCATCCAAATCGAAACTAGCAGACCTCTGATAGCATGCTACTAATGACCTCGGGTGCGAAAAACATTTATATACTGGCGTTGCGATAAGATACATATGGGTCCTGGCTATTATACACAGAAATTCGGAACAGCCAGACTAGTTTGACAGGGAAGTACCTATTAAGGACCCCAGAAGAAGGGAAAGAGTGGTACGAGTACGGTTTTTTGGTGTGAGAACGCACAGCATCGCCTGGAGATGTTCGGATCTCACCCCTTGGTGGCATGGAAAGACGTGCCTTCGTCATAGTGACTGACGAGTATCAATCAGAAAATGGACATTAGGAGGACCCTTGTGGGTTGTACTGGCTCATGAGATGCGATCTAGTTCTAATGGAATGTGATTAGTACGTGGGTCCACGGTTTCATAAGTGACAAGGGCAAAGAATAACAACTCCCTGACAACTCGGGGAAAACGGTACAGCAATGATTTACGAAGCAAGACAATAAATGGAGTTCTGATGCTGTTATGAGAACATGTGTTCGAGATATATGATGGCTGTTGTAATTTTGATAGTGCCGGCAGATTCGTGGCTGTTGACACAATGATCTAGCACCTCAGCCGGTGCAGTTTCAAGATATTCAGTCTTCTGTGCATTGACAGGGGACTTCATGCCCCCCACCACGTTCAGGGTGTGGGTCCAAGAGGGACCGTAAATAGACGCGGCCATCACCAAGAGGCATCATGTATCATGATGAATCCATGAATTGTCAAGCGCCCACAAGGTCAATCGAAACGAGTTCATTTCCCTGGAACACATGTATTGCCCGCAACATACAGATGCATGTAAATGGATTTATAAGTATATAGACTAATGTAACAACCATAACATGTGCAAATGACGGACAATGAACCCGAGAGGTAAGTAAAATTCCTGTGTTAGTGATACAATGCAAACAAATAAGATTGCCGATCTCTCTTTGAGCAAGTATGCTGGTTGGAGGTATGATGAGCGGAGGTATAGGTGATATGGTCCATGCTCGTACAAGGTTAACTGAAGCAGGAAGAAGACAAGATGAGATGTAGGAATGCTTGCGGAGAGATGATAAGAGATAAGTTGATGCAATGAACGGAAATGAACGAGAACAAAGCAATGTGAGAAAACAGAAAAAAAATAAGATAAATGCTACCACAACGTGGTACTGGCGAGAGAGAACATGCGCGTTTTCAGTGGATGCGACAGTGTCCGATCTTTTTGCCTGTTGCGGGCCATGGAGAACCCAAGCGGTGAATCGATCCCCCGTATCTTGGCAGTAAAGTCGTTGGGACCGACGGGCGTGGCTGGTGAGGCAGATGAGGCGGGCGACGTCGAGGCAGAATAAGACGGCGATGGGGTCTCTGGCGGAGAATCCACATACTGCTTGCTGCGTTTCCGTCTTTTAGGCGATGACTCGGAAGCGGACGGTGATGGGTGGCGACCGTGGCCAAACATGGGAATAGGGCTGGTCGTAGAATGTGGCTCCGGAAGGGGAGTCGCAGATGTGGATGCGGCGGCTCGGACTGCACGTTTCGACACCATTTGCAGAGAATACATCGGATATGGGCCCTCCGCTGCCTTGAAATCCCTTCTCACCATACTTTCAAAGTTGGTGAGAAGGGTGTTGTCGACGGTGAGTTCCCAATCCAAATACAGGCACATTTCTCTCTCCATTTGATTAATCTCCCGGAGGTTAAACATGCCCTGCCCCACGATCGTCCAAGATTTGTTCGAGTAAGTATCGTCGCAAATGACTTTGGAAGCAATCATGAAGGCTGACAGAAACAGTCGGTGGCCAGAGGAGCCGCGAGCAGTGGGAAAGCGAGCTTTCAGCCGCTGCAGAAGGATAAGAGCTGCGAAGGTGACAGAGGGATGTAGTTTCGTCCGGTGGAAGGCATACGCGATGAAGTATGGTAATTTAGCTTGCGACTGACTGGCCGCGGGTGGATTCTCCGGGCAGGCAAACAGATGGGTGATGAATCGAGCACAGAGTCGAGATATTTCCTCCTGGGCGTAGAAGGGGTCCGGCTTCGTTGGTGTTTGTGTAGGCGCCTAAGATCGGATGAGATGGGCCGGAAAGACCGACTTTTTGCGAACAACTCACTGGTGGCATTGGTTGAAAATTTCCCCTTCTATTTGCCAGATTTTTCCGCGGGACATCTAGCGGGTTGGCGAGTGGTGGATTTGAGCTGGCCATCGACGTGGAGATTATGGAAAAAGAAAACAATTCCACTAAAAGATGAGAATTCGTAGAGTCAGCAAAGGGATTTGTCAGAGTGATATATAGAAGGGAATCCCTGTGAGTGCGGCACATCCGATTGTGACACATCGCGGACCTTTGTGCCATCAGAATTCATCAGAACATCATGGCAGAAAATTTTTTTCTCGCGCAAACAGCTGCAAGCAGAATGCCTATGTAGCTCCATTTGGAAAGCTGCTCGTTGACTGCATGGGATCCCTGAAAACGAGACAAGAGGGGAGAGACTCACAAGAAGGAAAGACAGCGATGAGACAGGGACAGCCAGCACCCACAAAGGCCAACAGAATTAGCGTGAGGGAGAACGGTATGATAGGTGACGCGGAGGTGGGGGGGACAACAGGAGGGCGGAGTGAAGGAAGTCCCAATTACAATATATATATATATATAAGCAGGGCAAGGCAAGGAGAGGACGGCAGATGGGCGTTCGGGTAAAGGAGACGGTTGGAATTGAACAGCCTAAACCAGTGCTGTTACATGACCGTATTCGGCCAGATCTGATCAAATAGCACCAACCAAATTTGGTCACCGGGTCATGACGTCGGAGCTTGCTACTGGCTGTTACGATTGCGCCTTGTACAGCTGTTGCCACTGCGACAGCGTACGAACAACAGATTATCCAGCACAGGGATTTCCTGCTTTTCTTTTCTTACTTTGATTCGGAAAACAGCTCCCCCCCCTTTGTTCCACGTAAAATAATCAGCCATGCAGACGCCATGCTTCCCTACAGATCTTCTCCCTTTGCCGTAGCCCTGCATTCTGCTGTCTCTCACATTGTGGTCCTACATTGCTTGTTGCTGTTCTGTTGTCAAGCGTCATCAGCTTCCCATGCATCGAATCAAAAGTTATTTCATCCATGACCCGCTTCCACCGAATGCGCGATCCCCGGCAGTGTGCTTCCAGTGCTTGACTCCAAGGATTGCAAACGCTCGGCAAGTATCTCGCAGCAGATACTGATCGTAACATGTTTAAGCCCGGCCACCCCATTATGCACATTCCGCTATCCCGAAAGTCTCAGAGTCATTGACATTGTATGCTAGACCGCCTCATGTCCGATGCTGTTTGCAAATCCAAGCATAGTATCATCGTGTATACATCTCCATCTTATGTACCTCGTTATCTTTCATCCCGACTCCCCAGCTGACCCTGCCCCAGCATTCTCACAATCAACAAGTCCCATTCAGCATTTATTATTCAAGAATATAACGACACAGCCCTTACTTCGTGTTTCAGCCTTCTGACAGATCTACTCCTACCGCTCTGCATCATCGAGCATTGTGCCGTATTGTCGTCTCCAAAATTGGTTTTTTTTTAAGTGCATCTGACATCTGCACAGTGGTCTAGTACCCGGCTTCCCAACCAGGTAATCTCTGCCTCAGGTGCATCCACGAGTCTATGAAATTCTGTGCCACCTTCTCATGCCGCATGTCTCCGGACTTCTCAGGCTCAGGACCCAGGAACTTCTACCTGATAGCCTGCTTAATTTCTAGGGGGATTTCCGTCCCTCCGACTGGCTACTGTCGTCCCTATCCATACCAGACCGGCTCGTGGCTCCAATCTGTCACATTCGTTCGCAGCCGCCTTTTTTTTTAACCTTTTGCGACCATGTCGATCACCCTCCTGATCACAGGGCCGTGGTTGAGGTTCGCTCAAGCTCGAAATACCGATATCAGAGATCCGATGTCGACACCATGGCGCAACCTGAGTGGCATCCCTACTCGTCCACTTTGTCACATACACTTAACCATGCAGGACCGACGAATGCGACGATCTGCTGTGGCGAAGCTGTAAGCCCGGCGGAACTATCTAGCATTGTGAAGCTATGATTTCCTTTTTCGTCGTCGCCTGTATATCTGTCTCGCAACATATCTTTCCAACTCTACCAGTCAATTGAATTCATTTTGATAATCCTGATTTGGGATGGATATAAATTCGGGCCACCAATCATCCATCTGCCATTCCTTGATACTGATCATCGTACTAGTCTCCAAGACTCGCCATATCTTCCGTACGCATGATGGCTATTTGACTATGTAACTTGCCTCGTGCTTTCGCGCTCTCGAGCCAGCCCTCTATTCTACCCTGATCTTGATGGCAGGTACGTTCGATAGGCTACGAGACTGGACTGATCTAGTCAGACACGCTCAGCTGTTCCGGGACGCTCGCATATTCCATACACGCGGCCGCATTGAACACATTCGAGGGTAATGGAGTAAATTCTCTTTCATATTCACAGAAGGATGTCTTATCAATCCATCATCTTCCACTACGCCTCGGCGTCAATGAAGCTCTTGTAAAATACCCAGGCATCTACGTATTCTTCGCCAGTTCCGTCTTTTTTCCTCAATCTTCCTGCACGTGGAATCCGTCCCGCTTTCGTAAATCCGAGTCTTTCCCATAGACTATGTTCGAAGATTGGGTAAAGGATTATGGCAGAGAAGAATGAAAACCTCACCTGATTGACGCGGTGTTGTTGACGTATACGAGGTTGAAGACGCTGGCTTGATACCCGAGTTTGGGCGCGTAATGGACGTAGGACTTGGCCAGGATGGACCCGGCCCCCTGTCCCCGCTGGGATGGCGGGACCACAAACCCGGCGTTGCAAATCTGTTTGAGATGTTACAGCCCTAGCGCTCAGTGGGGATATACATGTCAACATACATGGGATGACCGTCCTGGATAGTTTGGTTTGACCTATAGAAATCAATTCCACAAGTCAACAGCACGTTAACCGGGAGTTCATTATGATGAACCCACATAATAGAATCCTATGACGCAGTCCTCCCAAGATCTCCCTATCGTGGCCTCTGCTACTCCTAAAGGCGACTCTTTAGGTTCTTCGAAATCTTCGGCATGCTCTGGGGCTCCAAGAATCGCTACGAATACGTCGGCGGCAAAGAAATAGCTCTCGAAAGCTGCGAGATCGATGGGCCCCTCCTGTGGATAAGACCTCCCATCGTCAACTTCTTTGGCGAAAATTTGATGAAGATACTCGATCAGACCGTTAAGGGGTTTTGCTGTTTGGAGCGTCAAGTGGTATATGGTTGCATACTTGGCCTTCGAAGGAGAATACCAAATGGTAGAGGGAAGACCATCTCCAGCATATACTCTTTGAATAGTACCGTAGGCAGACATTTTAGAGGTGTACTGGCAATCACGGAAGATCGTATGTGACTCGAGTCCACGTTGAAATAATGATCACGCATCGATCAGGACTCCTTCCACAAAATTCACGGAATTGATTCGGAAATCGTTGACATTTGAACTTTAGAGTATGTATGGACTCAGCAGAAAGCTTGCAAGAAATTATTGGAGATCGATCAAGTATATAGTATCCCTCTGCATAAGACGTGGGTGCGAGGTTATCGGCACAAATCGGACTTGTTGAGCCGATCTTCAGTCCATCGGAGAACATACGCAGCAGAGGCTGTGAGGGAATAAATGTGTCGAATGCTGCGCAGAATCTACTAGCAGCGCCCTGCATCCTTCTGAGTCAACTTAGTACATCGTTACACGCGGATAAGAGCTGAATGCTCCCACGTTAACCGAGCTTTCCGTCGATGATGATGTGGATGATCAAGACTCCGCGCGTGTATCACAGCCCGTACGGGTGAGGTACCAGACTCGTATCAGAACTGTTGAACCTCCGTGACCTGCCTCTTTTCATCGACGATAACCCGAAGTCCGTTCCCCAGCCACGGCGGTAGACAAGGTCCGTTGGCGTCGGTGAACCCTTCGGTGACACCTTGCCCAAAGAAAACATAGCCGGGAATATATCGGTCAACGAACCTGTCTCGTGGGTCAATACGTCCACTCGAAACATAAGAAATATAAAAACGTCACGATTTGACGGCATCGTCAGACATCCCTTTGCCGCCGTTGCTAGCCTTCATGTTGTGTTCCTGTTCAAGGCGCCACTGGTATATTACCGAATATGGCGAGTGGCTTCGGGCAAGCGGCGCTGGTTGGATCTAATGGCAAACCGGTTCAGAGGAGGTAAACGGAGAAGCTGAATTGTTCGAATTACCTGAACGAAGACGTCGAAGAAAGCCCATAAATCGATGTATGCCTTCAAGACCTGATTGATATCTTGCAAACATTCCTTGGATTCCAATAGTTCGTCCTGTAGAGCCAATGCAATTTTCTGTTCCTTCCAAATTCCGTCCCATTTCTCCGCTAGCCTTGCTTGCGAGATAGGATAGAAACCCATACACCATCCCTCAATGATGACGATATCTATTGGGGGATTTATGGAATTGCTTCCATCCATAGGGAGTCTATCGCCTTCGCCGTCGAACAGACTCTTGTCAAACCTGGGTATATCGACTGTTTCACGTCCTTCCCTCAGAGACTGTAGTATTCGAATACCCAATTCAACATCGTGAGTGCCAGGCTGCCCTCTTCCTTTCCAGAGAGGGTTGAAGGGATGTTTGAGGGCAAGTGCGACAAGGTCATCGTGAGAAAGATAGAGATCGTCTATTGACAGTACGGCAACCCGAAGCAAGTGCGGTGCATCGGTAAGGAACTTTTGCGTTAAGCCTGTAAGGTATGATTTCCCGGATCCTTGAGGGCCCTGTATGGCAACAAAAACTACGCGTTTTGACAAAATGTAACAAGTAGAGGAAAAGATGGTAACGTACTGGGCTTCTTACTATCAGGAGATATACGCGCCAGAATATGTTTCGATATCAGATTCACAGCAGTTGGTAGCGACATGGGAAGTGAGATATTGTGTACGGACCGGGGGGCCGGGGGGGCAGAAACTCCGAAATTCTCCGCTCAAAGCAGCCGACAGCGGCGAAGACGTGCACGTCAAAGATTTTAGACGACCTCAACGATGATGTCCGACAGCGACTCGGGTGACGGTAACCCTATACAAAATGTCACGGCAGCATACAGTCGCATCCAACGGCAGTACCAGCAAATTTTGGACCGATGGACACCCCATATGTTGAATCGTTGGCTGGCAACTGGTGGGATCCTTTGTGTATTCCTGCTAAGAGTAGTGTTTGCCCAAGGGGTAAGTTGGACCAGCTCTCTTCTTCGCCTAATTAATGACCTTTTGCTGCAGTGGTATATTGGTTCGTGCTATCTCTGTTTACCATTACCATTGATTCAACCATTCCTGTGTTGAACAGTATGCTGTAAGTGAGCATCTCTTGGCGAACGCTGTTGGTTCTCATCACTTCTTCTGTCAGATGCGCACGCAATATACCTCCTTAATCTTCTTCTTGCATTCCTTCAGCCAAAATTCGACCCTTCGCTGCAAGAAGACCTGCTCGCAGACGAGGTAGAGGGCGGTGGATCTGCCAGTCCTCTTCCAAGTCAGCGTGATGACGAGTTCAGACCGTTTGTGAGACGCCTACCTGAATGGCAGTTCTGGTGCGATTTTAATGCTGTAACGTTATCTACCTATGTTCATCTTGCAATAGGCTTTCCGCTACACGGGCAACAATTTTAGCGCTTTTTGCCACCGCCTCGGAAGTTTTTAATGTGCCTGTCTACTGGCCTATTTTAGTTGTCTACTTCTTTGTGCTGTTTGCTTTGACAATGAGGCGGCAAATACAGTGAGTAGCTCCTTAATCCGTCAACATTTTTGCGGCGTCCTTTCCAGCGCCACATGTTCCTGCTCTGCTACCGCCCAGCTAACTTTTATCTGATAGACATATGATCAAGTACAAATACATTCCATTCGATATTGGCCGTAAAGCAAGATACGGAAGTGGAAAATAGACTTACCTGTATCGGAACCGTCCTTTTTAATTTCTATATCTTCGGACTCGTGTTCTTGACGCGAAGTATTGGGCTTGTTGAAGTAACATGTATGGTTGCTATAGACGGATTGTGGAACCAAAGCTGCCAACTCAATTGCTCTTCGGATCATGCAGACGACCTCGACTACGTTCCATTGGGTATCATAAGGCTGCGTGCAACCTTGACGCCTAAGGTGAGTAAATATGGGGAATGAGAGGTCAATCAAAAGATTTCAATGCTGTGTGGACCAAGAAGCCATGAGGACGAGTCTATCCATACATATGTCGTCGCAAATGGATGCCCTTGGACCTAATGACGTTTTGAGTAGACCCCCAAGTTCACCTTGATATGCGAGACTCAAGACGTACACCAGGCACAGAACTGAAGGACGGACAGTGTTGGTGCACCTTAACCTTTAATGTCGCCGTTCTTAGCATCATCATTCATTTAATGTGATGCAGGATGCAATTGAATAAGTTCACTCAGGTAATCAGTGAAAAAAACCGTATGTAGCTATCATGTTATGTTGCTCCCAGTTGAAAAGGTACCCACGAATACCTGGGTGCATTCGTAGGGAGGGGGCAGTTGACTAGAGTAGAGTAAGCATTGACGTCTTAGATAGTAAATTGAAACACAAGCATGTTCTATGTCGGATAGCGGCCCTTTTGAAAGAACCGCTCGGTGTGTCAAAGCCTCCGCCCTCCAGAACAACTGTTGACTAAGTTTAGGGTATTAACCCGTCGGATGTGACATTCCCAGAAACATTTCTGGTGTTCTTATCGATTACAACCCTTCTGCACTGTACTCCATCTTCTTCGAAGCGGGGTGACATTGGAGTTTCGGAGGAGGATTTTGAAGTCGCCGCGAAACAAGTGGAAGTACGTGAACGGACGCTCTTCGATCCAGTGATATAGATCGAGCGTTCAAACGACTGTCATTATGGTGTCCATTAATAAAATTGACCTTGCACTCCATATGTGCAATGTGGTGTGCGCAAGTCTTTCAAAGTTGCCCATTGCGAATGACCGAACGCCGAAGAAGGATATTCAAAGGTCAAGCGCCCATAGCTGGTATGGAATTATTCGAACAAGTTTGCATTTGCTCGTCGGATCATAGAAAGGTTTCGAATACAGCCGATATCGATGACATTTATTGGGTCAATGAGGCGTTGGCAGTGATGAGAAGCGTGGAGAGGTTAGGCTCAATCAGTAATAAGAAGAGCCACGTCCAGCTCCAGAACGGCGCATACATGCAAGCTCCGAGGGCCCACCGTGACTCCAGAGATGGACGCTTCTGAAAGTTCCCGAGTGGCTCTCGTGCTCGCATTGCTTCTACGTTGGATGAAACCTGTGACAATAAGAATCAGATGAACGACTTTATGTAGCGAAAGCGATTCACAAGCATTAGGCACCTTTTCACCGTCGTTGTTCAATCAAGGTAGTCACCGATTTAATCGCATTTTCTCGCGCCTTGACAAGTCTTTTAGCCTTTGCCAAATCGGACATGGTCCAAACAGGATATACAGGTGCCTTTACTTTGCTGGCAGCTGCGCCCGGCGAATGCGAATCGAGTTCTGAACGGAGCTGGGCTAGGGTATCATCCAGACTGGACAGGGTAGATACACATTCATCAAGTTCCTCCTTTTGTTTAAAGGCTCGGCAGGCTTCGACAGCGCAAGTCTCGATATGAGCAAATCGCACGGGTCCCAGCAGTGTACCCCCGTACCTGTCGTGACACAGTAAGGTGGACTAGTCAGATAAAGTATGATAACGTCCCGTACCAGCGGCTGACAACGACGACAGCATCCATGACAGCCTCGCTGACCATGGCATTCAGGACCTTCCCTCCAGCCCACTTTTCCCCATCGTCCTCGCTACCGCTCCTCACTTCAAAGTCGTCAGGTCCCATGAGCCCAGTATGCTCTTTCTTGAGCACCATACATCGCCATGCAGAAATCTCGTGAGAAGCAGGCTTTGCGCCATGAGTGACGCGCCGAAGGTGGTTAATGCACAAGCGCGCCTCTTCCTCAGTAGTACATTTGAATATGTTGGCCACGAAAGTAGAACTCCGGTCTCGGATTTCCTGCGAAGTCACGACTGGCTGAGGCTGAGGCTTGGAATGTTTCACGAAGGCATCAAGATTCATCGTAAACGCCAAGTTCTGTAACTTTGACGTCATCATGTTTATAAGTAACCATTACATGCTGTCCCCGGAGGCCCAAAATACAAATTTTTACTGATACCTGTATCGCATAAATGCTACTAATCGGGGTCGGAGACTGTAAATGAAAGTGGCCCAGGAAGACAACGTTTGCCGGTCACTCGTCGGACCCAGGGACGAAACCGGTTGATTAAAGTAATCAGATGAAGGTCCTGCTGTATGAGACAATAGGATTGGCAGCATAGTGGATAGCCACTGGAAGGATTCGAACTTGTAAGTACTGGAGGCCGATGGCTAAATAACACGAATCTGCATAGGTGTGAAGGAGTAGGAGCAAAGACTAACTTGAGATAAGGACTTGCATCATTACGACGCTGAATACAAGTCGGTTCATCAAGACATTCCAAAGATGCTGGAGGTAGAAAAAAACCTGCTATCGTGCCTTAAATTATGGTCCTACACATAAGTGCCCAGTTTCCACCTTTCTGACATAAACATACATCAACTAGTATTTGTGGATTCATGAGCTCAACCAAAAGATGGAAGTAGCTGCCAGTGGGACAAGAGGCACCAACGGGGCCAACAGGACTGAGACGGAGACAAAGAAGAGCTGTTTAAGGAGCCGTAAAACCCACCGCGCCAGCAGAAATAGGAACAAGGTGGCCAGGTTGGCGCTATACAATCAAAGATGCATGGAATATTTTACAGCAGCTCAAACTCACTAGGACAGTGCATACTGAGTCCACTCCCAAATGTCACGAGGAGTATGGCCAAATACACTATTCCGAAGAAAATGAGCCTCATGCCTGATTATAGGGATTGACTCTACCGGCGAATCTTGAACGAAATCCACAAGAAATTTAGGGCTTGGGCCAAATCAAATATCAAGACAGTGAAATACCGAAGACTGAAAAGAAAATATCAGTCAACGTATCAATTCGCGCACGCCAGAAGAGGAAACGCACAAAAAGGGTTGAAGCCAGGATGACGATTAATATAGGTCTCTTTAATCTGTTGGGAAGTACTTTGTGAATTTCTGAATCAGCGGGAGGATATCTGGTTCGATATCCACATAGTGTACACATTTTGGAAAATCTCTTTCACGCTAGCATGCTCTTCAATGAGAGCCGCAACCTGGGAGACCGAGTCGGATAGACCCATATACTTACAAAAGCTCGCATCACATACTGAAAGCGACACCAATCAAGGCGAATATAATTAACTAGTCGGTCGCTTAGCTCTGACCCTACTGTTCTTGAGATGCTTGACCAAAATTGCTCCCAATTCCCGCACGGTCTGATTATGATACTTAGTCGACTCTGGATGAAATCCGACTTGTCGACTGATGTGCACTGCGTTTGTGGAGTAGGGCATACTGACGGTATTTAGGATAGCATTTATTCCGCCATCCGACCGAAATTTTTCGGGGACGTGTGTGATGCTTAGGGAGCGCGCGTAGAAGGAATTCGTGTACTCAGGGTGAACGGAACCACTCCTTGCGAGGCCGTAACATGTCACACCAATAGATGTACACCAGTACGATGACAAGCACTGCGAAGAGATAACTAAAAGCGACGGCGGCATAGAGGCTGTTGTCTTGCATGTCACGACGCTGAAGATATCAGTCTGTTTGTTCACCTTATTACTGCGACTATACATCATGTTGACTAGGATGAACACTCCAGCACGTTAAGATGCACTCCGCTATAGAGGGTATGCAGGAGACTGAGGAATTGAAGGAAGGAGACACCATCGAGACCGATCTTTTCAATAAGTTCCGGCTCTTTGGTATGGATGAGAGGAGGGATCCGGTCAAAGAAGGGGTCTGATATGCAAAGGGGTTTATCTTCGACATGATACCAGACTTTCAGCTGACATATAAGCTGAAAGATACGGCAGTTATTCAATGCATGCAGTCAAGGCAGTCGCACCTTGTACTTAGACCTATAACATTGATTGTAATTTTTTCTAGCGATCGACTGGGTTATTAAAAAAAAATCTTACCGATGCGGGATGAGAAACTGCAACTCGAAAGCGGCCAGCGTTAGATTCCTTTCAGCTCCGGCAGCTTGTCCCAGAGGGTCGACATCGATACCGAGCACGGCGAGTCGACGGAACCCCCCGTCTACGAGCACAGGTACAGGGCAAATGCACGACGACTATTTTTTTCATCAATCCTGAGAGTTTGGCACAGGATTGACATAGAGTCCGTTAGGGGGTACCCGCGAACAAAGGGCGCTGAAAGCTGGTAGACATTGGAAGGACGCAGGAAAACGACGATGTTCATGCAAGCAGTGCTCAGCTTCAAAGATACGGACGTCTAGCTGTTTTCGCTAGAAAGTGGGGAAGACGAGGGTCTACAACATAGTCATGGGTGCATCGCAGCGTTCTTGACATACAGATCCTCTTGTGTGGTCCTTGTACCTGCTGCTGTACATTCCAGTGTTGATTCGACACTACCAGTATGATACCATGATGCGAGGGTCCATACGTGGTTCATTAGAGCCAAGTTAGTGGTCTATGCCCAGCGACGTCGCGTGTGTCATGGTACAAAAGCGCGCTTTCGTATGGAAGGCGTAATGAAGAGGAGCAGAGCGCTGTCGAACATAGTGAACTTTATCAGACATATGAAGTATACCCAATTGAACATGAAAAGCGCTTCGGTCTTGGGGGTTAAACAGGACGGAAATACCGTAACAAGATGGTCCAGCGCGTTGACATTTTCTGTCGGAATGACAGTTAAAAGTCGGAGGAATTAGGATCGTCGTTCACATGTGTCAGATATCTGCGGGGTGACCCGATGGTCGCCAATGATGGCAAGAAAATGTAGCGGACGCAATGTGCCCAAAACATGTTTTCAAAGCAAAGAAAAATTTTTGTTTGAATGCGCGGCGGAGTCTCGCCGGACCGCACCGGGGTTCACGATCACGTGCTGTAATCGCTAGTCAGTTGAGTCTGGATTGGCCAAGAATGCTTCTGCGTTCGCGGTTATGTAACAGGGGGAAGATTGATCATGATTCCATTGACTGCTATTACCTGTAAAGTGCTAACTCCTACAGCCATTTGCATACAGGTTGACAGTCTATGGTGGTTTGGAAATGAGAAAAGAAGCAGAATTCGCCATACACCGAGGTTTTGGGACTTACAAAGCGTCTCCGAGATCCCCGATTAAATCACGTAAACTTCTCTCCAAGTCCGCAAAGCGCTACGTCACTCGGGTGCGTCCGCCGCGAAGGAGAGTGATGGACATTGTACGATGTCCCCACCGGAGTTAACATTTCAACGATGCCTTGTTTTATTTCTCTAGTTGAAATGGACCTGCCCGATATTTTGGAGCAAGTTTCTTGTCCTGAATTAAGTATCAACTATGGCAGAGTATTGGCATTATTCAGAACGATAGACATACTTTCAAGCAAAGAGGGCTACTTTGTTATATTAGTCACCGGTCTCACTCTGGACCGGCTTAAGAAAATAACGAACACCGTTCTGACAACGACATTACTGCTAACAATGAGCCATTGGTATCGAAGTAGCGGGTGAGTTAGGAATGCAATCTTGTAGAAGGTTATGTAACTCACACGTACGGGCCCGAACTATATGCGATTCCTGGACAATATAAAAGCAAACCGCCTCCGAGAACACGAGTTCCCAACATCCTCCTATATACTGCCAGTATAACACTTAAAATGCCGATCGCTCTCAACCCCTCTGACGCTGACACAACCAAATTTAAGGCTGCTGCAGTTCAGGCTGAACCGTAAGCCCATCGTCTTGGCCTTATACTTAGTCTGACTACCACTTCATGACACAGCGTATGGCTTGACCTCAAAGGAGGCGTCGAAAAGACCATAAGGATCATCCGTGAGGCCGCCGCTGAAGGGGCAAAGATTATCGGTTTTCCTGAAGTCTTCATTCCAGGTAAGGATGTTCACACAGTCGGAAGCCGAATGATGTCGTAGTACTAATGCACGCAATGACTCGCTTTAGGCTATCCTTGGACGCCATGGGCAAACAATTTCGCCGTTACTCAGGTCGTCTTGAAAGAATACCAAGCGAACTCCATGGCACTTCACTCGAAGGAAATGGACCAAATTCGGGATGCGATCAGAGAAGCAGGTGTAAACGTGGTCCTTGGTTTTTCTGAACGTGATGGCGGCTCCCTTTATATCGCGCAAGTTACTATCACAGCGGACGGTAATATTGCCAACCATCGTCGGAAAATCAAGGTATGCAAAGTCACCATTGTATGGTAGTCACGCAGTTGATCATTGTTTCAATTAGCCCACACACTACGAGAAAACCGTCTTCGGAGACGGAAGCGGTAAGCGGTTCGATTGCAAACTAAAGAAAACTGGCTGACCGTTTCAAAGCCCAGTCAATCTATAACGTAGTCCAGACTCCATACGGAAGGTTGGGTTCTTTGAATTGTTGGGAGCACATCCAGGTCTGTATTCTGGTTGCCTGTTCCATAATTCCTGCTTACCGCATGGATGCAGCCATGGTTGAAGACCGTTTTTTATTCTCAGCATCCACAGATTTTCGTGGGTGGGTGGTGGCCCGCATTTGAGCCACATACAGGTGGATCGCCCTACATAGTTAGTGGAGAGGCGTCTAGCCGGATGAGCCAACTTGTGTCCATGGAGGGCGGCCTTTTTGGGATCGTTTGCTGTCAAGTAGTCAGCGAAGCAGGTGCGGAAAAGATGAAGTTGCTTGGATACCCTTGGTTCACCTTTCCCGGAGGTGGATTCTCTGTGGTAAGCATCTGGACTTTGGTGGGGCGATATATTTAATGGTAACGAGCCTTGAAGATATACGGGCCCGACGGGTCTGCATTAACAGAGCCTGTAGACCCGGGAAAAGAGGTTATCGTATACGCCAATATCTCCCTCGACAAGATTGATGAAGTCAAACTCGTCGCAGATATCATGGGGAATTAGTGAGTATCAGACATTCAAAGTCAATTGCATTCATCTGAGGCACTTCTAGCTCTCGTTTTGACTTATTCCATACTGAGATTCACGGAAAGAATTGGCTGCCTATTACGTATGGCGACGAGGAAGAAGAAGCGGCGTCGAAAGACCAACGAGCAGACATTGATAATGAAGGACATAGTCACAAGCATGAATCCTTCTAGCAAGTACTGGCAGACCTAAAGTAGCTAGGTTGTTCAGATGTATAAGATTATGCCCAGAATTACCAAACACGACTTACTTCCCCACTCTCAGCATTGAACATTGAAGCTTGAATATTTGAATATACATTGAAGCTCGAAGCAACACATCGCACAGTTGCCGAAGGCCTTTGCCGGTTATGGTAGTGTGGCAAAAGTTCCAAGACAAGTAATGAATTGAAGCTCAGATAGAAGCCGTCGAAGGCCGTCCGGTCGGACTTTGATTCTTGCTTCCTGACAATCGCGACCTCGTCCCTTGGCGAGGGTCTCTCAGCGCATTCATTGGTGGTGACGCGACACACTTCGATATCGCACCACCATGACCACCCCACGCGCCACATGGTCTATGGGGCATCCATCTTCCGCCACTTCCCTGACCTCGACCACCACCAGGACCAAACCTGCCCCAATCTACAATCCGTACGACAAATTCACGAAACCTCAATTTGACGCGTGGATTGACGACCTCACTGGCACTCTCCGTCGGGCATTAGGTCATATTGATGACACTGCTCGTGAGGAATCGCCGGTTGGGTTAGATGAATCTTCTATGGGTCAGATTGACGCTGAACAGGCCAGCGAGAGCGAGGATATTGACGGAGAGGTTGAGGACTCCTTTGCAGAGCTCAAGGCGCGACGTGCTAGTAGGAAGGGTAAAGGCCGTGATCCGCGAGAAGGTCCAGGGCTTTTTTCTGGTCGCGGGAATGGTAGCTATGAAGAACCTATTGACCTTGCCTCGGATTCGGAAGATGAAGAGGCACAGGTAGAGGATCTAGCACGGGTAATTGATGATACTGATGAAGGCAGCGAATGGGAAGAACGGGATGATCATAAACAGAGTGAGCAGGACGCAGAGGATGTCGAGGCAGAGGCAGAGGCGGAGGTCGAGTATGAAAGAGAAGGGGATTACGAAGAAGTGGAGTCTGCTTTGGGAGAAGAAGACGAGGTCTATGATGAACACGAAGAAGAGGAGCAGTCGGACCTGTGGAGGTCAGATCAGTCTTACTCTCCGCCAGTACAGTATGAAGTGCTCGACGGGGATGATGAAGACTACGTCGAGAAATCGGATGAACCAGAAGTAATTGAGCTTCTTTCTGACGAGGAGGTTAGTATTGGTGGGAGTTCATTACCTGCTCAAGCCGAGAGCGAGGAGGATTCCGATACGGACGTCCATGAGGAAGATCAAGATCAGGATGTACATGAAGATGCGGCCGCTTCTCCAGAAATCTATGACGTTGACGATGACGACGACGAACAACCATTGTATGATGATACAGGTATGCCCTTTTGTTGCGAGCATACGTATCTTTTGATTAACAGACAGTCTAGCATTTCCTCCGACTGCATTGGACCATCCTTTCCAGCACGAAAACATTGAAATCGTCGATCCTTGGGTCCGACCCCAAATTTATGCGGATGATCTCTACAAGGGTGGGGATCATCTCCCAAACCCCGGGACCCATCCCAGTCCTCATAAACTCGGAGATGCTGACGACAGCACTTCTATTACTCCACAGCATGAGATGGATGAACACATGGCAGTGTTCGAAGCATCTCGTGACGAGTTTCCAGAAGCTGCCAGTCATTTGCGCTTTCAGTTAATAGACGCGTCTTACATTCAGTACGATCCCGACACCATCGACGTCGATTCTAACAACGCAGAGGAGCCCAATGTCCATCCCGATGACGCGAAAGCCATCTCACCGGACTCAAACGCGGACGTGTCCTACTGTCATGCTGATGAGCGACACCCTGACACTACTACCGATAGTAATCACGCCATAGCGCCTAGCATTAATCCCGAGGAACCCAGCAATGATAATGTACAGGACCCATCATTGTCTACTGGAGACATACATGGTCAGGGAGACGAAAGTATTATCTGTGCAGTTTCACTTGAACTTGCTACGTCGGAGAAACAACTCGAAGAACCCTCCATTGTCCCGCTTGTCAATCAACCGGAGGGAATTGTAGTTGATTTATATGAGAATTTGAAGACGGAGACGGATGGGTTGATTGTTGAAGTGTCAGGGCAGCCTCTATCTGGTCCAGTTCTTTATGATGGAGGTGAGAGCAAGTTTTGTTAGAATCTACTTTTCCTAATTGTTATAGATGTTGGAAATATTCAAGATTTCCTGGATGTGCCTATGAATCCAGAAGTGGTCCCTCAAGAAGGTCACGTATATCTTTGTTCTTTTTTATGTATTTGCTTAATCCCAAAATTTAGACCGTGAATCTGAGCCGCCTCGTCCATTTATTGAGTCTGACTTAGATCCAGAGGTATCGACCGTCGCTGAACTGGAGACACCCCAGCATCTCGACCCAGACATTGCATGCGTAGCAGGGTTAACACACCATCAACCCTTTGAATTGGAGCTCTCACTTGCTGAAGGTCAGTCTTTGCCTCAGCATGTGACCACAGACATCGTTCCTGCTGCAGGATTGAAAGAACTCCACCAGGACGATCGCGACGGCGAAGAGCCTGTATTTCTCCCAACACCCCCGGCTGATGAGCACACCATCACTCCAGAGGCTATTTCTTTGGCGCAAAGTCAAGTAGATGGTGTATTGGATGATACAGGCGCAGCTGATGCTTTGGAGCAGCAGGAAACAAAGGATGAGCTCTCCTTTGTTCCAGATGCCGTGGGCCATGACACAATGGACACACATGATGAGAATCTAAAGTCCTTAGGCTTCGACAACCCCGTCGTCGTTTCTGAACCTGCGGTAAGGCATATCGATACAGTTGCAGACACTGCTGTGGAGCCGAATGATGATTACGGCGGAGAAGTAGTTGCGCCCAGAGCTGCAGATTTTTTGGATCACGTAGGATCCCCATCGCCGTCTGCTCCGTGCAAGGTTAATGAGTGTCATGTCCTCCAGGAAGTTATTGCCACCGACGATGACAATCATCCAACTGTCGTTCCACATTCACTGGCTGATGGCGCCCAGGATCTCGTCGAGGATGACCCAACAATCCTCGTGGATTACACACCTGCGACCTTAAACGTGGACACCGATAAAGTTCCAGTGGCTGAGGAAAGCCCTATCCCTACCACGGGTGAAAGATGTACAGTCTCTGTCAATGATGGTCCAGCAGATGCCATTGGCGATAAATCAACTGCTTTGGGTTATGGAAATCTGACACCTCCCTTTACAGACGGCTTTGATTTACCTTCGGAGGTTGCTTTCGGTGATAGCTCAGAGGTTCCTGTCAACGATAACTCAGACGTTAGGGTCGATGACAGCTCATCACTATCGATCTACAAGAGCACAGCCTTGGTCGACGATGGTGCCGCAGTTACAGACGAACAAGAGCCTTCCAGCTCATCAGGTCGGTTGGATACTATTGAAACAGGCCCTCTTGATGCCTTGGTTTCAACTGATGAGGCTCACACAGTGGATGCCGACATGATTGTCGAAGTTTTGCCTCAGTCACCTCATGACATCGAAGTTGTCGATGCAAAAATCCCCACCGATCCATTGTTCACCGTTTCTCTTCCGGATATTGCATCTTCGCCTCCTGCCACTTCAGGATCGCCGGCGCCAGCAGATCCCCATACACCCCCATTGCCACCACAGACTCAAACTGGTGTTTCTCCGTTATTTACTCCACGCACGTATATAAAGCGTCGCCCGCCAGGTCTTATGACGACACCTCCCTCATCCGAAGGAGACACCTCTGACGATGTGCGGAGTCCATCTCAGCACGATGGGGAAGAGAATCAGCGTGGTCAGGATTCTAAGCCGGAGATTGTTTGTGATCAATCGGAAGACCAGATCATAATGGATTCTCAGGACGCACTAACCGAAATGAATCCGTCTGCCTCGATACGTTCTCCCGGGCTTCCAAGGGAGTCATTGACGCGCACATTACACGTCGCTCCCACCGTGAGCGCCAGAGCAGTGTCTGTTCTCCAACCAGATCCGTATCCTTACAGTTTGTCTACACCCGGTGTCGCTCAGTATCTAAGCAAATCCGGTTCAGATGAAGTGTCTGAAGATGAAAACGACCTGTCAAACACCTCCTCTTCGTCTAATGATAGAGAACTGGAGTCGAGTAATCAGGACTTCTCAGAACAAAGCATTTCGGATTCTTCCTTGGGCGGACATGTACAATCTGAAAAGCCCAGCATCTCAACGAACATTCACATTTTCAAGGATGGCATACCGGGCCCGCAACCTAGCAATTTTTCCGATAATCCTGACTTGACTGGTCCACTAAGCACGATTGAAGACTTGACCGTGATCGAGAGGTACATTTGTCTTCGTTTTACTGTTCTAAAGTGTTTGCTCATAGATTTCCAGTTCGCTAAAGAAAATAAATGGTGTTTCGTCTATCACCCCTCCACCGATACCTCAAATGGCATTCAAAACTGATATACGCTCTGCCGAATATCACAGCCAAGAGACTTCGAATCCAGAATCTCCTTCCGTCGACGGCAATGATCCGCAAGGGTCTACGTCAACTAAGAGGAAACGCACATCATCAGGTCCTAAACGTCTATCTCATACGTTAAGCAGCAAAAGGAAGGGTAAACAGAAAGAAGACCCAAACGGATCTCCAGCTCCTTCAGATGCGACAAGTCCAGGAGGTTTGGCTGCGAAGTTGTTGACATATTCAAGGAAAAGCAGTGTATCTAGGGCCTCATCTTCCACGCCTAGCGAAGTTTCAATCTCTACTTCCCAAGTACCTCCAACACCTACCAAGCCGGCTAACGGGCCTCGTCATCCTCCCATTCACTATCCCCCGGCCTTGTTGCATGGCCATTCTAGCCAGCCTCGCTCGCTTCGTCATCAGCATCATCTTCCGACTGCTGGAACTTCTCGCGCTTCCTCGACTTCTTCTCTTGATCGACCGCATTACTATAGCTCACCCGTGACACGATCCAATTGTCGTTATCGTCGTATCAGCCTTCCTAAAGTAGACAACGGACCTCGCATATCGTTCCTTGTCCCAGGTTGTTCTTTGGGAGATGCTGAACTCATGGAAGACGAAGAAATCGTGGATCATGGAGACGCCACGACCGAAGAAAGTCGTAGAGTTGTTCCAGACATCGAGAACCTGGATTTCAGTCCTTATCTAATCGGGGTTTTGCGTCAGTTAGTAGGTGTAGACCTGCTGCGTGAACAGGAAGTCTACTATCTTTGCGCAGTGGGCGAGGATCCTCGGCTTGTTCAAAAAAGAAAGGCAGACCGGTTTACTCTTAACCAGATAGGGGAATCTAGCAATTCCCCTCGTCCTCCGAGCGAGTCGGTCCGCTCCCCGGCGTCTTCAATACGGCCCCCGGCGTCTGCCGCCTCAGGCATCTCAACAACACCGCCAAGGGCTGTTGTGAAGAAGGAAGATGATTTATACGAATCCTCTATTTCCTTCTCCACGATCGAGTCACAAACTGAAGTACCCACTCCAAGTCCCGCTAAACGCCAAAAAAGGTCTGTCAATACCCCGCCAGCTTCCGCCAGCACATCTCGTACGAGGATGAAAAGCGCGACGAAGCGTTCATCGAAACCAATTGCGTATATTTCTGCGCCTGTGGTGCCAGTGCCTGAAGAGGAGTTTTCAGACCTGTCGGGAAGTGAACTGCCGTTTGACCATCGTCTAAAGGCTAGGCGAGTAAAGAGCTTAAAGAGAACTCGGACTGACGTGCGAGTGGACGAGGAAGAGAGCAGGCGTTTCAAGAGGTTGAAGGCTCGCCTGAGCGACACTCATTAGCGATTATATCGACAACTCTTTGGACACCCTTGCATGCATCTGTACTGTATTTTAGTGTACTTTACACATGATCTTACTTCACGGTCATAAGTAAATAGTAGATCATGTTCATAGCTCTTGTAGTCTCGCCAACGCAATTATATCTTGGCCGTCTTTTTCTTCGGCTTCTCCTCTTCGCCATCGCTGTCATCTCGTTTCCTTGTCTCAGCCATTTTCTTCTTGAGCTCCACTTTTCTCTCCTCCTCTTCCTTCCTGCCCTCCTCGTCGTCAGAGGCAAAAGGATCATCATTTTGCTTCTTCTTGAGTTTGAGCTTAGACTTAGGTTTGGGCTTGGGCTTTTCGTTGAAATATGCATCGCGTAACTCCTACTTCACGGTAAGTTTTGCGATACGATCAAGAACGTCATGGCACCTCCCTTGATCTCCGTATCCTTTATCAACGACGTGGTTTTCCAAATCTACGCGCCAATAAGTTAATGGTAACGAAAAATGGGGGGAGGAAGTAGTGAATTCACCGTAGAAGAGATTCCGGAAGGGTGCTTGCGATCAATACCTGAAGGAAGTCAGACTGTCGGCATTGGGATTCAACGGAGCGAAAGGATAGGTACTTGGGTTAGTGTATAGATCTGTCTTGACACCACTAAGGTTTAACCCATGATGTCGCAGCAGGATTTTCATAACCTATTGTGTCTTGTGTGAGATATAAGGTTAACGAGGATGGGCTCCCAGACCTCTATGACTGCATCTTTATCATATACATTAGGCATGTAGATGCAAAGGACATGCTGATAGTTGGGCTTTTCGTCAGGTGGACACGTCGCCACTTTGGTGCAAAATGCCATGGTTGTCGAAAGAGGACCGTCTACGAGGGACTCTGTACATATTGACGTTAGCGTATACAGAAGGTGTGAAGCTTTGCGATAAACGGACTGGCGACGCTCGACCATATCGAATCAACTTTTTCGGACGACGCAAACACAAGCCTAGGAAATCGAAAACATGAAACAGGATGCACTTCAAGTTGGTCAATCATGGTCCCTACCATTTGCCGCAAGTGTATCCATGTTTGAGTGCTATGTCTTTCAATTTCTCGGCGGCTTCTGCTTGAATCTAGACGGGCGGGCAAATTTCACCCCGCCAAGACATAAAAGACTGGAGAAAGACTTACCTGCTCCCAGACTTCTTTCTTGCTCTTAGCTCCTGTTTTCTTGTTGGAACGAACGGGTATCGACGCGTCGTTCTTCAAATTCAAAACGTGAGTAACCCAGATGTTCTCAATGTCAGTATTTACCTGGATGCTTTGGACCCTCTCAGTAGCTTCGTTCACTGAAATCTAAGCATCAGTATGGACATATAACTGACCGGATGATGTACACGCACATATAACGACTGCTTCAGCGATTGCAGCGGTTTCAGCTTCCTCAGTGCTATCTGTTGAGGCCTCACGGGCGTGGACCTATAACCACTGCATAGTGCAATATTTCAGCAGTTCATCAATCTCTGCATCCATTCACGCTTACCGGCTTCGTGCCGTCGTCTCGAACCATCGAGGGTCGATGCTGTGGCGCGTTCAGGAACCTTATTGGACGCGTTTTTTTAGTTTCAAACCTTTGCTAGGAATTGGTCTAGGCTGATTTCGGGCTCTAAAGGTTTGGACCAGGCGTAAGGATTCTTCAAGGGCATAGAATCTTCTTGTCTAAGCTCGGTGGAAGCCATGGTGGATTTCTTGAAAGGAGGCTAAGATTTGTGGGAACTCAGCGCGTGTCATGATGTGGGCCACGCGACGACTTATTCACGCATGACCCTTGAATATTTGGATTTTCCAATTGCTCTGAATACATCTTAAAACTCAGCGCAGAGAGCCGAATTTTCCAAGCTAAACGCGCCACATTTTCCATTAGACAAGACTGTGATAAGCACAACAACACGGACGTTCTTCTCAATGATGGTCGCATTACGCGATATTTCTTAGCCCGCCAGCCACATCGTTATTAATCTCATTTATAGATTCCCGAATGAGCAGGCCTAGTCTGTTTTCAGAGGGGAAAGTGCGAAATAGGTAGGTTGTCCTGGTACGAAACTACCCCCCCAAATTAAGATTCGCCGGATAGTCATCCACCGTGGGGCCACGTAGACGTGTGGCGCACCAACAGAGTCACTCGAGTTATTGTATTCGAGCGTTAAAAACCCTAGTTGCGGATAGTTGTGATCGTCAATATCAATTTTGATACATGTACACCAAATAGTCGGTACGAAAGTGACTATCGGGCTAAAGCAGGACACTGCGGAGAAATGTCGCTGCCGGCCAACCCTGGCTGCTTGGTGTGGCGTTCGAATGCCGAGTTGGGTATAGCCACGGCGCCCGGGAGGATGAATCTAGGACCGTCACGATGCAGAGTTGGAATGAGGCTGATGGATGGAAGGCTGGCGTTGAAGCGAAACTAATGAGGACAGAATATTGCTAGTTACGACATCAAACGGAGATCGGGATCCACCAAATGCTTCCCTGCTTATGTTTTTTTGGGGAGTTCCGGTCGGCTCCATTTTGCTGTGGGAACGTCAGTCAACTGTCTGGCAGGGCGCCGGAACACGTTGTAGTGAATGAGACCGAAATGGAAACATCTAATAGTACGCTGCGTGATAGAAAACCTTACGAGTGAGTAAGCAAAACTTTACGGACGGAGCAGCAGACATGACGCACATTTAATGATACAATACAATAAGGACAAAATAGATGGTACCCGGTCAAGTCGGTGCACCCTGGTCGGGTAAGCGCTCGATGGCGTACTTCCTCCGAACGATGTACATCAGTGGGATGCCTGGTATTTGACGAATGCGTCGCCGAAGTTCGCGATCGCATGTCGCTACGATGTAGCATTTGTGGGAAGAAACTCTTTGAACGAGGCAATCGTCTGCATAGGTTCCGGGGTGTGTACAGCGCAGACGCTCGAATCGGGGATCTCGAGCGACGCTTTATCGACGTGAGAATGTAAGGTGTTATTGACAGCTGAGGGGACGTACCGAAGAGCGACACGGTACTTGTGTCCCAGTTTCTCGAGTTCGGCCATAACGCAGTCTGTGACACAAGGTATACCTGGATGCGATGAGCAGATGTTGGTGTGAGAAGAGCTAGGACTTACATTTGGCATACAGACAGTCCATCATCCCACTAACGAGTTCGAGCTTATTTTGGAGAGAGAAATTGATGAAATTGGTATCTATGAGGACACGATAAGGAGGGACTAGCGCCGTGTTATGGGCCAGGAACAAGGACGAGGCAACAGGTGCACTATTCATCATTTGTTAGGATCAGTAATGTAGCGGGACCGAGACAGACGTACACCCGTCGAACGGCTTTTGCCTTGGTCTCTTCTTCCTTTTTCTGCAGTTTCGCCTGATTTTCTTTTCTAGAGAATATGTGAAATGCGGGGAAGAGCGTCGGTGTTCCGGACTCACAAGCGAATGTCCTTGGGACTGATCATGCGTTTTACAGCTGCGAATTTCCGCGTTTTCTTTGCTTTTCCCTGTGAAGATTGAGTGAGCGGATGAAACGAAGGCAGCAAGGATGCTTACCATGGTGGTGGGTGAAAATTAAAAGGAACGACAGTCACGTGGGTTTACGCCACTATCTTTCCGTTTGGCACATGCTCGCTGTTGATTGATCAACTCATTCCGAAAAGATTGGAGTGTTTTCGAAGATGGTCGTGGCGACACTGTATTAATTCTGTCCCTGCACGGCTTTGTGATATCCGAGCGACACGTTGCGAGGTGATAAGGAGGAAGCTGAGCGCTGGCCTGCTGGTTTTGCTGGTTTTGCTGGTTTTCTGCCTTGGGAAGGGACAGAGGAGGGACGGAAGGATATCGGGTCGTGGCGCTTGGTACCGTCTGTGGATATAACACTTTGTGGCGCGGCGCCACGGACGGCGCTTCACATAATTCCAAAACAAAACAACCGCAAACGACGTATATGATCAACCCACGATGCTCTCTCAGGGCTCCCAGGCTCATCACCCCTCCATGTCTATTCCACCATCAGCTACCGTCGACGATGCCATCGTCGTCGTCAGCAGCCCCGCCAGCGGTGATGTGGGGTGCGTCCCGTACCCTTTCTCACGCCTTTAATTCTCATTTGACGTCCTACAGCACTTGGAGCCCATGGCCAACTCATCCTGTCGATCCCAGCATCGTACCTACAGTCCCCTCGTCGCCAACCAGCCCTGCCATGAATCTCGTCTGGTACAATACAGACAAGGAATCCATCCCGAAGCTCATGCCTACCAAGATGTATGTCACCGAACCCATGAACATCAGGAAGAAGGTCTGTGCCTTGTCTTCGGCTCCGCTACCGGCTTTTAACGCGTCTGCAGGATGAAATTCTTGCTGACATACCTCCTTTTCGCTACTATCCTCCTTCTCCACCTCCCTCTGAGCCGCGGGCAAGCTCCGAGGGATCCAATCCTCTCCGGCCAGAGGACTCGCCTGACTTGTCATCATTCTCTTCCATGCACGCTGAGACCGGTGATGCGGACACTGAATCCGACTCTGATAAAGGAGAACCACGTTCTCCCGATCACGAGGAGGAGGACACTAGCAGTGACGACCATGACAACCCAAAGACTCCGTCGGACGCTCCCCGACACCAAGCCATCTTCTATGGCAGACAGGAATCTGCAGACTTATTGCAAAGTGTCACAAATGATACAGACTCTATTTGTGTCTCTTCCGTCCGTGCACCCCGTATCATAACTCCGGCTGGCCCTTCGAAACTGCGCGACACTGAACCGCAGGTTACGATACAGGTTCACAAACCAACAAACAGTCGTTCACCAAAATCTTCACCGTCACCTACGACCATTCGATCGGGTTCATCCCGTCGTGCCGCTACCCGTGCGCGTATCGCTACAAAGAAGGTGCAGCAACTGGAGTCGGAGGATGACACCGATGACGACAGTGAATATGAACAGGAATACACAGGTGACAAGCATCCTGTCGTCCAAACCATGGATGAACTTCCCTCCGACGATGAGCAGCAGGTCGACGATGAGTACGATGAACTGGATGACGATGCCGCGCCCAAGAAGCGGAAGATTAAATCTACTAGTAAAGCTTCAAAAAAGCGAAAAGCTACTGAACGGTTCAGGTGCACCATACCGGGGTGCACCAAGACGTTTACGAGGAAAAATGACGTTACTCGTCATATTCGTGCTTCAGGTGCACATCCCGACTACCAGGAGCAGTCCGACAACGTAAAGTGTAAAATTTGCGGCATCGATCTTTCTCGCTCTGATGCTCGTATACGCCACGAACGTACAGATGCCTGCGGGAAACGCAATGTACAACGATCGCGGGACAAGAAGACTCGAACTGCTACCACCTGACATGCCAACATTCGTTTTAAGGTACGCATGATACGCTTGACTGTTTTCCTCCCGCTCATGGCCCTTCGTCAGCCGATCGAGTAACCATCTAAATGCTGTCCTCGTATTACTTTGCTTTTTATACGTGTATCTTTTATCTCATCATTTTCTGTCTTTCTGTAGCATTGTATATCTTACATCTATCTGGGCTATGTGATTTGTTCGTTTTTTAACATTTACATTTACATTCTTATCTTAAATGGGATAGACTTGTTTCCTAGTTTGCACTCCCAATACAACGTTCCTATGGCATGCGGTATTAACCAGGTAAATGCTTTCCTTCCCATTGGTTTGGGCGCGTCAGCTGATGGCTGTCCATATAGGTGCCTTCATTTAGATACCTAGCCTAACAAACGGTGGATACATTTGCCGAAGTGGGGCTTCCGTTTTATACGGGCGGCCCCCGGTCGGTCATTCTAAAATATCAGAACGCATTTAACAATCCTATCATATCGCTTCACCAGATAACCCATCTTTTTGTCAAGTTATATCCCCCTTCAAAACTCGACATTCAAGATGTTTCGCAGTCTTTCCGACACTCGTACATCATTGTCAAGAATGGAGAATGACAGCAGTCAAGTTCATTTCACAATGTGCTGTGCAGCCTCGGCCCTTGAAGATGTTTGTTCATGTACTTGTTTGTGCCTTCAAGGAGGATCAGGACAAATTGGCCATTTTTGCTGCGTCAAGGCCCTCGAAGCTCGGAGGCGGGAACGGGATCTGCTAAGTACATGAGTCACAAGTCAGTAAGGTATTTTCGATCAACTTGACGAAGCTGTGCAACAATCTACGGGCCCTGCGTTCCGGGAGTACACGATTATAAACTCATGGCACGGCGACTTGACTGGAAATTTTCTCGGTGTCCTTCGGTATGTGTTTATTGGTCCAAAAAGCGCTTCCCTCAATCTTCCACCTCAGTCAGCAATAGGCTTCCTTGAATTCAGCTTCTACACTCCAGTCATTTTGGTCCCGCGGTGGATGATGACTTTGCCGTTATCGGTTGAAACCAGTGATGAAACTGATGATCTACAGTACGTATCTTCCGGGGCAGGAACCGAATGCTATGATAATTCATAACCGGAGGTTAGATGACGGACCAGTCTTGAAGCGGTGATCGAATCATTATCTATCGCTGGACCCGTATTTAAAGGACGTGCTGGCGATGACTTGCAACCATCTTCTCACCAACTGTCCAGCTCTTCACCTTCGGCATAGACTTACCCTTACCTCACTATCTAATTTTACTTATCTTAATTCGCTATGGCTATTCTCTCCGAAACTCGCACGGCTCCCCGACGCCTGTCTTCTGCTCCTCCTCCCGGGCTGCTTGACCGTAAAGTTGTCATGCTCAACATCACACCCGTGAACACCATTGCAGAAGGCTCAATCCTTGCTTCCCCGTTGCCCGCCATCACTTTGTTTTCAAAATTCGTCCAATCCTTCAAAGAGCTCGAATCTTACAAGTGAGTGCATTAAAAATCCTCTTATTCTTAACCAGTTCTCATATCGTCACTCAGGAACGGAAAGTCAGTTACTATCGACGGACAGACATTATCTATTGCTGCTATCACCGCAGCATCACGCTATCAGGCCTCCGCGCAACTGACCCAGTCTGCTGAGGTCAAAAAGCGCGTCGAGAAGAGCCGTACTGCCATTGCAGACAAGGTTGACAACGGGATTAGCATTTATGGTGTCTCTACCGGCTTTGGTGGCAGCGCTGACACGCGTACAAACCTCCCTCTGGTTCTAGGGCACAGTCTCCTGCAGATGCAGCACAGTGGTGTCCTGCCGTCTTCGACGAAACCCCTGGACGCGCTTCCTCTTCTTGATCCCATGGGTTCAACCACGATGCCTGAGTCCTGGGTCCGTGGAGCGATCCTGATACGAATGAACTCTCTCATCCGTGGACATTCTGGTGTCCGATGGGAACTCATCGAAAAGATGAAGCAGCTTCTCGACTACAATATCACTCCTGTTGTTCCTCTTCGCGGGAGTATATCTGCATCCGGAGGTATGTACTCCGATGGAAACCCGCGTTTTTTCATAATTGACCCCTTTTGTTGTAGACCTCTCGCCACTTTCTTATATCGCCGGTGCCCTCGTTGGGAACCCGTCAATCCGCGTGTTCGATGGCCCGGCTGCATTTGGATCTCGTACTATTACTCCATCCATCGACGCACTCAGGTCACATAACATCGACCCCTTGCCGCTTGCTTCGAAAGAACCATTGGGCATCTTGAACGGGACCGCTTTTTCCGCCTCCGTTGCCTCGTTGGCTCTCAACGATGCGTTGCATCTCACTTTACTCGCGCAGGTTTGCACGGCCATGGGTGTGGAGGCTCTCGCCGGGACCCGAGCATCGTTTGACCCTTTCATTCACGCTGTTGCACGTCCTCATCCTGGACAGGTATGCTATAAATCACTCTTAAATGTATCAGGGAATTGATATATATCTTAGGTGGAGTCTGCTAAGATCATTTGGGATCTGTTGGAAGGCAGCCAGTTCGCAATGACACACGAAGAGGAGGTGACCATCAAGGAAGACGAGGGTACTCTCCGACAGGACCGCTATCCTCTGCGAACTGCTCCCCAGTTCATCGGTCCCCAGGTTGAAGATCTACTGGCGTCAATCGAAACAATAACCCGGGAATGTAATTCGAGTACGTAGGATTTATTATTGCCCGCCTCTATTTTTAAAACATCATTTTCTTCAGCCACTGATAATCCCTTGTCTGACGGAGAGACAGGCATCATCCACAATGGCGGAAACTTCCAGGCCATGGCTGTCACTAATGCGATGGAGAAGACGCGTCTCAGCCTTCATCATCTCGGCAAGATACTCTTTGCACAATGTGCAGAGCTCATAGATCCTTCGATGAATCGTGGTTTGCCACCTTCCTTGGCTGCTACGGACCCATCTCTAGACTATCATGCCAAGGGAATTGATATCGCTACAGCCGCATATGTCGCAGAGCTCGGCTACCTTGCAAACCCCGTTTCAACACATATCCAGTCTGCAGAAATGCATAACCAAGCTGTGAAGTAAGTCCTCCTTTCTCTCCTGAAACATGGCGTTCTAACTTGGAATTTAGCTCGCTTGCTCTGATATCTGGCCGTGCTACTATCAACTCACTTGAGGTACTATCAATTTTAATGTCGTCGTATATATATGTTATCTGTCAAGGTACGCATTCCATCCATCCGATTTTCAATCGCGTTTTGATGCATTGGAACAGCTCTGGATTTGAGGGTCCTACGAGAGGAGCTGATAGATGGGATATCAAGCATCGTTAAGGAGGAGCTCGTTGATTTATTTGCCCCTATTCTATCTCACCCCGACCTTACCTCCGTTACATCCAAAGTACGGAAGACCCTGATCGACGCGCTCGATCGTACAACGACGATGGATGCCACTGAACGGATGAACAAAGTTGCCGCGTCGAGTACTACAGTGCTCGTTGACTTCTTCACGTCATGCACCTTCATTTCTGGTTCAGCTGCCGGATCAGCGCTAACATCCATTCCTTTATTCCGTTCGCGTGTTTCATCAAGGTCGGCGGCGCTCTTGGACCAACTTCGTCGCGCGTATCTCTCAGGCGAGCGAGGTGCTGCTCCAGCAAGTACGCATTTAAAGAAGACGCGTCCTTTGTACGAGTTCGTCCGTATAACTCTTGGCATCCGGATGCATGGATCTGAAAATTACCACCGTTTTGTTAACGGACACGGTACAGACGAAGTGACAGTTGGACAGAATGTCTCTTTGATTCACGAGGTGAGTTTCTTCTAAGCTCTAATCAGCGAACTAGGATGATAAGATCGCTTCTAGGCTATCCGGGATGGGAAATTGCAATCACTCGTCGTGGGCATGCTGTCCTGAACTTACGTAGTTTAAATGTTACATCACATAATCGTATTGTATATTTATTTCATCTTGGAGAGCTGCGACAGTAGAGTACTTAGAAGAGTACATAGTTCCTAATAAAAATAATCAGCAAGATTCCAAAACGCATTGATCTTGATAGGTTCCAGAGAGCTCCAAGTTTGGGATATTACTATAAGCCTTCGATCTTGTGCTCCAAAATCCAGATGAAAAGTAAATAGTGATTACTTGTAGTACGACTTCTTGGAGACTTGGCAGCTAAGAATGTCAAGGAAAAGACTTTGACATCGAGCAGACGTAAATGAAATTATTTTTCAAGCGTAGTAATAATGAACGATGACTACCAAAAACAGAATGATATGTACCTGAGTGATCGATGACCAAATTTGGAGGCGCGGCGAGTATCTTTTCTTTCCTATCCTCTCGGTTAGATAATCCCAAATCCTGGGGCTCCATTTTTCTCATACAACCATGTGGAGCATTACCGATGCTTTGGTTTTGGAAATGCACATGCTGGAAGCGATTTTTTCAAAACTTGCGCCACAGTTCCAGCCGATCGGACCAAACGACAGCCGATTTCGCAACGCTAGCCACAAGACGGTGTTTATTAACGGTGAAAATTTTTTCGAAGGTTTACAAGGTGCACAAATCCTAAACCTTGTTGTGGAAGAGAAAACGCTGGCAAGCTCGGGCTGGGATGGCATCGAAGGAAGAGGGAGTGGCCTCGCGAATATAGAAACGAGAATACCACGACGGCAATCTTGATAATCACCTTATCCAAGCAGGTGGCCCTCAGAATGCGTCAAATATCAGACGGCGCGTCCTCCTTGAGGTCGACGATGGCTGTTTTCTGAGTATTGCTCAGAAATCGAATCGATCGTGGTCATAAGCAGCACCCTCCAAATACAATCGAGGTCTTTAATCGTATGATGGTGATAATGATCGATAATTGTCCTCAGTCACAATGCCTGTGGACCTAACGATATTTTTCAATAGCGTGTGGTGGATCGGGCTGCGGCTATGAAGAAGTCGTGTCTTGGAAAATAAAATGATAAACTTTGCAGAAGAGACGGTTGGCCCGATAAAGGGGTGACGTGCATTAGTTTAGTGGCACGAAATCTGGCGGTCTTGGGACTCTGAGCGAGCAGGATACTTCGGCAGGTGCTAGGAGCGGATCCGCCCCAAAAGAGCGGAACTTACCTACGAGGACCCCAACCATCTTATCCCTCGGCCTTTATGACCATAGCATGTACATCGACTGATTCTCGTCCTTCATCAATGCAGGGAGTACAGGCGGTGTGATACATGCCTCAGACTCCACGAGATGGGCGGTGTGTTGCGGCGACAGGTAACTCGGACCTATGTGTCGGTCGTAAGGTGAGAATGGTGAGTGGACGTGGTATTGAGATGAATGTATGGCTTAAGAGATGGCTGTAAAATATCCAAGATGAGGGCATGGTGGCGATCACTGGCAACAAGCAAAAATCGTTATTCTGTATTTGGCGCCCGCAGGAAAAAAGGCCATCTCCAGGGCGGCTGTATCTGTCTCATCATCTCAAACACTGTTCTGGCCAATCCATACTGTATTGTAAATTGTCTTTGCTTACCCACGCCCAGTAGCAATGTTGCAGTAAGTATTTCGAACCTTTGGACATAATTGTCGCGATGCTGCTGCTGCGAAGGTGCTGAGACCTTTGGAATACTATCCCTAGATATACACCCAGCTAAAGACCCAATTGTTAAGCGCGTGCTCTGGCCCCCACGGTGGGCGGCTGGACCATAAGCACCGGAACGTCGTGCTCCGAATAATTTTAGTTTCGGCAGCTTGGGAGCTCATTCATACTAGTCCGTACGTATTCCTGCCTGAGTATCTGTCTTGAGCAAGGAAACTCTCAGGCTCTCTTGTTCAAGTTGAATTCAACATCAAATCGGATGACGTCAAGGTGGGTCCTCAGTACCACGCTGTCAACCCGAGGACTCGGACCGATTCAACTCAACTTGGAACTTGCTAACTACCATCACTCTTGGGATTCTCGCCTGCAGGCTTCCGCACCTATCGAGCGAGTCATGGCACCACGGATCTTATGCCTCCTGTCTACGGACCCTGGAAGCTTCTTGTATCCTAACGTTATCCTGGCTGTTAATTGGTTTTCCTTCGGGCCTTCCCCCAAATCGAGCGCGGGCTCGGGGTATGTTCCTGGGACTGTCACTCTGGCAAGGTGGCGAGCACGTTGTAGCAATGCTTTCGGATTCCAGAGCATTCGTGTATATCCAATTATTGAAAGGAGAACTGAACCATCTTGGGAGGAACTTACAGTCGAACCGGAATATATTTGTCTCGACCCTATCAGAATGTCTTGTCTTTGCGCGTGTTCTGATTATCAGGGTAAAGGGCATATCTTTTCGGCGCCCTTCGCTCAACTTCAAGTTCAAATGACTGTCGACAGACTCTCGTAAATGTTTCCAAATTAGATGTGCTGCGATATCCGTTGAAGTCGTATCGAGTCTGTCCCATTCATTGCGTGGCAGTTACGACCTCTAGTGCCCTTGGACTCGTGAACTTGATAGACCACTTCATCCTACTTTTTGCCGAAAAGCTGCCTGTGATCGATGACTCTGGATGTACAGTACACGCACTAACACCGAACTCGGAAAGCTCAGAAAGAACTAGCCAGGAAAGCGAACTTCCAATTAGACCACTATTCCATTTATTGATTTTTTAATCATTTATCTCATGGATGGCTATCGACCTCGTTACTTGTTACTTTTGTTGTGACAATGACTTTATCTCCCTGTCGCTTGTTCTTTGGCCATGACAATTTAATTATGCTTCTCCGAACCGGTCCAACCCTTCGATGGCTACCCGGTGAAATGCCGTGTCCTACACTCTGTGAACTGCGGGCGCCTATCAGAAGTGTTCGAGCTCGAGTCAAACCATGTCAGGAATTAGCCCTGCGTGATGGACCCACGGATGCAAATAGATCAACACTGATCACTGGGAATATAAGTAATCAGGAAGTCCCCTGATGTCGGTACGGAAAACTTCCATGGCCTTGTCGGGACACGACTCAGACTTCGCGTACCTCCGCTTTCCCGACGGAGATCAGTATGTCCTTCTCCTCCCCCTCCTCTTCAGGCTGTCTGATGATCGCGTTTAGGGGTCTTGACACCCTGCCACTCTTGTTGTTTTCCGACCAGATCGATGAATCCTTCGCCGCTGGAAAAGCAATATACGACGAGGTGGATATCTTATTGGGATCGTGACTTGTACTGTACTGATTCTACAATCAAGATCTGTGTCGGCGACACTTGCGTCGAGCCTGAATTGCCGTTCGACTCAGACGTCTACAGTTACAGGGCATGGTCCCTAGCTGTCTCTCCATTAGAGTCTTTTCGTTCCGAGGCGACGAGTCCAGCTTTGACCATCAACCCAGCCACCTTGACCAGCTCCACCTCATCATCTTCTCTACCTTCCTCGCCATGCGTCCCGCCGGACGTGATTTCCAAGTCTGTTGCCGACGACGGGTATGCCGTTCAGAGAAAATACCCTCGCACGCGCTACAGTCGCTACGTAAAAAGAAGAGTCAGCTATTGCGAGGACTCTGACGGTGAAGAAGAACAGGAGCCGAAACCCGAAACTCGGTCGCCTAAACGCGCACGGCACACCCCTCTGAGTACACCTGAGCTAGATTCTGATGTATCTAGTCTTCCCTCCACACCCCTATCGACTCCCAGTCCTGTCGCGCGTTTATCCCGACCGACGCGTCCCCTGCCCCGTAATTCCAACAAGCAGAAACCGAAGGGAAATCGTTCGAATCCCCAAAAGGACTGCGATGACGACTTTCGGCTTGGTGGTAAGCCTAAAGTTTCTGCGAATCATCGTCCTCGCGGGACAGGACATATTCCGTGCGGGAGTTGCTCGGGCATGTTCCAGCGGCAGAATGATCGCAACAGACATCAATTGCGATGTCCCGAAAGAGAACTCGAGTTGGAGGAAAAGATGCGGTGCCAGGGTTGTAGCAGGCTGATGTCACGCAAAGACGCCTTAAAGAGGCATCAACGCACCTGTCGCAAGCTGAATTAGGTTGAGGAGGAACAAGGGATGACAGGGAAGAAGCTTCTCTGATAGTTTGATATTGCTATGTTTCATGCTGTGAAATGTTTTTCTTGTTGGTTTTAGTTCTGTATATATTTTCCATTTGCGTGTTTGTTAGTTTGCCAGATCTCGTCCGCGCGCCTGTGACGTACTACATGATACCGGGATCTAGACCAAGAGTAATATATAGGCGGTGACAAAGGACGTGGGTGTCGAACCCGGAACCTGCACCTTAAAAACGCGTGAAGCCGTAAAGTAGCACAAACTGTCGACACGTCGAGGACTAGCATCTACGGCGAACAAGGGATGGCCGATATTGATGAGATAAAGTATTCGAGCCGGTGTGAACCAGTGAAGCTAGGCTAATCGGGGAGATACAGCTTCAACGAGTTTTCATGAACATGATATATTTAATATTATGGCATACAACAATGCTGAAGGGCGCCGTATCTATGCTCCATCAATAAAAATACATGTCAAGATTTGGTACCACACTCACAGTGCAGACGGTACGAAAACGCCCGATTCAGCCAGGTATAAGAAATTCAAGATAGTGGTACAGCAGAGAGCGGAAGGCGGAAAGATGTGTATTATTATCGTCCTGAACCCGTTGAATTATGAGAAAGTTACGCTTCGTTTTCATGAAGATGTCTGCAGATTGGGATACGGCAATCAGCAAACCTATCAGTCGTGCGGCGGGAATACTCACTGTCCGAGGACTTTGTTCATTCTGAACATGTCAATTTTATCGACGCTGAAGACAGCCCTCAGCTTGTCATCACAGAGGATCTCGCGCCTGTTAGACGGATTCTGCAAGGATTTGTCCTTGATATAAACCCATAGCTGTTTGACGACTTGAGGGCGCGAGAGCTTATCTACATCAAGAAGTGCCGCGAGAGGTACACTTTTGCAAAATAATAGATTAGAACACGGTTCAGTATTCAAGGAAATAATACGCTATACCTCAGTGCATATTCTTTGGCGAATCCTCCTTTAGCAGCACCGCCACCGGCTGACTTCTTCCTGGACTTCTTGCCAGCACCTTCCAGCTCACTGTCAGCATCCGAGTCCACTGTTGCAGCACTCTTCCTGGACCGACCACCGCGTTTAGGAGCACCAACTCTTGCCCCTCTGCCGCCGCCACTACTTCTCCGGGAGCGCCCATTGATCTCGCTGGAAAGCTGGCGTGCCAACTCTGCATCACTCACTCCGCGTGCCTTCTTCGACGACCTCTTCTTCTTCGTTACCGGCGGTGGATCCATTTCCATATCTTCTTCCCCGTCATCCTCTCCATCCCCTTCAGAGTCTCCGTCCTGGCTCCTTGGTTCCTCCTCCTGTGAATCATCACTTCCCTCTCGTTGAAGATTCGCGCTAATGCGGTCATACTCATTGGTAATTATTGCGTTTATACCGTCCTTGTGTTCCTTCAGAAATTCTGCTGATAACGAGTCGTCCAGTTTCAGTAATTGCCTTCGAACCCGTTTCGCGCTGATCGTCGTCAGGTCTGTTCCAGGTGCAGACAGGATTTGCCGAATGAGAGGAGTCAACGTAGAGAAATCAAACGCCATGAATGAATGTTTCTAGAGTAGAGTGTCTAGTGGAATAGAATAGTGAATAGAATAATACTGCCAGTGAGCGCCTCTGGCTGTCTGCAGCCACGGTACACGTGCCACGTGTGTATGCTTATGTTTGGAAATGCCTTCTGGTGCTATTCACACAAGTATTTTACACATGCTCTCGAAAAAATCAGCGAAGAATCACCCACTCGTCTCGCGCTGGATCTCCTGGTGGTGGGAAGGCCCCATTAGCTGCACGAACAGCATCATTGCCCCCTTCTGCGACTCCGGGCCGTTGTCCGTCTTGATCACGACCCTGCTGATCTCGCCGCATGCGGTCTACCATCCGCGTTCGAATATAAATGAGGACTGAGACGGTCAGACACAGCAGGATCAACAACATGGTTTCCGAGAAATTATCTTCTGTCCCATCTCTCAATCCGCCCTCAAAATAATCGTCAGGCCCGAACTCGCTCTCGCGTTCTTCGGCATTTCGACGGTCGCGGGCCCACTTGGAAAATACAGTTAGCAAAGACAGCAAATGACTACAGCAAAATCAACCTGTATAGGATCCTCTTCATCACCATGGCCATGCGCCTGATCTTTTTTTCTTCGATCGAACTCTTCCCTGGCTTTGCCCAGGTACCAAGGTCCCTCTTCGTCATCGCTGTACAGATGCTGCTCCGACTGGACTTGATCAGGCGCAGTCTGCCGTGAACCTTCGTCTATTTCACGCACTTCTTCCTTTGACTGAGAAGCTGATACACCCCAAATCAATATCATCACCGAAAAGTGGGACTGCTGAGTTCCACACACCATCTTCATCATCGTACCAGAGGTTCAGCCCGTCCGTCCCTCCCAAGAGCGTATGCCATATACTACGCACGTACAGCTTTCCTAGAGACAAGATAATGGGGATGTAGGCTTCAGAATTGGTCTCCAAGGCCAAATCGTAGTGGCGCTTAGCGAGATGAAAATCCTGTACAAGGCGATTCAAGTTCGACTTCTATGACAGTCTGATGGAGACACGTACTCGGGGAACACCCACGCCGTTTTCGTACATCCAACCCAAATTCCACATCGCCAACGCACTCATCTGTGTGTCGGCGGCTGACTGATAATATCGAGCTGCTTTCTCGAACCGCACTGATTCAGAATATTCGGGAACTCCCAGTCCGTGATAGTAATAGTCTCCGACTTTGACCAATGCATCCACGTTCCTTTGTGCTGCAGCTCGGGTCCATTGTGTTAAAGCGAGACGTGCTGTATCGTTTGATGCTGTCATTGGAGAAAAGCGTGTCAAGCGCAGAATGCTCTTATCTAAAGAAAGGTCAGTTGCTGTGAAAGACCGCATCGTTGATAGTACGAACCTTGGTCTAGGGCATATGCAAGGTTGTTTTGCGCAATCTCAGAGCCTCTCTCAGCAGCAATCCACCACTTCAGCAATGCAACCTCTTTGCCGCTATCAGTTCCTGAGAACCAGGCGGCTTCGGCGTCTCGCAGCAAATCATCATCCCAAACACCTCGCTCAGATACTAATTTGTGGAACGAAACTGCCATTGCGCACGAGCTGGAAGCCACATTTTTAGGAATTCCAGGCGCTCTCGATTGTGCAGAATGTATTTGACCAAGATAGTAGAAAGCCTCAAACGGAGATCCCAGACGAACCGCAGTCTCAAAATAAGTCGTTGCCAAGCCAAGCTCGCCACGATCTATGTCTACGATCAGTATTTAATTCCAAAACTAAAGGATTGCACTGTACCGAAGTGATATTTCGCAATATTGACTTGCGCCTCCGCCAATTCTTGACCAGCAGCCACAGTAAAAAACTGCGTCGCCTTCTTCAGGTCCGGTTTAGTGCCCGGAACTAAGGCATCCCTCCAGATGATTCCCAGCCCGTTATGGCATTCACGATCAGAATAATCGGCGCCTCTCTCGAACCACATTCTAGCCATGGCAGGGTCCGCTTTCACACCCTCGCCTCGTAGGTACATACGCCCCAGATAACCGGCGCTCGCAGAGGCGTACCCAACTGGCGCACCTTCGTCTTTGATGGATGGTGTCGCTGTCCTGTGCTGAAGAGGATTGGGTGGATCGCGAGGCCATACTTGTCGAACAATCTGCTCAAAGTAGTGTTTCGCGCGCGCATAGTCCCGAGTGATAGCTCCAACCCCTTCACTCCCGGAAGCTATGCCGCCCGGGCTAGCATAGATGCTGCCTTGGTAGTAAATTTTCCCGAGCCTATAAGCGAAGTCCGTCTCGCCGCGATCAGCGTTGAACTAGTTATAGTGTCAGTGTAAGAGTAGACAGGCAACCATCACGCTCACAAGGTAATAATCAATTATGTCCTCCCAGGTTTCTCCAGAGGCGCGTGAAACTCCGGCTCTTATGGCTGCCCGATTAGCATTTAAACCAGTAGAAGATACACTAGCACCAGGTCCATAGACGCCACCATCAAGATCGGAGAGTCTGGTGGGTGTCAGAGGTAGACTCAGACCACCGGGAGGGCCAGCGCGGAACTTGGCCATTGCTTGTTCAGAAGAATGCTCATACCAATCGACAGCTCTGTCGCAATCCTCCAATGTACCTATACCGCTCCAATATCGATATCCTAGTGCCATTTGTGCACCTTTGTCTCCACCGTTGGCTGCAAAGGTGTAATATAGCTGGGCTTTTGCCTGATCGACGGGAACGACATTCTGATAACCCGTTGCGAAAAAAAATGCCAAGAAAGCCTGAGAAGAAGCGTTGCCAGTAAGGGACGCATGTATCGTGTAGGAGTCGTATGCAAGATTTGGATTGGATGGAAAGTGCGATGTAGGAGGTAGCTAAAACTTGATCAGATCTACAAAAGCATGAGTTGAAGTTTGAGTAGCTCACGAGAGATATCTGGGCTAGGGTATAAAGCGCATCCATATTCCCCAGTTCTGCGGAATGCTGCAACAAGTCCACCACCTTGATTGCTTTTCGATGCATCTCCTCCTCTTTTCTTCGAGAACCTGGAAATGGAATTCCGTCTTTATCTCCGCCAAGTATACCATGAAATATCTGCTGTTGGATTCGACCTAATATCCGGACAGCGCTCCCTATCGGCCCTTGTCCGTGTAAATTGGGAAGAAATGAAGAGAATATGGACTTCGCATTCGAATCGCGGGGTGTTGAGAATAAGGATTCGTATGGGGAAGGATGAGCCGCTAGCGCTGAGAGGGTATGCAGAGCTTGTTTATAAGCCCTTACCGCTGAGACCGCATCCGTCAGGCTAGAGAGACCATAGGAAATGTAGATCGCCACTCGCCTTCTGCAGCTGCCTGGCCGAGCTCCTGCGACGACGCGGACGCGCCCTAGAATGATTTAGAACAGAGGCCACAAGCATCGGGATACGGACTTACGGCAGCATCAGAATTTATGCCATCCACACCGGTAGCCACAGGAGAAACGTCGGTGGTTGCTGTTTCCTCCGCCTGATCACCCGAGCCTTGAGCAGAGGCGGACACCGCAGCTAGTGCTACAAGGCCGAACGCGAGCCAAGTAGCCTTTCTTGCCCGCTTCGTAGGCCGCACCTTCATAGTATCCCGTAGTCGTAACGGTAGACTTTAATGGCAGAAAGGAACACAGAGTGGGTATATGTGCCTCCTGGTGAGCGCGTAAGTGTGAAAGAGAGAGTAGAGGGACTCGGTGTCGCATTACACGTAGTTATCACGTGTCGTAGGCATGCCATTATCTTATCAGATAAATTGAAAATCAAATTAATTTTTTTTAACTGTGTTGTCCTTTTATCTTGAAAGTTGTAGTCAGAGTAGGTCACCAGAATATTTGTAGTGGAAATCGAGAAAATGACTGTGGTGCGGCACCGTCACGCGATCGTCATTGACATCAATTTTGTCATTCTGACTCTGAGAGTAATGATATAAATATTACCTGGACAAGTCACGACCAAACTGTTTTCTTCAATTTCTCGTCTCTCCCGCCGGGGACTCAGTCTCTTTGGTCGTCGTGCCATGAGCACCCAGGATCTATTCCAGAATCCCAAAGCCCAGAACCAGGATTCTCAGCTCATCTCTGACCTCGCCTCCCTCGCAAAAAAGAAACCAAAACTCGTCAAATCGACCCTCTACAATGCACCGGCAGATCCAACCATCAAGGTGTGCAGCTGGAAAATGAACGAATACAAGTACTACGATGTTCCTTCTCCATTTCCCTCTCTTGTTCGCGGTATCTTCTCGGTCGACCTCCCGGAAAATAGTCACCGGATTGTGGCCAGGGGCTACGACAAATTCTTCAATATTGGGGAGGTTCCTTGGACAACGGTGGATATCTTTTACTTTTACATGCTCCACGAACTTACACCTGGCCTGTAGTGGGATGCCTTGGAGAAGCATACAAGCGCTCCGTACCTGCTTTCCCTCAAGTCAAATGGTTGCATCATCTTCATCGCAGCACTTACTCCTTCAAAGCTTCTAATTACTTCCAAACATTCCATCGGTAAGGTTGGAAATGCTGAGAAAAGTCATGCAGAGGTTGGTGAGGTCTGGTTGCGCAAGTACCTTGCACAGAAGGGTCGAACAGAGGCTGATCTTGCAAAGACGCTGTGGGATAGCAACTGGACTGCTGTAGCAGAGGTATGCTCCCTGATATAGCTCATATACTTTTCTGAACGGGACTGCAGCTCTGTGATGACTCTTTCGAGGAACATGTCTTGCCATACAGCTCAGAGCTAACCGGTCTTCATCTTCACGGAATTAACGAATCTACTAAAAGATTCAAAACGATGCCCCAGGATGTCGTTGATACATTTGCAAACGAATGGGGTTTCATCAAGACACTTTCAACAACTTTGAATACGATAGAGGCGGTACGGACATTCACCGATTCGGTCTCAAGAGCGGGTCATTGGGAAGGTCAAGCAGTAGAGGGATTTGTGGTCCGTACACACATCCGTGAACTACCCACCAGCGACCGCCCCAGATCTGCCCCTCCATATGCCACTGGTTCTACCTTCTTCTTCAAAGTAAAATTTGACGAGCCTTACATGATGTATCGGGATTGGCGAGAGGTCACCAAGATGCTCCTGGGGCAAAAGAGCGAACCATCGGAAAAGTCACTACCCATATCAAAGATGAAGCGGCCAGAAACCAAGCAGTATGTTCGTTGGGTCATAAACGAGATCAAGCGTGACAGAAAACAGTTCGCCCAGTTCGGAAAGGGAAAAGGAATTATTGCTACTCGGGAACGGTTTTTCGCCTGGATGGAGCTTAACAAACACAAATCGGAGGTACAGACGTCTCGTCCTGCGTCGCCAGCCACCAAAGAGTTCGGAAAGACCGTCATTGTTCCGGTGGCAATCCCTGGTTGTGGTACGCACGAGCTTGATGTCCAAATATTTATATATTCATTTAAACCTCTTAGGCAAGACAACAGTTGCCGTTGCGTTAGCTCACATCTTTGGATTCGGTCACACTCAGAGCGACGATGTTCGTGTCAAGAAGGCCGCCCCAGTCTTCTTGAAGAACGTCACTTCGTTGCTCGGCAAGTACGATGTCGTCATAGCGGACAAGAACAATCATCTGCTCCAGCATCGTGACGGGCTTCGTGAGGCTCTATCGTGTTTTTCTCCGCCCGCTCGTCTCGTCGCGCTCAATTGGTCCTGGGCTCTTTCACTGAAACCCCCTTCGACTATCCATCGTATTTGTGGCGACCGGGTCCTGCTGCGCGGGGACAAGCATCAGAGTCTCCACGGCGACAGCCAGACGAAAGCGCATGAGGAGGTCATTTGGCAATTTATTAATAAAACTCAGGAACTAGCAGAGAGCGAAGTAGATGCGTGTATCAACATGGAGCTGGAGGACACTATGGAGCAGGCAGTAGCGAGAGCAGTAGAAGGATGCGTTAAGGCCCTTGGATTGGAACAGCCGAGTCAGGAGAAGATTGACGAAGGACTGCAAGTGGCATTAGGATACGAACCCAAATCGACGAAATCGGGGACCAAGAAGGCAGAGAACAAAAAGCCGCCGAAAACTTCGCCCATACGCTACTTCGGGCTTGTGACGGAGGTCAGTCTTCCTGAGGTGCTCGAGAGCAAGCTGTCGAACGATACATTTTGGACCCAACTCAAAGCTAGCGGACGGGTGATCAAGAGACCACATGTAACTATCGTTCATCAGAAGGCGTTGCCAGGAGAGACGGCGCTCTGGGAGCGATGCATGGCTCTTCATCAGCTGGGCATGCCTCCGACATTTGAGCTCAAGCTTGGCAGCACCGTTTGGAATGACAGGATTATGGCCATTTCCGTGGATGACTTGAAGCTTGTCGATGAGGGAGATGGCGGACAAAAAGGAACCGAATTTTTGGAACAGGTGGCTGAGAACATCAAGAGCCGACTACATATCACAGTTGGAACGCGAGACGACAAGGTCCCTCCTGTCGAAGCTAAAGACTTGGTTCAGGAGTGGAGAACGGCAGCTCCGGCGGCTGAGGTCAAGTCAGTCGTTCTGGAAGGAGTTGTCGTGAGAGGCAGGATAAAGGGCCTGATCACTTAAAAGTCGTTCATCACACTAACATGATATTGTACACGCGTCGCATCCATATCGCATCCATACCCACTCTGTACAATATATACTTAGCAACCCGCCTCCAAGAATTATTTAGAATTTGACGTCGAAGTTGATTGAACCTCAATAGCAGGAGACGGATTGAAAATGAGGGTCCGATACCTCTTCAGCTCTAAATTGGACGTGAGGACATGCAATCATTTCAAAGTTGGACGATACGTACCTTCAATAGAACTTTTGATATCATCCAAAGCACTGAAAACAGGAAGTCGGTACGTGGGAAAGTTCATGATTTTGCACCTACCGGTGGGTGGTTTCGTGCTGCCGATCCCTAAGGCCCGGGTACCATCTATGTGAAAGTTCCTATATAAAAGGTGGTATAAGAGAAATTGTTATACAGGGGAGAATGAGATTACCTTGACAGAGGATACATCTGAGCCCTCGCACTTGAGGATCAGGAGCTCAGTGAACATGACGCTGAAGCAAACGTACCTACGATTCTAGATATGTATCAGCAAAGGAATTCTGTGGAAAGCAGCGGTTTCTCACCGATAGCGAAGCCAGTTGATCACTTCTGGCATTTGTTCAAGGAGGAACAGGCGATCTACGTGGACGGAACTGCCAGCGAGTACGCCTGTATTGTAGGGCACCCACTTTTGAATATAGGACAGTACTTTTTGTCTGACAACGTCATGGGTCCATTGCGACGTTAAGCATGCCTGGGTAAGACCTGACTGGACACACGGTTAGCCGGAATACGGTAACGGCGCGATAGTCCTACTACCTCGCCGTGCGTTTTGGTACACCATTCATCCATTCTGTGATATTTAGCCTTGAACATCATACGACGTATTTATTTTTTTTGCTCACCCAGTCAGAATGGACTTTTCCGTTCTCACAACGTAGTCGATGCCTTCGTCGACAACCTGCAGGTTACCGTCTGTGATCAGAACCTTTAGACAGATTGAGGGAGATGGGAAAGAGAATGGCAGAACGACGCACGGCAATCTCGATAATCTTATCCTTCTTGTGATCCAGTCCGGTCATTTCACAGTCGATCCATACTAGGGGGCCTGCAGCCCTGTCGAGAGGTGCTTGAAAAGCCATCGGACGCGTGCTGAAATAATTGCAACGCAATATGGTGCTAGGGAGACGGGGAGACTTGGACGACGATATACAGAGCAGCTTATATACTAGGCTGCGAACGCGAAACATAAAAGGAAGAGGACCGTCCACGCGGTAGTCTGTAAAGCACGGGCAAACAATCCTCCTCTTCGCCACCATGACGGACTCGGAAGGACTGGTATACTCTCTCTCGACGATACTTCATGATTTGCCGTACGATTCTTTTCTTTCTTAGTATTTTACAGCTAATTATATATCAGAGCGTCCATTGAAATTCTTCCGGGTGGAATCGAAGAATGGTCGTCGGATGGGCCCGACGGAAATAAACCTGCATTCCTTCTATCTGAAGGCCACCTGGGTGTTCCCCAGAAGGTGCTATATAAGCTATATCTTGCGGCCACTGCCATGTTCACTGCAGCTCGTCGGCAGGCCCAAGATCATAGTGCTTTGATCGCGTCTTCCATCGTCATCATCCTAGCCAATTCAGCCCATCAGACCGCGTTGAATACACGCAAGCGACTCATCATCTCCGGAAAACTAGATCCCAACAAGGAGCTCATGCTGATAGCTACCATGATTTCCGGCAACCGTGAATGTGCGAAGCAATCCATGATTTGGGCTCACCGTCGTTGGATATTTGAGCTCCTCTATCCTCCGAAGCCATCCTCTCTGCTCCATGCTCAGTTACCGGTTGCCCTTGTTCGCAGTGAGCTTCAAATTCTTGCTCAGAGTTGTGAATCGTATCCCAGAAACTACTATGCCTGGACCCATCGAAGTTATTGCATGCATTGCATCATGGATGTAGTGACAACTACGTCATCTCCTACTGCGGAAGGCATACTTGAGGAAGAATATTTGAATGTTCTTCGTTGGGTCGATCTTCATGTATCCGATTACTCTGCAATGCATTACTTGTGTCTCCTTGTGCATCATTTCAATATGCTGCAGTCCAGCACACTCAGCCTTCAATCGATGAATTCCACCTCACTTTTTGACCATGCAATGTCCTTGCTCTCATCGTATCCTAAGCATGAGGCATTATGGATGTACATCCGGTCCGTAATAACATCTTCCGTGGTAGTAGCCGACAAAGCGGCTATGATTGCACGCATACAGTCGAGTAACGAAGGTGGTCAAGACTATTGGCGTCAGCTTTATGCTTTCATCCGGAGGCTACCAACAGACTAAATAGCTGAGTTGTTACTTAGATCGAAGATACGGTACTACACAAGGTACAAGGTGCATAAATTATAGTTTATAATTAATTCATCACGCTAAGCATCACCAGTCTAGAAATCCCAGAGGGTACCCTAACCCAACATCAGTACTTATTAGCATTCCCTAAGAAGGATCATTATGCGTACAAAAGCAGGGATGCTCGCGGCCTTGCAGCCTTCCATCATTTCCTTGTTTCCAGACCGGTTTGATGTGATGAAAACCACCTCAGCATCCCACGATATGTAGGCTTCCTTGATCAACTTCATGACATCTGGTCGGCCACCTGTGAACAGGTCAATTGGCGCACACCTAAAATAATAGCACAATCGCATACCACGTTCCTTTGAGTCCCACAAGATCGATCGCCCAGGACCCAGATGTTTATGGATGAGACCTGAGATAGTGGGACCGAACGTCTTCTCTTGATCAGAACCGATCCAAATTAAATACCTAGGACAAGCTCGAGCTACATGTGCCGTGCAAAGCACACCCATGTACGCACCAATCAGGACTCTAACAACATGCCGTTAAGAAACACTTCTTGGAATACCATAGCAAACTCACCTGTATACACGTGGATAATGCGGCACCTAGACCTGTTCCAGTACAAATGCGTATTCCGCGCTTGTACAACGTGGAGGTGTTCGACACGCCGGCAAACTGATGGACAATCAGTTTCAATGAGTTTCAATGAGACGAGGAAATGACTTGTGACGAACTTTCAGTTGCCTTGTCCAAACAGTAGTAGGAGGATTCTGGACTAACTCGCGAGTAAAGTCACCTTGGACACCACAGATCAAGAAATGTTCTTTCGAGTGTACCCCTTCCCTGTAACTTGCATGTCAATGAAGGTGAATACGAACGTGTATTCCGCTCACGAAATAATTCCAAATGCATGATACTCCATGATGGACGCTCTCGAAATCCTGGCGAGCAATCCCTGTTGCATTCCACGCTCAAATCGTAGAACAACCACCTTCGGCGAGGGCTAAATATACAGAATAAGACAGATGTTCTGATATGATGTAACCGGGCTTACAATTTCAACATCTACCCTAACTTCCCTGACAGTCAGCCAAGGTATTATGATGCTGTCGGTATCGCTCAATTAGCGAACAACATAACATTGAAGCATAAAACTGACAACACGGTCATCCCAAATGCGAACCAAAATTGTTGTTGTCTAATAATATGAATGCCGTCTGGTTTCCAAGAGTGTGTTGTAACGTCGTAGCTGTCACCAAGTACGACGAACGCCCAGGCTAAAAGCTAGTATGAATTGAGAACCACTTCGCATAATAGCCGAACGCACTACATAACAAGCCGAGCCTACACATCGTACGTTAGATTTCAAACTATGGGAGGAAATACGACAGTAATTTACCATCCGACAAATCGGTGGTGCCGTTCAAAGACGCTACAAAACCATGAATACAGCACAGAAGAGGCAATAGCTAGCGCTCACTTATGATAAGTATTCCGAACCCACGGGAAAGCAGAAAGAATAGACACCGCAACAGCTAGATTTGTTATAACTCCCATAATCAAGACTACGTCATGATTGTCCTTATGGTCGATGAAAATGAGAATCACTCTAAATATCAACCACATAAATCCAGACGTAGCACATCCCGAGTGGATACCACCTAGGTGTTGTAGTACTGATGTGCAGCCCAGGCGGAACCATAGAGGAGGCCACTTTCCACAACGTGTCAGCTACAAGCAGCGATATTTGATAAATTATTAAAGAACGAACCTTTGCAAACAATGTAGTAATAATGAGGTATAGAAGTCGCCCAAACAGTTCATTCCGCATTAGAATAGCGATGAGGAGGTTTCCTAGAATGAAAGCGCCTGTATAATCGCGAGGATACTTCCACGTACTGGTAGCTGCGAGAATTAGTCCTGTGATATTCATAGAGACGACGAAGGTATAGAATTTCCTGGACATAGGTGAGATGTTTGCTACGCTGCTGAATAATGGGAATTAATCGAACCGATACGTATTAAACCACAGTTGCCAACTTATCCAGAGGTTGGCCCTTCTCGTTGGTCGGGCAGGGGCCTTTGGCTTAGCGAGGTAATCACTAGCTTTAACTGGGAGAGAGGGTAGGGCCCATGGTGAAGCAGAGGCTGTCGGAGACCGGGAGTGAATGATGTCGGCAATGCCTCTCTCTGCGTCATTTACCTGGTGAGAAGCCATAATGATCCGCTGAGGGTCAACAAAGTATCATCGAACGCCTTTCGCATTTAAGCAAAAGCCAGAGATCGTGTAGTCCTTCAGCCCGGATCTGGATGCTTCAATGTCTATCAGCATTCCAGAGTATTGCCGAGGTACACGATTTTCGCTGATTGCTCCTCCGAAGTCCTGGCGGCCAGGCAAGTTCCGTGTGTGAGAATGACTTGCTCCATAACGTGGTTGGGGGGCGACAGACGGAGAAGGCATCCCGTATCACCAACATGAGGACATCGAGCTGGCGATGAATTAACGTCAGAAGAGTTCAAGCTGGCGAGTATACACTGGCTCAATGACATCGTAGTTCCTCCAGCGAGACATGCGTTATAACACACGTATACCTTAAGAGTATAGGCATGTTGGGCGAGCGGAGCTGACTCCAATGAAACGCCGCCTTCCCTGGTCATGGGAAAAACCATGTCATTCATCAGGGCTTGAAAACCTCGGTATTGAAATGAGCGATACGGATACTTTCGGCTTACGGTGAGAGGAAACGCATACAAAGCTCGGAATTGCACTCTCTATCGAAGTTGAGGAACCGCCATGGTTGATTGTCTAGACCAAGAAGAAGACATTCAAATCAAGGGAACTGAGGTCAGGCGATTCTAGAGGTATAAAGCAGTTGACATTTATCCGAGAACAGCCTCGCAACAGTCATTGCAGGACTGGCACCAATAGAATAAATGGAAACTTGAACAATAACGGTCAATTTCAGAAGCTCTAACGCTCTAACGCGTAGAATGAACGTTGGCGCACCCGTCGAGCATCACAGGAAAGAAGCTAAGCATAGGACGCAACCTATTTGCGCGTCGATCTACAGCCTTCCTATAGTCAATGTGTGGAATCCTCGGGCTCAGAAACCTCTACCTTTCCGGTCTGTGTTGGCAGGGAAAGGGAGCGATTTACCGGAATCAATCAATCAATCAATGAGAGCACAAGAATCAGCGACATTCATACCCATCATGATTTGACCGACAGTACGCCGTATCCAGCAGTAAAAACGTTTCGATCAGCGCTATGACTTGTCCAAACATGAGCAGTACTACAAAGTTACTTAGTAGTAAGCAATACTTCGACATCGTGGAACTTCATCAAGGTTGGTGATCATTGAAGTTCACGTTCAAGATAAACATAAGAAGCAACGCATGTTGTTACTTCTTCCGAGGATTCTTCTACTTCCGGACGACTGTCGACTTGTGTCTCTCAAAGTCGTTGAGGTAGGGCTGTGGTTATTATGTAAAGTCGTGGGGACGCGATTCGGAATTCGGGACGTGATCCGTATTAGGGACCACGTGACGATAACTCTGAAAAATAATCAGTTATTGAATTTATTGCCCTTTTTAAACTCGAGTCATAGTCGTCATTTGGCTTGTCTCCCGCGACGATGAGCTTGCTACGAGGCGCATCGTCGGCGTACCGACATATTCCTCGTATATCTCTCCGATCCTTTCACACCACCGTTCCTCGTCTTGTCAAAGCGACTAACCCTATTCGTGCAGTCGCGGCCCCGGCAGTTGGAAATTACTCTCCCAAGGATAATGGGAATGCACCCAGTTCTCCCTCAGAAATAGCAAGAAGAATATCAGCCAAGGTTCTGCCCAAACTTCCTCGACCCAAAGTTAAGAAAGTGGTGGTTGTTGGTAGTGGAGGTTTAAGCATTGGACAGGCCGGTGAATTCGATTACTCTGGATCTCAAGCATTGAAGGCTCTCAGCGAGGAAGGTATAGATGCCGTGTTAATTAACCCTAACATTGCTACTTGGCAAACGTCCCACCAACTGGCTTCCGAAGTCTACTTTTTACCCATCACTGCCGACTATGTCGCCTACGTGTTGGAAAAAGAGCAGCCAGACGGTATCCTTCTCACTTTCGGTGGCCAGAGCGCTCTCAACGTCGGTATCGCTTTGGATAAGATGGGGATTCTTGAACGGCTTGGAGTCACAGTTTTAGGGACACCTATCCAGACGCTTGAAGTTTCTGAGGATCGTGATCTTTTTGTACAGGCACTCAAGGGTAAATCAACCTTTCCCTCCTTTTGTATAATACTGATGCTTAATTCTGATTAGAAATCGATATTCCCGCGGCGAAATCAACAGCCGTCTCCTCTGTTAATGCAGCTCTTGCGGCAGCAGAAACCATTGGCTATCCCGTCATTTTGCGATCTGCATTTACGCTGGGTGGTCTCGGATCTGGTTTTGCCAATGACCCGGATGAATTGCGCGACTTATCTGCGAAGAGCCTTAGTTTGAGTCCCCAGGTATTGATTGAGCGTAGCATGAAAGGCTGGAAAGAACTCGAATACGAAGTTGTTCGTGATGGTGCAGATGTACGTTTTAGCTTCGGTCGTTTGAACCGTTTGCTTACTTGCTATTTGAGTTAGAACACGATCATCTGTTGTAACATGGAAAACTTCGATCCTCTAGGAACGCATACCGGAGATTCGATCGTCGTTGCTCCCTCGCAAACACTGCCTGATGACGAATACCACATGCTTCGAAGTGCAGCCCTTAAGGTTATTCGTCATCTGGGCGTCGTGGGTGAATGCAACATTCAATACGCTCTTAATCCGACATCCCGAGAGTACTGCGTTATCGAAGTCAATGCCCGGTGAGCTTCACGCCTTGTTAGTCTCATACTCAACTAACATTGTGTTCTCAGATTGAGTCGTTCAAGGTACTTCTGATTCTTAACTTTGTAAAACATCCCTAATGTGAGCTCAGCGCTCTGGCATCCAAAGCGACCGGTTATCCTCTCGCCTACACAGCCGCAAAGATTGCTCTTGGTTATACGCTTCCTGAACTTCCCAATGCAGTCACCAAAACGACAACGGCTTGCTTCGAACCGTCTCTTGACTATATTGTTACGAAGATTCCGAAATGGGATTTGGCTAAATTCTCGTCTCAGGTCAATAGGGAGGTTGGATCGGCCATGAAGTCAGTTGGAGAAGTCATGGCTATTGGTCGGACCTTCGAGGAAAGTTTGCAGAAGGCCATTAGGCAAGTCGACCCACGGTGGAAAGGTTTTGAGGCATATGTCTCTCCCGAGGATTTGGATAAGGCCCTGTCAAAACCCACGGACATGAGGCTATTCGCTATTGCATATGCTATGTATAACAAGGGCTATACCATTGATCAACTCCATGACTTGACCAAGATTGACAAGGTGTGTATCAGTTTTAGATATCCAGCTCCTTCTAAATTTAGTGCACCAGTGGTTCCTCCATAAGATCGACAACATTGTCCAAACACATCATACTCTGAAGGCGACTGGATCAATTGAAGCTATAGGCCATGACCTTATGACTCGTGCCAAACGCATGGGCTTCTCCGATTCCCAGATTGCGGATTTGGTCTCATCTACTGAAGATGTTGTTCGAAGGGCCAGGAAATCTCTTGGGATTACACCCTTCGTAAAGCGCATTGACACTCTCGCTGCCGAGTTTCCGGCTAACACCAACTATCTGTACACAACGTACAATGCCTCAGAACATGATATCGACTTTGATGAACACGGAACCATGGTTTTGGGCAGTGGAGTCTATCGAATCGGCAGCAGCGTCGAGTTTGACTGGTGTGCCGTCACCTGTGCCAGGAAACTGAGGGACATGGGCAAAAAGACGGTCATGATCAACTATAATCCTGAGACCGTCTCGACAGATTTTGATGAAGCTGATAGGCTATATTTCGAAGAGCTTGGATACGAACGTGTCATGGATATTTACGAGCTTGAGCATGCCCAAGGTGTAGTCGTCAGCGTTGGTGGTAAGTTTACCTCCGATTTTGGATGCGATGCTGTTGACCTGTCTTCTAGGTCAACTCCCGCAGAATATTGCCTTACGACTCAAACAAAATGGCGTCAATGTTCTTGGAACGGATCCAGAACAAATTGACAACGCGGAAGACCGTCACAAGTTCTCCTCTGTACTTGACAGTATTGATGTTGATCAGCCTGAATGGACCGAAGCGACCTCTTTGGACTCTGCCAAGGCCTTTGCGGCTAAAGTTGGGTATGATTGTTTCGTTCTCTCTGACCGAGAATACTCGTTAATAATGACCTAGATACCCTGTCCTTATTCGCCCTTCATACGTGTTGTCTGGTGCCGCGATGAACGTGGTCTATGAGGAGGTGACTCTTGAGTACAACCTCTCTGCTGCTGCTTCAGTGTCACCTCTCCATCCCGTTGTCATTACCAAGTTTATCGATGACGCTCAGGAAATTGACGTTGATGCAGTTGCCCACCAAGGTAAACTCCTGGTCCACGCTGTTTCTGAGCACGTCGAGAACGCCGGCATCCACTCAGGCGATGCGACTCTCGTTCTTCCTCCCTTCTCTCTTACGGAACAGGATTTGGCCCGCTTGAAGACAATCGCTGAAAAGGTCGCACAAGCTTTCCAAATTTCCGGACCGTTCAACATGCAGATTATCAAGAAATCAGCCAATTCTCCCGATGAGGAAGCTGCACTTAAAGTTATCGAATGCAACCTCCGAGCATCCCGCTCCTTCCCCTTCGTATCCAAGATTCTCGGTCACAACTTCATCGACACGGCTACCACTGCTATTGTTGGTGAAAATGTTCCTGAACCAGTGGATCTTATGAAAGAAAAGCGTGACTATACTTCTATCAAGGTCGCTCAATTTTCTTGGACTCGACTGGGCGGTGCTGATCCTTTCCTCGGCGTCGGTATGTAACCTTCTTTCTTGTTAAATATACTTTTATATTGAATTTATCGATGAAGAAATGGCTAGCACAGGTGAAGTAGCAAGTTTCGGGAAGGATATCCATGAAGCATATTGGGCATCACTGCTCAGTACAACAGGGTTCAAAGTTCCCAAGGCCGGATCAGGAGTCCTCATCGGAGGAGATGTATCTCGCCCAGAGATGGCTAGTGTCGCTAAGCAATTGCTTGACCTCGGCTTCAAACTCTACTGCTCCTCGACTGTGGTGGAAGAATTCCTCAATGATATTCCATACGTCACGGCCAAACGTATATTCTTTCCTACTAAGGACAAACGAAAACTGAGGGAGGTCTTCGATGAATACGAAATCCAATGTGTCATCAACCTATCCAAGTCTCGAGGACTAACTTTCACTGATGAGGATTACGTAGCTCGCCGGTAAGTAGTTACATGATCTCCAGGGTCTCCAGCTAATCGATGCCTTCAGAAACGCCGTCGACTTTGGATTGCCTCTGTTGAATAATGCTCGGACTGCTCAATTGTTTGTCGAGAGCTTGGTGAAAAAAATACCACAGGGTGGCCTGAGGAGTTACACGGAAGGACGAATACCCAGTGAAGTCAAATCTTGGCGGGAGTTTGTTGGAAAGCGAGCATGATTGCTCATTGCTCGAAAAAGGTATCAAAAGGAACATTGCAGTTCCATGTATTTTATACTATAGACCACGATTTACTTCTAATCTGTATGCTGGCGCTCAAACTCTACGAGCCAGATCTTCCGACGTGCATAACTGATCCAGATCCAGCTCTTGTCGTTCGGTGCCCGCTCTTGAATGATCACTGTGATCCGCCTCGCGATCGAATGCAAATTTCTTCCCCGCCGTAGGTTCCGTTTTTCCTTCAAGCGCATCTGCAACGAGTCGACCAATCACAGGAAGGAACTACGAAGGTACCAAAGCGCCCGTTAGTCACCGTGTGTCTGGTGAATAAGCGTCGAACTAGCCTTATAAGCGTGTCCGTTGCCTGCAGTCGCAAAAATCAAAGCGCTATCCGTTGGATGAGAGCCGATTACCCAATCCCCGTCCTGAGTGTCTGTATACCAGCACAGTCGGGTGCGAAGCAGTGATTTGTCGGCAAGCTCGGGGAAAACTTCTCTGAATCGAACTCTGAGTTCATTGAGATCGGCCTTTGGAATACGAAGTCCATCTTCCCCATCAGAGACCACTGTACGAGGCGTTGATATCGCATCTTTGGTATGTGTGTACCCGCGAGAGTGGATAGCCATTTTGACTATATTATCTGCACTGGGCTATTGAAAAGTCATCTTTCCTGAACTGAACTGAGGAAGCGACGCTTACCGGAAAGCAGTAAAACCCCGAATCGAAGTCTAGCACAACAGGGATATCTCTATAAGTCTTTGCCTCTTCAGGGGTAAGTTGAACCATCGTAACAGATTGTCTAAGATACCATGCCATTAGGTCGGAAAGCCAACTGACGGTCGTTTGGGGCATACGCACCCTGTAGCCACAAATTTGTCCTGAAGATTGAGCTCTGGAAAAGCGGAGGGTGTCCAAGCACCAGTAGCGATGACAATATACTTGGCTCTGAAGGAAGATCCATCCTTGCACTGCACGCCCACAGTCCTGTCGTTCTCCTTTAAGAGCTCACTGACAGTCTTTCCAGGAAGCACCTTTCCTCCCAGTTGGATAACCTTTGCAGTCAAAGCAGAAACGCCTTTCGCTGCATGAGCCCATCCGCCGTCTAAGTTGAGGTATCCAGTGACCTTATCAAAGGACCCTACCTTGACGCCGTCTGGAAAGATACCCCGAATAGCGTCAGCATTCTCTAGTGTTTTCAAGCGCAAACCCAGCGCTACATCGCCTTCATACGATTGATGTACGTAGGAAGTCGCGGAACCAAGAACAAGAACACCTGATCTAAGTCAAAGTCGTGAGTGAATTTTTTTTTGGCAGAGTGTGATAGATTACTCTTGATAACTGTCTCCAAACAATTCTTGGTTCTTCCACGATTGAATAGCATCGTGAGCGAGATTGGCATAAAAAGGGTCGTTGTAGGACGTGCGTACAACTGCCAATAATTTAATAGAGGATCACGAATCAGGAAGACTTATGTACTCCTATTGAAGTCATTACTCGTTCCATCGGCTGGGGGCAACGACTCTCCTCTCTCGATGACTGTTACGTCGGTGAATCCTCTGATTAAAAGGTGATATGCTGTGGAGATACCAAAGACCCCCGCGCCAATTATTAAGACACTGTCGTTCACCTGGGCCATGATATCGAGGGATGATACAAAGTTAAGGATATTCTATCAGCCGAGGCCCCGGGTTCATTGTTGACAGTGTGCTCCCGTTCCGTTTTCTGTATGTGGGAATTCCATGGGCAGGGAAGGATTTCATCATTTATTAAGAACGCATATGAGTGTTTTGTCGCGGTCGGATCTTCTCTTGTAGACTCTGAGTGACAGGATGATGTCCCTCTGAAAGTGATTTAAAGTGAATCAAGGACCGTGAGAAATTGGCGAAGCCTTTTGCCAGTGGTTGGCTGGCGCTCTCCACTCGACAGTACGCGCCAGACGGACTTTTGTGTACCCTACGGCATTGATCCAAGTCTGACTCCATCGAGGCTTCAAGGCGGATAATTGAATAACTGATTGGGTCATCCCCAATTTCACGAATTACACTCTTACCAATTCCAATGAGTCGGATTTGCGGTGTACATGTCCTGACAGGTGCGGGGATGCACACAAGAAGAGCCACTTCAAGATAGCGACGACAACAAACACGACGATATCAGATTTAGGAAATGCTGCATTACTGCTGGAGAAATGTCGGCCATCCGGGACTACACCTTCAAATTTTCGGGAAATACCGTTTCCCTGAGACATTGAAACAGACCCTCCCACACCCGAGCTCGTCATTGGTGGATGGCCATATGTCGGTGTATAAGTTTCAGTATTCGCCCGTACTACATCCGCCGCTTGGGACGAACTTGCAGGGTAACGGTTGATAATTGTAAGGATGTACGTATTAGTCCTGAATCTTCCGGCTGTGCATGCAGAGGCTCTGAGGTTCGCCAGCTGGAAAGATGTCGCACAAATATCTGATAATAAACAATATGAGCGACGGAATCTTCATGCACCTCACACCAATAATCAATATGGAAGCATTGAATGTACCTGCCGCTGTACGGTCCCGCAGTACATGCATGTGCGCACGCTACAACTTAGGTGAAGGGCTGGTCCAGGGCACATGGTTGCGACAAAGCAGTGCTGGTGACGATGGTTCGATCAGACAAGGACCGATCGGGTGGCAAATTCACCGATGGGGGTTTTTGCATAACAAGGACAATTAGTCCTGGATTGGACATTCGCGCCATCGCCGATCGCCATATATGGTCTTTTCCCTGCTGTCTCCTGGCCTGGAGGGCCCTAGAGCTGCGCAACCCTCTCCAGTGCCTCAAACGATAAAATTTAAGGGTACAAAGAAATATTAGCTGGACACTGCGGCCGGCTAGTACAAGGGGACTTTATCCCGGTCCAATAAATAACTGCTGCTCTTTGAAATTACGCCTACCCTTTGACTTATTCGTTTGCATCTACTACTCTGCACCTACGGCACTTCGACTCTAGCTAGTTCAGTACTCATCACAGTCCTTACCCATCACCTCGGTTTACTGACACCTTGATCTAACCGGTCTCATTCTCTCCTTCCCGTCGTCACCCACCTCAGTAAAGATGCTCTCCGCCGTTACATTTATTGTTGCCTTCTTCGCATGCCTTCAATCTCTCGTCCTCTCCGCGCCAATTCCTTCGAAAGGGGTCCAGAAACGTTCAACGACTGGCGAGGTGAGTGCTAGGCATTCAATTACGTTCCAATGGGTTTTCACTTTATCTTAATAGGCTACCTACTTCTACCGTGAGTTACGATTGAATTATATTTTTTTCTCGCCGTTTTGACCAGATCTTTTAGTCGGCGTTGGCAATTGCGGTTACGACGATTCTGGCAAAGATAGCGAATACATTATCGCTTTAGACTCCACTACCTACGGCAGCGGCGAATACTGCAACACTGTGCGTTTCGTTCTGACCTAATATTTATGGAATAACCAAGTCCTGTTATAGTATGTCTCCATTACAGACACCAGTACCGGAGTAACTGAGAAAGGTCTTGTAAGAGACTCATGCCCGTCATGCGGCGTTGGCAGCATTGGTACCCCTTCCTTCTAGCTTTATTTTATATTCGTTCACCGATGTTTATAGACATGTCAACGGGACTTTTTACAGCCTTGGACGGTAGCACTGATGCAGGCGTCTTTGCAATGTCTTGGGAATTCTCGTCCGACTAGTCAAGCTCTTAAATGCTTGATTCTCTTATGCCTCTTTATACCCCAATTTTGTTCGTAGAAACTTTAGTTGCCATCAGCGGGAAGAAATAGGGCAATTGCTTTCTGTATATATTTAAAGCTATGGACTTCTTTAGGAGTTTCTTATCAGGTAGTGATGTTGAACGTTGAAAGCAAATGTCCGAACCGAGGACGATGTGGCACTTTGTTATGAAGCGATGGTCCAAAACAGGCCAGCGCTGATACAGCCCTCGACTCCCACGTTTCGGTTCTATTTTCGGCGCACAATGTTCAATCTGACGCGAAAGAGTAGTGGATTATGTGCGGTCAATTGTCCCCGGACCTATTTTCTCATAATGCTAGGGTAGGACAATGTTGCTTAGCTACAAAGACAATCTCACCCTAAGACAACAATAACTTTAAAGGCCAGCTCCCATGCCACCTTTTGCCTTGTATAAAGCAGACCGGTCGAACGTTTTTTCAACTCCACATTTCCCCCCACATCTGAATCCACGGAACCAAATACCTACTGATTCAACCATGCACCACTCGAGTCGCTATTATCAGCATCGTCCATCGCACCAGTCTCGCCCACAAACCCGGCCTCGCCCAAAACACAAAATCTTCCCCCTTCTCAGTCTTCCAATGGAGCTTATCCTCGAGATCATCACCTACGCTGCATCACCAGTGTTCTTCAATGAGAAGGACGTCAGCATAGTGAAACCATCATACAGCGCAGCTATAGCGATGGCATGCGTATCCTATTTCATGTACCAGCAGACGATGCCCCATCTACTACACACCGTCATACTCAATTCCGAAGATGATCTCGCGTTGTTCGCGCGCACAGTTCGTCTTCACCACCAAGGTCGAGTATTCAAACGTCTTTCATTTGCCCCACTCCCGGTTCGACGCTTCTGGTGCTCAGAGTCGTATGAAGCTCTCGTTGATCGGAACAATAACGTCGACTATTCCTCTCTATACCAAGTCATCTGCCACGCAAAGTCCATCGGCTTGCCCGTTCATGGGATGCATTTGCTGTATAATGGCGTTACTAGCGACGGTGCGAATCCAAGCCAGGACTGGAGATGCCGACGCGTGACTTTTGAGGGACAAAGTCTGAGATGGAAGCCGATCACATCCTCCGGCGAAGGGGCTACGTTCTTGGGGAAAATCACCCATCTTTCCATGTGGGTGCCTTATCATGATCTGTCGAAGGTTCCTCCAGAGGAATACCCATTCGCGAACTGGGTGCAGAACATCCCATTCCACATGATGCCCAATCTCCGGCATTTCTCGTTTCCGCTTTTAGTAGATCAAAGGCGATATGGAAGCAAGGTTGGATACTCGATGATGCTTGTGTACTGTGCGCCCCACGGACAGGAGTTCAATCCTGTCGCGTTTCGTGACTGGGCCAGAAGTCCAAAATTCTGGACTTACGGATGGCAAGTAAAGCTCCAGATAACGCCAAAAATAGTGCCATCTGCACGTGAAGATTGGGTTGTCGGTTACGTTTTGGACGAGGCTGAGCGTGTTTGGAAGGAAGTCGACAAGATGCTGAAAGTAAAACATTAAGAGTATATACGCTGGGTTAATGGACAGTACAACCAACATGGCATTATAGTTCCTCAGTGCTAGTGATGAAAGTGTGGATCAATCGATTGCTATTGACTATGTGTGAGAGTAGTGAGGGTAGCTGCTGCCCGATGGTAAAAATGTCTGTTATACAGTACCGTGCGTCGAAAACATTGTGCGGACAGATATGGAATAGATGGAAGAGACCTGAGCAGATACACAACATGAGCAAGAAGAGCGATAGACGTAATAAAATGCAATAACGTGTCAGATGAGATATATCTGGGGAAAATTGGCACTTTTAAGAATTGAGATTTTGCAGCTTCATCCACTCTTTGTCGTTGGCGTTGAAATCGACACCTTTATGCTTCCACCAAAGTCTTACATTCTCTCCACCTCCAATAGAGTCTTCTAAGGCTTCTTCAATATCACACATACGATATTGGATGGGAAGACCCGACTTGTCCCACCACTCTAAAACTTCGGATCTATTGTGACGTGTGGCTCCCGTGAGCGCGTCTTGGTCGAATATTAACGGCAGGCCGCTTCCAAGCCACCACTGCAGCACTTCGACCTTCCCATGACAACTGGCATGTTGAAGAGCGTGTCGGTCGTATTTGGGATCCAACTGAGATGTAGCCCACCACTCCAGGACGTCCACATGCCCTGCTGTACTTGCCATATCCATTACACGGCCGATTTTGAGAGGCAATCCATGACGCTCGTACTGCTCTTTCCACCACTGAAGCACCGCAATCTGATTCTTCGCGCTCGCATACTCCAGTGCCGCCTCGGTATACTCCATGCGATGGCCGCATTGCATCCACCAATCCAAGGAAGCAATTTGTCCATTTCGAGATGCTCCGTCAATTGCATCTGCAATGGAACCAGGCTTCGGAGGTGGTACGAGATCAGGGTGGTGTTCAAAGCCGTGTTTCCACCAGGAGAGGATGTTGATTCGACCATGACGTGATGCTTTGACAGGGATGAGGTCGCCTTTGAAGATGGAGAGAAAGATGTTGTGGTGGTGGGATAGGAAGAATTCAAGGACATGAACGTAGCCAAACCGCACAGCCAGATCCGCACCAATCTTCGTTGGCAGATTGACAGATGGGTCGATGGCCCGTATGAGAGGAAGAGAGCCAGTTATCATGGCGTGGTCAGTGCACGACGCTCGAGACCACTCCAATGGCCGTGGAATAGACGTGGGCACTCCAACAGCCCTTGAAAGCTCCCAGTCGCCGACGTGGTCCATGATATCGGCCAAAATCTCCACTGGAAGATCTGGAATGCCAGACGGACGATGCCTTTTCGGTGGATATGGAAAGAGCAGGGACGCCGAGTTGGATGAAGAAGATATAGTGCCAGAGGCATTTGGGAAATGATAGAGATGAAAATCGTGGTTGGTGAGCCGAGAGGCAAGCTCGCCGTCGGAGCCAGAGGTGGGCAAATTTCGTAGCTTGAGGAAAAGAACGAGTTCAGAGTGGGTGAGTCTGCGGTAAGCTTGGTGTACGGTGTTAAGAGGCGATTCTACGGTCTGAAAAGAAGATAATTAGACAATAACACAAAATATACGAGTCACTGCTGGCGCACCGCCATACGATTCTTCGAGTACTATAGGGACAAAACAAAACAAGGCGGCCACCACATGTAGAAATGTTACGTAATCAATACAGCCGTCATTGCAACTCGAGTAGCCGTCCTTCACCGTTCTAGAATTTCCTTCCGTCTTCAATTTTTTTTTTTTTTTCCAGTAAGAGCCGCGAGAGCCAGCTCGTCGTGCCCACCTAGGTCATGATGCGCAATTTCGATATGTACATCACAAGCTCGTCAAATGCATCCAAGTCTACTTCAACGTATTTTTCTTCTTCGTCCGGACCCCCTGGAAAAACAGCATGGAGGTATAGTGGTGTAGTTGCATTCAGCAGGCCAAATCTGCTTTTGATGTATATGAATGCATTCTGTGGCACGGTCATCGTGGAGTCAAAAAGGAGACAACAGGTTCGAATACTTACGCGACCCGTCATGCTTGCCATTTTTTTCTTTCCGAATGCCATCGTGCGATTCCCAAATGTAACCATGATAGGCGCTGCTTGGGCTTTCGCATTCGATGCGCCCAGGAACGCCTGAAGGCATTGCCCTATCCCCGCTGCAAACAAATTGTCGGATGATACCAACAAATCCGCCATTTCTCGGACAACCATCAAGGGTATGTAGAATAATGTGGAGATGCTACGGGTCTTGCCTTGTAGTTGATTCTCAGTCAAGTGATGATTTATCGCTGTTTAGAAGGGACATTCAATATCGTGTCCATTTTGGGGTCAATCCGCCCAACGTCCATCTTGGGTTACGCGGCCACCTCCCCCGGTTTGCCTGGCCTTTTCATTATTCCCGAACACCCTGTATCTTTTGTTCTTGAAAATTAATGCCAGGCAGTCGGGCTGACCCAAATCGTTCTACTACAAAAATTACAAGCATCGTATACTGTTCTTCCATCCCAGGCTATGCAATACGCGACTCCTGCGGTATGCCTGGAGACACTTCATAAAATGCTTAACCATGGTGGGAGGAGCACTCACCGATATAGTCAATGAACCGATTCAAATTAGCGCGGAGGTTTGTGTCACTCTCCAGCCCATAATCCTGGAGCAATTCGCGAACCCTATCCACTGTAAGCCATCAGTAATTTCCATGGGTTCAGGCCAGGCGACACTTACAGTTATAGGCGAACAGCGATGTTAAATCCGCCGGATAAAGTTTACTGCGTTTTCCATCTTTCTTTAGCAGAACTTCAAGTTTATCATTCATATGTTCTAACGTAATCGCCGCGTTGGCTATACGCGCTTTCCTGTTACGACCAGCATCAGACTCAATATCATCTGGCTGGCATGCAACTCACGAATTCGCCAATGACACTCGGACCTCGGACAACTTCTCTTCGGTTTCTTCTTCTTGCGTGGCCAGAGGAATAGAAATATGATTGTTGATCTTGAGGTCAACTTGCGTTTTGGTCTCCTTCTCGATTACGCTCTTGATCTCGCTGGTAATGTGCGGTCTGGGGGGGGCGATGAGACTGTCAGCCAATCCTTTTAATCGGGCCGCACCTTAGCGCGTCCAAAATTTCCGTTTTCAGCTCTTCATGCAACCTATTCTTCACCTGTCCCACTTGTTCCTGTTCCTTTGCACCATTTGCTTTCACCGCTGCACGTAGAGCTTCGATTTCCTTCATGATATCGTCCTATATGAGTTATCCATTATCAGTAGTTTTTCAACATCCATTGACTTTATTCAGCGTACTATACTCGGCGATACTTTATTGACTTTGACCAACCCTGCGGCAAAATCATCCAACGATCTACCACTAAGAGTGGAGGGAGTTTGAGCACTTTCCAATTCACGAAATGGATTGAACACACGTCGCCTCCGTTGTACTAGACAGGTCGCAAACGGCGGTCTTGATAGAGGTAGGTTTCGTGGACTGCATGATTGATGACGAAAAGGGATAAAAGCAAACCTCCCTCGCCTGGGTTCTTTTGTACCCCGTAAGGTGACCATGAGGCAAATCTGGGAGCCTCCTTCTTTGGCATCCTTGTTGATCAAAAAGGAAATTCCATCAAGAGCGCTAGTTGCTCACTGAATAATATATTCTTATCTACAGATTCTACGTTCTCATCTCGGGGACAAGATCTTTTCCCATTCCATGCACGAGATAATCTCTAATGTTCGTCAGAGCACGCACTTCCATCTTCCGCTGTGTGTCTCTCGTTTCTGTGCCCATATGAGGTAGTAGCGTGATATTCGGGAATTCGAGAAGGCGGGGGTTGACGTTGGGCTCGTTGGGTAAAACGTCGAGGCCCACTGAACCGAGCTGCACATTTGATAAGGAAATAAGTATGGGTTGTAGATAAAAACACGTACATGTCCGTCCTCTAGAGCACGAATTAAAGCATCTGTGACGTCTTCAGCCACGACTGTCTTGTTTTGGGGTCTTCCATATCGACGTACCTTCATCAATGACTTGTCCCCGGGCCGTATTGACAATAATCGAGCCCTTCTTCATCATTCTAATCCATTTCTCTCCTACGAGGCCTCTAGTGCTGGCGTTGAGAGGGACACTAATGTTCAAAACGTCGGCTTGCTTGAGCATCTCTTCGGCGTCCTCGAAATATTCGCAGTATTCCGGGGCACCCTCAGCTTTATGGCGATTATGATATATGATGCGCATCGGGAAAGCATGTGCAAGCTCAGCAATACGCAGACCGATACCACCAAGTCCGAGAATAGCCAACGTCTTCCCTGTGAGGTCATACGACACGGCAGCGCTTCCAGCAGGCTTCCATTTCAAATCACGGAGAGAACGCTCCGCATTGGAAAATTGCCGCATTGCAGCGATAATCAGGTATAGAGCTGTCGTAGCTGTGGCATCGTCCACTGCGGCTGGCGTGTTGGACAGATAGATACCTAGAAACCATTTTAGGTCAACTAAGAATAACACAATCAATATTCAGACGATACCTCTAGCCTTGAGGGCTCCAACGTCCACCGTATCATAGCCTGCCCCATTCGACGCTACCCATTTGAGACTAGGAGGGAGATGATCGATGAGCTCTTTGTTGAACGGCCCAAAGGACGCTCCATAAGTTCTGAAGATGGCAACAATTTCACTGTATTTCCCGCCTGGGGAGAGTTCCTTGAAGAAATCGGTCCTATCCATGCTTTTGTCTAATGTCTTTGGAAAGGTCACAAGTTGGATTTTAGGATTTAGTGCATGAGGGCCTGACCACAACATCAGCAACACCATCGAACAATTCCTTTACTTCCTCGTGGGCCCATTTAATTTCTATTTCAGGTCAATTATTGATGACTCCTCGCTGAAGAATGGGAAAACTCACTACTGATGAGAACTTTAGGTGCCATGGCAGCGTGTAGATCAAAGTGCGGTTGGGACTTGATATAAACCTCGCTTTTGATAAGCTCGTGAGCACTCGAAAAATATTTCCAATTGCTGGGCATTCCGGCCGGCTTTTAACCTCCCCGCGGGGAATACTCTGAAAGCGTTATGTAAAAATTGGGTGCTATGAGACGGCAGCGCCGTGTGTGGACTGTCTGGAAGGCCTGCGTGAGTAGTATGACTCCGGCGACATACTTCTTGCGTGTCCTAGCAGCAGGCCGGTCAGGCCAGGCCCCCACTAACACCCATTCGTCTCCGGCATGAAAACTTTACTCGTTCCTTCGAGCGATGAAAGCCCCCAAAGTTAACTAAAGCCAGCCGAATCTCCATAACGTGGCGAGTGTTACGGGTCTCCGCACCAAGGGTTATGTGCAAGCAGCAGAAGATTATTCTCTGGTTCTTTTGAAAAAAACATTGAGTCCCACAGATCCAAGCTGGAAAAAAGTAATGGCTAGAGAACTCCCTATGATATTTGCCCACCACCATGTCCATCTTCCAGAGCACGAATCATAGAATTTCCCGACGATCCCAGGAATCTTGTTCGAATTCTTGTACGGATAATCGCCCCTTCATCGACAACCTTTCCTCTGTGGTGTTAAGGAGTCCGAAGCATTGGCTACCCCGCATCAAAGATGAATAGATGACGCAGACAGGAAAAGCTCGTACGAGTTCCCTAAGGCGTGATTCAAAATAGTCCTAGTATGGCGAGCATGTTTCCCTACAAGACAGCTGCGGTCCCAACGGGTCTTCACTCGAGGTCAAGCAAAAAACGCTCAGCGGCGGAAAACTGAGGCATCGCGGCAATGATTACGTATAAACCCGTCGTTGCCGTCACATCATCCATGCATAAAAGTGTATTGGAGAGACTTTTTTTTCTATGAGGCGTCACTTGAGTTAGACACCCTGTATTCACTAGAGCAGCCTGAACGTCGACCATGGAACCCAATGAGGCGATCCATTTCACGATCGAAGGAAGACCATCGACGAGTTCTTTGTCCCATGCGCCAACGTGTGGACGATGACTGTAGACACAAACAACAAAACTGTATCTTCCACCTGGTAGAAGTTCCTTGAAGTAACTGGCACGGTTAGGCAGACGATCAGGATTATCTAGTCACTGTAAGGTCGTCTGAGTCATCGGGACGTGCTGCGAAGAGGAGCTTACGACGACATCAGCAATGTCACTGTACAGTTCCTCTATATCTGGCTGCGTCCAAAAAATGGTCCCTATTGCAGGTCGTCATGGATTGTTTGGTGAGACCGAGTTACGAGGCGCACACACCTCCAGATTAGTATTACCAATGTCAGTTCTGGCTGTAGAGGGTAAACGGAAGCGGACAGGCGTTAGAACTCTGAGAGGGGGCCCTTAATGTATGGCTATATTCAAATATCGTCTGAGCCGGTGGTCCGACCCTTGCAGGAGAGGTCATATGTCCGTGTTTTCTGACGAGATACATAAATCACGCTACAACGAAGTGATCTATTTGAATATCAGGTCAGATGGCCTGTAGCTGAAACGCGACATGCACCTGCGAAAAAAGTTTTGAGATGCTTTTGAATCGTATCCCCACGTAGTGTTCAGTAATCCACTTTCATGATATGTTATAAGATATCTGAAGAGAATGTCGAAAAGGGTGGCAGATAGGAGAATCTTGAACCTACTTCAAACACGTTTCCTCCTTGAAGTCGCTATATAACTTTTTGTTGAGCTTGCGCTATGTTGCAATGAGTAATACGCACGCCACAGAGATATTTGATGACTGACCTCCTTGCGGATATTTCCTTCGTTACGAGATGTACCTATCCGGAATCTCCTTTTACATCCTGGCAGATCACTTTCTAATCCACCAAAACCATGGCAGCCTTGTTGTCACCATATCCGACGAATCGTCCATCGCACCTATATAAAACAAACTTGAAATAGGAATTTCATATGAATGAGAGAATCAAGGAGGTCACCACACACGACGACGGCGCGGATTACTCGAGTTTTCCGAAAAGTAAAGAGGCCAATTAATGTTTTGGCATGTTTAGTTTCATGGTCATTGATTTCCAACTCGCAGGCACTCAGATCCCTTGTCGAAAGCAAACGAATTGACATGTTCCATGCGTCTTGGGCACCGGGACATAATAGCACTGACTATGAAAGATTTTACGCCGCTTCCCCTGGAGAAGTATACCAGGTGACGCGGTATCCACATGTGAGCCTTATGTGATATTCAAAGCTGACAGTATTCAGATGCAGGGAGCGCCCTTCTCTCAATTACGTCATGACGGATTTGGTGTTTTTGATAGCTGCACGAAAGTCTGTGCAGAGGTAAAAGTAAAGTCAGTGCGAGCAAAGAGACGCGCGATATTCCTCACGTATTGAACTGGCGATCAAAGAGGTCAACGACCCAGTGTACATCGAAACGCGACATTTGCAGTGATGATGAGTAGGGCGTTCCGAGCGAATCCAGAAGGTCCAGAATGTGGGTCGTGTCATTTTTGACGTGTATGGTCACTGATATCGAATGAAATACCTCGGTATCTCTCGACTAGGCGCGCGAAGACTTGGAACCTATTGCTCGTGATAATAATCGTGTCTGAGCCAAAGGGTCCGAGATTGCACGAAGTTTTCCAGGAAAGAGATCGCTTGTCTAGTGATTCTAAGAACAGAGTCCAGTTTCTGAATCGAGGCTTGACAGTAATCGCATCTTCTGTGCCGTCAAAAAAGGTCCAAGACACGACCGATGAAATGCGATCTTTTACGAAGTATATTGTCGTGTAGAAAACGGCGGCCATAGTATAGAAAATACGACCATCAGAAAGAGCTCGAAGAGTCGATAAAGCACAGTTTTGAAGGACATCGTGAAGCGCAGATGGTGGTCGGCGGTCAACATGTATATTGGGCCAAATAATTACATAAATAAAATATTAGGTCTTGACTAAACCAATAGCACCAGTAGCAGCGGCATCGTCGACGAACTCCACATGAGCAAATGTATGACCGTTCGCGGAAAGATGGTTTAAGACCATGTTCCTGTATGCCTCCACACCGACAAGCGACCCTCCAAAGCAGATGACGGCATCCTGTGCTCTGACAAGGCGCGGTGCACCGTCGCTTCTCTCGCCTAGTAGGACGGCAATCTGGGATGCAAGAATGCCTGAACAGGTCTGAAGAACATCAATGGCAAGGGCGTCATGATCCTCGAATGCGGACTTGAATACGAGGGGCGCAAGGGACGACAGTCGCTTCTCTCGAGGCATGAGACGATGAGCCGCAGTGTTTGCCAGTGGTGCACTGGGTGGAGGTACATGAATCTCTGTCAAGAGATCTAGAACGTCCTTAACGCCGAATGCCTCCAGAACTCGCTGTTTGAGGCTGCTTTCCCTGGCGGGCGTGCTCAGAACAGACGCACTGTCGTGTTCAATCAAGAGTCGGCGCACTGACTCCTTTCCAACGTGAAATCCGCCGCCTTCATCACCTAGAATCCATCCCCATCCACCGATCCTACCCAGCTCTTCTAGTTGACTCCCAGATGACTCTCGGAATGACACCACATTCGACCCAGTCCCAGCGATAACCGTAACGGCGTACGATACATCGGGATGCATTCGGACAGGAGCTGCAAGGAGATGGGTGTCATTGGCCACCATGAGCCTTGGGCCTTGCGGGATACCGAGCAGCGTTGAAAGTGCAGGAGAGATGGCATCGATGGCGACTGGCGAGTCTATTCCCGATATTCCAAACCATGCTGCTGCGAAGGGACTAGGTGATGGCAATAAGGAGAATGGTTCTTCGGAGGGGCATTCCTTCAATGCGTCGGTTACGGCTGCACGAATAGCAGCAATGACTGCCTCCAGAGAATGATAGGCAAAATTTGATGGACCTCCGACTGCGCGCCCGACAATCTTTCCAGAAGGATCACATATCACTGCGGAAGTCTTGGAGCCGCCGCAATCGCAGCAGAGATACAAGGACATGGTGGTGTACTGTTAACTTGTATCTTACGCTTATATCTAGCAGCATCTCCAGGCAAGGAAACCTACCAAGAAAGACGAATACGGCAGGTATCGATTGCCTTATGGTCGATTGACTTGGACCGATGTGGAATAACTCACAGGGCACTTTGGAAAACTGGAAAAACTGTTGAAAACTCTCGACGGGATCGTTCCGAAACCGCATACCCGATGGTTTCCGCACTAAAGAGGGGCCACTTTCAAATTTCTTACCTTTTTCCGCCTTTTTTCGCGCGCTTCTCCACAATCCCCTGTTCGAAATTCTGTACTTGCAGGAAGGTATCACATTACCCGATCATGAAGGATTAGATGATCGACAACGACATATTTCTCAATTGACCCCGTGTAACTGCGGTCCGGAAGCTTTAATTTGATTCTAAAGGAGTACTTATTTAGACTTTATAAACCAATACCTTTGCCTTCTGCTCCTCGTCTCGTCTTTTTTACCTGGGACAGTCGCTCCTTTACCCATTTTCTCTCATGGCGATTGACGTCGGCTTCAAAACCGAAAAACCGTGAGCAGAAACGAACAGTCTCACCTTCGTTTACTTACATCTCCATTGGTATAGGTTCGTTGAACTAGAGGTCACCAAAGGCGATCTCGTCCTTGGCTCCATCGTTTTTGGCTTCTTCGTATGTCTGGCACAAGGATCTAAAACATCTCTGTTGATGGATTTCGTTGAAACAGTTTGGCTTCGCTATTAACGTGGTATGGAGTGCCATACGGGAAACTAGACGGGCCAGAAGGGTGCGGATTTACTGACCGCCTTCAGTCTCGTATTCATCCCTCCTCAGTTTTCGGGGTATATATTCATGATCTGGCTTGAAATTTGCGCGTGAGTACTTTTTACTTTAATTTACCCCTATGAGGTCAACTCATCATCGTCATTCAGCGATGTCGGTTTTGCTGTGCGTATTCAATCACATGATGGCCCTTGGAATTTGCTGAAACAAAAGTCTAATTCAGGTCACTGCATGGGGCTACCTGTATGTTTTCATACCAGTGTTCATCTTCAGTTGCCCACTTGTGTTACAGCGCGAAGCATTTCCCTCCTGGTATTGGCGTCTTCCTAATGGTCATCATATGCTGGATATCCCAAGTAAGCTACTAACCCTCTGCCCTGGCTTTGTGGTTTTAAAGCTGACTCTTCCTCAGGTTCAATGCCTCATGCTGATCATTGTCAACCGGCTCTGTATTTTGTACTCCGAGCCAAGGCAAAGAGTGTGTTGTTTTACGTCGGAATCCTTGGTGAACGTGACTGACTTTTTCAGATGATTCTCAAAGGAATCGTTGCAGGAATCGTCAGCTGCATTTCTATAGCCACCGGTTGCATATGTGAGCATGTCCGTTCTTGTATCCGGCTGCGACTCACTCGCTCTCAGGGATCCCCGCTCAGCTACAAATTAGTTCTAGACATATCTGGGTATGTTCCGCGTGAACTATACCTGCGCTGGTGCTGATGGACATATTCAGCTCAATCATTGGTGGGACCGTGTTGAAAAGGCTATCTATCTGCGTATGTCCTTTACTTCTCGGTTTGCCAAAATTTCGACTGGTCAACGCCACTTAGTTTTGGACTTGTCTCTCAACCTCCTGTTCATCCGGATGGTAAAAACGCGGCTCGTTCAACACGGCCTGAAAAAGTATGACAGAGTCATGCGGTACGTTGTCCTAGCCTTCCTTATACTTGTGACGAAATTCACCCTATGCATAAGATTCAATGAATACATCATCTTCGTTTCCATTAGTATGGATATTCTGCTTCTGGGAGTCACATTCCTTAGAAATCCGTTTGTATACTGTCAAGTGAGCGTTTCGGAGTTTCTCGACACCTCTCGCTAACAGCCAATTAGTTCCACCCTGTGGTATACATCGTAAAGCTCCAGATTGAGATGACTATGTCTCGTATGTTTATTTTCTTCACGTCTCCATGAGCGAGTCTTAAAGCTGCTTTCATCAAGGCCTCCTGATCAAGGTTGCGCGGTCGACTGGTATCAACGTTTATAACGAAGAAAAAGGCGGCATTACATCGGACAGTCTCAGCGGAAACAAAACCACGAATCATGGCGGAGTGTACGTGCTTCGTATTTTCTTCACACAGACTCGTGCCTGACAATTATTTAGGGCTGTACAAATTCAAACTCAAGTATTCACTCATGCTGAAGGGCCGGATGAATATGGTAAGGACCCGTATTTCGTGTGGTTTACGTATTCTCATAGCGCTATACAGAACTTGAGGCACGGGACCGCAAAGATCAGACATTGCAGGAAGCCGAATCCGTCAACTCCAGCGGCGAAATTCTTAAAGTCTCGCCAGTCTAGCTGTGTTAGACCAATTATTTAAATAATACCCCAGACATAGAATTCTTGCGGGGCCCCATATAATTTGCTTTCGCTCTAGTAGACACATTATGCGTAAGCGAATTTGAATTTGGATACCTCACATGCGCTTATACGAATGTCCGACCTACCGCCGCCGGGACCTGCCCTCAAGTCCGAGATTTATAATAAGGGGGCTCACCCTAAATTTTTTTTTCGTGCGGCGACACGGCCATGTCGTTTCCCTATGTTGCTCATAACTGCTTATTCCATTCACATGGTTTTATCAGGCGGTTGTTCGAGTGTCAGGCCGTGTTCTGAGCGATCGGACGTCTTAGCACCCAATGTCGTTTCTCCCTATTTAGTGGGAGAGGGGATGGGTCGGTGGTTCCGGACATTCCATATACCTGCATCGTAGTTTATTCATTTCAAATAAATGAAGGTGTTTTCTTACGTTCAAGGCCCTTCGCCCTCGGAGAAAAGGAAAGAAAATTCAATCTAGGCATTGAAACAGAAAAGATCATAGACAGGATGCCCATCCACCGACTTTCAGGGTGTGGATATTCCATTGATTATAAGTGACTTTGCAGATGGCAGCATTATGCCCTTTCACTCCTCCATTCATCCGTTTCTCACTCACTCTCAGCAATGAGTGCAACAATCATTCTGAAAGCGACCTCAGCGGTTGTCATCACACAAGCGAACGGACGAACCGGTAGAGATAGTAGAAGAATGATAACAGATAGAACCCAAGCTTGATGAAGCTCTCTTTTTTGTGTCCTGGAAGAGACCTGAATATCTCCGTGGCATCGTACATGTGATTTTTGTTTCGTATCCTGAGACAAGACGTTAAGAGGTGTGAGAGAGAGATAGTGAAAGTGAAAATAACTAACTTGTTTGCATTAAAGACCACCAATGGTAAGTTCAGAAGGAACGCGGTCCATTGTCCAGAGAGCAGGAAAAGCAGGGTCAAAAATGCATGAGCAATGTTTTCAGGAAGGACGAACTGTTGGGAAGATGAGATAAGACGTGACTGTAGATATCTCACAATATACTTGGTTAAGCTTGTTGCAAAGATCTATGGGATTTATGTAGTCGCATTCCAGGTCCGAGAACATGATGATCTAGAGGGCGACACAGTCAGTAAGGTAGCATGACCATGACCCTCAAACACGGCCTAAGGAAAAAGCGTAGACAAACTCACAAAGAACACCATGCAAAACAGCAGTCCGGCAGCCATGAGGACTGCAAAAAGGAACAACCAGCCTGCACACCCAGACACCGCAGGAAACGTGGATTTTGACGGCAAAATGAATTATCAACGATATCGGAAAACGGCAGAGAAAGAGGGCGGAGAAAAATGGTCAGTACTGGTCCTAAGTGCAGGCATGGGGATGACACCCCAGGACTGGTAAGGATACATGCTCACCTGCTCCACCCATACTGCTAGTTGGCTCGTTAGATAATCTTTAAGTGTCGTAACCCGGGAGTGAAAGCCTGCATGGAATGACACAGAAAAATTAGCCAGAATGAGAAAGCGAAGGCTGCACGGAACACCGACAAGGAGCAGAAGTGAAGGAAAAAGCAAGATGGTGGTGAATGCGTAGTCCAACGAAGTCAACGTCACGATCATACAGGGTGACAAAACGTGACCATCATATTCGCCATTTCGGCTTGTATGTCATATGCATTTAGAGAAGCTTTTTCAGAGTTCTCGCGATGATGAAAATGAGATACATGTCATTATTTAAAGCAGTGAAAGCAAATATTCTATTGAAAGTATAGCCTGAAACCGAGGGAACTCATGAACAAGACTCACGATGGCGACTACCAACTTGAAAGTAGTACTAAACATCGTCGCGGTCTAACTTGAAGTATCTATAGCCATCATCTATCACGCCATCAACAACAGGCACGCTTCCTGTTCATGCTTATCCAACTAGGTACGCCTCAATTGGTTTGACACTAATAGGTTGCACTGACCGAGGAAGAAGCTATTACTGGATTAGCTTTTACTGATGCCATGATTAGCGGGAGGGCTGTTGTGGGACGCTGGTCTTCATAGAAAGAAAAATTGCTTGCCGTGTCTTGCTCCTCGAGCGTATTTAATGACCTTTGATACCTAGAACACTGTATAGACCATGATGAGTGTCCGAAACTGCAGATCACGGAGTATGATGGCACCTGCAGAAGTGTATTGCTCTTATCATTGCGTAACCGAATGGACATAATAAATGCAAACTTCTTCTATGACTCCAGCCGTTGACGACCGTGTTTGAAGTCAAGCCTTTGTTGTGCCAGGCAGCCAAATCTTACAGGTAATACTGCAAGAGCAAGTCAGAAATGTGAAAGGCAGTGAAAATAAGACTGACTGACTAGGCGAATCTCTAACGGTAATAAAGTACAAGCTTCCTGTTGGGCACTTGCATTCGGGAAGTTTATGGATGCTCTTAACAAGTGACACTGTATTCAAGGTCAACCGCGGTCGCAGACGATGTCACAGAAGCAACGCACCAATGATCTGAAAATTCAAGCAAAACATGTTGCATCAACAGGTGGAGATACAGGAAACGATCCTAAAACTTCTGGATAACGACGCGTCGGCACGAAGGTGCAATAGTATAAATTACAGGAAGGAAATAGAGTTGGGAGATGAAGAGGCCAGGAGATTCATCAAGACACCGAAATAAATGAGTTCGCAGTTGGAAGATATGTGACGGCACACGGTCAGTCGATATCCATCTTCCTGTGCCCACCATTCCCAGGTCGCCTACCACCGCGTCTTCCTCGTCCACCTCGTCCGCCACCGCGTCCACCTCGCCATGGTGTTTGTGTATAGTCTCTTGGGTCAGCACCGGGGGGAGCAACGAGAACTTGCGCTCGTGGATCCTTCAGTATGGCATCTGACCTCATTTTCCTGATGACAGATTAAGATAACGGAGAAAAAAAAAGACAAAAGGGCACGTACGAGCCGGTATCATTCTCTGAGTCCATTAAAACGTCCACGCTACCCTCCTTCATCACAAGCCCCATACCATCAGAGCCAGCCAGTCTCCCAAACAGTGTAGGTCCTTTGTGCAAACCTACAATCACGACGGATAGTGTCTTACCGTCAGCCTGCTGCTTGTCGAATTTGGCAACGGCAGCTTTGGCAGACGAAGGGTCTTTGAATGTGAGTCGAATTACCACTTCAGGAGAGGCAGCCATGAGCTTGGACTCGGTTATCGTGCCACAGCGCTTAAAGATTGCAGCGACGTCCTCTGCCGTCGTTCCTTTCACAAGACCCATGACCTCGACCACGTTGTTCTGGCTGGCCCCCTTTATGGATAACTCTGATGAGGAGATGCCTGCTGCTTTTTCGACAAATTTTCTCGCTGGTCCAAAGTTGACTCGAGGAGCTACGGGCTGGATGCCGAGACGGGCGGAAAGATTGTTTTCTGATTCGTACATATCGTGGCCCCACTGGCTGTCAACGTCTGCCTTGGGAGGCCTGCTCTGTTGCGAATAGGTTGGAATTGCGAATGCCGAGTAAACTGAAACCACGAACATATGGCGTCGAAGAACGACTTGAATGGACGCCCTTTGAACGGATAGCACCGGTGTTAGGAGGATTCCCCATGCGCTGAAGTAATGAAGCCATTGTCGAAAGAGAATGAGCAAAGAGTAAGCAAACGATGGTGGTCAAAAGATGAAGGTGGCGGTGGCGGTGCCGAGTCGATTTGCAACCTTCTCTAGTACTCCGTCCATCCTGCCTCGGATTTGCTTCCTTTCTTTCTTGGACGATATCTACTTTTACACATGTGCCGTAGAACTGACGACGTCTGATTTCCACTCTAGAATTACATAGGGCTCAATTATAAACCGCCAAGGTCGGATAGTCCGATTCGCAACGTCAACTTGCTGACTGAACAGATGCGACAATCGCCTTTTGAAGCCTTGGAACTACGCGAACTCGTCTTATAATTACTGAACAAGATTTGCACAAAGACAAGGTGATGTCTCGATTCTCTTTCTTTCGCCCATTTCAAGCACCTGAAGCCTCGTGAATGCAGCGTTGGATCCCTTTTAATTTGGATGGAATTATCGCCGACCCTCCGGTAAATACTCTACCCATTTACCGGTCTACATTTGCATGCTCCTGATGCCATGTCCACAATCGCAAGCTGGCAACTCCAAAATACTGAGTTCACCGTGTCCATATAATACCATAGGTCGTCGCTCTGTAGGCACAAGGCTCCTGCGATTTACATGCATTTTTGCTGCGGGACCGAATTTTAACGCAACTTGGAAAGTTGATATCTATCGGGAGTATGTAACCCCGCCCAAAGTTCTCGTGATACGTATAAAGGAGAAATGATCTTAGAGAACTATTTTCGACGTCTCTTTTTCTCCCCCCTCCTGTCATTTCACCATGCCTGCGAAAATCTACACCTCACCCGACCCGTCTGTGCCTATCGTGAGCCGATCCATTTTCACACATCTCTTGGCCATCGATGGCGACCTTGTTGGAGGACACCCAGCTAGCCTACCGGCATTCGTGGATTCCGCGTCGGGAACAACAATAACGCGTGCACAACTCAGGTCTCTTGCCCTTTCTCTGGGTTACGCCCTGCGGAATCATCCAAAGATCGGCGCGAAGCGGGGGGATGTTGTTCTTGTCTACTCCCAGAATTCTCTAGCATGGCCTGTTGTCGTCTTCGGGTGTACGTGCAAGGGCCTGTTTCTCATCAACGAACCTTATTCTTCCACTTAGCTATATCTGCTGGCCTACGTACAACTTTCGCGAATAGCGCATACACGAGTCGTGAATTGGCTCACCAATACACGGATAGTCGTGCCAGCTATGTCTTCACAACGGAGGAGGGCTTGCCTACAGTCAGGGAGATGTTTAGGACCGTTGGTGTGGGAAGTGCCGGCGACGAGAAGATCCTTCTATTAAGTAGCAGTTTAGCCTGGGCCGGTGGACCCGATACTCCGAGGGCCCCTCACACTGCGGGCTTACTACGGATAGATGATTTACTGTCGCTCGGGAAGCTGAAGGAGGAAGACAAGTTCGAAGGTCATCTTGCTCAAGAAACTGTTCTCTTGTGCTACAGCTCCGTAAGTGTTTAGTCGGCGAGGTAGATCAGATTTTGACGGTCGTCTTCCAGGGAACTACAGGAAAACCCAAGGTATCATTAATTCTACATCCCAGGTAATTATTTGTTCAATGAATGTCTATCCTTGTATAGGGTGTTGAGGTAAGTGCGTCCTGTTCTCTGTCAGCCCCCAAGTAACCTTGGCGATCGAAGACGAAGCATCAAAATCTGACATCTGTGGTTGATATGTCCAACTTGGCCCTAAATTATATTGCCGGAGGGCCAATCCTGGGTGTTCTTCCTTTCTATCATATATACGGTAAGTTCCCTCCATAATCTACAGCACCTGGTTATTCACTATATCTACAGGTGCCGTCAAGTTGCTATTGTTCCCCCTCAGGTGCGGTAGTCCGTGCATTATTCAGCCACGCTTCGACCCTGCGCAGTTTTGTGCCAACATCGAACGGTATAAAGTCAAACTTGCGTTGATCGTCCCGCCGATAATGGTTGTCTTCGCCAGACATGCGGGTAAGCCGACGTCTTCGATATTCTTCGGCATTCTTCGCTGACGCCGCCAAATTAGCTGTTGAACAATACGATTTGACGTCTCTGAAAGTACTGATTTCAGGTGCCGCACCTTTGGGAGCAGCACTGACGAAACAGGTACGTCGACCATTATGAACGGAATGAAACTAATGTGTTTAGGTCAATGATCGACTACATGCAAGGAATACAAACTGCGCCATTGTACAAGGTTATGGTCTGACCGAAACTTCTCCTATGACGCATCTACTTCCACCACAAGACGCCGAAAGGAAGATGGGTAGCATTGGCGTTCTCTTGCCGAATCTTGAAGCCCGACTGGTCAACGAAGATGTGGACGCGGCAGAAGGCCAACCCGGCGAACTCTGGATACGGGGGCCTACTGTTATGAAGGTACGAATGGTCCTCTCACCTAGCGGGCAAAAAGCTAGATTATGTTGATTAGGGTTACTTAAACAACGTCGAGGCAACCAAAGAAGCTATCACACCAGACGGATGGTTCATGACTGGCGACGTCACCATCCGCGATAAGGAGGGATTCTATTTTATTGTGGATAGACGGAAAGAACTTATCAAGTACAAGGTGAATCTAGTGTCTGTTTCCGAAGTGCTGGCTGAATGACACTTCTAAGGGTTTCCAAGGTAAGCCAGAGTATATTAACGAGAATCACCATGAACTAATGTTCCCCCAGTTCCTCCGGCTGAGCTGGAAAGCGTACTATTAAGCCACCCTGATATTGCAGATGTGGCTGTAGTTGGAGTATATGATGCAGAGGAAGCGACAGAACTACCGAGGTGTGTTCTTCGTCTAATTGCAGCTACTGACCCTAAATAATTTGATCAGAGCCTATGTAGTCCCCGCCAAACCTCAAAATTTAAGTACCGATATCGAGAGGCAAACGTTCGCGCGGGATGTATCCTCATGGATACAGACCAAGGTGGCGAGACACAAATTCTTGCGGGGCGGTAGGTCTTGCCGTCTCTCTTCACAATGCCTGTCATCACGTGCATCTTAGGGGTCACTGTTATCGACGTTGTGCCCAAGAGGTAAGCACTAGGGCAACACGGATCTGCCGATACTAACGCTTGACTTCAGTGCGGCCGGAAAAATCCTTCGCAGGGAGCTACGCGACCGTGCGAAGGCCGAGTTAGAGAGGAAGACTCCAAAGGCAAAGTTGTAAGATCGTATCATAGTAGGAGCCCCAGTATTGCACAACTGTCAAATATAGACACTGCATTCTAATAACATAGAGACAATAGACCTGGAGGAGCTTGGTCAGTAAAGGGAACTTGCAATAAATTAGAGAAGAGCATCAGGGTTGTCAAATTCTGGAGCCCGCCCTCATCAACATAGACGAGGTATACACCATGAAGAAATTCAAAGAGATATTTTTGAAGCATCATAAGATAGAAGATGGAAGATGACTCACGAATTACTCTCTAACGTCTTATACCAAACACGAAGAAGCGAATTCTTCAGATGAGAAAAAAATTGATAGTCCCATGCCGAACGAGAGTGAGCCCCATTGTGTTGAAGACCCTGAGAAGGGCTACAATCGTATAACTGTGTCTATGAGCAACAACGTGCCTACACCTCCAGCAGGCTACCGAGCGATACACACGCTCATATCTTCGCGCATGAACACCTTGGTCGGATAGTGTGCTATCAGAGAGACAGCAGAGCGGTCGAGAGGGAGCCACAAGCCAGAAAAATCAGACTGAGCAAAGCACTCTCGCCGTCCTCGTTCAGTACCGTCGTGCTTGGAGACGGTCGCTTTCCGTTAGTTGAACGAGGACATAATCTGCATCTCCGGGGACTTTCCCCACAGCACAATATGAAAGCAAGAGCTCTCTGTACGGAAGCTGCGACGACGATTCTTCGGACGGCAAAGGTATCGACCAGAAAGAAAAAAAAATGGTATTTATTGTCCATTTTGGAACTCCGATTGAAATCAGGATCGCCCACTGACTGCCGGCTCGAGCTTACGCTTCCGAACTTTGATGTCGTCTACGCATGAACAGCCTACTCAGCAGCCGCAACGGGTTAGAAAACCTGCATTTTCAGACTGGCCGACAATCAAGATACTTACGCCTCCCCAGGGTGAGCTCCTTGTTGTCAATTTGTGGAACGTCTAACGAAGATTAGGACGTTTCTCTCTCAAAACTGACGAGTGGTGTATAACGTACTGCACGCAGACAGTCAAAGGCCGTTTTGACAGCCAGGAGCCTTCATGTCGATCTTTGTGCATTCGGAGGATATTTGCCCATGAAGTCCGGAATATTGTGTCATTCCGACGGCACCAAGATGTTGATGAAGAAGGCAAGGCAAAGTATCCTCTACCTGCTGAGGGACAGCCCGTCAATATACCCCGATATCTGGGTGGTAAAGCATCAGAAGATATGGATGACGACGCCACATCGCGGCCTGAACAGAGCAGAGAAACCAAGTACTGGGACGAGGGATGGTATCTATGGACGAGCTCCAACCATATCTCATCGGTGGAGAAGATACAGATGATGAAGTATGATCTACGGGGGCAGGTCCGGAGAGAGCACTACAAGGAGCAGAGAAAGGCGACATGGCAAGAGTACCAACAGTTTATAGAACGCAACGCACAACTAGTGCACTCCCCACTACCTGACGGCGAGCATAACAAGTGGTGGGGAGCTATTGTGCCTCCTCCTCCAATACCCGAGACATCGTGAGCACTGTTTTTGTTCTGGTTTCTGTCATTCTAATTTTCGGTTAGAACGCATTCTTTGCTTATACCATTACCGCCTCAGATGTCTCCAGCCTGGGATGGTATACGCAAACTGCTGCAGCCGACACGGCGCGTCCTAACAATCTTCCGAGACAGTGTTATAGCTGGGGACCATCTAACATTTGCAGGAATGGTCTGGCGAAAGGCATGGACAAAGGAGCCTTATTTTCTTGTTCAACGGACGTTGGAGATTGCGCGTGACATGTGGAAAGGAGCCGGGAAGGATGATAACGATGACGAGAAGGATGGCACACATTAGCATGGATGTACGTTATAATATAACAGAGAATACTAATCTGCAAGTCTACTTGTCTAAAACGACTTTCATGGCATCTGATGGATAGGAAACGGTCACACAAATTTCACGATGACATCGTCGGCAATAACTTTAACAAGTTTAAAAAACAAATTCCCACGGGCCACGGCCGAAGAGGAAAACGAAAAACAATGACAACAGTGAGGTTCGAACTCACGCCCCAGAAGACTGGGTGATTATATAAACCATCTGAGTTGCTAAGTTCTTAATCCCAGCACCTTAGACCACTCGGCCATGTTGCCCCCTAATAGGGGTATTGTCAGACATAATATCCTGAGTAGAATAGTTCTAAAAGGATTTGTCTAACGATGAGATTGCCGGTGTCATCTCCAACAGAGCTTCTGGTCTTTTCAATGGGGCAGTGTCAGAAGCGGAAGACAAAGGGTGAGTTCAAAGAAAGTACAGGCGTGTGTATCACAACAGGGGACTGAACGTATAGGATTCATCTTTGGGGTTGCAAAGGTGCTTGCTGTAAGATTTGGCAGGTGTACACGATGTTGTTGTTATGGAATCCGAGTCAAATGAGTGGGGAGTTTGATGTATGGCACTGCGCATATACATGAACAAAGAGCTGTCATATATAATATATACACATAAGGGTTATCTATTACGTAACCAAGGCTGGATCCAGCTCTGCTCGCTGGAAGGCGTGCTTTGTACACCATAACATCCCTATGGGCGTCCATGGGCTGACAACATACCTTCGTGAAAACAGACGGGTCCTTTCACGAACGGTCCAATGCTCCTCAAATGACCCCAATCCGATTCACGTGGTGGTGGATGCCTGGTCGTCAGTTCTGCACTTTCTATCCAATCCAACTTGAATGTTGTGCTCATTCATTTCCAGATTCATATATGTGCTGCATCAAAGGTGTAGCATTCCCTGGGTCTACGGCGGAGAATACGCCGAGTTTGCAAAGCTCGTTACCGATGTAGTACACGCATGGATCAGTGCTGGTCTCCGGGTATCATTTGTCTTCGATGGTCGGTAGATGCTGCGACAATTTTGTCATGCACTGACCATCTGTACAGGCCCCTACCCAGAGCTAAAGCATCCTACGCTCGTTTCTCGTGCATTCAAATCTATCATTGAACCCTCCTTGCTCTTCTTCCGGACTTCACAATCATCCCGAACATCGCCCCGATTTCTCAAGGAGGCCCAAATTATACCGCCATTATACTATTCGGCAACATTATATGCACTCGAGAGACTTTGTGTATCGACCAGTTCCCTGGACGTACATTTTGCCGACGAAGAGTGTGATCCTTATGCCGTCGAGCTTGCCGGACGGCTTGGTGGATATGTCATCGGGAACGATTCAGATTTTGTGGTGCTGAACTCGGACGGATATCTTGGGTATATACCACTAGATGAGATGGTATGGACTGCCGTGGTTCCTGATCAAGTTACAGAGGTCGTTGACGACGACGATTTTCAACAAGTCCGTAAGCCCAAGAGCAGGAGTCGGGCCGCCAAAGCAGCACTGGCTTTTGGAAAGGGTGTCATTCCTCCGGAAAACGTTACACAGATATCCTTATCGTTCTCAGTGTACAGTCCATCCGCCCTGGCTGATCATCTCAAACTGCCGGTCACTCTCCTCCCGCTCTTGGGGTCCCTTGCAGGGAATGACTTTACCAATCATGACTTGACGATGCGTCAGAACATACATGCCATGTTCTTTGAAAGGCAACTTACGCTGATCGAGCGAATCGACCGCGTTGCAGCAACTATACAATCTATTCTCGCTCCCAATTCAAATAGAAGAAAAGCGAAACACCAAGTGGGCAGTGTCATGGACCTCATTGACCGAACTGTCAATTCTCTCATGGCACGGAATATCCACAATAATACTGCCTCGGGGCAGATTGATGATATCGTCGACAAAATTGCGGAAGGCGCGCTACAGTATGCGATTCCAAAGTACGAGGGCCAGCGTCAGGGAGAAATGGGCCTTTGGCCCACCAGGATATGTGCCCTTCATGAACCTGATACATGTCCCCTCCTTCCTTCCTTCTCCAGGCTGCTGGAAGTCGCAGCTCGAGATGGCAGTGACGAGGAAGACAGAGACAACGATGAGTTGGCTATGCGAATCCAGGTTCGAACCCGATACTTGGATGCATATCGCAAGGGGCATATTCCTCCGCTCGTAATGAATTGCTTGACAACTTCAACGTACTGGCCTCGCCAGTTCCTCGAAAGTCCAGATTTGGAGACCGTCACTCTCTTGGGCAGGACAATACGGCTATGGGGATATGCTATATTGGATGATGCACTGGGCTTGCCCGAGGAACAGCAGGAGTTGGAAAGTCCTGTAGAACGGCCCGACGTCGATGGCGATGAAGATGAGTTGGTTGACGTGGTTGAGTCCGATTCCGACATGGACAGTGACGCAGGCGATGATTTGCTAGCGCCATTACGAGGTGCATTGCAGAGTCTACGCGGTTCCAACGTTTCCAGCACGGATCAGGGCGCGTCTAATCCAAACGTTGTACCTACACCACGTCCCCGAACTGTCAACGAGTTTTTTCGACGTGGAAGTAAACTTGTGGACGAGCCTGTGGAGGTTCCATCCCTGGCGGATCTCCTTGCATCGATCTCGAACCGCGAGCGCAATCTGGCGGACTCCGCAGTGCCTTTGGTTCTGCAGTCACAAGAAGAGCGTCTGTCGGCTATGCTCCGTGCGCTGGACTCTGATGTTTTCGGCATCACCCAGCTTCCACCGCAACAGATCTCGGTCGCTCTGGTCCTACGCTGGATTTTGAAGGTGCTAAGCGAGCGCGCTGCAAACAGTCAGAATAAAAACCGGGAATCAGAGCGCTGGACACGGCGTGAAGCGCGCTGCTTCTTGGCGTCTTTTTCCTGGGATGGTAGCACAGCCCCACAGGCTAGTCAGACGCCGCCTATTATCGACCGACATGTCCAGCTTGTTGCCCAAGTACTGCACGTTTTGGAATGCGTCGATCACTTGGCGAACATTCTTTTGCTTCCTGATGTGGTGGCATCTCCGACCTGCATGTTTTCGGGCAGAGCCTTCCATTCCTATTTATCTGGAAGCAGTGCCCTTCCTGATGTCCCGACAACCCTTTGGGCGGTGTGCGAATCCGGCCTACAGGATACCTTTGTGGAAGAACGGAAGAATAAATTCAAAAAAGCCAAATCCAAACCTGCGCAAATTCCTCCTGTGAAGACAGCTAAGGGGACGGGACTTTATGCGATGCTGGGAAATTTGGAGACATAGCTTTATATATATATATGTATATATGTTTGCAACTTTGTTGGTAGTTGCATTTCCGTGATTTTTTTTTTGTTGTATCGTGATGGTTTTTTTACCCTCATGTATTCATTTATTGAGCTGTCGGGTTGGCTGTGACTTGTCAGATAGACGCTCTCTTGTCTGTGCACGCCTTTAGCAGTACAATGCCAAGAATAGTCACGTTGATGACGCATGGCGGTGCATTGTGATCGGTGGGCGCCAACTTCAAGCCCTGGTACCGGTGCACACTGCCTGTCTCTACTTAAAACTCCTTTGGTGTTCATTCGTCCCAGCCAACATACTCAGCCCATATCATGGCATCCTACCGTACATGCTCTCCTGCACCAGCAGATATAATAACCTATCGTTTTCGTACAAATTTGGTCTATGTGAAGCCAGAACTAGACTACGAGGTGCGTTTCATTTGCCAATTGAAATGACAGAGCTAACTTTACCGACTCGTAGGTCGCTCTAGATGTTGCCCAAAAAGAATTTGCCCAACTTGTTGAGGTCGATCGGCACCGAATAGTGTTCACAACACAAGCCACTGTTGCTGGCATACGCACGTCTGTGCGCATTTCCGCCAGTGCCTGGGCATCTACGGTATCGCGGATGCTTCGCGGAGAAGTCATCGATGTTGAGATTGCCGAGGCCAAAAAGGAGGACGAGCCTCCACAGTATCTTGAGGTCCCTGAGGCCAAGGAAGACTACGCGAGATGCTATCGCTCTGCCCCTTCTTCCCGATCTAATTCCCGTACTCGCCAATCATCCCCTACACCGTCACTCAACAGTGGAGAAAAATCACGACGAACATGGTTTACTAGACATTTTTGAACATTTCGTGGTACAGAAACTTCGACTCCTTTTAAATAATACCCTATACATATACCCCTGTAAAATACGTTCACTGTATCCTTACGTATAGTATGTTCGCCAAGTGCTTATTTGTAGCTACCAACTTATTGACGTTACAACGTTCAACATCAATCAGCTCCAATATTTCAATAATCAAGCCACAGTCAAGCCACTCAGGTGCGACTGTGTCTCAACAATGCCTTGCTTCTGAAAGTCGCGTTGTATTGCAACAGATTGTTTATGTCCCGCACCCAATCGTCTTCCTTCCCAGGTCCCGCACCTTCGCCCTGTTGTGTTTCATGCCTTTTTTCGTCAGAAATTGAAGATCTGTTGATGCAAGGGACAGGATACGGCGATGCTTGGATGTTCACTGATTCTCCCGACTGCAGGACGTGAGACGTTCGGCCATCCATTGATACCCCTGCGGGCGCTCGACTACGATCACCGATCTGTCGGGAAACGTTGTTCATTTCAAAGCTGTTACTGATGAGATCTGCAACCGCTTACCCGCAATGTGATTGAAGATGAGGAAGGGAATACTAGCGGTCGGAATGATAGGCTCCGGGGACAGATTGGAGTCATGACCAAGGCGCTTAACGATGGGTGTACAATAGGCCCGCCTGCCGACAAAGAATATGCTGTCGATCCCGTAGGAGTAGATACTATGAGTCCATCGGACTAAGATAGAGGTATGTCAATTGCACAGCTGACTGCTAGTGGACCTACAACTGCTTCCGTCAAGTGTTGACCATCCACAAATATATCAATCGTGTTCAAATGAGGACTGGACCCTCGGTGCAGCGCTATCTCATTCATTACCTGCCAATCTACATTGCACTATCGATCAGATTTGGCTGTGTCAGATACTGAGTAAACATACCAATGCCGTCATCAACGTTGTTTTTCTTCTTAACTAGTTTTTCATCAAAAAAAGTACACGCTAAACGCATGCGGTTCAGGATAGTCGCTTTTCCTTGGAAGACGCTCTCAAGCGCTTTGGCAAAGTCATCGATATCTGGATGGTGATGGTTTCGAATCCAGAGTAACCCGCTTAAGAATAAATACTGACGAAACGGCAGAAGGAACCCCAGAGTCCCCATCGAGAAGCTCAAAACAGGAGGCACCGCACCTGCGCTAAAGAGTGATGATGCGTGCAAGATTGTCCCATCGCCTCCGAGGGTGACGACCAAATCAATTGGTTCCGCTTTCCCTAATAGAGCAAACAACGAAAAAATTTATATAACAGCACATCAGGGTATAGAAAAATGAAGCGCACCGGATTGCCATACCTCGGCTCCATGGGGTATATCTGACCTATCTTCATGAAAGACTCTGACGCTGGGATATGTGGCCTGGACATGCCTGATTGGTCGATAACTGATCAGGAAGGCGTCCAATCGCAGTTTTGTGAAACACAAACTCAAGAAACGCGTCGATGGCAAGGATCACTGGCTGTGTTCGCAGTTTGTTGACTATTAAAATTGACCTTGGGGGCCGTACGAGGTAGTTCCTATCTCCCGAAAGACGTCAATGCATGGTCTGCACGTACACAGGTCGTGACGAACGTTATAGATACGGACCCTTGCATAGACATCGCCCTTGATATGGGATTTTGAGTGCATCTTGACCAAGAAAAACTTGTTGGAAAGGGAGTAGGGATTGCCAGCCCTCGGCGGCACGTCTTCGAGAAGGTGGAGAGCATTGGGAGCCTCGCGTGACGCTGTGACAAACCAGATCATCGCTGCTCGGTCTTCGGACCGGGTTCCTGAATAGGGAGTTTGGAAACCCGGGCCCTTCTTCATTGCTTGACTACTGGAACATAATAACGACTACGTATGGCAGTCTAGGCAAGCTGTAGAATAGTGTAATAAACATCGTCTCCAAATTTTATTCTATGCCGCTACACCCCTTTCTGGATCTCAATTTGATAATATCAATGCCCACGTGATCAGATTCAACACGCGAGCGATTTACTCTCTGTTACTCACTCTTCTCCGTGGTCGTCATTCCGGACGTTTGTTCACTCCACAGTGTACGGCGTTTCTAACATCGCTGTGCCGTCTGGGCCTCCACATGCTACCTCAACAACATGGGCGACATTTTTTGCGACAAGCGCACCAGATCTCAGCTTACTCTTCCCGACGACATTTACCAGCATCTTCCCTTGAGCCGTTCGCCGCTAAAGGACGCGCGTACAGCACTGAGAAATCAGTCGGAGCCTCCTGTACCGTCTTGGCTGAACGAAAGCGTCGAAGACGAATCTGAGGACGAAATTCTGCTTTCCCCGACCAAGGCTAAGAGTGTCAAACGTTCGGCATCACCATCGCGAGACGCCAACTATTCATCCAACACCGCGGTACCTTCCGAGTTTCCCGTATTTAAGCGTCTTCGGAGGGATGATGGCGCTGCAGGACATATCGACAGCGAGAATGTCAACATGCCATCTTCTCCAAGTCGGCACTTCGTCGAGCTAAGTCTTGAATCTCCGAAGCGCGTCGGCGATGGATCTCCAAGAAAAGCAGGCCTTATACCCAGTAGAGCACGCTCTGTGCCCCCCACGTTTCCCAGCATTAATCTCCGGAATCCACCCAGTTCTCCCAACAAGCCTCGTTCACCCAGAAAAGTGACGCCAATGTTGAAGATCACGGTCGTTGCTCCGCCTGAGAAGCTGGAGCCTATCCTGGATGAAGAAACCGAGCAGGAAGGTGATGGACAACACGCAGTATCATCTCTGAATCTCGTTGAACAGGGGATAGTTACAGGAGAAGTGCCAGAGCCACCGCAGCCCCCAGAGGACCCGCACAACGTTGTGGTAGTAAACGCACATAAGACGCCGGCTCGAACAAGGCTTATTGCGGGGCCACTGTCTCCACTAACACCGCTACCAGAGACGCCCATTGCGCCACCACAGTTGCATGATGACCTGAAGGACAGAATTCTGAATACTTCGGGCTGGGGGTTTGAGCGCAATAGCAACGTGGTGTGTTACATGTATATCTTCCTTGCATATGCTAAGTCTCCGTACAGAGTGTCAACACGGACGTCCATCCTGAATCCTTGCATGCTTCACATCTCCCTGCCGAGGCTGCTGTTCGTCATAGTCGTATCTCACGTCCATCCCTTGCGTCAGAGAATGTTTTGGCCACCCCCGTAGCCGATCCAAGTCCCTCGTCATTAACGGCACCTCCAGCGCAGGGAACGACGACTAGCGTATCAGTCAAATCACATGCCAAAGTCGTTTCTCAAAAAAGGAACTTATTCGACATCATGATGAGGGCTTCTCAATCTAGCACTGTCAAAGGAAAGGGAAAAGCACCTGCGTCTTTAGCGGCCCACTCCGTATCAAAGAGTGCTGACAAAGGCAAGAGCGAAGAGCAGCGTGCGCTTCCCAAACAGTCGGTGAAGAATAGGATGAGACCCAAGGAAGTACCTCAACCACGACGTGAAGCCATTCCCAACACTGATATCCAGGCTGATGGTGAAGGCGAAGCGGGTCCCTCAGGCAGTAGACCTCCACTTATCGCTGAGCGTGGTTCAGAACCTCATTCAGAAACCCAAGAAGGAATGAATTCGGATCTTGAGGAACTCTTTGACGAGACCAAAGCCACACTTAAGCCTGAGGCTGAGGCTGTCATTGATGACCCTACGTCGGAGTCTGCTAATCACAAGAGTCTCCCGATTACAGCGGTCTCGGACGAAGGACAGAATGTGGTCGAGGCATCAAAGCCTCCGATGCCCGCTACGACAAAGAAACGGGCACGAATTCAGGCTTCCTCAATTCCTCGAGTTACACGAAGTTCCTCTCTGAAGAAGAAGGAGCAAGATGCGGAAAGAGCAAGTCAAGGTTCGTCAACCTGTTCATCTTTACCAACTTGGCTTATAATTGTAGACCCACGAGTGCGCAAGAGGTCATTGCTTGGGCCTAAATCCTCCCCCAAATCTGTTTCAAAGCCTGCTCATACATCTGCTCCTGCAGAGCCTGCGAATCGTGAACGTTCGACTTCACCTCTCACAGATTTATCCTCGGATTCTGTCACGGAGTTATCAGGCCAACCCACCGATGCAAGTGATACTCCTAAAACCCCACGACTTTCAAATAATTTTGCAAGACCAACTTTGTCAAGTCTAGCGAAAACGCCTGCCTGGAAAACTCCAGTGAAGACCACTGTGAACCTTTCTCCGACGAAGTTAGGAAGATCGGCATCCATGTTCGCGCGGCCTATTGGAGGTGCGCTTATTTTATGGTACCTATATCCGCCTACGAATTACTCTCTGCAGGTATAATGCCGTCGAAACCAACAAATGGATCCGCTCTATCGAATTTATCCTCGGCGCTTGAAAAACTCGCTGTACCTCCACCTTCTCGACCCACGTCTGATTTTGGATTCAATTCTGATAATGAGGGATCTTCTACAAGTTCACATCGTACTGGTCCCTTACCCCGTTCTGCGATTCTTGGTTCTGCAGAAATAAGTGTCGCCAGCTCAAGCAAGAGCACACCCGCAACATCGCTGTTATCCAAGCCAATACTCGAGCAACGACCTGTCACCGATTTCTTCAAGAAGGACGCCCTCAAAAGGCCCAGTCGACTCATGTCGGGCACGGCGGGCTTTCACAGAGGCAAACCCGGCATCTTTCCCTATAGAGTGGCTCAGAAAGTCAGCCAAAAGACGCCATTACCCGTTGTTCCGGCCAGCCCTGTGAAAGGAAATGGTGACGGAGATGGCGACGACGATATGATGACTAGTATTGAACAGAAATGCGACAGTGCTAAATCTCGCTGGGAATCGAAGGTCGTTGCATCGACGCCTGAGGCTATGGAATTGTCTGAGTTGGTTGGCGCGCACTTGGTTAAGGGCAAACGGAAAGCCACAGATGAGGCAGATGGTTGGGGCAAGAATGCATCGAGAAGGGCTTCGATGGCCTTCAATATGTTATCTCAATCCATGCCACCACCGGCCTCTCCTAATACGTCTGGGAATATGGGACCCCCAGCGACGCCTCCGAAACGAGAGGGTCTCCGGAGTTCTACAGCCTCTCATCCGGCGCCGTCTTCGGTTGCATCGTCTTCAGCCGCAAGGAAACCCAATGGGCTTGGGCCCAAACGGACTCCGAGCACGAACGACGTTAGCGACGAAGAGGTCGGGCATGATGATAAGAGTTATTCATATTCTGGGCGCAAGGTTTCAGGATCGAAGAAACCTCCTGACCCCAGTCTGAACATTTTATCCGGGATTAAGGTCTATGTCGACATACGAGATTCCAATGGTATTGACTGCGGAGATGTCTTCATTGACATGTTGAAACGTTTGGGGGCGAAGGTACGTCAACCTATTACATTATGCATTTCGGAATTCAGCTCTTTGAGTAGGTGATGAAGAACTTTGGGTTAACATGTACACATCTCGTCTTCAAGGACGGTACAGTCAGCACACTAAACCGGTACAGGTAAAGGTCTTTGCTTCAGGTCCTGACTGGGGTAGCTGATTGTTGGATAGGCAATTGGAGACCAAACCTTTCGTCGTTGGTCTGCAGTGGATCGTGGAGTGTGCCGAGCAGCGTTTACACCTCGACGAGACGAAGTATGCCATCAGCTTAGAGGACATAAATATCGCTGGTGTTAACAAAGTAGGATGTTTTGCCTTTATCCTCTTGTGACTTGCTGACACTGGCCTCTAGCGTGCGAGAAAGTCGATGATCCCCAAACCCATTGCATCTACACACATAGATGACCCCTTCTCAGATCCTCTCGTCACAGACAGTTCAGTTGACGAGTCCAACTCATGTGCGCGTCTGTCTACTTTCTTTAATCCCATCATTCTCATGTCTTTGCAGCTTTCTCGATCGATAGTTCACTCAAACCACTCGAGAGAGCTCGACGACGTCAGAGCACGATGGTGACATCTCGCTCTTAATGAATCATTTCATGATGATCTTCACGCCGACATATGCTATCACAACGTTCTTTTATCGTATATTTACCCTTCGGGTTTGTCGCACCTAAGTAGTACGGTGTGCTGTTGCTAAATTTGTTTTGTATCCTAATCATCAGGTCGGAATCGAAATGTATTTCCAATCTGCGTTAGATGCAAGACGTCAACTTTAAAATATACTGTTACAAACCATGACCAGATGAAATAAATTAGTGCAGGAGTGTACAGTGGGTAGATTGGTATATCAAGAAATCGCGTTGTTACCTTTCCAAGTCATCAGGAGCATCAAGGGTTTCAACTTCAGCAGTTGTTTCTGCTGTGCGCTGGCACCCGCCCGGGAGAAGAAATTTAAATCGGTCAGCAGCTTCAATCAGGAAGCGCGGAAGGTTTATGGCGGACACTTGCCTAGAAAATGGTCAGTGACCTTATGACATCCACGATATGATGGGATTGGTACTCACGGCTCCGGATTGATCTGGGCAAGAAGATCAACGTACTGTATACCTGTTAGTCGATAAACAGCATTCAGAAGGTAGAAAACGTACACTGAATGCTTCAGGAAGCATTCCGAATATGTCTTTCCCCCTGCATATGGTGTCCTGTATTCTTTGTGGGTCCAGGAGACTCAACTGCCCACCAATACGATCGTGATGAGAAAAGCCGGTCATTTTGGCGACATATTCAGGTATCGTTCTGAAGCAATAGCTGCAATGCCAGCCCGAATCAGCGAGCATGACATCACCACTCTTCCGGTGAGAGTAGTAGCTGCCAGGCATCCAGAGATTAACACTTGCACGCCAGCTGTTGAACCCGAGGAACCACTCAAAACTAGCAAAATTTGAATGTGAGATAACCTCAGAAGTACACACCATACCTGTACACGTAACTGCGAAGTTGCAGATGTATGGAGGTACCGAAGTCGCAGGACCTGAGGAGCTGAAGAGTATGACCTGATGGTATCTCGTCGACGTCGGACATGATGACGAGCGGTCTCGTAGACGGTGCGAACTCAGTCATGTGTGAGCGCAAGAATGCTGTCATTGTGTCGCGAGTCTTGGCTTCAACATTCCATGCTGTCTGACCGTCTTCGAGAGGGTATCCAGGTAAACTATAATGGTAGTTAGATTTTGGAAAATAAATGAGCAAAGTACTCACAGCCGGTATGATATCTTCTTCTCAAATTTGGAGAACCGTGCACGGTTGTTGGCGAAATAGGTCTCCTTTGGCAGACCAGTAAAGGTGGCATTCGACTCGACAATAAAGAAGCGGTCAACGACAGAGTCCAGCTCATTCATTCGTATCTCCAACAAATCCAGCTCACTGCTCACTAGAATGGCATCCAGGACGCGGTAATTCTCGGCGTCAGGGCGTTTCTTCCAACCATGGAGCTGGCATACATGCTCGTTCATCTCCAAGCCTTCACCATGATAGTGAGGTATAACGTGCTGAGGGCCTTCGGCCGTGTCCCATATCGGCCGGGTCGCATAAGAGATAGTGTTGCGAATTTGGTAGTGATACTGGGTAACGAAGTAGAGCAGTGCACCGGTAGCGACGATGCTAGGAAGAAGGAAGGTCCTGAGCCTCTGTCGCCGAATTGACATGGATAAAAGAGCGTGGTGATGATGGAGGTCGGGGAGAAGACGCTACACCCATATGTATCACCTTGCCATACATAATAAGCCGGCTCAGGAGGTAGGGCAGGATAAAATTACCACGTGCCACGATTCTGCCTCCGTGCCCCGGTCAACCGGAAATCGGCATTTCTGTACCTCGTAGAAATGCGCAGTTCAATTCTGCTTGAAGAGGGTCAGGAACAAGTACCGTGTTCACGATAACCAGTGAATTTTTACTTACAAGGCTACATGTTCACGCGATTAAAGGTAAGTCTGGGATTTTCAGCAGAACCTTAGTCCAGTCGGAGTAGATACGCGTTTAAGGGTGTTCACCGGACCAGACGCCATTCATCGAGACTGAACGTTCATTATTTTCGACTGGAACGAATTATTTCTCCATATACATTTCCTGCTCGGTCTAAACGGATCAATGACAGGTTGCCACAACATTGTATTACAGGGGAAACCTGCCTCGTAGATATGACGACGAGGACAGAAAATACATAGTGACAAAAGTCCGAGAGTGAATTATATCATTTAGGAACATTCTTGGGTTACACCTTTTCTATCTGTAGGAACAGGGCCGACAGAAACAACGTGAACTGGTCGATAGTCTTGGAAATTGTGAACCCCCATAAGGTGGCGGAACAATTGCCGCCATCGTGCTGAGCGCATTAGCATTCACTATTGCTCTGGTCGTCGCAGCGATACTGGTCTACCATTGGTGACACAAGCAACGGTCGCCTGAACCGTCGTACAAGGACGATATAAGCCACCATTACATTCCCCGAGTCACCCCGTCCTTTTCTGCTGATCTTACGAGCGAATCTACCGCACTCATGCCAATATCGCCTCCTACAACACCTCAGAACCACAGGGTATCTGTACCATACTCCTACAGACCTGAATCTCAAGATCGCACGAGTTCTAGAACTGGAGGGGAGTTACGCCCATTTCTCCGATTCATCAATTCATGGTTTACACGGTGAGACGAATATGTTTGGGACCTGCTGACCTTTTAGAAGAGTTGGCGCGAGAAGCTAGACCGACGGATCCGCTTGAAGCAGCGGACATTGTGAAGATGCCGTGGGAGGGACGGTCTAAGATAGCTCATGATCGCAAGTAAACACGCCTTACAGATAAATCGCTGAGATAAAGCTCGCGCCAAGGACGTATTCGCTGACATCGGGGTCTGTCCATTCCTCTACATAGCTTATGCATCGTCCTTGACTTTTTCTCAGCAATATATTTTCGTCGAGGCTTGCCGCGAAGTTCCCGAATGTGAAAGTAAATGTCATCTTCGTCTCGCATGGAACCTCCCAAGTGATAGTCTCCGATGAATTTGAATAAATACTGGCTCCAGTCAAAGACGAATCTTGCATCAAAAGTTAACATCTATATTCATTAAATGCAATGCGCAGGAACTCACATACTGATCGCGCTTGTGCCTGTGGGAAGCGTACCGTCGCAAAAAAGGGATCCAGTACGGCCATTAGATCTCCGTTCTGCGATATTTTCCCATTATCGCCACTTTCAAATGACCATCCGTCCATGTTGACGGACCAATCCGAATTAGTGGAACTCGAATTGAAGGCCGACATCGGTTTCCAAATCACGTCACCAGAACTATCTTGGGCCAACAAGTGAAGCATGCCTCCATTCGTACCCGAGGAATGAGATGAGACAGGTGCGAACGCGTAGGTAAAGTTGATCCGTGTTGGGTGCTGGGAAAGCCAGTTGCCTCCAAGACTTGCCCGGAAATTTCCATCTCCTATATCGTAATGAATGATCATGTTGAATGGGACAAGGGAAGATTCATACGGGCATTGCTTCCTAAACCCAACACACCAGAGAACCTGGATAACGGCAAGATAGTTTGAGATTGATTCGCCACAACGACTACGGGTAAAACGCGACAAGACGGAATCGGAAATGATATCAGAAAGACTGACTTGTTTGATTCGTATAACCCCATGCTGATCCATTCCCTTGCTTGAGGCTGCAGTTCTCTATTATGAGCGAGCCGCTAGTGGAGCTAGACCATAATGATATGTCCTGACTTTGAGGTATTTGATAGGCAGAGGTAGAAGCACTGATGTTGTATCTGAAAGACGGGGTCAAGCTTTTTATGAAGTATTGGACACATACACATTCGCACCACATGAATCACAAGATGTACCAGCTACTGCTGTGTAGCCTATCGCTGTCGACAATACAAAAGGCAGATTCTGGACTTGAGGTCTCGAAGACTTAAGAGACAAGTATATGGGCGTCAGAAGCTGTCGAATGGCCAGTAAAGCCGGACGCACCATAGCCACTTTAACGACATATTGTTGATTGCTGAGCGCAAGAGGAATGTGTATAGGCTGAAGCGGCTCATTGTCGCGTGGGTAGAGGGCAGATAAAGCAAAAGATGGTATGTAACAGAAAACCAGACCCGCTAGAAAGATACTCATGATGAACAAATCAAACGATTGGCGCAAGCCTATATATTATAGAAGCGAAACACCACAGCATTTGGGTGAAGCATTAGGAGGAAGCGCCCATCTAATCCTCTGTTCGACCCTGTCAGCGCTCTGTCCAAGCCCCAGGGGCTCTCTGCCTCTGGAAAATCACATGTATTGATCCCCATAAAAGCATCGCCTGCGTGCTTTATCCGCTCACGAGTATTCCTGACTGAGACAGAAACCGCCTGAAGTAGTAGAGTCGCACTAATAAATACTAGCCATAGTTGAGCAAGCCGAAATGTCCGCCCCCTCCGCTCAGAGCGAGTGAACTTATGAAGCTTGTTTCAAGGCCAGGGAGAGATCCCAAATCGGCTGAAAACAGCGTTAAAAAATCCTCCCGGAACGTGGTGCCGCAAGCAGTGTCCTGCTGCAATCATGAACGACGCCAACTGTGCTTGTAAAGCGGCTCTTCGAGGTACGTTACCAGTGACAGACAAGAATGCAGAAAAAGACAGAACCCGACAGTCGCGGCGATGCGGGTGACGTTGTTGATTGACTTTTCGATGGTGATGGGCCTCAACGTTCACTTTCCAAGAGAGGAAGTCCCGGCCTTCCGGACCGGAGGCTACCACAGTTGTTTCGATCACGTGTTGCGTCGCGCTCGGCTTCAGGCATATTTCCCACGGGCAGAGGTTTGTTTAGCAGCCACTGTCATCTTTGTCCCCAACAACCACCGGCCCAGGTCGATCCCGCCTTCTCCACCATTTCCCACAGTCTCGTCGCAGTAGAAAACGATGAACGGGAACAAAGCGTCTCCCTTGAGGGACAAATTAGTCTCAAATTCGCCAGATCCCGTCAAATCGTCTATTTTGAGGGAGTCGGGCATGGGATGGAGTCCGTCCGATGCCACCAGCGGAAACGGAACAAAGACATCTCCTCTGCGCTTTTCAAAGCGTGACATCCCTGTCCGACCACCGATGCCAGACCTTGCTCGTCGTTCCTCGTCGAGCTACCGTCATCTTCGCAACAACAACCTTGTTTCTAAATCTCCTTTCAAGTCTCAAATTCCTATGCCTTCCACTCCTTCGCGTAATGCACACCCTGAGTTACCGTCTTCTCGTCGTGTCTCCGGAGAAAAACGTCCCAGGCCTACGTCCCTGCACGACCAATCGGAGACAGAGAACGAGCGCCCGTTTGCTCTGAAGAGGGAAAGGCGTCAGTCCAAGACCTTTCAAGGGCTTATCAACAAAGAGTCAGTCAAGAAAAGCCCTTTCTTGCACACATCGAATACAGAGGAGTCTGCCACCTCAGATTGCCAATCGGAACCTGTTGTTTTCCAGCCGCCTCCTACATATCCAGTCTCGCCGTCCAGAATATCGGCGCCTCTGCCCAGTAGTGCTTCACCTGCCCGCTCATCTCTTGTTTCCAGGCGCTTGCATGGTCCGCGACTAAGCGGGCGGCGAGAGCGAAGGAAGACAGTCACCTTCGACGAACGTTGCGACGTCGTTGAGTTTGACCGCGAGGAAGAGGATATCAGTGACGATGCTCTGGGGAGTGATTATTCCGACCATGAGGGCTTTGAGGAGGATTATGACGGTGTCGGGGATGTCGATTCTTTTTTCCAAGGGCCCAACAGCAGTGGTGAGGCCGATGACCATCCGGATGACTCGTACGAAAGTATCGAGATTTCTGACTCTGGGCAAAAGCTGGAGCTAGATCCTGATACTAGCATCACTGGCCTAGTCGATGCAATGTTTGGATCTCGTCAAACAAGTACTCCGCCGCGTCACAATACTGACATACCTACCGACCTTGACACCGAGGATGGGGTTCCTTTTGGCCGCACCCATCATGCTGAAAGAGCTGCACACCATCGCCAAGAGTTCACACCGCCTGTCGGGATTCCTTTTAATCCATCGTCGACGCTGCGTTCCGCTTCAGAGTCTCCCATTGCCCCATCCCAACGAATGCTCGCGACCCCGCCCATAGATGACTCTTTCAGTGGCTCTGACAAACACGGAGACGGCGGAAATGCAGACATACAGAAGTTACCTGAATCACCTTCTCCTATGAAGCCTCGTCCTAGCCCTCGCGCTTCAGTTTCCAGACTTTCTGGCGGTACGGTGCCTTCCCCAATTCTTCAGAAATTTCCCTGATGTACTCTCTTAGGTTCTCCGGCCCAACCAGGGATATCTGGTCCTGATCCATTCGCTCTGCCAAGTCTAAAGGACGCATCCCTTCCGGACGAATGCGACGGCAGAGAAGATTCTGCCAACTTTTCATTACCAGTATCAGGTGTGAGTATCGGTGCAATAGAAGCAGAGTTCAAAGTCCATAATGTATGTTGTCACTTGTTACTTTTGTTCTCTTCTCCAGTTCATGTCATATTATGTATAGACGCCACTATCCGAAGAACCTAAGCCCGCGTTTGATGATTCGGTGCGCAGTTCTCCTTCCGCATCGTCCCCTAGTCCAGCGCGGAGATCACCTTTGCCGCCCATCCCAACAGAGGCGGGCATGCCTGCATCTTACGCATCCCCCACAGTGCATCCTACTTCCAGCGTCGAAACGCTTACCAGCTTTAGCCACCTACGATCTCGCATCAGCAGGGAGGATATTCAAAAGCGTCTTAGTCGACAGTTAAACACAGGTAGTCCGAGCCCAGCAAACAGCCCACGCCCTTTTGATAGGCCACGTTCCCTAGACAGCCCACGCCATAGCTTCACGGACAGTCCGCGCATCGCTACTACCGACTTTTCAAGGGCTACCGAAAGTCCTTGGCCTGTCGATAGTCCTCTACGTGGCAACGGTCCACAACCAGTGGATCCCTATGAGGCCGTCGATGTCGCGAGTCTGCTATCAGCCGATACGGCAGGACCGGCAGATAGTCCTCATGGGAGCCTTAACTCCTCAAGAAGTCCTACCGATGACAGACGACAAGACGAGGAGAAGGATCGTGATACTACTTCAATCATGACTGCGATGACAGACGCCAGCATTACCAGTTCAGAAACAGCCGTTATCCAGACTGCCGAGAAGAAGGTTATTGGTGCCATTGGCATTGCCAGCTCCGACTATCATGAGGAGCCATCGGTCGTCCATGAGGAGTTTGGAATGCTAAAGCCTGCAGATAGTGGACAGAGGCTGAAGTTTGATTTTGGAAGCAAGTTCGGATTGGGAGGACTTGGTATTGACGATATAGAGCTGGATGAGACAGAAAGTCCTTTCGCGTCGAAGTTGGAATTAACGCCTACAAGCGGTAATCTGGATACGGCTCCAACGAAAAGCACTGCCAGGACCCAAGTAGCATCAGTGGACGTTGACATGGATATGCGAAGTGCTCTCGATAGGCTGCTGGACGACGTTGCAGGCCATCAGGTTGAACAAGATGACCTTATGATGACTGAAGACGGTGATGCCTCCTGCGCCTCTGAGGAGAAAACTGATACTGAGGCGTCACCGAGCAAGCCTCGCCTCATGGAGAGGGCTGCCACGGATTCCGCGCTGGTCGTCAATAGTCCTGGCAGTGGGGTGGTTAGCAGAAGTGTCAGCGGGTCTTCGGCATCTTCCGACCCTCCCCCTGTTCCGCCTAAAGATAACATACGTTCCCGTGAGGCCATGATATTAGAGAAACGACGCGAGATGAGAAGGTTGGAAGAAGAGGAAGAGGTGGAGTTTTTGAGTCGGGCGGCGAAACGAGATAATCATCCCATGGTCAACACAGGGAGACCCAGCAGGAGGCGAAGCCGAAGCACTGGAGATGTCGAAGGTATTCGAGGAAATATGCGGCGTGGTGCCGACGGAAAGTTATTGGATGTCGTGGCACCCACGAGTGATGATCCTCTCGCCGACAGCATTGAAAAGGAGTTAAAGAAGTTAGAGGAACCAAGTAAAAGTGTACGCTCTTTCTACATTTTTTCCCACATTATGCTGATGTTACCATAGAAATATCATGTCCGACAACATGAAGGGACAATCTACGCGTCGTCGGATACTGATAGGGTATCACATATGGCTGGCGCAGGCGATGTGAATGCCGGAAAGGCATGGCGGCCGGTGCGGAGGCCGTCAGATATGGTGAGTCGACTTCGCATCAAAACTCGCCTGCTATTATAAATTGTGCCCAGAATGAGTACGCGAAACAGATCAAAGAATATCGAGCCCAGGAGAAGCCAGGAAAAGCCTATGGGAAAGTATTCGTGAAAGGTATGGATTTAACAGGCTCCTACGTCCTTTGCTCACTGATATCGGTAGTCTTGGGATTGCGTGGCATTCGGGTGCCGATGCCCAAAGAACCGACGGCGGTATCATGCACTCTTAACAACGGTATACACTTTGTCACAACACCCGAGTGCAAATTTACTACAGATAGTCCTATCAACCAAGAATTTGAACTGTAAGTCGAGCGTACTATTTTCTTAATCACTGCCTGATCGTCTTTGCAGAATCGAACATAGCAAACTGGAATTCACACTCACCCTGAAGATTCGTCGGGACCCTCATATTATCACTCAGTTTAAAGCCGTCGTGCCACAACCTCCCCCCCAAGCCGTGGCTCCACCACCTGTCATTACGCATGCATCCTCAAAAACGGGCATGCGCAGTTTCTTCTCTTCGTCTCCTAAAAAGCCGAAGGAGAAGCTGAAGCATCCTGTTCCCGCTGCCGTGCAGGTACCTATTGTACAGACGCCGCGGCGACTCGTTGAGAACCTAGCACGCTACTTGAAGCCCGACGGGACTCTTGCGCGGGCCTTCATTGCGTTCAAGGATGTTGCCCACCGTTGTGATACCAGACTATTCGAGACTGCGTTTCCATTGATCGGACAAAGTTTAGAGCCAGACAACAAGGTCTCAACCCTACAGGTTGGGGAAATTGTGCTCCAGATTTTTAGGTTGCCGCCGCTGCCAGGCATCACACCTGATGAACTACCGCAAAGCCTTGAAGAATGCCACCGCGGCTTGCGCCATATCAACTGGCACAAGGTAACCTACTTTGAAGGAACTCTTACCCAGAGCGGAGGGGATTGCAGTGTAAGTGCTCTTCTTCACGTGGTGCATATCTGCTGAGTTTCTTTTCTAGTCGTGGCGTCGTCGACAGTTTCGGGTTATAGGATCGGACCTCGTTGCCTTTAACAACGTCACTAAGAGAGTGACAGCAACCATTGACCTCAAGAAAGCGACTGCTATTGAAGATGATCAACCGAAGGAGAAAGCATTAAGTCCTGGTGCACGTAGTCGATATGCTGATGAGTATGATGGAATGTATGGGGTGGAACGCTCGTTCCGCTTGATTTTCCCGGAAGATGAAATCGCGTTCTTCGCTGACACAGACGAAGAAAAGGCACGATGGTACGAGAGTCTTTTCCGGCCTTTGTGGGATCCTGCTTATGCCTTGTTAGGTTGGATGTGCTCCGTGCCCTTGTTGGTCACATACCACCTCACCCTTTATGGGCAGAACTGCTCTGGCAGCGTCAAGAAGAGCTCTCAAAGAAGACCAAGAGTGGCTCGGCGCCAATGCGTCCATCATCTTCAAAGACTTTGACCGTAACGTAGATCGTTTAGGCTTATCTTGTGCATATTTTGCTTTACGAAGGAATTTTCTCCTTTTCGACAGACTCTTCTCTTTCAGATTCACGCTACCGTGTATTGTGTGCTACTTACTTATTATTGTATATGTCCCCTCCACTACGGGGCTCGCAGATATCTATTGCATGATAATGCCAAACCAGATTCACACGAAAGTACTGTAGCAAACGTATATCTGTAATAAGAATATTTCTACTATTACAGTAACGTACCGGGCATCTCTTGCTACCGGGACCTTTTGTTGTCCTGAAGAGGAATGTTAGTTTCGTCAATCTGAGTCACCATAGCACATGGTGCTTGCTGAAAGGTTGACGTTGTGCCTCGTCAAAACGCGAACTACCGGCTTCCATGTTGGTCTGCAAGTGAGTCTGTTCGAATGCAGGACCATCGCTGCTAAACGATCACGCTCTTAAGGTGTCTTCAAGTTCTTCTTGGACGCCCGGGAACTTGCTCAGATCTCACGGTGAAGCCAGAATCATGGTAGTTTTGATGTTTGAAAAAATGCATATAAAGATCCTTGTATGGAGTCCAAGGGATGGAAAATCAAAACTTTTCCATTCGCCTTGGCAACTTGTGGACACAGAGTGACAATCAACGCGTTACTCCACAGGTCTTCTTGAACAATTCGCACATTTCAAAATCTTCAGTATCGTCATTGAGGCCAGGTTTGATTCTTCCTTCAACGGCTCCGTCAGCGATTCGTTCGTTCGTGCTTCTAGTTGCGGTTCTCGATATTTTTACCAACTGGTTTGTTTAGGGTGACAGGGAATCAAGCAAAGGAATGATGATTGGTCTGTCGTCAAGGAGGGAGGAGGGGAGAATGGGAAACAGATACACGGGCCGATGACAGATAGGTCGTCATTGATCTCGGTTTTCTCCGTTGCTTACTTCTTTTGCTTATTTTCGTCTATCACGGCTAATGACCGGTGTGACCTTTGAAAAGCGGCTCCTTCGCTCTTCTTCATTTCTTTGACCCCTACCACAACGATAACGTCCCATGGTACTCACGAAACGCTCTAGACCCCGGAAAGACAGCGACTCCGCTTCAGATGAATCGACATCACACCAAACGGAGGAGCAGCTCCGGCAAGACAGCAAGAAATCGAAGGGAGAAGCCAAAGGGTTGAAGCATGGAGAGATGGTATGTCAGTATGTCTTGTTGTAATGACCGAGTCTTATTGACGCACCAACGGAAGCAGTCCTTCCTTGCGACGCGAAGGTTTCTGTTCTCTCTCGGCATACTTTGTACGTTCTTTCTGCCACTCTGCTCGCACCAGACTCCAATCTTCCTATAGTCGGCATTATGCTTGGCTTCTCCTTGATTGACCGAACGGATATTGAGGGGATGCAGGCTCAACTGCTGCTCTTCATGGATGAGTATGATATTTCTCTCCCAGCTCTCCCAGACTTCGACTTTTCTCGAGTTGAGGCTGAGTGGATCCGATTACGAAGCAATATTCCAGAGCTATGGAAATTCAATCGTGATGGTCGAGAATTTCGGGTCGGTGAGAAGATGGCAGAGAGAGGACTGTCAGCCAAATATCCCGTCATCCTCGTTCCCGGCGTCATCTCAACAGTAAACGTGCTATATCTCTTCTCTGTCGTTGTCTTTACGTGATAATTACAGGGACTGGAGTCATGGTCTACTACTCCGGACTATCGTCCTTTCTTCCGTGAGAAGTTGTGGGGAGGATTCAATATGCTGAGCCAAGTCACATTCAACCGCGAAAAGTGGATCGCGGCAATGATGCTTGATCCAATCACTGGCCTAGATCCTCCAGAAGCCAAGATAAGGGCCGCCCAGGGTATAGATGCAGCTAGCAATTTTATTCAAGGATACTGGATCTGGTGCGTCACTTTCTTTTGCCCTGTTGTTAGTCCGTTCTGAGGGTCCAAGGTCCAAAATTGTGGAGAATCTAGCCGTCGTAAATTACGATACTAATAATCTGTTTCTGGCGCCATATGACTGGCGCTTGTCCTATTATAATTTAGAGGAACGGGATGGCTATTTTTCAAGACTGAAGTCTGTTATAGAGAATTTTAAGTCCGTCATTCCTTTTTTACACTGTACTGATACCAACCATCTCCCTTTAGGCGGAAGGAGAAGAAGAAGACGGTTATCGCAGCACACTCAATGGGCGCCACGGTAGGCATCGCTGTGCATCGACCAAAATTCCTAACAATTGGCCCTCTCTTAGGTCATGCTAGTACGATTCTTAGTCACCCATGCTACTCCAGCTAATTTACGCGTCCACAATCTAGTACTTGTATGTCGTGAATGATATCTGTCTATGCCGGTTCTCATTCTCTGTCTCATCTAGTTTCAAGTGGGTAGAATCTCCCGAACACGGCGGAGGTGGACCCACCTGGGTTGAGGTTGGTTCGCTTCCTTTCTGCGAGACGGGCACAAGTTAACGATGAGCAGGATCATATCGAGTCCTACATCTCCATCGGAGGCACTCACCTTGTACGTAAGCACCATCCTATACGTTTTCTGTGTTTACTAATGTCATTTCGCAGGGCGTGGTAAGCAGGTTGCCAGATAAGGATTGTCATTTGTAGTACTCATATTTTCACTTTCTGCAGGCAAAGGCAATGGCTGCCTTTCTGTCCGGTGAAATGAAAGACACCGTACAAATGAATCCTATGGGCTCTTATGGTGAGCCGATAGCCTCCAACACATTACCGAGCAAATCCTTAGTATTTCATAGTACTTGAACGCTTTTTCTCTCGGGTGGAACGTAGGAAATTGTTCCTCACTTGGGCTGGAAGTGCTAGCATGTGGATCAAGGTGATTAGGATAACTCGGCGTACTAATTGTGTATCTGAATGTCCCGTAGGGTGGTGATGCAATCTGGGGAAATGCTCACTTCGCACCAGATGATCAACTCCATTCAATACACAGTCATGGAGAGTTGATTGCTTTCCGGGAGTCGCGGATGATGTCAGCAGGAAGCGACAGTGTAGCAAACATGACTTCTGAACAAGCCGGAACATGGATTCTGCAACACACGCCCGCTACCTTCCAGGTCCGTATATCGCGTCTCTTGATATTGTAGTATGCTGAGATCCCAAAAGAAAATGATGGCAACCAACTATTCTGTTGGAATAGAACGAGACGAAGCGAACTTGAAGCGGAATGATGGCGATCATACGAAATGGTCGAACCCGCTAGAGGTCAGGTACGTCATTCAGGTTTGCGCAACGACGCTGCTCATTCACGCATGTTTCTAGACTACCCAATGCGCCGTCTATGAAAATGTATTGCGTTTATGGACACGGGAAAGAAACTGAGGTCCGTGCTCCTAAGTATCACTTATCACGATAGATGCGTAGACTGAGTACTCTTCACATTTAACAGCGTTCATATTGGTTTGTGGTTACAATTCCATTTCAGAATTACTCTCATTTACTTGAGCAGGTATGCAAGAGGCGCGTATGAACATGACGGTAACTCCATCGATGGCTTGAACCCCACCTGTTCAGATGCTGCTGATGATGAATGTGTATCCGAACGATCCCCATTAAATATGCCTTTAACGAGGAAGAGTTGGATTGATGCAGATTATACCAACGAGACCGTAAGTCCCAAGGCAAGTATTAGTGACCTTGGCACGTAGATGTTTTGGACCCACATAACAGTCTAGGTTCGCAACGGTGTCAAAATGGGGGAAGGCGACGGAACAGTTAGTCTTCTCAGTCTTGGCGCCATGTGTGTCGAGGGGTGGAAACGACCACGCTGGAACCCAGCTGGTATCAAGGTCACTACGGTTGAAGTAAGTTAACTCTTGTCACTTTCTATCTCTCAAATTCTTATCGTTTTTCAGCTGCCGCATCAGCCTATTCCATCGATACCGCGCGGTGGAGCAAACACGAGCGACCACGTCGATATCCTCGGATCTACGGGCCTGAATGAAATCATTTTGAAGGTGGTGACGGGCGTAGGTCACGAAGTGGAGGAAAATTTCGTCTCTAATATTCGAGAGTATGCGCAGCGTATACAGTGGGACCTTGACTAGCAGAGGGAGCTGGCGCGACTCTGCTCCATAGACATAAATATTACGTCTGTGACCGGCAAACCCTTTGTGGTATATTACTATCAGTACAGGACTATACTTGTGATACTCTTAATTATGCTGTTCTAGTTGCGAAGTGTCGATCCCGAGGAAATTCCTCGCTGGTCGTCGCTTTATAGGGAGTGCAACAGAGAGGCCACAACGTGCATTGACACCTTCGTAAAAGATAAAGCTATCCCGAATAGTACCCAGTAACTACTCTACGTTTTACTAATCCTCTGTACAAGTGACACGAGAGTGGCGGCGAACAGCTACAGCAAAGGTCCCCGTAAGCCCTTCGCTTACTCGCGTCACAAACTGGGCAGGACAAGATATATATATATATATACACTAAAGTTTAATGTAAACATTAAGAAATACTTTATGATTCATCATTGATGTGAGTTAGACTCACTTTGCTTTGCGTGCCTCCGGATCCTTGGCAAGCGCAATGGGATGAGCAAATCCACACATAACATCCTGGAGGCTGGTAATAGCAGAGGATTGTGCTGATAGCAACTGATGCTGACGAAAACGCCGAAGGGAATACCACGTGGTATGTGAACGTCCATTGTTATCGGCTGCCGGTAGTAGGCGGGAACAGTTCTTGGAGCGTAGAATAAACGTTACTGACAGCATCCGTATAGCGATGGATAGCGCTGACCAGACTTGGTTTGTCAAACTCGGGAATGATATTGGATATTTCATCGCTCCTGGTGACCAGAGTGCGTAGACTTTGAGGCAGCACCTTGATTCAGGAAAAAGACTAAAGTCCAAGAGAGTGTAAGAACGTACTCGTCGGAGTTTTGTTTCTTGGTCCATTCGTAGAGATCGACGAGAGTCTGGTAGCATGATTTGCCGGCCTCGAGTAAGAGATTGCGTTCGGGTTCGTCAAGATCCGCTCGCAGGAAAAGAAAAGGAGAGTCGATAGGCACACTGTCGCGTAAGGGTAACCACGGGAAGTACTGGCTGAGCCGTAACATCACGTCGGTGAGATGGTGGTCTTCGGACCGGAGCAAGTAGAATATGTCCTACATATCAATGAGCAGCGGTACGAAGGAGGATAGGTGATGCTTACCATCTTGCATAGGTCCGCCACGATCGCTATGAAAAGCTCTCGCTGAGCCGCTGCCAGATTTGCCATGCCATATAATGATGCACGCTCCTCAGTTGTAAGAGCCTCGTCAATCCGACCCATACCAGTACAGGCTTTATCCCACACGATAGCGTCCTCGGCCTTCTTCAGAAGCGTGCGTCGATACTGCTCTACACTGGCAATCAAGTCGAGCAAATTTGGGTAGGCTTCAGCATTTACGACGAACAACGGAGAGATGCTTTGATCTATGGTAAATATTAGAAGCTCTAAAGGGACGGGTTGAGCCTCCAATGGCTTGTTGACGACGTGTTGGTGTACGAAATCTAGTGTACAGAAGTTTTGAGTTGAAGACTGGGAAACAACGATGCCACCTACTGAACACTTGTCGAAGGTACTCGTTTGCTTTATCGAGGTGGGAGGACCGAGTATTTATTCCCTTGATGTAGGTGGTGAGTTCATCCATGGCATTGAACAAACAGGAAAGAGGGCAAATTGGAAATTGACGCGTTGAAATTGTTAAACAATCACATGCCTCCGCCTGTGAAGGTTCGACTTGGACTTGTCTTGTCTTGTCTTGTCTTGTCTGCGCCGATGCTTCCACCTGTCCAATCTGGCTATGCCTGTGAAGTTTCCGCCTTGTGTTTTCCAGCAGGGATAAGAGTTCTATCTTACTGTGATATCCCAAGTTCGCCGACCGGAGCAGATACTGTTACGTCGCAGTTTTCGGGCAGTTTTCCAGTACATGATTATGCTCCGAGATGATCCAAGGTAACTACACTTCCCGATATGCTTGTTGTACAAAAGAAACTTAGGTAATCTCGGTGCTTCGTAGTACCAGTGCGAGTGGCTTCAAACCTGACTCGCATCTGGACCGTCTACTCTTCGGGTGCTCATACAACTCCTTCCGCTCTCTCTCTCCCATATAACGTCCGTCATCCTCTCAGCTGCATCACTATTCTCTCCCAATGCCTGCACAAGAGGTGAAACTGCCACACAAGGTATGCTTTCTTACCACAACCTTTGCCTTTCGCTGACATTTTCCGTCATTATAGCATGTCGACGTCCTCATTATTGGAGGTACCTTGTATTCCTCTCGATCTCTCGCTCACCGTTTGGCATTCGAGTTTCGTAGGTGGACCCGCGGGCAGTTACGCTGCCACCACCCTATCTCAAGAAGGACTGGATGTTGCCGTACTTGAGGCATCCAAGTTTCCCAGGTGGGTTATTAACGTTGTATTTGCTGATTGCCCTGACATGCAGCGTGCTCAGGTACCATATTGGAGAAAGCCTTATCCCATCCGTGCGCCATTACCTGCGTTTCATCGGCGCGGAAGAAAAACTCGCAAATCACGGCTTCGTTCGCAAGGTACGTCAATTTTCGACGCATATATGCGGTATTTTTGATGCTCAATGGTTTTTAGCCGGGCGCCGCTCTCAAATTCAGGCAGTATACTGAGGAAGGATGTCAGTGAGGACGTCGTGTGCCATTTAATTTTGCATTGACCCTCTCCCAGACACCGACTTCGTAGCCATTGGACATAACAATAACGCATGGAATGTTGTACGTTTCAGTCCCTTCGTTATATATACAACTTGACGTCGTTTCAGGATCGCTCCGAGTTCGACCTTCTTTTGCTGAACCATGCTCGGGCGTGCGGCGCCTCTGTGTACGAGCTCACCAGAGTCAACAGTCTGACTTTCTCTCAGACGGATCCTTCGAGGCCAATTTCTGCGACGTGGACCCATACGGGCCCCCCAATACCCATTTCCCCGCCTGCGTCGCCAAAAGCATCCAGTGAGGGCACCAAAAGCCCTGAGATCGTCTCTGAACCAGTTAAATCTACCGGGGCGACCTCTTTCAAATACTTAGTCGATGCTTCCGGCCGAGCAGGCGTCATGTCAACGAAATACTTGAAAAATCGACATTTCAATCTATCTCTTAAAAATATTGCCGTCTGGGCTTACTGGAAAGATGTAGCAACTTACGGAGTTGGCACGAAGAGAGAGGGATCTCCTTGGTTCGAGGCCTTGACTGGTTCGTTTCGTCATTGAAAGACTGCTTGCAAGGTACAAGGTACTCACGGACTTTGTCTATGCAGACGAATCTGGCTGGGCCTGGTTCATTCCTCTTCATAATGGGACTACTTCTGTTGGTGTTGTGATGAACCAGGACGTATATAACCAGAAGCTTAAACATCCAACTCCGTCATCGCCATTATCCTCTGCCTCTGCTCCCAATCATTCGAATTCTGACAGCGCTACACGTTATTTAACGAGTCTTTCACTCGCGCCACATCTCGTCGATTTAATAGGCAGTAACGGGACGCTCATGGAAGGAACTATAGCAAAAGCCAGCGACTACAGCTATTCTGCGCCCTCATATGCTGGTCATGGCTTTAGAATTGTTGGTGACGCTGGAGGTAACCCTAATCCTTGTTTGTTCCGAGCGTGGACTCAATATGTGTCTAGCATTCATCGATCCCCTCTTCTCGAGCGGTATACATTTAGCTATGACTTCTGCTTTATCTGCCGCTGCCACTATATGCGCTTCCTTTCGTGAGGATATCAGCGAAACAGAGGCAGCGCAATGGCACACGAACCGAGTTGCCACCAGTTATACAAGGTCAGTGGCTCTTTGTTCTGTGGACCAACGAGCTTAGCCCCTTCATATTTCTACAGGTTTCAGCTTGTTGTTCTTAGTGCTTATAAACAGATTCGAGCCCAAAGCATGTCCATTCTCTCAGACGTCGATGAAAATAATTTCAACAGAGCATTTGCGTTCCTACGGCCTGGTAAACTATGTTGGGATGTTCGATCTACTTCACACTGAACCATATTGTATCACAGTCATTCAGGGCGCATCCGACGTGGGTACTCGTCTTTCTGAGGCCGAGCTACAAAAGTCCCTGGATTTCTGTGTCAGCCTCTTCAATCCTACAACACCCGAACAACACGAAAAACTTCATGGAAGCGGAAAGATCAGCAAGGAACTACTTGATGTCACATCCCCCGTCATGCATCCTAGCTTATTCGAAAAGGCTCTCCTCCAAGCCACCCCTTCAGTTGAAAAAGAAAACGAAGTCGACTTACCAACTTCAAAACTAGTGCTTGACAAAATCAACGCTCGCCGAATCGTACATGCCGAGTACGGCATTCACAACCTCGAGTCAGAGACTCTTGATGGTCACGTCGTACGGCTGAAGAAGGGATCTCTAGGACTCGAAAAAGTTTAAGTATTTCTTTTGCTATGGGCTACGAATTTATGTGTTTTTTATTCTCCCACCGCTTTTTTGTCAGCGATATGTACTCTATATTTATGTTCGGTGGTTCTTCGTTTATATAATTTTCAAGTTAAGTGACTTTTTGTTTTGATGATGCACGTGTACAAATTACAATACTTTAGTATTAGACAGTAAAATTTGGCCACCTCCGCTAGTACGGCTCAGGTTAAATAAGCGTAAACTAATCTATCTCGGTAGCTCGACAATAATAAAGAGAAGTCAAGTCAGGTGAAGTGAAAAGATGTACATGGAGATACGCCCTCGGACCGGACTATCCGTCCCTTTCACATAATGGATCGATTATAATCATTGACTTTGATCATGTCGATTTCCATACCGTCGGTGGCTTTTAATGATAGAACCAAGAGGCATGGGGTAGTAGTGTACATTTCATCTTGTGTGACAGTCAGCTGAAACTTGATAGACGTTGGATGGGAACGTTTGGAGGCGGAGAGCGCGTCTATGAGATGTGCAAGAAAGCTCTCAAGGTGCGCGGCTTCGTATTTGGATTTTTCATGTCTGGAGGATGTAAATGTGATCTAGGCTGGCTATCGCCATTTTGATACGGTACGATGCTTGATATTCCACATAGCATTCCCTTACAAGTTGGGTCACCTCCAAAGGCAGCTGGATACCGTGAATCACGATCTCATATTTTTTATGCGTACGAAGTTGGTTCTAACTCAAATTTACGGAAAACGAGGCAGAGGTCGGAAGGGCTATCCGAGCTTCCGGTATACCACGAAACGAGATCTACATCACTACCAAGCTTCCACAGTAAGTGTCTTGTCTACTTGGTACGTGTGTTCTCATTTGACAACAAGGTCGATGCACGGTAACGTCCAAGAATCATTGGAAAATCGCTTCGTGACCTCGACTGTGAATATGTTGATCTCTACCTCATGCATTGGCCTCAAGCGACAAAGATTGGTATGGTGCTCTTGAAAACGCGTTATCAAGAAAGCCGCTGATAGCGAGTCCTTAAGGGTCCAATGGAGAGACTATCACTTTGAGGCCCGACGAGCATCCTACTATTATCGATACTTGGAAGGACATGGAGAAACTCCTCGCCACGGGTAAGCTCTTCTTTACTCCTCGGCTGATGACGTGGATGTCTGACGATTATTTTAGGCAAAGTGAAGACCATCGGAGTCTCGAATTTTTCTATCAAAACTCTTGAACAGCTTCTACCTCAGTGCACCGTCATCCCGGCCACCAATCAAGTCGAGTGTCACCCATGTCTCCCCCAAGGAGATCTCAAGAAATACTGCGACGAGAAGAACATTCCTCTTACTGCTTATTCTCCGCTAGGTCCGTGACCGCACGAGACCACCCAGCTCAAATTTTACTTCTGCTTCGTGTTAGGACAAGGCCCGTTCCTTTTGAACGATACTACCATCAGAGCCATTGCTGAAGAGCTGCACGTCACGGCAGCTCAGGTTCTTCTTAGCTGGGCCGTCCAGCGTGGAACAGTCGTGATCCCAAAGAGTGAAAATGAAGAAAGAATGACTGCGAATATACAGGTCCGTCATTATCTTTCAAGCGAGATAGTCATAGTCACATATGATTCCTATGCCAGCTCGTGGAGCTGTCTGACGCACAGATTGACCGGATCAACAGTATTCATTTGCAGCCTGGAATGCACAAGTCACTTTTAGGATATCATCAGCCCGACGGCACTGTTTTCGGCTGGTCGTATGAGGAACTTGGCTGGAACATGGTCCAAGGTGGTGTTGTCCCGGAGTGAAACCGAAGAGACGCAAAAAGTCTTAGACGAGGGTGAAAGATAAGACTCGTCATATGAGGCTTGTCGTATGGATCGTTGTGTTATTATAACAGTTGAACAGTTTCAAAGTTAAGTGCAGAGGCACGGCGGAACACAGAATACATACATTAGCAGTACTTCTGCTTGTCGGTGTGAATGGTCTTCAAAATCAGAGGTACTTGCATCCCACTCAAAAGTTGACAGTTTGTATCGAAGTAATTTTTACACTGACAAGACTCAGACATTACTTACATGGTTTCGCGGATATGAAATTGAGAGCACGAAGCCAAGCAGACAGCCTTACGCAGGGCTGACTAGTAATGCTTAGATCAAGACGATGGAAAGCTGTGAATAGCCCCGGCCTCGTAGGCTGCTTCGGTTGGACTCAAGGCTTTATGAATTCTCTATCGACGATAAGTCCAGAAGCTTTTCAGTGAAATACCATCACCGAGATTGCCCGTCAGTTAATGCGGCAAACGCGGTGAAAGCGGACATTTCGCCGTGCTCGTTCCCACCTTCACGATATCACCACACTGTAAAAGCCCTATGGAGCAGCCCCCTCGCGCTCAAGCAAACTGAAATCTCCGTCATTGGTGGTGCTTAGCTTGCAGCCTTGGTAATCAGAAATCAACCAATGCAACGATGCGGCCACCATTTAAGATCGTTCCATACTGTTGCGCCTAAGGACACTCATCCCAACTTGCATCTCGATGGCTGACCTACTCATCAAATACGACCTCTCGAAAACTGAATGGGAACCTCTTCCAGACGGGTCTTTGGGCAGGAGGCGTATTCTTTCCGGAGCTGAAATTGTCGAAGACGTCATGAACCGGCTGTTCAAAGGCTATCAGACTCTCTTCTTCGCCGTATATCTGGACGTCTCCACCATCCCAACAAGAGTCATGACTGCTGCTTTCCGTGAGGCCTGGAAATGGCTTCGCTATAATGTTCCTACCATTGCAGTACCCGTACAAGTCGATGAGAAAGACATTTCTCGTTTCGTGTACCATGCCGCAACGCCAGAATCGGTCGAAGCTTGGGCAGATCGTACTTGCATCATCAACAAGCAAGATGTCGTCGACCTCGATGCCCTTCGCGAGCTCGTTTGCGGCGCGACAGTCCCTTCGGTTGACGGTGATGCGACTTGGCTCCATGTTGCGATCCCAAAGGACACCGATTCCATTTCCAAACTCGGTTTCCTTCTTCACACACACCATGCTCCTTTCGATGGTACTGCACTCAAGTTTATCTTCAATCTCTATTTGGCGCAGCTCGCAAAAATACTCGGCTCTGACATATGTGCTCCAGAAGCATTGTCATGGGGGAAGGAGGTGGACAATTTGCTACCAGCAGCGTTGAACGTTCTGGCGTCGCATGAGCCGCAACCTATTCCTACTTCCTCGGGAGAGACACCAACTACCAACCACCCCTATTACGAGTCTCTCTTGAAGGCGATGGAAGCGCTGCGCGCCACATTTCCTGTATGTTATACCATTCCAAATTCCGTGTCAAATTTAAATACTTCTCTCTCTATAGAACCCCAACCTGTGGGGATTCAGACATCGTGAAGCTGATCCTGGATGGCCTATTTGCGCACGGGAGGAAGTTACCCTTTGCAGGACGGAATCTGACGCTGTGATGGATGCCTTGAAGAAGTTGAAGAAGGACCATGCCTTCACTTTGACTCATCTAGGTAAATTCTACTTTGACTTGGTACCTTGTAGCGCTCACTGTGTCTCTAGTACACGCCGCGTTGTCCATGGTTGTCATCAATGACAACCCTCCGACGCCAGACCAATCATCTGGCATCATCGCCCCGCAGGCTTTAGCTAATGGTCGGGATCGGCTCCAAGGACCCTACGCTTCTGTGAATGGGTACGCTGGATACGCGCTCGGGGTCTCTGCCATCCGTATTCCAGTCAAAAATTTTATGGAAGACGACGGCAAGCTTTTGCCTATGAGCAAAGAGACTTTAATCAAGGCCTGCATGCACATCCGAGAGGAGTACATGATTCAGAGGGAACTCCCTGCTACCCTGAGCTATATGGACCAAGGATGCCAGGTTCTTGCCGGTGAGATGAAGGCCGGCGCGCTGGAAAACTCGTAAGTAAGTTCACCTTCATCCGGGGTCAATCGCTCATGGATGTACAGGATACCGCCTGATCAGTGTTACAAGTTTTCGAGTGATGGCAAGGGTGAAACACTGCTACAAGGAGTGTATCTCGGCACGGACGGAAAGCAGCTGTTTGAAATCAGTAAATGGTTCACTGCACTGAATCGAGTTGATCCTGCGCCGTACGTCTCTTTAACATACCGCATCGAGTCAGCGTACTGATATATCATAGTTTTTTCCGATTCTTTTCCTGGAAAAGGTGTATCATTCTCAGTTCTGACGTGAACAAGAACGTCATATCCCTCGAAGATACTAAGGGGTATATGCAGAAGTGGAAAGAATACATCATGTTGATTACCAAGTGATGATTTTCCGACGACAAGTTCGTGGTAGTTGATACTGTGTCAGCGCTTCGCCTACAGAAACAATATACAAATCCTCGATTCCTCGTTTCGTTTTTGCCGTTGGCGGCGGGTGAAAAGTAGATGTTTTACGAGATCGCGTTACATCTGAAGGGGCATTAATGCAGAGTGATGTGAACAACATCCGTGCCTGGGCAAACGGCTGGAGCAAAATTTTCACTGATGGTTACCTATTCACATACACGCCAACATTGTAGGCATTGGTACGATCAATTACATGGCGTACCGAGACCTATAGAGCTTGAACACTCACTTACAAGTACTCTATCCCCAGATGTACGCAAGCATAACCAAAGATCTATAAATGAAATACAATACAAGATGTAATAACACATAATGACATCGTATGCAGTATCTCCTCTTGCATCATGACATCTTGTACTGGGATGCATACATGATATCGGTGAAATTTTTCAGAGCGGACGATCGTAGACTCGTAGTTATCGAAAGTTCATTTCATCAATTTCTTGAGGAACGCCATCTGGGCATTTATATTCGTCTCATATCCCTGTTATAAAGTCTGTTATTTATAGACATAGGCTGCAGCTCGCTATTGTTACCTTTCCCCCTTCCATAACGTCAAAATGGCCCCCAATAGCGGAAACCAATTCGACTTCTTCGCAGGATATGAGGCCGACAAATCAAAGCAAAATTTGCATACCTACTTCCAAGGGCCTTCTCGACGATGTTTTGAGTAATTTCGGGTGAAATCATATCATCTTCCTGAGCCATGACAACTAGCATGGGACATTTTGAATCTTTGAGCCTTAGTCCTGGCCTAACAGTGAACAACTCAAACGTTAGACGAGTACATGTTACGTTGGGCATGTGCATGAATGTCTTCGAGGCTTTCGAATACATTGCCGTGAAACCTGGAAAGGGCATTTTTTTAAGATAGATGAATAAGGTGTAGATGCCATTACCTGGAAGGCAACTTGGTGTATTCAAAAAGGCAAATTCGTCTGGATGTCCTATCGCGGGCACAAAGACGGGCGGAAGTCGTAGTTTACTCCCGATCCAATCAATAGCTGCCCAGAACAGAAGTCTGGGATTAGGAGCCATGGAATTCAAGACGGCCTTGGCTGACGGAGGGTTAAATGTGATTATCCCCGCGCTTTGCATCAGTAGTAACTCAAGCGGCTTACCATCCAATAACGGGCAATGTGCCATGCCCCCTGCTATGCCTTCTACATCATCTCGAGTGATAATGTCAGTCACTGAGAGGCCACTCAATGCGCTACCCATAACCACAATCTTATCCTGGAGGAATCTAGTTTGGTTTTTGCCAGATCTCGCCCAAGAAATGACAGTCAGGTAATCCTGGACTTGGTTTTTCCAGATGACGAGATTTCGCTGACCATCCGAGTCCCCAAAGCCGCGGTAGTCTAGTATCAGGGAAGCCCAACCGGCTTCACTTGCCCAGCGCTCGCCAAAGACAGCCATCCCCGCTTCTTTGCATAGAGTGAATCTTGCAGACGGTCTGCCTCACAGATTGTTTATAAAGTTTCGACACAAGACGTGCCCGTGACCGGCCACTATGACAGGGAAAGGTCCATCACCTGGAGGCGTGTACAGCCAAACGTCAAGAAAGACGTTGGGCTCCGCACTTGGTACTTTTACAGTCTGTTGGTTGAATGGCGAAGTCATGATTTGGCAGGAGACAATGGATAGCAGGACGATGGATCAAGACGGGGCATTACGGGGCGAAAAAAAAATTGACGCCTCGGAATATCAGAATCAATATCTCGTCGTTTCATCTCATCATTACATGACACGGTACCTTTGGGCACGCCGGACGCAAGGATACCATGCGTCACCACCAAGTATCGAGTACCACTGACCAGATGCGGCTTGCTTCAACTGCTGTGGGCCTACATATGATTCCGAACGAGGTCCTTCTACGTTTCTGGTCACCACACCATCAACACGGTCGGGTAAATCGGTGTAGGTTCGTCTCTCATACAATCGAGTTAACCCTATTTACGGAATCCAAACAACCGAGCGGTTAACTTTCCATAATAAGAATCAGCAGAAGTGGTTTTCGCACGTCGTACTTCGGTGTCCTGCACCAAAAGCAATTGAAAGCATCGCTTAAGGTGATAGGACGACCTGAAGAAAAAACCTCCGTACATATGATGTCCTGTAAAAACTGATTAGAATGAAAACTCTAGATAGATGAAATCCTGATGAGCCCCCATTGATTCATATAGAATCCACCGAGATCATCGTAGATATCATCACATCGGAACCTTATACATAAATTTCCTATCGACACGGTATAATGGCTGAATCACACGGCTTCACACTCACTAGAGGGTAAGCAGCGGTTAAAATACATGGAATAAGTAGGTAAATATTGCGAAGTAAATAAAGATCGAATAAGTATATCGTCAATCCATCAATACAGAGTTAAATGTCTCATTGTCATATATATGGTCGTACGGATCATCAAATGTGGAATATCGTCAAGGTCTGTTGGTGGGGCCTAGTGTTTGTGAGGGACGGGGGGATTCCGGACCGTGGGTATCCCCGAATGAATATTGAGCAGTAGCACCGTGATCTGGAAGGGTTAAAGAACGAGGTGACCTAGGTGGCAAACCAGGGTACCGTGTATAACCATTCAGGCGTAATTCTTGCAAGCTTCCAGATTGTCGTCTGAACAGTAGGGAACACGAAGCCGGTGGTATGATCCAGGATTCGTGCTAGATATACAGCAACCAGTAGTCAGGATATAGTTAATTGGAGGGCTGTGGAATATATGTATGATGCGGAAAATGTGTAGTGTGCGGGGAAGGCGCCCATGTGCGCCTCCGCTGTCGTTTGGATGCTACCTCGGATGGGGAGTAGACTTGTGCAGAACTACGGCGAAGACCTCGGGAAGGCGGCGGACTCGTCGGCTGCCCAGCTTGACTTTGATGTTGCCCGGGAAGAGTTTGCGAAGAAGACATGACATCCGGACCAGTATAAAGAACTTCGGTGATATTAGTAACGTAAGGAAGCCTCGTCTCGCTGACGCTGGTGTCAACATGAAGGTCGAGACAATGAATAGCAGACTCTCGTTTATGCGACCTTCGAGTGCTATTTATTCCATCATCCTCTTGAACAGGGTCTTCCGGCGTAGAAACTTCGAGTGCAGAATCTACGATGTCCACAGGGATTGCAGTTGGCATAGTAGCACTGCCGGTTGGCTGGGCACTGACATCTACCTTTGCATGTGACGTGCGTTGCTCACCACCATGATCAATGTCGTACACTGGCATCACACTGGTTTCGTACATCGCAGTAGACGAATGTCTGCCCGAAGTTGCATGATCTGTACTAGGAGGGAAAACACGACCGAAAAGGCTGTCGGAACGAGTGAGATGGATAAAGGGTATTTGGTATGGGTTTTGAGAAGGAGGTGAACGTGGTGAGTCCTGTCTGGCACTGTGATGCAATTTTGAATCGAAGCGACGCGAATTGGTATGGGACTTGGAAGTTCCAGAGGATGACAAGTTTCTCTGCTGTTTCCTCTGAATATGAGAACTCCTATGCTCCGAGAACAAAGACAGAGGCGTCAACATATCTTCATGAGGTGCCGTACCATGCTCTCCAGGAATATAGTAAGTATTATCATGATTCCACGAGTACTGATCCTGGCCACGACTTATACGAATCAAACTCGGGGGAGGCGGGTCATCGAAATTGTTGGGATCATGCAACAAGCTACGATCTGTATCCGCATCCTTGGAATGTTGACGGGAGCGTTTCCTGGGCTTCGACTTACTCCTTCGCTTCGAAGGCCGCAGGGTGAGATCAACCTCCTCTTCGTCAAAGTCTTGCCCGGATTGAGATACCCGGTTATATAGTGACCACCACCAAGAGCGCTGCTGTCTATGATCTCCAACAGCTCCACGCTCGGTGGAAACGGCTTTGATATGGCCTCTACCGGGAATGTCTGTTCAAATAATGAGATAAAAGGGCTTGAAACAGAGTACGAAATAACTTGCAGGATCCATAGCGCCTTCGTTCCAACTCTCGTTCTATCTGGACTTCCAAATCATCACTCCTTTCCCTGTGAACACCATAACCATAATCGTTCCCAAGACCTAACCACTGACGTTGTCCGCCAATGTCAATATGTTCGTCGACATCAATGTGCACATCGGGGAACGTGGCCGCATGCATCCCCGGCTTCTCGGCATCGTATGCACGTGTCCTGTCGATAGAAGTGCTCTTGTGTCCGTCCAGAAGCGACTTACGGGCCTTACCAAATGCACTCTCGTAATGGGCCATTCGCTTGGTGCCTTCATCGTGTTTTGGCTCTCGTCCCCACACCTTAGCCCACATATACACACAGCCTTGCCATATTTCCCGGAATGTTTCACGGAAATCCATGGCGTGACCTAGAGACCGTAACGTTGGGGTGCGACTAGGAGGAGAGTTCTTTGACTGCGGATCGTAGAAGGGTCGATAGTCTTTGTATGTGAATGCTCTGATATGCAAGAAACCGAAAAGCCTAAAAATATCTTAGGACAAAGGCTGTGAGGCCTGCTATGATACGCACATCATCTCGAAAGTCTCCAGTAGCGCACCAATGCCAATATTGATGTCAGCAGCGGTCATGTACTTCGTCTACATTTGTGTCAGCGAGGAGCCTTTGCTTTTGTCTGGACATGACGCACATTCTTGACGACACCAAACATAGCCAAAACCGACAGAAAGGTTGCTTGCCAGAACGTAAGGAACACTAATATACATACTGTGTCAGCATCCCAAATGTTTTCATCTGGGCTACACGTACCGACGGCCTTGACGGCGAAGAGTTTGAGAATGGGTCGACGGGGCCTCAACTTCTCGGCAACGGAAACGTACAACTGAATCAGGCAGTACATGGCAATCATGACAGAGAAGGAGACGATGGTGACAATCTAGGATTATTAAGACTTACAGTTTGTGCATCATGTAGCGGAAGCACATACATAGACATGGCCCCAGCCTAATCCATAGGATTCTTCACAGTAGAGTCCCATGTAATTCAGAATAACGGCGGCGAGAGTAGTCCTATGTGACCCGTCGGCATCGACAGAATGAAAGATGAGGTAGAACCTACAATGGGCGAATAACGCAATACTGAAGGACGCCCCATTTCATCCATTGTAGGAAATACAAGCCATCCTAACGACGCGATGAGCGCAATGTGGTGTCAATGAAGGGATGAAGCCTACGCTAGGTTTCCACTTGACTGATCCAAGAGGAAATACCCATTTTTTGGGCTCCTTCCTCGCCAATCTGGCTTTTGCCTCAGCCTCACGAGAGAGACCGGCCTTCATGAATATCGCCCTCTGGTCATTAGGGTCGGATGATAGATAGTTCAGTAGCAAGTAGAAGAACGAAGTGAGTACAGTGGACTCGTAGCAGTCGCGGACCAAAAGTAACGGCGTGGAGTGATTCTAAGAAGCATTCAGAAGAGATACGGGACCACATGAAATGGAGCTAACCCAGAAGAAATATGACGCCAGACTGATGACAGCATAAATGGGGACGAGAAGGAGGATGCGGACAATATCTGTAGAAATGTCAGCGGACCGGTGTTATCGAATGTAATGGGTTACGAACAGCGTTGTTCGCATTTCTGAATGCTACGAGTTAGAAACACAGAGACAATAGACTTGAAGCAACGTACATTGGTATACCACTGAAGATGCTTGATAATCAACCAGAAGGACGTGGCAATTGCAACGAGAGTGAAAGACGTTGCGACAATCCACCCTACATGGTGGGCTAATAATCCTCCTCGGTTAGTTACAGTTATAGGATACGCAAGCAAAGCGTACGTTGGAGAACAAGATCACCGTTCTGAAAAAGAGAGGGACCGCTCTCTGCCTCCTTTTTGTAGCACCTCCCATTCTCTATGTCTGCCATAGTGTTCAGGTTTGGGGTATTTTGTTACAGACTGGGTGGTAATATATTGATAAATAGTCGTGAAGAATCGTAATCGTGAAGAGTCGTAAATGAGATGGCGGTCTCGAGGGCTGGAAATATACTTGGGAGGATGACGGTCCTGTATCCCCTAGTTCGACACCGTTCGCAAGGCCGTTGCTGGATGCGTCGGGCCTTGACAGGCGTCAGGGGTGAGGGAAGACAGGGAAAGACCCAAGGTTTGCCTGTGCTTGGCATTCCCCTCTTTCCGGGCCGACGGTGCGATTATCCTATCCTTTTTCTCTTTCTACGATACAAATAGTCGATCGTATCCTTTCCACCCAGGGATGTCGGCGTACATTTGGTTTGCTCGTCCGTAGATCCAGGCAATTAGCGTCTCTTGCTTCCCTACTACCACCATCTTCACTCCTACTACTAGTTCTTTATGTCTTCCGCTCTTTATCCTCGCTCTTAACATACCCAAATTTCCTTGGCCATCATCCTGGCGTGTCTCATTCCAGCTATCACCTTGGCATCTTGATTCGCTCTCCGTGCCACTCGTCTAGCTGGTTGCGGTACAGGAAAACGAAGGCTTGTGGGCTCAGCGGACTCAAAGAGGCAAGCAGCGTTTTTGCTCTTATGGCATGGTTCTAATGAGGCGATTCACGTCTAGTCGCAGCCCGTGCATCCCTATCCTTTCGCTGTTCACAAGAGGATTCCAAAGCCACATCAAGTACACCCAGTCGACCGCCATCGCCATTTGCAGCTGGTTGCTCGTCCATCGCCGGCAGACTGGTGGGACCTTGTAGAAGACATCGTCGGCTAGCATCCGGATGCGCTACCTCTCTCTGATAGGAAGCCTCCTGCTTCCCTTCCTGTGACGCGTTTCCCTATGCTGCAGCCTCATGTCAAAGTTGGTTTGGTACGGCAGATGCATACTCAACCTTCGTCTCCTCCGTTTTCAGCTCGTAAGAGGCGAAACTCTTCATCCAAGGAACGCAGGCGCCCATTGATGTTCACAGCCTTCAATGGAGGCTTGAACTTGGAAGAATTGCGGATAACCCTGACCGAGAAAGGAAACCCTCTACCTCAACGACATTCGAAAACGGCGGGGAAATGGAAATAATGCCATGTCATGCATATGAATGTATGCGACATTGTGTATATCGGATATAGCCTAGTACAACCACTATCATTCACTCTTTTGAGTTCGTTTAAGATGTCCATGAAAATGGATATATGTGTTACAAGAAGATAAAAAGGGATTCAAAAGCTAAAGCGCAGAATTCTGTTCAACAGTGTGCTATCCTTTTCTCGCTTTTCTCCAGATATACCTGATATGCTCAGGTAGATCCAGGAACAAGAGGTGCCCTCTCAGGGTCTTCAAGCCGAACAGCGCCTCCTCTAGTCCTTCCAAACAGTCCAATAGCCCCTTTGATGACCCAAAGAAGGGCTAAGATGGAGAAGGCGAGTGAAGACCAGTGGACGAAACCAGACGATGTTTGGTGAGAAAAAATGGCAAACATCGACCATGCAATAGCAACAGAGGCTGGGAGATCACCTTCTGGGCTCGAGAAGGCATATGTCGCAGCTGTGCCCTCCAAAAAGAACCTTGGCGTGAAAGATGAATAAAAGTCGGCGCACCCCAATAAAACAGCTTACAGTCCGAGGAATACAAAGACTTTGGTCCAAACTCCTGCCTTATGATGGAGCGCATTGACACCGAAAGCTTCGAAGGCGGTCAAAATAACCAAAACCGTGGTCCATCCATGGTACAAAGAGAATGGAAGATGAACAAAGATCTCGTCAGCTGATGACTGGGGCGAATGATGCTTCTTGACAATGTAATAAATGTGGGTCACAGAGGAGGATACAAAGAGGGCAAAGATGAAGGCTGAAAACCACGTTCGTCAGTCTCCTGTTCACGGAGTTTGGGGTTAAGGACGTACCGACGATGTAGTGATGGCTTGCCCAAAGATTGACATAAATGGCATTAAGGACACCGAGGAGAGGGAGACGCCAAGAGACTCCATCAATGATGACCTGCTTGCCTCCCGGGAAGAATTGGTAGATGATGGTTCCGAGGAGAAGGAAATGTATAAGGGACCTAAAGACGAACGTGCGATGAGCAATGTCGATGAGCATTCAGTGGACACTGGAGGGCATTGTACCAGATCAAAAAAGCCCAAGGCGCAGGAGTAAGGTAAGTTTCCTTGCCAGTGAAGTAGATGTCTGAAGGTGCAGCAATGGTGTAGATGTTGGATCCGAGGAAGAGGAAGTAAGTGACGACATTCACAACCTGCGGTAAATGATTTAGTATAGCAGCAACTCGGGGAGAGGGACGAAAGAGACCTTGAGTAAGATACCGTCTTTCCAAGAGTAGTCAGCCATGGTGGTTACAGTTATGAGTGAGGCAAGGTGCGCAGCAGTGAGCAGTCTTATATAACCCGCCCAGTGACACATATATGAATCATCGCCCAGCATAATCCTAGTCATGGGGTCTCCACGCGCGCCATTCTCGCTTCATGCCTATCCTCTGTACAAGAATTTTCGATATCGTTCGACCAAGACTGACACCACCTGGGTACCCAACATTCTTCGCTTTGCAAAATCAACTCGCACTCCAACCCGTGAGCGCTGGGCAGCCTTCTCGTCCCCAAATTCTGCTATTCTAGACCAGATTCGTATCATGTTACCTGTACACGAGTTGGCAGAAATTGCCGACTACAGCCCGTAATGGCATAGTACTTTACGGTAATCGAAGTGGGGTCGTAGCTATTCTGGAATCCGCAGCCCGCTGATGACTCTGAAAGTTTGTCTCCATGTCTCTTCAAATCGCCTCTCAAGTACGCATTTCTGTGTGAGAAGGCCATGACTTCAAAGACTTAGCACTCAGTACTAGTAAGTACCCAGTGTTCATCATGCCTTCTAGCCAAGAGAACAAATATAGCACTATGGTAGACGGGTGAACCACTGCGTAGCCTCTAATACCAATCTGCCTTCTGACGCGGCTTCCACTGAATGGAATGCTATATTTTACGAACTACTGATTGGTAGTGGGAACATTACATGCAGAATATTCCAATGAATTGCTCTTCCAGACTTGTCTCAAATGTCAGATTTCAAAATAAAACGGTCCATATTGATCACGTGGGCAGGCCCCCATTGTTCGTTTTCGAATTGTTTGATTTATTTTTACAAGTCCACCTTGCTACGCAACACCTCTCGATTCATTCTTCCACTTGGTCCTATCATAATTTTTCTTGTTTTCGTTTGGCCAGTTTCTCGACGTCTTACTATAATACACGCCCGAATCTCCATTTTTTGATATCGAGCCACCATGCCACCCGCCAGAGCAACAAAAAGTACACGCAGGAACAAATCCCTATCCAAGTCTGGGAGATCCGAGGTTACGCTGGTCAGTGACGATGGCCCTCCTCCATTGCCATCTGCCAAGCGTCGGAAGAACGGCAAAACAGCTGCAGCGCCTGTGGACGTCATCGAGATTTCTTCAGACGACGAAGAGGTGCCTCCTCCTCCTTTAAAGAAGCCTGCGAAGATGTTGGAACTGGAGGCGCTAGTTAATAAACTGAAGAAGGTTCATTTTTTTTTATTTATTCAAGCTCGTGAGACACGCCGTTCTAATGTTATTCTAGAAGACAGAGAAGGCTAAACGAGCACAGGATGAGGCTGAGAAACGGGCGGCATATTTTGAAGAGGCACTGAAGATTTCTCAGTTAAAAGCCGCCACGTCATCGCACAGCCGACCTCTTATTGTGCGTCGTATCCCCTCGTCACACCTCAACGAATCCTTGACCATTGAATGTTGAACACGTAGGATCCTTCTAAACTCGAAGACGACATCACATGTGAGATTTGTACATTGAAGATGTGGTCCCCTTGCATGTATGTCTCATCTCTTGGAGCCGCCACGAAGCCTATATTTAATCCGAATTACCAGTCTCCCCGAATGCGGCCACACTTTCTGTCAATCATGCCTACGAAATTGGTTTAATACAACTCTTGAGCAACACCGGCGACAGCACCCTCGTTATCATCCTAATCAACCTATCGTCCTCCCTCAGTATCTCCGAGAAATGCTGTTCTACCCCCAGATCGATCCTCAACAGCTTTCTGTGGTCGTAGAGCAGATCACTGCCGCATCTGGCAGGCCGGTCTTCACCTGTCCTACCTGTCGCAAACCGGTGAAGAATCGACCTGTGGAGATTTTTGTGATCAAATCACTTGTTCGAACTGTAGCAGCTGCTCAGGGCGAGAGTAGTCCAAGGAAGGAGACAGCTGAAGGAAGGTCACGTGGCAAATCCAAGGCTCCGGTGAGACGGGAAGGACCTTGGGATCTTTTTTTTCCTCCGACATGATTGCACTGTGACTATGAACTGTTTAAATCATTTGCATTGTGTAATCATCTTGCAGTATAACTTATATGATTTAATATTATAATTCATGTCGTACGCTGTCATATGAGGTTAACTACTCAATGCGCGTTCAATGTCTCGCAGTGGCCTGTACATTTCTACTGTACAAAACGGATTATACAACCGTACACTAAGTACAAGCCCAGTAAATACATCTCATCGAGCCTCCAATTGCTTGACGACACGCTCATGCACTTCTCTCGCAATAACACCCACTTCTTCCACCCGACAGACGACGCCAACATCAAGCCTTCTACCTGGACCAGAAAGCTCATTAATTATCTGGGTGAAGTTAGGGATTGGCCGGAGTCCCAGCTGAGCATCATCGACAGGAGTGGTCGTCGACGGCAACGAGAACAGTGAATGCGACCCATCAAGAATTGCAATCCTCCGCTCAGTCATCAGCCTAAAGTCGAGGGCATGACGAGATCGATAGAGTACGCGATACCATCCTGCGCTTTTAGCAAACGAGTCTACACCGATAAACCCGGAGAGCTCTACAACGATAGGAAGGGTATCTCGGAGGAGCATGACCAGCCGATGCACGGAAGGCCCAAGCTTCCCCGCATGAAGGACCTTGCGCAAGAAAGGCTCCGCTTCCGAATGAGGGTTTCTGCCATCATCCACATTGCCCATACGACCAAAGCGCAGCTCGAACGTCCCACCAGTCGATTTCAGCTGATCCTCACATGTTATCGACACAGTGTAGTCACCCTTATAGGCAAATAGCGCTGTCTGTAGATCGAAATCCAGCAGCCGGACATCCTCCCATCCTTTTCGACCCTTCAATTGGGCTACCTCTCGTGCTATCACCACCATCTTGCTCACCCGCGCCCATTCCTCCAAAAACTCATCCACACAGGTATTGACATTTTCAGAGAGGAAACATACAATGGCTTCGGTAGTGTCGTATATTATCCGTTTGGAAGGACGGATAATCGAGCTGGTCCCTTCACCCGATTTTGAAACGTAGACGTACTTCAACTTGACACAAGTAACGACCTGAGCACCTTTGCCAGACTCTGAGTCTGACCACCAGTTGAGCGGAATAACACGTATATTGGGCATGGCGGCTTCGGCGGCAGGTGCGCCCGCGAGAATATGCTTGGATTGAACGCATAACGACGGAACAGAACGCACGAGTGAAGACTGAAGTTCAGTGGCGAGTGGGTTGACGGAGGAGGAGGAGGAGGAGGGAGTGACGTGGGTGAACTGAATTTTCCGTAACTTGAATTGGCGCTCAACCTTGGTGTAGGCGACGCGGGCGCAACAATAGCTATAAAGCTCTCGTAAGACTTGTGTATCCAGGTTAAAGCCTTTGCGATCTGCTTCCGTGTATGGCACGCTAAGACCATCGTCCACGCTCCATTTCCTCTTTATTCCGGCCCTTACCTCAGCATCCGGCCGAGCAATGTCTTCACCATGCCCGTGTATCCTTTCGAAATCCAGCCAGCCAATATCTTCCATAACCAAGTTCGCAAACATTGATTCCCGAAGAACCTTGGATGTGATGAGCGCGTACTGAAAGTTGTCATCTGTAATAACGATGACAAGGTAGTGATCGGGAAAGTGCTCTAGTTGAATGTAAAGTGTTCCTCGTGCTGATGGCCCAAGTTTGCGTTTCTCTACAACCAAAAGAAACATAAGAAAGATCGAACATATAATCGAGCTGATATCGAGCTGATAACTACCTTCTGGAGGGAAATTCCGCGACCGGAAACTCTGCAAGCCAAGATATTTGGCCATTTGCTCCGCGAGATCCAAAATCGTCTGGGATGAGGTTAACACAAGCTCGCAGTACGTGTCCCATTGACTTACCTGGAGCCGCAGTCGAACCAATGCATCCATCAGCATAGATGGATTCTCGTTGATTTTTTCGGATACGGCAAAAAAGCGTGGTCCACGCCCTGCTGCCGCAAGATCGCCGGTATCTCGAAGATTTAGTCTTCCCGTCCGCGGATCTATAGTAATGATGACTATTTCATCTGCGCAAAGTCTCACACGAAGACCGCGCGAATTATCTGCAAAGTTTTGATAAAAACATAAACAAAAACCCGAATAATCCACCTACCCTCTTCATTCAAAGTCACCACCCCGGGTGCACCGAATACTGCTCTGGATGGACCACGTTGTAGATTCAACTGGATCATAGATATGATCGAGTTCGCGTGTCTCTGTATCACCTTGAGCAATAGTGACTCAAAATCCAAATCATCAGCATTCTACAAGACGCAAATTAGCGGTGAACTGTTGCCACCTGTTGAAACGGAACATACTATCGTGAGCATTTTAACAGGTAAAATTAACTCTTCTGGTGGTAGCTGCACTCCCAGTGCGCCTTGTTCCGGTTCCCATGTCACTTTGAACCGCAGCCCTTCAACTTCATCCGAAGGTCGCTTGGTTCCCAGTTTCGATTTTTGCTGGAGATCAGCTAGGACGCGGGCTTTGGAGGAGCGCTCAGGCCCACCGCCTGCTTGGACGGATGCACGTGCTTCAAGAATGGCAATGATGAGTTTCCCGCCTATTTCTGGTATCCTGATTGACCGATAGCGTAGCCCCATGTTCGGCATGCGCTTTCTCCTATACGCAGGTGAAGTATTAACCAAAACTATACGGATGATTCCTACCTCCAGTAAGTAACAGTCATAATTTTCCGATCGGGAGTCATATTCACGGACAGAAACTCCGCCCACCCAAGGGAACGCATTCTCTCAGCCTATGAAACAGACTTCAGGTGAAATGAGTGTCTCAGAAAATGTGGAATTAACCTGATACCAAAGAATCTCCAGCTGGTAAGATAAAGACATGATCTCTGCGAGTGGTCAATGATTGTAAAATGATCTGTTATCGACATTGCAGACAGATGTACTCACGAAGAAAGTTGTACAATCGGACCAGAGGCGTGTCAACGACGCCTTCAGGAAGTACAGGCCGCGGGGGAAGCTCAATGCCTGGTGGTTGTTCTGGCATCGGTAGATAGAAAGCAAGTCTTGAGTCGGCCTCATCCGTTAGATGGCGTTTCATTATGCTCGTCGGTATTCGCGGAAACTCTGTTTCGGTGTTTGATCATTTTACAAGATTCAAACAAAAGATCAAGCACCTTGAATACCAGTAGCATCTCCTCCCACGGTAATCAGAAACTCGACATGAACAAAGAACCAGCCATCATCTTTCTCGGCGCCTCGCAAACATATAGATGTCTCAAACAATTTTGGGGCGGTAAAATAAACCCGACCGTTGGCTGTACATATTAAGGGGCGTCTTCATCTCATGTGAAGGATAGAGAAACGACGTACATATTCGATAATGCGACATTTCCACGGGGATAATCTCTGTTAACCTGAGTCGATAGCGCATGACATCTTCCATGTCAGTAAGTGTCTTTAGAACTTCCGCGTCCGTTAAAGGACGGGGCGGTATTATGATTTTCTGTGAATAGACATGTTGGGTGTCGGGATGAGTGACAGGAATTGAATGAAAATAACCTTAATGATGGTGGGGAGGCGCCTGTAGGATCCAGTCGTAAGAACGTCCAGAGAAGTCAACAGATCGTGATTTCGAAGACTGAAGGTATGCATCATAAGTAGACGGTAACCAGTCAAACGTTGCATTCACCGTGCAGGGGCCATCCCATCACGTATTGCTTCAAGCGAACGAAGAACGTCGGTGAATTGCTGATTTTGATTCATGAGAAAAGCAGTAATGTTCTAAAAAGTATAATGAGCATCATGCAATGACCAGATGTAAGGATACCGTGCCATGCACTTCTGCACCGTGCCCGCATCTCGTGCCCACTTCGCCACAGCATAAAGTTTGACCACCTGCTTCTTCGTCTTCACTACCCAATCAGCCATGGTACGCTTTCGAGCACTATCCGACATGTTCGGCATACTGAAGAATGTCAGAAATTGTGCATGAGAGACGATAAAGACGACTCACGTCTCAGCCAATTCTGACAGCTCGGCGTAAATGGTCTGCATGACGCGTGAAAGCAGATTGCCCAAGGGTATTTGGCCATCGTCAACAAAAGGAAGCTCGCGCTCGTGTTCTTCGATATTCAGCTCAATGCTGCCGTTGGTGTGAATGTGGTTGGAGGTCGGCGTGACATTGTTGATTAGTGGCGATATATCTGCGACCATATTTGACTCCATGAGAGGTGGTGGCCGTACCAGGTCGTCTATCGGTCGCTATGAAGCCGCTTCATGAACTATGCAACACTCCAGTGCCGGTAGGTCTTGGGTGGACGACGTTCGAGGGGAAAAATGGAAAGACCAGGAGTAATATGACGGCCATGTGGTCGCCAAGACTCGGACTTGGCCGATTTTGGCTGCTGCCTTTTTTGTCCCTGAACGGGTTCTCCACCCTCCCTGTTCATTGATCAAGACTTCATCACTGTCCATCGTGGTACCTCCAACATAGAGGAGGATGGATTACCTCCGTACTCTCGGATCTGCCGCCGTCTCTACTTTGGTTCAAAAGTCTGGGCTTAATCTGCCCTTCTCCTTGGGGCCGAAAGTGACATCGTTAGATGGTATTTGCACGTTATACGAAGGTACTAAGCGGGTGTGTAGTGTTACTTAGAGTGTGCTTAGTCTCCTTTCTTATTTTGTAGGATGATAGTAGTCCTGTATCCGTCTTTGAATACGACTTTTCTCAGAAGAAAAACCTGGAGCCTCTTGCCAAGAATGCGCTGAGGAAGCTAAGGACCACTCGCCATCCCGATGTGCTCAAGTATCTCGACGCTGCAGAATCAGATTCGACAACGTACATCATGACCGAACGTGTCAGACCACTACAAATGGTACTACAATCTTGGTCGACTAAGGATCAGCAACAGAAGGAGGATTGGCTGTTGTGGGGTCTTCATCGAATCTCAGTATGTTCCATTAGTTCTTTTAAGTAGCAATGATTCTACTTTGATAGGTCGCCTTGGCGTTTCTCAACGACTCGTGTTCCTCTACACATGGCAATGTGAGGATATCTTCCGTCTTTATCTCTCCTTCCGGAGAGTGGAAACTGGGCGGTCTAGAAGTCTTGAGCAATCCGAACGATGATGCCGCTGTGCTCTATGTACGATTTTAAACCATTTTTTGGAGTTATGTCTTAGATTTATGTGCAGACAATGGGTGGATTGCTGCCAGATGCCATGGTCTGGGCACCGCCAGAAGTCAAGAAGAGCGGATGGTCAGCCCTGAAACAGTAAATATTAATCCGTTGTGTTGCCTCCGCCGCGAAGCTAATGTCTAGATGAGAGGGAATGCCGCAGACGCCTATGCCCTTGGTTTGCTTGTCAACGCTGTCTTTAACCCTGCACATCATCCACCCGCCACTTCAAACCCGCCCCATCCTCCTCCGACTGCTGCATCTCGAGGCGCTATTCCAGCAGCCGTGTTTCCTCTTCTTAAAAACCTATTAAATCCGAACAGCAAAGCCCGATGGACATCGAAACGATTTCTTGACACTGGCATGGTAGATTCAGGCTTCTTTATGACCAATCGGCTTGTCAGAGTTTGCGGAGAACTTGACAATTTTGCTCTAGGCAGTGAGGCCCAGAAGGCATCTCTTCTAAGGTGAATTATTTACACGACCATCGGGATCTCGTGCTCAAAAATTCCAGAAATTTGAATGAATCGTCGTCTTCATTTCCTCCAGAATTCGCCACGCATCGAATACTGCCTTCCCTAGTCTCGGCCCTGGAATTTGGTGGGGCATCTGCCGCCACCATTCTGCCGCTTGTGCTCAAATTCAGCAAGAATGTGTCTCCAGATGACTATCCAACGCTGGTACTCATCCCTCTAGTCAAGTTATTTACCAGTCCCGATCGTGGAACAAGGATGGCATTATTGGATCACCTTCCGGAATATGTCGAGAAGCTGGACAAAAAGACAGTCGACAGTAAAATATTTCCCCACCTAGTAAGGCACATATATTATACAGTGAAGTCGTCAGAAAGGACTAACTCGGAGCTAGCAAACTGGGTTTTCTGATACAGTCGCCGTAATCCGAGAAGCTACAGTCAAGTCTATCATCCTTCTGGCTCCCAAAGTACGTTGTGATCCGTGATCTACTGGCACGCAATCTAATTTGTTATAGCTTAGTGACCGCGTTTTGAATAATGATCTTCTACGGCATCTCGCAAGAATGCAAACCGATACAGAACCTTCGATACGGACAAACACTTGCATCCTCATTGGACGTCTTGGTCCAACATTGGGGTACAACACGAAGCGAAAGGTTCTTGTGCCGGCTTTCACACGCGCTCTCAAGGATTCTTTTGTGCATGCAAGAGTCGCTGGACTCATGGCCTTTATGGCAACGATAGACTGTTTTGACATTGAGGATTTAGCTACCAAAGTCATTCCGAATATGTCTCCTGCAATGTTAGATAAAGAAAAGTAAGTTGGCAGGATCACTACATCAGGTTCGTCCATGCTAATGTACGCGGTAGACTGGTACGAGATCAAGCTTTTAAGGCGATGGAGATTTTCGTCAAAAAGCTGGAGACTCATGCGGCGACAATGGTCAGTTACCCAGTTGCGTAATGTTCTTCGCTGACAGACAACAGCCCGAAACGATTCTATCTGACCCAGGAGATAGAGTCAGTAATAGTAGCGCTCCTGCATCTGTTGAAACAACGTTGGTAAACTCAGCAGCTGGGGCCGCTGGTGCATTGGCTGGATGGGCCGTGTCATCGCTAGGCAAAAGAGTGCGTGGTATACTTTCTTTGAATATCAACAGCTTAGCCCCTCCCAGCTTGCTGCTGCAGACATGCAGAGTGTAATTGGAGACACAGGAATCGATCGGCCGACCTCTGTACCGGTCACTGAAGACAGTCGTATAGGCAATCTTCGTCCCGGGCTTTTCGTCACCTCGATGTCTGCTACCAATTCCACTGTGTCATCTCCTGCTGTTGCTACCTTTAATCAACCCATCAGGTCGACTTCATCAAAAAGCAAGGGGCTTCAACTCAGTGCCACCAAGTCTTCTAGCGCTGGCACTGCAGCCCTCGTAGACCAGCTTGCTGAAGAGGTCGATGCTGAAAAGGGGCATCTAGATTCCAATCCTTGGGGTAATGACGATTTGATCGATGTGAATGCAGACTATGATGACTGGAGTGAGATCGCCATCGTCCCATGATCCAGTTCAGTCACTAATGTACGGATTAGGTGCCTTTGAAACTGCTCCAACCCCCGAAGTTGTTCAGCCTAAACCAGTTCGACCTTCAGCTTCAGGTCTCGGACTCAGCGTCAACGGCAATCCATACCGTGCGTATCATGCGTACGTTTGGTTTCCGTCAGCGGTTAACCCTAAGTGTATCATATGTAGCCTCCCATGACACTAAACCCCAGACATCTCGTTCTCGGTCACCAGCAGTTAAACAGACAAATAATCTATCGCCAGTCCATCGGTCAAACACAGCAGCATCATCACCAGCAGATGACTGGAATAGAAGTCCTCTAGCAATCGCCTCCCTGACCAAGGAGGAACGGGCAGCAGAAATGGCCCGACGGAAAGAGGAAAGGAAGCAGGTCAGAACATGTTCTTCGCATCACTGTCGCATTTCCTAACGATGAGTTTCCAGCGCATTGCTATGCTGAAGGAGCAGAAAAAGAACGCGAACAAGTCGTGATCTTTACACCTACATTAAACGCACATTCAGATATTTCAAAATATTGGCGTCAAGCGAATATATTTTATTCACTCGTCTTTATGCGGATGTATATCCTTTCTCTGTTGATTCCATTTGTTGTAATTCTTCAATGGGTATCCGAACTAGCATTTCCTTGCTATTGCTGCTGCTTTGAGCTTGCTCGTTGCCTTTCTCCGCGCGAGACGCCACTGATACACAAAATATGAGCCAAAGACCTGGCGTGTGACTGACAGACTTACGGAAAAGATTCAATATTTGGAACATTTTGGGCCATTGCACCAGGACCTCACCGAATACTACAGTGAGCATAAGGAGCGGTTTGAACAAATAGCAGTCTTTGCGAACCCTGTCCCGCATCCGCCATGGTGTCAAAATCCGTCGATAATCCCTCTATGCGTTCAAGATATAATGCGCTGGCTCGAGTAAGAGCATGGACTGCATCGAACTCTTTCTTTTTCTCGAGGAGTTTGGCAGTTGCTGCAGCAGAGTTTGTCTGAGAAAAACGATTGGGAGCGACGGACTGCCGCATAGTTATGGATGTAAGAGAACAGCCGAATCTGGCCCGTGCAGTTAAATAAGCCGTCGGCACTTGCCTGTATCGTCATTGCACAATCCAGGTCCTCTGCTTTGCTGACCCATGCTGCATCCTTTATCACGTTGAATGGCGACGAGCACTTTGCTGCTCGCAGAACATAGTTTCGATGAGAGGTCATGAGCAGAGTTCGATACCGCTTTTCAAGTCACAACCACCAGCATGGCTTCCAAAGGCTCATAGTGCAGGAGATCTTGGTGCGCATTTTTATCCAGATTTACTGACATTTCTTTCTGATACGTGCTCAAAGGATATCCTGGCTTCTACCCTCCTCATTCAGGGCAGGAGGAAGATATTCTCTCGGAGTCAAATATCAAAAATGGCTTCGTCCTTCTACCCAGTGTGCAGGTGGGTGTTGGAAATACGGTAGTAGCGTCGCATCTCTCACGGCCCTCAAGATAGAAACATACAGCGCTCAAAGCACCGTTACAGAGAGTTTGCATGGACAGGATACCATCTCCAAGCTGGAAGAGTTAATGAATGAGGTGTTTTCTAGACGATTGCATCAAATACCATCTATCCCGTGAGTAAGATACTGTTGTCATTTTACAATGCTTCAGTTTCACTGTGACAGTCTCTCCACCTTTCGTGTTCCTTCTCGGGTGACTTTAAATGACACTAAACGTCAAGCCTGGTTCGCTGACCTCGCAAATCCGGACGTTCCTCTCAATAAGCTAGGGAAAAGTGTTCCCCATGGGGCCAAAGGTCATGACTTGCTCGACCTTCTCCATTCCAACAACGTAGCTATACCTCGAGCGGTGTGGTTTTTACGCGTGTTTGGAGCCAACGAAACAGTGAGTTGTGGACTTCTACCAGTTAGTTGTTGACTTACCCGTCATCATAGGCGGGTCTTCGAAATAGGCCATCATATAATCCTACCCAATACAGCGTGGAATGGGCAGGCGTTGTAACAGGTTACATGAAGAAACAACTGGCTGACATCGCCCTCCCCAGTGCACCACGCCCTGGAATGAATATTAAACAAACGTTCAAAGGTGTTTTGGCGGACACAGCTACCCGAGATCGCTGGATTTCTCGGTTCACTTACTGTCTCAAGCTTTTACGAGCTTTTTATAAGGAAGGATTAGTGGATCGACGCACGTTTCTTGTTTGGGTTGTTCACCAGATGGGAATCTGTAACTTAGCCCAAGCGGGCTTCATAGCACGCATAGCAGATGAGTACCTTGAAGGGATGATGAGCAGTCGACCTTTAAGCCGACCGTTTGTGGAAGCTTGTATCTCAAAGTTATCTGAAGTAGTGAAACATCCTGTTGGCTTCGTGGATATAGGTTTGATTGCTTTTTTTTAGATTGGATCCTCCTCTTCGAGGGAGTTCTTGGTTGACACTGAGGGCCTGCTGAAAGCTATACTTCAGGTTAGCTCTTTGTTTCTGTCAAACAAACCTCTTTTCTCTTTTCTTTAACCGAGTCGTCTAGCGTTTTTGTCTAGCCTTACCTGATGCTTTTGTCAGCCCGAGGACGTGGGCCACACATTCTGGCCTTTTGAACACCGTTTTGACAGAAAACATAATGGATCAAACCTTGGATGGTCAAAATCCAAACGAGATCCAGCAGGTCTTAATAAGGCATGTTTCCGATATTCAACGGCGCAATGAAGCCATGCTTTTCTACAATCTACCTCCACTTGCGTCGGATCGTCTTGGCTCATCGGTACTAGACATCAAGGTACGCGTTTAGAATGATGGTGTACTCTCGTTTTGATATATCTATAGCTTCTCAATTCGATATCAAGGACAATGGATATTAATTCAATATCTTTCTTTTCGGATAGCGTTCTGGACGATCCAAAGCACAAGCTAGACATGTTGCTAACATGGAGCGTTACACCTCTTCAGTTTGGCGATCATAGACCCTTTGCTGCAGTCACTTTAATCCGAAACTGGCGTCAGCGTGCTGGCGAGCGAGCCTTGCGACGGGAGGACCGATCACCAGATGAATTTATACAAGATCAACTGTTCAGCTGGCTTGATTCGTCAGAGGTGGCTGGAGACCCGAAGAATATTCGTGCTGTTGCTCTGTTATTCGGTAAACTCATACAACGTGAATTGTTTTCTTATGGAAGCTACATACAACGTCTTATTGCCCGTGGAGAAGAGGGGTTGTCTTTCAAAGATGTAAGCCCCAGCGTTAGCCGAGACGATGCAAACTAACGAATTCCAGGCTGTAGAATCGCGGCACCGTCTTTTTCTTCGCTGGATCTCACTGTCGGAACCTTCGCAACTGAACCAAAGAAAGGTCACTTTATATGGTGTCCGTGCGAGAGACACACCCGAGGAAGTCACAGAACGGCAAATGCGACAGGAAATTAGAGCAGTGATGCCACAGCTGTTTGAATGTACGTTTATCTTCTTTTCCTCCCTACTAGATGTTCATTCTTTTTAGGTGGCTCCGAAACTTTGTTAAAGTCTCCCAACGATCTCTTTCGGTGTTGCCAGACGTTCGTCTCTTCACCCCTCTACGAGCAGGTACGTACATTGAAACTGTGGCTCTTACCGATTTTGGAGAAAAACATTTCGAGGTGAGCTGAATGTATTTTGGCTTGATAGTCGGACGACGACGAGCTTTCTATAGTTCATCTGAGATTGATAATATGCTGAAATCATACTGCCTTGCTGTGGAACTCATGGCTGAGACGAAGTGTTTCCGTTCAATCTTGAATGTACGCAAAAATTAGTTTTGGACACAGGTTCATGCTTATGGCTATTGATGTAGCTCACCCTTTGTTTGCTGGAGCACGCATCCACCACCGATAGCCTAAATACAGCGATCGACACACTCCGCCGTTTTCATACACTCTGGTCATGCATGGATGTCGTCGGATCAATAGTGACGAGTCTACAGACCGCCCATCAGATCTGGAAAAGTAAAGGCATGCAGACGCGTGTTCTACTCGTTCTTCTGAAAGAACTTGATGACAATCGATTTCTCTCGGTCCAGGCGCGAGATCAACTCAATGCAGAAATCTCCTACTATTCAATGGTGAGCAAGGATGAATGTGATAATCGCTAGTAGGATACTCATGGCTCATCAGACGCTTCAACCTGTCATTGTAGGCCATCCCGAACCAGTTCCCAGTGTCTTGCCCGAGATACTTTTACTTGCAGGCGACTATGAGGAAGATGCCCCTTCCACTCTCGCTAACGGCCTATGGATAAAGTATCGTATGTCATTTGATTGGGCATGGAAAGTTTGGGACAATACCATTGCCAGTCTTCGACAAATTCCTTTCATGGCCCCAGATACCGAGGGTAGAAGGGGCTGTGCCTTACGATATGCAACATTTCTCCGCCATGTAGATCACCTTCTTCCTACCGGTCTTGATGATCACGTCCTCGGATGGTTCCTAGGACCGGGTAAAAGCGAGGTCATAAATCTGACTGCCGACGTTTGGGATATCGTCACCCTCCTTTTACTCTGCTTGGTGGTTCATGGCGCTCTAAAGACCACAACAATCATGACTGGCCTTGTATATCCTGCGTGGCAATGCGCCTCATCGTCTGTGGAATTGCCACCGCAACAGATGGAGGTTTTTCTCGCCGCTGCTAACAACCTCGTTCAAGGGCTGTTGCTTCGTGGTGAGGGTAGTTCTGGAATCATGCCACCATGTGATCTTTTCGACGTTCAGCGGCTACAAACCAGAAAACAAGATGTCTACTGCGAGCCGCATTTTCCTGTTTTGGTGTCGAATATCCCTGTTCTGGTATCCTTAGAGAACAACGAAAAGATCCCAGAACATCTACGTATAGAGCTGAAAGTCATACGGCACTCGCTCTATGAAGATGACAACTTTCGACAGGGCACCTTTCGCAATTTAGACGCTCTCCGGGAGGCGTTTGAACAAGCTATGCGGCTTAAGGAGAACACGAGTCCAGAAGTAGGTGACCGGACTATGGCTGCTCTACGCATGATCTTTTCTGAGGCCCCAGATGAAGGTATGGATTTTGCTCCTTCGTCTAGAACATCTCTGATGCATGCAAGATTCTGTAGACATTGAAATATCCAGTTGGCCCGAAAAATCTTCATTTTTAAGCCCTTGGATGATATCCGCCACTACGATTCAACTGCAGTTTTTCCTTAAGCAGATGGAACGTTCTATCAACAAAGAATCACACGCCTATGACACGGCTTGTATGACGCTGGACAAATTGACTTCCGTTATCTTCGACCACACACTTTCGTCTGATGAAGCTTGTTTCGTTACTGAAATGACACAAGGCGTAGGTTCTGCGGTGGCGGGAAAGATAATCAACAACGGCTTACGATTTTTGACCGATGTCCTTCGTGATCCATCCTCAGACACGGGCACTTCTCTGGCTCGTGCTGGGGAGTCGTTCAGGATCTTGATCTACGTTGCGGAGCCTCTGCGGCAAGAGTCCGCTCATCTTCCTGTTCTTGATTCCGATGTCCAGGATATGTTCTTTTCGACCCTCTGTAGCAAGTTTGCTAGCATCGAAGAAGCGACTCATAATCCGGATGCAATGACTGTTGATCAGACGGACTTTACACAAGAGGTGGTTCTTTTGGCGAGGTTCCTGCAGTTTGACTTGAGCTTCGAAGGTGCATGGACGGCAAGCACCACGGAGTCAAGTCGCAAATTGTGCACAAGTCTGTATCGGCTTACCCTGGTACGCTTCCTACTTCTGTGACACTCATAACAACGTAACTGAACCTTTACGTCATAGCTGTTTGCCTCAGGAAAAAACTTCGACCCCATAACCTACCCACTTCTTCTCGATACTCTATATTATCTTATCGATGGTATGCATCGCTTCCACCCCAATTGTATCTTGTTTCCATTAACATATACATAACTTTGCAGAAGCGCCTACTTTGACGAAAATGAATGCTTTTGACCCATTCATTAATTATCCAGAGATCACCCCTTCTGACTTTGCACCAGATATACCGTTTCATTATCTCACGCAACTACGTTCATTATCACCCCATGTTCCTGCCGTCTCTTCCGTTGCGGATTTAGCGTCCTGTCATCGAGACCCATCGGGCAAACATGTACAGGACGCTCCTGTGGTAAATCGACCATGGGAATGGATAGAGAACCTTGGAGAGCCGTCCGTTCCGGAGGAGCGATTCCGCGAAGGCAACGATAGAATAAAGTATCAAGTAAAGAACTCCGGCTCGATCTCTTTGGATAGCTTTGGGGCGCGAATGACAGGTGAGGGGATCATCACAACCAAAGATGATGACGAGAGGATAGAAGCGAACATGAGAATGTTTGAAGATGGTTTATCAGCTGATAATGTGTTCAAGCGTGACTGGCGGGAGACGAGGCTGGCGGTCGAGGAGGTGGGAGTGGCATTGTCTGGGGGTTGCAAGACGGGCATGGGCGGGGGTCAGGAACTGGGATCCCGGGGAGCGTCTCCAGGTGCTTCTTCGTCGCGTATCGGGAAAAGCCCTGCCCGTTCATCTTTGCACCGATCTACGAACTCGACGAGGAGCGGGAGCGTTGAGATCATTGATGTTGATAGTGTGGCGTCTTCAACTATACGGAAGGGGGTTAAGCGGAAAGGAGCAACGAGCGATGATGAGGTTATCATCGTTGATGGCCCTTCCAAGGGCGGCAGCTCCAGTTCTACAAAGTCCAAGCCGAAACCAAAGGCGCGGAAACGTTGATGGGGCCCGATTTTCTTCCTATTGATTTTTCCTTGTCATATGAGTGATTTATTACACCGTAAATGTATTGCACCATCTTGTAGCTAATTGTAATATGTTAAACTTGGTGAGCGATATAGATGCCCGCCCACTGCCGTGCCGCTTTGATGCCGCCATTTCGTTCAACTTTCCCACGCTGTACTCACCAGTTACTTGTAAGTACCTGCTCAGTCATAGCATCAGAACAGGACATAAAAGGGCCCCTGATTCCAACATCTTACGTCGTATACCTCGCCTTTTTCTTGTCCCAATCTTCCACCTTACAAGTCCTCGCTGCAGTTGGCCCGGTGGCGTTCTCTGCTCAACGACGTTGGGGCATGGAAATCCAGAACCGCACATTTCTAAGCAGGACGTCCAGCCCAAGGCCTGGAATATTATATGCTTGCGGTACCGGCTCTGCTGTCCTCAAAAGGTGTATTTTTCTATCCGTTCCTTTTTGATAAAATCACCCGCGCTGTTCCCATATGTCATAGAGGAACCTCGTCCTCTGAGAACCCCGTTATTACTGTTTCAAGTCGACTAGGCTGATCATCTCGAGCTCAATTACCAACTCCGCTAGAGCGCCGCGCGGTACCGATTCCATAGAAATACGAATCTTTCCCTCTTTCCTCAAAGATCACCCGTATCGGTTTTCGAATTCATGTATCACTGAGTTTCTGGATGGTACCTCGCCTTATGTTCCCAATTCCGCTTAGCACGCTCCACCGTAGCGCCTCGGTAACCCCCCTTCCTCCCTCACTAGTACCAAAGCGTTTCTCAGACAGGCAGCATAGCACCGAACGTGGGCTCTCAGGAGATCCGGGCGAAGTTCTATCACAAATTTTCCCATCCTTAACTTTAAACATACGTCTTATCCGCAGTTGGACCTTCGGAAAGATCCATATCTTTTGAATTGCGTTCCATAATCGATGGATAAGCCTAAGCCTTTGCCCAACTGCGTTACTCCATGCCCGGGCTGCGTCTGGACATGTGCCCCACTTGATGCACGGCCCATGACGTCTCAGAGGAACCCCAGAAATTCGTATATAAGGAGGGCGGTGGTGAGATTAATTCTTCACCAGGAAATACACCTAGTAAATCTAAATCAAAGAAAGCATGTACACTGTGCGTCCTCCTTTCCCATACTCCCTTCCTTCATCGCTGACTAGAGCCCATCTTTTGCGTAGACCACTCAAGTTCCCGTCTCTCAGACCTGCGCGACCTCCTCGTGCGCTTGCACTGCGTGAGTAACCCCCGTCGCTACCGCTGCTCACCATTAACCCTATCCCGTAGTTGCTCTTGCGCTTCCGGCGACTGCAAATGCACCGAATGCAAGCACTAAATGACATGTCAATCGTCATTGTGCCGTCATCAATCAGCTTTGAAGGATTGTTTGTACGCGTAGAATACTATGCATCGGATGGTCTCAGAAGTCTGAAATAATTGAATTATGCCTATGTGTTTACCTACTTGTTATGCCAAGGGAAGACAAAGGTTTTCCGTAAGGGGAGTAGTTTGGTCCTCGTATCGCATCTCGAGGACACTTAACGTCACATCTGGAGTTACCGAGAAACATTGCGAAGCGGAGTACGTGTGCCATAGCGAATATAGCTGTCCAACAGAGAGATTCCAAACTATGCGTCCTCCTGATCATGGTCAACTGTTACCATTAAACGGTGGCGATAATTGGTGCCTCGGCGTGGAAGATTGGGATGCATCCACATAAACGAAGAACCACACCTTCTTCTCGGCATGAAACCCCTCACGTAAATATACCTCCTTCTCAGCTTATCTCAATAGCCAACCAACTATACAGTACGAAATCAGTCTGAACTTCGGTCCGAATATGATAGAGTTTCGACGACCCAAAAGTCAGGTGTACGTCAATTTTGGAAGAGTGAAACAGTGCGGTTTTCGCTATTCCAGTAAGCGGGACTTGGTGTCCGTGAGTATACGCCCGTAAATATGGTGAACAGTTGGCCGGGAAGGTTAGGGATTCAGAGGAGAGCACAACATATCCATTTTCTGATGGTCAATTCCGTTCCCTCTGAGATGTGGTACGAGCAAACAGAAACCGTTTGCTGTTGGCACGTTGATAGGCATCCATAGATAGATTCGGGAGCGGTACCGTCACTAGTTGGTGCTAAATTCGCTCCCAAATAGGTTACTGACTATCATGTGTCTGTCGAGAGTATGCCACCCTGTCTATGCAAGGATCGCTGCTACTTTGCGGGAATTCCTTCCCACTTTTATCAGGTGGTCCAGGAACACGGGATGCCAGTGGAGGCTAGTATACCTCTGGAGATATCCCTGGCGACTCTTTGACGTCGGAAACGGGAGTGGTATTTAGCCAGCATATAGCCAGACATTTACACTTCATGACATCAATTGCTTTGCGTCAAGTTCCTGAGGTATGAGACTGTAAGGTTGGGGAAGAATTGTCGAATGTGATGAGCTTGAATTCTTCGAAGCGAAGCGATCATAACTTTGGAAAGGCCAAAAACGTCCGAATATCAGGAAAATTTGGTCCGAGGCGGGACGCTCTTCCCAGAATTCGGGTGAATGACTGAAAGCAGACGTGAAGTTTTGGAGGATAGCGTCAAGGTTGAGGATACGTCCACGTTGTGATTAGACGGAGACCGCGCCAGAGTTCAGGACAGATTGAGGAACATGATATATATTCGTCAGCCCGACTGTAGAAGAGAGACACAAAGATATCCAGATGAAGGACGAGTTGGCTGTGGCAGTGTTAGAAACTTCAGACCCAGGTGGTTCCAAATTTCGTCTGAATGCCTATAGTGCTGCCATCGATGGGAGGGTCAGACGACGCATGTCCCCCAGCGTTGCGCACAAAGTTCTCCCCATGACGGGTCCCGAGGATGTAATCCTCGAGTAGCACTCATTATACAACTCGGCGAGTTGCATGGAATCCTCTGCTCGTGTCATCAGTGACTGCGAGTCGAGATGGATAGCGTCCTTGTAACCGGCCAGCCACTAGATCTAACTGTGTCGTGTTATTTTCAACAACGATTTGTAGGCTGCTGATGTCCCTCAGTTCGGTCGCTCGCCGGGTTTGTAGGTTTTCTGCGAGATGGAACCGATCTGGGGTCGTTCCGAGTTGCTTCCTATTTCTGGAGCGCGCTTTTAACGATTGTTCGCTCGAGGGAGTCGATGGATCAAAACGCTGTTTTCCAGGTTCAGACGGCTTGGTGTCGCTTCTTGTCGATGGGGGCCTTGTCCGAATGCTGCGTTTCTAGGGGCCTTGGAAGCAAGTTGACACAGCACATCTTCTGCCTAACCGCTGCTTCTTGCCCGCTGAGACTGAGACCTGTGGATAGCGACCTTTGAACTTGATGTCAGGTCGGAGGAACACAAGTAGTAGTCGTATTGTATTAAAGAAATCATTGTTGAGATCGCACTGTGCTCAGGACACAAGGACATAGTAGAGAACGAGAAGGCGGATTACCCAGCGAAGAGAGGTGCAGACGTTGACTGCCCTTGCGGCGAACCACTTCAGAGACGCGAACAGGTAGGTAGGGGCGTAAACTTACGCTACAAAGCGCACGCCAACACACCAGAGGATGCTAAACTCAAAAGTGCAGGGACTAGGGCCCTTGTACCCCCATCACGTCTTAGTGGTTACTATACTGGTTGCGGTTAATAAAATCAGAATCCAAAAAAAAAGAGATTGTTGCTTTCGAAACTATTCCTATCACTATCCAGGCGAATGAATTTGGCAAAATGTCGAGACCCCTGCTCCCAAAACGGATTGATTATTCACTAGCTTATCTGACACTTATACGCGTTCTGTTCGTTCCGTTCATTGATGAGAGCTTGTGGCGGATGTGCGACTATGTCAATCAATCCGTTCTATTGGGACCGGCTTAGAATTGCTTGACCTTCAGCGGGTTGAAAGTTGATCGGAATATCAGATACGTGGACGTTTCTTGGCCGTTCTCATGGGATATTACGACTGGCTGCTGCACTATCTGCACCTCGTTATGTGTGAATGGATGTCGAGATTCGCAGGTACGATCTGTGGTCCATTTGTTCGTTCCCTCACCTTTCGTATGGATCAAAGAGTGCCGGTAGTATTCTGGGCTCACACGCTCACGAGGTTGTGGCTGAGGAATACCGGTTGGGAATACCGGTTGATGGGAAGAGGTGGATGGGGAAGTTGTATCTAGGGCAAGTCTGCGCACCAGTGGATATCTCGTCGTTAGCGGGCAAACATAACGACAGTTAACGTTCATTGATCGGGGATGGCTACTCTGTTAATGGCACTTTGGATTCCTACCTATCTATTTTTGCGGAGGCTAATAATACGCTCGTGCAAAGATAGCCATGCGAATAGAAGACCCAATTCTCAGTCGAGCGGGATTCGTAGGATGAAAAGTGAACACGGGCGTAGCAAGTGGGACGATACAGGAATTTGTAGTCTCGGGATAACCAGGCAGATGGTGCGTGGAAAAGTGTTTCATCGAGGGAATTTAGCTGCCGGGAAAAGTCGGGTATGGACGCAAAGTCGGACGCGGGGGAAGCCGGTGATTAAGAGGGATGTTGTGATTGGATGGGCGTGGGGGGAGGAGGCGAATCAGAAAGTGATAATTCGATATGGAGTAGTTCGGGGAAGAGACGCTTAGCACGGGGAGCCGGTGTGAGAGAGACTGGGTGCAGTGCTCCCGTCGGTGTCGGCCCGGTCATACATAGCTTTCACAATGTCGCCCCAAAGCACATACTCTCCGCATCCAGGACAGTGTCCGCCTCTGGGAAGCATGCGTCTGTCTGCAAAGTGTGAGGCGAGACAGATCAGGTGAGACGAGGCGCTGCAAGTTGGCATGGAACAGATGGCAGTGGTGAGTGCATCGCCGTCCAATGGGCGTGTACAGACGGAGCAAGTGGTGGCGGGGGTCTTTCCAGGGAGAGGCGGGATCTGCAGGGTCGACGGGCCGTCGGGGCGGTATGCAGGCGGGAGTGCAGCTGGGGGCAGTTTGTGCCAGAGGGCGTGGGCGAAGGGTGTAAACAAAATGACGCGTAGAGCAAGCGAGTCGAACGGCGGCGTCGCAATCATGCTGTGCACACACTTGACACACGACGACAGTGCCTTGGCCCGACGCTGCGATTCTGGGAGATGTCGCGACAGATGCGGGTTCTGCCACACCCATTCAAACTGCAGCGCACTCAGCTTCGATGGGAACCCGTGCACCAGCATCTGCATCACCCACGGTCGCTTCCTCTTGGTCTTGGTCGCGCCCTGTGTCAGCTCCCCATTGTGCTGTCGGATCCGTCGTAGTGGATTAGGTGTCGAGCCAATGTACGTGGCCGGGAAATGAACAGATTTCAGCAGATAGCACGCGTAGAATGGAGGATATGTATGAGGTGCCATGGATGGTAAAGTGACGGATCCCTGTTAATCCGGCGGATCACCGGTCGGGGATTATCGGTAGCCGGTCCTGCACAGCCTCACGACGAGCACCGTCTCCGCCTGTCATTGGCTATAGGGGCCATAACCCCTCGGGAAAATAAGGAATGCGCCTCAAGTGGCTGGCCACTATAAAAGCACCATGTTCGCCCAGGTCTCTTCGATCCTCACCCTGCCTCCTACCTCTACGTCCTGCTCGTCTTACTACTACTACAATGGCCCCTCATCATACTCCCTACGTTACCCCCCATATTCTTCACAAGAACTATGCACAGGCTCATGATTCTGAACAGTTTGGCTCTCGTATGTCTATCCTCCTCGTCCTCGTCCTCGCCTCTGCTAATATCCTTCATAGTAATCGGCCAGGACCTCGACTACTTTTCCCAAGCCGGTTTCGACATGGACCGCATCTCCATCAAGCGCAATGCTCCCGTCGCCCTCCTCTACGAAGACGCTATTCGCAACGAGGGTGCCATCATCTCCTCTTCAGGCGCCCTCATCAACTTTTCCGGTAAAAAGACCGGCCGCTCTCCAAAGGACAAGCGTATCGTCTTCGAAGACACCTCCAAGGATGACATTTGGTGGGGTTCAGTCAACATCAAGATGGACGAACGCAAGTTGCCTCCTCCTCTGCTCTATATCCTTTCTCAACCTCTTTCAGATACCTTTGAAATAAACCGAGAACGTGCCATCGACTACCTCAACACCCGTGACAATGTCTACGTCTTTGACGGCTATGCTGGTGTCAGTCCAATCCTCGCCCTTTTTTTTTTTCCCTTCCTTTACTCACTCGCTCCAGTGGGATCCTAAATACAGGATCAAGGTCCGTGTCATCTGTGCCCGCGCCTATCATGCCCTCTTCATGGTGTGTCATCACGTCATCCCTACCATATCAAATTCTCATCATCCTAGAATAACATGCTCATCCGGCCCACCGAGGAACAACTCGCCGACTTTGGCGAGCCCGACTTTATCATCTACAATGCCGGCCAGTTCCCAGCCAACCGCTTCACAAAGGGCATGTCCTCTACAACTTCCGTCGAAATCAATTTTAAGCGCATGGAAATGGTCATTTTGGGTACTGAATATGCCGGCGAGATGAAAAAGGGTGTTTTCTCCGTCATGCACTACCTCCAGCCTATCAAGTTTGGCCAGCTATCTCTCCACTCTTCTGCCAACGTCGGAATCGAGCACGGCGATGTCACCCTCTTCTTCGGTCTTTCCGGTACCGGCAAGACTACCCTTTCGGCCGACCCTAACCGACTTCTCATCGGCGACGACGAGCATGTATGGAGCGACACTGGCGTTTTCAACATTGAAGGCGGCTGCTACGCAAAGTGCATCAACCTCTCCGCCGAAAAGGAGCCAGAAATCTTCAACGCCATTCGTTTCGGCTCCATCCTCGAAAACGTTGTCTACAACCCCGTCTCCCGTGTCCCCGACTATGATGACCTTTCCATCACCGAAAACACCCGTTGCGCTTACCCTATCGAGTTTATTCCCAACGCAAAGATCCCCTGCGCTGTCGACCGTCAGCCCTCCAACATCATCATGCTCACCTGCGACGCCTTTGGTGTCCTTCCTCCCGTCTCAAAGCTCACCCCAGAGCAGGCTTCGTACCACTTCCTCGCAGGCTACACCTCAAAGACTCCCGGCACAGAAGACGGCGTCCTCGAACCCATCCCTACCTTTTCCACCTGCTACTCTGCTCCCTTTATCGTCCTTCACCCCGGTCGCTACGCAGAAATGCTCGCAGAACGCATGGCAAAGCACAATGTCGACTGTTGGCTTATCAACACCGGTTGGACCGGCGGCAAATTTGGCACCGGCTCTCGCTGCCCCCTCAAGTTTACCCGTGCCATCATCAACGCCATACATTCCGGTTCCCTTAAGAATGCAGAGTACGAGCCTTTTGGCGTCTTTGGCCTCAGTATTCCCACCAGCGTCGACGGTGTTCCGAGGGAGGTTCTTAACCCCGAGCTGGCTTGGAAGGATAAGGAGGCATTCAAGAGGGAGCTTGTCAAGCTTGCCGGCATGTTCAAAAAGGCGTTTGCCTTGTATGAGAAGGATGTAGGCGCAAAGGTGAACAATGCCGGACCCGTGGTGTAAACAAATTAGTGTATTATAATCATAACATATACTAGACTTTGACGCTTAATCAGCGCTATCATCATGCATTTCTTTGTCTACTGCCCCGACAAGGCTGACGACGGTGCCTTTGAGCGCCGTCTCTCTGTGCGATCCACCCATCTCGAGGGCGCGAAAGAGCACGTCTCTGGGGGATTCATCCGTACGTACCGTGCATACTGACCATCGGCAGACCTGATGTGTGCTGTAGGTATCGGAGGCGCACTGCTCTCTGAGGAATCCCTCACCTCTGAGACGAAGAAAATGGTCGGATCGGCGTTTATCTGCGAAGCCAAGGATATCGACGAGTAAGTGCCTATCATCTTGACTGCGCGCGTATAAACATGAGCTGTGTGATAGGGTCAAGGAAAAGGTCAAGGCCGATGTGTATTATACCGCTGGAGTGGTGAGTACCACCCCTGCTTGGGGTTCTGAGGATGCTGATCCTCGTCCTTAGTGGGACCCAGAGAAGATTGTCATCCTCCCGTTTGTGGGTGCCACGACCATCCCTTGAGGAATTGTATGTAGCAAAGTATTGTATTTGGAAATCACAAACACGAATTTCTCCCGCATTCATGGGAACAAATGGGAGCTATCCAGTTAACTAGGTCCTAAACGATCATGGGACCATGAAACCAATTTATAGTGTCAGCTGCAGACAGATGATCAGTGTAAATGCCGATTCCAAGCGGCAGGGAGCATTTTCAGCGGCTTCTGCATCAAGGTGACCTCCGCGGGGCCTTTCATTTCATTCCCAGTCAGGTACCACGGCTATGGCAGATGCCGAGCTTGGGATGACGTCGAAATGAGCACTCGGTGAGTGATCTTCACGTCGTTTCTCACCGTCATAACCGTGTCTCACCGTCATCTTACTGTCGTCATTTCACGGCTCGCATCTTACTATTATTTCATCCTTTAATTGATTTTTCGCTTGCATATCTCACTTATGTGCATCTTCTCTTATTTTTCTTCTACTTTATATATATTAGTACACTGCGATTTTCTCTACTCCCCATCGCCAATTCACCATTTTCCCTTTCCTGCTTCATCAGGGGTGTTGCTACTTCATTGTTTGATCACCATTTCATTATGAGGCCCTGAGCAAGTAGCAGAGATTTCCAGTTTGCAGGCTTGGTTGCAGGAGAAATGTCGTCTTGTCCAATGGCTGTTTCTCGGTAAAACCAACTTTGTATATTTGAACGATCATAGTGCTTAACTTGAACCAGGTCCTGACATCTTTCGAATATCAAGTGGATGAAATGGGGGAAGTACTTCACGGTCGTACATGCAGATCTATTGTCCAAATATCTGCTTTCTGTAACTGCCATATCAGACTCCATTCTTTTTCTAGCTTAGTCACTTATCCCATCCAACGTTCCCAGGTGTACGAAGCAAATGATCCTGCCATTCTTCACCTTCGTTGGGTGAGAATTATCTTTTCAATATTTTCATCAGATTCTCTCATACAACAGCTCCTGTCCAGGTACTGTGCTGGTAACTTGTGTGGATCACAAATCTTCAAGTCTAATGAAGCTGTTCGTCATCATCATCAGGCTCCTTGCATTGTTATCCTGATCATCCATTCTTTCAGCCTTCCTATAAGAGTGGTACTATTGGGTGTTGTGCCTGCTTTGGGCTCAAGTTTCTCCTCACTACTGACATCCCTTAAGGCTGTTTGCACCAGTGCTCAAATAGGCTGAATTCAACTACAGCATGGTGAACTAATCTTGTTCTTCATAACAGAAGGTGCAACAGGGAGACGTTGACCAATGGCCTCACTCCAGAGGAGAGAGAGACGCAAGGGGAAGATTAATGGAGAGTCAGATATGACAGACTTTGAGAATCCTCATGTAAGTCCTCATTTGTTAACGGTGACAGCTGCATGGTGATGGTCGCGATACAGTTCCGCTATACTAATCTAATTATGAACATCCGATAATTAAATATATCATGCTGCCTTTCTCTTCAGCTTTGTAATATAACCACCACGTTGGCAAAGTTAGATTTTCAACGAAATGCGATAAGAGCGACGGATCGAAGCGGTCCGGATGCCGAATGCTGCCCGACTGATTGACCTTCTTCCGAACGACCATCGCAGTTAACTCGCGCGGGACGTTTTGCAGTCAGATCCCCAGCTCTTGGTAACTAGTAACTCTGATTGTGGTTTTATTAACAACCCATTTCAGTGTACTTTGTAGACCATGTTCAACGTTCGACGGTCCCTTTCAGAAGCTTCAACTTCAAGTTCGTCACTGCCGGAGATGCAAATGACACCCGCAGACGAAGAGCGCTCTAATATGCTATGCATATCCGATCCTAAACCAGAATTTTCGCTTCACCCGCTTTTCACTGAGGGTGATACGACACTCGCTGCCAAAGGAGGCAGCACGTTTTTCCGAGTCTATTCCCACACCCTCAAGATGACCTCTGGTTTTTTTCGTTCTATGTTCAGCCTGCCACAAGATTCGTCGTCTTATTCAAAACCAGGGGGTGTTTTCTATCTTGACGAGGACGAGAGTACGTTAGAATGTCTGTTGAAGATGATGTGTGGTTTGTCCCTGCCACCGATAGACACCTACGACCGGCTAGACTCGCTTCTCGATGCGGTGGAGAAGTATGATACCCCTGGGCCGCTGTCGATTGTCCGTCTGCTGGTGATGACTCCAGCACTGACAGTCCAACCGTTCAGACTGTATGGGATTGCATGTCGTTTTGGGTGGGAAGCCGAGGCGAAGCATGCATCCACGCAGACTCTACGGTACAACCTATATGATCCGGCGATCCGCCCGTTGCTGCAGAGGCTGTCGACCGGTTCTCTGTTAAAACTGATGGAACTGCATCGATCACGACGAGAGGGGTGCGCGTATCCTTGGTCTTTTCTTTCATCTACTGATAAAAATATGTAGGTTGAGACAGAGATTGAATGACCCTCCATTCGTTGCGGGGAGCACTGCGACTTGTGTCAGCTGTCACAGTCTCATTGACTACCACACATGGCGAGAGCTGAAGTATAAGATTATCCTTGAAATGGATACACGGCCTCTGGGCGACACAGTCATCGAGACGGGATTGTTGGAATGGCCAGAGGCCGTGGCATGTTGGACTGCCAAGTGCCCAGAGAATGCCTGCCATCGCAGTCTTTATGACAAGGTGGAGACACTGCGCGTCATCCGCGACTGTGTAGATAAGCTTCCCAAGTCCATCTAGGTATGTCTGATGCCCATGGTTCCCGTATACCAAGCACGTTGCGATAGATATTCGTGTTTTTTTGTCTGTATGGTAATCAGATTGCTTTCGGTATCTCTTCCTCGTGGTCATTGTGTGAAATGAAGAGTTGTATTACTGTTGTGGCAAGAAGTTGATGACGCCGATAATGTTCGCGTGCGATTTTCGCTCGGCAGTCAAATTATGAGAAGCCAAGCAGATAGTAAATATTATATGTTGTTAAGAAATTATACGCGCTGTTTTTGTGCTGACGTGGCGGTGATTACGAGGACGGGCAAGTCATGCGATCGTGCGCAGTAAGCAGCTTGAGCTCAAACTTGCATGGCACCAACTCCCTTGTCTTCACCAACGACGTCGAGGCTCGTATACACGCTCTTTTCGCTTGCGTCGCATTCCTTGCACCTTTTGCGTTTCACTCCTCCGAGTAGCCCTAATAATTTCCCAAAACGCTCTGATTCCGACGGCTTCAACCCGCATCAGCCCAAATATGTCGTCTTTGCTGTGCTCATTCCAGTTCTCGTCCTTCTATCAGGTCTCTTTGCCGGATTGACCCTGGGGTACATGAGTCTTGACCAGACACAGTTAAACGTGCTTAGTATCAGTGGCACTCCGTTAGTGCTCGTCCTTGCCACTTATTCTCACACTAAGGTTGTATAGGGAACAACGCGAATACGCTAACCAGATAAAGCCCATTCGCAAGAATGGCCATTTACTGCTCGTCACGCTGCTTCTGGCAAACATGATTGTCAATGAATCTTTGCCAGTCATTGCCGATCCCGTGCTGGGGGGTGGGGTACAGAGCGTCGCTGTCAGTACAGTGCTCATAGTCATGTGAGTTACAAGCTAATCAACTGCGCGCAAATTCAATTACAACCCATACAATAGCTTCTCCGAAATCATTCCCCAGTCCCTTTTCACTCGTTATGGTCTCTATCTCGGCGCCAAAGGCGCCGGATTGACCAAGTGTCTGATTTATGTCATGGTGTGTCTGATGTTTGTTGTCGATAAACCATCCTCACTCGTTGCCCACAGGGCATCGTTGCCTGGCCTGTAGCCAAGCTCCTTGACTGGATCCTTGGTTCCAATCACGGTATTATCTACCGTAGAGTCGGTATGTCGCCCGTTACCTCAGCAGAAATTCGGCTGACCCACATAATTCTAGAATTGAAAGAACTTATTGCCATGCACGCCTCCCAGTCCCATCACGGTGGAGACCTTAAATCTGATACTGTGACAATTATCGGGGCCACTCTCGACCTACAGGAAAAAGATGTGAAACAGGTAACGTTCCACAAGTCATTTCCAGGAATATACTCATCTTCTTTAGGCTATGACACCCATATCTGACGTTTTTATGCTCTCTATCGATGCCCAGTTAGACTACGACCTTCTGACAAAAATCGTAGAAACTGGGCACAGCCGTGTGCCCGTGTATGAACAAGTAGACCTTCCTCCAGCTGCCTCTCCTGAGGGCAAGTCACAGAGAGTCAAGAAGATCATCGGTATCCTCCTTGTAAAGCAATGCGTTTTGCTTGACCCGAAAGAGTGCATACCTTTACGGACGCTTCAGCTGAACCGCGTCATGTTCGTACCCAATAACGAATCTTTGTTAGGCATTCTAGACAAGTTTCAAGAAGGCCGATCGCATATTGCCATTGTGAGCCGATTCAGTGTGGAAAAAGCTCAGAGTGTGAAGAAAGCCGTCACAGGAAAGAGAGGCTTAACACGACGGTTTTTGGAGAGAGTTGGGATGGGAGACAGCAGCGAAGAGAGTGGCGAGGAAGTCGATAATCACGGTGGAGCCGGTGAAACATCGAAAGGAAATACCTTAAAGGGGGATGGAGTGTGGGAGAAGGACTTTGCAGCAGGAGAAGCAGGGAAGAAGGAACGAGGAGGCAGAAAGAAGCGCAAGAACGTAGATGAGGACGTTGAGTTGGGAAATCTAGAGGGCAGAAAGGGATTGACTAGTATGCTCGCGTTAGAGCAGACTATGCCAGCTGATGCTGTTCTTGCCAAAGAACGAGCGGAAGAGGTACGCGCTTTCCCTTCGGATGCTTGATCCTATTAAAAATTGTTCAGTTCCTCAAAGGCTTCGACCCTGCTATTATGCCCCTAGGAATTATTACGCTTGAAGACGTACTTGAAGAACTCATTGGAGAAGAGATCTATGACGAGTTTGATCCTGAAGGTGCACATGGAGAGCCATACATACATCAAAGCCCATCTCCTGCAGAACCAGCGGCTCCAATTCCTCTCGCACAGCCAATTCCGGTCGCAGCGAACAAATCATTAGCATCAGTGAAAGGCCTCTCCTTCCTGAGATCCAGGAGTGCGCCGCCGCGTGATCATAATCCTAATTCTAAACCGGTCACAGAAGAAGCGGCTTTGGAGAAAGAGAAAGATACTCTTGCTGCACCGGTGTTGGTAGTTACGGCGCCTTCACATATGGATCAGGAGAAACAGTCGGCCGCCGCACTGGAAGCTATATTATTGGATAGGAAACGTAGGATAGCGCGTGAGGGGAGTAATTTGTCGGCTAGGTTCAGCAAGGGCAAATTCAAGAGCTCCCCGATCAACAATTCAAATTCGGGGCCGAGTGGTGGTAATGCAGCGGGAGGAGGAAACATTGTACTAAACAACAGTGAGACGAATGTGGAGTTGTCAGATTGTAGTGGGGATACCGACGTGGATGATGAATAACATTGAAGGGACTTGGCTTGTTGGATCTGGCGGAACGTTCTGTCGGCTACCTTCGGAACGTAAGCAAGGGTTTTCTTTTTACATCAGTTTTCCGGCATCACAGCGACTGTGGAATGCGCCAGGACAGTCCACTTGGTGCGAATATGTAGTATTTTTTACTTACTCTTTTCTTGAGAATATCGATTCTGATTGGATGTAAGCGCAGGAAACGAAGAGCATAGAGCCAAAGTTTTCAGATGAACGACTGCTACGTATTATTCAAGACAAAATATAAAGATAGCTCAAAAAAGAAGGGGAGGGAAAAAAGGTAAGAGAAGGAGAGTGTCTTAATTTCACTAGCACTCTTTGTTCTTCTGTACCCATGCTGCGGTGCACTTCTATATTTGTCAATGCCGATGTTACTAGATTCCGCATGTAAGGGTTCACAAGTCCTACAAGAGCGGATGACCTTTCCGTGATGAAGTCAATAATCAAGAACATGATGGTCGACCGAGAGTCGCAACTTGATTCCGAGTCGGGAAGCTGGCACTAGCGTCTTGTATGATCATCGGAGCTGTGACGAACACTCGCGGAGGACTACCTAGCAGTGGGATCCACACTTTGGTGCACGTCTGCCTGTCCGAATTGCTGCAATATACCACCGGGGCCATGTAGAAGCTTCGGCATAAACTTGCATCAGATCATCTGGATATTTTAAATTTCCGCCATCATCATGATTGGAACGACTATCCTGCGTCGGACGCCAAGGTCCCTTTTTCTTAACGCTACGCACAGATCAGTATCTTCCACGGTTCCGAGAGCTCGGAGATTTCTAGTGTTTGCGCCCGACAAAACAGAAGAAGGCATTCTTGCTCGTCGGTTCCAAGTGAGGCCGCAGCACCTAGAAAGGATACATGTTTTCCTCAAAAATGGGACCTTGAGTAAGAACGCATGGCTCCTACTGATGTGGTCAATGATTTACACATCCTGTAGAGGATGGAGGGTTGATGGTCGACCCAGAGGTAGAACCCGAGCCGGGAAAGTTGGCAGCTATAGGTTCCTGTTTGATACTCGAGGCCGAGACGTTGGCGGATGCCAAGAAACTGGTGGAATCTGATATTTACTACACGTCGGGCGTCGTAAGTTCTCGTTTCAGGAACTTTGAAGGGAATATGCTGATGTGCTGGTTACTAGTGGGATCCTGAGAAACTGGTTATTGTACCGTTCATTCCTGCGACTTTGCCATGATAGTATGTACATACGATGATACCGTACGGCTGATGTATGTACAGATCGGACCGGAAGTAGACTATATCATTGCCGGTCATTTCTGATTACCCAGTCGTTCACATCATTACATTCATACCTTCATGTCCCGTCTTTTATCAACCACCATCTTTCATACTACTCTCAGATCATTCGCCTCCACTACCACGAGAGCCACCGTTCTAGGCAGCATCAGACTCATGTCTTCTTCTCAATACGAATTCATCCTCACCTCCAGGCCAGAACCAGGCGTAACCCTCATCACCTTGAACCGCCCAAAAGTTCTCAATGCGCTCTGCTCACCTCTGTTCGTCGAGCTGAACAAGGCCGTTGTTGAGGCTGATAATGACGACTCTGTGGGCGCCATTGTCTTGACCGGGTCAGAGAGGGCTTTCGCCGGTGCGTTACCCCACATTCGTGTGATTCCGGCATTGACCATTTTCGTTCCCTAGCTGGCGCAGACATCAGAGAAATGAAGGATAAAGAGTGTATGTACTCGATCATTACATATTGCTCCATACCAACGTGCCCTTAGACGCCGACGTGTACAAAAACAACTTTCTGGAGAGCTGGCAAGATCTTACTAAGACCCGCAAACCAATCATTGCGGCTGTCAGTGGATACGCTGTATGTCTTCATGCTCTTGAGCATGCATCATTGCATTGACCCCATCCTTACAGCTAGGCGGTGGATGCGAGCTCGCGTTGATGTGCGACATCATCCTTGCATCTCCCACAGCCAAATTCGGTCAGCCTGAAATCAACCTTGGTGTCATCCCCGGTGGCGGCGGAAGCCAGCGTCTTACAAATGCTATCGGAAAGTCTCGTGCAATGGAGCTGATCCTGACTGGACGCACATTCACAGCGCAAGAGGCGGAGAAGTGGGGTATGGTCAGTCGTGTTGTTGGTGAGGGCGAAGGAGAAGTTGTAAAGGAGGCTGTTGCAGTAGCAAAGGAAATTTCGAGCAAGGGGAAAATCGCCGTGCAAGCTGCGAAAGAAGTTGTCAACGCTGGTATGTTTTCTCTTCATTCTCATGTGTCGATGAACTAACGGCACGCGTCAGCTTATGAATTGAACCTTGCGGAGGGGCTGAGGTTTGAGAGAAGGATATTCCATGGCTTATTTGCTACAAAAGATCAGAAAGAAGGTTCGTCTTCATGTTTTCACCATTCCAGAAAGTCAACTGCTTACAATGGTGTACACAGGTATGACTGCCTTCGCAGAGAAGCGCAAGGCCCAGTTCACTAACTCGTAAGGATCGTTGCAATGCGTTCGCGTGTAGGATCCCTGTATCATAGTATAAAAACAACGGCTCCACCTGCTTCCTCAGTGTTTAATCGATGGCTCGAGTGGATTTCTGCAAAATCAATTAAAGACATATGCTCAATACTGAAGACCACGCACTTGAACCATCTGGTAATTCCAGCAATGATGAAAACTTTATTAGAAGAAGAAGAGTAAATATATTGCATGATATTGAGATGCCAGAGGTCCATACCAACACCAAGGCCAGCCATAATTCGTTTTTGTCCTGGTGTCCCAAGCGCTGTAGCCCTTGACTGCATCAAGGCATAACCCCCGACGCCTGTAAGAGTTCCTGCTCCTATTATACGGCAAGAAAGACAGTCTTTATACGGAAGAGGCTGGTCGGTTTCCATAGACGTGAACGAACAAGTTTGACGTGTATATGCCGAAACCCGATATTTGCCGCGTGATTTCAGGCGGCCCGATTCTGAGTTTTTCTCCTTCAGGCGCACATTATAGCACGAACAAAGCAACCAGCAAAATATGAGGTGCCAACACAAATTTGCAAACAATATCACAAACTTAACCCACCTTCTTGACCACTATCGCAATACCGTGTCTTACGTTCTCTACGAATTTCCACTGACGCATCCAAAACATACTCTCATAGTAGTCAACCTATTGGTATGGTCAGTGAATCTATGTCCAAGGATAGGAAGCGCCAGCGAGACTCCAGCCGTACGGCGATGGTACCACCCAACAAATGATATGTATCAAGAGACCAACGTTCCCTCGTAAAAAAAAACGGATAGATGTGACCAACAACGAGACTTGGAAGGTATTGCCGTGCATCTTCGAAGTGCAGAATTGGAACGACCTGATAGCGGTGCAAAGACTTAGGTATCCCGGGATGATTTGTAAAAAATCGAAGAGCTGCAGCAGACTCAGATGTTTAAACGCTTCTAGTTATCTATCCATCGCCTGTAGTGGTGTAGGAGACATGAATTGGTTTGTACTTAGGAATTTATTTTCACGTCTCGCCATCAGAGCAGAGATCATGAATTAAAGTAGTCATGAAGGTGATTCAAGAATGCGTTTCAGCAGCGGTGCTGTGGTCTTTCGAGTTGCACCTGCGTTTCCTTGCTTATACACCTTGACGTTCGCCTCCCCCACCACCTTCCCCGTCTTAAACTTGTGTCTCTCGACCCTGATCTCTTGGTCCTCCTCCAAGCCCTGCCACAGTCTTTTGTCTAAACCTGTGTCTGACAAAACGATCCATGCCATCTCTCTGCAATGTTTTGTCTTCTCTTTTCCATTTTTCTTGGTTTTTTTAAACGTCGTCAAAACACCCAGGACCTGCAGCCCCCGGGCCTGCATATACCCCACTCCCTCGCAAAACAGTTTTCCTTTGCTCCCCCAATCCTTGAGCCGTAACGGTACCGTCGAAAGACCAACTTTCACAGTGGGCTTGTCGGGATGCCATTGAAGGGTATATGTATATTCCTTATAGTCTCTCCGAAGTAGGTCTCGAGCACTCAAATGAGACACGTCGGCCTTTTTTGTGGCAAGTACGGAGCTCAAGGATATAATGGATGGGATATCATGAAGGCCATCTGTGCTAGCGGAAGAGAACGAAGATGGGAGCTCCAGACGCGCTGATGGAAGGAGGCGAAGAACAGCATCACGATCCGCCTGAACGGCCTTTCCACTGGGCTTCAGACCGTTCGTATCAATGAGAATGGCACATAGCAGAAGGGTAGCGATTTCTCGAGGGAGGTTGAACGGACAAAGGTTGGCGACATGGGAAGAACAGCTGCCTGCGGGAGCGACAATTCTGGGGTCAGCGATATCCAAGTACAAGTGCTCGTCTTCGTGGTGGTCGATGACGGCTTCTACACGTGCAGCATCAGAAACGAATAAAGAGCCAAGGCGATTGTGGTCGACAAGACCGAATCGCGCAGAGGGGAAGGGTGTATATGACGCGAGGTTGTTGGCGAGTAGCAGCTGTTCCTGAGGATTATCAATACCAGCGAGCTGCAACGCGTACAAATTTTCTGCACGCAAGGCGAGGTCCTCCTTGTTGATCTGTATGTATGGAACGGTAGTGTTGGACAGAGAGCTGAGCCACGCAAAGCCTACTGAGCTCGCGATACTGTCTAAATCTTCAACGACACCGTCAGACGACCTCGGTGAACAAGAGACGCAGACATACGTACCCCCTGCCTCGTTTCCCATTACCATGAGCCACTCGTTGGCATTTTCCCGCGACTCCTCGATATCAGACAAGTAATGACGCTTGGTGCGTTCCAAGAAGTGCTGTAAGGCGTTCTCAGAAGTCGTCTCCGTGCTTGTAACTGGCTCTGGCTGAGCTGGCTTAGAGAGCTTCCAAGCAAGAGAGAGACGACGAATATGGCTGGACATTGGGGGTTGCAGAGAGCGCCAGGATCGGATGAAAGAGGAATTTGAAGATCGGGGTGGTTGAGTGGTGTGACATGTACGGGACCTGTCATCTAAATTTCCTGTCTTGCGTCCTTCAGAAGTTTCTGGTATGTGTTACTCCCGCCTTTGATCTAATTTTTTGACGCAAAGGGGCCTATATATGTACAGGTTAAAAACGAAAAAGCCAAAATATGATACAGTTTGAGCACCAGTTTGGTTGTTCAACACGTTATTTACTAGTCATTTACCAGACTGCGCGTTAACCGCTAGTAATCTTAAAAATAAGATCCTGATCTCGCCCGGTTTGTGCTGCCAAGCTAATTCTTTATAATATTAATATTTACACAGGTACCAGGTTCTTGAAACAAGCGCTTTGGGCGATATCATATCTATGCCTGCGCTTCTCTCCCTTTCCCATGTCCATTCCTTACAAGATCTATATCCTCTCCGCCATTTCCCTTGTTCTCATACTCTCCTTTATCAAATGGTCTCAACTTTCCATTGACACCATTTCATTGGTCTCTTTCTCCCCGACTAAATCGGCCCCACAAAAGGCCTCTCCCATCTCCTTTCCCCCTCTAGCGCAGCTTGAGCCCATTGCGATCACCCTCGTTCTCATGGGCGAGAATGTCGCGCATGAAGGAAGTATCGCAATAAAGTCCGCAATCATGCACACAAGCCGACCACTGCATTTTCATCTCATATGTACCGAAGATAATATCGCCTACATGGCGAAGAAGTTTGCGTTGCTCCCAAGACCAGCATATACGATTGAAGTTAGGATCTCAGCGTCCCCTATGCTCGTATGTTAACCCCCTCCATTAGGTGACCTACTATCCGATCACTGCAGAACGCGTCCGCGACCGAGGCCATCGTGCCGGCATAGGAGAGCAATGGAACGTCCTAAGCAAGATTTTCATGCACGAGTTGCTTGTGGACGTTGATAAAACCATATTCATGGACACAGATATGATATTCATTGTAGACCCTCTAGAGCTCGTGCGTATACATAATCCAGTCTTACTACACTCCCTCTAAACTAATAAGCACTTTTCAGTGGAACAACTTCAACAAATTTGAACCCTATACGCTCATGTCATTTCCCACTCTAGGCCCCACCTCTCATCCAGGACAAATTTGTAGCTGCATCATGCTTATGAACTTCACCCTAATGCGTAATCCTTCCGCAATGTTCATGCCTTCAACCCTCCTCCCAGATACCCAGCATTCGTCTCTAGCCGTGTTGCCATTCGCCCGTGGAATAAGTGACGGAATACCCAGCCCCGTAGCCGATGAAACAGTGTCCTTTGATCCTTACAACCCATTCTTTGCTGACCAGGGAATATTTCACGTTATATGGTTGTATAGACCGACGATGTTTAGGCACCTATCGCTGCGATGGGATGTCAGCACCTGCCGGCAACAGCTAGGCATTTCTTTAGGCTCATTTGGAGATGAGCTTGAGGAAGATATGTCGGAGGAAGATCAGTTGGGACGGCAGCTCGCGTTGGAGGGAAGCGGCGAGGAGCATACACTCATGAGTCCCGGCATATTGCACTTGTATTTTGCTTTCTAATCTCTTCTCTCTCACTCTTAACGTTGATCCTCACAGTAACTGCCAGGACAAGGACGACATTTGGTTATTCGAGGAGAATCATAACTCCGGTGCTAGGTTCGGCCCCATGGTCACTACTGCGTTGCGATATAAGTAAGTGCTATCGATTTTTTTGTTGGTAATCCTGCTGACTCTCATCACTGTAGGTGGATATGGCTGAACAGGGGAGATGGTACTGCGAGCGTGAACACTCGAACGGAAACCGATAGTAGGTGGTGGGATGAGCAATTGGCACAGGCTCAGGCTGGGCGATGATAATATAAGGTAAGATTGCAACGATACAGCGGTAGCAACACAATATACATTTTCTTCACTCTTCATCATCCTCATCACCGGAAACCTCTGCATTCTCTTGTCCAGCCTTGGCCATGAGTTGCGCCAAGTCGTGCTCATCAGTCTCCGAAACAGCTTTCGGCTGAAAAAGTAGTCAAAATCTGGACGGATACTCAAAAAATGACTGACCTTCATTTTGACGACCAGAGTACCTCCTTGTTCTTCAATGGTGTGTTGGATGCTCTCGATTGCTCGCTCAAGCCTGTCCACCGCAGCATACTGAAAAGAAATATCAATAGCGGAGGGCATGTGACTTGTCATACGAACCTTGTCACCCGCACTTGTGCTCAACACATACAATGGTGGCGCAACCAATTTGGCTTTGATGGGCACTTGCTCTGTACTCTCTTTTTCACCCATCCTGAGCGCCTTTTTGATAGCATCGATTCCTTGCGGGGTATAGCATGTCAACTCGATGTCGGCTCGCAATTTGATCGGTTGCGGCGTTAGTCGTCGGGCAATTGTCGACATGAGAACAGATAACGTGCTTTGCGAGACTGGATTGGGTAGCGCATTGGAAAGTGTCGCTGGCTCACTGTATACACGTGAATCAATGGGAGGGTTCAATACATTGGGAACTCACGTCAAAGCGAGCTTGAATGCATCGTAGGGATGACCAAATACTTTCCCCAAGGGCCAAGCAATAGTCTCGTATAGTTTCTCCAGCCGTTCTTCCTCCCCTGGTCCACCGATCCCTACACCACCATCCCTTTTACCTCGCTTGCTGATCTTTGGCTCCTCCCCAGCATCAGCATCTCCTTCTTCCGGGTTTGCAGCCTTGTTCACAGCGGCTTCAGTCCCCACGTCGCCATCAACACTTGCAATTTTTGACGCCACATGCCTCAGGATCGAGGCGACAGTTTTTGATTTCATGTACCTCTCTTCGCACTTTATGATGTCTTCTGAGGATACACGACGTTTTGATAAATCAATGTAACCTATAGAAAGGATGAGGCAAAGCGGAATATAAACACAGGAAGAGGCGGGCCTTTTTCCTTATCGACCCTCAGCACGACAACGACTTCATTCCTCCCCACACGAATAAGCTTTTGAACAGAACGGATACGTCTCCGCGACAATTCTGAGAGGAGGATCATCCCTTCCGTGTTATCATACTCCAACTAGACACACAACGCATTCCAATTGAAATGTCGAGAAAATCATGGACGGGAACAGACATCGTGACTAGATTAGGACTTTTCTGATATCTGAAGCAGAAAAGCACGGCACACCAGCTTGACATAGGCGCCCATCTCTGCGATCTGCCTCACTTGCACCATCACCAGCTCGTCCACCTCCGGATATTTTTGTTCATAGTACCGCATGATGTCGTCTAAGAAGTAACGCCGTCAGGGAGTGGATGTTCTTAACAAAAGAATATTTCGCGCTGAAGTTTTGCCACCAAAGTATAGAGCCAAAAGCTGAAAAGAAGCGGCAGGTCGTAATGCTTTGTTACGGCGAGGGAAGTGGATATCGGAAGATGTGACTCGCGGCAAGGATTTTGGAAACAGTTTGTTATTGTTAGATTTGAAAGTCATCGGCCCGACTTCCGATGAATTTTCTTTTAACTTCCTTCACCGATGGATAAAACCAACGGCAATGCTGTTCGTGCTACTTCTGCTCCACTGGACGACGTCGTTCGGCCACATGTCGCAGTCATCTACTCCTCTGAAATGACCTGCCATCGCCCACTCCTTGAAGATCACTTTGAACAGCCGGCACGCATCACCCGCATCTGGGAAACCATAACTGCTGCTGGATGTACCCTCAAGATGAAGCGCATACCTATCCGGCCTGCGCATAAAAATGAAGTGTTGCTTGTTCATAGCGAAGACCACTGGGTCCGCGTACAGGCTCTGCGGGGTACTTTCGTTTTGTCAATGGCGTATGGAATATCAATGACATTTTTCGTTTTCTAGAGCTCACCGACGAGAAAATACAAGAAACTCACTCATATTATGACTCGCTGTCTCTCTATGTCATGCAAGGAACTACACGGGCCGCCCTGCTGAGCTGTGGCGGTGTAATAGAGGCCTGTCTCGCCGTTGCCAGTGATCTATCAGAAATTAAAAAGTGTTTCGCCATCGTCCGGCCACCAGGACATCACGCAGAACCGACTAAGCATATGGGTTTCTGCTTTTTCAATAATGTTGCTGTTGCTATCAAAAGTGTACAGCAACAAACTACTATAAAGCGGGTAATGGTTTTGGACTGGTAAATTTTATTCCAATGAGGTAGTATACTTATCTTTAATCATATCCTTAGGGATGTGCATCATGGTATTGAGTTATTACTCTCATTTATTTCGTCTTGATCGTTTTCTTCCAGGAAATGGTACCCAGCGTGCATTTAACGATGATCCCACTGTTCTGTATGTCTCGTTGCATAGATATGACAACGGAGGATTTTATCCATGCGGTCCATTTGGTGGCATTCAATCGTGCGGGGAAGGACCTGGCCTGGGATTGTAAGTTTATTTATTGCCTTTACCGTCTCATTTCATACCGTGAGGTCTCTAGCTCGGTGAATATACCGTGGCCAGGCGAAGGCATGGGCGATGCGGAATATATCCATGCCTTTCAACATATTGTCATGCCCATTGCTATGGAATTTGCGCCCCAGCTAGTTATCAGTAAGTCATATGTGAATATGCGTCACCCCGTCTTGATGGCTTGTTAGTCTCTGCCGGTTTCGACGCAGCACAAGGAGATCCTTTGGGACAGTGTTGCATAACTCCTGCTGGATATGCTCATATGACATATATGCTCTCAGGGCTTGCTGGTGGTCGTTTAGTGGTCGCTCTTGAGGTAGTGTGCAACTTGGTGATAGCTATAGACTCTACTGATGATCACGTTCGCTCTAAAGGGAGGGTATAATGTCGAGGCAGGGGCCCGTTCAGCATTGGCAGTGACTAAGGTTATAGTCGGAGAGCCGCCCGACGAGCTTCCTCCTATGACTGCCAGCGAGCAAGCGGCTGAGGCCGTCTGGCTTGTGGCTAAAGAGCAGAGCAAATATTGGAGAAATGTCAACCCCAAAGCATGTGAACCGCGTGAAGGTGATATTTTTAATCCTTTATACTCGTTTCGTTCTAACGAATCGCAGACGTCCAAATCAGCACATTTTCTATCCCTGGTAGGCCTTCCCGCACATGTTATCTGATTTTCTCTCTTATCTTGTATAGAAATACTGAAATCGCATCGACAAAATTACTTGTCAAACAATCACCACATGATGAATGTTCCCTTAGTAAATGAAGAAATGGAAGAGCGATTTGGAATGCAAATAATGTGCACGTGAGATTCAACCTCCTGTAGCTGCTTCCACTGCCAAGTGCTTCCACCATAGACCAGACATACTAGACAACCCGACGGTGGTGTTCTTTATGCATGACTTGTGCGTGAAGCAATCTTTGCGAAGTATGCATCTGACATAGGTTCAGCGGCGATCTTCAAGCCGAGCTCGAGAATTTTGCTACGTGCAATTTAGACCTAGAGCGGTCTTACTTGGTATGGTATGATTGATTATCTTGATGTTATGCTGAATACTGAATTGAATAGGTTGATTTCTCGAAAGAGCTAATTTCGTGGGTAAAAGCCGCAGGTGAGGGTGTTAACATTCGATCTTGTTTGCATTTCACCCCTTCGAGCAGGACACTGTTTGCTTGACGTAAATCTGTATCCCAAGCCTCTTATAGCTCCAATGAAGGTCTTGCGCATGTTCAAATAATTATTATATTTGCCGCTCATTTATCTTACAGAAGTCAAAATCAGCACAGGTTCTCGCCAAAGAACTCATCATATATCTCTGGGATAACTATGTACAGTCAGTATCTATCTGCCGCTTCTCTTCTGATTCGGTTTCACGGAAATTCTCCAGGCTTTCAAATGCCCAGCGAGTCATTCTTATCGGGCACGGACCGGGCTGTCAGCCAATGATCGACCTGCTTCAACAAAGATGTTGGTGTGATTACTGTTCGTTTGCTTTCTTCAAGTTGATCCATGTCGAAGGGAGTAGCGTGAGCACGAAAGTAAAAGGTATCGTGCAAGTCGTAGGACATCTAAATGTTCCATTGGTACCGACTCATCCCGATGAAATTATACCATGGTACCTGAAGGTCAGTCATCCGCACCTTAAATGAAGCAGTTATGACCGGGATACGTTTTCCAGCACTCATTTGTTGCTGTTCCCGTGAACCACCAAGTGCTCGCGGCAAAAACGAAGAAACGCCATGGCAACGTTGTACCGATAAGTGAGTTGATTCATCTATGCTTCATCGCACGAATTTACTGTCTTCTAGATGAAACTCGGGCAATAAAGCTCCTTACTGATGCCCTCCCAAGTATTGAGATTTTCATACAAGCACAGCTAAGGGCCTGGGACCAGTACATGGATACCTCATGATAAGACTTAGATGTAATTGTCCGGAATTTGATTTTTGATCGGGAACCTTCACCCCGCATTCACAGAGACCAGGGGTATTGTGGGGTAACGCAGACAACGTGTGTATATCGATATGGTTGGACTGTTTGGAAGAACGTACACGCGATAATATCACGATAGCTTTCCTTACGAAGCCGGGCCTCATGCTTCTGTTGGACGGTTATCCTCTTCGCCGGAATCGATCACCGGATCACCCATTGAGGGAGCCCCCTTGTCATATGAGCGTCTTAGAAAGCTTTCAATGCTACAAAAAGGCGGCCGTTATTGAGGGAGAATCTAAATCCTTCCCTCTTTTCCCTCTGTGCGAAATGTTGAACTGCAATCTTCTTGCTCTTCTCGAACCTGCTGTGAGCACCCTCTCGCTTCTTGTTACCGTTCTTAACGCATTGCGACACGGATGAAGAATCCATTGAATATTATAGGCCTTGGACTTGTCATTTTATTTGCTGTGTTGTCTCTTTATCGGCGTTTTACACGCATCTCTGTTTCTCATATTCCAGGCCCGCCGCCTGAATCTTTCGTACTTGGTGGGTGCTTTTTGCTGCTATGATACCAGACGACTACAACAATGTCCTTACATAGGTCATCTTGTTGAGATATTCCAAAGCCAGGCGGGGGAGCCTGACTTCAAATGGCAACGTCAGTATGGGGATGTAGTGCGTGTCAAAGGAACCTTCGGTGTACGTATCGCATTATTGCAATTTTTTTTGACCCCGGTTTTACGGGACAAATAGGAAGACCGGCTTTTGATATCTGATCCCAAGGCGCTCCAGTATATTTTCCACACATCAGGTTTGTCTTATTGGCACTTTGACTGGATGTCTGTTATCGTCTTCTAGGCTATGGCTTCTCGAAATGGCCTCAAAGAACTGAGATCAGCCGTGTATTAATGGGCCGTGGACTGTTATGGGCCGACGGTACGTTAGCTTCCGCTGTACAATCCATCGATTTCGACCGTCACTATCAGGAGACATTCATAAACGGCAGAGGAAAGTGATGCTTCCCGGGTTTGGTGGTACGCAGTAACGACGTACATGAATAACGCTCGAATGACCGGTTTGAAAGCACCGGAATGCAAGTCGTTCATACCTATCTTCCAACGTACTGGCTCTGAGGTAACCCTGTGCCTTAAAATGACTGAGTCGCTAATGTCTTTGACCAGCTGGTCGCAAAATGGGCCGATATTCTTGCTGGATCACCGAATCAAAGTGTTGAAATGAATGTCGCGACTTGGCTGTCTCGCGCTACCATGGACTCTCTCGGAGAAGGTACGAGACAGAAGTATCTACCGTCTAGGATATGCCCTCACGATGATCACAGCTGCGTTTGACTATCAATTTGGTGCCTTAGCCCAAAGAGACAACGAGTTGATGAAGGCATACTTTGGTCTTATGTAGGAAGATCTCAAGGAGCAGTCAATCGGTGTATTGAATCTGCGTTTTCATAGGAACGACACTCTTGGTTCACCGTCCAAAAGGAGCATTTTCTTGCAAACAGCACTGCCTGTCTGGGCTCTACAGTTGAGAGCCAAATACTCTAATAGCAGGCCGATGGCGCACGCCCGATACACTGCAAAGCTCGCCGAGGAGTTGACACAGGCTCTGATAGACATGAAGTCATCTGAGCTCCTGCAAGGAAAAGGAAGCAAGGACGTTCTGAGTTTGCTTGGTGAGTCTCCATTATGTCCCGGTAGTACATGGAGCTTACATTTCACATGCGTCAAGTGAAAGCCAATGCTTCAGAGAACGCAGCGACTGCTTTGGACCACGAGGAGATGCTAGCTCAAATGCGGTACGTTGATTCACCTGTATGCTACTTCTGATAATGTATCCATCTCTGGCGTAGAACTTTGCTGCTCGCTGGACACGAAACGAGTGCCACCAGCACCCTTTGGATTCTCCTGGAGCTTGCTCGACACCCGGATGTGCAAGACAAGCTTCGTAACGAAATTCGTGCCGTCGAACACGCTGTTCACGTCCGAGGAGACTCCGAGTTTACCTCAAAGGACTTCGAAAGCATGACCTATACTGGTGCCGTGATGAAAGAGGCTATGCGACTTCACCCAGCGTTATATCACAATTACCGACAGGCTGCTCACGATGACATTCTTCCACTCTCAAAACCCATTCTTACCATTTCGGGCGAACTTATAGACAAACTTCCGGTTCCTAAAGGAATGAAAGTATTTGCGTCTATTGCCGGATACAATAGGTATCGTCATCTCTAAATCACGACCAGACTACTCAATCTCGTCCTAGAAACAAAGACATATGGGGAAACGATGCAGATACCTTTAATCCGGAGCGATGGTTTCAGTCAGAGAAACATCGGAAGGGACCCAGTGTGGGGGTTTATGGAAATCTGTGAGAAATTATCACACCAAATTACTGGTGCTTGTGGTAACATCAGATTTTCCAGACTGACTTTCGCGGGAGGCGTCAGAACATGCGTGGGCTGGCGTTTTGCGATCTATGAAGTCCAGGCCCTGTTGATCGCAATCATTAACAACTTCGTGTTGTCACCCACAGAGGACCTCCAACGCCTTCGCCGAGAAGCCTGTTTAGTTATGATACCTACTCTCGAAGGTGAAGTGGAAAAGGGTGAAAATCTTCCTCTTCGGGTAAGCACCGCTCCAAGAGACTAGAGAGGAGGAATATAAGTGATCCTTTAACCAAGCAAATAATCATATTCTCCGTCATGAACCGACAGAAAACAGAATGATTTCTTATGATTAATCAAAGCTTCTAATCTAGGTGACTCTTCGCATTGTCCTCTGTCCTACAATCACACGTCCGAGCTAAGAAATGAAGATCTCCTTCCAGTGCGTCCAAAGCCCACAGTGAAGCGAGACGGGCGGCACTGGTAGGATTGGCCTCAGAAGCACTAGCCAACACAATACCATGGACGAGTACTGTATGATATATCAAGCTAACTGATTAGACATAGAAGAGTGACCTTACCGCTGCATCGAATGCTACCATTATCTTCTTCTTTGCAGATCTCGAAATCTTGACATCCGCTAGCTTGAAGGAGTTCTAAAAGAACCTTGGTCGGATGATGGGACAGTGTTTGAAGCGTGATATGCTTGTCGTAAAACGGCTGGACAAGATTCATAAAAATGGCCTCTACACCATCTGGCAGGAAGTCATCCGATATGCACATCGCTCCCATTATGGATTCTACAACGTCCGACAGAGGCTGTTTCCCTATCATTTTAAATGGCGCATGAAAGCAAAATCATCAAGGCTAACCTTTGGAGCGTCAATATCAAACCAGAACTGTCCCGATGCCCGGCCCTCCTTTTGTGCAGCAGCGTATTCCTCATTTTGTTTACGCTTCACTTCTTTTTCATAGTTGCTGATGCTCAGAGCAAGCTCCGCTGACCGGAACAAGAGATGTTGATGTAAGTTGGAGCACACGCAAAGAGCAGCTAATGCGCGATTTGACACCATCGCACCCTTGAGGACGATCTTCAGAACGGCAACAGGAAACAGCTAGTTACAAGCATACCTTCAGCAATGTCAGCGCACCAGGCGAGAGTCCTTGGTTACGACTGAAGATATGCCGGACAACCACTGTACTCAACTTAAGTTCAATGGTCAGCGAAAATCAGGATAACATACAGAAGTCGAGTACTGCATCTCCGACAAATTCGAACCTTTCATAACAAGAAGCCTGAAAGCCTTGATGAGTAATGTGTGTCTACTCAGTTGAGAATATGAGTCGAAGTTGAGGAATCAGTGTAAGTCAACGAACCAAGGCCTGTGCCAGCAAGTACGGCCGTTTAAACTTGCACCCCAGTGCACTTTCGATGGCTTGGAGAGTTCCGGGTTTAAGTTTTGCAGTGACTTTGGAGGAAGGAGCCATGGCTGTACGACCAAAATCTGACCACTGTTCAACCCTCGGAAGAGATATGCCCAGGTCCTTTGTAACACGAAGTGCTACATCTTTGCCGCCTGTGAGGTAGGCAGCGCCGATGATAGACTCGACAACATCAGCAACAGTCTAAACCCTATCAGGCAGAGCGAATAGAGAAAATGTTTATTATCGTACCTTGTCCCCAAGGCATTTGTTGGAATCGCCGGTCCACCAAGTCCGAGTTTTCTTCTTCCTTTTCCTAGAGCGGCCTTTTGTTGTGCTCGTACTGGGCGTACTTGTAGTTTGGCTGGGGGTTGCCACCGGCTGCTTAGGTGCGGATTGTGTAGTAGATTCCTGGACCTGGCCGATGGTAGTATTGCTGTTCGAGTCCCTGGTAAAATTTGGTGGACACCAGGATTTGATGCTGAACGGTTTCGTTTGAATAAAGGAAGGCAGCCCGACGCGAACGGCTTGGTGAAGTAAAGAGTTGTTGCTGATGAGCTCTCTTCTTGATGCATGCAGGTTGCCTTCGCTTCTGTCTGGTTCCGTTACGAAAACATATAGAGACGAGACACATTTCAAGAACGAGTCACCTTGCAGCAGTCAGTCATAGATTTTCTTTTACGCAACATCATCTCACCTAAAAGTTCTAGGCGCTCATAATCATAAACAAGGCCCACTGATGGCGCGGTGATAGCCATGCGGAGTAGGTCCTCGGCCACGGAAAAACCAAAAATGTTTGCATTCAGCTCTTTGACGAGCAAGATATGATTGATGTTTTCCATGATTGACGGGAGGAGAAATCCCGTGCGAATGGCACTTGCTTATGTTAGGTGTCGATACTACTGAAACTTTGAAAGACCAATCACCTTAACGGAACCGTGCACTTGGCATACAGTTCCGGTATCATATCTGAAAAGCCGATAGGGTGAACGATGCGATAAGGAGAGAGAAGATATTTGATACTTACATAAAGAATCAGACTTAGTACTCTGGGGTCTAGACGAAGGACTAGCGTATTGCAGCCAAGGGTCGATTTTCACAACCTCAAGGATACATTGATTCTCGTCCTTCAGATCCGGGAGGCTTTCGTATTTTGACCGAACAAACTCAAGGATAGTTGTTGAATTGTCGTTCGGCTACAAATGAAGGGAGTCATGTATAGAATTTTAGACACTCATAGCGATGACTTACATGGATACTTTTTGGGGTCAGATCACGTCTGACCTTCACAACTTCGTAACGACGGATGAACTCCATATGGCCTTGAATAGCAGCGTCCTGCACATCTGGCTCTACCACGTCCGCAGCTCCATACTGCAAGGGAACCCATCGACCGCCAGAAGCCAATTTTATAGCATCCCAGGATAAGCTGGTGCTAATGTCAGGTAAATCAAAAGGCTGGGATGGATCAAGTTCTGGAGAGCAGAAATTTGACTGGAGAGGAGCGACAAAATAGGCCATCTTCCCCGATTCACAAGTATATGGTTTGTTAAGAATTGTTCGAAAGTATCTGATGGTATATGCATGAAGAAGTTGCACCTGTTCGTCATTCACGAACAAAGAGGCAGTCCGTCGCAGCGGAACGACGATCGGTATACCAAGAAAGAACAGCTTGATGCTTGGAATATCAGGTAAAGGACGGTATGTCAAGAATAATAGAGGCGCATGTTGAGCTTCCCTCTGAAGGCGATCTCCACAGATGACTGTAGGGTACAATATGTTCGTCGGAGAATAACAGAAAGACTGCCAAAAGCGCGGTGCGCTCCCCGGGTAGAAACGCGTTCCCGCCACTTTGGCGTCGGTAGCAGGTGGGAGATCCTTGGGCTTCCACAAACGTCTGTTTTCTGGAAATGGGAAAAACTGATGTGGAAGAAGACCAGCTTCAGCCAGTCTAGCACAGGCCACGAAGCACGCCTGACGCCTGGCGAACGCCTGTGACGTGGATTGTGGCCCACTGATACAAGACAGCTCGCCGGGCATTCCGGGCAAATGCACTTGACAAGTGTAAAATGGCTGAGCAGAAACATATTCAAGTCGAGGATTTCCCCCATCTCGATCTGGTTTTAGTTCCAGAAGATGAGCACCCAAGCGATAAATAACAGCAGTAGCATTTTGTACTCGAATTTCGCAGCCGGTAGTGGCATCAGTGATACACGGTTGATTGATGTCTTCGGCGTCGATCCCTTCATCAAGACTGAGTACAGCCATCATATCTGACAGGGTTAAAGGTGGGAACGAAGTCTCAGAGGTTTGGGTCACCCAAGACAAGACGCTTTTGTCGGTACGCGCGAGGGAGGATAGAACATGTCGATGAACGTTATTTTCACGTTCAGCCATGAACACAAGATGACTGTCGAAACTGGGGGCTCGAGAGTAACTGTATGCATGTGATAAGTAGTCACGCGATAAACTAAATCTATTTATTGATAATAGCGTCAATAGGTGATTATGAGTCGTCTGTCTTGACTTACCGGATGACGATGGAAGCTTTAGGTATGTCTAGATCCTCCGTCGACTGTACTGCGATAATCAGATTGCAAGTGCCATTCTTAAAGGAATGGAAAAGGTCTCGCTAGAAGATGAACGTTATATAAAGGACGAATTGAAATTTAGAATCATTACCTGGACCGCAGGCGCCTCATCACCATATAATGACTGGCATCGGAACTCCCCCGTTGCCTTTAGCAAGTCAATAATGCCCCAAGCAATGGCCTTGCTAGAGACTAGCAAGGAAGTAAGTTGTTTGTTTATAACAGAAAAGAGGAAGAAAGGATAATTCACCGAAAACTAAACCACGGAAGCGCATGTCAAGTGGGTCACACGCCTTGAGTATCTGTACGAGTCGCAAGAACTTGGGGGTGACGTTGAAGCCTCGGGAGCCGATATCTAGATTGGGCATAGCAAACGTCCAGTTCTTGACGATATCACGGACGGAAACTTTCAGGGCTATCTCGGGCGCAGCATCGTCGTCGTCATGCTCGTCCCATGTCGACAAGCTGGTCTCTATATCTCCCAACGCACGTCGCCACACCAGATCGGACGCACATGGACCAAGTTCCTCCACAACTCGTCTCGATGCCTCAAGGTGTTGCGCCAAAACGCGTTTGGATGAGTCTAAATAGGCGACTTCATCTAGTATAGTCTTCTGCATCATGATCGATGGAAATGGCCTGTCGTATAGCACGATTGTTTCTCTAGGTCCGCAAGAGTCCACTATAGGTAGACTTCATTAGTCGCAATGAAGGAAATGCTGATATACTGAACCTCTTTTCGTTACGGTGATGGCACGCAATCCCCGTCCAGTATCCTGCCCATTTTGTGTCTTCCTGCGTTTATGAGGTCTTTCGGACTCAGATGAAGGAAGAGCAGCAGACGACGGAACAGGGTCCAGTAGACTTTGTGAGGGTGACGCTATGGCTGACTCGGAGTCGTCCAAGTCGAACGGCACATTAGCGTCACCCAACGCAAGCTGCTGGTCGCTGTCGCGCTCAGAAGCAGACTGGATTTCTCCCTCTTCCTGGTCTTGAGCTCTCCATTTACCCTTCCAAATTTTGAGCATATACGAGACGAGAAGAGGGAGGTGGAGAAGGAGGATAAGAGACGTCGGTAACTTCCGAGCTTGCCTTCAAAGCACTTTCCGACTGTACCACAATGTTACGCTATCAGTCCAAATCATTACACAAGGCTCTATGGCCAGGTTAGAGCTTATCCGTTTCTAATCAATGGTATACTCATATCTATTCAGCCCCGTCAACACTAACGGTGTGCTCAAATCCTCGTTGCCGAGGTTTCCAATATATCGCATCATGGAGAAAATTTTCTACTACACGGCTGAGCGATAGGCATGTAGAATCCCTGGCCTCCAAATTTGTTCTAACAGATATCTATAGTGAGCAAGGCCGAGCATCCAACATTAGACCTCTCCAATCCATGTTTTCACAATCGCAGTCGTCTTGGGACCACGTTTTCAAGGGCATTGCGGACACCCCCCCGGTAGTATCGCAGTCGGGTCCTAGACGCGGTCGGAGGCAGGCGATGACTAACCGGGAAATCAGCGCTTTTAACGACATGTTCAACATGATATTCGATGCTGTTTCTGAACAGTCGCGAAAGCAGCGTGATGTCGATCTTCAACGTGACGATCTTGGGGGTCTCTTCAGCAAGCTTCGACGACACTCAAAGAAGATAAAATGGACCACAGAAGAAGACAATCTTCTGGACCGGAAAAAAGAGGAGATGGACATGTGCGACACAGATCAGCAACTTCTTGACTGGGCCTTGAGGGAGGTGTTTGAGGATTCAGCCCGGCGTGAAGCAGCATCTCGGCTGGCCATGGAAAACCCAGATATCAAAGAAGTTCCGAGGCTCCAATCTCCAGCGTATCCCGAACTCATTGCTCTCCTCATGCAGACTTTTCGCGACAAATACAGTGATCCTCACCTTGCTCTATCCATTTTCGACTACACTCGAAACCTCTCCATAATCTCATACGTATTTGGATGCACGACAAAGGCTTACAATGAACTCCTCAAGACTAAGTGGCGGTGTTTCCGCGATCTCAAAGGGTTCCATGACGCCCTGCAAGAAATGACTGTCAACGGTGTCGGGATAGATGCTCGTACGCGTAAGTTGGTAGAAGAGGTGCGGCGTGACGTCGGTGAAAAAAGCCTTTGGATGGAGGAGGATCCGCTGGGGGACAGTACCGAGTCATGGAATCTGTTGAACAAGATTGAGGACCTTACCGCTGCAAAGAAAAAGAGGTCGAAGGTCGAAAAAGAGCCAAAGTGGGACGAATGGAAGTCCTCTTCCATGGTTGATGATGTCAATGATCAGTGGGGATTCGATAAATGGGATGACCCAGCAGGTAAACTGCCATGATAACATTTCGTTTATTCTGCTTCAGTCCCTTTCCTAGTTACAAAAGTAAGAAACCCATTTATGTTACTCCATTAGAAGCATATACACCTTCATGGTCACTTCTTCTAACGGTGAAAGATATATATACTCGTACATTTATTGAGATCCCGTGCATGATCTGTTATGTTGGGGTATAAATGCCCACGTATGGTTCCCTGTAGAAGTAAAAATATGAAAGTGGAATAAATGCTACATTTACAGTGAGGAATGAACAACAATAAGAAAGGGAAGCAACAAAGGAGTTTTATTTAAATTCACCGTTAATATAGAGAACCGTTCGTAATGGAAATCAAAAAGCAAATCAAAAAACGAATGTAAAGGAAATACATCTCTAACTGAATTCAGTATCGATTACGTCGGGTTCGCGATTTCGACGATCGAGATCTAGATACTGCTGGAACTGCACCGAGTCCATGTGCAGGAATGTAATCCATGTCTACTTCGCCACACTTGAGGTAGAGCAATAGATTGTACACGAATATCTGCTCGTACCTGAAAACGAATCAGTAACACGATGAACTAGCTGAAAGCGAAGACAAACTGTGTATTGGTGTACACGATAGACATTGAATCCGAGTTGCAGCGGAGGAGATTCGGCGCCATCACCAGCGCAAGATTAGCAGGCGTCATCTTAGTCAAGGACTGTGTTCTGTCGTCCAAGAACAGTTGAAGGAAGCTAATGACAAAGAGAACAACGCGTCGATTGATGGTCGGTAGACGTTCTACGATATGGATACACGCCTCGGGATCCTTGGAACTCGATATGCACTCGTTGTACATCTCCTCGGGAACGAGAGGATCACAAAGCTCTCGAAGCCACGATTTCATAAGAGACGCGAGAACGTGAGGATCATCCACACCGTCTAGCGTGTAGTACCCTCTATCGATACGTAGCTTGAGCTCAGAGACAGCGTCACCATCTCCAGGTACTCGGAAAATGCCTTCTGACTTCGTACCCCCAAGGGCCAAAATGCCGTCTGCAAGAAACGGAAGAATGATGGGCACTTTTTGATGAGGGTAATTGCGCTCTTGTAAACGTATGATGGCATCTAGCGATTCGCCGAATGTGGACGGATTAAATGCGGCATCCTATGTGCAACGTCAGAGACGAAGAAAGAACGGGAAAGGCAGACATTTTCTACGCACAGAGGCTATCTCAATTTCCGCTGTACTTGGTGGTTTGCTTCGGGGTCCTTTCCTCGAAATGAAAGACAACCGTCGCAGACAATACTTGGCCATGATGTCTACACGTCCTTCCTGCTTGGACAGGTGCTGTTGCATGAATCCCCGAACGTATGTTTCTATGTTTTTCGAGGGTGGAAAAGTTATCAGAAGGACGCACATCAGTTGCCAGCCCTTGAATACACTCTCCCTACGAGGATGAAGCGTCAGGTACTGACCCCAGTGGAAGAAGCTACATACGTATTAGGATTGCCACTTAACTGCTTCATCAGTTGACAGTATATTTCGTCACGAAGTTCCCCATGACTCAGGCCCTCGCTCAAAATCCATCTCTCCTCCTCTAAAATACTTGCTGCATTCGAAGCCAGAGATGCGGAAGATGTATTACTTGACGAAACGGTCGAAAGACCATCGGAATGCACACGGACACCCATAGGTTTTCCTTCCCTGTCACCCATAATATGCTGTATAATTTTGAATACCTTGACCGCATCCCTACTTAAGGTACGGTTCAAGGCTAGCAACGGAGAAGCTAAGGGAGCCTGAAAAGCGGAGAAATGAGCGTCGGTACTCAGCATAAAAGTTCGAATCACCTTCTGCCAAGACATCATCTGCGCAACGGGAATTCGCCGTCGAAAGATGAATCCTGTGCGATGGGTGGAAAAATACTGTTTCGCATAATCAGATTCGGCAAATTGTAGGATGTCGGAGGCCAGGTCGTGGGGAAGAACTGGATAACTTTTCCTACGTATCGTTCAACACTAGTATTTTGTACACCAAAACATAACTAATACCGTACCCAGAACTTAGAGTCGCCGTTGGGGCTTCAAACGATACAACGCGAGGTTGGATAAGGATAGGTTTGCGTGTCGCTCGATTCTTCACCGGACTCATTTCCAATGTGGCGACTGCATATCAAAAATCAAAATCAGTTTCGCGGCGACAGTCGCCGATTACCAGGACATTCTGACCTGTATTTAGAACGGGAGCGCTGATTTCCTTGCCATTTATCCTCACGGGCGGGCTTCGTCCAGTCTTCAAATCCCCTGGTGGCGGCGGGATCGGTCGGCTTGGCGCTCCTCGCTTCCCAGATTGTTCAGCTGCAGAGATGTCAAGTGTTGTAGGCGACGCCTGTACGCTACTGGTACCGGTCTGAGAAGAAAGTTGATTTGACGTATGGCTACTTTCAGAAGTAGAACTAAGCATTTCCACGGCAGCGGTGAGGCTCTGTGGAAGTTGGGGACGGTGGGAAACATATGATGATGATTTTGATCTCGCTCGAACGGATGACTCTGGAGTGGAATTATTAGACGAACGTCTCAATGCGTCATCCTTGAGTTTGGGACTACTGCTGGAGGGTGTCAAAGTCTTGAGCTTTGGGGAGGATAAACTCGCTTCTGAGGTATAAGGAGACGCGGGTATGGGGGGTAAATGCTGGGCAAGGGTATGCAGACGATTGGAGCCGTTCAGAGTATTAGTGTTATGGTATTGGTCGTTAGAAAATGAACGTCGTGCAGGGGAACTTTTGGTTTTCGCAACAGCCGAGGTTTTGCCCGAGGTAACTGAATGGCTAGATTTTCGAGTCGGTATGTCGTCCTGGACGTTTGCGTAAGAATTGGAACGTCTGTAGGTCGGTTTTTCTGGTGATAGCCTTTGGGACTGTAATGCCGAGTCGTAGGCCATAGATTTGGAGAGACGATGGGACAAGCGCCGCCCCAGAGCCGAATTCTGTCAGGGTTTCAGCCACCCACTAAGGTATATTGATAGCGTCAAAAATGACTTGCCTGAATGATTCCCAGAGGGATTACGAAACCTGGTGGTCTCTCCCATACTGTTTCTCCGGTTTTCGTCTGATAATAGTAGGACAAGCCTCCGCGACTCTCATCACTTAACTCCCACCATTCACCCTCCGCGCTTGGTGGCAATCTGAAGGAGAAACACCGTTACGCGAGGATGGTGACTGAATGATATAGCTGCGCACACGAAATTGCCAACAGGCGCGTCCCAACTGACTTGACCGGTCGCGGGACATGCATAGAATGAGGATTGTGTCTAGTGATCACTGACATCAGGGAGGCATCCGAACAGAGTTCTGCGACAGATATACCTGAGGATCAACGAGCGTCACCCAGAAATTGGAACCCCAAGTCGTATCTTCACCATCCTGTGCCGGGGTACTACTTCTAGACTGTCGCGTACTTTTAAAGGTGGGCGATTGAGGGGTGGTGGCACCATTTGCTCGCTCGGAGGCTTTCCCTTTAGCAGACGACGTCGAGGCTTGACGAGAGATGACCGCGCTCGGCAGCGACGAGGATGGCGCTCGTCTAGGAAAAGATTCAAGTGAAATGGTGGGCATCGCTGGTGCATGGGATCCAGCCATCACGGACATCGTGTTTGCTGTGAATAATACCGGAAACAGGGCATTGGTGGACGCCGCCGTCAAGTTAACAGGACGGGGGACGACCAGGTAAGGTTGAGGAGGGAATGAAGAAAAAGGCCAGACCGGTGGGATAGTCCCGGGGTAGAAGGGTCCTGGTCCAGGGGTGGCAAGCAGCGACAAATTATTGCCTTCTTGCCTTCATTTCCTTCGTTTCTACTATTTTCTTTCATTTTCTCACTCCATTTCCTTTCGAGTACAGGGTCTTACAGTTTCTTCGCTTCCTCCACCATACCTTTCAGTACCTTAATATCTGCGTTATTCCCCTTCAACGACGTTTCCACCCTCTCGTAAACCTTGGCTATTCCCTTGTAAGTATCTCCTTCCCCTTGTCCGAGGAACCCTGCAATTTCTTCCATCTCACCGACCCACCGGTACGCCTTTGGCATCATGCCTGGTATCGATCGTGCCGCATCTTTCAAGACGCCAGGTCGTGTTTCGTGCAGAATTTTGAGGAGAGCTTTAGCTGTGGCAGGCGACGACGCATGGGCACCTGGTCGGGAGTTAGGTCGACATCAACACGATGCGCTGAAAATAACAAACCAAGAAACATCGTGGTAAGCACGCCTATCATTCCTTTCGTAATGCCCTGTTGACAGAAATAAATAAGCATGGGTGTTGATATATCGATATATCCACATCCCCAAGGGATAAGGAATCTCGATAGACGTGCATCTTACAGCATAGGACATCTTTAAGGCGCTGGCAGCACCCACTCCCGCTCCGTCCCCCTCCAAGACCCGAATTTTCAGTCCATATTTCGAGAGTTGAGCAAATTTATGTAGCTGCTCCGCATCATCACTGGAGGCGAAGAATACTGGATCATAATCATCCTTCGGAGGAGATCCGATGATCCCCGCGTCAACAAAGGACATGGTTGTTCCCAAGAATATATCTGAAATACGTTGGACCGTTTCCGGGTTCACGGCATTGCAATCCGCAAACAGAACCTTGGACGACACCGTGTTCGCCTCTTTGACAAAACTTTCGGCAAATGAAAGTGCATCGCTTGGCGGCAGGATACTGAGGACGATACTGGCTTCGTGGGCTATTGAATGATATGTCGCCTCCTTCATTCCAGCCTCGAGTGCCCTTCGACGCGTAGATTCCGAGCGTCCATCAAGATTCGTCAGGACGGTACAGCCCCCTTGTACCAGTCTCCTTGACACTGCAGAGCCCATGGCGCCTGCGGCGATCACTGCAATCGTCGTCGCCATAGTTGATGATAGCTTCAAGTAAGAATGCCTTCAATCTCATTATCAGTACATGTGACAGATAACGATAGGCTTGGTAGGATCAGTGATATTAATAGACTAACCAGCGGGTGGAATTTATCAGTGATAATGTGCCAGTTTGTAGACACAGCGCAGGGTAAACGACAACAAGTGATATGAATACACAAATACTTGAGAATGATTGTTTAAATAGCCAGGATACAACAGATGCACCTCATGGGGCGGCGCTGTGAGGAACAGTTGGTAAACTTGCACTCAGCAAAGATGTCGCGAGTATCGCACTGGCACTGGCCGGACCTAGACTGGCCGGACTGTCCATACCCATCTTCTTCTTCACCGCATCGAATGTCTTTGTCAACCGTTTCCGTGCTCCCAAAGCAACTACACCCTTCTTTTCAAGGGTAGCCTCATCCAACTCGATGATATCCCTCCAATTCATCCCCTCGAAACAGGACGTATACTTGTGCAAGCGCAAGCTCTTCAACCACACAGGTACATCTTCCAAGATCTGCGGGTCGATGTCGTCCTCCTTCGGCGTGATGCCATTTCCACTGCCGACAGATGTTGCGCTTTTCAGACCACTACTCTTCCAACCGGCACTCTTCGGGACAGTCTTTGAGCTTCTCAACGCGCTCCCAGGGGACCGTGAGGTGCTCGAGGCCCTCCAGTTTGACGATGCACCTGCATGCGACTGTGACCGAGGTTGCTGGGACAAGTGCCGCTGCTGCTGAGGCGACGGTGGGGTGTTTTCATTTGCTACTCCGGCTGGTTGCATCAAACTGCCCATCATCAACTGAATGGCGAGCATTTGCGCGTCGTCCGAGAATCCCATGCTCCTGAGCATGGACATATTGAAACCGGCGGGTGGGAAAGCACCACTGTTGAACATGTCTGGCGTGCCAGGATTCGGGGTAGTGTCCGATCTCTTCTTGAACATGATATCATTCGGGGTGCTAACCATGCTAGCCCAGCTCTTCTCATCAGATAGTTTGACGACGACTTGCTGACTAATGCCTTGCTCATCCGTATACGTCTCTGCACTCCGATTGATTGGATCCTGGTTCGTTGCCGAAGTACTAAACGAAGTGGTGCCCGATGTGGCTGGGGAGGCCAAGTTCAAGCTCGGGGGACGCAGATTTCGGGAAGGTTGCCGCCAGCTTGCGTTCCCAGCAGTTTCAGCTTCTGAGTTCCGCATCATGTCGTCAGTTTCACGATTTCAGATGGCATCAATCAGAATGGCATACGGAGTGTAGAATTACTGGCGTCAACCATTTGTTGAAGGACGGCCAGTAGGAAATGCAATTGACCAGGATTGGCATTTTGAAGTAGCGTATATACAGTGGCAGTCTGCTCGCTCTCTGACAATAGCATGAACCCTGCGCAATCTGAGTTAGGATAGTGGAACATGACAGCTGGAGAAAATGTACAGTGCTCAATAGTGCTCAACTCTTCCTTGAATTTTGGCTCTTCAGAGGCCACTGCCATGTTCCCCTGCAAAGTAGTTTTAGGCATGGTTGTGCCAATCACAAATTCCACCTACCAGGGTTGTTTCAAACTTCATAAACCAACTGTCTAAGCCTTCACCTACGACTGGAATGAATGAGAGGCGGGACAGACAGGCAAAACTGATTACCTATTCGTCTATCAGGGCGGCGAGGAGACGGTGGCATACGAGGAGAAGGCTGACCGAAATGTGAAGAAGGCCGCGATGACTGGGGCGACTCCGATTGATAGGTCGGTACATGGCTGAGGGTGGGGGACTCGAGACTCGACATGGCGAATTGACTGGAAGGCGCAAAGGAAGAAATACGGGGAAAACAAAAGCGATGCAACAGCCAGATCCACCATTATAAATATCAAAAGCAAAAGCAACAACCTAGGAGGTGGCATCTCAGCTACGCCATTGATCATCGGCGTTGACTTTGCTTGATACTTGGCAACGTGGTGCCACCAAAGGGCGATACAGATTCCGCAATACCACTTTGTCGTATAAAGTTGAGTGTGTATCAGCGAGAAAGACTCGATATCCATGTCAAAACGACGTACATGGGGAGACCGGCCTGACATATCCTTTGCTAATAGTGTATGATTTACGGAGATCGGGCCGACTGCTCTTGATTTACTCCGTCCCTCATGCTACTATCGGGCTTACGGTGTACTCCAGCTCCCCAACTTGGATGCATCTCCATGCTTGGAAAGTCCTTCTGCGCCTGTGGTCGCAGATATCTTCAAGGTCGTGTTACGTTGTCGGGTCTACTTTCCTGGAGGACTTACCGAGTCTTCCCTCAGATAGTTCCGTCGGACATCTCAATGAATCACCACCTTTAGCTTTTGCGTTTGATATAGTAGGATCTGAGCTCAGTATTGTGTCAGCCTTTTAACGGGTTTGTTTCAAGGATGGCGTTCTAATACGTGGGCCGCATGCGCTACCCCCAGCACACCGAGCTTTGCAAATGCTTCAAGGCAACAACCCGTTCAAAAAGTGAGTGTGCAGAGATTTCGTTCAGTCCATCAACGAATGAGTATCTCGTTCAGGAAAATACCATTCATTCTCGTAAGCCCTTGAGATGATGGCCTGCTCAGTTGGATTGCCTCACACAAACCACAGCTGACTAATGGGGGTGGTGTCTCTGAGAGTGCTCGCGCCAAGGGCCTATCTGACAAGCTAGGTATCCAAGTTTGTACCACGCTCATACCACATTGGTGCATATTCGATCCGTTTAATTCCCTTTAGATCACACCCAACCAGTGTGTGCAGGCACATACGATCCTACAACAGCAGGTTTCCCGGTATGCTAATGAGCACGTTCTTGTCTTAGGCGGAAGACGCGACGAAATACGCCAGGTTGCTAAACTGTTCGTGAACCATCATGTTGTCGCTTCACTGATTTGAACATCGAATTTCAGTTATGGTTTTAATAAGGCTCATACAATGCTAGATGTCCTAGCTTGGAACCCTGCGTACGCTCATCGTGGAACATCCCTTTATGTAAACAACTGCTCCTAACTCTTCGCCAGGGTATGGCCTTTCTATGAACTTACTCCGGCCGAGAGGGAGAGTACAAGAGTGAGGACTTATCGTTGTTCTGACGTCTTCGACTGTTCCAACATATTCATCGTGTGTGTGTTTAGCCTGTGGACTTTTCCAAAACATCCGTATCGGCCATATTTGTCTTTCATGACCCCCGTAATTGGGCTCTCGACAGTAAGCATTCAACTTGGAGACGTAAAGACCAACTTGTGAATTTCTATTGACCAATTTTGAAAAGTCCAGATTATTTGTGATGTTATACAGTCAAATGGGATCATCGGTGGCCCCTATGGCGGCCCGACAAAACTTGTGGAATTGGTCTTCTGCAATCCTGATTTGATATGGAGGTGCGACTTTCCTAGGCCGCGGTTAGGACAAGGTGCCTTCAAGGAGGCTTTCCAGGCCGTTTACAAGGCGAGTAACTTGGAAATTGTCTCAACGGAACGGCGCATGTCTAATGCCGGTTGCCCTCCACAAGGCATTGACTGGCAAGATGTATCCTCATGTCCAGTATGGTAAACCAACCGAGACGACTTACCAGTTTGCCAAAAGCGTATTGGAGAATCAGATACAGTTGTTATATGGTCATTCCGCAAAACCTACAACGTACGTGTATCCGCCTGTCACGATGCCCTTTGCTCATGACATGGTTACAGATACATGGTTGGAGGTAAGGCGCATATTCTCCATCCGTTGATTGGTTTCGTATGAATCATCTGCGAACAGATAATCCTGAGTCTGGTTAGTACACATCGCTGTACGTTTACAGACGCGGCTGAAGCTTGTTGTTCAGACATCGCGGGTGCCAATGGTGCGGGATGGCCCTCTGTGTTGGTCCGCACTGGCGTATATGATCCGGTCCATGGTCCTCCAGCTCACAAGCCTTCGCATGAAGCTCAGGACGTCGAGGAAGCGGTACTGTGGGCAATATCCAAGGAGTTAGAGAGATAGATCATACTTTTGTAGACCTAGACTCCATTCAAGCTCTACTCGGCGTATATCTGCCGTGGCTGACGTTCCTTTCATGTATTCTGATGCTGTTATATAAAAAGTCGGTCCGTATTCTTCGAATTTTGTATATTGTGCTGGAAGTAGAAACTCCTTTTTGGGTCACGCCCCTTACGGTGCAACCTCAGACCAGTGCTTACTCCTTCATTTCGTTCCTATTTCGAGTATTTTTTTTTACCACCATAACGCCCTGTAGGACACTACCTTGGACGACCACGTTTTCTCTGTTCGTTCGCTTCAGCAAATGCCAGTCGAAAGGGCTCAGGATGAGCCACCTCTCTTAGCAAGCCAACCGGCGGCGGAATTCAGGAAAAAAGATGGATCCCTCTCCAAAATGCGGTCTCACAAAGGCAATGTGCCTATCCTACCACAGACGAAGCTTTGTCCCCATTGCCCAGCCAAGTTCACCCGGACTACTCATCTAAATCGACACCTCCGCACTCGTGAGTAAGCCTCAGTCATCCATGCCCTGAACACGTTCGCTGACACGCTTCTCCAGACACCGGGGAGCGGCTGCATCACTGCAACGTACGTTTCAGTAGCATCCTTTACTTTGCTCGTTTGTCCGACAGTGATAGAAAGTCGTGCAGCTCTCAATTCACTCGCAGCGATCTACTGGCGCGGCATAAGAAGCGATGTAACACCGAGTGCGCTCTTGGTCTGTCTTCATCCAATGCACTGAACTCGTTTGTTCTTGTAGACAGGATTCTTTACGCAGAAAGTCTTGTGTGGCCTGCACAGAGTCGAAAATAAAATGTGACCGCCAGCAACCATGCACCAAGTGCGTCTCTCGAGGGAAGGAGTGTGTTTTTCTATCTATACCGCCAGCCAAAACGACGGAGGCATCTGCTTCCTCTCCGCCACCAACACCTCCCGCCCTTACAACAACTGTAGACGTATCGTCGTTGGATCGGTCGGTCGGGCCCATAGAAGGCTCTTCCTCCGGCAATACTGCATCAGATGCTCTTCAGCGATTTGCGTCAACCCAGGGCCATGATTTGCATACTCCAGGGCCTGGACTTTTGGCTACCCCGCATGCTGACGAGATGGGCCGTGGCGGGTTCGCGTCTCTGTACAGTAACGACTTTTTCGAGCCGCTCTTTACGGATATCTTCATGCCGCGCCCCACGTCTCCCAATTCTTTCCCACTCACTGAGGACAGTCCCAGAAGCTCCGATACGGGAAACACGCCGGATCAGTCTCTATTTACGACCGGTTACATAGGCCCGACCCCCTTCTTCAAGAGCATTGGCTTATTCCCTTCTGAGACGTCTATCGGCACTTCTGTACAGCCAGCCATAAGTAATGTACGATCTTTTCCTGCTGGCTCTTCGAGCAGCAATATCGATACACTATCACCCGAAATACAACACTATCGTGCGTATCCGACACAAAACATCACAACCGACTCTAACTGTAGTTGCTTACCCAGTTTATTTTTTTAATTCCGCTTTCTTGATGCAAATGCCAATTGTACATGCACCGACGTTCACCATTGACAATAAGCCTGCTTTGCTCGTTAATGCTATGCAAGCTTGTGGTGCACTTTATGTCAAAACGAGGAAAGCTGTAACATTTATCGAACAAGTCTTGGCTACAGCAAGAGATTCGCTGGTGCAAGCTTTTGTGAGTTACAGTAGCTATCACATTCTAGCTATAAACGAACAACACACAGGCGGCTGGTCCAAAGGATTCTTCCGAGACGCTAGAGTTAATTCTCGCTGTATTACTTCTCCAAACAATTGGGCTGTTCCATCAAAAATCTGATCAACGTTCCTCATCCACAATATTTCACGGTATGCTCGTCCAGGTAACAAAGGTCGACTTGGAGTATACTGCCATCGTCTGACCTTGAAACATCTATAGATGATACGTCGTGCCGGCCTCATCCCTCGAAACGCAGCATGGGAACCTGGGAGCATAGATCCTTCAAACGTCGATGCTCTTTGGCGCGATTGGGCTATGTATGAAATGACGAAACGGTGTGCAGGATCTTCGCAAGTGCTTTTCATTAACTAATATCAATAACAGGCTTTTATCGCAGTCGTATCTCCTTGATTGTTGCCATGCGATTTATTTTGCCACTGCGCCATCTTATCGCATCGGAGAATACCTGATTAACCTTCCAGGAGAAGATGCGCTTTGGACGGCCAAGTCTGCTGAAGAGTGGTTTGCGATTCTTCAAACGGCCTCACCGTATGGTTCTGTTCAAATGCGATTAGCTGGACCCAATATGCGGCAGTGTTTGGATTCAATGTTACAAGGAGAGCCACAACTGCTTTCGCAGCCTATGGTTATCACCCCTTTCGGCCATTTTGTTCTTGCCCATGCCATCCTCCGTAACCTTTTCGATGTATGTATTGAAAGCCGGATGCCCACGCAAGGCAATACGAGTGATCAAGCCTCAGTCACCAGAGAGATATACACAATCCAGTATGCGTTGCACAATTGGCTTCGAAGCTGGCTCGCTTCACCGGATGTTCCTAAACCCGGGAGTGATCCTAATAGTGACCCTGCGTTCGTTGATAACGGTATTTCTGATCGCTTTTACTTTTTGCACTTGACTGATGGATTTTGCTAGCTCTACCGTTCTACTGGTTCGGCCAAATATCTTTATTCGCCTACCAGGAAGGCTTGCCACCTTTTGAGCCATCCTGTCCCGAACACCTGAAAGTAGAACCTAGGTTCAGGTTGGCGAAGCAGTGGTTTAAACACATTAGGAAGTTTCTTAGCCAAAACAACCAGGACGCAACGATGTTTTGGGATGAGCTTATCAAAGTGCGGCTGCAGGCGTGGCAGTTTGAACGAGAAACGTATCCTGAGGATTCAGAAGGACTGTTGGCGTTTTTCAACAACCAGTGATAGTGGGGCATATTGTTAATTTTGTTGAGGTCTATTTAAGGCGGACTGAAGTGGGTTAGCAATGAAATATTATTTGCACATCCACATCACATCCCGAGGAGCCACTCTTCCATATTTGGCAGTTATTTCTCTCCACCCACCACGTTAGGGTACGGTCACTCGCTCGGTCACTCGGTACGGTCGAGCCTTCCTTTCTTACACCTACTTTTGTTGTTTTGCTGATACTGAAGCATTCAGTACTTCACGATTTCTTGTATGTTGCCCACCCCAGTTTCTTTTTCTCGGCGCCCTTTTCGTAGAAACGGGGGATCTCTGAACAAACCCCGTCGACGGATATTCGACAGCCTTCTCACTCGCGCTCGCGTCACGAATCTAGCTGTGCTTCTGCTGGCAACGTTCTCCGCCATTTCGTTCCTTGTAAACATCTCCTTGTACTTCTCAGCCTCATCCTCGCCAGATTCCTTCTTTCCTCACAGTATCATCTCCACTATCGTACGGCACAGGGCACTTGCGAATCTGAACCATTTGGTCATCGTGCCAGGACATGCTATATGGAAGGGCGCGGATTCCACCTCGCGACTAGACATGGATGATTGGGTTTTGGAACCGTATCAGCGAGAAGGAAATCGAATCGAAACCTTTTACCGGCATATCGCACGCGGGTGAGCCGTCATTCCTCTTTTGAGTTCCGGTCACGCAAGCCAACGATTAACCTACTGCACTCAGGGCGGAGATTACTTTGAAAGACGATCATGCGCTTGTTGTTTTTAGTGGGTGAGAGCATTCCAACAAGATTCACAGATCCCTAATTCACTTTATACTCCAGTGGGCAAACGCGAACTAGCTCAACAACTACCGAAGCAGAATCTTACTTACGGCTGGCTTTGAACTCCAACGTGTTTGGAGGATCATCGCATCCTTACCCTCGGGCTACGACGGAGAATTATGCTCTCGACTCATTTCAGAATCTTCTTTTCTCGATTGCACGTTTTCACGAATACTCTGGCCATTATCCCGACCAAATCACAGTCGTCGGATATGAAATGAAGCGTGCTTGTTTCACGGATCTCCATCGTATTGCAGTCCGTTGGCCAAAGGAGAAATTTCACTACATCGGTATAGACCCAAAGGCTGAGGACGCCAGCGCACTTGCTAGACAAGGAGAAGTGAGCACCTTGGTTCCATCATACTTCCGCAACACTTTGACGCTCTGGGCAGCAACAGAACGGGTATCTTCCCTACTCAAAAGACCTTTATGGATGCCACTCGGAATTGCTGGAGAAAAGGAAATCGCGGAATCCCTTCTCTCGCTTCCACTCATACTTAACCTCTTCTCCGGAACTGAGGGAGTTATTTGAGTACTGCCCTTCCCAGAGCACAACTGTCTTCCATGGAAAGCTTCCATGGGATTGATCTTGTCCGCATGCATATTAGAGCATTGACATGAAGTGGGAAGAACATTAACATGCTGTAGTAATGGACGAAGGGTACATATAGGGTTTGAGAATCATCGACTCTGCTGAATATTCGCTCTCCGAGCTGGGTTCCAAGGGTTCTACCGCCGGAGCGTCGCTTGAGTTTAGACTCACTTCGTCGTAATTATTGAGGACATCGTCTTCATCGTAGTAACTGTACATGCTTTCAATGCCATTCCGTTGCGGAAAGCGTAAAGCAGAGGGATAGGACCGTGGTAGCGAAGACGACACGTCCTGTTTCACGGGCACTGGCTCTGGAATTGGCATCTGGTGAGCTTCACATGGCGATGTCGGTGCCTCCCTTTGACGGATCTGCAGCGGCAAAACAGATGGCAGAACGTGAGAAGGACCCGGGGACACAGGGGGTGTCCTATGGTATGCGCTTTCTGACTCAGCGTAATAAGGATCTGGATCGGAAACGCCTCTTGCGTTCGGCTGGAGAACTCGGGGCAGTGAGATCTTGAATTTCTTCACTCTCATAGACCGAACGGGTAAAATGCGCGGGGTCGATGCAAAAAGGACAACGTTAACGGCACCCGACAATAGAAACAGAGTAGCACTATAAACCGCGGATTAATGCCCAGCCTTCACAAGTTACGCTGTTGCACCGTACCTAAAGATCATCGCTTCCAGCGAGACGGCTTGCCCGGCGAGGTTCATGAACCTTGTTACCGTTATGGGGAGAATCATGATTATGTATGTTATCTGTAAACATACTGAGTGTTCGGTTCGTTATGTGATGCGCGGTTACTGACCGGATATCTAAGAATTCAACTCAGTATACGAAGTGTTCAACATAACGTACGAACACTCACAAAACCATTCGTTTGGCTATCTTAGTAGCTTCATTATCGGAATCTGTCGTTCTCCAGTCCCCCGCCCTCTTGACAGGATGAAGGCGAAATCGTTTTGGTGTCCGTCCGTCCATTTCAATGTGTCCGCGTAGCCGAAGAAAGATGATCGTGTATAATAAGAGACTCCCCAAGGCAGCTATGAACATCTAGGAAACCTGTGAAGCTAAGCGCTCGGAACACGTGGCAGAACCTACGAATATATAATCCAGTCTAAAATCCCCATGTGAGTATCATTGCGAATGAAAGGTAACCTCTCGACGTACGTGATTCGTTCGGAAGGATACGCATCTGTAATCCAACACCAATAGCCTGCTATTCCGTCTGAAAATAAGATATAAGAGGCATCATCTTTCTGCAAGGAAATGGACAAACAATACGGTCCTCTCTCGTGAACGTTCAAGGTGGCGGGACCAGCGAGCACTATCGTAAAAATACCGGACCAGCCTGCAACAAGGGTCATCCACAAGATGAATTGCCTCAAGTGCAGATCAAAAACAAGAAGAAAAAACGTTTGGACGGCGATAGTCTAGACACACATGTGAGCAATGGACACTCACGTGAAGATGGCTCATTTACTAGCGTCCAGAATGCTATGGAGACATCGGCTATTTGCTTCAGCGCTCCTGAAACATTGCTGTATGATCAATGTCAGAAATATGTAATGGCAAGTACCTTGAATAGTACAAAGGGGTCCAGCTTGAACACCAGACGACTGTACCCAGGCAGCATTCAGTATGGAAGCAATAGCTGGCACATCACTATCAGAAAAGACTATAGAAAGGGGTGGCGAATCACAAACCCTGAATCAGATCAGATACTAGCAAGCAGACGAAATACGCCACTATATGTGTCCTAACAAACAAATGTTCGTCCAGAGATGACCTGATATTAAATGCCGAAATCTAGGAGGACATCAGCACCATATAATGTATAACGGAGTAAACCGCACCGCGATAACAGCCAACAGCCCGACTACCGCAACGAGCGAAATGCAGGAGACAACGATAAGGGTCTTGAGGAATTGTTAGGTCATGTTAATTATGAAAAGGACAGAATCTTACAGATATTCCGTGAATCTCCTTCGACGTGTACGGCATTTCCAGTACAACATTAGGGCCATCAAGAACTGTGCGTTGTGTCATTACAGGAATAATGTGCCTTCAAGGGGCAAAAAAATCGAGAAAGAAAGGGAGACCAGCTCCAGCAATAAAGAGACTTCACGGTCGACGTTAAAGCAGAAATTGAGTCCGTTCTGACCATGATGACCACGTCGCCGTCGCCTCCTGCACGGCAATGAATCGTGATCAACATCATTGACAACAGGGATCCTGTCCCGGGCTAAGTGACCAGTTCTCCAGTTCTGAATTGTGATGACTTGGCGACAAAGCCATGGTATCCCCATATGAGGGGCAATGCATTCTCTACGCGCCACATACTAGCCTTTATGTGTTGGAAAGACTTACTAGCCTAAGTAGTACCTCAGTTTGTGAACTAAAAGAATTAAGTGTGACTAAAAATGAGAAAAACGTGGTGCATGGGTTCAAGGCGGAGAAGATGAGCACCGGGACCGAATTTATGTTGCGTATCAAAAACATTATGAGCGGCGTGGCAGTTTGGTTTCATGATCAAAGTTCGGAGTAGCAAAACTTTTTTAGTCGCCGGAATTACCGGCCCCGTCGGTTCATCGGTCCGACTTTGACAGGCTTCATTCACAGAAAGCTCCATATGGACGTAATATGAAAGTGTCCTAAATAATCATAAAAAGTCGGTCCAATGACCCAATCCTCAACCATGACGATTATAAAGTATCATCTTTCTCTTAACGCTCTTCAATTCCTGCTACGTTGCAGAGGTGCCTCACCTGTACGGGAATAAATTTCCAATGTGAATCCAGTCGCGGTCCCTTGTTCCATTGCGACGGTCCTTTCGATCCGAACATGAACCTCAGGCGTTTCTGGGTACTCATCCAGAGTGAGCATATCAAAGTCCGGTACAGTTAGCTCGAAACTGAGTCCGGTCTTGGAGCGGAACTGAGATCGTAATGCACGGCTAACGTCGCGTGCATTTTCGATGTCCCGTGTTATGGTCATCTCCGTGTTGATAGTCTCCATGCGTCGCTGACGCGACACGTCTGGGATGAGTCAGGCAACTTGTGCATGCTATTCTAATTGAACTCACTGTGTAGGTGAATCAGTAGGCGCTGGGACATAATCCACGTCACAGAATAGCCCACAGAAGTCCTAGACGATGATTAGTGAAGGCTTGCGATGTCCAACACCAAGGTAATATGTACGCCGCCAACTAGGGACTATGGAATCAGCTCCACGTGCCACTCTGAATACCACGTAATTATACACGTACCTGGATATCTTGTTTCGTATGATAGAGTACCAAATTCACGACGTTAATCCCTGGAAGCATTTGGTGAGTTGCCTATCTGAGGGGATAATAGTGTACCGGTCAGAACTGAGAAGTAACCCAATCCGTCGTATAACATCCTAAAATTCCGCACAAGTTAGCAAAGTCGTAGCCCAAGAGAGAGAGATGATTACATTTTCTGCAACTTTGCCATGCTTTTAAGAGTCGTCAAAAAGGGTGGAATGAATGCACGGCAATAAAATGCTGACAAGGAGCTTGTTGAATTGAGTTTGAACTTGAGCAGGTATATGACGGATATTGCCGTAGTAGCAACATCATAAGTGATAGCTACCGCGTAGTGATTCCAGGCCCCAAAAGGCCACACTGAAACTAGTGCTTGACAACTTGATTTCGCAGTTAGGAAAGGGAATCACCATCATTTGGCTAGGCACCCACTTCCCCTGAAAGGACATTCAGACGAAAGGGCCAGGGAGAGTAAAATTTAGGCGTACGTATAGCGGGTCGCGGTAAGCTGAATAAGAACCGTTACATACATGTATAAGACAGAAAATGAATACTGACGTGTTCGTTTAGCGACAGTCGATATCCATTGAAGCTGAGGGGAAGGTCAACCTGAACTGACCCGCACTGTAGAAGAAGGAACGCACGCCGCAAGCACTTGAATAAAAAAGAAGAAGAACAGACAGGATCTTTCTCGATCGTCGCGAAAGATTGTAAGCACTCGGGAGCAATTGAGTTATCGCCTCTGGGAGCCTGGGGATCAACTTACCGGATTCCCAGAATTGCTTGAGAGACCATGGCCTGCAGGACTGCAACGTGAATTAGTAATAGTATTCGGTACCGCACACTTAGAAGCCCACCTTTGAAAATCGAAGGCAGGGCGTAAAAACGGGCGCACGACGCGTCTGTGAATCGGGTATAGAAAAACCCAACAGACGAAACGATGATCACGGTGATACTAGTAAATCTAAATGCAAGAATCAATACACGGGCTGATACATTAGCACAAAACCTGCTGGATGAGGAAAAACAGCAGCGAGGACACCCTGCCTGCAGATCAGACGGTGAACACGTCCAACTTGGCTCGGAATGCACTAACAAGAGTCGGGGGGCTTCCCATTGTTCTTTGTAGAAGCGGTACGCGGAGGGAAGAGTCTGTATGAAGCTATCAAGGGCAGCAGTGAGAGGCGGCTCGCTCTGGGAAGGGATCATCGCACTTACTCGTAAAACGCAATTGCAAGTGAAGCTACTCGCAGATAGGCTGCAGTCTCGAGGCCGGCGCCGATGCGAAGAGGGACAGACATGGTGTCCAGAAAGAACGGCGGTGGATAGTATCCACCTAGGCTCAAGTACTAGCCCAACATTTGAATCGGCGGCAAATTGTTTGACAGATGATGTGGACTTGGGAGATGACAGCCATGACCCAAAAGGAAACCGTGCGCTTCGGACCAAAGGCCGTAATATTAGCCTTCCCTGATGGCTCGGATGGAAAATAGCGTGTCTTCTTCGATCTTCACCGTCTGTCCCTATACATAGGTAGCATTCTCTCTGTTCATCATGGCCTTTACCAAGGATATTCAAATAAAATCTATGGCTGTGAGGGAGTCCCGCTATAACGTCTGTAGAATTGGCGATAGCTCTCTTGTTTCATAGGCCGTTGACTGATCTTTTCGAGTTATATGAATTGGGCGCATAACAGCATCCAGTATATTTGCTCCACCCCTGAATATCTTGTAATACGTTGTCCAGGGCAGGGCGTTACATCCGAAATATGGTTCCGAAATGCTTAAGTATAGCAACGCCAAGTCGTCATTCAACAAACGAATCGAATGCACAAACTAGGCAAAGGCCAGGCTGTGTAAAGCAGGTAGTGCGCCTATGGCGCTTTCCTCTCCAATATAAAAATAATCTCATGATTACTGCGAGAGAAGCCTACTATAATGGATTAAGAACATGTTCCCCCGCGACATACGTGACGGGATGCCGAATAGCCACGATTAATGCCTGGGTACTGTGCACTTTGCGTTATGCAAGTGTCATGCTGATTGCCTGTCAGAAAATTGCTGGAGAAATGGTGAACTTCCTTCCGATCTTGGATTTGTAGCTTGAACTGTTGTTACTCACGAGCTGATGCAGTCGTAATACTGCATTCCACGTATCCTTCTTCTTTTGGTCTTCCACAGACATCGATACTGGTAGGTTGCTGAGACCCAGATCAACTGCCATGTTCATGGCCATCTGATAGTAGGATCGGAACGCTGAAATACATATGAGAGGAAAAAATTAGAAGCGACACACAGATCACGCACCCGACGTCCTGCTGTTATTCATTTCATACCACGACAAGAGAATGAGTGCGTGGAGGGTGTCAAGAGAAGGATGGCCCATAAGGTGCAAAAGTTGCTAGGAATTCATTAGTTGGAGATGGTGTATTGCAGCGGCAGACAGACGTACTTTGGCGTGTTCAGAGTATGCATTGGCGACATTATGAAGCCCTCGGACGGTAAGCTCGGGAACGGTGGTGTATCTGTGAACAGTAAGTGATCCGCGGTTTTAGAAGATTTCAAATGTGACATACTGAGATGCCAAGGCCGCAATAGAGTTGGACAGTAGGGCGGAGAGCCGTCGTGCACCAAAATTTGCGGCAACCTCACCATATGTAAAGAACTTAAACTCAGTGCCCATGCGCTCAAACAGCACGCCAATAAAGTTATGCATCAGGGTAGGGTGTGGATGCTGTTGATCGGAGTCGAAGAGGACAACTGCGCCGGAATTTTGCTGGGGCGACTGTGAACGCGAGCTGTTATAGATGGGCGACCCGTCTGATGACATGTAATTGTAACCCAGGGAGTTACTTCGGGAATGGGAGTAAGATGATATTGATGATGAGGGGGAGCTAAGCGCGCCGTGAGCGGGCTGCAACATGTCACGGACAGCATTCGGCTTACTGATGAGACGGACGCGGATCAGAGGAGAATGACGTGTAGCGTCCCCTTGACTCGCCGTCGGGTCGGACCACACCGCTCGCTCTTAGCGAGGAAGAGTGTGAAGGGGAGAGAGAAAAGGCGTCCAGGGACGAATCGGACGACCTGGACAACGTGAGATAACGTGTTTGAAGATGATGTGGCGACATACCGTTCATCATAGCCTTGGCCCCCAGATGGTCCAGCAATAGCACGACTTCGTTCTGCAAAGTAGCGTTCGCGGTCGCGAAACCGACACGGGATTTTGGCGGTCTTGCACGCCTCACACTTGGTCTCTGGAGATGGCTGTAGACACTTTATCTTCTTAAGGCGACTGGAGAGGGAGTTAGCTGCTTTCGGGGGAGGGGGGGGAGGGGGGGGAGGAGGGAATAGAAAAGGGAGAGCAGGACGGACCAATTGTCGCAAGAGGTAACAAGACGCGGGCGTTTCTTGTGACCCTGGGCGTTTTGAGGAGATTCGATAATGAATTGCAAAGAGTCGTCCATTGGGATAGTCTGGGATAGCGTCGGGCCAACAAGTGGTAATGCTTAGATGGCTTTTATGGAGTACCTGGACCTCGAGGCCGAAGTTGCGAGAGTCACGGGTGTAACAGAATTCATTTATATTCTATGATAGCTGGAAAATAAGGGCAAAATAAGGGATCAAAGGGTACCAGAAATATCCAGAGTTTCAGCGGGCATCGGCGACACGAAGGGTATCCAGATTACCAGTCATTCGTTTGGCAGCCGCCGTACGGTAGGGCAGCTTGGCCCAATCCGACTCGGATCTTCGAGCCGGCCTAAAGAGACAGGAGCTGGGATCAGGAATCGGCAGAAATCTGTGAACGTTAGCGGGTAAGATCCTGTGTACTCGGTACTATTCCAACCGAGCCAGCGCGTTCGATAGCCACTGGCCTGAGTCGGTTCGGGCCCAAGTCAAACTGGCTGGTCTCCTTGAGACCCGTCCATTTCTGCGCGCCAGTCGCTTAGCGTGGAGGTCCATCCAAGTGGCTGATCTTCTGCAGCGTGTGTAGCGTGGGTTTTTACGTCACCCATCACACCATCAACCCATGTTCATCTTTGAAAACATGCAACATCAATCCAAAATGGTCCCAATCTTGTAATATCCCATTCTCAAAAATATTGTCAATTCCCATTTCCAACCATGTCATCACTTCACTTGCTGCTCGCTTACCATCTTCAAGCGGGCCCACATCCATGTGTGCGCCCAAACAGGTGGCGCGCGTAGCAGTGATCACATCTTGCCCATAAAATAGTAGGTCCAGATTTTTTTGCCCTTCCGAGCCGGCTCACTTGATCTTTACCCTGGATCGCTGACTCAACTTTTCTCGTGCCCTTTCCTCACCGTTATCTTCAAATCCAAATCCACCTCCATACTCCGCGACCATGTACGTCTTCCATATCCAGATTCCCACCACGTGCAGCCGTATTTCTCTGCAGAATCGCCACTCGCCACCCTACTTCTGTCTAGACACACCCTCAGGAACCACAATCACGGATTCAATAATGTTCGTCCCATCTTGATTGCCATCCACGCATGATGGATCGGAAGGTATGTGGTCCACTAAACACAGCCCCGCATGCAAATGGGGTCAAGGCGGTACACAGAGGCCGTCTCGGTATACGATATGTAACGCAATCCCCCTTCGTCCTTTCGGACCTGAATAAATTACATCTGCGTCATCTATGTCGTGAATCCGTAATCTGCTATCCAAATTCCGATGCTCACTCTGTCTCCCGCCTCTATATGAATGAAGCTTATGAAGCCCATCCTTTTTGCACTTCCGAGGACTCGAGTGACTGAAATTGCAGATCATCGTGTCCAACTCCGTTTGGCAGCCCGGCGTCCGGACGAGTTCTAGTGGTTGCAGCCGACGGAAGCGTCGCGTCGCCAGTCTCAGTTTCCTCTTCGGCGGTGAATACCAATTGGCGGGAGCTCGCCGAAGTTTCGTCCTATGTTTCGGCCTGCGTGAATAACTAACGGGAATTCCAAACGTAAAATATAAGCGCACGCTATGAAACCCTCCACTGCCACGCGTTATCGTTAATCGCAGCGAGTCATCAAGCCGAATGTGATGCCCATCGAGCAACTCTTCGTCTGTTAGCACAGGATTTCCATGCGCATCCAAGGGCACCGTTGCGTTGACTGACTTTAGATACTTGTGATACGTGAATAAGACGATACCTGAGCAATAAACGCTAGACGATCAAGGCGCTGACAGTTCGGAAAAAAACTCGTACCACAAACTGTGATCGCTACACCGGTAATATTCAACGGTGTGAGCTCATCGCCAAAGAACCATGCCGAGATAGTAATCGTTGTTACCTCCTTCGCTATGCCAGCGATCGACATTGGCACCATCCCCGTTCGTTGAATGATGCTATAAGCAACCATTAATCAACAACCCGAATTAACAGCTGTTGATGGTCACTCACTAAAATTCACTCATGACCATACAAAATGCGACGACACCGGGGGCTATCAGGTAAAATATCGTTTCCAGGGCCTTTGGCAAGGTGGAAAAAAAACCGCTGCGTATAACGGTACCCCATCCTTCTACAATAGCGCTTATTATAGCCAGGGAGATTCCCATAGCTGGCGACATCCAGAAAACAGTGGCAGCAGGGTTATCCAAACCAAGTTTCTTGTTCCGCAACAGTAACTGAGTGAGGCCCCAGCGCAGGCCCCCCAGGGCACTGGCACTAATAACAAAAAGAAATCCTTTGAGCACGAAATGTGTTTCGGTCGCGACCATGAGAAGAACACCCGCGCAAATTAGAAAGATAACTCCGACCAGCCGCCAAGAAAATGTTTCCAATTTGAAGAGGAAGGCAAAGAGAAGAACAAATATAAGCGAGGAAGATTTGCACATGGCTAGAAAGTGGAGAGATCAGGGGCGGTCACAAACATAATTAACGGGACGTACTGTAGAAAGATAATGAGATCATTTTGAGGGAGAAGTTGGACAGTCCTACGTCTAGACTGGTGGCTACAGCCGTCGGAACCACTTTCTTCCTAAAGTACAAGAGACCGTTTAACAAATCTGAACGAAAGGAGATAAACAGGCGGTGAAAAGGAATAGCGATATTAAAGAACTGCGCGGTCTATCGTTCGTATGCAAACAAGGGACAGACTGGGAAGCATAAGCAGAGCCTACTCACCCGTAATCTTCAAGCTGCGGACTCCTTTCGGGACGGAAATGATGAGGCCAAACGACTCGAAAAAGCGCAGATAGTGCAAATTGCACAAACATATGAAGTGTTGTAACAAAGAGGGGAAACCTGAAGTTCATGTGTTTGTCTGAAAACATCCATTTATTGTAGACAGAGAGCACTGTGGCAAAGAAGAACCTGCAAGGTCCAGCATAGGTCCATTAGCAGAGTTGAATACAGCCGCATATGCGACTTTGCATCCATTCAAAGACACGCACCAGGATGCAATAAACAACACGTTCAATACCGCGTTCTTCCACCATCTGCGTTTCTTTTCCTCTCTCGACGCCAAATGTACAGGCTCCTCGAGAATAGTGTCTTCTGCTTCTTCATCTTCTTGCCTCAAGAAAGGTTGTGAGGGGTTGAAAGTATGGTGTTCGAAAGGGTATTCATCGTCTCCTGGTGTTACAGGCATGAAATGAACAAAGGGGCATGCGTGTCAAACAAAGTCCATTACCCCGGTCCGGTCCAAAGATGGCAATCGCCGCCAAATGATTAAGATTCGTATGTTTCCGTACATACGAGGAATGATTGGACAGGCATCTATGTTCTCAACAGTATTCTCATCATCATGTTTCGTAATTATTAATTAAGCGCTGAAGAACCTTCCTAGGCACTCCTCGTCGCACCATTTTGAGCTTGTCCCTCTGCCCCATCCACCGGGAACGTATCATTAGTTTTGTTCGTGTGCGACGGATCGCGCCTATAAACTCTTGTTTCAACGATGTCTGCGAACCACGAGTGGATGAAAACAAACCATGTTCTCCAGTGGTCGAACTGTTTCTGATTCAGATGTTCTCTCAAAAATTCATCCTTCTTCATTTCGGCGCGGAACTGAGCATGCTGGAGTAGTTCGAGGTGGTGCAATGCATGAGGATAGCTAGACAGAAAGATAGAGATGAGGGCAAGTGGTGTTAACAGTATGTCTTTACAGACTGAATGAATCTAGCATAGTTTTTATCCCGGAAATACTGGAGGTATTCTAGAAAGTTAATGAAAGCCGGCTGTTCCAGGATATTCTGCTGGGCCAGAGAGTGCAGATAGAAAGGGTTTGCGAGAGATTGTACAAATTCGAGCTCGACCTAAAAAAAATACTCAGTGCTTATCAAGGAAGTATAAGGGTTGTTATCACCTCAAACCTGGCTCTATTAGCAACTTTGGGGTCAGATGAAGACCCTTCAGCTTCGTTGAACATGGAAGAGGAGCACTCTGAAGATTTGTTTGGCTGCAAGAGTGTCGATCAGGTTGGACAAATAAATCATCCACGTGGTGGTACGCGTCACTGAAATTTTACCTTTCTACTGCAGGCTTGCCACTCTGCATCCTCTGGTATACTATTATATACTACGTGTCAGGAATAATCAAAATGTCAGACGAAGACGAATCCAATGGATGGCAATTAATGGAATCTGATCCGGGCGTATTCACGTATGACGCGTCACTTGTTCAATTGCCTGCCTTATAGTGATACTTGTATTCCAGAGAACTGTTGCACACCCTCGGTGTTCCTTTGATTGTTGACGACCTGTACTCGCTTGACCCTGAATCCCTGGCCTCCTTGCAGCCCCTCCACGCCCTCATATTTCTCTTCAAATGGGTCCCGTCGCTCTCAGAAAGCTCTTCGGTGGCAGGCCAATACGATCCTAGTTTCCCTGGTTTTTTTGCGCATCAGGTCGTAAATAACGCATGTGCCACGCTGGCAGTTCTGAACGCCCTCGGGAATGTCCCTACTCTGGCTATGGGTTTCCAACTGAGAGAACTCATGAACTTCACCACCGGCATGGACCCTCAGACACGTGGAATGGTCATGACAAGTGCCGACTGGCTTAGAGAAGCCCACAACTCTCTCTCACCTCCCAGCGCAATTTCTTTGGATGGCCTAGGGCTACCGAAGAGAACGGAGGAAGCATACCATTTCGTTGTATACCTCCCAGTGATGGGGTCCGTGTATGAATTGGATGGTCTGAAACCGCATGCAGTCCGACACGGTCATTACGAAGACCACGGCGAAGGGTGGCTGAAGGCGGCTCGGTACGTCCTTTGGAAAAGCACTCTGCTCCCCTCCTGCTAACCTGACTTCAGGGACGCTATCGAAGCCAGAATAGCGACATATCCGGAGAACTCGGTATGTCTATATAGGCCCTCTTTTGGGCGTACAATTTACCCACAACCCTAGCTCGAGTTCAGTCTTCTGGCGGTTCGAGACGATCCTCTTCCATCATTGCAGTCCCAGCTCCAGCAGCTGCAATCGGCTGACCTAGAATCTGAAGCCGCAGAACTTGTCGTCAAGATTTCTACCGAAACCTCAAAAAGAGATCGCTGGGCAGTCAGTTCATCATCCTTTTCCATCGTGGATGCGGTTTCACCTTTGATTATTTTTAGTTTGAAAGCAGCGTTCGAAGGCACAATCACTTTGGTCTCGTCCATGCGTTGGTTCTCGCCTTGGCTAAAGCAGGGAAACTGGAAGGAGTGAAAGAATCAGCGAAGACTAAAATGAAGGCCCGAGTTGCACAGAGAAAAGGGCAAAATGATGGATGAAGATTGATGATGGAGGAAAACTTCGTTGCTGATGTCATTGACATATGTACGCTTCCATCATGTACGCCAGCTGACACCGTTTTTGATCTATAACGGTCTTCTTTCTTCGCTGTAAGCTGGTTTGAACTGGCTGACTGCTGAACTGGCTGACACCTTTTCGCGATGAGAGTCGTGCTGATCATGGTGATCGAGGATTTTCAGGCGGGTCCGGACTAATGTTCGCAGGTTCGTTCGTTCGCTTTCAAGCTTGCTCCAGATTTCAGTCTGTCCAGTATCCACTCGTTGAACTCTTCATCCTGCGATGATCGCGAAATGGTCTTAGGTCACCCCACAAGCCTTCGTACCACGGCCATACTAGTACTGCGCGAAGCGTCTGGCCGCAACTGCGGCCAGACCAAGTTTTAGCGCCGAGAGATTATGCATAGTAACGTACAGGCTATGCTAGTACAGGAGTTCATAAGTTAACACCAAATAATTTAAATAAATAATCAGGCGATATATATAAAGAGTCCATTGCCATCGGTCCCGTCTACCTAGTACGAGGCATCCACGCGACATGATGATAAGCGATGACGGGAGCCGGAGAAAAGGCGTCATCTCAAGATAGGATAGGGCGCTGATTTAACAGATGGCAGAGTGTCAACTGGTGACGAAAACATTGATGGTGATGGAAACGCAGGCGAAAGAGTGTACAGTGGGGAAACCGCTGATGACGGGACATCTGAATCTGGGAAGACTGATGTTGGGGTGGTGAGTGTGGTAGGTGGAAGCGAGCGCAAGGCAGTGGCGACTGATGGTGTGGAGAAAGCCGAAGAGAAAAAAAGGAAAGGTTGAAGATACACCAGCTGGTGTCGACACTTGTATGGACAGTAGGGGGGTAGGGGGTAGCGAGGGGGAAGGAAGAACTGGAACCGGAGGTGCTATGTCTATTTTCGTGGCCTGGCGACTGCTCGATCTGCTCGATCGTGAAAAGGACAGGCGAGAGCGAGCTCGACCCGGCATAGGAAAAGGCGGAAGACGCGAGAGTCGCGGCACTAGTACTCGTTTCAGTTTCCACTTAGGCGTCGTAGGTTTGCCTGGCGACTTGGGTAGAGACTTGCCGATCGAAATGTCGGTAATCACCTTAATCGCGGGACGGACTGGCTGAAGGCTCTCGGTGGACCAAGAGGAGAACTCTTTTTTGCTGTGATACGCTGCCGGAAGCGGTGGGATATTTTTTGTGATCGCCGGACCTTTTTCTGTGTCATAGCCCGCCTGTCGGAGTCCTTGCCTTTGTCTTCGCATTGTCTTCGCATTTGAACAAGCAGATAAACCACCAGTCCGATCACAACACATGTGGATACACCTCCCACTACGCCCGTCACAATAGCTACCGTAAACTTGAACTGTCTGACTTACTTCCCGAAGCCATGGAAGTGGTAGACGCGGTGGGAAATGACAAATGAGGAATACTGGTAGACATTATTAGAACTTATAACGACAACAGATAAAGGTATTCAATGTAAACGTCAAATACTGAAAGAATTTGATTGACATACAGAACTTCCACCGCGGCAGTGAGCAAAGTGTCCGAATATTTCGTGATGATCACAGAGACGTCTGCACAGTAGAGAAGCACATAAGCATGGAAAACTTGGGGGCTGCAAAAAAAAAACTCCCCAATGTAATCTATAGTATCAGCGCCTGGCCAAGAAAACAAAGAAAGTGAGAACGAGTCAGTAAGTCTTTGTCGCGAATTACCCCTTAAAAAGCTCTCGCCATCCATCGTCATCAATCTGCGGCACTTGCCTTGTCCTGTTGCCTTGACCATTTTATTCCGTTTTGGCCTCGAGGTCTCTGAGACATGGTACCGGCCTTGTAAAGTACTGGTTTACAGACACCGACGACCGGCATCAAAAGGTGTTGATCAAACCTCTCATTCTACCCAAATGATCAAACCACGGCCAAGAGTTCATGATGAAGGCTGTCCATCAAAGAAAGGATTACATGCGATCTCGAGCCTCATGTCTTCTCTGTATCGGGCTCAGAATAATTTCCGTAGCCAGCACACAATGTAATTGACTTTAGAGAACTGTCTCCAGGATTGTTCAAGGAAATGGCCGAGATTTCCTATCACCAAGATCTGATGAGAACATTAGACGGATCGGAGATGTCGAAGGATGCGGAGTTACACTGTCCAGTTTATTTCATCAGTACTAGAATAAGACAAGACTATTTGCCAGGTATATCTTTCCTCTTGTCATAGATATCGTACACGGGAGCCATGCCCGAGTCTTTCAGTCGGTTCGACACCTTCTCCGCGCCTTCGAAAATCCGCAGTAGATTGCCCCCCTGTGAACCCTGCTAGTTCGTACTTATTCCAACCTCTCCGGTACAATTCCGCTACCTATAGCCATCCACCATCAGAAACTTTTCGCCGGTGATGCAGTTAAATGAACCTCACCAATGCAGGATATGTTGACACGTCCTCCAACCCTGCGGGAGTACTCCCGATACCATCGAAATCACTCCCTATGCCAACACTTCGAAGAAGAAGCAATTATGAATATGACATATTTCAGGGCCGACGAAACATACTGTTGCTTTCCCGTAACGCTTGCGATATGTTCGACATGATTAGCCACAGCTTGTAAGGTTGCCTGACCAGGGTCTGCTACGAAATTGGGCGCGAAGTTTACCTAAACCAATTGGAGAAAGGATAAATCAAACAATTAGACAGGCAGAGTTACGAAAGGTGACATGATTGGCAGCGCCACTGCGCCAAAGTGGTGTGGCAGAAAAGAAGGGGACACAACTGACCATGATAACAGCATCACTTTGCCCTTCCCCAGTACCTACTAATTTCAACACTTCATCAGGGATGTTTCTAACATGGTCGTGTACAGCTCTCGATGACGAATGAGACCATATCACGGGTGCTTTAGAATAGTTCAAAGCTTGGGCCGCAGTCGCATCCGAAGTATGTGAGAGATCCACTAGCACGCCGAGGCGGTTCATTTCATCGATGAGTGCATACCCAAGGGTACTGGAAGACAATGACGCAAGTCGTAAGAAGCTCACAGAGTAGAAAATTTGAAAGAGTTATACCTGAGACCACCATGTCGCGGCTTCTTTCCGGGATAAAATCCGCAGGAGTCCGCGAATGCATTATGACAGACATGGGTCAAAGTCATATATCGAACGCCCAGAGAATGATATTGCCGAAGAGCAGCGATTGAGTTTCCTAGCTGATGACCACTTTAACAGCATAAATGACTGACATCAGAAAGGAAATAGAGCATCGTGGACGGGGAGAATACACGATTCACCGGAACAAACAATGACGCATACTAGCGCAACATCATAGGCACTTGAATGGGGATAGGACGTACCCTTCGACACCGATAAGGCTCGCAATTTTGCCTTTGGTAATGGCAGACTTGATTTCTGATGAGCCAAGAGCGAGCTGAAATGTCTACAAACGAACACCTGAGTCTTTGTTCCTTCATATTCTAAAAAAAGAAGTTCACATCAGGATATTTCTCGATCGACATTCTTGCGGAGTCAATTTGCTCTATGGTATCCCTGCAGAATGCTCGTTAGGCAACCCTGAAATGCGGTAATAAAGATAACTTCAGACCTGACTTTCCATGTTGCAGACAAAAATTCGGGGCCCTCTGCTTCTGGATCCGCACAATCAACGAATACCGACCTGTGTTCAAGGGCTCAGTTTAATATTTTGAAAGAAGGGTAGGACATCCCAACCAGAAGAAACCCCCGACTTTGCCCTGTCGAAGTCTAGGAATATCCACATGGCCGGGCATCGTGGATTCGAGATCGACAGCAGAGATATTGTTGGCGTATTCCATGCGTACGAGCCACGGGAGGTCTTGGGGAAAGTTTATAATATTAATGAAAAATGGAACAGCAGCGTTATCACTAACCGATGTGTCCATCCTTGGCGTGCTTTCAGATGGATGTGTGATATGGAGAACCAGTGTGACTCACGATAACAGGTGCCCTTTCCAGGATCTTTAGGGCAGCAAGCATTGGGTCTTTTGGGAGAGCGCCTAGCCAGGGCGCGATGCCGTCTGGAAGAGAATCCTGGAAGAAGAACAGGACTACCAAGGCTGCGACCATGAGCGTGGTCAAGGCAGACCATACTGCACCTCGCGTTCTCGGGTTTGCCTCGCATGGAGTCTCCTGCTTCGAATTAAGAAGAGACGTAGACTCAGTAATGTAGGGCCCGGGAAGCTCAGGATCCTCGTGTTGCTTGACGGGGGACAACGACATCCTGGCAAGAACTTGGGTGACGACTGCGGCGCCGATTCTATGGACAGCCCAACGAGACGGGAAGCGAGGACGCGTGGAATCCACGTTCGAGCTGGCAGAAGAATCGGATGAATGACTGCTTCGCATTACAAAAACCGATAACTGATGTAAATCACATGCTAACACGACCGGCAATGCTATCGCGATGGTGACCGGTCCGGCTTCCGAAAGATAACGGACAAAAATGCAAAATGAACGATACAAATACAGTGCCCCCCCCTCACGGCTTTTCGCAATCTCCCCCCCTTTTCAAAGAGCCTGCAACGATGACCGCTTCACGGAAGCAACCAATCTCTCTAGCACCTCCCAGCTGACTTGGCTAACGACGTTGGGCATCCATTCACAGGTGGATTCCGCCCTGTGGTGCGACGTGCTCAACCAAGGGTTCTCCGCCTCGTCGCTTGAGAGGAGCGCATTTCTCTTGATAGCCCTCCAGCTCATCCCCATCGCAGCAATCACCATGATCTGTGGGTACTCGCTGTACGGGGCAAGATGATCGAATAAATGGGAGGATTCCAAGGCCGCAGCGTCTCGCAGGTGAGGGTTGTCAAAGTCCGCTTGGGACCATACCTGCACCAATACAAGGGGCTGCACCTGGGCAGGGGGGAACACGGCCAAGGATACATTCTGGTAGCCGGAAGAGTGCCTTTCATTGTTGTAATAGTCGGAAGAGAAGGGAATCTCCCAACCTGGCATAATTGTGTGCCCAGGGAAGAAATGAGTGAAGATAGAATACCAGAGTTCAACATATTCATAATGGGTAGGCGGGTCTGCATCAGGCGCCGAAGACAAAAGAAGAGCAAGGTCAAGGATGGGCGTTGGGCAGAGACCTATCGCATAGTCGTGGGTAGGATCGGTGGGCTCTTGAACATTACTAGTCGAACCAGAAACATTTGTACGGCCTCGAGCATCGCGAACTGAAGCGATGTGAACGACAGGAAGAGGCGCTTAGCGAGTAAAACACACTGATATGAATGACAGGCCTAAGGAATCCATAAGAATACAAGTCATGCAGATATTTGACAAGTATACCTTTCTTGTTCGATGTCTGACGACGGAGGCAAATGCATAGTAGTGCTGTGGAGCAAGGTGCAGAAGCTGTGTTACAGTAGATTTCGTCGTATCGAGACCAACGGCCGAGACTCAGATAGGCAATGGTATACATAGTATCTCAGGCGTAGTAATTCTACTTTATATGCACAGGCGTGGTATTTGATTCCTTTATCACTCTTCATCGTCACTGGCAAACTGAACCGGCTGGTACCTGCGAGCTTTCTTAGTAGGATTCGCAAGTGATGCGCCCTTCAACGCTCGGGGCGGAGCTGCTTCTTCTATAGCACTTGCATTTAGTTCACCGGAAGAAAGTCGACCCTTGGAGCTTACTAGATTCAGGTTTGACTAGCTCAAGCTCCTTGCGTTTCTTGTCATTCGAAGATCCTGCCTTGGTCTTGGGTTCAATGATCTCCTCTGTGCGACTGGCAGGACTCGAGACTGGCTTGGGATTCGAAGATGTCGCGCTGCTCGAAGGATCAGGTGGCTGCACCGAAATAAAGTCGGGATGAAGATGGCATTTTCTCTTCTGCGCCTGTAGAGCAATCTTAGAGACCATGAGTATAAGAAGCGCCGTGAAAGGACAAGTGATGGCCACACATCTAGCAACACGCGACATGTGTATATTGCTGATTCTTTAGAGTCCATCACCTCAAGAGCGACGTTCATGGGTTTCTTGGAAGTTGGCGCAAGTGTAATCTAAAGTTGCGTCAGTCACCAGGCAGTCAAGGATTACTGGAAACTGACATTGATGTCCTTGCCTGCGTCGAAATTGGTGATATACAGGTCGCCCTTGAGGATGCTATCCGCCAGTTTCTCTGCAAACGTTTCAAGCAAGAAATCCGATGGATTAGAGCCCTAGAGCCCGGCCAATAAATAATTCTTTCTCAAGGAACGACGTGCACTACTCGCCACCAGATTCGTGACGTCCGCCTCTCGCCACCGCCCATGCCACCACCGCCCTTCACCTGTCAGACCGAGATGAATTGCCCATTCGCCGCTAGACACGTTGGAGAGTACGACAAAGCGGTTGACGTCCTGGTAGACGACCTGGATGAGCTCATCGAGGCAGCTGAAATTGGCGAAAAGGGACATAACGACTGCACCGCCACACAATCCGTTGACTTTCCAAACGACTGCAAAGTCGGTGCACATGGAACAACTGGTCCAGTTCGTACTATGTTCCACCTTGCCCTCCAATTTTAACTACAAGGCGCTTGAATTACTGAGCATGCATGACACCGGTTCACAGAATTTCGATTTCATTGCTGCGGTTTTTCTTGAAGGATGTCTAAATCGATCGAACATGGTAATGCCGTGGTAGCTTGTGTCTATGAGCGCATACATATTTACATAAATATAGACATACATGACAATGAAGATGTAGTAGAACGAGAGTAAGTTACAAAACATCCAAGAAATACGTGGGAGTCATAATAGACCTACTAAATATCGGCGGGCATAGTAGGTGGTCTACTAAACCATATTACTATCTTGTAGATTTTTCCGCACAACGGTATCCTTCACTGTACGACACCGCATAAGAAGTGAACCACAAACACTTTCGACAATAAAACGTACCATTTTCTAGTATATGAGTTGTCGATTTCACGTCCTATCAATTGCAAAAATGGAGGCTGTTAAACAACGCCACGCAAAAAAAAAACACCCAAGATACGTACAGTGACCGAAGTAAAATGACAATAGAAAGGCCTGGGTTCTGGGGAGTTACTCTTGAAGCTACCAGCTAGAAAGTGCATCAGAAGAAGCGGGAAGCCTAAAAGCCAGTTAGGCGAACCAAATTTCTTCTTCATATCTGATTACGCGCATCAATTATGCGTGAGAAACAACAAATACAACAGAATTACTCACAATTTGCGGCACCCTCGAATGTATTGGGTCGATCGCCGTACGATATTACCCAAGTGCCAAACCTGATCCCCGATTCTAGTTTCGCTTTCAGGATGTCACATTTGTTGAGGAACAGTATGAGATCTGTGTTTTTCAGAAGCTGATTCGACACGATGGACTTCCAAAGGGACATGGAATCCTCCTGGGAACGAGTGAGCGAGGTAATTATCTCCTTTTGTTCAATTGTTAGTGTCACGCACCAGTCTATTCACCGATGAATCTTCAGCGAGAACCTGGTCGAAACAACTAAGAGGTGCTAGGAAAATGATCGCGTCCATATCGTCGAAATAGGGTGCCCACGCGGCTACCAGCTGTCAGTAGGAACCTTAACACGATGGCACTAGGGTCCCGCACCTCGCTAAAACCACAATACACTCATCAATCATGTCTTTCTTCACACGAGAAGATTACGAACCAAAGATCGAGCTCCTCCTACGTCAAAGACCCTCCAATCGTGGCTGACCATATTGCCTGTGTATGTTCGAATGTTGGCCTTCGGTTGATCGGTGTGAAGAAGTCAACATACCAGCTTTTAGCCTGAAACGATGTTCGGAGACACCTGATGGAACACAATCAATGACGGCGTCCTGGTGATCAGTCGAAGGAATCTACCTAGAGTTTTAATTCGTGCTCGTAGTATATCATCTACCGAGCATTGTTTTTAGACCAGAGCGATTATCGGACCAACAAGGCAACTTACCGTCTGAAGGGACATATTTCAAGGCAGTAACGCGGTCCAGTGAATCTAAGAAACTGGACACACATAAGATATGGATATGCCGGTTGAAAACCGCTCACAAGCCAGACAGATCCTCCAATCTGAGTTTATGCACTTTTAGAAGCTCCTTGACGGTCGGATCGTTCCATAGATGGTCCATATCCTCGCGACAATTGTGAAGAACAAGCCCGGGATCTTTTGGGTCATCGAAATCAATCCCTTGTTCACTGTCAAAGCTGGTGCGCTGCTCATTCGGGGTTAGCAGCCTGCCGAACGCGCCTTTCCAATGGACAGCGGAGTTGACCGAAGGCTCTTTGTAATTTCGATCAGGGTAGGGGAGTGATGTAGGGACGGTGAGCTGGGTTGCTTCGAATTCCGCGGTGTTTCCCGGGGAAAGTCTCCGCAGGAGAGCCTCCTCGACCTGGAGGAGAGGCTTCAAGCGCATTTTGAGTTTTAGATGTTCTGCAGTGAGTGTGGGATAGACGACATCGGGCCTTTGCAGAGACTCGAAGGAAGACATGCTGGAAGACGCAACAGGGTGCTGCTTCTGAGTCTGCTGGGCGTGAGCCTGACTCATTATGTCAAGGATAATGCGAATCGACCGGGCAACATTTAACTGAACCACTGCCCGCCATGATGCGCGTTCTTGACGGAATGCCTGAACAGATGTCAGTACTTGGTATAGACAGGAAGGTAAAGGGTACAGACCTTTGGGGAATTTATCAATTGAAAATCTGATGAAAGCGGCGGTCAGGGTCTGTTTGGCGAAAGCGGAGCAAAAAACCAAGTACTTTTCAACGTCGTGGATTTCCCTGGCAAAGCAGGGTGTCAGCCGCCCACAATAGGACGAGTGATGCAGAAGAGAGGCAATACCTGATTCACTTTGGCCTAGGATCACGAATCAGATGATGAAATCAAATACGGAGGCTCTACGTACCTAGCAACAAGACTTTGACTACCTTTGGCGCCTTTTTTTCAGCGATGCGCTGCCTTGCTATTTCTTCGTCTATAGCATCGGACCTCTTCTGGGCTGCTTTTTCATTGGAGAGGCGCTCATCACGTTCTGACGGCGATTCGTCGGGCGGCGGTGCTGTGACGACAGCCAAAGGATCACCGTCTGGGTAAATACTGGACTTGAGGGAGGACATGAGTGGGGCATGAAGAGAAGAAAGAACGTGATAGGGAGCCGGAGAAAGGAAAGAGAAAAAGAAGGCGAAGGGATCAAAAGAAGCCAAGGAAGCATGCTGTGAAAGGTATGTAAAAACAGGGCCACAGTCAGGTCATCCATCCATCTCGTTGCCCACTTGCTGTCCTCTGTCAAAATTTCTGTTACCATCTTTCGGTCCACGTACTGGTATTCTCTCTTGGCTATCTCAACTTGGATCTCTCTACGATCTCTATCTAAGTCTTGCTCAGCCCTTTCTCTCTCTTGCTCCCAGTCCAGGCATTCGACAGCTGTAGTTCGAGTTAAATAATGATCTGATGCGCGTAATTTCAAATTTCGAGAGACATGGAACCAAATTTCAACGTTCTGGTCTCCATCGGCTGTCAGAGTACCTACAGATGAACATGTATCACTCTCCTTTTACCATCATGAGCAGCCTTGACCCGAACGATTTGCTGTCCAAGAATCAACCTTTGCGAACCGCGGCGTATCACTTCGGCGGGTTCTTGTCGCAGGGCCGGCTGAGGGTGGGCGCCCTCTGACTGTCTGCTTTTGTCTTTATCGCTGTGGCGATTTCAATTCATGTTTCCATTATACGCCACTGAACCGGTTCCTCCCGTCTTGAATTAGGCGTCCTTGCTCTAGTGCTGCTGCACTACCACCACCATCATGGTCCTATCAAGAATGTCAGTTCATAAAGTGCAACCATCTAGTATCTATGTATCCTCACTCCATCTTTTAGGGATCTGCCACCAGGATCATCTTAAACTATGCCTCGTTCAGGTAGGTCGTCATGGCTGGACTTGACGGCTCCGAAAGCCTGGACAGAATCAAAGCGAGACACGTATCCCTAACCCGGGTTTCAGCTTCACAAATGAATGTGAATTATGTACCGCTTGCCCGGGATATTCCAATTTTTCCACTTTCCATCCGATGAAATGATGGAGGCATTGATTACCTGAGTGGGTTAGTATGTATGCCGTGTATGGTGCTTTCAGCGGTTTTTAGGTCGACTTGGGGCGGTTTCAGCGCAGACGAACCAGCCCATTGACATTGCATGAAGATCCGAAATCGGCTTCCCGTCGTCCTGATTCTCTCGCTGTTTTTTGAAGTGCGTTAGGACTTTTATCGATATGGCAACCCATAAAATATGTACCGTGAACATACACTAATCATACACGAGTTCCTTTCTTCTGACTTTAATCTTGCGTAAAAAGATCATGTGTGCTTATCAACTGCATCTTTTACTTCCTTCTTCACTTCCTCAGATTTACTCTTGCCCCATCCCAGCCAGCTGGCCCAACCAGCTTTCGTCTCGTCCTTCTTCTTCTCCACGGCGGCCTTCGCTTCATCATACTTCTTCTCACCGGCAGCGCGTGCTTCATTATACAAATTCTCAGTCGAGCCGCGAGCATCTGAAAGGGACTTTTGTGCTGAAGACTTGTATGATTCGTACTTCGCCTGAGCATCTCCGGAAGCTTTGCGAGCTTTAGCTTCTGCCGCCTGGACTGTCGAGTCGAGAGACGCCTAGAATCCCGATCAATACCGAGCACGGTCCGTAGCGATCTATCACTTGCCTGTGTCTGCCTGCTTGCGTCTTCTGTGCGAGCTGCGGTAGCATGGCCAAGCTCCCCCGCCTTTCTCTTCACCTCCTCGTCGTCTTGTTTCGCTTTCGCTTCCAAGTTGGCGACCTCATTGGGATGGCTGTAATACCAGTAACCGCCCAGACATGCTGCTATAACCGCAGCTATAATCAAGTTTTGATTGTTCGACTTGGGAGCAGATGCGTTTGGCGGGTCCTGCTGTGCCGTCGCAAAAGCCCTTCTTGTCTGCAACCGAGTCAAAAATCAGCGGATGCGACAGCTGCAATGATTGATACCTTGGGCACTCTTGTTATCGGCGATACCACCCTCTGCGAGGCGCGCAAAGCTCGATACGATAGGCGATGATACATCCTTGGGAATTGTTACTCTTCGTGGAAACTGTTAACCAAGTGTCTTTATATGGGTTCGACTTTTTGAGGTCATCGCTGATGATGATGTCAATGACGTACTACTTGCTTCTGTGCGTCATAATAAACTGGTTTTCAGTTGTAAATAATGGGACGGGAAAAGTATTGACAAAACTGGACTAAAATACAACTATCCATCCTACAATGACATAAAACCACGGCACAAACCATCTACTTTTTCAGGGTGCCAATTACAGCATCCGGCGCATAACGAGGAATAACCTGTCATTTCCTCTCAGAAACACTCCCAATCTCGCGAAAAAAAAAAACTTGCCTTTGGGTCATGAAGCATGTTGAACTCTTCTGTTGCATCTCGACCGGCGTATAGCAGGATTGCCTTTTCACCTCCAGGATGGTCGGGAAGGAACTATTTGGTACAACTGTCAGTAAACACTCGCCCAGTGTGAACAGGACGAGCTCACGTTCGTAACATCCAAGACTTGACCGTCCACAATAACCCAGACATCATCTTTCTTGTTATGTTTTGAAACTTCCTCCGCGGTGAATGAACTCGCTTTGACGCCCAACGAAGAAGCCGTTTCCTTCTTTGCTTCAGGAGCAGATGCCGATGGAGGGCCGCTTGCACTCGAACCTCCAAGCTGTCCGGCAAGTTGACCTATCCGTCCGCCAGCTTTCGCGACAGCCTCGCTCGCCTGCATCAACAGATACTTGGCAGCAGAGTCGCCAGAGACACGACCAAAGACAACACAACCCAGAAGCGAAGATCCTCCTAGTCGGTTGGCTCCATGAACACCGCCAGCGACTTCACCAGCAGCAAAGAGACCAGGTATTGGCTTTCCATTTGAAGAGATTACCCGGGATTCATCGTCGATCTCGAGACCACCCATGGTATAATGCAGAACAGGAGTCATGATGGCAACATGGAAGAAGTCATCGAAAGACCATTCGCCCGAGAAAAACTGCAATGAAGATGAGTGCCCTTTCCATGAAAGCCTCTGCAGAAACAAACCTTCTTGCCGAACGGGTCCTTTTGCGTGCGAACACTATTGTTATAATCCTCAAATGTCTTTTTGAGAACTGCAGGGGCTAGACCAAATTCCTTCGCGAGAGCGTCGCCAGAATCGAAACGCTTCATCAAGCCTCGTCCTACGTAATGCTTGCAATGCCATTCGATATCCTTAGATGCACGGCCGTTCAAAACCAATCGGATGGGATACTGGCGAAACCATTAGGTTCTAGACCCGATCCAAGGGTTTATGAAGTATCCAGTCACCTTGCCATTTTCCCACATTTTGCCTGTGACAAAGTCTCTGTGCTGCAGCTCGTCGACGAAACGCTGACCCTCATTATCCAGCAAGAGACCACCAACACCTCTGAGTGCCTCAGCGGCCAAGAACTTGACTTTTGCTCCCGGCTCATTGGGGTCAACTAGACCAGTCGGGTGAACTTGAACCTTCTCCAGATCAATGCCACTGGCACCAGCGGCCATCGCCATCTTCTGCCCATCACCAGTGCAATGGTCGCCGTTGGTAGTAGGGAGATCCCATAGCTCGGGACGGTATTTCTTGAGGAGGGAGTCTGAAGAAAAATCGGCTGCATATCCACCTGTAGCCAGGATGACGGGCCCGTAGGCGGTATGTGTCGCATTGCCATGAATATACTCGACACCAACGACAACATCACCTTCCTTGATGAGCTTAGTCACCCTAGCCTTCTTCAGAATTTTGACACGGCTGGGGTCTGACACAGCAAGATCCTCGAGACGTTCCATTTGCGCATAAGTGATGACCTGGTATTACAAGTATTGAACAAGGAGACCAACTTATGACAATACTAACGCACCATTCCTGGGAACTGAGCATTTCCGCGGTGGGTCCGCGGTTGGCTGTGACCACCGAGGCGAGCAACCTTGGACAGATCGAGAGCAAACTTGTCCTGCAGCCAGTTAACAGCATCGCCGGAACGGCCTGTGAGCACGCGGATGAGGTTGTCTCGAGCGAGGTCGCGAGCCTATCAAAAGGACATTTATTGATACCAAAGTGAAAAGTACAACAGTGACAGCTCACCGATTTCTTGGTGTCGTCGAAGAATATCTTCGCATTGTCGGGAATCCCGTATTCTTGCTGCGTCTGTGTACCAGCTCCGTTGATACCAGAAGTCGCTTTTGTTGAGTTTCCGCCCATGAATCTGAATGGCGAATGAGGACGATGTGCGACCGTATATTGCAGATGACGTACCCTTGCTTGTCAAGGAGCAGGACATTGGCACCTCGTTCGAGGAGCGTGTGGGCCGCTGAGAGACCTGCAAGACCGCCGCCGACGACAATGACAGACATAATGAAATGAGGAAGAAGAAGAGGCAGAATTTGTCGTAGTTGAGGGGTCTTATACCGTTAACGCGGCGCCTGTGATTGGCTTCTCCAGCCGGTCCATGTGAAGACATGTGATTTTAACATCCCACCTTCCGGTCCGGTGAGCCGCACTGCCGATGTGAGACATGAAGTGAATTGAAATTTTTATAATAAGTACTTATAAAAGTATTCTATAGGACTAAATATTCTACAGGATCAAGTATTCTATGCGGTGCAGTTTACCTCGTCTCGGTGTCTCTCAAGGCCTGACAGCATATCTCTACAACCTCCCCCATACTCTTTGTTAAGGGTTCGATAATCAATGCGTCCTTGACTTTGTCTCCAGGTTCCCCGTGTTCCAGATCTCCATCTAAAAACATATCTCTATGTGCATCGACATATGCCGGCCACACAATTTGCTCCCAATACATGGGAGGGTCGCGCCATAATGAGCCCTCTGGATCGGATTGCACTCCGTTCGGGCAGCCATGTATGTAAGGGGAAGAGTGAGCATGGGGTTAAATAGGTTGCGGATCAGGAAGTGAAGGGGAAATGGGAACAAGATTTAGCCCGACATCTTTAACATATCATGAGAAATACTAACCTGCTGTGTGGTAACCGTGTCGTTGGTGTCGCCTTTCCTTTAGTACGTCATACGGCACACGGAGGAATATGCGGACGTCCAGCTGTTCGATAACTTCCTGTATGCCCATTAGCGCCGGTTATCCTTGCAGTGCAAAAAAAAAAAAAACAGCCTGACAGGATGCCAATACAGCAAAAAGCCGTCCACCAAACCCCAGATTACGCGCTCCCCCGCCTCCGTGTTCGCCTCCTTGATTTTTTCAAATTCGTTCTGCCATCGCTGCTTGATCTCCTCGTCTACCGGTACCAATTTCTGTTCATTCAGATGATCGTGACTGCGATGGTCGCTTGGTATCTCTCCTGAAGCTTTGACGTGGCGCAAAAACTTAATCAGCCGAGACCATTCAATTGCGCCTGGTGCGGCGTCCCAGTCTTGCACTTTGTAAGTTGGATGATACGGTACGAGCTCCTGAGGCTAAAGGGCATATTGAATCGGAACAAAACACACTCATTAGCAGCGTACTGGGGCGAAATCCTAGACAAGCAATGAGTAATGTTAGAAAACTACAATGAAATGTCGCACATCTTGATGAATAATGACACTATCGGGTATGATGCTCTTGAGATGCTTCGCTAGTGTCGTTTTGCCGGAGCACGTCGCGCCGCTGCATCGAACAAACCAGATATCAGACATGTCAACTCCGAGTAGTCATGAAAATATTATGTTGATCAGAACGGGTCAGATTTGTACTTACCCCACCCCTACGAGTATCACCCTCGTCTTTGGAGGCGATACAGAAAATACTCCATTCAACGTCATGATTGGTAGGTTTCTGTGAGGGGATCAAGACTTATATTTGCCGAGTATATGGTGGAGAACTGTATAGAGTCGATGAGGTACAGAATGTATGGAAAATTGATCTGGCGAGTACCTGGGCCTAGATGATGTCGCTGTAATCCTCGGGACTAGGAAAATATCGGTGGCGACAGGATAACGGTAAAAGAATGTGTGTGAAGCCCCACGTCTGAAGAAGGCAAGACGCAAAAAGGGAATAAGTTAGGTCATAATTACCGGCCTTGATATCCTCGTGCATGATCAAAGCGATAAGATAATTTTGAATCAGTTACCCTACCACTTGTGCTAATCATAAGTACAAGACGACATCAAGATATTACAGAGTGATTGACCAAAATCGTAGTTATTTAAGCAGTCATCTAATCTTAGCCCTCCACTAGTGCGAGGTTTCGCTGAGCATAATGCTGATTCTAAGAAACCTTAGTCTTTTCCTTCCTTACCGTCGACATTAGGGGACGCACCACTTTCTCATACTGAGAGATTTTTATTTGCGTCAACGTGGCCTTGTGCTGGAGTGTGGCAACCATACTCTGACGCAGAAAGATAAACGCTATATGGTATTCCAACAATTGAATGTACCTTGGCAGTTTTAGAATTCAATCCTTTATGTCGTTCCAATTCCTTCGCAGGAACCGGCCACCAACCCATTCTGCGGGAGGAAGGTGAGTTATATGGCAATAGTCTTGGCCATACATCAACGGACCGAAGGAGCTGATCATGCAAAGCATCAATGTGAGCCTCGAGACTCGACACGTACACTTTGCGGCGCTGGGGAGCCAATTCGTTGGATCTAAGTTGACATAAACATCAGAATACATGATGATAGCACGGATGAATGAGCTCGCATTTCATCATTGGTAAAGATGGCATTTTCGAAAACGTGGATCCACGCTTTCCGTCGCTTTCCGGTTTCGATCACAGGATAATGACGCGCCGAGTCATGAGGTTCCGAGATGGAGGTAGGCAAGGAAGAAAATAGGCCTGCACTGTATGCACTACGAAAGGTAGCAGAGGACAGGGCATTTGAGGACCTGATGGAAGGAGGGGGCTGATCCATTAATAGCTTAGCTTTGCAGACCGCTGATACTTATATTCCATGCAGGCTAGAAATATTCCCCCCTGGAGGTACATCGGAGTGGCGAGCGGACAACATGTCCACCCAATCGCGATACCGTCGTCTACTAACCCCGATGAAGCATTGACACGAGGGGTAGAAGAGGAGAATTCTGGACAAATGTGGTCCATATTTTGCCCTTTTGCGACAAGAACAGTCCGAGTGTACTTGGTATTCGCGATCGACTCCTTTCCCAGGGTTGCGAAAAAGACGAAAAATAAGCAGCATCACGTAACAGTGTCATACCTAAGCAGGGGTCTTTTCAAATTCTAGCAATTTCGACGCTGTTCTCGTTTTCCTGTCTTCATACTAATATCATGGCACCCTTATTCTGATCATCCAACTCTTCTCTTACTAAAATGTTGCGAACTCTAACTACGAAGGGTGCGCCGAAAGTCTTGTCGCTGAGCGTGACGGCTAGATCGCTCAGGCCAAGGGCTGCGAATTTCATTCGGAATCCTCTTCTTCGACAGGCCATTGTGCAGAATACGTTTCTGTTGGTTTCGTTAGGGTCTGTGCGTCACTATGCGCAGCCTCCAGGAGGTGGGAGTGGAGGGGGCTTTCCCGGGTTTAGCATGGGGCCTCAGCACCAGAAGGGAGAGGCACTCAAGGAGTATGTAAGTGCATTCGAGTCTTCGCATGCTTCTTGAACAGCTATACAATGTGGTGCTATAGAGTGTAGATTTGACGGAGATGGCTAAAAAGGGAAAATTGGATCCTACCATTGGCAGAGATGAAGGTGTGTGTATCTATTACTTTCTTTCTATAGAAATCTTTCTGACTAGCAGCTATACAGAAATTCGGAGGACGATACAGAGTAAGGTTTCATTCATTCTATATAATCTCCTGGCTCACGATTTGATGCAGTCCTATCTCGCCGAACTAAATCCAATCCTGTGGTACGAATCATCCATCGCCTCTTATTCCAGTACGCCAAGTCTGAGTAATTAAAAAGCTTATTGGTCCTCCTGGTGTTGGGAAGACGGCTATCTTAGAGGGGCTCGCGAGCAGAATAGTAGCTAAAGAAGTGCCTGAGGTGTGTTATGACTGAATACAACTGGCCGGGTAAGTGCAACTAACGGAGAAGTTAGTCATTACACAACAAGCGCGTCCTTTCCATCGATCTCTCTGCCATAATGGCCGGATCCGGTATACGTGGACAGTTTGAAGAAAAATTCAAAGCCCTCATTCGAGACATCGAGGACGAGGTGTGCTTCAACCTATCAAACATTCTGCGAGGTGCTGACCAGTGCCTCAGGCTAGGAATGTCATATGCTTTATTGATGAAGTTCGTGAGTACTTGCAACATCGTCATGACTTGGGCACGGAGCAAGGAGCTCAATCCCAATAATAGATACATTGTTCAATCTTGGTAAAGCAGAAGGGAGTATTGATGCTGGCCAAATGATCAAACCAGCGCTCGCGCGAGGTCTGCAGCTTGTTGGTGCTACTACTCGTGCGTCCTTTTAGTAAGTTAATAAGGACTGACAAGACGTTTGACTAGGTGACGAGTACCGCAAAACTATCGGTAAAGATGCGGCACTTGAGCGAAGATTTCAACCGGTTCAAATTGATGAGCCTACTGTAGAAGCCACGATATCAATTCTTCGAGGACTGAAATCGAGGTATGAAGTTCACCATGGTGTTGAGATATCCGATGCCGCCCTAGTTACAGGTGCATATCACTCCACTCTCAGACTCCTGGTTGATATGAATAAATCACACAGCTGCCGTATATTCTGCGCGTTACATTTCGGATCGTTTCCTTCCCGACAAAGCAATAGACCTTGTCGATGAAGCGGCATCGGCGCTTCGCCTTGCTCAAGAATCGAAACCAGATGAGCTTGAGGCACTGGACCGAGACATCATGACCCTGCAGATCGAGCTGGAAAGTTTGAAAAACGAGTCAGACATCTTCAGCGTTGAGCGCCGACAGAAAGTGGAAGCTGACCTCGCTGCAAAGCGTGAAGAGGCTTCCAGATTGACATCAATATGGAAAACTGGTACGTGTTTTAATCAACTTTAATCCTATTTCTAATACGGGAGGGTCTTTTTTTCAGAAAGGGCGAGGCTTGACCGCATAAAGGATCTTAAAGAACGTTTGGAAAATGCGAAACATCAGCTCGAAGTGGCGCAGCGGCAGGGTCAATACGAACTGGCCAGTCGACTACGTTTCTCCACCATCCCTGAGTTAGAGCGTCAGCTTCCTGACGAGAGTGCTGAGCGTCCTGATGGCGAGTCGGAGTCGCCCTTAGCCATGCTTCATGATAGAGTCACGTCCAACGATATCGCCAGAGTAGTTGCAAAGGCCACTGGCATCCCAGTCCAGAGTCTTCTGAAAGGAGAAAGGGACAAGCTCGTGCATGTGCGTGCTTTTGCAGTCAAAAATGTCGATTGGAACTTGCAGCTTACCTTGAATTTCATAGATGGAAGATACGCTAAGACAAAGGGTGGTTGGGCAAGATCATGTTGTCCGTGCAGTTAGTGATGCTGTACGAATTTCACGCGCTGGATTGCAGGTGCCTAATCGGCCCGTCGCTTCTTTCTTGTTTTTGGGGCCCACTGGTGTTGGCAAGGTAAGAACTTATAATAACTCTTGGTCTATATAGTTGTAACCATATGATGCGATTCTAGACTGAACTGTGCAAGGCCCTTGCCGGTTTTCTATTCAACGACGAACACCGTGGACTGTAAGTGCTCAGTGGTTGACTTTGTCTCGGTGCTCGTCTTCATTTGTCATTTTAGCATCAACATCAACATGTCAGAGGTAAGACTCTCCGCGCTGCAGAAAACCGCGTTGTTTGTTTACCATTGAAAAGTATCATGACCGGCACACGATATCCAGGCTCATCGGAGCTGCCCCTGGTTACGTTGGGTTTGAAGAAGGAGGTATGGATCGGAACATCAGTATTATATCTCGCTAACCTCTCATCCCTCAGGTCAACTAACGGAAGCTGTAAGAAGAAAACCTTACGGTAGGGGGGTGACCATTCATGACTGCCAAGACTGTCTAATCAGTGTCATAGCTGTTATTCTACTGGACGAGTTGGAGAAGGCCCACAAGGTAAGTCTCTTACCTCTACAGACGCTCTAGATGATATCCATGTCTAATATTTCTTGTCTAGGATGTGACCATGATTCTACTCCAAATTCTGGACGAGGGGAGCATCACGGATAGTCAAGGGAGAAAAGTGGATTTCAAGGTGAGTTATGATACATTTTAAACATCGACACGTTGCAAAGTCTTGGCAGAACACAATTATATGCTTGACTAGCAATTTGGGTATGTGGAAGCACTCAGCTTTACGACTTGCTAAATTTCGTATCAGGAAGCGATATTCTTGCTCATTCGACCTCTTGCAATGAGGATGGCGTTGTCACACCAGATGCTAGAGAGGAAGTTTTCGAACGTACCTCTTCCTACTTCCCTCCCGAGCTGCTGAACCGGTTGGACACGATGCTCGTCTTCAATAAGTTGTCTCGCCAATCAATCCTCCAAGTCGTGTCGCTTCGACTAAATGACGTAGCCGATAGGCTAAAAAACCGAAGAATAACGTTGGATGTGGATGAAGATGCCAGGGGGTGGCTAGCCAAACAAGGGTACTCGGAGATTTATGGTGCTCGGGCTATTGCGCGGGTTGTCCGAACTGACGTGTTATTTCCGTTGGCGCAAAAGCTGCTCAGAGGTACCATCAGGTGTGTGCCTTTCCTCTCCCGCTTGTGAAGATACATAGTGACAACATGCTGCAGAGATGGTGATACTGTGGTCATTCGCACAAGCAGTGAAGGAAAAACTTTGCTCATCCAAGATAACCATCCTGAGGATCCTAGTGTCGCCTCTGAAGCAGCTGCCACAACAAGTAAAGATCTTCAATAAATCTACGCCGTACTGTAAGCTTTTAAGTTTTATCAACTATTATGTACCCCACACAATTTTAGACCACTCCACTCACTGTATCATATAACATTGTAGCAGCGGATCCTGTTGCACTTTTAGCATCAACTTAATGTCATTCCTCTGCATTTTAATGTATTACCACAGATTAAACCATAAACCCTGTCCTTGATGGTGCCCCAGCATCATGACGAAGAGCAGTACAGTTTCCACTTCTTGATCTGTATAAATAACCGGAGCACCAGTTCGTACGCGTACCAGGAGTTAAGGAATGGGGTATCCTTAAAGAGGCGGGTCACGAACATACAGTCAGTAGAATTTAACTGAACAGTAACATTGAAGTTGTGTTCATTAAATCTGGCCGCCGAAGTAGAGCTCGCTGGCCACAAGGAGCGAGTTCAGTGATTCCGAAAGTCAGAAATCCGGTGTGGCACTGCCATTATCTGTCACAATTTACATGGTGACTCTCTCAGAGGTTCACACCCACAGTTAATCGGCCGAATCGGCCCCGTGTTCGGACGCCACTGACACTGTGCCTCCCAGACTACTAGGTCTGTGGTGCTGGTGGGGGGTCGAAGGGCGAGTCTTTTTCAAGCAGCACAGTAAACAGCTCTGGGGCATACTATTTTCAAGAGGTCAGATCAAACCCCATTGAGAGAAATAAGGACTCAGACCAAATATTGTGAGAGAAAAAAGTGAGAGCTGGCATCTGCCGCCATAGGTAGTCTCTTCCAGTTCTTTTATGATGAATCAAGCATCTCACTGTCATTGCAGTAATTATTCACCAAATTCACTCGTTTACAATGCACTTTAGTAGTGGTACTTATGTTTCTGAAGGCCCTGCCCCTCATGTGGGCCTTCCAAGCTTTAGAGTAAAGTTTTTCTTATCATTTACTTTAAACGGCGAGCGTGAGAGATCCATGCCGGCCGGCGGTCCTCACCCGTTGTTCCCACTCTCCCTCATGCATGATGCAGAGTCATGTTTTCAGAGAACATTCAAACGCTAGAAGGCAACGAGGTGGATGAGCAACACTTACGGGAGATCCTTTTGCCGGAAATCCAGCTAGAAATTGACCTCAGGAATCGACTTACGCAAACGGTGGAGTCAAGAATTACATGGGCAACATTACTGCAAGGATCTCTTTCCAAAGGTAAAAATTTTTCGTTGCTGCTATAAAGTCTAAATACCTATCAGGAGGAAGCCTTGGAAATGATTCTGCAACGTTTAAGATGGCGGCTTTAGATGCCCTTTCTGCGATTGAAGAACCTTCGAAATTGTTTTTGGACCATGAAACGATTCACAAAGCATCATTTGCCTCCCTTATTCCAACGGCTGTACCTCCTGGTCGCAAGAATCGTCCGCTCCCACGAGAAAGCAGAGCAACGCGTTCTCGACAAAATTCCAGATTTCTTTACATTCGCACCGACAATCAAACCAACATCTTGACGTGTCCGGAGTGCCAGCGGACGCAGTTCTCGTCAATCCAAGGCCTGTATAATCACGCTCGAATCGCTCACCGGCTGGAATGGGGCAACCATGATGACTGCGTTCGCGCTTGCTCCGTTCCGCGGAATGATCTTGATCTGAGTGACGGAGTGGAAGTGACCCTCACTCTTCTTGGCGTACGAGGGTTATTCGAGAGAGCGGTGGAAGAGCCTTCGCCCTTGCTACTGCTAGATACCATGGATGTTGACGAGCCCGTTCCAGACCCGGAGGTCACTAACCATATTCGCCAGACATTGGGTGTTCACGCTGAGACCTTCGCACTGGCATCTGTTCTAGGAAAAGAGGTCAAGAGAAGGGAAATACGTGCTAGGAATGAAGATGAAGACGTTGATATCGATGGTCTTGCCAACAAGCGTCTCAGGTGGCACATGCCCAGGATACATACAAGTTCGGCGAAACTAGAACCTCCCAGGGAGGAAACTGTTCACGCTCCCACAACTGTCCACGAAGCAAAGGTCTTTGTGCCTGAATCCGTTGGTCGATTGTCAATTCTCGGTGTGCAACCAAGCTCTAGTAGGTTCCATATTACCGCTCGCGTCATCGTTATGGACCGTAGTTTACATCTTCCCGCTGGTTCGCGTTCTTTTCCTGGTGTTCCCTCGTTCTTCGTTGACATACACACAGGGATGCGACCAGAGGAAGCCACATATACACATAAATGGATGCTATCTGTCCAAGCGCCCTCATACGTGCGTTCCATACTACTCTGTATCTAGATTGTACTGACAACTCTCTAGAGTATTGATATCACGACTATATTGAGCCGCATCACTGTGACCTCCCTATCCGACTGTCATACTTTCTCTCCTTTAATTGTTGCTCAACCGCCCTTCGTCGTCATGGGTGTAGCTGCCAGACCTTTCTTGGCGAGAGTTGAACTGCTCTTTAGTCATGCTCGAGGACAGGATCCAGAAGGCCAGAAGTTCATCCTGGAACACTGGGTCGATGTCAGTCTCTTTTTCGGCCCCTCCGGCTCTCTTTCATGTACTGATCACATCTATCAGCTCGCATCTGCGCGATCTTCCAAACTACCGGTAGAGGGAGAACAACAAGTCGTTGATATCGAGCTTGACAAGGAAACTGTATTTTTGCCTGCGAAGACCAACTACGTCGCAGTTGATGACAAGGAACATTGGCAGCAAGAAATTAGTGTCGATCCAACAGATTTCTCCATCCCGGGCAATCTGATCAGTATGGCTATCGTGGATCATCCCTCGACTTCCTCCAAGAACATCAGCGAGACAGCAAAGCTGCCAAAAACAGCGCCTTCTGCTGAACTTGGTTATCCGATGGTTCTCCGAGAACTACTGCCTAATTTTCCTGTGACATTGGAAGGTAAAAACGTTTTCCTGTTTAGTTCTCATTATCTCATAGCTTCGTAGGCGTGATACCAAAGCGAGGAGTAGCACCGCCTACGGTTCCTTACACCCTCGTCGCTTCTTCTGACGAATTCCACGAATTGGTTCTGGGTCGACGCAAGGCGATTGAGGTGAGTGTTTCAAGACCTTCTGAGCGCTTCTGACTATGCCTTCGCCGTAGTGGGGTCGTGCCTCTGCCATCCGAGAGGCCTACACTGAGGTAGTGAAAGAGACTCATAGGGAACTCGAACTCGATAGATTATCGACAGCGGATGTCTTCTGTTGGCTGGAGGCAGAGGGCCTCTTCCTAAGGACTAAATCACCTTTAGCAGCCAAACAACAGCCACAGGCCACTGAGAGGCTCCACGCAGAACGATGGTGCACCTGCTGTGGACTGGTTTCTCGCGTTCATAGCAATAACAAAAGTGGTGGCGACTCTTTTGCCTGCAATATAATCCCGAGTGAATGGCAAATATCCAGAATGCCCCTTATCAACCTGCACAAAATCCTGGCTACTCCCCAGACGCTTTCTCTCAGCTGTCCCACTGGCACACATGATGAGCGAAATTGGAGCAATGCTCAGATCGTCCAAGCGTCTAACCCAAATTTGCTTCTCTCCATCAAGGAGGTCATACGCGTTTTGAACCTGCCAGCTTTTCTATCTAACGAAGGCAGTTCATCGATCTTTCCTATCGACACCGTCGGTCGCGATGCGTCCGAGGTAACACAGGCGTTCGCTCCTTATGGCGTTCTTGCCTTGGTTGCTGAATGCTTCATCACGAAGTTAGTGTTAGGAGGTCTGGATATTTCATCTCGTTTTCAGCACCGAAGCCCAAGCAGACGAAGGTTGCTGACACCAATGCATGTAGCACAAGGATTAGTGGTTGGGAAGAATCGCGATCAGACTGGGTTGGCTATGTTTTATGCCTTGGCGAGAATTGGAAGACAGATGGAATCGGAAGGTGCTGATGTTAAAACTTCAAATACATTTACAACCAGGGGAGAAAGTCTTGTGTAGTGACAGGAACATGAATTGTATATGATACACAACCGTGGTATCGAAGCAAGAACTCGATCCTCAACGAAGTGAAGTCATGAGAATCATTTAAAGCAAAAATGGCACAACAATCTTTCTCTCCTGGGGAAACGATTCGGCAAATTTTTGCCTATACCACAAGTGTCCCTTATAAGCTCGAGGAAACATCAAGACGAATTCGACGATCAAAAAAATCCACGGAGGGGTTAATGTTGGCGCGAACTGGGATGCAGAAGAGAAATTCGTGGAGAGGGATTGCAAAGAGAATGAGGCCAAGGTTACGGTTGGAAACGGAGAGGCAGCCAATGCAAATCCAAACCACTCTACCCATTCGCAGAAATAATTCGGAAAGGAAACATATTCATATAACAATCCGTAAGGAATAGCGTAGTATTCGCCAGGCTTTGAACTATGGGATGACGCCTTCCCTTTGTTCTTGGCCTTCCGTCGGATGTTGAGAAGGATTTCGTCATGAACGATGTTTCCAGCGAAGCCTATGACCCACAAGAAGATTCCTACATAGAAGATAGGCTTTGAAAACGCATTTGAAAGGAAGATGCGCGCCGTGTGGGAGGATAGGTAGACACCCATCAGAGAGCCGTTGAGGAGGTTGAAAGTGATGCCTAATAGCGGCACAACGATATCAGATTTGGACCGCGAAGGCGTACGGAGAGGAGATAGAATGGCGCGGTTGAGATAATGAATCAGAAAGAGACCGGCGAGGACATGCTGTTGAACTGTGAAACCGGCCTTCAACCCCAAAGGTGACTTGTAGTAGGAGTATGCGAAACATATGGGAGACACGATTTCCATGACAATCCAGGATCTTACTCCTACAAGACTTACAAAATAAGTTCACAGAGAAGGACAAAAAAAGTAACGTACCGTCTAATCTGACGGTATTGATGGTAGCATTCTCAGCAAAACGGCCGAACGGTGCATTGACGAGGAAAGTCACTGGAAAGACTGCAAGACTGCCGATTGTGAACCATTTTCTGCATGCTGTGAACCAAAAGAATTAGAGATGGGACGAATGCAGAGTTCGCGAACCTCACCATCGTATAAAAGTTGCATGACGGAACGTAACAGTCTTGCCAAGCCGTTGCCAAACAAAGTTGGAGCTTTACTTAACCCTCCACGACCTCTACAACACTCACGACAACCTCCAAGACGATTCAAACATGGATGACGGTACGTCTTCAGCATCACAAACGACGACGAACTCTCTATTCCGCCTTAACTGTCGCCATTCCTGCTAGCGACAGCAACGTTTCTCTCTGTCTCTTGCTGGCGAAACAAAGGCGAACAAGCGACATACCTTTTCCATTTCGCTCTTCAGTACTCTTACCGCCATGAGATAATCGACCATCCCTAACTTTTCTGCTTTTTGTCACCCTTTTGTTCTCTCAGCCTGGCAGTCTCAAGATATTGCTCCAGCACAACCTGCAATCAACATTCCCTCCACTGATGTGACTATGGCCAATGGAACAGGTTCTGGGGACGATTACCCAGCTGAAAGGAGTGGAGATGCTCCTCGAAGAAGTCGCAGCCGAAGTCCTGGCCGTGGGTAAGTTTGAATGGGAGTGGCGTATAGCACTATTAACATTTTGGCCCGCAGTCGCTCTGATGGAGGCCAAAATCCAGGCAACAATCTTCATGTTGCGGGATTGAGTCTCAAAGTGGATGTGAGAGAACTCGAGACTGCGTTTGCAAAAATTGGCAGGGTGTGTATCAGCCACGTTGTTATCACTGCTCGTCCTGACTTGGGTTGTAGGTCAAGAAGGCCTCTGTAATGTATGATCCTCATACTCGAGAGTCCCGAGGCTTTGGTTTTGTTACAATGGAGACTTCTGAAGAGGCGGAAGCAGCTATCACTGCGTTGAGCGGGACGGAGCTGATGGGGAAAATGTTGACTATCGAGAAGGTGCACCTCTTTTCGGTTACACCGGTGTTTAGCACTGACATGAAATATAGGCTCGCCGTGGTCGTGCACGTACCCCCACTCCAGGAAAGTACTACGGTCCTGGTAAGCGTGGCGGTGATCGAGGTCGGTGTCTTGCCCATAAAAAATAAACATATTCTAATGATGCATCAGGTGGCTACACTGCGGATCGCCCGTATGACCCTCGACCCTATGACAGTCGGTACGCTAGGGATTACGATTATGACAGACGTGACAGGCGCGGGCGGTATGACGATTACCGCCGCGACTATGACAGAGGCGACAGGTACGACCGAGAGAGATATGGTGGCCGGGACCGGGATAGGGATTATGACCGTGACCGCGGAAGGTACGATGACCGAAGATATTAAGCGTTCTCTGTCTATGCTTTTGTTCAAAGTATCTAAGCCAGTATCCAATCGGCGTTGTTGATTCTGATATCTTTCCCTCATCGAAATTAAAAACTTCCTAGTTATTCCTTCCTACGCACACGCTTCCTGACAATCTTTTATGGGTGCTTTTCGGATTCTGGCATTCCCTTTCGACTGCATAATAACTATGGAAGTATTGTTCAAGTTTTGTTGGTCTGGTAGCCAGCACGTTTCTTAATGCTCGTATGTCTACGCAGGCGCAACTTCGCCAGATAATTCTCGGCAGCTATTATGCTTGCTCTCTTTTTGTACTCGAAGCCTAATGCTTGCGGCGAATTGAAAGACATCAATCAAAGCGAGAGTGGTGCGCTTACTTGTTTGCGCAATTCCAAAACCTGTCTTAATTAGGATCGGTGATGGGCGACTGCTATTCAACCAGAATGTCGTGACACTATAGAGCAAGCGTGAGCGTGGTAGAGGTTGCACGGATGTATAGTATATAAAAACATGGTATAGTACATTATCGCAAGGGTAAAGTCATGCAAACCAGTAATACAACCGTCGTAGGATCGTTTGGCACTCTGCCTCTGCACTCTCTGCCAGTCGTTCCACGTACTCATCAGTGGTAAGATCGACCGTATTCATATCAACAATGTCAGACCAAGGAAATGCCTTTGTCGGTGATCGCGTCTCAGCAGCAGTCTTCGTGGCGTTACGATGACTGAAAGTGAGCCATGCCAAGTACATGCCAACCATAATAGGAATCTCAATATACAGAGAAACGAAATCCACTATACTGAAGGTCGGAATTATCGACGACCATCCTTGAACTGCGAATGTCGTTCATATGAAAGTCATTCAAAAGGAGGATAGAACTCACTAAGGATGAGCGAGGTCACCGTGATAACCTGGCCACACTTAGATATTACTGGCAGCAAAGAATAGAGGGGGACACGTACAACGAAAGGTGGACCCCATGGCCATGTCCATGCCGGCCGGAACTTGAGTTCGTCCAGCGAACGCCCTTGGCGCATCCAAGCCTTTCGAAATCTCCAGCTAGCGAGACCTATGGATAGCCAAGCGATCTATGATGATTTCAATGCCAGTCGCTACCGCCGAAAGAAACCCATACCTGGTTGGACACACCAACGATGTTCTGAAGCCATCCCCACAACTGACCACTACCAATAAAACTACTGCCAAAGCATAGAATGCTTATGCTACTGGTGAGAATCAGAGCTGGTATAGGCACTCCTCTATGAGTCGTCCAGGAAAAGATCTTAGGCGCTTGGGGAGGTACAGTTACAGAAAGCCCTATTCAGGACACCGAATTCATTAGGTGTCTATAGCCGACGAAACGTTGAAACCGTACCATAAAGAACTCTGCTTCCGGCAAACAGTGCATGATTTCCAGCTGAGAGAACAGAAGAAAGTATCACGGTATTCATGAATGATGCAGCCACCTCTGATCATGGAGTCAGAACGAGACACGTGGGATAACGTAAAACATACTGGAGCCAGCATATTGGAACACAATCGTAAAAGGTGAGGTTGTCGTTGTCTTGTTCGACAGATTCGGATAGTCCCAAGGAACTGCATAATCCAGTCAATATACGAAATGTGACCGAAGTATTTCACTAACTGTTTAAGCCAATGAGGAATACGCTCAAAATATAGAAAAGCAATATCCTTCACGGGGTTGTCAGTGCATTTCCCTTCGGACGTACGGAGGACCAACCGCCAAAACACGAATTTTACAACCTTGGGCATATTCTTGGAAGGATTCTTCGTCTCTCCAGCGGTTATTCCCAAGCTTTCAGTCCCGCCATCTAGATTGAGCTTGTTATCTTTATGGTCGAACAGCAGGAATGTATCGCTTACAAGCAAAGCTGGCTGTCACAAATACCTTTGCAAACCCTCCAAAGCCCCCTACAAAAGGGGCGCCAGTGATTCTCCAATTACTAGATCCGATGTACCTGTGATCTTCGTTGACGCCAATGTTGACCAAAATGCCAAGGATAATGAATACAACGACGGTCATGACTTTGAGTGATGACAACCAATACTCTAGGACGACGGTTTGTAAACAGTACATATACGCCACGGGACACGTACCCAACTCTCCATATGTCCGAACATGGGCGGAATTGACGGCCACAAGGAACACCCAGAATAAAAGGCTGATGACCCACGTGTGCCAGTCTGTCCAGTATTCGAGCACTAATTGTGCGGCAGTCAAGTCGGACGCAACAGAGACCGCATCATTGAACCAGTAGTTCCAAGAGAGAGCAAATCCATAAGCCGGAGAAACGAATCTGGTTGCATATGTGTTGAATGATCCGGCAATGGGATACTGGGTTGCCATCTCTCCGAGCAAGAGGAGAGTCACGTAGACGATGAATCCGATTATACCGTAGCATATCAGGATACTTGCTGGGCCACCTTGTGCCAGAGACCGTCCGGTTCCTGCAGAGCTCAATGCAATGAACAAAATGAGAGTGACCCACTTGCCTAAGAAGAGACCCGTTCCAATCGTTCCAGCAATTGCAATCATCTGAACCTGTCTTGCTGACAGTTCACGATGAAGTCGCTGCCTGTTCTCTTCCACAGGCTTTGCATTGTCTGCGGTTGACCGATTAATGGTCCCGTAGTCGCGACGAGCATCCTGCAACGACTTGCCTGTCATGTTTGGTGAAATGGGGAGATAGAGTCTGTTGAAATCTCACGGGTATCAATGGAGACACGGGGCGATGACGCGAATTCGCCTCAGGATGACTGTTCATGGTAGAGATGCGGTCCGGTCTTCCGGGTATTGGCGGCGAACACTGATTATGGACTGAAAATTTTCAGAGTTGTGTTAAAGGATAGTACACATGCGTAGATAATGATACATAGCAAAGGACCATCACCTGCCAACCATGTTCCTAAGAACGCTCGCGCCGTCTGTCTCTATCTCTATCATCCCGTCGTCGTTCCCCTCTCTCATAGTCGCGGTTCCGCTCCCTGTCTCTTCGTCTGCTGCTCTCACGGTCATACTCATCGTCCCGCCGACTCGATTTGCTGTTCCGGTTGTCATCGTACCGGTCTGGAGAATTTCTTCTCGATGACCTTGACGAATCGTAGCCTCGCCGGGGCGACACCGAGCGGTCTCTTCGCTTCTCGCCATTTCCGTCCTTGGACATCTTCACGACGGGGACATATCTGCGGTCCGGACGGTTGTTGCCTCTCTTTTTTCCTGATCCATCATCATAGACCTCCTGCTCCTTTGCGCCGATGCCTAGAAGTGCAGGGCGAGCCTCCGGCAAATAAGGTTCCACCATACCTTTCCCTCCTTTCCTCGTTGCTGCTGTGCCCTCCTTCCATCCCATACCTCTCAACATTGCCGCTCCAAATTGGGAGACGGGTACCCTGTTGTAGTCGGCAAGAGTGGCAGAGTCCGGGAGCTCATCGATATCCTGCTTATAGGCATCGTCTTCTGATACGGGAGTCGAGATAATGTCGATATGGGAACCATCTATTCCTTCGGTGTCTCCAGAGAGGATAGCGCGCAACGCTTTCTGGTCCTCTGTCTCTTCCATTTTGACGTCCTCCATCTGAGCTTCCATTTCCCGGAAGACATCTTGTTCAGCTTTGACCACCTTCTTTCTCATCTGCAGTCCAGATAGCACGGGGCCAGAATTTATGATATCTCTGGTCCCCAGGCCACCAACACTGCCATCGGCGCCTGTGCATGCTTGGCCAGAGGTAGGCACATATTGATTTGCGCTACGCCGCTTGCGAGCGAGCTCCCGCCAGTCTTTGTTCTGTAGGGCCGGTATAATGAGTGGTCCTTGATGAACTTTCTTGGGCTTATTGGATCTGTGAAAGCAGACTAATGTCAGTTTACACGTCTGCAATGGTACGAATGGTGAAGAGACACACCGCTGTGCACCAAATTTATCAAACGCAGTCACCAGCTCATCCTGTTCTTCATCATCTTCGCCACTGGAATCCGGCTGCCCGTCGTAGTATCCAGACACTGGTCTTGGAGAAGAATTGGCACTGCGAGCCAGCGGGCTACCAGGAGACGAGTCATTTAGATGACGGGCGAGTCTATGATGTGGTAGAGAAGGAACCTTAAAGGAAGAATCGGAGTCTGCGCCAGACGATGCTCTGGATATGGGCGTCGGCCGGCGAACAGTGAAGGAGACTTTTTGGACGGACATGAGGGAGCAGAGCCAAGTGCAGATTGCCCAAAAGAGATGAAGCTCCAGCCAATTACATGCAAATACCGATATGTAGAATGTACACAGCCACCGTTCTTGCTTGGAAAGCGTCATGTCGTTTCGATCTGCCGCTAGCTGCCTCAAGCTCGTGTCCCGTCGTCTTGCTCGTCCGCCAGCGTATAGGTCACCTATTATAATGCCAACATGTTCTTTCTCTTCGACCAAATGTCGTCGTGCTGCCTTCGCCGAGCAACCACCTTCACAGCCTACGAAGCTGTTGTTCATACCATCAAAGGAATACCTCGAAGAAGAAGAGATAGATATCGAGCTCCCTGCAGACAAGGATATACATATTGTCATAACGGACCGGGCAGCGGAGGTATATTTCTTCCCCTTCAAGTCGAAGATTTCTTCTGATGTATTCCAGAAATTGCGCGCAATCGCTAAACGTGAAGGGAATCCAGAAGCTGCCCTTCGAATAGCGGTGGAATCCGGTGGCTGCCACGGTTATCAATACAAGATGAACTTGGCAAAACATCGATCCCCAGATGATTAGTTAGTGGTTTTCCGAATTCTCCTTTTATCTGCCTGTCTGTCTGACATTCTCTTACCTAGCTTATTCTCCCATCCCTCCATCTTCCCCTCCAATATACTAGTGGATGCTATCTCGCTGACTCTTCTTAATGGCTCTACAATCGACTTTGCAACTGAACTCATTGGAAGCAGTTTCAGGGTGACAGAGAACCCGCACGCCAAGGGGAGTGGGTGCGGGTGTGGTGTTAGCTGGGAGCTCAAAATATAACAACCTTACGGTCACCTAACAGCTTGACCAATATTGCGACTCTTGCTAGGTTTCTCTGTTGTATATTACACACAGGTGGGAATTGTGGAATCTTGGCAAGAGAACCAGGATATTTATTTACACGTACAGAAATTGAATTTATTGTATATGCAATAATAGATACATCCACACTATCTGATGAAAGTTTCCATCTCTCTCGTTACATACAGACCGTCAAGTACACAACAATCGGATTCGTGGTTATTCGCCGTCAAATGATGAAAAGTGGGTTCAGATTGAATGGGTACCGTAGATCCTTGACTTGTGTTGCATGTCAACGAGGTCTGCCGGAAAATCTCGAATCGACTTCACCAGGATGGGAGCAGGACTCAAACCTTGTCACGGGCAAAATTATGTTGATCGCTCGACAGTATTTCCAGGGGTATCAGTCGAGACAGACGCTCCCTTGTGCTTGATCTTGAGTTCAAGCTAGGAGAAGTTGTCAGAGCGCGCCCAGCTTGACAGAAGGACGCACAAACCTGGACAGGAGAGTATTCGTGTACGCTAGCGATGCAAGTGATGTATGAGACTCCGTATTCATGACCCAGGGAGGAAGGCGATACCTTTTCCGAGAAGGAAACACATCGCAAAAGGAAGCATCGTATCCGATGCAGCTAGCTGACACACGAAAGCGGTTAATGCTATGGCGCTGTATCCAACTTTCTATCAATTATGATGCCTTGAACCAGAACTGAAAGATCTGCCTCGAAAGAATGCCATTGTTTATCGCCAAGAGAGTCAAACGATTCACGACACCACCTGCCCTAGTAATCATGAAGCGATCAGTAGGTTGAATGTGCTTGAATGTTCATCAAACCTACTTTTCAAGTCTAGCTTTACGAATTTGAAGGTAATAGCATAGACTGGCGGTGATGAAAACGTCGGTGGCAGCCGTAATAGCAAAGGCCGGGGGAACGAGATGCTGTTTAACGGATGATTAACTTCATACATGGATATACTATGAGACAAACACCATACCTCGAATCTATGGTAGTCAGTGGCAGCGGGGAATCTTAGACTAAAGCGTGGGTGGTATGTCAGGCATGTAAACATAGCTAACAGACGACTAACCTCTGTACCATCACAGCTACATAGAGAAGGCTCTCATGAGTCTACTGACTCGGACATGGAAAAAAGACAGAACACGCACCGAAAGCCACAGCTGTGAAAGAGAGTGGTATATCAGGTACATGGAATAGATAAATTTGACATACCACATTGAGCCACCGACATGGCGCACTGTATGCAAACTGTTAGTACCAAGAATAGTTTCACGGGAGGACATCCATACCACTGATCCTGTAAGACACAAATTTCTGTCACTCACTGAACGACAGGCACCAGTTTGACATGGACGCATACAGAGAAAGAGCGGACATACTGATATACACTCGATATGCAAAAAAGCTATCCAGGTGCGCTTGAGCAATCGAGTACAGATAAAAGGAGAAGATCACAAACAATTGAATGATGGATGCTGCCAATGCCTATTAAAGCAGTTCAATATCGGCTTAAATCTCTAAAATTCTTGGCCCTGCTCTACTTACATTGGTCCCAGAAGGTACCTGAGAGCCTATGGGTTTAGAGTATCCTCAAGAGTACACAGGAAACTCACGGCGAGCGACCTATAATACAAGATGCATGAAGAAGCCACAGGGAGGAGATAAATAGAGCCTATTCACCATTCAGTATATGACAATGCCCCCAAGTTCCCTCGATTCCTGACTAGATAGTGATACACCGAGAACATAGTCAGACCTTGGTTCAGTGTCTCTAGCGCCCTAGAAATCGCTGTAAACACCAGGATCCTCATTGCGTGTACCTCGTCGACACGAACCACACAACAGCAACCTCATTTTATTAAACAACTAAGTGTCAGCGAAGAGGTTGCTGGAATTTGAACTTTGAAACTTACAGACACCTTCAGGACCTTTGAATCCGATGAATATCGTCGGTAGTACTGAACCGCCTGCGCGAAGGTCACCCCGTATATCCTGTAAACAAAAAGTCGAAACCAATTAGACGGTGCCGAGGAAAAGCCAACTCACGAGCTCGAAATCGTGAGCCCAATCAATAGAACACCCAGAGTTTTATGGGGAACCGGGCTAGGAAGCTCCAGGTCGGACATAGTGATAATCTGAGCCAATGTGAGGGGGGGGGGGCAACGTGGATAGGGTGTTGCTAATAAGACAACTGTCTTCCCAGCATCACAATACACTGCTAACAGCACTAGTAGCTTGGCATACCAACTTCGATGATCTGATGATCAAATCTCGAAGATATCAGCACGGTTCACTAGCGACAGACCAAGAAAATCTGAGTTATAATCGTAACTGGAAGGCCAACATCTTGGGTAGAACATTGCGAAAAGGGCGACATGCGGTGGATTATTCATAGAACCTTACTGCCGCGAATATTAAGTAAATCCCGTCGGTGATATCCCTTCTGTTGTCCCGAGTAAAGAGCAAATGATATCGAGCCCATCTCCATGATATCGATGGTCAAAATCGCCGAGATATCACCTCTCCGTGATGGAATACACGAGGAGGGTATACACCAAGGGTCGCCAAATCGTCGACAGATCCCGCCCAATGGCCCTGCACAGACTGCAACTTGACCGTTGGTTGGCGTGTGATCCAAAGTTTCATTAATGTCTTGCTTCAATCGTTGATTAAATAGCGCGGTCCTAGTGACGATCAGTGAGCGTACTTGAGAAGGGTTCTAGGTAAAAGATGCTTCTAAACGAGTACCAGAATTTGTCAACTAATAATAATTGTTCTTACGTATTCTTACAACGTGTCCTTTCTTAACGAAAGCGAGAACATAAAGGATGCAAAAAGTTAACGATGTGGTCATGATGCGCAACAATAGTGATCTAAAAAGACGGAAAACAGTACTATATATGAGGGTAAAAAGAAAGTAAAGAAAGAAGAAACATCCAATCTCGTCTGGGGGTCGACCACATCCTATAGTCCGTTACATTTGTGTGGAATCCCGACATTATAAGGAAGCATATGACATAGACGTAGACACCCACGATCGTGGACTGCGGTCATAACAAATTTAACACACCACGCAGCAGGTCCAGCTCTTGGACGTCTCCTTGTCCACGCCCTTGCCGCTGCTCCTTCGCCTGTGATGCCGACCTTCCGTAGTCCCGGCGTGACCATTAGTCGGCACACCGTCCCTCATTAGCATGCTGGCTCGAGTGGCAGTCTCGAATACATCATCGACACCCTCAATCTTAAGGGCCGAACATTCCTTGTATGCGCGAGCACCAATGGCATGAGCGACACGTTCACCCTGCTCTCTGGTGACCCAGGTGCGAGAGCTACCTGGTGGAGTCGGCTGGTCCGGGGATGGGCGGAGGTCGGCTTTGCATCCCACCAATATGACAGGAATGGTCGGACCACATATAGATCGCACTTCCTCTATCCACTGGCAACAGTGCCATTGTCAGTTAGGGCAGAGCAAGACTTTTGGTCTCAACTAACCTTGGTTTCCACATTCTCCAGCGAGTCCGGAGTATCCAGGGCGAAAGCAATCAGTATAACGTGTGACTTGGAATATGACATTGGCCGCAAACGCTAGGTAATTGTAAGCGGGGATGAGCGAGTAAGAGCGAAGCATCACACTTCGTATTCTTCTTGTCCACTGTTGAATAGGTCAGGTGTTTGTTCTCGGTTGAAAGAAAGACACGCACGCAGTATCCCAGAGTGCCAGCTGAACCGGTTTCTCGTCGAGCCTAATCTCGGCAACATAGTTGTCGAATACGGCTGGGGGTATCAATGAGCAGGGCGCGACGAACTATGATGTCAGAGGGCCCACTTGGTTGCTAGTGAGACTTGTAAGCACTTTGGATAAGGCAAAGGTTGACAACACATACATATTCTTTCGGAAATTCTCCCAGAGCAAAAGAACATAAAAGCGATGTCTTTCCACAAGCACCTGGAAGAGAAACGTTTAGGACGGTGTGGGCGCAGCTGCTGCGATTACGTGCCGTCGCCGACGATGACAAGTTTCCTGCGTATCTGAAGCAACGCAGAACGGTCAGCAAGGTCGGAGAAAAGAGGTGGAAAAGAGGAAAAGGCTGGGACAAAAAGGGCGGGAATAGAAGTGGGTACGTACAGGATTTTGGGAGGTCATGGAAGTAGGAAGGAGAAGGTAGAAAAAAGATAAAGAAAAAGATGAATGGGACAAGGAGGATGGCTTGAGGCCTTATGAATGTGGATAACGCAAAATGTTGAGGAAGAAGCAGCAAGTCAAGATTGGATTCACAGCCTCTTGTCGGTGACAACCTTGACCGCGTTGGCCTTGTTATTCTCAGAAGGCGATCGCCACAGTGGATTACGACATCGCCATTACGGCCCGTGTACCTTACTCGTCTCTCCTCAGTTAATTCTGTGTACATCGATCCCCTTACTGGGTTATGTGCGGTCTTCAAGCAGAATAATGTTATTAATACAATACTGAGTACAACCGCAGCACGGTTCCAAGCACAAGTTCCAGATACAACCAAAGCAGAGCGAACCAGACCAGAGACAATTGCGCAACACTATCGTTTCCTCTTCAACGGATTCTTAATGTTCACATTCTTGCATAGCATGCTGCGTTCCAGCGCCGCGTGTTCAGGCGCGTCCAGTTCAATACCGAGCTCTTCCGAGAGTTCCGTTGCATCTTGGGGCGCAAGTACGTCTGTCGTAAGTTGCCAGAAGCTAGCCCCAGTCGTCAGCATCGCGGCTACGGAGCTACTCGACTCACTTGGTGAAAATTTTGCGTCGGCGCGCCCATTCCGTTCGCCATTTGATCCACTCTGCGTCTACTAGAGCAAGGTCTTCGGCGGACACTAGGGGGCTACCGGATCGTAAAGGTTGAAGTGTAGCCTGCTTCTTCGCTATCTGCGTATCAGAGATTTACAGTTAGTACCGCAGTCCAGCCACGAAAAGGTGCAGATTGTCAGGCGATAAGGGTGGGGCTTTACCACTTGCATGAGCTCAGCAATCTGAGTGTTCAGTTCTGCGTCAGAGGGCATGCTTTTGATCTTTGATAGCTCTGTTGACAGCAGACATGAAGACAAGAACCGGCATATATGCGCAAATCAGGCTCACCGTTACTTGCAGATTTGATTTCAGATAACAGTAGCTTATTCTCATCATCGATGCGCTTATGCTCTTCTTCAAAAAGAGCGATTTTCTCTGCTGGCACCGTCTCAAGCTTGGCTTGATTCGCTACGAAGAACGTAGTTTTTCCTGCAAGAGGATCAATATGGTGTTCTGGGACGGAACGCTCGTACCATATGTCTTCTGCACTAGCGCACCCTTTTCTGCCAGACTTACTAGAATCTTCTGCGTAGCGGCCTTCGGAACGGCCCCTTTGAGGTTTGCGGCAACGTCCACAGCACCATACGGTCGATTCATCTACAAAAAGACGGTTTAGCATCGATACGAATGGTAGCAAAAGAGACGTCTTACGCGTTTGACATATTCCAGGACCTTGTCTTCGGCTGAGGGTGGCACATTCAGCCTGCCAGTGTAGAATTTTCACAGAAAATAGCACCTTCTTGGCCTTTGAGAACTTTGACGTCGGATTTCTGTTTTGACATGAAGAATAGAGACCAACGCCCACGCAATGCATTCTGAACATTTTTCATTTTTAGCCATGATTTTTTCCCTAAAAAGCATCAGGACTTGCCGAGTTGCCGAATGATGCAATTCTTGAACAGCAAATCGCAAAAGCAAGCGAGGCGGAAACGCCTCGGCCGCCGGCCTTTGCCGAGCAAGATGCTGGACTATATAAAGGTGCGAAGAGGCATTTGCGCCTCTTTTTTTCCTTCCGCTACTGTTGTCCTTTCTCTCCCCTCAATTCCCTTCCCTTCATTGCCTTCGTCTCTCAGGGCCATGGTGCTCATCTCTGACCATTTTCAGTACTGCGAGCTTCCACAAGTTCCATGAGGTACCAGATCTGTGACCCACCCTTGCTGCATTCCTTGGTATGCTTTTTCTTAACAATGCAAGAAGAATTGTCGGCCGTTCATCGCGTGTCAGGCTCCAGGTATGTCGTAATCGATCTCGATACCAGCTTGCTCATTCCTGGCTAGCTCGACTTCATCTACCTTCAACTCCGTGCGTTGAGCGATGGTCGCCCTTTCGTATGACCAACCTCGTTGAACCTCCCTTTGTCGATACGGGGACCCTCACCCCCTCTTTCCGCAGGCATTCGGAACAAATCGTAGTGTTCTCGATATCATCTTGCTCATCCCTGGCTAGCTCGACTTCGTCTCCATGCGTTGAGCTACGCCGCCCTTACGCATGACCCACCTCGTGTGCCCCTCTCCGTCTGTGCCCCTCTCCGTCAAGAACTCACCCCATCAACTTTCCGCAGCCATTCGGAGCATATCACCGTGCTGGACATTGCCAGGGCTCTCTAGTTTGCAGCCGTTGCTATTCTCTATCGTGGTTGTCGCCTCCTTCGTCATTTACTCTGACAGTATCGGTTATTCTTTTAGCCGCTCTTGATCACAGTTACGGTCTAGATTTCTTCATTTGGCTTGATTGCAACTGTTCCAGCCTTGTCCGACAGCTAGGCAAATGATTAGGGCCGTATACTAGACTGCTTGGCGTCTCAGCTCTTGCAAATTTGGTCGACAAATACACGTCTGACTCCGATGGAATCGTGGTTTTGGCATCGGGAATGAGTCGGATTTTTCCGTAGCATGTAAATTCCATGGAAATAAATAGAGCATACTTGCCCTTGTCTTTCCTTGTGCTACGTCAAGTTCAAATGTATCTACTCCCAAGGATGGACATGGGATCGAGTTCTTCGTCATCCTCGTCCTGCACAATTTCTATGCTGTGGAATTGGACTACTGTAGATGCTTGCTTCATCTCAAGTCAATGGCACATCAGAACTGTAGGTGCGGGCACATTCGACCTTGACTTGTAAGCAGTTCCGCTCAAGAAATATGTTTGCAGGTGCCTACGTTGGGAGCTTGATCGGCGTTTTTGTTTGGGTTGTCGTCCTGGAAGCATTCCGTCGTCTCTCCAGGGAGTACGATCGTCGCATTATCATGGAATGGAAAAACTCTCGAGCCAGCGTCGAAACAGCCGCGCATGACAGCATTAAAGGACTTTCGGGACCCGATATCATGCGTTTTGGTGGTGCTAACGGAGAATTTCGGTTTGTACTTCTATGTCCCGCACTTTTTTCTCGCTCATCCTTAAAAATACTGAATAGGCCGACGCACAGCCAACAACTTATTCGTAGTATCTTCCACGCGGTTCAATTTGGCGCCGGCTACATGCTCATGTTGCTGGCCATGTACTACAACGGTGGTATTCTCTTGGTTATATTTGTGAGCACCCTTAGGATACCAACTATGATAGAACGCTGACATTGTTATAGGTTGCTACATTCGTAGGATACTTCATCTCTGGTCGTGATATGCCTGGCGGGGGCTCTCAAAGTGAAGGGGGCAAGGAATGTTGCTAGGAAGCAGCCTTGTAGAATTATAGATTACAGTAACGAAACAATTACGCGTAGTAACTTTCAAATTTAGGCCTTTTCCTCTTTCTGGAGCAGTCTGCCCTTCGTTCAGGTCTTTCATTGAATGCAATACTAAAAATACAACGCGAGTTACAAGAACAGTGGCATTGAAAAGAACTATCAACTAATTGACATAGCTGTATCTGTGGCGTCAGACAGCTGGGCTGTTGAAGCATCTCCAGCCTTTGGTCTCATGGAAAATATGATGTCTTTTATCACTTGCGCAATCAACCCGTGCTGAGCCTCGACAGCGATCTTCGTGCTGTAAAGAAATTAGCGATAGGACTTTCAAATCGCGCGCGTTCGTACCTGTCTTTGACACTCTTAGCGAGCTGGTTGTCTTCTTTCTTCTTCTCTTCTTTCTCTTTCTGTGATAATCTCAGTGAAATACGGCAACCACTCACGAAGATAGTTTACCTTGCTTGCACTGCCCTCCTTGTCTCGCATGACGGGAATGGGCGCACGCGTGCTGGTGACAGAAGTTTGGGCTTTAGACAACTTCTGGTGCAAATCCGATAGCTGTGAGACAGCATATGCCCGATTCTGTTGAATGGAGGTCCGAAAAGATGAATTTACAGCATGCGGGGAAGTTCATACCGAGATCAGAGGGCTCTGGCTCAATGTATTTACCCAGTACTTGTTCCACAGCAATCCCAGCAACTCGTTATCTAATGTCGACTTGAATATTTCCACGTCTATCTGGTAGTATTGATTTGCATGTACGCCAAAATCTTCAATCTTGCTCAAGGGGATAGATTGATATTCGGACGAGCTGGTGTTTGCGGGTTTGTAGTTTTCGGGATATGTGCGGAATGCACCAATATCCACTTTGCCGGCAGAAATTGTTCGGTTCGGGTCAATCTGCCGTAGAAAATTATAAGATAGAGTCAGCAATATGATCACTAGACTTACAACGACAGCAACGAAAGGATCTTGATACTTCTGGTTGTTCATCTGAGTATTGACGTCGATACCCGACAGCCAACATCCATAACCTGGATGAGAATGATACCATCCAATGGCATGCTCAGGTCTCTGAGCCTATTCTGTGTAAGACGATGTAATCACCGATCTAATATGATACGCACCTTGCTGCTGCCCTCTGTATACTCTACCATGTACTCATTAGCTTCGTTAGCTGCGTTGACACGCGTTTCTGTGCCCTGCACTGGCAACGCAAAGGAGTCCATGATGACAATTGAGTTCCCGACAACTTTGCCTTGCATTAGCCCCATAATCTCGTGTGGCACACCGGAGCGTGCATGTATGACCTGCAGGAGTTTTCAGCAGTGATAGTAGGATCGTATGACAGAAAACGTGCCATTTTTATTAATGCTACAGCCGAAATCTTGCACGACTTGAAGAAATGGGGGCTGCATGTCGCTTAATGAGAGATCGATACGGCAAAAAAGTTAGGCATACTCTTTCGACCAGGGCGACTCTTGGTCAATCCGCCTAGCTTCGTCAGCATCAAACTTGTATATTGAATCCTGAGGTGATATCTCCAGAATGCTGTTCGTTAGAGAGAATGTCTTCAGCGCCGTTCTCGACGACGACATGGCAGAAGGACATGAACGATGAAGGGAGCAGGAGTGTCACACGCGTGACAACTCGTTTCTGACCACGTCTAAAGCAAGTAGCAGAGCAAGTACTAGAGCAAGTACTCCCTACCTCTACATTGCAATATCTATACTCTGCTACACACGCGTGAATTCGAATATATCTTCACGCTCTCAGAGCGTGACCTTTGCTGAATCACAAGGACTCGGCAAAAGATGACCACGACCATCGACATCCTTGCACCCTAAACAGACTCGAAAATTGCTATTCAACGTAAATCTCGTCCCATAGTTTGTTCCGCGACCAAGATATCTCTACCTGTTGCTGAAGAGTATCCATCTGATACCTTCAACAACGTCAGAAGTCAGGATATTCTTCATGGAACGGGACGCAAATGGCGGTCTACGCGCAGCCATATCAGGAGGTCCTAAAGGATACGTCAGCGGGCCAGCCAATGGAAAAAGGAAAGACACCAACTGACGAAAAGCAGCTGAGGATTTCTGCTTTTCCTTTAATGCCCTTTCCATCTCTTCAAACACGCTCAACGCCACGTTACTCTTTCTCTCTACGTTCTCTGTAGGCAACATGATGATGCTCGGAGGCCACTCGTGTTCGGGAACCCCCATACTGAGGAGGGTATTTCTTAATGCAACGACATTCTTCTTGTACGCCATCATGGATTCCTCGTAAAGGTCGTATACACAGATGGCACAGCCTGACATACAGCACTCTAAATGGATGCAGATTAGACACGACATAAGGCCCGTAAACGCACGCACCATCCGATTCGGGAGCTCGCGGTAGCTCTGGTACAACTAATCCTCTAAAAGTGTTCTGTTGCTTCTTCTTCCCAGTTTTCTCTGCTACGATAAGCAATGAACCCGATAGTTCGTCCAGATCTCCCTGTAAGGTCTGTTTCTGACGAAGCGATTTTTCTAAGCGTGCGTATCGAGCGGACAGGTTTTGACCATGTCCAGTTGCTCTCTGCCGACCTGTTGCACTTGACAAGTATCGAAGAAGTGCTATGGCTGGACATCGATGTCTAGGCAGGCAGGAAAGAAGGTACGTATACATGGATACATGGTGGAGGAAAGGTTAAGCATCCGTCGGCTTATTCGGACCACGGAGAAACCGGTCCGAGGCATTACGAATTGCAAATTCATAGAATATTAAGTACACATTTTCTCTAGTCTTTCAAATCCACCACTATCGGTCTAAACCCAGGTCCCCCAAAAGGAGTTCTTCCCTTTGGTCCCCACGAATGTCTCCCCATGGGCCAGTTCGCCGCATTAACAAATACCGTACGATCTCCACCCTTAGAAAGATTATATGGTTCAGGAAGGTCCACGCCATCATCCATGTAATCGTCAGCATCGTCAATATATTCTCCTTCCAAATCGTTCTCAGGTTGAACATCAGGCGTCTCTGTAGATCCGGAAGACCATTCATGCACGTACGCGCCATGTCCTTCATGTATGTGGCCAAAAAGGTGAATCCGTGGTCGAAGGTAAGGCAGTCGATTGGTGAGATCCCGGCATCCTGCACGAATACAGCTGCTTGTGAGATCGAAGATTCCCAGAGGAGGCCCATGAGTAAGTCTGCAAGCATGGTAAATATTACGAATCATAAGGAACAGATAAGACGCCTGCAAGATGTCAGTCTTGGGAAACTGCGATATCAAGCCTAGAGAAAGAACGTCGGTTTGCTAGAGATAAAGAAGAAACCGGGATCACGTTTTCCATCTCGGCGATCATAGTTGAAGGCCCAATCGCAGAACTCTGGAGACCACTTGAGTGTTATCAGAGACACGAAGTCGAATTGGAAGAAGATAAACAACTAACGGGAGATCCATAGACACTCCAGGCTCTTCCACCATCTTTTGCTTGGAAAATGTGTGACTCGTCTTGCAGGTAAAAAATCCCTGCTTCCGTCGCTTTAGGGCCTTTGAGAAGCTCGAAGATGGGTTTGAGATTCTGAAAGGGTCAGATTGAAAAATTGGCGTGGTGATATAAACCCACCTCCGGCTTCATGTGCCAACCCTGATAGTTTCTCTCATACCAGTCATCATGCCGGTCAAGAGTAAGATCATGATTTCCTGCAATAATACTTCCGTGACATGAGTGAGGGGGGGAAGCAGTGAGAACCGCCGAGTGGCACTCACACCTTTGTCCTGTGAGGCAAAGAGCGGATCCACTCCATGGTCTTCTCGAATTCTTTCAAGGTGCCCGTATTAGTGAGATCACCACTATGAATGAGAACGTCCCCCCATGGGACGTCAAAGGTATGCGAATGGGTATCACTTATGCAAACGAAACGAGTCCATTCATCGGAAGGCGGAGGTGGAAGCTGAAAGGGACTGTCATATTCCACATAGACGACCTCGGTATCCGATTCGAGAACTACAGCGCCCAAATGATTTTCCATGATTGGAACGCTGGAACGCTGACTTGCAGGGGGCGAAAAGGTGTCCGTGTCCCTTTGATGATTGCTTGCCGGAGGCGTGCATTTGATCTTTTGATGGCAACGATCGGAGATCGAAAATCCAACTCAGGGGCTCGTCGGCTTCGGCTGCCGATCCACGACTTGCAACGTTGAAGTCGAAAGTGATCAGCTCTGAAGTGGTGGCGGAGCGTGATTCATGCTGGTCCAGGAAGCCCATGACTGTCTTCTTGATTACTTACCATACACAATGAACTTTTCTATAAATCCAGAAGCCCTTGAAGATGGGGTTCAGGACCACTGGTGCTCTTCTCTCCTCTGTGTCCTAGTATACCAGTCCTTCAGCCTTATGAAGAGGTCTTTCTACTGTCTCGTCACTCTCCTCGGCCTTGCTCAGTCTCTGTCTCTGGGGCGAGATCGTAACGATGGCATTCATCTTGCTGTTGGACCGCACTGCGGCACCCTCAATGGCAACGTTTCCGATATCAACGCTGGAGTAAATCCTTTTCACTTCAAGACCGTTGTTTCATTTGGGGTTCGTTAAAAGTGTCATTTCGCTGAAAACTGGAAGTGACTCTGCCTTAGGACTCCTACACAGACGGCGGCGTCGACGACGGCTCTCCTCTTGCTCCAGCTGTGATCATCCCACCAAGTGTGCTTGCAGGCGGCAGATCCACAGACGGTCCTGTGTGGGTTGAATGGGTCGCTAATGCTACAGGGGCTAAACTGATGGATTATGCTGTAAGAACCTCAATGAATGTCTCGTGCCAACCTGCCTGACGCCTTCAAATCAAGCAATCCGGTGCATGTATCGACCTCGCGCTCTGGCCGAGTAATCCTCGCAAGGTCGACTTTCTAGGGCAAAGTCAGGGCTATTTTCCTCTTTTTGCACGCGACTGTTAATGTCCTTGCAGTGTCAATATTCCTCAATCAATCGAATGAGTTGGATCCAGACACAACTCTGTACAGTATCTTTTTTGGCATAAAGTTAGTCTTTCCTCAGTTTCGCCGTGCATCACCAACTGACACGAGTTCATAGTGACTACATTGCCTCCTTAAGTACGTGCTCGCTTATTTCTCTCCGGTGCTGATAGTGACCTGCTGCACAGTTGATGGTGATCACATGCAAGAAGCTGCACAAGTACTCCTCGACCAGATTACGATTTTGTCCAGTGCTCCTACCAATGGCCGCTCGTTCATGGTTCTAGATGTATACGGCCGAGGCACGCATACTCCCTCCGGAGAGGCATTCAAGCAGACCATTTATAATGGTCTAAGCGATTTTCACACTGGTTCTGATAAGTTAAATGTGGCGTACGTGGATTTTTCCCGGATCTGGGATGGCGTTCTCGGAACGACTCCAGGATACGAGGCATTCGGATACACGAGTACGGATGACTGTGTCGACTGCTCTGAAGATTGTGACGCCTATGGGTGGTGTTTGGATCCGGCGCACTATTTCTACTGGATTTCGGGGCAAGTAAATATTTCTATCGCCTTTTTCATGCAACTGAGAGAGTCATCCAGGCATCCGTCTAATGAGACTATGCGGATTATGGCGGATTATGTCCATGAGGTTCTGACGGAATGCCAGGTAGCTTGATACATTACCACGAACTGAAGAAGTGTACATTCTCGGACAATAATGACGGTTTTCAGAAATAAACCGGTGGCGGTGTTTCCAGATTGATCGTGTCTGCCTTGGCCGTTTCCTCTCAACATGTGTACAGTAATTCCTCTGATTCAAACCCGAGTACTTAAACCCAGTTCATAAATTTGACGTGGAAATCCATTATTAGCCAAGTGTAGGTAGGGATGTTTCCTTTTTCCTACCATCGGAAACACGTTGAAATTGCTATTAATAGGTGCTCGAGGACTACTGGCCGGCTATTCTTATAATCTGATCGAAACGTTGTCGAAGTGTGGAACTCTGGGGACCTTCGCAAGGGTTCTGTTGCAAGATACAAAATGGACATCGAAGTGACATTCATACATATGACCAAATACGAGCATGAGATTCATCAATGGTGCTCTTCGGTCCCATGCGCCTGGCTATCTCAACTGCATGGCCTAATTGGAAAGCTGCATTACTATCTCGTTGCTCTACTTGGTATCGCATCGACTTTCTCAGATGGCCCCATCCTGATGAATGAATCTGGTAATGATGTTCGTCTCGCGATATCGCCGCGCTGCGGCCTTCTTTCTGAGGTTGTATCCGACGTCAACACCGGCATTAATATTGGTGCAATTAAGACGATCGTTTCATTCGGCGTTCGTATAGTTTCTATATTACGACCCCGAACCCGGTATTCTGATGTCCGGGCTAGGATTCCTATACTGACGGCGGAAATGACGATGGTTCTCCTCTTGAACCTGCCGTTCTCATCCCGCCGAGTGTTCTTGCTGGCGGTCGATCGACAAATGGACCGGTGTGGATTGAAAGACTCGCTAACAAAAGTGAAGCCGTTCTTATGAGCTACGCAGTAAGAAGCTGGTTTTTTTTTATATTCAATATGTTTCTGATTTACGTGTCAGCAATGGGGAGCGTGTATCGACTTGTCTATTTGGCCCAGTAACCCCCGAAAAGTTGATTTCATAGGACAGAGTAAGGCCCTTATCTTCTTCCGACACGCCTTATGTTTAAATTGCTTGTCAGTGTCAACATTTCTTAATCAAGCTCAAGAATTAGACCCGGAAACCACACTCTATAGCCTCTTTTTTGGAATCAAGTACGTAGTTTTACACCTATTTTCAGCTCGCTAGTCATTCGCCTTGATCTGACAAGCGTTGATAGTGACTTTGGTGACTCAAAGGGTAAGCCTTAGGGCTGGTGCACTTAATCCCTTGTACTTATACATTATTCTTAGTGGACGGAGACCACTTGGATGATGCGGCTGAGGCATTATTGGACCAAATAGACATTCTATCAAGCCCACCTATCAACGGCCACCATTTCATGATATCGGATGTCTACGGGCAAGGAGAGCATGCGGATCGCGGCGAACGCTTCAAACAAATCATTTACGACGGCTTATATGACTTTCATGTGGGAGAAAAACATCTGGATGTAGCCTATGTGGATTTTGGTCGCATATGGGACGGTGTGCTCGGAGAAACGCCTGGATATGAGGCATTTGGATTCACAAGTACAGAACAGTGCACGGAGTGCTACGAGAACTGCGATGAGAATGGATGGTGCGATGACCCTGATCATCATTTCTATTGGATCCCTGGGTATGAAGTTGTAAACATCTTGAGTTGCTGTGGTATTGACGATATTTGATAGGCATCCATCCAAGGAAACGCATCGAATCATGGCAGATTACGTCCATGAAGTCTTCACGTTATGTCGTATCTCTTGATCTGTGTATCAGTTCCTGTATTTTATTATACGAATGCAGTGTGGTGCTGCTTGAACTGGTTCGTACTCTTTACGCAGTCTGAGGGAGTGATCATGATCCTCATCAGGATGTCCTTGTCCGACGTCCCGAAGTTGTCGAAGTGGAAGAACACCTAACAGGTAAGCGATAATACCTCGCTTTCTTTAAACGTCGCTTCTTTCTTCAAGTTTCACCATGACCTTAGTGCTGTACCTGGCCATGACTCCCCTGACATAATACCCGATTGTTGCTGTCGCAAATACACAATACTACCGCAGAGGGGAGCCTCTCGGCAATTTCGATTCAGCAGGTCTAGACCAGCGAGCCTGTAAAGTACTTTTAGGTGCGGTAGGTTCTCAAAGAGTTCCTCTCGTATATCCATTACTTCTCAGCGCCCGCCGACGTCAGCGATATTCATTGAACCTTATCTGTCCCCCGTCGCACTCTCTGTTGGTCTTACAAAATTACCGACTCGTCTCTGTGTTTTTCTGGTTCTTCTTGGCTTTCATGTTTATGTATCTGGTCATCACACCACTTTTCAGTCATAATTATTCCCCGACGCCTATGGGAAGATGAACAAGAAAGCTAAAAACAACTGGTGAGTCATGGGCTTGGTCTTTGTTCAGAGTAGGTGTAACAAGGAAGGTGCATCGTTTCACAGGCTCATGTAATTTCGTTAGCTTTAAGTTGCTTGAGACTGAAAGATATAAGAAAGGATCCAACTTATGGGTTGTCTGAGGAAAGAATTGAGATCTTCACTTGTACTTCCAGTGGGTTCGTGAGGCCGAATAATTTGTGGCGTAGTATACCTGACGCTGTTTATTGAGGCGAGCGTACGTCACCTTTGAGTTTGAGTCTTCTATCCATTATTAACATTGATTGACTGTTCTTTCGACTTCTTTTCCAGGAGCAGATTCTTTTTAAATATCCACTGACGCTATACACCATCCTTCTTTTTGGGTATTCTCTCCGTAGTTGCTAGTTGCTACTAATGCAAAGGCTTCTTCGGGTTCCTGGACAAACAAACCAGACTGGCAGGACTTGCAGTTATTAATGGCTTGTGCCTATTGAGCACCCTTTTTGTCGTGCGACGATGGAGGCATATAGTTGGTGTTCCTTCGGACTTCGCGAATTCTGATTATGATTATTCACGACTTATTGAACAGTCATATAACCTTGAAAAACCCTGTATTCAGTGCGGAATGATGCTCCAGTCACTTACCTCCGCGTAGTTGCGGGAGGTGATATAGTTCATATGCTGTGGTTCGCGTCTATGCTATCCGGAAGAGATTTACCAAGCAGCCAATTCCGTGAAGGGAAATATTTGCTAGTAGCTTCCCGGGAATGGTGCTACATCACCGTCTGGAGGTCGATATTCAAGTTCGGACATTGTTCTTGTTATTACGGGACCATTAATTAGCCATATATTTCGTTCCTTGCTGAGAATCCATAACGATAAACCTTAGGTCGAAAAAAGAGTGAAGAAACAAACTGGTATTCCCGCATGCACGACTCCGTACTGTAGTGTCGTCAAAAATATTCATCCGCTGAAAGATGAAACGCGCTTGAACGATATCCCAAGGCTTGGGTCAATGACGGACGCCACGGTCAGGTCGCGTGGACGAAGATCCGTAGCTTCGCAATCGCTCGGCAAGCACCGGATCTATCATACCCCACCCTTTCCGTTGGTTGGCAAAATTGCCAGCGGTAGGGAGCGCCTTGGTCACCTAGTCGCGCATTCCCAAGTCTTGTTTAGCTCATACATATGCACCTTGCACCCTGTGCAAATGAGTTCAAATGTCTCCGGTCAGCGAGATTCAAAGAACATTGACTATGTCCTCCGGTCTGGTCTTGCCGGTGGGATTGCGGGTTGCGTCGTGCGTACTCGTCGTGCATCCTGATCTTTCGTTCTTATCCCTATTCGTGGCAGGCAAAGACTGTGGTCGCTCCTCTTGATAGGGTGAAGATTCTTTTTCAAGCGTCCAATCCTGATTTCCAGCAATATGCAGGTAAGCGGGTGGAATAGCTGTATTCCGCGCTTTTTACATCTTCTTTCTAGGTTCCTGGAGTGGGGCATATCGTGCGGGCACTAAAATATTCCATGATTCTGGTATACGGGGTCTCTTCCAAGGGCATTCGGCGACGTTGTTGCGTGTTTTTCCTTATGCTGCCATCAAATTTATGGCGTACGAGCAGATACACAACGTGAGCTCACCTGCCATCCTTCTCGCCGACGCACCTCGAATGAACTACTCATACATAGCTTCTAATGCCGACGAGACGAGACGAGACGAACTTTCGCAGATTTTCAGCGGGCGCCATATCAGGTTTTTGTATTCAGAACGTTCTTTTCGACTTTCGTCATTAATGCATCTTGGGCAGGGTTAATATCCGTTTTCTTTACATATCCTTTGGAGGTTACCCGCGTGCGCATGGCTTTCCAAACAGATCCGCCTTCGCAACCTATACAGCGGATTCGCCCATCCTTGGTCCAAGCGGTGCATCATATGTATTATGAAACTGCGTCAATACCAAAAACCACGGCCACCATCAGCCCGACAAGAACTCTCTTCACTCGTTTCCCCATTCTCAAATTTTATCGCGGGTTTACCGCGACTATCGTCGGTATGATACCCTATGCAGGAATGACCTTTCTCTGTTGGGGATACTTGCGCGCCTGTTTTGTTCCCCAAAGCTCGCCGAAGAAGGCTACACCGGGTGCTGACCTTACTGTAGGCGCCGTTTCGGGGGCGACGGCCCAAACACTTTCTTATCCACTTGAAGTCATTCGGAGGCGGATGCAAGTAGGTGGGGTCACTCGGCCTGATCGCTGGCTTCGGTGGGGAGAGACAATGTCCTCCATCTGGAGGACCAGTGGATGGAGGGGATTCTATGTGGGACTGAGTATAGGCTATTTAAAAATTGTGCCTATGACGGCGGTAAGCTTTGCCGTATGGCAAGAAGGGAAACGATTGCTGGACGTCTAATTATGGAAGGCTCAAAGTATGTCTTTGGACTTCTATCAATATGTTTGAGTGCTTATTAATCTTTCCTAGGGTTTGTATACTAATAGACATCATGTATTTGAAGGCAAATTACTGGAACAACCGATCACTCATCACGGCTCTCATCTCAGTAACCCTTGCGCAACTATTCTTTCGGAAACGAGCCCGGCGCCTTATACACCGGTCAGATGTTGGCGCTTGTTTTCCGACGCCAATGTTGCCATATGGAGAGTGCCTTACCGATGATACTTGATCCTAGACCATCCTAGACGCCCAGTGCTGGCAATAAGTTATATGTAGGTACTTATCGTGTTAGTGGTCTGCTCTGAATCCAGGAACACATTGACAGAGATCGGTACCGTGGCGCGGAACGGGTGATATGTTTCAACGACAATGCATTATCGTACTTCATTTTTCGTGGCCGCTTGAGAACTCTATTTGACCTTATCAAGACCACGTTATTCTGTCCTTTTATTCCACCGGTCCCGGGGCCGCCAGCTGAAAAGCACGGGATAGAGAGAGCGCGGCGTATTTTCAAATAATAAGGTTAAGAAATTCCAAAGGCGAAATTGGCGATCACGAGGTGTTGACTGGATGGGAAATGTTGCGCCGCAAAACATCGAGGTCGCCAGCAAGTAGACCGCGAGAACGAAGAAACAGATTAGGATTACGTCGGGCGAGAGCGATAGATCACGCCGCCCATTTCGAACAATTGTCCATAAAATGGAGGACGCAAAACAGGTTTACATGTAAGACATGAGGAAACCCGGTGTTTGATATGTCCGGGAAAATGAGCGAGTGAATAGCCGTGTGGAATGTAAGGCACAAGTCGATAACGTCAAGAGTGACAGTGATATCCTCAACGCATTATATACGAACAATAGCGCTGGTGCGATATTCTACTAGATAATATCTTGGTTGATAGCCGATTATGTTGTTGTCGCTGATAATCCGGACCTGCCAGGGCCGTATTTTGAAGGCCGAGGGAGACCGGCTGGTGGGGGGAACATGATCCTCTTGGATGAGCCAATGGGCTGAGAACGATACGTGTGAACCGGTGGGGACTTGGGAATCCGGTTGGATCGTGCAATCAATTCATCGAATATGCAGAAGATGTCGATGGACTCGTGTTGCGAGTTGTTATGCAAAGTAGATGGTTACTGGAGCGAGGTACGGGAAGAGCAGTGCAAACATTGCCACGAACGAACGCGCATGGCGTTACTGCGCTCGACATAGCACGGTATGCCAGGACCGTACTTTGCGCTCATAGAAATAGGAAATCAAAAGATCAGAGAAATGCTGAAAACGGGTGATAGTGATATTGTGCCAAATTATTTTATAGAAATTGAATGCTGGCGGTAATAACCAGGAATGGGCAAGCGAGGAAGGATAGCCATTTTTGGAGTGGGACTTTGTCGGTCCATTCTTGGAAGACCATTCATTCATTTACGGCTTACCAGAGCGGCTTACCCAGATCTTATCGTCGACGACGTGCACGGAGATGTGATATCGGACTCCACCCTTCCTTTCTTCGTTCCCTCCTCCATCTCGTCCTCGACGTCGTCCAGCGTCCTCTGCTCACTGCCAGCACGGCGTCCACAACTTCTTCAAGCTGTCACAACATCCATCACCATCATTTCACCTGCAACGTGCATACAACCACTTAGCGCCGTCTACCACCACCATCCTCGTCCCTATCCTTGACGATGCCTGTCCCGATTCCCGTTCCCTTGCGCACCAATGCCAATATGCGCCTTGAGGCAAAGTACAATGTCATCACAGAGTGCAAGTTTTCTCCTCTTTATGTTTCACTTTTGTCTTGTTGCTCATCATTTCCAGTCCCCAGCTTCGACTTGCATTCCGCTGCGGCGACGGGCAATATGGGTCTCGTGGAGTACGCTCTGGCTCGTGGGCAGCCAATCAACTCCGTTCTCGATGGTGTTCTTCCGCTTCACGCTGCTTGTGCGGGGGGGAATGAGCAGGTCGTCAAGCTTTTGATTGAACATGGTGCGGACGTCAATGCCCCAAGGTATGTGATCCGTTATATTGCATTAGTCTCCGTCGACTGACTCCTCTGTGCCAATCAGGCTACCGCGCCGATATTCAAATGAGAAAAATCGAGATGCCTCCGCTCCCATCGTCGGTACTTCTGGGTCCACGCCTCTCCATTTTGCAGCTGCCAACGGCAACACCAACATCGTTACCACCTTGTTGCTCAAAGGAGCTCACCCCGACCGCTCTGACAAGCACGGTGTTACAGCAGAAATGCTTGCACGTCAAAATGGCTGGTTGGAGTGCGCTGAGGTTCTGAAGACATGGATGCAAAATAAAGATAAAGATCTTTTGGAGCGTGAGGTCCATGGTGTCGCCGAGAGCAGTCGGTCGGGGCGGGATAGACAAGGCTCCTTTGGCACCGACATTGACGCCCTCATAAGCTCTCGCAGACGCATCAACGTGAAACGTTCCATGGACACTGCTCTCAGCATGCTTAAAGTGTCTTCTTCGGGTCTATCTGACACATATCACAGGCAAACGCCTGATTCTTCGTCGATGCCCCCTTCTCCCATACAACCGGGCGAATACTCCCATTCTTTTGATGGTGGGCGCCGCTACAGTCCCAGTCACAGTCCCAGTCCCAGTCCCATCGAACCTGGCTCTCGACGTCCATCACTGCCATATATATATCAATCTCATCCTACTGGTTCTTCGCGACGCCACAAATCTCCAACACCAAGCAAAGGGCCTCCCAGCCCTCGGCGGCCTCGCTCCGCCGGCACGGGGGCAGAGAACTCGGATGCCAATTTGCCGAGAAGCGGCAAGAGGCTGGGTACCAAGTATTCTTTGATGAACATATTCAAGAAGAACCAAGCGGGGGAGTCTACATCGTCATTTGAACGCATACCATCACAGCCAGCTTCGATCGCATCAATCTCAAATTTAGCTATAGCCTCAGTTTCGATCACCAGCACCCCAAGATCTATCCTTCCGTCCTCGTCGCCTTCTGGCGGTGATATGCCTACATCGGGCTCTCCTTTCTCAGTTAATGAGCGCCGTTTCCGCATGGGCAGTGATGCCTCCCTTACTCGTCCTTCAATAACACACACTCACCAACGAGGTTCACCTTCCCTCAGTCCCCAGCTTCCTGCACCATCCGCAATTGACCTACATAACGCACTAGCTCATCACCAGCAAAACATGACCAGAGATCGTGCCGGTTCAGCAAGCAGTGCTAATCGTTCTGAACCGCCGGGCCTGGGCCTCACCTTCGAAACCAGTTCAGGTGAGGTGTCGGGTAGTCCGGCTTCAAGAGGCATATTGCGCACCAGAGCGTCGTCGCAGCTTGGTCATTCAAGACAGCGTTCAGGCTCCGCCAACCGAAGCGGCACAGTCTTTGACGACGTCGTGGTTATTCCTGGATCGGAAGATCGACCTCCCAGTACTCAGGGAAAGACAACAAGGCCTAGTATCTTGCGAGCACATAACCGCAGCCCGTCCTCGGGGCAAAGCAGTGGTCTTCCTTCGAGTCTCAGAGCACTCCGATTTGATTCTTCATCCAGCAATGGTAGGGAGGGAAGTCCATCATTGCGTGGAAGTAACAGTACGAACTCTTTGGTCAGATTCGTCGACAGAGTCGGAGATGTGCCCATACGACCGGGCAGTTCAGCGTCTTCGCATGATAAAACCAAAGAATCACTTCCTGATTCAGCACCCCCTACCATGACCGACTTTCCGAATTTCTCCCCAAGAAGCGATCATCAAGTAGATGACGACGAGCAAGATTATGGTCGAACGTACGACCATCCCTCACTGAAGTCTGAGATCCAGACCAGGGAACGAGATGGCTCAACGGCCTCTATATCGAGTACAGAGTTCCCATTCAGCATCAATCGTCCACCGCCTGACCCGTTGGAAGAGGTCGCCAAACGTTCATCTGAGGATAGTCGTGATAGAGGTGACTCTGTCAGCAGCACGAGTACTAATCCAAATTTGAGTACGAGCGGCACGACGAGCGGCAGCGGGGACAGCGCTACGGCTACGCCTCCCTTAGATCCAAGCTATCTGGAGACAGGGTCAGAAGGGGAGCTGAAGGTTTTCGTTGATGAGCCACGGGATGAATTCGATCGCTCTTTAGGGGACAGTGACTCGCCTGGTCTCGATATGCTGGAGTGTGGGGCTTGCTCGCCGTTAGAAATCGATCTTAGTTCCATATCCTCGCATGCGCAGGCAGAGGCGCTCGTCCAACGGGCTCAGCGGGATATCTTGGAGATGGTGCAAGAAGAAGATCATGATACGACTTCCAAGATGCCACTGAGTGCGAGGTTGGCTGCGTACGGGGAAAGTCTGGCTTTGGAGAGAAGGTTAAGAGAGCAAAAGGAAGGAGATGATCCCTTGAGCAGTCTGAATCCTACCTCCGTGAAATCCAGATCCTTCGTGAATCGACAACGTAGTATGGAAGGTAGCCTGGCCTCAACACCTGTGCGGTCCAGATTCCGGCGCCCACATACCAGTGATGGTACATCTTCAAACGAAAGTGAGTTTGACGTCTAGCTATCTCGTATGACTTGTTTTTAAAATTAATTTTCAGGCATTCCTACCTCTACGCACAGTCTTGAAGGTTCTAGAGCGAAGCACCACACATCTCGGTCTGCTTCAACTGTGGAAGCCTTTGCATCTAATGCGTCACCTGCCCGATTGCCTGCTGGATCCATGTATAAACAGCCTATACCCCTTGCTAATATCGTACCTCGTAACCAGGAACAACTCAGTCGCGTCAGCTCCTTCGATGGTGCTGACACCGATATTGAGCTTGGACCTGCGCTGTTCCGCGTGTCTACTGCACCCCATCCCCTTCTCCCGTCGTCCGTACCAAAGGCAAAACGCGAACAAGCTCGTCATCTCGCAAGTGCGAACAAACTAACAAGGATGGGGTTCTCACGTAGCGATACGGTGGCCAAGTCGCCTCCTTCGAGTAAACGTTTTGGTGGACTGAAGAAGTCGTTGATGCAAACTTTTAAAGGAAAGCAATGATTGCCCACTCATCGTATATATCATGGTTCATTTTTCTCCTATCGTTCTCTGTAACAACAATCGTCTTTTCATCTTGTGTATCGGTTGCTGTATCCGCTCAAGTCTTCATCTCCACATCGTCTGTGCCCGCCCTGCATTGTTATCGGTTCATTATATTCTTCTCCTTTGTACCTCTTGTATGATTTTCAACACACCCCTCGCATATTTTGTTGCTTCATCAGGTTTCTTGAGTCCAATCCTATATATTAGTTGTCAGCAACTGTAGGCTCAATTTAAGAAGCCCTCGACGTGAGTGCCCCAACTCACAAAGTTACCTTTGGAGCCTGAAGGTGTAGATTTTACTGAACATGATAATGGCATTTTTTTGGGAAGTCAAATGCCTATGTAAGTGAATGTCTAATGTATTCGTACTGATCATAACTTATGAATACAAAGAAATCGTCTGCATGAAGTAATATACAGTGTGATTGAGTGAAGTCATACTCTTCCATGTTCCGTTTCGTGATTACTGAATGAAAGAAAATGATGCGATACAGTGGCAGGTAAAAGAAAGAATTATGAAGAAGAGAAGCCGATGTATTACTCGCAGACGATTCCGCCACCGCTGACTAGCGACGCGAAGACACCTTTGCGCTCCATGAGTTGCTCAAAAGTACCCTGCTCCGCAATCTTGCCATCATCGATGACCAGTATACGATCGCATGTCTTCATAACGGGAAGCTTATGGGTGACCATAACAGTCGTGCGACCAATTTTGGCATGACGTATTGTTTCGAGAACCGCGGCTTGATTGGCAGGATCCAAAGACGAGGTGCATTCATCAAGGATGAGGATTTTTGAGGGCCTCGCGAGCGCTCGTGCAATCTGCAACCGCTGCGCCTGCCCCCCTGATATGAGGGATGCATTCTCACCAACCATGGTCTCATATCCATGAGGAAGCGACATGATGAAGTCATGAACGTGAGCCGCCCGTGCAGCGACGCGGGTATCATGATCAGAAAGCGATTTGTTTCCATATGCGATGTTCTCGGAGATGGTGGCGTCGAAGAGGTTGGGATTTTGGCTAACGACAGAAATATGCTCCCGCAAGTATTCAACGTCTGTGGAGCGAAGTTCGTCCAAGCCAGCCCATATCGTGCCTGACTTTGGTTCATAGAGCCGCTGAAGCAGCGCAGCAATGGTTGACTTGCCCGAGCCCGACGCACCCACGATGGCAACGCATTCGCCGTCCCGGATTTCCATATTGATGCCTTCGAGTACCAGAGCGTCAGGACGTTCAGGATAAGCGAAGCTAACATTATTGAAGCTGACTGTCCCATTCAAGGACGGTCGTAAGATGCCGCGAGACTCGTCTGTGTCGGTGGAAAGATTCAACAACTGGTTGAAATCCCGGGTAGCATTGGTAGCCTTGGCAATTTTCTCGGCTGAAAATGGATGTCAGACTACCTTCCATGAAAAAAGGGATAACCTACTGAAAGCCATCAACTGGGAACCAATTGAAACGGTGAACACGACCATGTTCAGTACTTCTAACATTTGCAGATAGGTGTAGATGTCCTTCACTATAAGGACGGCCCCAACGTAGAAGAGAAGGGCTTCGGCCAAATAGATCAGACCACTCGCCACACCATGCGTACATCCTTCGACAAAGGCGCCCTTTACTCCCGTAGAAAGTGCACGCTCCGCTGCGTTATCGAAGCTCCTACGAAACACGCTTTCGAACGCCATTGCACGAATACCACGAATATTAGTAATAGCCTATTTCAGAGAAATCAGATATCTATTCAATTCTAGAATTGACGTCAAAGAATTTACCTCATAGTAGCCTTTCGAAACATCTTCTCGGGCCCGTTTATTGCGTAACTCGCAATTCGCCACAAGCTTGGCTTGGAGGGCCATTGCTCCCGCAAAGACAGGAGCAATAGCACAGCCGGCGAGGGTCATTTGCCACCCGCGCACCAACGCCCATAGAAAACCTACGGTAAGCATGGCACTGACTACGACAAACTGAGCGATGACAATAGCAATAAGCGTCCGCGCGTCGTCACCATCCTTCATCAAAACTTGCACAATCCGAGCGGCACTGTTCTCTGTTTTGTCAAACCACTTCTTGTCCTGCTTCAAGATAGTACGGAAAGCGACGTTCCGGATGCGCGTAATCCAGATCATGGAGCAGGTCTCCATAATAAAGTACTTCAAACCTATGAGAAGACCGTCGATAGCCGCAATGCTTAGAACGATGGCGCCGAAGGTGTTGATGACGGAAGTATTTTGGGCCCCGTTAGAAACTTCAAAGAATAGCCGAGAAAGAACGAAGGAGAAAATGGGTGTGACAGTGCCGCTCAGCAAGCAGATGATAAGACCAAATGCGGCGAGGGGCTTGTAGGGCACCGTCGGGTAGACGTCCTTCATCATACCCCAAAACGAATGAGATCGTTCCTTATCGGAAGACACTCCTTGACCTTTTTCAGACGCAAAAGACGAATATTTCTCCACTTTGATATCCACTGCTGGATCCAACTCCTGCATGTCGGCCAGAGTCGCCCTCCGTCGGCTAACGCGAGAACGTCCGGTCGACCTGCGCCTCGCCACAATAGAATCATCCTTCTTGATCAACATGGAAGTCACCGAATGGTGTGAGAATGTTGGCGAGGTTGGTGTGAATTGAAGACTATATCGACGGGTATGAGTAGTGAGAATCTGCGAAGGGGGTGGTGGAAACGCAGGGATAACTTGAACGCTGGAAGGTCGTCTTCGTCTCTGCTCTGCGTGCTGGGCTGTGAATGCGTTGGCAGGAACGAAGCGGCTTAGGCGTTGAGACTCTCGAGACCGAACGACAGCGTGGCGGAAAGGCGTAGGTCCGCTGCCTTTCGACGTCAAGTCGGCGACCACGTCAAACATCCAGTGGCCGAGGATGGCGCTGTTGTGGATTGTCGGCATCAGAGTGGTTCGGGCGTACGAAAACGGTTGAGAACTTTCTTCAGAGACTAGGTCGTCCTCCTCATCGTCCTCCGTTGTCCCTAGTTTTTCTGTACGCTCCTCATCGTCAACTGTTGACACAGCCGCATTTGCTTGGGAGTCCATCATCGCCTTAAATTCACCTTCAGATCGCTCAAGGTCAGCGCGATAGCCTTGCTCAATAACAGTGCCATTCTTCAAGACATAGACGAAGTCCTTTGACGTGATCTGCGACAGATCATGGGTGATGACAATAGTTGTTCTGTTTTCCCGCCATTGCTTGATAGCTTCGAATACCAGGACACGAGACGTGGGATCCAAGGCAGAAGTGGCTTCATCTGACAATAAAAAATAAGAACATGATAGGACCCGAATGTTGGGTAAAATCTTACCGAGAATTAGAACGGAAGGATTCCTTAATTGCGCGCGCGCAATAGCCAGCCTTTGTTTCTGACCACCGCTCAAGTTTGCACCTCCATTACCCAGCTTTGTTTCATACCCATCAGGTAGATCACGGATGAAATCGTGGATCATAGCAGCCTGGCAAGCCTGTTCCACCTCTGCTCTTGTCGCGTCTTCCGGCTTTCTCCCGGACTCGCTTCCTGCAAGGCCCATGGCGACATTATCATGGACACTCATGTCAAACAAGATGCAGTTTTGGGAAACGACAGATATGTGTTCAGTCGTCCAGTTGTCGTCCAGGTACGCAACATCTTGGTCATCGAGCTCGATTTGTCCGCTCTGAGGCTTGTACAACCTGAGCAGAAGGGACGAAATGGTCGACTTTCCGGACCCGGAGCCACCTACGACGAAAGTGGTTTCTGAAGCGGGAAGATAGATGGAGACATCTTGCAAGACTAATACGGAGGGTCGAGAGGGATACGCGAATGTCACATTATGGAGCGCTATCTCACCATGACACTTCGACGGTATAATTCCGCGCAAGTGCATTGACCTTGCTGTACGACCGCGGAAAATCGATGCACGGCAATGGTACGATGGAGATACGGGGGACAGAGCACCCGTCTCTTCTGGGGAAGAGTCAGCGAGCGCGAGCAGGGAAACCATAGCAAATTTTCCCTTTGTCAAGGTGATAAACTGGGGAATGGACATCTGTAAACTGCTTGTGGCGATTAAGCAAGCCCAAAAGACTGCCATAACATCCCCTGGTGCGACCTTGCCTTGCTTTACTAGTTTCGATCCAAACCAAAAGGCTTGCACGAACATGGACATCATGACGAATTGCGACAGGCCTGACGTGAGACCCCAGACTGCAACGAGTTTTTTGTCGGCGACCTTGACGCGATCAAGAACGGTGCTTAAGGAGGCGTATTCCTGAGCTGCTGCATTAAACGCCTTGACGGTGGCGATTGCAGACACGGCACGGTCAATAAGGGTGGCTGCGACGGACTCCTGGGATCGTTCGATCGCAAGGAGAGGACCAGCGACTGCTTGGGAGAAGGCCTGCACCAGGACAAGCGCAGGGACAGAGGCGAGAATGACGAGGGTGAGTGCCCACGAACGTGAAAAGGCAAGAACGAGGCATGTTATGCAGGTTGTTGTATACTGGATAATTCTTCCGGAGGCAAGAGATGAAGCCATACGAACTTCGTCAGTTTCCCTAGTTAATGGTAAATAGCCGAATAAGGCCATAATCAGCGCATACGGACCTGGTGAATTTAGCCATGAGTCCTCCAGCCCCAACTGGACCTTGTTCGTTATCTACAGACTGAACAGCGCCCTCTGAACCCATTTTCGTATCAAACCATGTCATGTGCTTCGATGTTACGGCTGTATAGACGTGCCTCCGAAGATTCATGACGTTATGTTCACCTGTAGAAATCCACAGGCCAGAAGTAAGACTTCCTAAGGCTAATGAACCGATGGCCAGGCCAATCAGCTCGAGTGAACCTATCCCGACATCGTGCATGAGGGTATCCTTGGCATCCTGAGAAGGATTCGACGTTGGATAGGTGGCAAACGCATTGAAAACCTGACCAATGGCGACTGTCATAAATGGTGCAATTCCGCCTGAGATGAGCGAGGAAATGATAGCCGGAAAAAGGAGGCAAAAACGGCGGCGAGGAGCTATGAGAGAGAATAGTGTTCGAAGAGAGGGTGGCGGTGGTGGATTCACAGCAATATTGGTAATAGGAGATGCTGGAATAGGTTTCTCGTAGGTAGAAGTAGTCAGTGAGTCACTGTAATCATGCTTGACATCGTCGTCGGAATAGATAGAGGCGCGGGGCGACGGGTCGAGCTCATAAGCCAGCTCATGGGACGCGATGGTGTCGACCATCAGCGACGTCGGTCGACGCATTGATGGTGGTATAAGGGAAAGGACGGGGGACACAAAGGTGGCTCGCCATTTTCTTTTGTCTTGTCGAACGGGGTAGCAGACAATGGACGTTTCTGGTCACGTGCACCGACAGACAATAAAGCAGCAGACAATAAAGCGTTTCCTTTTTGGGATAGGGGTACGCTACAAAGTGCTCTTCCAATTGTTTTCTGCCTACGCCACGCGTCAACGTGCAAACGGCTAAATAATTTTTTATTCACAAGTCACCGCGTTATAATCGCTGGACCGTCGGGTCGGGAATTCAGCCTAGAATATAATATCCTAAGTAATAGAATCGTACTTGGTGCTTTCTCTGCAGCATCAAATTTCAGGAGGATTCGCCTGGCTGTTAAGTTACATACAAATTCTGGTCTTGTTCTTAAGCAAACCTCAAGTTCGAAGACGAGTCATTACCCTGAACACACCTTTTGTTTGGCTTCTTTCTGAATGTTTTTGTATACAATGAAAATAAACATTTCTATTACATTTCTCGTCTAGTCATCGATCCATCGCCGAGGCAAATTTAAGTTCTTACTCGTCAAGACAGCCCGCTTAGCACAGTACAACGAAAACCCGTTTGCTCATCCAATTCCATGCTAATGCTGATACCATACATATTATAAACTTAATAACCTACAATACCTGTGCGAATTAGAGGAAGTCCGGCTCTTCAATAAAGATAGATTCCACGTTGTGCCACTCTCCCTCCTCACCATTCAATCTCTCCTTCCAAACCCTTTCCCTCTGAACCCAGTATTCCAGATTATCACCTGACATAGAAGGCGCCCAGACTCTTTCACCGGTGTCTCTATCCGTGGTCGCCGTGAACCACCTAGGCTGGTGCTGAGGCAGCCTTCCATCTTCTCTGGCCTTCCGTGTAGCCCTTTGTTTATCTTCCTGTTCCGACTTGAGCCCATTAGCAAGCTCGTATTTCCCGAGCTCAAATGCCCGCTGGTCAACTCGCAGCCGACAGTCTGTTGGGCACAAATAAGGCTTCAGTGTTTCTTCTGGACAATCGTTGAGAGTTATGGCGAACGGCGTGAGGTTGAATGGCGATCCAGGAGGCTTTTCAGAGTTTCTCCATAACAGAATATATTCTCTAGTCGCGGGCGAATTGGTACCACCGATGAAAGTATCGGGTTGCAAAACTCCGGTACCGACGCCCGCTTCCCGCGCTATTAGTTGGCTGTTCCATCGACCAGCAATTTCATATCTAATCTTGCCTTTCGAATCGATGACATGTCCAGAAATCTCATACGCATCCCTTCCGCGCCAACCTCGGGGCTTGAACGTCAATACACAGCGGTCCTTAGTTCGATGATTAACGACCTGTGGATGGCACATACATTTGAGTTGTAAATAATTTGTATGGATCTGAATAGCACCCACGTTCATTTCCCCGTAATGATCGATCGTAGGCGATCCCAGAATAAATCCAGACACATTTGTAGTGACCTTTTTCCAGCTATAGTGCTCCAGGACCTTGCCGGTTTGTGTCATGCCCTTTGCCTTCGGGTATCCGACACCAAGTTCTGGAGACAAAGCTAGCTCAGCATGCGCAACGCCAGTTGGCCTAATCTCGAACGACTTCCCCATGAACTTGTTTTGAGCATCGACCTAATTCCAAACACACTGTCATTTATCACACCCGGCATATAAACAAGTCAAATACCTCGCCATAATAATGCCAATAAGGAGACTCCGAATAGCAAGCCGAGATAGGCGGATGGTGGCTTACTTGTTCAGACATGTATCGATATTCCTTATCGAATCGAACATATTCGAATGTCTCGCTCTGCACGCATTGAACACCATGAAATATATCAACAGTGTGAACTCACAAGCATAGGGTTGAAAGGCTTAGCAATGCGACCGATGGTGGAAGAATAGTTTGACATGGCAAAAGCCGCCACATAGGCAATCCGCAGTAATGGATCTTGCTCGCGGGCAGCAACATCAACTGCAATCTGAGAGTCAGTGGGATCCAAATGTTACAGACTGATCGTGTACTCACGGCACTCTGAAAACTCCATGTCTTCCGCCTACATTATATTCAAACCATTAACGAAGAAGGTAGAAATGGCAACATTACAAGGACGTACCATCCGTTGTAACATACTTGTTGGCTCGTTGAAGAAGACCGGAAAACTGATTTTGGTCAAGTCCTTCCCGATGCTGTGTTTGAGCACAGACCAAAGACTCGTGTTCGGGCGCTCATCCTTCAAGCTGAGCGAAATACGAAAATTTTTATATCCGGCATAGGGCGCAGTTAGGTCGACAGGCAAGGCTACTTCCGGATGTGTTGGACTGGCGAGGAATTCCGGTATTACCAGGTTGGGTATATTGTTCGACTCGATCGCATCAAAAAATTCGTCCTCGTCATCAGTGTCCAAGGCACTGTTATCCTCTATCGTTGCTGTAGGATTAGCAGCATCATCGGTTTCCGAACGTTGAGCTAAATGTGTTGGGTGCGAGGTTTCGGCCGTGCCTGTATCCTGCAAGTGGGGAGAAGGCGAAAACAGCTGAAAAGGTTCTGGAGCGGGTTTTGGACTTTTTTCAATAACAGATGGGTAAGGAGCGAGGAAAGATTGGTGCTGTTTCACTGTCCCGGACTCGGTCGCGTCAAAAAAGCGGCTGCCGCGCCTTCTACTTCGGATACGCAACTCTTTCTCGAGACTCTCCCCTTCTTTAACGACGGTAGCAAAGCTCTCTTCCCACAAAGTTGATTTGTCTCGCTCCTTCTGCAGCTGTTTTCGGAACCACTCTTCTCGAACTTTGACCATCTGTATGTATTCATCCAGCATGCCCTGTACTATGGAAATGGAATCTTTTAATGCGTTTCGCAAATCGCTAGTCCGTTGAGATGCGTCAGAGTGAAGAACGAGGTTGGACAGTAGCTGTGACGTCAACTCCATCTGTGCTGACGCTGAGTTGCCGTGCAGTTCAAAACTGGAGTCAAACGGTACTGTCTTTCTAATGGATTCCGAAGCAGAGGATTCGTCATTGTCCATATCCTCGTACCCCCGTTCGTTCATTTGAAAATTGGGACTTCCCCTGTGAGAACTTGCCAGAGACTGCGACTCGCCCTCGTTCCAGTTACTGTGTTTGGTGCTTTCGTTTCGGGTATGAGCTGTGACAGATTTTGGGATGACGCTATTGGCATCGCTCTCGCCGCTCCTTCGACCTTCGTTGTCATGCTTGTGCCACTCGATGCTCTTAGAAATTGTTTGCGTCCAGCGGGATGCTTCGACAGGATGGTTTGCCTTCAGGTACCATTTCTGAACACCCGACTGGTGTCCACGGGAAGGTGTAGAATGCACCTCGAAACGCAGGCGGTCGATTGTGGATATTCTGAGAATAGCAGTCTTCATAGATATGGAGCCACGACTAGCGACGTTTTCATCTTCTTGATGTCGATAGTCTACGTTACGAAGTATTAAGGCAGGAAAGACCAAGATATGGCAGATCACATACATGACAAAACCCCATTTTGCAAGATAAACCACCGAGTATTGTAGCCTTTAGCAACATTCGTGTACTTGTTGAGATAGCCCTTCAGAACAGGAGGCTCGGTAGATGAGGGAGTCTGAATTAAGCTGCTATCATGATTCGCGACTGCACGTTACAATTAGCCCCAGTTCTCCCGATGCAAAACACGAACATACACTGTCGCAGAAACACACGAACGCGGTCATCTTTTCCAGTTCCCTCATATGCCATCTTTCCCCGTCGATTCCGTACAAAGACATCTGCTCCAGACCTGACAGCCAGCTCAATGAGGCGTAAATCCTTGCGCCTTGCGGCCTCGTGGAGCAACGATACGCCGGAGTCATCATCAAGGTAAGAAAGGTTCACGAAGCGCACTCGAGGAGACTCGAGCAGCTTAAGAAGCACCGAAGAGGGTGGAGTAGACAGAGGAGACATTATGTAGCTGTGCAAGAGTGAACGATAAGACGCATTAAGAAATGAGCGTGAATCTGGAAACCGCTCGTCAATTCACCAAAGGCATGAGTACAAGCTGAATAACCTTCAATGACGCGAATAACCTCACGTCCTTTCGCCACGTCTGTGCAAGTCTTCCCATTGACGTCTGGGAGGCTGTCATCTATGCCTTCCTGCTCCAGTAAAAGATTGACAATGTCAACACGCCCTAAGGACGATGCCAAATGCAACGCAGTTGTTCCAGAACCTGGAGGGTGGACACCATTGGGAGAAATTGCTCGATGAGACAATAATAAGGCTACGGTTGCAACTACGACAGGTAAGGATACTTGCGATTCTCGTACAATAGTGATAACACACCAGAACCGCACCTCACTGCAAGATGCAGCGCCGCTGCACCTGTATCGAAGTTTTGCTCAGCTGATTTCCGTTTGTCCTTGCCAATCTCGGCGAGAAATGGGTGGATTAATGCTGGGTCACCTGCAAGCCATCGGTCAGTGTTGAGAGTCACAAGAGGATGATGTATACGGCTACCGCTACGAAGAGCTGACAAAAGTTTTACTTGGTAGAGTGGCTCTTCGACGCCTGCAAAAGTATGAAGGGGTGATCACAAACGGCAGAGGTCAAGTGAAACATACTGTTGCTGCTACTGCTGCTACTTGTGCCTTGGTTGGAAAACATTACTGAGGGCTTGGTGGAGAGGGAAGGAGAAGACAGTGCGTCTTCGTGTCAGTAGTGCGCCAGATCGAAGGCAACGAGGAAGTCAAGGAAAGGAGGGAAGTCGAGGATGAGGCACAGCCGGAAACTGCTCAATTTGGACTAGTGCTATTTAATTCATCAGATATTTTCTGTCAAATATAAGTAATAATAATAGCAGAAAAATACCATTATGCCGCATGCAGCTTTACCCGCATTGCTTGAGCACAACAAGGACACTGGAAAGCTTCGACTTCAGATTGCGTCCTTGGAATTCTTCCCCTTGTGAAAATAGGTGTGCCTTATCTGTCTCCTGCTGTCCACCATGCGTCCTGTAAATTTCAGCGAGCCCTGGTTCCGCTCTTTCGAATTCAAGGTCTCACAATGTCGTACCACAAGGGGGCCTGGATGAAAGTATCGTATGAGTACATACATATTAAATGCGTGTGCTGGGTCTCTCTTCTGGTCTAGATCTCTATCCCTGGGCACCTACTAAATGACTTCAATCGCGAAATCTTGTGCCGATAAGAGGTATTTCCTGATTCCAATGGCTGCCCACACATCCAGACGTAACTTTACCTATAAGTAAAACCATTAAATAATAACTAACAAATATTACAACAAATACAACCCGGCAGAAATAGAAAAAACGTATGTATATGTATATATATATCTCCAGATGGTATCAGTACGGTATAGGCAGCAATGGAGAAAATCAAAACACAAAAAGGTATGCACATACATAAGGCATATCTAACAATCAGTCATCCCCTCCTTCTGCAGTTTCCCTACGATGATATTTTGAAGTGAAATATTCAGGTCCAGGAGTACTGGGCTCCTCGTCTTCCTGAATCGTCCCTTCAGGTCCCTTCCGTTGTTTGGAGTCACACTCCTCTACACCGTTTAACGCTCGCTCCAACGCTGTGTTCCCCAACATATGAGATTCCTTGCGTAAACAAGATAGCCTAAATCGACATACCTTTCTCTCCCCTCTTTTTAAGCCTCAGAGTCATAGCCGTCTGTAGTGAATCGATATACAAATCGTACTTCACTATTTCTGTCAGCAGATAGTTGGACTTCTTTTCCCAATTGCTGTGTGCCTTGACTACATTCGTTGTTCGCGCTTGATACTACAAAATACACCGCTAAGCGTCAATCGACGATACGGATATAGACCACTTACCAAAGCAAGCATAGGCTCTCGCAGTTCATTGTGTTTTTCCAAGTCCTTCTTCATGGACTCTACATGCTTTTTTAAGGCTTCCATCTGAGTCTCCTCATCGTGTTCACTTGAGACAGTTGGTGGCAGTGGCGGCTTCCAGTCGTTGATGTAAACGCGGTCGACCCAGGGTGAACGAGAAGCCCGGACCGTAGAAGCTCCATCACGCCAACCGCCAAATCTGCTATGAGAGCTCCGACCGCTCATGATGCTCATAGAGTCGTCTTTCATAGATTCCGTATCGGAATGAGATCGACCATGCATGGGATCTATGACACGGTTCCAACCATACTCCATATTGGACACGCCTCCGGCAAGCGGCTCCTTGCTCGTCCGAGCTGCCCAATAATTGCACGTCGAGACCCACTCGTTCACTAGCTCTTCCGTGCCTGCCTGGAAAAAGTACAGGCCACCGTCAGATAACGTCAAAACCATACAGTATGGTCGATTTCGGTTGTATCCGGGAGGAGGAAGAGCATGAGCCAGAGAATGTGTGAGATACACACTCCCAACAGCGTTGGCGTTAGCCTTCAGTATGATATGAATAGACGAAGCGACGGGGTGGATCCATAACTCACCAACCAATTACCTCCTCCAAAGACCCCCGACCCTGCGGATCCATTTTCGCCGAACGTGAACATGTTGAGCTCTCCCCGTTGAATGACGACAAATACGTCTAGCCAGCTTTTGTCCTTCGCTCGCTTGTCGATAGAGTCCCAAAAATGCTTTCGGCATAGCATGCCTTCCTTAGCCCAGGGTGCCCCAAGAAGGGCCAGTTCCTCGTCAGAGATGCTGATAGTCGTGGAATCCGAACGTTCACTATGTACACTTCTGTCATCGTCTTCTTTTGCCTCGCGGATGATAGTATGCGATAAGTTGTGAGCGAACCCTAATGTGGGCTGTAAGAAGGACGAGCTTGATCCATATATCCCCTGCAGGATTGTCAATATCGAGTCAAAGAGAAGTGATGTAAATATTCACCTCATGAGCAGATGTTGCAAAACTAGGTGAAGGGCTAACACGACCGTCAATGCTGCTGTTACTACTGTATGGGCTAACCCCATTGTGATTTAAGATTGACTGTAGACCACGTATACTTCCCCGTTTAAGGGTCGCTAGTCGATCAGACTGACCACCCCGCAAGCTACGATTCCGTAACATTGTAGATCCTGGACTTAAAGATGACATCGAAGACCGGCCACTAAGCGGCTGCAGAATTTGATTGCTCTTGATGGCGTTATACATTTCCTGTTCATAAAGCTCTGGTAAACCAATTACAGTCAAACCTAGATGACCTTATTACCTTGAGTAAGCTTTCCATATCAGCTTCCCAGCCGCGTCCATACATTATGCTAGGAGTGGGAAGCTTGATGTCCTGCGCATGAATGTCGTTGGACGATTCCCCGGGCGTGGTTACCTGGGTACTCGCGATGGAAAAAGCAGGCGACGACAGTACAGTATCTCGGGACACGCTATTCCAGCTCGTTATACTATCACTCCGCTTGGAACGATATTTATCAGTATGCTCGGAGGACACTCCACGTATGCTTTGATTGCTATCTTCACTGATCAAGTCGGTAGAAGACCCTTGAGCAATAGTATTCGGTTGTAATTGTGTTCGAACTGCAGTAAGGGTGTTTCGCACAAATTGGTTCCTCGACATGCGTGCAGTTAAATCAGCGACGTGTAAGTCAGTATTCAACAGCAGCAATGAATAAGAGACGGCGTGGACAATATCTTGATAAGATTCAACAAAACAGTAAGACCATCATGAAATAATTCATGACGTACTGGCGCTTCCATACACCCCCCCCGGGTTGCAATCCCAATACCGCCTACTGAATTCTTCGAGAATTCGATCGACTTGCTGCGTTTCGCCCTTCAAATATAATTTTGAACAAAATTGTCTACCCATTGATTAGTATGGCGCAATCTGAAACGTGATATATGCACCTGAAGGCAACATCGAGGCGAAGGCCTGCAAAATTGAAGAAGACGACGTAATTTTGCAATGCAAGCTTGTTGATCCGTCCTCTGGACAAATATGTTATCTCATTCTGACTTCATTTCGAGCCATATAAACGACTTACATGCCACCAAGCCATTCTGCAATTTTATCTTTAGCCAAGAAATCTTCATCTTCATGCCAACACCGAGTGGCCAGGTCCTTAGCTCTGGTCTCAGTATCGGTCGTGTCATCTCCCCGAGCAGGAGAGTGGCTTGAAGAGGGATAGCGAGAAAGAGAGAGATCATAGACGGTTAAGTCTTGTTGTGAATTGGCTGGCGCACGAGAAACTGTACCTTGTAAGTCAAATTATGAAGAAGGGGAGAAAACGTGTGGCTTACTTATACGAGCACTATCTCCGTCGGGTATCAAGGAAGGTTCAGAACTCGAAGCCGTTGAACGATGCATACCACGCAGGCCCCGAGATCCAGGAGTCCCTCGCAATGGACTCGAACCACGTACTCGTGGCGAGTTGAATGAAGTTGGACCTATGCCTGAACGAGCAGGCATTTGTAGGGAAGAGGTGCGTGGCGGGACGATGGGAGACGGAGAGAGCAGATTCGATTTGCTTTCTTCCGGTTCATCCAAATGGAGGGTCAACGTGGGCGCAGTTAACGAAGCATGTTTGGTGAGCGTTGATATTTCTGAACGACCAGAAGAAACGAGAGTGTCAGTCTTTGATCTCAAATATGCAGCTCGACGGCCAGGAGTTGATGGATCACGAAGATCCAATGGCTTAGAAGCGGATTCCAGCTGAGAAAGTTTACCTTTGAAATCATTCAAAATCCCATTGAAAGATGTGTCATCTGCACCTGCACCTCGTTTTGTTTCCGGTGTCTTGGCCATGGGAGATAATGCCGTTACAGATCTCTGTAACTCTACATCACCGACACTCATACTTCGGCGTTTGCTAAATGTTCCTCCTGCTCCTTTGCTTTGAGTCTTTTCGGGTGATGGCGTTCGAGGCACTCGTTCAACGAGTACCATGGACTGATCGTCATCGAGGTCCACCGGCTGACCAATAATAGGGGGGAGAGGTTTACTCGAAGTTGGAGACGTAGACAGTGTAGACTCTTTGGGTGATGATGAAAAAACGTCCGCAATCGGGGAGCCTACAGGCGTTGCACGCTGATACTCAGACGGTATCGGCGGCACTGGAGGTGCCAGGGGTTGAAACAACGATGAACTGCTGGCGTCCGTCTTCTAGCCGAATAGTTAGTAAGATAGCAATACTAATGCCAAGGAACGTCGTACAGATCGCTCTCGTACAGTTCCTGTACCTCCGAGGACCTTGCCCAAAAATGCGCTCGTCTTGGCCCGTACAGACGACTTTGCCGGCTGCAGAAAAAGGCTTAATGGGAGCGCAAAAGGCCTTAGATCACTCACTTTCGACGAGGACTCCTTCGCCATTTGGGCCATTATCCAATTCATGGAGCTACTCTCTGCCGGCGACGTACAGTGTAGCTTGTTTTTCTTGACAGAGATTGTTGTTGTTGAGGTCTGACCGGGAGGAAGGGCAGTTGAAGAGCGCTGGCGACCACTACCGCCGCGATCAGGCAAAGGCGGAGGACAATCACGTCGTTTCTCTAGTTTGTGCTGGACACTCGGTGTACTGCCACTCTTCTCTTTGGTCTTCCGCAGTAGCGTCGCCAAATCAGGGCTGCTCGAGGTCCCTGGTGATCGATACATAGAACGACGCTTGACCTGGTGGTCGACGTCGTTGCTATCGAAGAAAATGTCGCCCGATGACGGCGACGATGATGACGGCGGACTGACGACCCTGATAGATGATGACGGACCTGCCACAGGAGATGGCGTAGGTGGGACGACGATTGGCGTCGCCGGCTGTGTAGGCTTGGGAGGCAGGTGTGGTGAATGAAAGGCCCTAGTCGCAGGCATGGGGCTTTCAACGCCAAGCGCATTGACGTCGAGACCTTCCTTGAGCATGAAAGTACCTTCCCCTCGCAACGCCTGCTCAAAGTCGATGTCAGTACGCGACACTCGTTTCTCCCTCGAAGCCATCATATCAGGGCCCACTGGCTGTAGGCCATTCGAAAATGCAGTTGATGGCGACATCGAGCGCGAAGGCGCCGCATGTTGTCGGAAAATGGAAGCCAGTATGGATAACGATGACAAGGCTGGTCAGGATACGAGTGACCTGCTGCAATTTCGACTTGAACGTGACTGCCGAGCGTGCAGAAAAGGCAGAAACGTTCAGCGTCACACCGTTACCTTGGTAGCTGCTGGCGATCATAATTAGGGCTTTTGAGGGGCACTGAACTCAGCTTGAAATTATATATCCCAGCTCGAACATTTATGGCATCTAGATACCCATGTGTACAGATATATAAGTAATTCAGCATGAGATGGTAACATATAAGCAAGATACTACTAGTACATCTAGAATTCAACATGCACTAATTCATGCGTATCCGCAAACAGACATCTGAGAGAGTGGAAGTCAATGAAAAGGAAGGTAGTAGATATACGCAAGAAAATTAGATGCCCGCTAGTCTCCCTTACGAGACGCCGACGCCTGCATGCTAGTAGAAGTCCGTCGCTGTCGTTTCATTGCAAGCGAACTTCCTCCAGACGAGTTTGCACGGTTGGGTGGCACCCGTGAAGTCCCACTCATTCCAGATACCGCTGCATTCGAAGATGATCGCGGTCGTGTCGTAGAAGATGCAATCTTTGTCAAACCTGAACCTTTCCGGGAGCTACTACTAGGTGCGCCCGATGCTCGATTCCTTTTCATGACTGATGAGAAAGCTTGTGCGGAAAACGACGATGAAAGACATACCTCTTCTTGATTACATCCGTCTTCAAGGAGAGCGGTCGCACAACACCATGGAGTTTCTGCAAGAACATTAGAGCCAGAGCCAGCATGTGCCACTGGAACTTACATAAAATAGGCCACAGGCATTACCTAGGAAACAGAGAATTAGTACGGACAGAAAAGAAAAAAAACACAAGGATGGCGAAAGAACGCACAAAGCGGTTGACCTTCAGGGTCTCTCCGCCATAATGGCGTATTAGTTGTCTGACAATTTGTACATAGCGTCGGAGTGTCGCCTTCTTTCCCATTAGCCCCATCTCGGTTGTCCGAAAGGTCAGGTGTGCTAGTCGATGACCGCAATCCTAGTTTCGGTGACGTTACAGCACCAGGCAAAGATTTCTTCCTCTGGTGGTCACCTCCCTTCAGAGAAATGAATTTCCTGCCGGACCCTCGCATTCCTTCTACAATACCCTCAGCAGAGGGCGGTGTAGATGCATTTGATGCATTATAAGGCTCGGGAGAAGCGTTCGAACTCGAACCAAGCCCGCCACCCCAGCCATCACTGGAAGGACTCGCATGGAATGCTGGATATCCATCCCCGACATTGAGAATCTGCGTTGGATCCACATGGGTGTACGGAGACATAGATCCCGATTGGTCCAAAGTTGGGTATACTAATCGCATTAGCTGGAAGTCCAGGGCGGAATCATCGTTATTTGCATTCAACTGACCAAACTTGTCAGCCAGAGCAGATGAAGTCGACAAGCCTTCCCCCGTAGAGCCAACAGAACCAGGATGGAATGGGACTCCACTAACAGAAGACCTTGTGGAGCCATGATATTGACCTTCACCTGTATTGCTTCCGTCGGCAGAAGGGAGCATAGGAGTGATATCCCCCGAAGGTCCGGTACCCGGGATATCGAACATACCGTCATAGGGTGGGAATGAGAAATGGAATGAGGATGTAGGAAACGGACTGGAGCTTTCGAAATTGTCGTTTGCGGAGCCCTCCTGGGCCTGCGAGTGGGAGTTGGATAATAGAGTGCCCTCAACATCGGAAGGATCAGCACGAAGCATGCTTTCGGCATGGGGCGCATCCGCAGGGCGTTTCGTGCCCGCTAAGCTGTCTGGAGATAGAGGCTTCCCATTGACTTGATGGCGGCCCTTCAAACCGGAGAGGACGTTGTCTTTGGATACCGTGTGGTCAAAGCTCGTCTTGCGAATGTGTCGAGGGAAAGAAGGCTCGGGGGAGTTGCCAGGGGGCAGACGTGGAAGGCTATGAAGGCCAAACGACGGAAGGGAGGATGGGCCGAACGCGGGGGAATCAAAGCTCGACATGGGATGATTGAAGTTAAGATTGTTTAAATATCGCGAATCTGCATCAATATGTTCTTCGTAAACAGAAGGAAGTTCGGTGCTCCTCTGGGGGGGACTACGTCGTGTAGCCGAGAGCATTGATGTTCCTGTAGGCTTTGAAGAAGGTACCTTGAACGAATCAGGTAATGATCCATGACCTATTGTGGGAAACGCAAAACGAGATTCGAATGGTGCCATCATCATGCCTTCAAACGTGTCTGCAGATTCAGGCGGCCGCGAACGCGAGCGACTGGTTGGTCGCCAGTCCATGGATATCCGAGATCTGGATCGGCTTATTGATCTCCAATCCATAGGAACGACACTAATGAAATACCTTTAAATACGATTCGGAACCAGAGACAAAATGGAACCCACTCTTGTTCTTCACCATCCTGATTGGCGCCGTCGAAGCCCACAACTCGAACTTTGGCTTTTCCTTTATCAATTCTTCGCCCACGCTCATCAGGCTCCTTTTTCTCTCCAGAAGGAGTATCCGAGGATGCATGCTGTCCGAGCTCAGATGGAGACGTCACTTCAGTCTTAACCGATATAGGACTCTGCTTCTCCCTGTCTTCCTCTTCCTTCTTCTTCTTCAAAGCCAGCGCCATCATCCGCCAGGTGAGGTTCTCCATCCGTTGCGCATGAGGTAATGTTGCCTTCGTTCGCGCATACATTTTCCAGACTTGAGTTGCAAGGGGGTCGTCTTTGGCCAACTGTTCGGGATCTTGGTCTGGTATATTAGAAGGAATTAAATCCGGTGAACCAGACATTGGGGGTGAGGTGAAAGGGCTAGCAGCCTGCGATGTTCCCTGTGGTCCGAATATCCCATCTGACAGAATGTCAGAGAAGAAGGTGGATTTAGACTCTGATGGTGAGGCGGGTGAGATGGGTGACTGAGGGAATACCGAGCGGCTTGAAGTTGAAGTGTCTGTGACAGCAGATATTGGGGGACGGTTTAGCGAATCATGCATCGTAGAGGTTACGGGGGCGGTGGAAGCCGGAGACATCCATAGGGAGGGGGGAAGTCTCGTATTTGAACGCTCACCTGGGAATGTAAGTCCTACAGAGTAATCTAGCGGCGAATTGAGTGCGCCAGACCGACCATTTGGTGCTGGGTCAAAATTAGGGGAAACGGGACCGTCGTCTGTGCGACCTATAGGAATTGCGTTAACTAGGACGTTTCGACTGGCTACACGGCGACGTTCGTCACTAAAGTTGGGATGTCTAGGGAGATTATCGGCAGGTCGCGACGACTTGGAAAGTGTACCAGCGCTTGCAGAAGCTTTGGATTTAGCGGCGGCGTTGCTCAAGGACGAGGTCGAGCGTGAGAGAGGCGGTCGGGAAGACATGTTGGATGGGGAAGTATAAGAGAGAGACGCCTCAGACCACTGACCTGTAGCGCTTGGCTGGCCCGTAACATCAATATTAGGGAGCCGTGGTCGAGAATTCGGCGGGGGGAAGTTGGCATGGAAAGGGTTCGTGGGCAAACTTGCTGAATGGCCTGGAAGAGGCGGTGACACAGGGCCCAGGACGCCGTTGGCGGCCAGGGTTGCAAAAACTGTTGGATTGAGCGGAGCAGAAAAAATATTGCTCCACTCCGGCGGTAAGGAATTGACTGTGTTGCTCTGTTCTGATGTGAGCGAATTGCGCGGACTGGAAGAGAGCAGGAAGTGGGAAGAAGACTGGCTTGGAGCAAGCGGCGCATTATGTGCCCACGGTGACGATTGTGCTGAGGGCGGTATTGAGCCAAGATGTGGACTGTTCTCGGATGAAGTCGATAGAGATGGATGGCCGTTGGATATGGAGGTATTCACAGTAGGCCGACTGGCCGGCGACCATGACCGAGAGAATGATGCATCCATGAAACCCCGCATTGGCGGTAGCAACGGTCCCGTCGATGCTAGTCCCTGTGAAGAATGAGCGTGGGTGCCGTCCGAAACAGTGAAAAGCATGAAACCAACCAGAACGGTAGCGGCCGAGGCCAAGGTGACGGTCGGACGTACAGACGTAATAGATACCAGGCAGAGGCAGCGCCGGAGATGACGACCTCGACGGCGTTGACGACGACAGCGGCGGCGAGTAAAGGTGCGGCTTCGTCGACAGTGGCAAGGAGGAACCAGGGAAAAGAGCAACTCCAAATAGCTTCGACTGGAAATAGCTAGGTGACTGGCTATACCACTGTTTACACCCAGCGGTCCGTAGCATGCGGACCCGGGACACCTGGATTATCATATTCCGCTTTGATTCAGTTTCCGATCCGCGTTCGGACACAATTTGCCGACTTTCATCTTTGTCCCGATCTTTGAGCCGGAAACTCATCCAATTGCAGCAGGTTCCTTGTGCTATTCCCTCAACATGATTTGCAGAAGAAACTAACTTTTATATCCGCTTCCGCCCTCAGGCACATCTAGACTTTACTCTGTATATTAGTATTTTCCTTTTCAGTTGTGTTTCAACATGACATTGCCTCTGAAACCTTGAATGAAGTGAACGACAATGCAGCAAGCTGGTGTTGTTTCTTGATGCAAGCTCCGAGTGTTCTTTCTGCACTTTGTTCCTGTTTACAGCCACCATCTCGGAAACGCCCGAGATCTCATATACGAGATCTCACCCAGATACACACTCACTTTACAGTGTGTGACGACTAAACAGTCTGTCAGCCCTTCAATCTCCCAGTGTATAACGTACGCTCCTAACAACAGGTTCTCTATTCCCGTTTGCCATCGGGCCGCCATCATTCGTCCTTCGAGCATGATTCAGTGTCAACGTTCGTCCCCTTCGTTCTCACATGCAGTTTTTGCGCTTCCGTTTCTATAAGTCAAAAAGTTCCCTGGACTGTTTGTCTGCTGAATTGACATGTTCTACTAATTCTCCATCTGTAATTCTGGGACATATTTATTCCTTCCAAAGGGCGTCAGCCCAGCCCAGGACCCTTGATACTAGCCGCGGTAGTCGCTCCGATTCTTCCTTGTGCTTTCATTAGCTATACGGGTTTCGAAATCCTTTCTTTTTTGTGGGATGTCGTGCGCGGCATTTCCTCAAGAACATAAAAAACAGCATTCCACTGCTGAGGAGTAACAACTCGTGGCACTCAAGTACGTCAACGGTGCCATATCAATGAGCCATGTGCATGAAACCCCATGGGAGCGGCGTCAATATTGGAGGTGATCTGTTAGCGAATGTGTGGGCTATATAGTACATAGACGCACCGGTGCCGCTTCACGTCAAGACATCCCCATACATGTATCTGAATCTAAGATAATGCCTCGACGCCGGTATTGTTATCAGAACATACAGCCCCTTATTCCTTATCGTACAGTATATAAGGATCTTTCATATGTGGTATGCACTGATTTCCTTTCTCCCTATTTCTCTCCATCTTCCGGCCAGTGCTACTCAACTTTACCAGACGCCCCACTATCCCCCCCCCCCGACTCGGGGTCCTCATGACCAAGCACAGGACAACGTTGCAAAACGGATTTACCATCCGAGGGCCCTTCCGTGTGGTGCCTGATTAGGCAGGAGAAGTAATAGCAGAAAAAGCGTCGTAAAAACATACTAGTAGTTGAGGCAAGTGCAGAATGAACAGCAGGGTGTGTCGTCTTTTCCTTTCCTTCCCCACTCCACCAGAGCTCCGTATCCGCGAGCCAATGGTATATCCAAATGATGACTTTTTTTTTTTAAGTACTCACATCCATTGCCACAGCATGCGATTTTGTCAGGGGAGAACGGAAAATGAAAAAAAAGACATCGATCATATACATCCGAGGCTCCCGGATCCCGAATCAATACGGTTCTGATCATTTTCGACGTCGTGTGGCAGAAATCAACAATTAGCCTATGAACTGCTCAATTCCACCAAGCCTGCGACAGGTAAAGTGTTCGGAATCGTAGGGACCTCCTAGTCTTTCAATTCGGAACTTCCGCCTTCCGCTGCTTTCTCTTCCATAGGATCTCCAGCCCCCTGGTCTTTCGACGCCGGCGGCGGTGCGTCGCTCCAGTCCCACGCTTCAGAAAGCTCTCCGCGGCAGAACGCCGTGATCACAAAGGACAGGATGCATGCAGGACTTAGATACAGCAGCGCCGGTTGCGCCTTGCCGAAAAAGTGCATCACTGACAGCGTCGTTACCAAGCCAGCCACGTAAGCTGATAGGGAAACATAAAAGTAAGGTCTGGAAAACTGGGATCCGCTGTGGGATTGGCCAGAGAAACGATGGTAGTCGTACCGCAGGGCAAGAGCTATGAATGCACCAGGGATGACAACATCACCTAATCCAAGCATCGTAAAACCCCGCGAGTCCGACAAGGTCATAGATTTGGGCCATAACAGCTTGATGGGAACGTCTAGTGTGGTCGCTACTTCGACCATCTGGACAGGCAGACACATTGGAACGTCAGGAAAAGGCATTGAGTCTGAAACCTTTTTAACTCACCACTCTAGTCCCAAAGACCCACCAAATGTCATAGAAGAAGAGGCCGGTCAAGAGTATTGTGCCTGTCTTGAAAGAGTCGATTTTAAGGAGGGACAGTGCGTTGTGAGAAAAGGAGAGTGACAATATATCTGTAAGAAGAACAGACTTTCGACTCGTGGCCGAGAACGTATATAGTGCCGAGGGTATAATGGATAGAGGTAGTAGGAATAATGTAGGCATACGCCAAGAGAGAGATAAAATTTCTGTAGAAAAATTCTCAGTCTTAGAGAAGATATGCTATTCGAAGACGTACTGTGGTTATCTTTATGGATAGTAAAGGTATGCTTTCCATGTTTCTTCCATCGATTTTGTCCCACTAAGAAGACGTACAACGAGATCGACGACTAGAAAACCAGACTCAGGCTGAGTATAAAAAGCTCAATGGCAAAGCCTAACCTTCCAAACAGAACCCATCCCAGCGATAGAGAAATATATCCCAAGAAGCCAGTTGATCCACTCCTTTCCAAAGTATTGAATGATCGTATACAGACCAAGAAGTGTCCCAGATCCAATCTTCCATCTCGCATCTCAGGTTCAGCCGTCGAAAATGTGGAAAAGCTCACTAGTGGGAACAACCATGCATCCTCCGAGGATACCATCTCGACGTCCACATCTTCATCTCCTTCTTCACCTTCACTTCCCTTCGGATTCTGCAAGGCCAAGATATTTATAAGTTCGTCCACCAGCCTCTTTCGCCGCACATACAGGCAGAGAGCCAAAAGAGCCCAGGTATATAGACGTACTCGCTAATGTCAACAACCCGGCATACGATGAGAGCAATCCCCAGTCAATATCTTCCATTAATGTCACTTTATGCCCTTTGTTGACTGATTATACCCTTAAAGTACGAAGTACGCGGAAGAGCAAAATGAAGTTGACGTGTCAGGTTCAAGGTATCGTGACAACGATACTATTTTTATATTTTACTAATCAAATCAGGGCAAGCCGCTCGATTTTACGCTCGAGCTTTCAATATAGCCGCATAGGAGGTTTCTAGTGCATATACGGGATCGCCAGGATAAATGGCATATCCGTCGTCCGGGGTACTTCCGCTATGATAGAGTTTTAATAATTCCATTGAAACAATTGACGCAGAACGTACGATGATAAATAAGAACCAGCTTGCCTGCAAAATATTCAATTTCTTCAACAACGTAAGGAGGAAGTTTCTTACCAGATAAGAGCGCCAGTAAGACCCGAAGAGACAACTTCCTGATACCAGGCGGTGTAAACAGTATCCTGGTTGCTGGTAACTCCAAACTCCTCTATGATCACGGGTTTTCCGGCAGCCGTCATCGACGTTGCATGATCAGCGATCCATTGCGTGCCCCATCCTTGAGGGTCGCTGGTTTGACCCCAACTGATCTGCAGTCATTTAAGATCGGAAGTTGGTTACCGCTAGAGGAAGTGGACGTACGGGATAGGACTAGGGATGTAGTAAGTACTTGAACAAGAGAACTGGGATGTTTTCTCAATAAAGCACACACATGAAATGTACCGAAATCAAGGCTACCAATGGCTAAATTTGCATTGAAGTCGATGCCTTCACCACCTCTGAATCCAAAAGTATTAGTTCAATCTACGCACGAGCACAATTCGAGGAATAGCACTTACTGATATGGATAAGTTGGTGCACTAGGTTCGTTGTAGAATCCCTCATCTCCTATCGCAACCAGATGGTTGGAATCGATCGACTTGATATACGCCGAAATTTCTGTGGCCCATTCTGTGATGGTCGTTGTAGTGCATGATCCTGACGTTATTCTGTTCAGAACTTCAGTGTCCAAATGGGAAGGCATCTAACTTTCATACACGTACCCCGAGCTTCCCGCGCACCTAGGTTCATTTGCAAGTTCCCAAGCTAAAATGGTGGGTTCGTTGACATAGCGCGAGACAAAAGTGTTGACATAATTCTTGTAGGCAGACTACAGATCCATGCTCATCTAGAGACAGTGGAAAAGCACCACTTCTGAGATCACTTACTATGACAGCACTGTTGGTATAGAATAAATCGTGCGCAGAGCCAGATCCGACAATTTGGTCAACGTATACGTCCATTCCGCCGTAGTCAGACCTAAGATACGTCGTCAACATGAAGAGCTCTGTAGTTTCAACACCTCTACCAGTTGTTCGTTCTAATCAAAAGAATCAGAGCAAAATATTCTAGACAAAACAAGTACGTACAGGGCAACAATAAGCCGTAGACCATTCGCAGCAGCAGCAGCAACGACAGCATCTAAATTAAGCCACAGATCAGATATCTTTACCTTCAGCTACTCTTTGAACGCACCAAAGTTTTGAAGGCCTGTAGAACCTGTGTTGACGGTTGGCGTACTTCCAGACCAGCTTTGGTAATAAATTCCGTTAGGACTTGTTACTTCATTGAAGCCCCTAAAGGCAGAACGCACACTGAGATACGGATACGGTGACATCCTTTACCAAAGCTTACCATGTGCGGACGGCAGTGGCACCTGTAGCCGCGATGTCTGCGAAGGCAGTATTCATATCAGAGGTGCTGTAACCCATCAGCCCGACCCAGTATGAGTTGGCGCTATGATGATATTCCTTAGACCATAGTATAACGATGCAAACGTCTTACCCAAAAACAGTGAATTTGGCACCGTTAAGGCGGAACTCTGTACCTGAGGTTGTTACAAAACCGGTAGGAGATGGCAAAGCAGTGCTTGACGCAGTAATTGTGAGAGAAGTGGTAGAAACGGTTGTTGATGTAGTAGAAACGATTGTCGATGTGGCCGTTCCGGGCAGACATTGATAATACCAATCGTTGAGAATTGTGCAAACTGTGCCGCTAACGCAAGCTGTCGTCATGGCGTCAGGTTATGACCAGCATTCGGAATCATTGTCAAGTCACGAACTGGTATCTCCTGTCCATCCAATGCCACCACATTGACCCCACTCAGGAGCAGCGGCGAGTGCAGAGCACAGGAAGGTCCCCAGAGATAAAAATACGAGTAGATGCATTCTCCAAGTCAACACGCACTCCTCGTAGTGGGATTTATATACAAAAGCACCGGGCTGGATAAATTTCGCGATTGCGGGAACACACTTCAGCGAGGTAGCGCCGGTTAAGATATGATGATATAAAGCGACTACCACAGAAGGCAACGCATAGACGCATGATGAGCATTAGCGAAAATCAACCGGATTGGACGTTTCGCTGATGAACACTTGGAAATCTTTAGGCTAGCAGCGAAAGAACTAGTGACAGTGTAATATCGATACAACTACAAACCTACCGAAAGTTTGCGTAGTAAAATGGATGATGGAATACTTAGCCACATATGCCCAACTCATACTGAGTCGTATCCAACTAATAGCAGTACGTCGTCGCGCGGGCCGGTCACCCCGGATGACAAAGCACGTGATGTTTCCTATGCATGATATAAATCCGAAAGGCCGTCTTCATGGCCTATGTCAATGGGTACTTGCCGCTTGCAAATTTAGATTTATTGAGTCCGTATCATTAATATCCTGCTGCTATCCCATTTTTACGGGAGTCGCTCGCAGCTGCAAGCTCAATCATGAGAAAGCGTTAACAAACTGTGAGCAGGATAAAGCACATACCAAAAATCTTCCCGTCCTTTATCATGACACCGTTCACAGCGGAGGCAACACGATTTACATCGGCGACTATCAAAAGTCAGTAACGTGGATTCTGGTCAAGTCATGAACATACCGATGACATTGTGCCCTCTACGTCTCAAATCATCTAGAATGTCGCTGGGATATACATTGTCTGCATCCAAGAAAAGAGGATATAATTGATTATGAAGTCGGCCGAATTCAATTGCAGAGCTGAGATCCAAGCCCCACTCAAGATTTAATATCACCTGGAAGACAGCCGGAAAGATTCGAGAGCCTCCAGAACCACCGATGCTCAGGTAGAAGGACCCATCGGCATTCTCGATGATCGTTGGTGTTGTTGACGATAGGGGACGCTTTCCGGGCTCAGGATAGTTGTCTTTGGAACTACACATCAGGAGAACAAAATAGAACAGGAACTCAGCATACATGGTGAGGGCCATAACCCGAATCCATTGGGCGTCCCAGGGACACTGAAGTCATCCATCTAAATGTATTGAATGAGTAAAACACTGGCAAATGGAGTAACGCAGTACTTCGTCGTTCAGAATGACACCGGTCACTGGGTCAAGAACCTCTGACCCAAAAACAAGGTTTATGGTGGATGTTAACGAGACTGCCATGCCATTTTTGTCGACTATGGATGTATGACTCTGATATTCACGATCAGTCTGCTGTTATTATATACAGTGTCATGGGTACTCACCGTTCCATGATCTGTCAAGACATCATATTTAGGGTTGTAATAATCGGGTGGATGTGTATGACCCTGAGTACTACGTGAATGTAATACCAAGCTTGGTAGAAGGATGCCTCACATCTGTAATGTTAGGGAAAATGATGTTGGCGAACGTTTTGGTGGATATAGAGTTTATGATGTCGGTAATATTTTGGAAACCAGGGTCGCATATTCTAGTACTAAAAGGATGTCAGAACTGCTGCAGGAAACCACTAGGGTACCACCGACCGCGCTGAAAACCCGAATTTCATTGCCTCAACTGATCTATGTGTATTGACACCATCTCGTGTCTCTAAGTCATACTTTTCCATCAGATTGAGCATATGAAGTAGGACTGGAGACCTTGTCAGATGCCCAGCTAGGGAAGGAATGGTTTCTCCCTCACCGGGTCCTGAGGTGGGCGCATGGGTGGTATGTATCTTGCGGTCTCTATAAGTTCCTTGGAGAGCTCGCGACACTTTTACTTTGTACCCTTCGAGATCAGCATGAGATAGGATGCCGCCAGTCATAGTGATCTTCTGAACAAGTGCATCTGCAATAGGGCCCTGACACACGGTAAGTACAAGCTACGTGAGAGAGCATGTTAAAAGCATACTTTGTAGAAAGCATCGGCACCTCCAGTAGCGATCGTCGCAAGCGTCCTAGAGTAATTCGTTCTTCTGATCATTTCTCCTTCTTTCAATAGCACTCCATTCGGAGCAAAAATATCACGCCAATCTGGATTTCCCAGCATCAAATCAACGAACCACTACAAATATGTCAGTTGCAAAAGAGTGCGAATGTCAGAATAATTATTCCGCACCGGAATCCTGCGTCCCAACTCCTTATCGACTTGCCAACCGGCAGCCAAGTCGACACTGGGTTGCACAAGCCTCTTCCATGGGACTGTTCCCCATCTCTTGTGCGCCTCTTCCAGTCCACGAAGTTCGCCTGGCACGGCAACCGATAGGCCTCCAAACATTGAGGAATTCGATCCGCCCGAGAACATGGACGAGTTCGACAGCGCAGGAGCCACTTCTCGGAAATCGATATCAAATACTTCTGAAGAGGAGTTGGCGTCTTTAGATGGGATGCGAACGGTCATGAAGCCGCCTCCGCCGATACCAGACCTGAATCGGCCTAGATATGAGGAATTAAGGAGAAATAACGAACTTGGGACATACGAGAACATATTGACAACCCCAACGCAGAAAGTAACACTAACGGCCGCATCTATAGCATTGCCCCCGTCTTTGAGAACCTCGACCCCCATGTCGGAGCAACGCTTGTTCTCCGACGCGACAGCACCATGTTCCGCTTCTATGAGATATGCAGGATTTCGACTTTGCTGAGTAACGGCCCATGAATCTGGTGGTTGGTGTCGTTGGCATAGTCTGATCCACGCCAGAAGACCCAAAAAACAGCAGAGGAATGCTACGCGAGGTTTCCTTGACCTCCGAGTCTCCAGCGAAGACGATGCGGGCAGAGGTATTTCACCACGGCCAGTCTTTCCTTCCCCAAAGAGATACCTGGACTCCATCCTCGCGGTTGAAAGGAGAGAAAGATCGGTTGTGTTTTATCAGCCGGCTTGATGATAAAGCGGAAGCAGAAAATGGCTTACGAAGTCGACGATAAGAATTTGCTCATATATCGCTTATCTTTTGTGACCAGAAGGCTGGAAGCCCAGATTCTGTCAGTCCTTGGATACTGGTGCAGATGCTGCGTCCATTGCCGGCTCCTCGAATGTCGCCTGTCTTCGCTGTTCTCGTTCGAATTCGCGACATATGTCACCGCTGAGGCCGGTACGTGTTCAGCAGTGATAATGAAAACCAGGATATCTGCTTATGGTACGATTTTGAGAAGATATTTGTGTAGGCTAGCTGAAAATAATAAAGGCAATCATGTTAGGTGACAATGACGGTGTAATTGCAATCGCCTTCTGCCCTTTATCTCCTACCACCGCAACGTTTTTAATATTTTCTTGGATACTATTGGAAAACATGCCTGCACGCTCACGCAAGTTTTCAGAGGCATACCGGAGCGAATCACGGTATGTATCCATCTCATGATACAACTATACTTTGACTGTATTTCTAGGTCCAAGTCTACATTCTCGTCTCTGTCTGCGCATATACAGGGTACATTGTATCAGTTTCAGTGTAACAAATGATTCACTGCTTTCAGATATTACCCCTGCAGCGAAACCGCAGCGAACGGGCCTCAATTCACGATTTGACCGCATGATGGACACTGTGAATATCACGTATCGCTCTCCTGCGAGACGCGACCGGACCCGTTCGGCGGGTTCATCTTCCAATAGTAGTTATATGATGCCCACCACGCCACTGGATGCATATGATACCCTCCAATCTCGAAGGCTAGGCAAGGATTTTGCTGTCATAAAGATGAAGCAGCGGTTGGTGTCCCAGGGCGAAGGGGAAAGGGAGGACGCTTCTACGCTTTATCCAGAGGTTCTTGCCGATTTCTGCTATCCTGCATGGCACCCTTATGCGAAGCTTGCTAGAACTCCACCAATCATCGATCTGCCGAAATATTACCTGGTTGGCTATCCGATGCGTTCCTATCGCTACACGAGACACATCCATTGCGTCTACTCCTACCTTCTTCTACGGAGCAGCCGTTAGTTGTCATGTCGTCTGGTTTGACAGAGCCAAACGGTCATGATACGATATCTCTCTGTGACGAGGAGAGCCCGTTCGCGTTCAGTGCCCTTGAAGTTGAACGAGTGGAACCTCATGCTACCACTTTCTCTTATTCTGACGGACCCACGGTTTCGCCGAAACTATCTCAAATCAATGACATACATTCACTATCTTTCATCCCATTTACTAGGCCTGGTCCTGCTTCACAGGTTTCTTTCCTTCATCCTTCGTCATTTGTGGCAAGAACACAAACACCATCGCCGACACCGCTCAAACAACATCCAAGCATGTGTCATCATGGTGCTGTAAGACCGTGTTCTTATCTTTTATCTGATTCTTCACACTCTCAGCTATTCAAACATGACTCGTCAGACTTCCCCCTTTCTGCTGAATTGTGCGACAACTTCACGGTCATTTGTCATACATCACAACCAGCTGAAGATATGGTGTCTACCCCAGAACACGCCCATATCAGGAATCCACCAGCCAGTGCTTCTCAACTTTCCCACAACAGCCTTGCTTCACCGTATTCTCAACACATGCCTGCGCCATGCTCGGACATTCCCATTGCTGACTATTGTAAATCATCAGATGATATAAAACAAGACGAAGCTCCGATTTCTGATGTTTATCTTCACGGAAGAGAAGGAATAGATATGTCCCGTTTCCAAAACATATTCTCTACACCAGGACCCGGTTATTTGGTCTCTCGCCCCGTCTACTTCGATCCGCCTGCTGAAGGTCCAGATTCTTCTTCTGTCCCTGCCTTTGAGATCAACTACGACATGGAATGCGCCGAATTGGATTTCCAGTGGAGGCCCTATGATAGAAGCGGGACTACTGAACTTCCACAAACTTTCTATGTTCCATCTGAATCACCCACGGTCCATTTGAACCACGGCGGCGACAACGCCGACAAGTTAACACAAGCGCTATCTTACCCTATAACATCTACGCCTTGACGTTACGGTTCATCTCCTGGGCCTTTTCGTTTTGCCGTTCCTCCCGAAGAACACCAAACGCGAGTACCACCAATGTTTCCCCCAGTAACAATGGAAGATGACGATCAAATTCTCTCGAAAGAGGAACTCATGCCTGCCTTTGCTCCTACTCCTGGTATCTATCTTTCTCCGCTTCAATGCTCAAGATCCCTTTCCATCAACGTAGCAAGCCGCGTCGAAGACAGAGCAAGTACTCGTTGAACTAATGTATTCACATTGGCCCTGACGTGATCATTATAGAAATTATCCCTGATCGAAAGATTGGACAAGCTATCTTCAAAAATGAGTAATGAAAATTCTACCGCAAGTATTGACGGATCGGGCGACGTGTCGGGGTCCCAGTCTTCAACTGATTCGATCGAGTCGTGGGGATGATGGAGTATGATGGTGCTGTACTGTTCCTATTTCTGGTGTCATGCAGGTTGTTCCTTTCGCCCACCGCAAGGTGTAATCGGATGCGCGGTGCCGCCGGGATAATGATACGGAGTAATGCATGTACATTGCGGGTGCACGCTTGACTTCGGAACCTTGGAAGGTACAGAACTTGAGGCACATATGGTCCATAGCGATCATGGATCTTTCCGGTGTTCAAATTGCGACCCTAGAAATGGTGAAGGTCCGGTTCCTTTGAAAGCTCTGAGATAAATCTCTTGCAGCTGAATAATCAATACTGTGCTTGTCATATTCATATGCATACAGTGTGCAGCTGAGTTCGAGGACCTACAACGCCGTACCAATTGTGTTTAAATAGTCCCATCGAGTCTCGTGGAGCTAGCATAGTGGTCCTGGTATTTGATGCCATTTTACCTTGAATGGGGAAATGGCGTAAACAACCTTCACTGCGCCAATTAAAATGCCTCCAGCTCTTGCCCTGAGTTTTATCCCTGGCCTAGATGTTCTGGCACCCCGTCGTAATGCGTCGGGGTATGAAAAAAGATCAATAACGCACGAGACAGGGTGTTACATTTGCAGGAAATGCGTTGAGCCCTGTCACCTCGACGTCAAGTCAAATGTCCTTGGAACGATTTCTGTCCAATTTCCAAAAAATATATTTTACGACACGTACAGGTCTCCTTGCTGCTTGTAAATAGATTAATACAGGAATACCATGAGCTACATAATTCCCTAGGATGGTTGTAAATTGAGACAGCTTCAGCTTATTAGCCGAAAAACGTTCAGAAATCAATTGGAAACAAGTCAACAGGCATTATGCCCCAGGACCATTAGAAAGCTACGGAAAGGGTCTGCATTTGCGTATGGCCCACCGTACATTGGTAAAAGCGCCCTCCGACAGTCGACTTCAAGCTCGATGGGATCTAGACTCAAGACAAAATTCGAGGTCTTAGGGCCATATGGATCTATATAAAGGTAAAAATTAGTCCGTTTATCTGTCCTGGGCGAAGCACTAACGGACCTGAAACAATACCTGTGTGGATACCATGGACAGTTGGCACCTATGTTTGCACTGATGTCAACACCATTGTAGAAATCAGCATTGCCCAAAGCTCCATTAGCCTTGGTTTGCGGGCACACCCATATGCATTTCAAGAAACACACTGGAATGCGAGCTCGATATTCTGACCGTCATCAATGTAAGCCTGTATAACTCACATAGTCGTACCCGAACTAGATCGAAATCTGATAGAAACGTTTGCTTAAGATAAACTGTCCTTGATGAAGAAGTGATCAAGCCGTAAAGACAAAGTTGGCGAGCGTCTTTGTTTGTCAACAAACTATTTAAAGATTGGACCTGGAGAAGACTGTCGAAATTGGCGAGGGTCCAATCTGTCAGGTTGATGATGAATACGCTCGGGCGTATCAATTGCACGAATAAATATTGCAATTACACGATAGGTTTATCTGGATAGGAATACTGGGTTCGGTGTCGACTAGGCAGAGTCCTTGTCCGTCGCATTGTCACGAAACTAGTCCTTCGGTGCTACAAGAATTTGGGTGGTAGATATGAGTACAACATGCATCTTCTTCGCAATAGCCTTGCCCCAATGGATTACAAGGGTATAAAGAAGGAGGTGCTGCGCGCGAAGTTGCACTTCACGATAGGAGCAATATTGACATCGCGGCATGTCGAGATGGAAAACACAGCTGCAAATACCAGGCACTGTGTAGAGGCACGCGGGGCAGGCAGAGGTGAAGCGAACAGCCCGGATATGATGATCAACGAGCTTCGAAGAAGGAAGACATATGAATTAAGGTGGCTAGTCCATTCAGGAGCGTGGATCACGAATCTTGATATCGGATTCATCACGCATAACAAAGCCTGAATTGTTGGAGTAGGACGAAGACATCCGGTCTGCGGACTGCGAAAAGCCACTTTGGGTGGGAATATATGCGTTGCCAGGCATGGTACTGCGGGATGTCGACTGGGAATTCAAGGAAGGAAGGGGGTACGTCGACGAGGCAGAAGAGCTGGGGACGTCCGAGTGCTGTTCCTCCATGACCATCGATGTATCCCATGGCCCACCATCGATGTCGGAAACTGAACGTGGCAGGGTAAGGGTGCCGGGAGACAGCGAGCTCGCGCGAGTCGAGCCCCGCGAACTCGACGAGGAATCCCGGCTGGGGTGGGGTAAGGCGGTGCCGGTATCGCCTGACGATGCATCGGGTACATAAGCCTTGGGCATATCCTTTCCGGTTGGCCCTCTGCCTAGTGGTGACCGACTTGCTGGTGGTAAATTCAGTGCCCGTCGCAGGCAGTCGTTCTCGACCTCGAGCTCAGCCACTCTTTGTTCCATCGCCTAGGCAAAATTCGGAGCACGAGTGAGTACGTCCGACATCAAAGAAAGGGCAGCATGCTCACCTGTAAATGTGCTGCTCGTCGTTCTCGAAAGGCCCGTTGGACATCTCTGGCACGATTGGGCGGGAGATTGTCATTTCGCTTGCGACCGCGTTTTGAAGACATGAAGAGAATTGAAAGCCAGACCAAACACCCGAATTGCGAATTCCTTTTTGCACGTGGATAATCATTTTTCCTTCCGCTTCTATGGCTGGCAAGCATGGCAGACGCACCCCTGCTTCAAACACAAAGGGAAAGCAGGATGCTGCAAAAAAGGCCCTCAAGAAAAGGCAAAAGTCTTCCCACAAGTTTCAAAGTGCCGACATGAGAGAAAAGCTGGATGGCGAGGCGCAGGCCCTCTACGCCACTGTGCGTATTCTCCCTTCCTCTTCTTCATGATGTCGCAATTGACTGCTATCTAGCTTGTAAGACCCACCTCTGCTGTATCACTTTCTTCCCGAAAAGTGAAAGCTACCGTCGATGATCTATCAACGGCGCTCAATTCCGGACTATAAAACTCAATTTACACACAACCGTAAGTAAAAACATTCAAATTTCCATAGTTGAGACAATGTATCTACGATGATTACTTATCCAGGAACGTATCCGCACTAATGGAAAATAGTTCGGCGTGAAGATCATAAGTAACATAAGCTATCACCCTGTACCAACTATTTTAAAATCGGCGCAGCCCAGCATGTATATATACAATATACCACATAGTGAAAGTAAAGGAGAAAAGGAGTGAAACGTGAGATAGAGCACAAGTGAGATACACCTGTTATACATACATCCAGTCATCATAGCAGAATTAATTCATATCCTCCCATGCAGGCTGTGGAGGCGATATGGCCAACTTCCCAACTTGTTTCCTTTGGCGAAGGTTCTTTACCTCTGTGTTGATCAAGTCCCTTAAGCGTTCTAGGTCAAGACTTCTCTCAGGCCGTGAACCCATAAGGACATTACGCCATATGCCTCCAGCCGCGACGGAATTGTCTACACTTCGTTGCATTGGTCGGTGAAGACGAACCATCTTCTGGATGAGGTGGTCAGGATTGGGATAGAGGGCGGTAGGCCATGCTACACGAATTGCAAACCACCACCCCAAGGGCTGGTTGAGTAAGGCGTCAGAGCAATAAAATGGTGCATGACACGAACACTTACCCGGCCATCGGGGAGGGTCTTCTCAGGATATGAGTCGTAAGTCGTCAAAAGACCCTCAGGAAGAGAGAACCTAACGTCATCAGTGCTAGTCCACCAATCAAAAATGTTTGGACCCTACCTATGGACAACCCAATGGTTCTCATCCGACCTGTGCTTGGCTAGGACCACTAATAATCGTGGCATACCCTGCAAACCAAACGGTGTCCACAAATCTCGCAGCATCCCACAAGCGTCTCCGTGCCGTCCGTGGAAGACAGCATTGTTGATCGCGTCAGCCATGTTCGGTGGCACAAACAGACGATCGACGGGCATCTGAGGATTATCAGTCAATCGTGACCGAACGTATCGCTTATACGTCTGTGTGGACCAGATGCTCATAGCAACTTCATTGACCTGACGGCCTCTCATTGTACTCGCCAAAGCTCCATCAAATTCACTAAGCGGCCATACTATAGCCCAGCTCAATAAGCGTTGGTGAATCTTCTGCCAGGGAAGGAGGCCGTTATCCGCGCTGCTGTAATTATCATCGCCATATGTAGGTTGAGGTGTCGCGACAACGCTCCGACTACTCTGCGCAGGGATGGATGGAAGAGGGGCCTCGTTCTCATAGCCAGTGTCAGAGCCAGGGATCGTCGGAGCTGCCGCTTGCTGATTATCTTCATCATCATACTGATCGTCGTCTTGATGAAGTTCCCAACTATGATGTGAAAGGCCTGACTGGCTCCCGGCTGGCTTCTGCCTAAGCTTGTAGAGCTCCTCGACAAGGTACTGTTGGCCAGGCGAATCGTCACGATCATTGTTGTAGTAATCATTGGCTTCTCCGTCGAGGTGCGGGAAGCGACGAGCAGGCTCCTCGTATTCTTGTTCCGGAAGATTTCCGTGTTCGTTAACATCTTCCTCTTCATCCATGACCACTTCCGTGTGAGGCTGATAGGTTGAATCCGCCATGGTTCCCGTCGGCTGCGTGTGAATGTTGACTGTCTGCGTGACCGGAGTCTGGCCGTACTCCTCTTCCTCACCTTCTGGTTCGAGCGATGGAGGAACCCGGAGGTTTTCGATCTTTGGCCCAAGGCTTTCGATGCGTTGTTGCATAAGAACGATTTCTCGCTTAAGATCTGAGGCCCATTTCGGCGGTTCCTGTGACTTTTTAAGCTACAAGATAACAGGTGAAAAATTCGGGCATACTTACCTCACTATCCCCCTCCTGAGTCCCACCGAAACCGTGACCTTGATGGTTCTTCTGTAGCTGCCTGATCGACTGAGTCAAGTGGTCAATATCAGCCACAAACGAAACGCCGATTGGAACAAACCTCATTGTCATGTTTCATGCCCAGTTCCTTAACTCGCCGTCGAACAGCCTTTCGCATTACTTTCTTCACCACTTCCGGAGTCGAAGCATCATTCAAGAATTGGAACAAGACGCAAAGATCTTTGTCATGAAAGTGGGAATTTGCGACGTCTGGCTCCAGAACCGACGCTTCATAGTACGATGTCCGTGGCGTCTGCGCAACGGAAGCTAATGCAGCTTTCATAACCTCGGTCTCCTCATGATTCAAAGCGCCAGGCGAATTGGGACGCGATGGCGTGGGAGTAGCGTCTGCATCTCTCGTTTTGTCAGGTTGCGACGCCACAACTGAAGTGGTCCTGGCGTGTCTACTAGATGCTTTCGACTTTGCAACTGAGCGCACAGGGACTTCAGAAGGAGGAGCGGTGGGGGCTTTTGAATGATGTGAAAGCTCCTTCGTAGACTCTTCCGGAATAGTTACTACACGACCTCGTATCACGGCGTGTAGAAGGTCTTCGGTAGTCGCAGCGTGCCTATACGGCGAGAACGGCCTTGACTGATGAGATGCAGATGACCCGTTCGGCGGGGATCGCCCTATGACCGTAATGAATATTGGAGCTCGTGTGATAAATATTATCGGCGATACCTTTGCCATTGACACGAGGCGCTGTCTCTCCGCCAGTCTCTGACCCATTGACCTTGGAACCTTCTCGGCGACTCTTTGTGGCGGAGCGTGCTTTATATTGGGATTGGGAATCTGAAGGGCTGACAGAGGGGGCCTTAGAAGGTGCCATCGATTGCGGTTTCGTTCGAGCCGGAGAAACTGGGCTTAATGGCATGGCCTCCTCGCCAACCCTGCTTTCAGGAAGGGATGGATAAACGGTGCCTTTCTCCGTGGGCCGCGTCCTACCTGTCACACGAGACTGGCTGGACTGCGGTGACAGTGGCCTATATTCAGCTGCCGTTGGATCAGCCTTGGTTGCTGGTCTCGGGGACTGATGGCAGAAGTCATTGTACGGGAAAATTGTATAGTGACAATACTTACATTAGGGACCACTTTGGGAGAGCTAGAGGCTCTTGATGGCGCGATGCGGTTTCGCGTACCTTTGCTGGATGACGGTTCGATGCCAATCGCAACAGATGCAGCCCTGGGAGAAATAATAGACTCTGGTAGAGGGACCTTATACAGCTGACCGGGGGTCACGCCGCCATTTGTATCGAGATTCCAGGGAATAACAGGTTTTGATGGGGCTTGATCCCATTGAGGCTACGAAAGATAATGAGACGAAATTACAAGTCAGGGCCAAGTAACTCACATTCAAGGTGTTCATGGCTGCCAGATTTGTAGAATAATCGTCTGGCATTGGTCCCATGTTACCGAAGGACGGGCCAGAGTCGTAAGACTCATAACGAGGGCCAGGTGGATCTTGAGGGCCGGGCTGCAGCTAGTGTTGAAGATCATTATGCACAGTGAATAATCAGGTTACGTACGATATGTAGGACTTCTTCACCGTTTTGCGACCTCTCTTGAACATCGGAAGCAATGTCCTCGCCATCCTCTTCAGGATTGTTCTGACCATAACTGACATGAGAATTAGCTAATTCATGGAGAGCGTCACTGTGGTGACTCTTTGAAGGGGATTGAACTCTGCTGGGGCCGCGAGATCTACTTTGGTATTCCTCATGGTCCACGATAGAACGTGGGGGATCATTGTCAACCTCATCCTTGGACATGCCTTCGAGATAGTCTAGGACTGCCAATAGTGTAAGACTGGGGTCGCTAATCTAGAGAGCACTTCGTTCACCTTTCTCATTCGGACCTAGGGTAATTGCGATATGAGCATTCAGTTGCTAAATGATACAGTATGCTCGTACCTGGTGTCGAAGAACGAAGTAACATAGACCCCAATACATCGCCAGAGCTCTTTGAGCCCTTTGCAGACATGGTAAGTGTAGAAAACTGTGCGTTACTGAGGGAATGCCTTGATCTGCGAGTTTGGTTGAGAAAATTGGTCGGCAGTTGCAATTCAAGAGCCGTGGAAGCAAGCAAGGTAATCGTAGTAAAAGGATAGAGAAGAATAATGGGAGAAAACCTGGAGCTGAAGATATCGCAGAAATGGAGAGATAAAGAAGAGGTGCAGCGCCGTGTAGAACGACCCGGAATCGTTCAACAATTCCAACAATCCCAACTTGCCAAACAAGTGTCAACATCAACGGACCCTGACCGCGGAACAACCAATTAAATCGTGCCTGCCAGTGCAATAATAGTCATCCCTTTGGAAACGAGTGCTTCCCATCCCACGACAGCAATTTCTCAGGTTGTTACAGTCTACCCAATCTTTCCACGGCGACTTCTGGGTCACCCCCCAATTGCATCCATGGAATCGAAGTAGCCCCTTGATCGAGGGAGGCTTCTCCTAGAGCACAAGATCATGATCGCAGATCCATAATCACTAAATCTCACTGGTAGTGTCAACTGCCTACTTCTGGTCCCCGTATAGATATTGGGTCCATACAAGCTACAGAAGCCTGTAGATCTGCCTACGGAAGTCAGAGCTGTAACGTTCATATAGGAATCAAAGTCCCAAGAGCCGACGTCGAAGAATAGTATTGATATTCTAATGGGATCTAGAGCGGAGCGTGCACCAATGATGTACAAGTTTTACTAAGATTAGAAGGCTTGCCAAGGTAACTGCCGAGTTCTGCCAGAGCTGCATGATGCAGATAGAGTCTCTAGCAAAGATTTTCTAGTATACATTGCGAAGAAACCAGACAGCTGGACTTAATGGACGAATGGCGGTGGAAACGTGAGCTACGTCACTGATGCGCTTGCCGCGGGTGTGTACTCACTAGAAAGGGCTCTAACACAAAGATCTCAAGAGTTCGAAGAAAAACTTCCATAGACATCAATATATTAAGTCCATAAGGCACGGTCTCTTGTATTGTATTTTTGCTTCATTGCCTCCTCTATGTTACTGAAGTAGGATTTTCAGCTTGAATTGATGTATTCAATGCCACTCATTCGCCCGTTTATTTATTCTATATCATATCTATTATCTTAGAATTACAACTGAGTTTCTTCTGGTGATAAGGTTCCATGCCTGCTACTCTAATACGGTACCATTCTAAGTTAAAAAAGCCAATGAGTTGACAAAAATTTCCGGCGCTGACGAGGGTCATATAACACTTCTAGCAGATGACCAATTTACACTAGTCAAAACCCAACGGAAAATGATTGGATAATGGATAAATTTTTTCTGCAACGCAATGGGCTTACTCTTAATAATAAAGCTGACGTGTTTTTCTGTGCTCAGGATGCCTCGTCAGAAGTTTATCTATTATCCGCCATTATCCGCCAGTTTTTGATTGACACGAGGAGAGTTTCCGTTTCCCTGCACCTTGAGTTTGAGACAAGATTATGAGCATGTCTTGAGCACCCAGGAGTGCAGGAGTGCAAATGTCTATTCTTAGGTCCGGACCAATGCGGGGCAAGATCCGAAGTCTCCCAGAAAGGCGTCGCATTTTCCAGCACATTCTTCTTTTTTCTCCGCTTTTCTCGATTAGAAAGATCGCGAAATGACATTTATTAAAGATGGTATATATAATCTCATATATAATGATTGTTGAATATTGTATTTTCATTTTCACAGCATGTTCAGTGCAAGCCCCTTCTATCGTAGCTCACCCTACTCTTCCAATTACTACCCTTATGGCCAGTCTGGCTGTTCCCCCCTTGGTTATTATCCATCTCCCTACGCATCTCGTGTAGCCGAAGAGCACCGGCACAATGCCCGCCTTCAAGCTATCGAACGCGAGCGGGAACTTCAGCGGCAGCGCCTTCTCGCCCAACGGCGGGATGAGCGTGCCAGACAATACATAGTCGATACCTATGACACCGATACAGCTGTTGCTGACGATATTGCATACGACTATGGATTTGGCCGTTATCTGAATCCGTACGCATCTAGAGAGCAGGTATTTATTTATTTGCAGTTAAATCATCACCTTAAGACTAATTCAGTTACGTAGGCGAGACCTAGAAGAACGAGTACTTCAAAGCACTCTATCCCTATGCAATCTCCGTCGCCTTCCAAAGATCCACAGCCTGAGCCAGTTAACATGTCACCCCCTGCAGAAATACAGGAGGCCCCTTCGTCGCTTCGCCCCTCTGATTCTCAAAGTCCAATTTCCTCGTTTCAACGACAGCCTTCTCCATCTCCCAGCGAGCAATCATCAGACGAGTCCTCTAGCGAGCTTAATCAGGCCGATCTCGTCCAGAAATCTCTTGGCACCATCCAGACCCTCCAGCAAAAGTTTGAAGGATTGAAGACTACCTTTACATGGCCTTCTCACATCGATTTCGACCTCGATGGTGAGGTGATATCCGTTTCCACTGATAGTTCGTCGGAGCCGAGGCTTACACCACCCAAGCTTGCCTATACGATCCGTAACACACCTTTACACGCTTACAATGAGTCGCTAAACCGTTTGCTGGTTCAACTGGATGCCGTACAGAGCTGGGGAGAGCAGGAGGTTCGCGAACGGCGGAAGCGTGTCGTATCCATAGTGGAAGCTGAGGCAGTTAGAGTTGAACGACGGTGGAAAGCAGTGTGGGAAGGCAAGGGTATAAATGCGGAGGAGGACGAAGTCATTGATATAGTTACAGAAACCGGGAAGGACGACGAGGGATATGGCGGCAAGGAGCAACAGTGATTATATATTATCATTGTTCAGGCTTGTCGCTACCTTCCTGTATCAAAATTTTCTGATATCTCACTTACTCATGCAGTGTCCTTCGCCGCCAATATTTATTATCATTTCCAAGAGGCCCGCCTGTAGTGTGATACAGCTTCTTACTCATTTTTTATCTAATCCCAATTTATTGCTTCCATGCAAGTAAGCCATAACCAACGTTGATACCACTGCTTGGAGCACTGATGGCAATGCTCTCGGAAGTCAAACAGTCTCGCGTCTCCGAATTTGCAATGGAAGATTGTAAGTGGAATAGAACTAATACAGAAATCGAGGTTCTTCACTCACGTAAACGCACTGCTTTTGCATGGAGTCGACCGATATTTTCTTGTGATATGCGAATGATCATGGCTACTCTGTTTCCCTTGCGGAAGATGGGGTCTAAGGTTTCTCCAGCAGCCGAAGAGCTTCATTAAATCATGACCATGAAGTTTTTCTCTACCCTTGTTCTAGTTCAATTCATCCCCTCTTACACCCTTGCCGTGACTGTTGGCTATGGTAGTGGCTACGGCATTGGCAGCAACTCACTCGCCAACGATGCTTTCTCCGACGGCAGCAACGGTCTTCTGACCAAATTATATACCACATACAGCTCCGTTCCCAATTCCCCATACATCGCATCATCTGACTCCATCACAGGATGGAACAGCGTGGGCTGTGGGACCTGCTGGTAGTTATCATACAATGGGCGCACGATTAACGTGCTAGCAATTGACCATGTGTGATATCGGAATTTTACACCTCAGAGGCTGCGTTAAATGATTTGGCGAACAGACATGCAATCGAGTATGGGTCGGGACAGGCCGCAGCGACCCAAGCCAACACGTCAACTTGCGGCTTGTGACAATTAACGATAAGATTCATGGACCTTTGGACTTGAGGACATAACGGATACGCTAGCTGGTGATTGGCCGCTCATAAGGACTTATCGCACTTCCACGTGTTGATGAGTCTTAGTATAATTCATATTTACTCACTTTGTACAAATGAATGTCAAATCCTTATATTATATGGCAGTCGAACCAGCAATAAAAGAACGTTTGTAGCTCAGATTTCACTAGATAATGAAGTGTTGCGAACTGTGGTTAACGAGGTTCGATGACAGTCGATGCACTCTATGGTTCTGCTTGGGTGAAGGCTGAAGTATCAATACTGGATGTTTCGTCAAAGGTATTTTTTGCCCTTTCTTTGAATACCGAGAATCCGATGCCTCCCCGAGGGCCCCAGCAAACGGAACCCAGGCGGAAACATTGGTTCGGGTATCCATAATTAAATCCGAGCTACAGAAAAGAACCATAAACAGGCCTTCCATCTAACACTGTCGCTATTACTCTGCTCTCCAAAATTTTATCCACCGCGACAGACATGATGTCTTGGGAAAGAATTACAAAGTCGGCTCTTTTCCCGGGCAGCAGTGATCCCAAAGTCAACTCCGTAAAGGAGGCGTATGCTGGATCAATAGTCATGCCTTCAGGATACGCAAGGTGAATACACAGTCCATTGACAGAGTCTTGACCTTACCTCTGAGCGCTTCTTGTCTAGTTAAGCGCTGTTCTGGGAACCTACGACGGCACGTAAGCTTTGAATCTTCTAAAGGTATTGCACACAAACCAGCCATCAGGTCCGTGAGGTGACGTTCCATCTTCTGAGAAACGCGTGATAGCGGCATAGAACCCTGCCAAAGGGTTTATACCTTCTACTGGGGCGTCTGATCCCAGAGTAATTCTCGCCTTGTTATTGAGAATGCTGCGAAAAGCATACAATCCTTTGACTCGTTCCGATCCCAGGCGCTGCTCAGCATACCACATATCGTCAATACTGCGGAAAAGACTCGTCAACAGTATGTTATACAATGTCTGCGGAAAAGCATACACATGTGTCGGCTGCACACTGGCAATAACTAGAACGGGCCTGAGTCTAACTACCTTGGAGATGAGGCTCTGCTTCCTACCTCCAAGTTTTCCTATTCGCTTCATATCAGCTTCAGTCAGTAGCTGGGCATGTTCCAACCGTGGTCGGAGAGTAGTGACGTCGACGTCAGATAATGCTTCTTCAAAAGCGTCCAAAACAATGCCATTGGCACGATCACCTATGGCGTGGATGTTCTCCATGCAAGATATATTTAGCTACCCTTCAAGAACTATTATGAATTATAAATACACGCACGACTTGCCATCCGTCTCCGAGAAAACGGGGAATGACCTTGTTGATGATTTCAGGCGGTGTTCGCATAAAACCATTCGTACTAGGATTGTCAGTATACGGTTCATAAAGCTGGATATACGATAGTCGTAGTAACATGGAGATCAAAACTGGTGTGCACTTACTGCGGCACCTCCAGTTCTGAGAGCACCTAAATGCTTCGGTTCAGAAGATCTTCATCACACAAAGCAGAATATGTTTCTGCGTACCATCAGCAAACATCTTCACACTTCTGCAGTGAAGTCGTCCATTTCCCGCGTTAATAAGAGGGACGACACGATCTCCCCAATACTCGCCGCTTTCATTGAAATAAGTCATTCCATAGATTCGAATCTATAATGTCAGATAGCAAAACGAAGATGTATCGGAATGTCCACATTTTCCAACGTACCGGAAGCGTTCCCTCTTCTGCTTGCCTGTTGCCCATATATGAAGAAATGTGAAACGAATGCACAGTAGAGCTTGCCTTTTGAAGAAAGCTAAAGACTCTGGCGCAAGTGCCGCGTCGTGAATTGAAGTTAAACCATAAGCGAGGGCATCTCGAACGGTAATAGAAAAAAGGGAGTGAAGGTCAGCGTCGGTGGCTTCAGGTTTATGAATGAGATCTTGGGCATTGTCAAGGAACAGTCCTACATGAAAATGTGACATTAAGAGAATTATTACGAAAGAGTTTCACTTACCACTGGGATTTCCATCTGAATCCGTCTGAATCACACCGCCGTCAACGTGCTCAGGATAAGGACCATTATCATCCAAAGTGGCGCGAGAGACCCAGATTGCGTGACCGTCCTTGCTTTGCAGAATTATAGGCCGTCCGTGGATGTCAGGATCCGCATCCAAGTCATCCTTTTGTAGTTTCATGAGCGAAGCAGACGCAGACGCAACAAAACGTACGGCAGTCGGCCAGCGGCCTTCGGACCACACAGTATGGTCCCATCCCCAGCCTTGCACTAGTTTCGACTTGTTGTTGTTAATGTCGGGATCTGAAACTATATAATCTCTGACAGACATGACGACCTCTGGATCGAAAATAAATGAACGTTGTATGAACTGCGTTCTGCGAAACGCACCCTTGATTGTTTTGCCTTGGTTGAGAGGGATAATTCTGCTAGCGCCGTACTCAAGAATGTGTGCATGAGAGTCTGTAGGACGGTAAAACACGAGGACCCGTTCCAGCAGTGAAACGCGACCAACCCGACATTCCCGGCACAATGATGGACCCAGGCTGCGTATAGTAGATCGGCAACGCTTTCTCCTGGCTGTAAGTCCAACGCTGTTGGATGTCCGCTGGCTGACGATAAGTGACCGTCATCTCAAAACCTTGAGATTGCGTACCTAAGTCTCCAACGTCCTGTATATACGAACCATGGACCACCAAGCACTCCACTAGGGAATTTTGCTCATCAACCAGATGAATTTGTTTTCCGTTTGTCGAGCACAGTACATACGAGTCGGCCGGTTCCAAGAAGAAACGCTTCCGAAGGAGAAAGCCAAGTGTGGCGAGCAAGATAGTGCCCAACGCTACCAGGCAATGTCTGAGAGATACCTGGTGATCGGATTTATTTATTTTGTCGTCGAGTCCTTTACGAGAGCCAACTTGATGTTTCGCAGCATGAATAGGCATTCTTGTGCAGCAAACAAGAGGGTTCGGGCTCAAACAAGGAAGAAAAAAGGACGTGTGAACTCGTGTCACTGTGTTGCAACTTGCGCTCCAAATCCTTTAAGTACACGTGGAAGTATCGTTCGATTTTTTGTGCCAGGGCTGGAAAGTCGATAAAAATTTCTGAGCGCTTAGTAACGTAGGCGCGCGCTAATCGATGATAATCAGCTAGTGATATTTACTTCCAACTTCGAATGACAAATTCTAAAAAGGCCCAAATTCAAATTGGTTCGCGATCACGTTACTTATGGGATTGAACAGCGGACCGCATCATCTGGCTCAGGCTGGTCTTCTACTGGATTCTGTTGTCAAAGATTGTTTTATGCTTTCCAAAAACAAGGCGCTTTTGAAGACTGTGAATCTCTGCCGGTCTCAATCCGGATTTCTGTGCGTCACACCGTCTTAGTTCCTTACAGGTTTCCAAACGCGTCTTGGAATTTTGCACGGCTGTTACATCGGTTTCAGCTATTCTCCGCTGTCAAATACTTTGCAGGAGAAGGAACAGAAGCAGGAACTTCTGTATGTGCGGACACTGATGCAATATCCCACGAGCAGCACATACTTATTATGGTTTCTCTTCACGAACAAATAATTCGAAAAAATTTCCCAAGTCTTGCGGCGTATTCCCCTTGACTTCGATCATTCCACCTATATGCATTTACAAAATGACCACTGTCGTAGACGCCAAACTCTCCGGAATTTCATCAGGCTGTAGAGGGCTGAACCAAAATGTACCTCCGCTGTCATCGCTGATGTTGTGCATGCTCATGATGTTCCATCGAACGTCTAACAGCATTTTTTGGCGCCCATTGAACTAGCTCTTGGCACGCCCAGGTTGTTTCCGATACAAACTCCGCGAGCCTATCTCAGGCCACACCGGCCGAACGTCGGGCTCTCATATTCTTCGACATTGGAGAACAAGGACGCTGGGACTAGAAAAAAATCCTCTGGTACATCTAGGATAAGTCATAGCGCAAAAGGACATGTATTAGATATGGATATATAAAGGACGCATTTCTGTTCCCCGAGTTGGGAGAGCGGACGCGTATTTGCCAAGCGCTTCCTCGGCTTATTTTGTACCCACAATGCTGAAGAAAAGAACTATTATAATTAGCACTCGGAGAATTCCACATCACTTGTGTATTTAACGGGTATCTTCATCCATACACGCCCCTCTGTGTCCGCCGGAGGCAGTCTGCCAGCACGTATATTGACTTGGAGCGACGGATGAATGAGTCTGGGAGCCCCGAGGGTATCGTCCCTCTGTTTACGGAAATGGATGAAAGCCTCTTCGGTGGTACCAACCTTCCCATGCTTGTTGAGCTTCCGTTGCTCGCCCACGGTAGTGACGCAGTTATAGTTACGACAACTCGGGTAGTCATGGCCAACGAACAACTTGTAGTCCTCGGGCAGGGACAGAAGACGATTCATAGACTACATTTGATGACATATTAAGAGCATCTAAACACAGAGGACCACCGCACTCACGGCATATAGTTGTTTGGCATCACCACCAGGGAAATCTACTCTTGCAGAACCAACATCAGGCTGTTTATTATGGTATGGCAACAGAGTCAGAACCATGTGTTAAGGAATAAGTAAGACTACGCACAAGAAAGATGGAATCCCCAGTGAAAACGGCCTTTCCGATCGCGTACCCAATATGATCCGGAGTATGACCAGGAAGATGGATAACACGACAAGTGAGATTCCCAACAGGAAACTCCTCGTCATCCTTCAGGAAAATGTCAAAGGTCTCGCCAAATGTGCTCCATTCTAACCCGTAGACTGGGGCAAAATTTGATTGAACCTGCGTGATGCGAGAACCGATGCATACGGGCACATCTCCTGGAAGCTTTGATTTGAGATACTGAGCAGCAGTGAGATGATCCGCATGCGCGTGTGTTTCCCTGCGTGACCATGAGAATTATGAATAATTACAAATGAGTTGCTACGCACAAGATACGCAAAACCTTCAAGTTCTTCTTCTTTATAAACGCGAGCAGCTGGTCAGCGGATTCTGTGGAAACCTTTCCGGCAGCAGGATCGTAGTCCAGGACGGTATCAACGAGTACGGCTTGTAGGGTTGCAGGATCCGAGATTACATACTGCCTAGAACACAAAGTCAAAATGCTCTAAGGAAGCGAGAAGAGACCTGGCCTACCATGTTGACGTCTGGGACTCGAAGAAGCAGTTTATCTCTGCGTTCCCGGGTTCATTGCTGGTGTACGTCCTGGGTTTAGCTGCAGAGGTAGTGGTCATTGTTCGACAAAACTGGGTAGTTCTGCTATGCTGCGGGATGGAATGAGAGCTAGAGGTGACGTTCGAAAGGACTCGAGTGGAAAGACGGGCTCTGGAAGAAGAAAGAAAGGGCCTTACGAGGGAACGAAGGCACGCTGGACTTGAAGAACAGAAGGCAACCTTGGTGAATTGCATGGCTGGGGTAAGACTCGTCATTGCTGCTTTTATACACTTCAGGAGCGCACAGGACTGGGGATTCCGATAATACTGATACAATCCGAATGCTTCAGCCGATTTCCGAATTGAAGTCCAGTAATGGAATGGATCCAGAACGGATTCCGCCCAACTTTGGGAAGTGAATGTGGCAGCAGAATGATGGCAGAGAGAAAATAGGTCAGAGATGGGCCCAGGGCAGGGAGGGCTGTCGTGCCGGGATCATGAGTGCAGGACGACAAGAGCGTCGGCAGAGTGCCGAATTCGGAAATCGTCGTTTTTCCCGTGTCAACCAAATGTTCTTCACTCCGAATTCAAGTGAACAAGTCACGGTATGAATACAAAAATTTCTCATCCTATCTAATGTGTGATAAAGCAGGTCACGTTAAATGTACAGTATCGGTACTACTACTTCCGTTGGTGCAGCCGGGATTCGCTGCCTGCAGATCCTTCTCCTTGCACTTCTGAGCCATATCTATGTCACCCAAGCACGGAGCCTCAAAAATCTCCTTGTTCCATGCCAGCATGACCGTGCGTGACGCAACTAAGCACCAGACAATCAACGTCGCGACAGAGTAAATCGAACCCCAGACGCGGAAGAACGGTGAGTCAAAAGTGCTTGCGAGACTCAGAGTAAGGTTTGCGTATACACCCTGTAAACTCTGAGTTGAGGGCAGTAAGAAAGAAAAGAAGCGACTTACGTTCGGGAAAATGATGCCCCATATTTGTACCTTGAAGGGTATCCGAGTTTGACGGAGGACATTCTGTACACCGAGAACGGCAAAGAATAACCACATGGATGCAAGGGACCATAGAACCAAGGAAATGATGGTACAGATAACATGAACCGTGGCCCCAGTCGCCTCAGCATTCAATAATTCGGAATCTCCGTAGTGAAGAGGCAATGCGGATTTGAAGAATTGCCCAAGTAGTAGTATGGAGTATCCTGCCTGGCCTGTGGGACCGAGGGGCAGGAACACGGATGTTATTCCCGCACCAGCTGGAAGGCCATGGACGACAAGACGGAGCAGGTACACGGTCAACATCATCAAGGCAATGGAGAGACCGATGGATACCATGAATATGGAGAACGTAGCAGTGATAACTGCATGGTTCACCGAATACTTGTACAACGAGGGAGCTATCACTCCACCACCTGCTGATGCGACAATCAAGGTGACTACGGGTAGAAGCCAAACGGATGTCATGGACTCTAACGAGTGCTTCTGAGCCGTGACCCTATGGAATGCGTAAATAAAATGGCCTAAGGTACAAGTTCATAGCAGACTGACATAAAATGCATGACGCCAAAGCAGCAAAGGAAGGAGCTTATCACGTCCAACCACCAGAAGGCCCACAGGACGTACAAGAATGGCTCACCACCAAAACCGTAGTCGTCGTGTATAAGGCTGACAGCGATGTTCAAGATCGTGATGGCGCCCATAGGGAAAGTACCGGTAAAAAGACTCTGGACAGGGTGCCGGATCATGATACCCCAGATGTCGGGGAACGTGATATAACGGACGAGGGAGATGGCGCAGAAGACGATGAAAAGACATAAATTGAGGAAAAAGAATATGAGTGTCATTATTCTTAATCCCTGAGAACCAGTGCCGTAGGGGAAAGCATGGAATAGGGTGCCAATGGCGCCTGTACCCATGATGACGGCGAACCATGCTGGAGCAAAGTGCCTGTGAAAAGTAAGAAATGAGCGATTTGCGGGACGTGAGGTCGACACAGCAGACGAACCTAACAACGTCCTTGAAGGTCTTATTAGGATGGTATGTATCAGACGTCATAGAGACTGATTTAGCGAAGGCAGATTCGGAGGGGAAAAGAGAGAGAGAGAATTGAGATCAGGCTGAGCAAGGGAAGTGAATCATGGACGATACCCGAATGACTCTATTTGAGGGGAACAGGCTGAAGCATGGGGTTCCACGAGCAAACATTACGCAGTGCTGAGCAATTTTCCTATTCCGAATAATGTCGGCGGAGGAAAACATTCCCACGGCCCTTCTTCCTAGAAGCATCAAAAGGGCCCTTGGGCCGGATGGCTCTCCTCCCCACCGTCGTCTTCGTCGTCTCCAACGCCATGGGTTTCTTCACCTACTTCCACTACTCGTCAAAGTTGCAGACTGTCGTCGTCAAAGACCTGGGGTCATCGCAGGATGCCCAAGTCGAATCCTCGGCGGGACCTTTGCCCATCAGCTCGAATTCCGAATACCAGCCACGTAGCCAGCAGTCCGTATCGGCTGATGTGATGTCGAGCGACGAGGTGACAGTTGATATCATGCCCGGGCCTTTCCCGATGGAAGAGACGGCACTCCCTCGGACACAAAAACGTCACTTATCATTTTATCCGTTTGGGCGACGCCGGCGTAATCATAACGACCACAAGCGTTCACTGTCCGCCGCAGAGGAGCACGAGAAGAAGGTTGATGCATCCTCGGCGGCGTTGTCCAAGCATTTCCTCTTGTCGTCCAAGGCGAAGTCGGACAAGCGGGCCAAGCAGTCGGCAGAGGTCGTACGCGCTCTCATCGTCGGACAGGGCGGCAGGTCAACCAAGGGCTCTCCAGCAAAGCCCATGGTGAGTCAGGTCAAGTCTGAGCTTATGAAGCCCAAGACCGCCAACAGGGTCATTGCGTACCTCCGTGACCTCTCAGTTGAGGACTTGACAATGCAGGTCTCGCCACCTCCGCGTCGGAAGAAGGGCCCTATACGTGCTGTTTGCCTTGCTAACACTGATGAGCGGGAGCACGAACTTCACTTTGCTCAAATCAATTCCGACGTCGGGGTGTCAGAGAAACAGACGTTTGGCGAGTTTAGCGTAGCCGCAGCACCGGCCGACAAGTTGTCTCAAATGTTTGACGAAATGCACATCGTTGATCTCATCCGGTCTCCCGACCTTGGGTTGGGTCAACCGGGTGATGGGGAGGGTCTCTTGGCTGGCGCAGTACCCACGGCTGAAACGGTTCTCAACGGTATCCAGCAGATAACCCCTCAACTGATGGCTTTAGGATATGCGACAGGCAAAGCAGTGCTTCCTGATCATACAGGTCTGTAATCAAAAGTGTCCGAAAACGCTCTAACTTATCCTTATTACCAAGGCGTGTATCCTCCCACTGATAGGATGTCTGTCTTGACCTGTACGCATTTCTTTTCCCTCGCGTCGATTAGTCTTCTCAGGCATTCTAGACTGGTGGGGTCTTGAGGTCGCGCTTCCTCCTCCAACGTTAGCTTACCTAGGCGTAAGTCTTTTGTTCTGTTCACCGTTGCTACGCAAATCCTCACAACAATTCAGAACGTGCATTCAATATCCAACGCCATCGTCAATTTTATGTCTGCCCTGGCTTTGGTCAGCAACGGCGCGCGAGAGATCTTGCCTTTTGTTCGATACATTTCTCAATTCGTCGACTTTGAATTCGACGCCATCAAGGCGCAGAATAAAGGTCGCGGAGTTGTCTGTGCTGCAACTTGGTGCGTTCACCAGCCTAGTCATTGTCTTCCTCACTAACATAGTGCATAGGATCATGCCTGCGGCCATGGTAAGTCATTTGCCCTGGTTTTGCTATTCTTCTGACACTTCTATATAGGTACCAAGGCCGTGGGATTTTAACCCTCCGCCTGCTGGCCTAATGTCTTCTGTAGAAATGTCACCGCAGGAGCAAGACGAATCAGATACAGCTCCTGCTACGCCAGTACTTCCTAGTCCACCAAGGCAAGAGTCTCCACCAGCGCCTGGCCCTCTGCCCGTCCTCACACTGACAGCTGCTGATAAGCCCGAGAACTCCAGGACTCTGATCCCGAAAGTCATGGTCACTACGCCGTCCTCTTCCCCGGAATCCATCGCTCCTCGTACCTCGCCTGCCGCTCTGGTTACACCTATGATTTAGTATGCCCTCGTTAATGATTTTCCTTCCATATCTCTTTGATGTCGTATTATGGACCACGATCACGATGACGATTATGAACGAGACACAGTATTTATTCGCATCCATTCTCAAGTTTATTATTTCATATTTTTTAGTATACATGGATTCATTACACTTTACAGTATCGTATTAGACCAAGGAAACGGACTTTGCATGATTTTTTATTTTCCACGAATTGATGCTTTGAGAGGCAGAGTGGTAGATAAGCACAACATATTACAACATATGATATAAGGACCGTTACATGGTACAAGGTAACTAAACATGCATTAAGCATGACAGGTATATACATTTACTCAGACTGGGTGGTGACCATCTGGTCAGGTTCTGCATCATAAGTGAGTCTGGGATGAAGCAATGTAAACGAATCGAACACACCGATGGACTCGATGATATCGCCTTGAAGAGACTGGAATTGCTGAAACTGGTCTTCGGTAATCTTAGCGGCGAATCCCTTGAAGAGAGCCTCAGGATACGGTTGATAGATGGACTTTGATACGTACGGGTATGATGCCGTAGAATTGGGTTACTTCTCCTCCTGGAAGCAAGACTAATCATTGAAGGAGGTAGGAATTGCTAGAAGCAACATACCTCCGTTGTTCACCTGAGCAGCGTACTCTTTAATTTGATCCTCAGAGACATTGTCCTTAAACATGACGATGTACTCTATAACAAAGGATTGCCTTAGAAAATTCGCAAATCCAATCTGGGGAACCTTACTTGTTGCCATATTTATATGAGCTATAGGGGGACTGGCAGAAGAAGAGAGGCGGAGGGGAAAAAGGAAACGACGAATGCTGGTGGTATTGGTTAACGGGCACAGCACAGCCCTCGGGCGGGTGAAATGCGGCATTTAAGGGGGGGGGGGGGCCAATGACTCATCGTTTCCGCTGTAAGCCGGGTACTTATAAATGGTAGCTATGATATTCCTGAATTTGAATGTTGAAGCTTGCTCGGTTTCCCTCATCTAGACTCACAATGCCTGCAGCGACGCGTTCCTCGACGCGTTCTCTAGCTAGTAGTGCTCCTATAGAGATCGTACAGATGGCAACGAAACGCAAAGCACCTACATCAACCAAGGCCAAGGCCAAGAAACCCAAGGCGGCACAAGATGCTGTACAGCAGCAAATACCCCCAAGCGTGTCACTACCCTGTGGTGCAGCGCCGGCGTTGATACCAGCACAGCTCTCGTTCTCTTTTGACGATGCGAAACAGCACCTCATCAGAGCAGATCCCCGATTTGAAGACATTTTTGGAAAGCTAAGGTGCACACCTTTCGAGGTACTTGAACAAGTACATCCATTTAGGTTTTTCTTCATCCATTTCGTTAAAACTAAGGACAAAAATTCTTATTATAACATTGCCCAGATCGCTCGCAACCTCCATAATGTACTTACACTGTCCGGCCATGATTCTTCAGCTCCCTGATATTCCATAGAGCTCAACAGATATCTTGGAAAGCTGCGCGCTCTATCAATCACAAGTTCAAACGGATATATGACCCATCTCTCCCGGAGAATGTCACGGATTACACGTTTGTGCCGTTCAAGATAAAGTATTTCTAGTAATTGAGGTATATCTCGACAGTGACAACTCTGCAACATCCTTTTTCCCAAGCCCTGAGCAGGTGGTTGCTACAGATCCTTCCATCCTTCGTTCCGCCGGTCTTAGCGAACGCAAGGGGGAATATGGTTTGTTTCCGTTCTGCGGTTGACCCGAGGTACTAATAGAAAGGGTCCTTTCATCTAGTTCAAGATCTCGCAAGTAGATTTGCGGATGGGCGTTTGTCCACCGAAAAGCTGATCAAAGCCACCGACGAAGACTTATCGGAATTGCTAATTGCCGTCAAAGGTATTGGAAAAGTACGCTCGATCCCCGTTACTCTTACGACTCTGCTGAATGATGTTCCCTCCATCATAGTGGACCGGTAAGTCGTGTTTTATGATCACAAAGGTCAAGTCCATGACTCTCCTCTCAGTTGATATGTTTGCGATTTTCTCTCTCCGACGACCCAACATTCTGCCTGTTGGTGAGGTTCGCGTCACCAGGTGTTAATGGTTTATTAATGAACAGAATAGGTGACCTGGGCATCCAGCGTGGAGTGATACGATGGTTTCTGTCTTTGCATTCTCCCACATATAACTATGCGATATCTGAGGATAAGAAAGGCGGGGGGACTTCGTCAAAATCCCCGAAGAAAAAGAAGTCTGTATCCGAAGAGGAGGAAAATGACAATATTAACTCCGTTGCGGACATAGAAAGACCATTGACTCCTGACCTTTCTTCAGCACCACCGAGAGGTTTACCATCCACACCCTTGACGCAGACCGATACAGGAGCACCCGATCTGCCTCCCGCGTTCACCCCATCAATCAACAAGACTCTTCACAAAGTGCAAGACATCTCATTTGTGCCAGAGCCTCTACCTGAAGGGCTTAGTGTGGCCGCGTTGAAAGCCCGCCTCGAAGGGAAGAGAAAGATCAAGTATGCCGTATAATAGTGCTCACCTCAAACGCGATTGCTGATAACCTGTTCAAGGGGTGCCTTGCTTACTCCCGCAGAAATGGAAAGCCTCACGATATCTTGGAAGCCATATAGAAGTCTTGGTATGTCTTCATTCCATCTGCTTTCTCTTTGCTCATGACTCCATAAAAAAGCGGTTTACTACATGTGGGCACTCGCCGATGGCGATGAATCTTAAATATTACTGATTATCACTAAATAAGAGTGTTACATCTTGTAGTAAAGCTGCTCTCCTCGATTATGTATATTTATCAGCTGCGCCACCTCCTTCCGAACATTTGCACAACGTTCCAAAAACACATTGGTAAGTACTTGCCCATCCGAAGTGTACTTCCTCCGTAAAACTTGCACAATGACCTGCTTTGCATGCTCAAGAGTTGTATGGATCTCCCATTTCTCCTCGTTTTTTACATTGTAAAGAACGAGGCGAGGAAATAAATTCCGCTCATGGGCCATAGCCCACAAGTACCCATAGATAACAGTCTGAATGACGTGTTCATGGGAGAGTGCAGTTACGAACTTGACTTCCCAAATTGTCACATCACGCCCTTTATTCCTCGAGTGGATCATATCCGCCCTGCCTATTAAGGTCATGGTCTGGTCATCTACACTCAGGTCCTGCTTTAGCGGCTTCTCCATGGCAAGGTCTCTGGAAAGCTCGGAACGGCTGTACTCCGAGAATTGCTCCGAAAGACGTTCAGTGGATACCTTAAGGTAGGGAACCATCCAGTCGAACTTGTGACCCTTATACTTCATCTGAAGCCAGCGAGATTTGAAACCCCAAACGGTCGCGTCATAATATGTTGCCTCCCTCGCTAGCCAGATGGCACGATACGTGTCATCTTTCAATATTTTCTTTGTCGGAAGATCCTTCATCTCCTTGCCCCTCATTAATGTAGCCACCTTTCCTGTCAGCCACCATTCGAAATCTAGAGTGACGGCGAAGCCATTGAGGTCGCTCACAGGCTCCCAGTGGTTTCTCACGGCGTCTGTGCGCACCTTATTAGGCGCACTGATACAGCGGGGGGAAGGTAGAGGCGGCAGGACTTTCCGGATGTCGAGTTGGCGAACAATCCTGTCAAGATATTCATCTCGGACATGTCTTGCTGCGTCCGTGGCAAAGACCGTTCGCGGTAAAAGTAATCCTAATTTAAGAGGGCGTCCCGGTCTGTATTGCGCCATGGGTGGTTCATCCTCCAGGTTAATGACAGTTGCACTACTCTGAACGGCTTCCCAATCGATGAAAGGCATTGCCGAGTACTCGTGGGAGTGGAGGACCACGAGCTGCTTTCTGGCACGAGTGAGGGCAACAAAAGTTGCATTTGGACAACGATCATCAGGTAGGTTGCGTCCCATAAAACGAAAATAAGAGGCGTCAGCTCCCAGCACGATGACAAGATCGCGCTCGCTCCCCTTGAATTGGTGATATGTGGATGGAACAATCTTTCCACGAACGACATCGTCGTCCAACCCCACATCGTCATCAGATATTACATGCGCAGATGGGATTTTGTACTTCCTCCACAACTCGTTGACGATGCGTTTAACGATACGATTGCTGCGAATGGACGGCGCCAAGATGGCCGTGTTTTCGTGGCCGTATTTTTGAATGAGTGGGTAGATATTTTTTAAGACTTTGTCGATGTCATGAAGATTACCGTGTATGTACAAGGGTTTGGGACCAGTACGAGAACCTTGTATGTAAGGTTCCCCGCCAAGGAAGGCATGATTGACAAAATTGGCTGTTTCACAAGAAAGACGAAAGCTCTGGCTGAGTTGAGCGCTCCGCCATTCATACGGTGATATGGCAGATAGGGTATCTGATGACAGCTCTAGGTAGCGCTGGTCGGCACCACGAAAGTCGTAAATGGCCTGCCGTGGGTCGCCCAGCACCAGAAGGTGAGGAGCTCTGCCACTTATTTGCGTTACAAAGGTGATAAACGCACACGTAAGCCAATATAGATCCTCCGTAAGGTCCTGCAGTTCGTCCAAAATGATAATCTCATATCGTGGCATATCAATCCACGTCGGTGGTGCCGCTGACCTGCGTATGTCACGGAAAAGGGTATCATTGTTGATGAGGGTTCCAAAGAAACGCGATGCTAACCCATGAAAAGTGAAGACATCGACGAGGGGGTAATTCTGCAAGCGTTTTTGGGTGTCCAGTTGCAACCGCTTCGAGTATGTGACAACCGCTATGGGAGTACTGGGATTGGCCTGCACCACAGCCTCTGCTGTGGCCGTTTTCCCTGCTCCGGGGCGGGCAGAGACCATGACATTGTGCGTCTTCAGATGATTGACAATGGCAGTCTGCCCAACGGAAGGTATGAATATCCGCTTCTGCGCACGAAAAGACACAGAAAACGGCCGGGAACTGCCAAGTAGGAGTGTCGAGAATAAATCTTGGATCTGCAGGGATCTGAATGTGAAGAAATTCAGCCGCCTACAGAACATGGTCTCTGCCGAGCATCGTTGTTAAAACTTGCTCAAAAACTTTTTTTCACTACCGGTACACCGGCCCGTACGGTGCGTCCCCCAACCTCAAGTAGTTGAAATCATCTGTTCTCTACCTTGTATCTATTTAACTGTACCTGTATGATAGGCATCAGTTCGGGTCATGCACTGTCTATGATTGGACAACTACACTACATATCGAGCGAGCCTCCTATGCATCAGTGTACTCATTCTCCTGTAATATTTTCAGAGACTGATTTATAACTACAGGACAGGTGAACACAGACTTACCATCCACTAATCACCGTATCACTACTCGCAGCACTAAGTTACCGCGACGTCCCAACTCCCGTGTGTCAAAGACGTGCATATCCTCTCGCTCGACGAGTTGCGTGATGCTGCTGCAAATAAACACCATCCTCTGCACAAGCGTGACTTCTTGAAACTTCTTGAAGACTATGACCTCCGCGTTACACTTCCCAAACCAAAGAGTGTATCTCGGACAACAATGATTCTTGGGGTGTACTACCACACAGGCAGTCTCGTTACCTCAATGTCAAGAACTGGTACTTCACTGGCCATCCTTCTTTTGATCGCTCGTGCCAATAGAAGCCAGACAGCTGCCTGGAAAATCTGAAAAACCACTACGGGCAAAGGTCGGAATCATAAGTGTTCACTGATGTTTGGCTTGGTTTTTGTAAACGTCCGTACATAGATTACCATGATCGAGTCCTAGAGCTTCCATAACATCTCTGGAGAATCGTTCTCTTCGATTCTCTGGTTCCTCGAATGATACAACAGATGCAGCCCGATGCAACCTGCCGATACAAGAATCAAAAGCGCAGCATTCGTCCAATGCCCTGTTGGATAGCCCTTTGAGGCTTCTTCCCCCTTATAGATCCAAACCCCGACAATTTGTCCCGGAGCGCCGAACGAGATATTCAGCGCTACCGCAAGCCCCGTTGAAGCAGTGGAATGCATGTTGCAGGATAGCCATCCTAACAAAGGCGATATACACGAGAAAGCACCAGCGCATGCGATAATAAGTGTGCCGTACCGACTCTACAGGCAAGCATTAGAGTTAATGTTTGCGAATAAGATGGGATATTTACCTTGTACGCATCTTCTGGAAGTGTGGCTGAAGTAATAAATCCTATGGCTCCAATTGCAGCAAAGGTTGCAGAGAAAAGGCCCCGGCTACACGTGGAAGATTCCTTAGAATATTTAGCGGAATAGGAAGTGCCGAAGAGCCTACCGATTCAGCCGATCTGCAGCATATCCAACGAAAACTGAGAACACCCAAGACACAGCATAAGGAGGTACGGTCATCAGCTGGGCATGTAGAGATGTGTAGCCTAAACCAGATACGATGGTAGGCGCAAAGAGTGACATGCTTGAGAACGGGGCTGAAATTCCGAAATATACCTTTCCTGTAGTCAGTATCACTGCCTCCTTCGTCAGAACGATACTAGCACTAACCAGGAAATGAATCCATAAGCGACAGTCCATCAAAGTTAACGTAGCATCTCGCCAAGATAGTCCTCTACCAGAGGCCTTTGAGCTATCCTTGAGACGGGCTACAGAAAGTGCCTTTTCCTCTGGTGACAGCCAAGACGCAGTCTCCGGATAATCAGGAAGGTAAAACCAGATTGGGAAAGCTAGAACAACGGACGGAATTCCTTCCAGTATAAACAGCCATCTCCAAGCAGAGAGACCACCACTTCCTTCCATATGTGCAATTCCATAAGCTATCGCCCCACCAAAGGCTCCCGCCAGTGTGGCAGAAGCCAGTATGAGGGCAATACGGAAAGATCGTTCTTCTGGTCTGTACCAGAACGTCACATAATAGACTAGACCTGGGAACAAGCCTGCGGAGCGAGGCGTCAGCCGGCTGAGCGCAATCAAAGCTACGCCAGGGTCCTTACCGGCTTCGAAGACACCAAGTAGGAACCGAACAATAGTCAGAGTCGCGTAATTCGTAACCCCACCCAAACCAATAGTGATAACACCCCAGGTAAACATGAGGGTCGCAATCCACCTCTGGAAGCCGATCAGTTGCATGAATGAAAGGAAATGTTTTATTTTCACATTAGGCCGTAATCGCTTCAGCAAAATATTTGATGGTACTTCAAAGAAGGCATATGCTAGGAAGAATATCGTAAGGGCAATCCTGAATGGTCATGAGCAAAGCGGGCGAGAACGTCGGAGGAAACCAACGTGTAATGGTAGCTGGTAAGCCTAGTCTCCGTCAAAAGATCGTGACCCTCTTCCTTGTTCATAATTTTCGCGTTACCTAGACAAATATCAACGCTCTGGATTGAAAAGGACATATTTTCAAGTCGAATTGTACCGATGTTCAATCTATCGAGGTTGCATAGCAAGTATATGAACGCTGACAGAGGCACTATGCGCAAGTCCGTCTTCCATATCAGTTTCTTGTTAGCCAAGGCATCGGCTTCGGGAACATCCTTGCAGTAGAAATTGTCAGCACTTTCCAAAGAATTACGCTGTAAGAGCACCTCGTTAACACTCGCACTTTCTACATCCTCTTTCACGACAACTGCGAATTTCTCGTTGGAGCTTGGGGACGAAGCTGGGGGTGAATTGGCCATGAGCATAAAGAACAACAAGAGCCGCAATTATACAATTTCCATGGTACACCCACTGCTTATCAACATGGTCCCATGAGCTACTTTCCTCATGATGGAAGGAAGAGGAACAAGCCTGCGTTGAAATTCTTAAACGCGATGACGTGTTCTAAATGACCTGTCAACGATCGCACAGCCACTACCCTTAATGCTCGGCGCGGTCGTCACCGTCGCTCTCCCTTGTCCATCTTGATGTCCGACCGGGCTGGATACCAACCTTTAGCGCAGACTGTCGATGATGAGGATGGTATTGGCGAAGGCACTCAGCTGCCGATCTCACGAGCAAGTGGGCGCCGTCGAGCTTCCCGGTCAGGAAGCATAGATCTCTCCAAGTTGGACAAAGCGTTCAAAAGGTGCGTGTCTGAAAAATTTCCGGCGCTTAGTAGAGCTGGAATCCGTGTAGGTGGACAGAATCTATTGCACATAGGGTAAAGAGGAAGAAAACAGTCAAGGAACACGCCAAAAAGCAAATATGGCGCAGCGTTTTCGAGCCTACCATCTTTGTCGATGTTCCTCCCGCCACAATAGTGAGTTTCTTTGACCTATACCATCTCAATGGCTCATATAAGCTACAGGTCAAAACTCTGGACCATAAGCCTCCTATGACAGCAGCTGAGTTTGAGGCGTGAGTGTCTTCAAGTCCGAGCACCGTGTTTCGCAAACGAATATATGTACTAGATTAGTGAAGTCTGTCAAGTCCGCTATTTCAGAAGGGATCCATCCCAAGATGATCACCAAGGGATCATCAGGCTCATATTTCGCACGAGCGAAGATGGAGAATGGCCGAGTTCATACTGTTGCGTGCGTCGTGATTTATTCCGCCTCGTGTTGTTGATCGATCAAATCCTTCAGCGTGTTTAAACCTAAAGACGAAGAACCATACGGACGATTGAATCCCAAGGTATGTCTACATACAGATGGTGCTGGCTTTCTTCATGAATGTTTCCCAATAGACTACAAAATGGCTTCACCGACAGTTCAGATTCATAATACCTTTTGGTCGCGCATGTCTTATACCCAACCTGAGGTCTGATATTTAAATTTGTCTCAACGTGTTCTTACATATTTACAGCTATATTTCTGAAGCAGCAGCGTCGCTGTTAGATGAGCGTCTGAATCTTCACATCGTTCCTCCCACCAAGCTCGTGTCACTATCCAGTCCCGTACGTGACACTTTTTGCATACCATATGACCTGCTCACTCTTTTATTTGCAGTCATTTTTCTATGACTGGCTAGACAGAAATGCAGCGAAAAAAGGAAAGCCGCTACCGGACAAAATAGGGAGCATGCAGTATTTTCTACATGGTTACCTGGATGCATCGGAATTTTTGCGAAAGTACCCTTGGCCAGGTCGTGCTATCGCTGACACTTTTGACGATTCCACACATCGGCAAGGTAGCCTTTCCAAGCGTTTACTCAGTGCGGTCAAGGTAATTTGTGGAAAGACCGGCGACCCTGAAGATGTCTATGAAGACTATGAAGAAGACCGTCTGTTCGACGCTACGGAAACTGACCCCCAGACCCCTTTTTACTGGACACCAGCACTACAACAGAGTTTCCGAGAGGAATTGGAAAAGTCAGTATTTTTTCTCAAAACATATACTCAGGTTACTCAACGGTTTCTTATAAGACTCGTGATTTTGGGTGAGATTCTATGCAGATATTCTGTTCTTCAACTCTGAAAATGTTACAGATTATCTCATGCTCAATACTGATCGGGGTGCTGACAATTATATGATTAAATATTGCGACAGTAACCACGAGAAATCATTGGTCGATGTCGCCCCGTCGCGTTCTGCTACGCTGGACATGCCGCTGATGAGCGAACTGAAGCGGTCCCCGAAAGTGCCGCAAACGGAGACACCGCGATCTTATTCCGCCGTCTCTATGGGAGCGCCCTCTTCCGCGGCGGCTGCCGGAGCTGATTACACTCGCTACCCTCACATTCATATTGCGGCAATCGATAATTCTCTGTCCTTTCCCCACGAACACCCGCAGGGCTGGCGGAGTTATGCTTATGGCTGGCTCTACCTACCTGTCAGTGTAATAGGGAAACCATTCAGTGAAGAGACGCGAAATCGCTTCTTGCCTCTGCTCACGTCGAAACTGTGGTGGGAAGAGACGACCTTTGAGTTGGAGAAGCTATTTGCTGTTGACCCTGATTTTCACCCTAAAATGTTTGCTGTACGTCAATTTCATAAGACTATCGGCCACCCATACGTTGACCCGGATTTTGGACATCGTGGTGGTGGACGTCCGGACCAGTCGAACTTTATGGGGTTGGTAGTGACATTTGCTTTGCTGACACTTCCTTTTCATTAGCGACAATTAGCTGTCATAAAGGGTGGGTGAAATAAATGAAAAGTCGACCGTATCATAACTTAGGTGTTATTTAGGCCAAGCATGGAACATCGTCCAGTCTCTGAAGCATTTAGTGCGTGCCCAGGTATTCATTATTGACTCTTGAGCTGATATCCATCGCTGTGCCTTAGGATGAAGGTGAGAAAGACCAGACGCTGACAAACATAGGCGTTTACCACTTCTAGGTCCCTTGGAGCTGACCAGACGTACCAAAGCCTTAGTTTGGGATGATCAACTTGAACTCACTGAAACAGACTTGGATGACGTTAACAGTCCTGTCGCTGCGTCGCCGAAGCCATCCATAAATAGTGTCCCTCTCCCAAGACGTGCTCGTAGCCAAAGCTCAGATGATTTTCCTCCTCCAATTCAACGAGCCATATCCGATGCCTCTGGCGCTCCTCGACCCGTCCCTTTTGTCGCAAAGTTCCAGAGGGTACATCCTGGAACAACTGGTGTCACTGTATTGGAACACCTGGAGAGGTTAGATGCAGTCGAGGCCAGTCTACAACGGCTGAATGCCGAAGAAGATACCGTGGAGGTAGATGTAGGGGAATCTTCGACGAAACCTATACGTATCCCGGCGCATGGTCAGGGAGCATTTGGATCAACTGCCTCACCGTCTCAGTCTGTTCCAGGCGGCGTGCCTACATCTCCGTTCTCTGCCCCAGGAAGTCCACTAGCGACCGTGCATGAGGTTCCTTCAATGGCTAGTTCCATGACGGAGGAAGATCTTGTAGCCATGTCCATGTCAACTCCTCAAGTGGAGCATAGTAGATGGGCAAGCCAAGTTGGACGACGCATCGACTGGTTACAACCTTCTGAACCCGCTACTAAGAGAACAGTTGTTGTCGAAGTGAGTACGGACCAAGTTCATTAAATTGACTAGCTTAAAGTTTTATGCAGCGTCTTGAAACGATAAGCAAGAAACCATTATGCTCTTGTTGGTAACTTTAGAATGGCATGTATTAACTCTCCAGGCGGATAACAATGATTGTAGTAATGTACAAGGATTTTAAGCTCAATACACGGTGTAGATCGTTAGCATCAGTCCCCTTCAGTCAGTAGCCATTGGGCAAAGTCGTCCAGTCGTTTCTTCTCTGCTTCGGCGTTGTCGCCCACGAGTTCATCGTTTGTTCCATTGCGTTGGAATCTTTGTTTGCCATTATACAGAGAGGCCTCTACCCGCCTTCCGTCGAAAAATCTTCCGTTCATTTTCTGTGGAATACATCAGCCAAGGACACGACTATAATTGTTGTCTCCTTACTATCACACAAGCCTGGGCACTAAGTGGATCACGGAATTTAACCGTAATGACGCCGTCCTCCTCTTTCTGCAAACTGTGTTAGAAAATCTTATAAGAGGCACAACAAGATATACTTGCATCATAGAGAACAACATTCGTTACCTCACCCAGCGATGAGCACTCCTCTCGAACTTCCTCCTTTAAGTCGAGAAGTAGGGAAACGTCGTCTTCCAGGTCTTTTGTTGTGAACATATGTTTCAAGACCACCACTCGGCTGTTCTTGTTGATTGCATGGGATGCGTCTTCAGGATTGATCGCGGGCCCGAATCCATCCTCGTCAACCCATTCTTGTAGCTTTCTGTTATATCCGAGTCATGATTGACGGCTGAAGGAAAAAAGGATGCATACTTTTGCATTTTCCCTATCCGCTGAGAAGCCTTCTTCCTATCGACCGTCCTCCGTGGTTTCGTCTCGGTATGACTGCTTTCACCGGTGCTTTTGTGTGAGAAATCAGCCTTGGACAACCGCATAACGCTGGACGCGTCGCCTAGTCGCAGTTCATACTCGTCAAGGATGCTCAGTGCGAGTAGGACCGAATCCTCCTTGAAGTACACCACCAAAGCGTCACCACTGAACGTACCATCCTCCCGAGCGTACATCTTGACCTTGGGCTCCCCATCATCGTCTTCTTCCAGGACACCGCACTTGGAGAAACACTGCACAAGCTCATCAAACTCTGTGTCGGGAGGCAGTCCGGTTACATATACGGCTGTATTCTTGGACGTGGGCGCGGCTGTAGGTTTGTCCTTCTTGTCATGTCTACCCCGCTTAATCGAAATCTCGGCATTCGATGTCGTAGAAGTGTAGTCGGGTTCCTTCCGCTTCTTGTTTTCACGGGCAAGGACTGGTGCAGCGGGGGTCTGTGGTAGGGGACACAGCTCGGGGTTGGGTCAGATCAAAACCGAAAAATGACGCGACTAGCCTCTTCATCAACACCGGAGACAGAATAGGCGGCCTGTTGCTGCTTCACCAGGTCTTCGTCGAGCTGCAAGCTGTCAGTGGTAAGTATGCTGAGGCTGCTGGAGGCTGACCATGGGCACCCAGGAGCCTTTGGCCACATCGTATTCCAATTCTGTTCCATCGTCCTGTTCGAAATGCCACTTGTTGCTTTCTTTCGAAAAGTAGACCCTGTGAGATCGTGTTGAGTGGAAGAACTGAGTGGGAAAGGCGTGAATAGTACCGTGGATCATCTGCAAAGGCGGCTGCCTGAACTGCTTGGGATGAGCCAGCGGCTGCGCTTGGTGGTAGTAGTGGTACAGATGACATGTTTATTTACAGTTGCTTAGCCGTGGCTTTCAACGACTTTGGTGCCTCATTTTTTCTGTAATTATTGTATTACATGCCTGTTAGCTGCATCTACTTGTACAATAACATTGGGAAATAGGAATACGGCGGGTGGGGGGCATCGGGCGACCGCACTGGCCTCCAGCGTTTGTGAGGGATAGGCAGGCTGGGAGGCAGGCTAGACTCTGAAAAGATCTTGTTCGTCGCTGTAATCGTCACAATGGCCGCAGAAAGTTCCATAGCTGGCTTTGGTGCTGCTACGGCCTGCTCGCCCTCAGTGGGTGCGGCAACACTATCAAGACCTGTCATCTGTCGTTGCTCTCAGCGGAATAAGGCGTGACATACGCTTGGGAAGCAGAGTGCTCGATGAGCAACGTGGAAAGCTCTGTCTGAGTCATGACCGACAGCTGGGGATACGCACGTCGGACATCCCGCTTCCAGTAGGGATTCTCGGCAATGTCAGAGGCTGTACAAGGCTGTCAACAGTAGTATACTGCAGGAATGAATAGGATATGCACCTCTGGTAGCCGGGCTCGAGTACTTCTCTGGCCTGGACGCGGGTGAAGGGTATCGGTTGAGCTCGGACAAGGGCAGACCAGTCGATATTTCGGGATTCACGACCACCGCATCACCTATGTCCTCATCAGCAAGAAAGACAGATAAAATAGGCGCTCAACTTGCGAAATTTCTTCCAAAATCCCTTGGGACTGAGATGGTAGAGCGTCGATTCCGCCGCCTTCTTGGTGGCCATTTCTGAGATACGGAGTGACTGTTTGTCACAGTGTAACGCACGATCGGCCCGGCCCGCCACACCCGCTCACTACGGCCTGGGACACACACCAAGTTATAGTTGAACTATTACTTCAAGTGCCTATGCTCTCACTTTTGACAAGCGCATCCGTTTTCATGGTACTGGACTCACTTGGGCATCTGGTCCAAGGCAAATTACCTAGTGCTGCACCAAGATTCATGTCAGTAATGTCAGATACTCCGGACTGGAACAGATGCCATGCTTTGTCGCTGACATGCTTGTTGCTATCAATAATCTCTTTGCCTTCAGTCTCTCTATCCGCGGATGGTCTTAGAATTAGCCTTCCTTTGCGATTGAATTGGTCCGAAATTTTCATTGAAATCGCGCAATTGTTGTCTCAGAATGCTGACACGTCGCAAGCTTTGCAAAACTCGCACCATACCCCGCAAACGGCTAATAGTATAAAAGCTCGTTCAGTGCTCCTTTCCCCCTACGTCCTATCATGAGCCTTACATTTACCCATCCACCTCATCCTTCGGAGAGGCTGCAGCGTTCCTCTCCACTGACTTTGGCAATTCATGGCACCGAGGAAACTGCTAAAGACCCTCATGCATTCCCTACTTTTGATGACCAAAGCTTCATGATACCCCAATCGCCTGTGCTCTATCTTCCTCCCCTTCTTTCCTCCCTGCCAGAGCGACTACAACTACCACCTCTGACATCCTCCGACTCGCCTCCTCTTGTCACAGAGACACGTCTCCCTGATATCGATCCCGCATCACTTTCTCTTCACAAAGCCCTGCATCATTTCCGACCGATAGTCTCCAATTACGCCGCAACTCCATATAAGGAAGCCTTCAACTGGTCTAATTTACGTCTCCCAAAAGATGAAGAACGAGAGTGGTATTGCGTCGTTTTCAGGAGCAAACGAACGCCAGGCAGCGACGGTGGCTGTATGTGTCATACATTTTTTCAGCATATTCCTTTACTTACTAATTCTCAGCTCTCTATGATGCCGACAAAAAAGCTCACGATGAGGCCATTCGGAATGGCGGCGTAGGTTATTCTTTTTACTCCACTGCCGTTAGTCTGACTCAAAAAATTTCAGCTGATACTTTATTGGTACGGGATACCCAACCAGGAGACGGGGATGAATCTCGCGACCTGCATTTGGCAGAGTCGGAGACACGCTATTGCAGCAAACTCGCGCCCTCATCATATACAAGCCATGAAACTTGCAGCTCAGTCCTACGAAATATACCATCTAGAACGATATATCCTACGAAAAGTGGCCGGTGAGGGAGGTGTAACAATACAACCGTATCAGTCGGGCGAGGTTGGATGGTGATTTGTGTATTTTTGATTTTGCTATTGTTTTCGTTGTTGTTTGCATTTGCTACCCACTGGTGTCCTTATTTATTGAATGTCGCATCCCAAGTTTCGAAAGCGGTTCAAAGGCGGTCTGAAAATTGAAATTCTGCCGGCTTACATAAAGAGATGGACTATTTGGCTCACTCTTGCGTCCAGTCCCTTTTGTCTTCCTTCCACTATGTCTGATGTACCGACATTGAGTGTAACGTTGCTCGGTGCAGGTCAAGAAGTCGGACGGTCGTGCTGCGTCTTGCAATATCGTGGCAGGACTATTGTCTGCGATGCAGGTGTACACCCTGCCTACAGTGGAATTGCATCGCTGCCATTCATTGACGAACTCGACTGGAGCACAGTAGATGCCCTCCTGATAACTCAGTAAGTGAATTTTTTTCTCGACTTGGTCGTGTTTTGTAACGCTCTTTACCAACAGTTTCCACCTTGACCATGCTGCAGCGCTCACCTACATAACAGAAAAGGTGTGTTGCATCTTTTCATTTGCAGCCGGCTGATATCTTAACCTTTCAGTAGACTAACTTCAGAGATGGAAAGGGAAAAGTCTACATGACGCATCCAACGAAGGCCCTCCACAAGTTCATGATGCAGGACTTCGTACGCATGAGGTGCGCCTGTTCTTTGGGCTACGCGAGTATAATCCTTACTCTTTTTCACTAGCTCTACTTCTTCGGATGCCCTTTTCTCTCCTCTGGATATGTCCATGTCGTTCGCCTCCATCATCCCCATCTCTGCCCATCAAGTCATAACGCCTTGCCCCGGTGTTACCTTCACACCTTACCACGCTGGCCACGTCTTGGGTGCTTGTATGTTCCTCATTGACATTGCTGGCCTTCGCATCTTGTACACAGGTGACTATTCTCGAGAAGAAGATCGCCACCTGGTAAAGGCTGAAGTCCCTCCCATACACCCGGACGTCTTGATCGTTGAAAGTACCTATGGTGTTCAAAGTCTAGAAAGCAGGCCCGAAAAGGAGCTTCGGTTCACTAACCTTGTGCACTCTATCATTCGGCGAGGTGGACATGTTTTGCTTCCTGCCTTCGCTTTGGGTCGGGCACAAGAACTTCTGCTCATCCTCGATGAGTACTGGAAGAAACACCCTGATTTGCACAACGTACCTATATATTATGCTTCTGGTCTAGCCCGGAAGTCGATGGCTGTCTATCAAACTTACATTCATACGATGAACTCTCATATTCGGTCTAGGTTTGCCAAGCGTGATAATCCTTTCGTTTTCAAGTATGTTTCTAACCCCCTTTCAGTTGTTGATTTCTGACTTTCGCCAGGCACATCTCGAATCTCCCTCAGCCTCGTGGCTGGGAGAAAAAGATTGCCGAAGGCCCTCCTTGCGTGGTACTTGCTAGCCCCGGATTTATGCATTCCGGTCCAAGTCGAGAACTCTTTGAACTCTGGGCTCCAGACTCGCGGAACGGTTTGATCATAACGGGGTATTCTATTGAGGGAACTCCTGCTAGGGTGAGTCAATCTGGAGATGGTCGTTTACTCAAGATTTCGTTGCGTGTGTATATTACAAGAGGAAGAATTGAATTTATTTTTGTCAACTCTCCTTCTGAGCTTGAGACATCACACTTATCAACGGCTTTCCCCACCTATAGGACATTATGACCGAACCGGATGAGTTCGAATCCGTCAAAGGCGGCATGATTCCCCGGAAAATATCGGTGGATTATATATCCTTCAGTGCTCATGTCGACTACTCTCAAAACTCGGAGTTCATAGAACTAATCAAAGCACAGCATGTGGTTAGTAAAGTCTTCTGTCATCCGTGGTTGACAATTTTGTGTAACGCTTCCGCAGGTTCTGGTCCATGGCGAACAGACGGCCATGGGTCGTTTACGGGCGGCAATGACTTCACGATACAAAGAACGAGAAGAAGATGTCAAAATACACACTCCTCGTAATCTGGAAACACTAAACCTTTCATTCCGAGGTGAACGTGTAGCAAAGGTATGTAATACCTAATTTTTGTATACCATCCCTTTCACCAGGACGCCACTCATCCAGGCCATCGGAACGTTAGCAGATGCGGCGCCGCAAACAAACGACGTCTTGTCAGGCCTTCTAGTTGCAAAAGATTATTCATACACCCTCTTGGACCCGCGAGATTTGCGGGACTTTGCAGGACTTTCTACCTGCACCGTCACGCAAAGGCAGAAAATTGCTCTAGGTGTGCGTTGGGGACTGGTAAGATGGCATCTTGAAGGGATGTATGGGCATGTAGAGGAAGGGTTAGACAAAGATGGTGTTCCTACCATGCGGGTTGTGTCCTATTGTCCTCGTTTTGGTGTTCTTCGATGCTAATTTATGACCTTACAGGTCATGGGTGCTATCGATGTAAAACAAACTCAAGAACACGAGCTGACTCTTGAATGGGATTCCAGTGCGAGCAACGACATGCTTGCCGATGCGACGCTGGCTCTCATAATAGGAATTGATAAGAGTCCCGCTTCTGTCAAATGTAAGCGAGATCAGTAATTCTAACTATAACTTCCCATATTTATGAGTATGTTTCTATTACAGTGACATCCCAGGAGCATTCTCACGAGCATCCAGACGCTTACGAACACCCACATGCAGATCCTGATCCAGATGATGATACTACATCTATGAAACGCATTCAACGTCTCATCATGTTCTTGGAGGCCCACTTTGGAGAAGTAGAGTTGCATATGCCAGAAGAGCTTGATGAAGAAGAGCAGGAACCGGGTGGGCCTGGTAACGAACCATCACTGCTTGTTCAGCTCGACGAGGCAGATGCACGGATAAGTTTAGTCTCCATGGTGGGTCTTATTCCTGGTTCCGATATTCTGGGATCAAGGATAGAAAAATAACTTTCTCCATTCGTTAGATCGTCACCAGTTCAAATGAATCGCTGCGAAAACGAGTGGAAACTGTTCTTGATATGGCAGTTACAACAGTCAGTTCGTTGACAGAATCGTTTTCTTCAACTGTTTCTTCAGTGCACCATGAGGAGGACACTGAGAAAAATGCCAAGAAGAGTCCCCCTTTTGATTTGCCCCAGGACGCGAGTACTGAAACCGAGGGTGTGGTGGCGCCCGATGTATCCAGTGCGGCGAAGCCTGCTTCCAAGTCTCGCGCCCAAGACGAAGAGAGTAATGAATCAGATTTAGAGGTACATGGTTGATTCCGCTAATGATGGGGTGACATTGTAATAAGTAGCTAGGTGTATATATAAATTAGTAGGCAATGCGACGGTGTTAAAGAGGTCTCAACAAATCCAGCCAAGATATCCAAAAATCGACCCAGTATATACTACAACTTGTTAACATTGGAACAAGTAACAGAGTACATGAACTATCCATTGTTGATATTGAGTGTTACAAAAAACCCGAGTGCGTCAAATCCTGTTGACGCTAGACAAGGATACACTGAGAGAAATAGTGAAGTCAAATCTTGTCGAGGAGGAAAGAGGATTAGATATGACGAACCTCCATGTCTGCGAAGACTGGGGAGCAACTGGCCGCCACTTCAGTGCATATAAAATCTTTTTTCTCTCCCTTCGCATGACTTCCGCAATTATCCACATAAGTGATGCTGGAACTGGGCAAGAAACGCAAGGGACAATTAAAAGCCATGTATCTTTCCGCAGCCCGCCAACTTCAGTATCTTCCTTTCCCTCCATGATAGTTATGGTCAAGAGACAGACGCTGCATGATGTCCACAGCAAGGCACAGACAAAGGCAGAGACGATGCTGTATATTGAAAGGAGCCGTGATGAGCCGCGGAACTCAAAGTATGCTGTTATAAGCATGATGGCATAGTAAGGAACGGTGAGGGCATATGAAGCCGGGAAGATCCAAAGAATGGGATTAACGCCCGCGTTTATGAGAGCGACCAAGACGAAGATTAGAGTAAGAGTCGATACGCCCAGTGACGCAGAAATGAGGGGCACAAGCGGATACGGCAGCGAGTGCATACTGCTGTGAGGACGAGAGGGCGACTGGAAAGAAGGTCTTGATGGGTAGATATCACCCCATAATCCTCTGTGTATGGTATTCATAAGTACACGCCTATGTGACTGGGATCGATGCATCTCTGCATCATGTCACTGTAACTGATGAGTTACCACAAGAGTCGAGAAGAACAGGGAGAAGCAGGGAACCTGTATTATAAGCACCGATTACGGTGCCATGAGTATCCTTAATTCGAAGTGAGTTCATCACCGCATCCTCCGATTTGCATTCTATACGGTGGCGACGGGTACCGAAATTCTGAAACTAATACTGACCGAGTGAATTATGGGAATCTCGGATCCAGCTTTCCGTCTCTGCGGTGGTATCATGGGGCAGTGTGGTAAGCGCTCAGTGATCAAGCCACCATCTTGGCACAGTGATATGTGCGAGGCTATTCCATCAAAACACTGAAGATGAAGTCCGTGTTGCTCCAAAAATATACAACGAACCAAGCCAATGAAAGAAGAGAAACCAAGGGGAAAGACCGGAAATCACCTTCAAGTCTTTTTGAAACGCCGGGCAAGGCTCCTTTGATTACCGCACTCCCTTGCAAGATCTTCTCAATGAGCGAACGTAGAGCTTCGTGGTACGAAGAGCTGGATTAAGATCAACTTACGGTTTTGTACAATGGGCTTCTCGATATGTAATACATTGCATCAGGAACCTCCAAACTTTGCCAGTCTTCGTCTTCGCATTTCTTCGATGCTGACAGCTTCCTGGGAAGGTGCTTCAGCTGGCTCAGAAGATGCGATAGTCGAACCTCCATCATCAGACAGCATAGCTTCGTTATCCTGCATATCGGTCGAAGCAGGCGGTGTTGACTGAGGTGGGTCAACTGTTGTCGATGCTGCCACTGGTACCGCTGGGCATGGAGATGGAGTTAGGAATCCTTCAGGTGCAACCCATCCATCGGGCACTTGAGCCAGAGATTCCTTCAAAGCCGCCTGCAACTCCGCGTCGTCATCGTCATACACTCTATCTCCACTTCCTCTGCTAAGCAATGCTGGCTGACCGAAGTTCGAAAGAAATGCTGAAGGTAGATGGTCGTCGATATCACCTTCGACTTCCTCATCGTCTGATTGTCCGTGGCCCTCTGCCCTAGCCATTGCTTCACTCTCAGCAATGGCGCGCCTCAGCTCACTATCATCGGTGCTTTCCTGGCGTCCTGTGTGCCCCTCATCCCATAGTTCTCGTTGAGCATTCTGCTGCTCAGCTGTCATTTGCCGAAGAAGCTGTTGATTGCGTGCCATGCTCGCAGCTATCGGGTCCAAAGGAGTTTCTGTGGGCGTTTGACCACCCGAATTGTGATCAATAGGTGACCAAGAGCCTCTAGGAAGCGGAATATTAGCCCTTGTTAGTGCAGGAGGATCGAAAGTCATCATAGGATAATCCGAAGACGATCCGGCCATCAATGAGGCCTGCAAAGCGGCTTGAAGCTCATAATCCTCATCTTCCAATCCTTCAAAATTGTGGCTCGCATCAGCAGTAGAATGGGAAACTCCTGTCGCGTAAGAGCTTGAAGATGGTCGACTGGAAACACCAGACTCGGGGACAATAGCTGCAAGATCGTCTGCATCTACGCGAGGGAGGCCTAAAGGCACAGAGAGGTCGGTTTGTGTTACCACAAAGACCGAGTAACCTAAATGTCTTTTATCACCACCAAGTGCAACTGTGGTGGATGAGGAACTGACCATCAGCTTCTGCTTGCTGTAGGACCATCCCCAAAAAGGTTTTGCTAATCCACCGGGGCTCCGGAAGAAGAGAATTTAGATCGAACCAATGTCCAATCCCGGAATCCTCGGCCAGGACGGGTGAAGCCGGTCCAAAACGACGGAGTGTGTACCAATGCTGCTGGTAATTTAAAATGAACGCCAGTTGGGTGCTGTGTATCCTGTGTTAGCTGGACTTTTCCAAGGCGAAAAGAGGCGTACTATGGTATGTCTTGATAAGGTCTCATGGTCTCTCCTCGCCATCCAAGAAGTCTAAACAACAGTGAATATGTGTCAAAAGCCTCAAGAAAGCTCAACGTTACTCAAGGCCCCATACTTTGAGCGCTGTATCTAGTACCTGTACTGAGAAGAAGCCTATAGATTTCTAATGTGAGACAATTAATGTCCAAGATGAGGGCACTCGAACATACCCGTATCGTCCATGTTCGTGCTGGCGCTTCCCGTGTTATCATCGTCGTAGCTGGCTTCTTCTGCATCTAGCGCACGAGCAATCTCTGCGAGATCCGGGGCAGTGAACTAGCATTCACTGAGCACAGAAGAGGACAATGAAACCAAATACCCACGTAGCTGCCTTCTGAGTGACGTAGAAATGTTCAGACCAGATGAAATGCTACGAGAAATGGGAGACGCACGTAATAGGGAATTGAGAGCGTGCTGAGCACAGAGAAGAGATCCATCCTCCTGCTTCTCATGGTATATACGTGATAGAATATCCTCGACGGACAGCATCGTAAATGATGGAGATGAGAGCAGAGGACAAGATTGTATTACGCCACGAAAAAAAGCCGTACGCGTCGCGTTGATTGATCTTATCTTATCTCTTATTGCTTCCCAATGTATTTTCTTCTTTCTCTTCCCAAGTGGCCGGCCGGACAGCATAAGAAATAATAAGAGATTGTTATCTATATCTTTTCTGTCTTTATACCAGGTCTCGGACGACTGTAACATACAAGAATGTGCTGTTTCAGATTATCTTTTCGCGTAAAAGTCTGCTTGCATCCATCATACGGGCAGCGATAAGCTGTAGAACGTAAATGTGAGGGACGCGCGTCGAAAGACAAGGTAAAGATAAAGTTCGTGCGCCTCTCACGAAGATGAACGCCTTTGACGTGTCTCTTCAGATGTTGTCCCCGAATAAAGCGCTTCCCGCAGCCTTCAAACGTACAGATGTAACGGCGACTTGAATCGGAAAGCTGGGCTTTTGGGGCCACGATGCCAAAAGGGATAGATGGCAAAGTCTGAGAGGAAGCCAGAGTTTCATCGTCAAAAGACGTGCTAGGAACATTGCGCCCGCGAGCGCGTAAAGGAACCTCTCTACGATAGATAAACTCGGAGGTAGTATGGCGACAAGATATCTCTTGACGTTCTGTCTTGATAAGTATTCGTTCATTCTCAGGTAATGTTGGCTGATGTATAGTTTTGTGAAAGGAATCGGACGAAGCCGAGGACATGATGAGGCGAGGTTCAAGACGTTTGCATTTCTTCGGCAACGGAATTACAACAGGGGGGAAGTGAGGTTCGTAGGAAGCCCCGCCCTTGCTGCTGGGCGAGGACTCAGATTCCGGCAAATCCTCGTCGTGAACCGAGGGCTCGCTGACCCGAGATAACGAGGCAGAACGACGCGGGCGTCTATCAGTGTGAGAATAGGTAGACAGATCGGAGAGAAAGCAGGCAGTTTCGTCGATAAAAGTGATCTTATCGCGGGGTCGACTCTGAGCGTCCTCACCCTCACCCTCACCCTCAGAGTTGCAGAAAGACGGGGGCGTCGAGGCTGTCGTATCTGTACTAGTCGAGTCAAAGTCATCAGGGTAATAGAATTCCCAGATCATGGTAGTAGTAGTAGTACAAGTGAAGGTGAAGGCGGACAGACTCTATGATGTCACGTGTCAATATAGTTGCTCTTAAGAATAACAGTGCTCAGTAGAAGCGTCCATCCTATCCAGGTAAATCGTCAGCTCAAACCTCTTTCTCTATCCCCATCTCTTTCTGCTGGTGCTTCAGTTTCCCTTTAAGCTTGTGCTCCAGCTCGTCTGCCTTGTTCTCGACACTACGCCCAAGCCAAGCAATACTCCTAACTCCCTTCCATTGCATCAGCCCGCGATGCTTCCTGTGTAACTCTCCCTTCCTCTTTTGATAGTCCTTGAAATGATTTTTTATACCATCAATGGTACCATCCAACGACCCAGATGTGCTCGACACTGATGATGCCGACGAATCAGACTCGTAAAAGAGATCCCGTTCGTTGTCGTCATGCGACTCTTCTGCACAATCCATCACTTCCATCACCTCCGCCAGGGAGGCGTCTTTATCAGCCATGTACCGATGGTAGCCACTCAAGCCCGGCCATAGCTTCACCTTCACAACAATACTTCCTACCAGCTCTCCAATATCGTTTGAAGCATTGAATCGTGCCCGGGTAAGCGCGTCATTCACATTCTTCCTTACGGCAAGTGTCGTGGTAAGCTCTTCCCCATCGGGAATGTCTTTCAGCCAAAGCGTCGAGAACGCCGGAATAACATCAGGACCCAACACACGCTTCCGGAACTGGATGAACAGGCAAGACGCGTAACGATTCTTGACCGCCAAACACACAGAACGGCTCTCGATTGTCGCTTTCCAGCCGCCATCAGGATGTGGGTATAGTTTTCGACGTCCGTACAGGGTCTCAGCAATCAATTGGCACGAAGCAAGATTAGCTGGGAGATCGGTGGAGGCTTCGATCCTTGGTTGAATCTCCAGTGTGCATATATCCCATCCTAAAAGCTCGCGAGGAAGTTTGGCTTGCACACTGCGGAATGCCAAAGAGAGCCGTAGTCGCCCATATCCAATTCCTCCAATAAGAGGGAAAGAGTCAGTTATATGTGATCGATGCTTGAAAAGCTTCTGCAGTGGAAGTACAACGACTCCCAGTAGAGGATCGGTTTCATGAACTCGGGCGTCTCGGACAGCGATGATAACTGTACTGTCTAGCCAGTTTTTGATAAATCGCTCAGTACTCGCATTGAACTGTAAACCTGGTTAGCAAAAGTCGGCAGGAAAGAAAACAGACTTACATATGGTTTTCGGGTCTTCATCTTTGTCCGTGTCTTGTACGCCCGTTGATGGTTAATAATGATAGTGCAATACGGACTAGGACTATTGCCATCTTCAGTTTCCAGCGCGCCACCTTCCCTTACTTTCTGAACCTCTAATTCGGTGATCTGCTCAATACTCACAGATAATATACCACTAAGCCACTCATCGGAAGGCTTGGAGCTCGCTATGATTTCATCTTCTTTCTCCTTCAGATCCTTCAGTTGTTGCTCCCTGGTGTCTATACCCTCAGCATCTCTCTCCGGCTTGGCCGTGCACCCACTTTCATCTTCCTGGTCAATCGTTTCGTTAATTGCAACCACATCTTTGAGATGATGCTCCAGAGACGTCTTTGAGAAGTATCCGACAGCCCAGCGCAGTACCCCAGGCCATTTCGAACCGTCAGAGGCGACCAGATCATCCTGGCGCGCCGTTGACTGATTCGAAGTTTCGGAAGACTCGATAATGTCGTGCAACGACGTCTCGACTGTTCCAAGGATATCGTCGGCCGAGAACCTGTCTAAAACAGAATCAGTATCTGAAGCTTGGTGCAGAGAACCACAGAGACTGACCTGAATCCCAAAGCTGCAGCCTGAGTCTCTCCCGAGCATGAATTTCGACAGGAGTGACTAGTAACATCATAGTTTCTTCCCACACGGGTTTGGATTCGTTCTCGATTATTCTAAATGCAACATTATAAGTGGAACTCGGGTGACAGAACCCAGCACCAACCTGGTGGAGCAGAGGGGCTTTCCCCACTTGCTCCAGCCAACCGACACGTATGGATCCCCCCGTTTCTGCTTTTTAGATAGCCAGAACTTGCCTTCGTCCCCATTCCTATAGCCTTCAGCGCTCTTCAAGGTGACGATAACCACCCCCATAGCATCAGTGTCTGTCTTCTCCTTCCCGGCTAGCAACGTTTTGAGATTCAAATTCAAGCTCCTTGGTGCGACATACTGTCCGACAGCCATATCGATCGCGTTTTGTAACCAACCTGATAATCCGGGAATGTCCATGATATTTAAAAAGTTCTTCGCCAACGGAGTACAATGGATTTCAACCTTCGGCTGTCCCAGCAACGTGAGTGTCATGATTGACAGAAAGGGTGGGTTTGGCATTAATTGTACTCTCAGACGCGTTTTGGCAACAAGGCCGGTAAGCTCGACCCACACGGGCAAAACTATCCCTCCGGATAGATAAAACTCCACAAGAAGATGGGCATTACGCGAAGGGCCTGTACGCCGAGCATCCTGGCCAGCAGATCGTGCTTTGTACGCGACGGCAAGCTCGAGATTGACAAAATCTCCGTCTTCTGGTTTCATGCCATTGGTCTCATCAGCATTCAAAGAACGAATGCCAAGGATGCGAAGGGGCTCGGAACCTTGTCCGATGTCCGCGACGCGAACACCATGGATAAGCTTGGGAAGCGTCGCTTGAAGAGAATCTTCAAGCATGTCGGATACAGAGGTGAAAAGCGCGGGGTTAACGATTGGTCATAGAGAGGCCAGGAAAGAGTTGAACCATGCTGCAGTCTCGGGGCTAGTGAGAGACTCAGGCTAACCCAAACGTTGGATAAATAACGTATACTTGCACAGACGGACAACATACCCTCGAATCAATGTTGTGGTCAACAGATGGCTGCTCCTCTTGCCCATCATAGTGAAGAACCGCACCGCCAGCAATGAGGCCCATGGCGCAACACGCAGCACTTCCCAATACCAGATTCAATACCTCTGAGGAACTGACAAAGGTCCGGAACATCCACGACAGTGTTAGTGACGCCGCCCCTCCAACGCCCGCAGCAATAGCGCTGGTCATGAAGGCGCGAGACTTGTGCTTGCCCTGGGAATCCGAATACCGCCATCGTCGGTGCTGCAGCTCGTCCCTCACCACGGCATCCATCTGGCCCACTGGTGGACTGCTGGAAGGATACGACACTTGGTGGAGCTCAAAGGACGTGTTGTCATGGATAAGGAGTGGCAAGTGGGTAACAGGATCTGTCACTTTTTTCTGCTCTCCCTTTCTGGCGGTATCGTCGTCATTTGAGTCGCTCATGGCGGATCTGGAGAGGGAGAAGCCCACGCGCTAAGCGCCCGACCGTCACAGCCTTATACGTCAGATCTGTTGACTTACCAACCAACAATGCCTCGGCAGTACCACAGAATCCTGTTATTGAGGATTGAAGAGTCGAAAGCTAGTTCTTTCGCAGGACCATACAGAAAATGGCGACAAGTCATTTAACAAGGAAGTCAATCTCATTAGTTCGGTTATTGCCGGCTATGACAATTAGTAGTATCTACGCCTAGCTCGCGAATATATCAATTGAATCCCGAGTTTTGCCTGAACTATCCACCAGAAGGTTATCCTTAATGTTGACATCAATGATTCAAGAGTGCTTGTGTAAAAATTGCATAAGACACGCACCGAACAGTTAGAGCCAAGGCCTGTGAGGGATCATATTCAATCTGGAAGAATTAGCCGCTGAAAATACTGTTCTCACCAGCGTTACCGATCCAGCCCGGTTCCCAGTAGAAGAGACCTATTCCGTGGCCACCAGAAAGTCCATTCACGATGTCCTCAAGGTCGGACATCTGTTACCAATCAGTGAGGATAGTGCGTCAATCAAGGTTTCCATAACGAACCCAGGTTTCTTGTCCTTGCACCGATACAGCAATGTTTTCAGTCAAATCGACTCCAGAGCATTGGACTGGCCAGTCGGTCTCAACGATCATCACGTCCTGTTGAGAGTCAGAGAAGTGTTCACAATCGTACAGGTTAGGCTCGCCTTGCTGTATGTAGAAACGACCGTCTTGAGACTAGATTGCAAGGCAGAGAGTGTGGCACCCGAATCATAGAAAGGATACATCGAGAAGGCCATGACGTCTATGTCATCGAGCTCCAGATCACCTTGGAAGTCGAAGACCTGTTCGTAGAAGTATAATATGCTGTCCTTATCCCAACCATTGGCGAGGTGAATGACCGTCTTTGTCGATGAGGATGCTTGACGGACGGCACTGACCGCAGAGTGCAAAAGCTCAGACAACGGCTCGTAACCGTTTACTGAGACTTGTCCTGTTGGCCACAAGAAGCCGCCATTTATTTCATTGCCGATCTAAAGCACGATGTGACTTTTTAAGAGAGGAGGGATGATATACAGCATACTTGAATAAAATCAATGGGAGTCCCTTGATCATTGAATGCGTTGACCAAATCCAACGTGTATCTTTCGAACGATCAAGACAATCCCATGAACATGAAGAAGAAAGAGTAACGTACTGCCATATCTCAGTATTCAGAGAATTCAAATCCTCAGACCATGCAGAGGGAATAGCCTGTTTTGAGGGATCTGCCCCTTAAAAATCAAAGGCCATAAGGACGACATCTGCCCATTGAAAGCAAGACTTACATGTATCACTGTAATGGAGGTCAATCAACAAAGCCATTCCCGCATCCACCACTCTGCGTGCCAAGGCGAGACCATAGTCCAGACTGTACTCAGAATCGCTTTCACTAGTCCAGATTCGGATCCGTGCAATGTTGGCTCCATGATCGGCGAGAATATCTTCGAAAGCTTTCTTGCTCCCACCATCCGAGTAGGAAATGCCAGATCGCTCCAAATTGACCAGGGAGGAGAAGTCAGCGCCATAGTAGTCAAGCGAATGGACCCGCAAGAAGGGCGCGAGAACGAGAAGCCACAAGATCAGCAAGAAAGCCATTTGGTCAAGTCTTTCACACCAAGTGCTCCTGCATTATATACACGAGTTTATCCAGAAACTGTAGGGGTAGGAACGGCAGATGACATAGAAACAAGATTATCCGACTGGGGACCCAAAAAAAAACGCCCTATGGATTGGATGTTTCGTCACAAGACAATGCACCCGTGAACATAAATTTGGTGCAGACGAAGGATTACACGGGCCGTGTGAGAGAAAGCATACGCCGAATGGCAATATTCGTGTTGGGCCAAGCCCTAGTGGTCGGACAAATGATGTCTAGACGGGACGAGTTGCGTATGACAATGGATGATTTCTGGATAAACGACAACAAAACATAATTTCTAGACCGGCTTTCAAACAATTTCAAGTATAAAAATGGACTGAAGCACCTGCAGAAGATTTACTCAGATACAGCAACGAATGATGAAGCTTGGATGTTGTGATGGGTTTTCAGGCATTCTTGGGTAATAGTTCCGACCAACCTTACGGGTATGTCTCTTGGTCTTTTCGGAGCGATGAATGCTTGTGAACTTGATTTGCAAATAACAGAACCCAAGGTCACGAGGGTCCATGGAACTTGGCTTGCACGGCCAAAATCTTTCTGCCTCGATGGGTGGGGATTCGTGATGTGATTGTTAGTCACAGCCGAGCATTTTAGTTGGTAAAAAATGAAACCTTAAAGGGTTTTGTTCTAGCGAAGCCTTTTTCAGCCCTGAAAAGGCCGTGTGAAAAACTTTTCTCCCTGTGGAGCAATAGAATTTGTTGGGATTTTGCTGGAAAGTTCTAGAAAGGGCAATCCGGCATCATGCCGAGAGTTGATGAGTAAGCCCGAGAGAAAGAGAAAGTTGTAGTAAATTCTAGATACAAGCCTGGAGAGTATAAATACGAGCTCTGTAGGAGCTGCAGAATAAGGAGTTTATACCATCTGGCCTTACCAGCCTGGAGTCTACCCTGCGCAACACCGAGGATTTCCAACAGAATTAATGTGTCTTCTCGTTTTACAGCACTCACACCAAGGGTGTAAAAACTGGAGTCGAAATTGAAACTTTTTAAGGTCCTATTTTGAGCCATCAAAACCACATCAGCCTCTGCAGTGAGTGCTGTCAATACTGGGACATCAATAGTGGCAATCAACCTTTTCGCAAATATAACTAACAGCGAGATCCTCGACATGGGTCCTCCTGTCAAGAAAACTAGGCACACCTAACATACCTTTACAGCGCAGGAACAGGATGGTACATCTTACGTCTTTTATTGTTACCGTACAATCCTGTGTGCTTCCAAGTATCAATGTTTACTTATTTACAGCGTTTCCACAAACCAATGAGAATCGATCGAACCCAGAAACGAGTCCGTACAAAGATCATGTTCCATTTTCAGAGTCCATCCCTCACATGCATAGAGAACCGACGGTTAAAAGTACGGGAAGTAAAGTCGTCCACAGCTGTGATATCCACAGGCTGCCAGCTGCGCTGGTAACCTCAGATCCTGTCAGATTGGATGGGTTTGGGCCTCCCCACATCGTAATATTGCGAAAGTACGTGTGGGTGGTATTCGGCGTCGCCCAGCTGTCATCTGAACCTAATGGATCATGATGAGTTCTGCTCATATATATGGCTTGGATTTAAATGCAGCACTAACCTCCAAAAAACGTCCTGATTCACGATCCATCAAAAGTTATCATAGCAGATAGCTAAAACTGTGCTTACGAGAAATACATCCCGCCAGCATTAACAGACGAATTGCTTCGAAATTGGAGATCCGTTTGAGATATTACTTCGACATTGTTGTAACTGTTCATTAGCATCGGAGTTTGTTCGATTTGCATTGTCACTGGAATCGTACTATAATTTGAGGTTTCCATTCGCCACGTCCGTCGGCTCATTGAGCTGCACAAGAAGGGTGACTTGATTCCATCTACCACAAAAAGTCAGCTACTCTACACCAATGTCACAACAGTAAGCGTACTCTCCGGCAACAAAACTAAAGGCTCCGCGGGATATGCTGGTGCCAAAATCGTCATTGCAGGTGATACTGCGCTCGCTACACAGATTATTCGGCGTAGGAATATACGCGTATACTTTATCCTCAAAGGCATTAGAAAATGACTGGGAGTTCCAGTGTGAATTCACGTACCTTCAGCTGCGCCATCCTGTCGCCACATCAGTCTAACGCTAAAACAGTCGCTGCCAGTGGGCTGATTACCACCGCTGCAGCCAGTAGCATTCGGTCCACCTCGCAATCCAGGTAACTTGCCGCCTTTCACCCAGTCAAAGTCCTTGTCAAAGGCTATATCGTAGGACAACATCAGAGACTGAAATACATCGCCATTGGACGTGTTCCAAAGATTGTAGAATTGGGTGCCACCGGTATTATGCGAGAAACTGCCTTCCGGATAGGTGACCTCGAGAACAGGGCTGGAAGAGTTGGTGGTAAATAGATCGCCAACGAAAGCGACGTTTTCGGTACCATCCTGGAAGCGCCCTTTGCTCAATGACCACTGTGAAACAATGAAAGAGTCCGTCTCATCGCTGCTTTGCGTAGCAGTTGGAAATGGGAATGTTGTGCTCGTCGTGAGGGAATACTGAGAAGCCAGCTCTTGCGGAGAAAGTTGCGCGGCAGCCGTTGCGTATACAAGAAATGTGAAAGAAAACAAGGTGAGAAGGAATAATGAAATAATGGTATACATCATGCAATGAAAAAGTGGTATACAGTAACGTCGTCGTAATGAATGAAGGTTTGAATGCCCTTTCTGGCCTAGCTGGCTGTGCAACTTTATTCTCGACCGCGACCACGTCCTTTCCATATGTTCGCCTCATAATACGGATATCCAATGTTCGGTCAATCTCTCAACAAAAAGGGCAATGGTGATAATGAAGGCGAGGCGCGACGGCCTCTTCTAAACCGGTCGCAAGACGACTTGACCGACGACAGCATTTTTGCCATCGACGACGATGACTCAGACCATGACCACATCGAATCCCAGCCTAATCCACCGCATAAAGGAAAGACTGAGCATGTCGTACGCTTTCAGGAGGACGTGCAGGTCATAGGCCCTCCCTTAAGGTCGACCATGGCAAGCCGAGAGGCAGGTGTGTGCATTACCGTTCTTGATGAATAAAACGGAACCATTTACACAGAATACGAACTCGATTCCGATGAGCTCGACGACGAGGCCACCGTTAGAACACCTCCCGGACATATGGACCGTAGTATGCCGTTGCTCGTCGGATTATTGGATGAGTCCGCCCGAAGAAACTTAGACACCGCTATTCCTCTACATACTCCTTCTGAGCCGCCGAATCCATCGGAGTCGGTTTTGGACTTGGATGACATAGTTGTGAAAGTAAACGCAGGTGGAGGAATGGTAGATTCAATAGCCAACATGGCAAATTCAATATTAGGAGCAGGTATTTGCTTTTCTTTACATTCCTGGTCTACGTCTGATTGCTGAACCAGGCATCATCGGTTAGTCCTTGTATCAGGCGATCATTGCCCCATTTCTTACTGTCTCGTTTAGGTCTCCCCTACGCTGTCAGCCAAGCTGGATTTTTCACAGGAATCGTCCTGCTAGTAGTCTTATGTGTGGTAACAGACTGGACCATTCGTCTTATTGTCGTCAATGCAAAACTTAGTGGTAGTCATTCTTACATTGGCATCATGAGCCACTGCTTTGGATCAAGTGGACGAGCGGCCGTTTCCTTCTTCCAGTTCGCTTTCGCGTTTGGAGGTGAGTCGACTTTAGCGTCATCGTACTCTGTTGTTGAGATCCTACGCAGGCATGTGCGCGTTTGGGATAATCATTGGGGATACCATACCTCATGTCATCCGCTCAATATTCCCCGACCTACATTCGATACCCGTGCTTTCATTATTTGCGAATCGTCAGTTTGTCATTGCTCTCTGTACTATTTGTGTATCCTACCCATTGTCGCTATATCGTGACATTCATAAACTCTCGCGAGCATCTGGCCTTGCTCTTGTCGGGATGCTCATAATCGTTGGCTCGGTTCTGATCGAGGGCCCTCAGGTCACCCCTGATTTGAAGGGTGACCAGTCCAAACGATTCACAATCATTGGTCTTGGTATTTTTCAGGCGATCGGGGTTATCAGCTTCGCATTTGGTATGCAGTGTCCTATTTATTTTCCCGTCTTTCACTTATTGTTCCTCTAGTCTGCCATCACAATTCATTGCTCATTTACGGCAGTTTACGAACTCCAACGCTAGACCGGTTCGCCCAAGTGACCCATATATCTACCCTAATATCGCTGGTATCATGTTGCACATTGGCAATTTCAGCATATGTCGTGTTCACAGACAAGACACAAGGGAACATTCTCAATAATTTCTCTCCGGTGATTAGGGTCCTTGCATTCAGGATCAATTTCATACTGACGTGAGAGCAGAGCGATACCCTCATTAATGTTGCTCGCTTCTGCTTCGGATTGAATATGTTCACGACACTACCTTTGGAACTTTTTGTTTGCCGAGAGGTCTGGGTCCCGAATTCATCCAAGGTTCTTCCACTAACAATTTACAGGTCGTGGAGCAATATTTCTTTTCTCACGAGTCTTTCAATCAACAACGACATGTATTCTTCACCACAAGCATTTTATTTATGTCGATGCTAGGTACATACTGCTTGATCATTACCACTATGACTAACAAATTTAAAGTTGCACTGGTTACTTGCGACCTTGGGGTGATGCTCGAGATTACCGGCGGCGTATCAGCTACAACGCTAGCATTTATCTTCCCTGCCGCCTGTTACCTCAAACTCATAAGCCCCGAATCACCGTGGCATAGCCGAAGAAAGCTGCCTGCTGTTTGTTGCGTGGCATTCGGAGTAACGGTGATGGCTATCTCCTTGTTTCTAGCGCTGGGCAAGACCTGGACTCCGGAAGGCAACGCGAAAATCTGCATGTAAACCGCGCGACATGACAAAGCGGAACGCATGTATGGAGTGCTGCGTATCTAGACCCTGGACATTATACGGACAACCATTATGTAAATTATAAAATTCCGTGCAGTATCGTCACTACGCCTGGGACTTTTGGGAGACGGCTTCTTTGAGGCCTTTGATGTGTTCGAGCACCTCGACTCTGGCACCCTTGGCCAAGCTTTCAACGGTAGATAACGGCGAGACGGTGCTGTACGTTTCCCAAACATGCTCCACACGTAGTCGAGGTGGTTGATCGGGCGATGGATCGACTGGATCGAGGACAAGCAGCCACACAGCATCATAGCCACCGGCTGAGGCAATTTCAGACGGAGAAGCAGACGACGGTAGTACACTAACCTCCAGGGACCCCTCCGCCAATCACGCCCGCTTGCGATATACAGGTGTCCAGCAGCGTGGTTTGTTCTTCCGGTTCGATTGGAACATCAGCTAACGATCCCATCTCTCGCATCTTTTCTCGAATGGACTGAAAAATGCCGTTACAGCGTTTGACCGGTCGAAAAAGTTAATGTCGCAAACCTCAGATATTGTGTGTGCTGCGTAGAAAGTGGAAATAACCGGCATTTCCTCGGGCGGGGCGTCTGGATTTGCGAGCCACTGGAAGAGCGAATCAGCACGGATTTGTATAGCTACGGTTTTCGGAGCAGACCTGAAAGTGATTTAATGATGAGATGTACTTGACAGCACTCTCGTAACTTTGTGGATCCTTCGTGTACAGGTTGGAAATCTGGATGAGAGTTTGGGCGAGCGATTGGTTTAGTTGGTCGAGTGCGGTCCACAATGTATTGGCTGTATGGAAAATAATTAGCCGCTGTTGGTCGGGTGGTTAGAACACAAACAGACCGACCTCGTTCGCTGTCTTGGTTTCTCCATTTAAGGACCTTGCCGACCAGTGAGGGTGTATCACTCCCAGCGTCTACATCTGCCAGCATGATTCTGGTCAAGGGGGGAAGCTGGAATGGCTGGACCCGATAATTCCAGGCGTCGTTCAAAGGCGACAGGACAGGGAGGAGGGGGGTCGACGTCTATATGTAATGAGCCCACATGTACCTGCAACCGAAATGAAGCAGACATACCGAGTCGTCGCTCATCAAGTCATTCAGGACGTCCGGCGCAAAACGAGTATAGATGTGGCTGCCAAAGACGGCAGAGGACACGTCGAATCCACTGCCCACCTTGCCCTGTGCCAGACAGTGCACGTACTGGGCGAGATTGTGGGCAAGCCGTCTGCCGTCGCTGCCGAGGTCAGAGAAGGAGGATGGAGGTATAGCGCCGAGATGAAGCAGCAACGCGGAGACGAGGGAAGTAATCAGTGCTGCTGAAGAGCCCATGCCGGTCTTGTGGACATTGGACAATGATACGCCGGTAGCGGCGAATGGTTCTATAAATTCTAGGGATGTAATTGTGCGTGGAAGGTGTAGCGAGGCCAGCTGTGTGAAAGTCTAAGTGAGACCGACAATAGAATATAAAGACGAACGAAGCAGTACCCTGGCTCTCTGCGAGTAGAAATCATTATCGCCTGCGATGGCGATGTCAAGGCCACGGGCCAAGGAGTCCTGCAGGGAAGACAGCCCCTTGATTTCAGCGACGAGGGCGAGCGTCTTTTTGAGCGCGAGATGGACAAATTTATTCGTGCTCGTCCTGGAATAATATATTTGAGCGGGAGGGGGGTGGCCGTCGAGGAAGACATTGGGCTCACTGTTCTGGAGCCTGCTCGACCTGGACGGAGGGGAAAAAGGAGAGGGAGTAGGACCAGGTGGCTGCTTTGAACTGGGGCGATCGTACTTGAATGTGGGTGGGCTGGCCGTCGGATATGACGGTGTAGAACCGGGACGAGGCGGAGACGACGATGCCAGAGTAGGTCGGATCGAGGACGAGGTAGCCGCCGGCGATTAGGACCTTTCCTGGGGACGACACGACTGTAGAATGGGCCATGGCGAGGAGGAAGGGGGGAGGGGGGGGGGGGGAGGGGGTTGGCAGTAAATAATGTGTGTCTTAAATATATATTGCTCACAACGTCGCTGATCGGCCCAAGGAACAAGAAGGGGACTTGCTGCATTTGACACGCTCACGTACAAACGGCGTTACTTGTTACCTGTCCCAACTAATCAGGCCGTATCTCCGGACCCGTACATTTATTCATTTCTAATTAACGTCCCCCCTGCCTGAACCACTCTTTTTGTTCGCCGCACGTCGCATTCCTGCATCCAGGGCACCGTAGCCCCAGCTGTACGCTCGTCCGCCCCCGCTCGCACTGACGCAGATGTTCCGCTGCAATGTCAGCTAGTGCACGAATGAAGACGGGCGAGTCATTGAGAGATTCAGCGCGCTGCACTTCGATCCCGTGCTGCAGCGGCAGATGAGCCTGGCACCAATCTAACGGATCTCTCCCCTTACCTTCCGTGCCTCTTTAGCGTACTCCAAATCGAGCTCGTACAACGTCTCAATGTGGTCGCTTGTAAACGCAATTGGCACTAGTACCACTTGCTTCTCACCCAGACGTGCCAGTCCCTTGAGTGCGTCGCCCGTCTGCATTCCCATCCAGGCCGACGGTCCAACTTGGGACTGCCATACCAAACGGTAGGGGTTAGAGTGCCCCAGTCTATCCATGACCGCAGACACAGTCCCCGACACCTCCATGATGTACGGGTCCCCCCGGTTCACCACAGACATCGGCAGCGAGTGTGCAGAAAACAAAAGAACTGTCTTGTCCCGTGTTGCAGCCGGGAACTTTGCCAAGGCGGCTTCGATGTTTATCGCCACTGCCTGCATGGAATCAGATCATTCATCACCACGTTTGTTTTCAAAAGGGACCAACCTCCACAAAGCCTGGATGCGTCCCCCACCTGTCTATCACGCTCCATTCAACGTCCCCAAACTCTGCTGCTTTGCCACGCCGGAAAATTTCGTTCAAACTGCTCCCGGTGGTGCTGCAGCTATATTGAGGGTACTGTGTGAACGCAATAGCCCGCTTGACACCGTCTGCCTTCATTTGTCGTGCCGTCTCCTGCGTGAGCGGGTTGGCATACCGGAATGCGACATAAGTTTTGTGCGGGGCCGTTTCCGGATGCAGTTCATCCAAAAGACAGGCCAAGCCTTCCCCTTGCAGCCGGGTGTACCGCAGTATTGGCGACCCGCCCCCAATGTCAGTGTATTGCTGCTCAATTTGCGGTGCACGTCGGCGAGCTATCACGGGTGCAAGGAATCGCTGAAAGGGCAGCGGGATAAGGTCGTTGTCCAAAAAGAGGTTCTTTAGAAAATCATGGGTCTCGGCCACCTTGCACGCGACGTTAGAGAACCGGGTCCCTGCAGGCAAATCCACAGCTCACCGTCGACGGCCCGCCCATGTTCAGCATGACAACAGCTGCATTCGGCGGCATTCAGACGGGCATCTTTCCAACAAGGCGGGACATTGACACACCTGTGGGACTGCACTTTAGTCAGTACAAGTTCCACGACACCAAGGCAGGGACCCTTACCTCTTCCCGGCGGGGGGTCCATGTTGCAGAGTCACCAACGACCGGGATAGCGCGTGCGATATTCGTGATAGAACAGTCATTTTATCCAGTGGATGCTACCGTGGCGAAGAGGTCGACGGGCAACCGCTGGGCCGTCCGCGTCATGAAGGATGAATACCCGTCCTCGACCGTGTGAATGTTGTCTCTAATAAGGGTAAAAACTGCCAGCCAATCGGTGTGCGTGATAATTGAAACTTTGAATTGACTAAAACTGATGACAAGGGAGAACTGTGCACTTTGCTCATCGCAGCATTTATGATAATAACGTAGTTGGAGGACTGTGGCTCTCTCCCTTCCATCCTCCGCACCAACATTCAGATCCAGTATACTACGAAATCTTACATCCTCACAGTCGTAGCTTCCATAAAATGAATAGTACATATATGCTACAGTCCAATCCAGTTATATTTCATGAGTCGCTCCGCTTCGTCCTTTTTGATGAAGGCCCAGGAAGTTCTACAGCCCTTTGGCAAACAGGACAACGACCAGAAACGTCAGTTAACCAGGGATCTAGACACGTCGGCTATTGAGGGTGAATGAGTTTTTTATCACAAGCAGCGAGAAAATGCGCGCATACGTGAAATACATGTCCGCATGCTAAAAGCCTTAATGGCTGCGCACCATCTCCGGTATCTTCTGGCTTCAATTCCACATCCCTCTGCCCTTCTGCAGCATTGTCAGGAGTGGCCTCAGCTGACGACTTCTCGCCTTTCTCCGACGTGTCTACTATTCGTTTTGGCTCCTCAAAGTCCATTAAGCAAATGGCGCACGCTGCACGATTGCCTTCCAGAACGACAAAAGGGTATCCTTCTTGCTCCCAGTGGTCTTCCCAGGTCTCAGGAACATTAGGCTTCGTGGCCTTCTTACCTTCACTTTTTGAAATCGACGATTTATTTGAAGGTATGCCGGCTGTTTTCTGTTTACTAGTAGTGACTTTGAGGAATCTAAAACGCCGTTTTGTAGGGGTGGTATTACTTGATCCCGGGGTTGAAGGAGGATAGGTGTATATCGCTTCGGGAACCTTGATGGGGAAAGACGAGGGATCTGGAGGTGGTGGGATGTACATCACGAGAGGGATCCGGTCAACCACGGACTTGGACAGCTTTCCTATCTCGGGTTTGATCAAGCCGGGGTTTTGAAGAGGATGGCGCCCAAGACACATGAGGAAGATGTTCCAAAATAGCTGTGAAACTCAAAGTTAAAAAACGAGGCTTGAATGTATGCAAAAGTGCTTACAAAGAGTATCGGCGCGATCAAAAATACTATCAGGCCTAGAATGATGACTTCTACGACCATCAAGTAGGTGATGCATAGGATTCCGAAGATGAGCCACCAGATAAGAGGCGAAGAAAGTCGGCAGGATTCAACAGAGGTATAAATCAGGATGTGGGCAGTCAAGAACCAACTGAAACTGAAAAGAGTCGAAAACAGCGTCAGCCTGCAATCAGATAAGTACTAGCTTTGCGACACATTAGCACTCAGAGTGTGCTCACTTTCTGTAAATGCCGGTATAAGGTAGCGGTGGTGATGGTTGCGTTTCTCCATCAGTAGCGTCGTTGTTTGCACTTGGTGAATTCGTAGATGCTTGGGCATTCGAATTTGAGGGAGGTGGTTGAGTTTGGCTGGCATTTGCTGCTTCACTATCCCCTTGTACGGCCGCACTGTCGTCGAATATTCAGCACGGTGCGAGGTAGTAAACATGCTTGCTTACGCTAAACGCTCTCGCTGCCAGCTCCAATATGATAAAATGCATGCCACAAAGACTCTACCGATCCAGAGTCCTGCCCAAACACCTAAAGGTCGAGTACACGCTTCCAGTTGGTTGACTCCTGGTATGGTCTTACTTTCAAGATGAGAAGATAAAGCAAGAATGACTATTATCACAATAATCTACAAGGAGATCAGTCAAATAACTTCCTAGAGCCGAGGATCAAGTCACCTGTGCCAAGCCCCAACAACAATTCCATCCAAGCGATACGTTAGACCGACGCTCGCGAGATGCACCACGTCCATATCCAAAAAATGTCATTATTCTGCGGTAACGCGACTGTGGCTGTCTTTCAGGCTGATGACCATGAGTTTCTGCAATGGCTGGAGCTGTAGCAGCAGGCCGGACGGCTTGAGCAGGTTGCTCGACTCGCTCTTGAGACAATCTGAAAGGCGAGGAAGGGGCTGATTGCACAAGTTCCGTTTGCTTTGACAGGGATATATGACTAGAGGAGTTTGATCGCTTTGATAACGGTCGTATTGTGGACGGTCCTACGCCGTTGTCCGAATTATCATGCTCAACATCCCGCTCAACACCTCCATCGGAACGGTCGTGATGTTCATGCTTGGACCGCTTTAAATTCTGCAAAAAGTCTTCACTCGGTTCTGTGGATCCCTTAGGTAGATCTCCCAACGACTTGATCCTTCGCAGTGTGCCGTCTGAGGTCAGTGGGGTCGTCATCCTAGGCTGTAGGTCAGTGCTGACGCTTCGTTATGAATCGGACAATTTATACCTCTGCTGAGCGTCTTTCAATAGAATTTGAGTGTTTCAAACAGCGATAACAAGAAGGAGCATGGAGTTTAGCGCCTGCAACGTTCACTGGCAAGCGGTTCAAGACTCAACACCCAGTGGAGCCAAAAGGGGACACCTCGGACCGATGTGCCGACTCTCACGCGCACGATTCGTACCAACTTGGCATACATTTTGAAGCATCTTGATAGAACCAGACGCAGTACTCGTCCATTGTTGGCGCTTGTAGACAAGCGCCTGCTGTCACTGTACACCACATCGGCGGAATGTTCACAGGGGAAGCTTAACAGCACAATTGAGTGACTACCCCGAACTGTAGAAATAGCTGTCGGAGTGCCGTGTCAGCAAGATAAAATAGGAAGATATGTTACTATGGCGCTTAGGATGGGTAGGGACCTGTTGGTTCAAAGGCCAGTATTTCCCGTTCAAGGCGAATGGAAGACCCGTTATCACAGGAAAATCACGGCGCACAAATTAGTGGATTCTGGTCGGATTAGTTGGTGTAGGTGTAGAGCACGATACTACATTATGTCCCGGACGTTCCGGGCCATTCCTCCTTACCCTCGGACCGGTCGGATCGAATCCGACTTTCCTCTACGGGAGCTACTCAGTAACAATTCACCTCGAGACACCGTAGCTCGTGCCCCCAGCTACTTACCTTCGTTCCCGTAGTATTGTGAATTTTGTCGTTCTAACATATTTTTCCAACAAGTATACTTGGCCGATTCCGATATTTGGTCAAAGTTTCTGCCCTCTTCGTCTCAGGGCTCCGTGTGATTGTTGGAAGGGGGAAGCGCAATTTCATGTCTGTCTTCTAGATTTCAAGTGCGTTATTCCTGATGATACGGCTACCAGAAATTTACCGGATAAGGCATCGTTGTACTTTTATTGTTGTTGTCAAAAAGCACGTGCGGTAACCTTGTCCTCGCAATTGCAATCCGATTGTCGATCGTGTAATAACAATACAAGACGCGAAAAACAGCGACGGCACATTGTACATACAACTGCCGTCGTCATTATGGCCAGCGAGCCCGTCATGCCTTCACTGTCGCCGCGTAGCCTCAGCGGCTGTCGACCAGGCCTCTTGGATCCAAGCCAGCCACAGCGACTTTTGCGGTATTCCACGTCTCAGATTTCTTTCGCTTCATTCAATCCTCGTACTGCGACAGCTCAGGCGGACCTACCCGACTTTCGCAAACTATCCTTGCAGGAAGAACTGTACAATGCAAAACGCGTCGTAATCGAGACAAGTGCTTCCGGCGAGTCCTTCTGGCGGTTCGTGCCCAGGGCGCACTTGGACGAGGGAGTGTTGGACGAGGGAACATGGCCTCGCCTAGTGAACCTATGTGGGCGAGTAAACAAACGGTATACCTCTTCGCCGGCGCCGTCTGACTTTTGCACAGAGAACTCGTCGAATTGAGCCAGGATCAGTGGGACATTTACAAGCTGGACACTTTCTACGAATGCAGAGTGTGTCCGCCTCCTGCCTATACCATCATTTCTATCGCGCCTTCAAAGCCTCCACCGCCATCTCACCTGCCCAATTGTAAACGCCACCTATCTCCCAGCTTTGACTTTGACAACGCTGCCCCATCCTCGAATTATCCAAAAACGGCGGACGATGCTCTTATTTCTGAAGAAGAGGACGAGGTTGAAGACATGATTATTGACGATGAACCTGCTCCTCCCCCTCGACGAGCAAAATCTGCAGTCCCACGACGGGAGGAAATGCTCAAGAAAAGAAACGAACGCCGAGACAGGAATTCTCAGCGAGAAGAGAAACTATCATCACCCCTACAATCTCCCTTCAACTTCACAGGGTATGGCCCAACGCCATCTACTCCGACTCCAAAGGTCAAGAGAAAAGGTAATACATATGCTCTCAACTTGACGATGCTATCCATCATTGACTACGCATGGACAGTCCACAATGTATTTGAGTCGTTGAAAACGCCTCCTGATCCTGACTATTCTGAATTCTCAGAAGAAGCACGACGTCAAACGGCAACCTATGAGCACGTCTCGTGGACAAAGCGAAATCGGACTGTTTCTCCTGCTGAAGCCAGGCGGCACTTGGATCACAATAGAACAACGCGGCAGAAGCGAAAGGCAGAGAAAATACGAGCACAAATGCGTCAACACAACCAACGATGGCAGAGTGAACTTATGCCGGATATCTACGACGAACTCGCGCGGATGCCAGCATCTTCATCCCCTGGTATGCATAGAATTTCACCGCAAACGCTCTATAGACTGACTGTGATTCTCCTGGCAGAGCGTCATTTTTTTCCAGAAACAGTCGAAGAAGAGCCCGAAGACGTACAACATAATTTCTATGAGGAACGAGATGACCGCGCTGAAAGGGAAGCCTCCATCGCTGCGTCGCGTGCAAAATTGGCAGATCTGGAAGCTGACAGACCATTGTGGGAAGCTGCCGCCTCGGCGCGACAGCTTCGGGAGCAGGCAGAGGCAGAAGCGCATCAAGCTAAAGTGGAAGCTAGGCGACAAACTGAAGAGAGCCGGGTGGCAGAACAGCGGGCAGAGAAAGCTCGCAAGCGAGAGGCCGATGCTTGCGCGCGCGAGGACGCTGCAAGGAGGGAACGTGAGGCGACCGAGCAACTGGAACACGCGTGGCAGCAGCGTGAGGCTAGGTGGAACACAGGGTATTGGACGCCCGCCCGTGCTATTGCTCGCTATAAAGAGTATAGCGAACTTTTTGATGTGACGAAATTTGCTGCAGATCCTCTTGAGTTTAGAAAAGTCCCGTGGCCTATATTGAAGAGACCCAGTAAACTGTCTACCGAGGACGTCGATTGGGCCAATGTAGAGGAATTCTTTGCCGAGGCAAAGAAGACCATGCGACTAGCGGAATTTAGAGAGTTCGTTGAGAAGAGTCATCGGCGGTTTCATCCTGATAGGTGGCGGTCTAGGGGTGCACTCAACAGTGTCGTAGACGAGGTTGCAAAGTCGTATATGGAAGTCGGTCAGTGTCTTTCTTTCTACTGCTTTCTTTGTACTTATTCCGTACGCTCAGCTGCGAATACTGTTGCCCAGGCACTGACGCCTTTGTGGAGAGAGGTGAAGCGGTGACAGAAGGGACGGTTGATCTTGACGCATTTATAGTTTTAAGATATGTTGTATTATATATAGCAGTTCACCTACACACCTAATCAAATACTAGAGGAACGGATGGTCAGATATTAAGTTAACTAAAAATCGATCATCAGAAATAATAGCAATATCGTTCTGGATTTTGCCAAAACTGGTAGCCACTCAAGCTCAAGCGTCAGACCGCCAGCGGCGTCTTCGATATGTAAATATCTTCAAGGGAACTGGCCAAGCTAAAACCGATTGCAACCGTCAATTCACCGTAAATCTCTCAACCTCCTCATCACCTCCTGCATGTCATGTGTATTCCACTCCCCACTCCAATCTTCTCTTCTCTCCTTTATAGTCTTCAAGTCCATTTCGTCAAAGTAGACCGTACTCTTGATAAACGGAGTATCTGGACGATGAGAGAAGAAGAAATGCCTGTCCTCTGAAGAGCGCTGCATGCTCAACGGCGAATGAGGTGCCGTCTTTGGCCTCTTAATCTTTCCTGGCCGCCTAGGCTTCGCACTGAAAGTAGTCTCGGGTATAGCGACATCGATGTCAACCTCTCTCTTACGAGATGGTGTAGAGGGTAGGCTGAATGAAATGGTGGCTTGTGATGGAGCAACTGCTTTTGGGGATGAGGGTCGAACGATATTGGTAGGATGGATGGGATGGAGCGAAGAGTATTGGTTAAACGGGGCATCGGGTGGTAGAAGATGACGAGGAGAGACTTCTGATATAGAGCGACGGATGTCGTCTTGGGTATTTCGAGACACAAGCGACGACATACTCGGGCTCCGTTCAGAAGGACGTGAGTTCATGGACGGTGCCGCATGGGCTAACCACGGTTCTGGGGTTTTCCCCCGGGGAGGTGTAGCAATGGAGACTTGAAGTTCAAGTTCTGCCCGTACACCATCCACCGGCGTTTGTGTAGCCTTGTCGACGTAGGACGTATATGGCCTTCTAATGAAGACATCGTCTGGACCTTCCTGAGGCTGCGGGAGTGATGGTGATTTCTTCCGCCGGATACATCGAAGAGTGCGCCAGAGATTGGAGATGGATTTGGGAGGTGAAAGACTCGCTGTCGTCGAGAGAGATGGAGCTGCTGATCGGACCGAGGCCGCGTCTGAATTACGAGAGGGCGTCGATGGGGACTTGGCTTTCTTCTCAATTCTGGCTAGTGGTTTAGGTTGCTTTGGAAAACCATTGTCAGCGAGAGCAAACATGGAAACAGGAGAGTGTGGCCGGCGTGGCGAAGAGCGGACTGAACCGGTGGCTAATTCCATGAGCGTCGGAGCAAGAAGGGGGAAATACAACACCCGAAGGCATTCGTTATTATATGGTAATCAGTGGGCTCATTCAGAGATATGATTAAGCAAATTATAGAACGGAGAAGAAGATCCTTCAGGCACTGAAATAAGGAGAACCCATCTTCTGGCAGCAGTCCTGTTTTGTAGAAGGAAGAGAGTAGAGGCAAAAACAATGAAGCCTTTTATCGAAACCCTCGTTACTATGTGCCAGCGCAGACAAAGCACAGATGAGCCCGCAAGAGGACAAAGTGATAGTCTACAGGCGCCGTGTTTTGATTTCTTCCAGCTGTACGTTGCCGAGAACCCGACTAATAACTGCTGCCAAATGTTTGCGCATTCGGGACTCTGGGTTCATGAGACTAGAGGAATAACGCTACGCATCAAAGTGTCGAGGCTTCTCTTCAGGGCTTTCTGACAAAATCATGACATTTGCGGTTAAGGCACCAAAAAGAGAGGTTCGAATTGAGGAGATGTCCAGTATACAGTATACCTGTATACTGCAGCCAGGTTTGAAGCCGGTCAAGGACTAACCAGTGTCCGAGACTCCCTCAATTTCAGGGTAGCTGGATGCAGTTCACCGCGAGATAGGTGGCGAGTAGGTAGGGTGGCTATCGCAAATCAAACTTGACCGAGATTCCAGAATCACGAAGACAGAAAATGACAGTGGCGTCCTCGTGCCCTGTTCCACAGCCTATCAAAATCTAATGTGAGGTATGAGAGCACCGCATAGCCTAGTAACAGTTAATAGCCGTGTGAAGCGGTAGGCAACGCAGCTAGAATCCTTCCTCCGAACTTCGCTCACCGTTTATTAATCTTGCTGTTGCTGATGCAGACGACCCCAACGACTGGACATCCTCGAGTTCAACGCCTCACAAGGAGGCCTAGGCAAGGCGTAGGATTGAACTTGGATCGAGCTTGGAATTTGAATCATGGGTATTCGGTCCGAAATCCCGATTAGTTCCAGAAAATTTTTTTCGAACAGGCATTCGTTGGGTTATCATTCCTGGTGTGATAACACTCAGAAATATAGCAGTGTCGCTGTGATTCTACATTAACGTCCTTGAAAGTATCGGAATAAGTATCAGTAGTTCTTTTGTAGATACCATGTCTACACTAATCAGCCGTTTTCGTCGTCTCCCACACATCCGACTCATCCTCTCTCCGTTTGCTCAGATCGTCATCGGTGCTCATCGGATCGATAAGAAACCTTGGTGGTCCGATTCCCCCGCCTGGTACATTCCTAGGACGTGAATCGCCTAATTCATGTTGCTCAACGTGTACAAAGACTTCTGGGCGCGTAGTCGTACCCGTCCCTTTCCTTCGACTTGAGCTATTTACACCTGTCGTAGAGACCAGGCCAGACTGGGAGTGAGATCCGGGAGTGGAATTTGAAAATGCCCATCCCGTGCGAGAGTTGAGCGAGCTCATGAGGGTGTTGGTGTATAGTTTTGCAAGTGCAAAGTTGAACATCAGATGCCTATATGACAGAGGATCAACGCAAGAGAGACCAGATACTAGAATCACTTACAAGCCTGATGAATTCACGAGGAAGAGAATCAAATCCAGGATGGCAATCACACTCGTGATCAATCCCGTCTGGACCGTCGCCCTTATAATCCTGTCGACAAGTTCATCTGAGCCTTGGAAGCCCGTCTTGTGCCGCTGCAAATACGACACCAACAAGACTGTAATGGTGATGTCGGCGACGCATGACGCTACGAGCCAGATGATAACTACAGACTGGAATTCTTGGAAGTCCGTGAAAGCGGGAATGACGCGGATCTTGGCAGTGGTGGCTACAGCGCCACCGGCGCCTGCGACTGCCAAAGCAGCAACGAGTGTGGCGAGATACCAATTCGAGGTAAGAACTCTTACGCGCCAGGCAAAGAAGAGTTGGACAGTTGCAGAGATGAGACCGGTGAAGATGGGGTCGGTGGCAAAGACTGTGGGAGATGGGAATTATTCTTTTGCTGCTAACTCTCGGAAGTAGAAGGCCTTACGCCACGTTGCATCGGCGAGGTAAGGAACGTCGCCTGAAAACCACATGAGTATTTGCACGGAAAGGTAGAGACGTTAAGACGAACCGAAATGTTTGATGAGTGCGATGTATGTGTCGACCATGAGAAACACTGAGTTTGCTATGTTGGCTGTGAATAAAAAGAGGACCTGACCATACGGCGAATGAGTGTTATGGTCCGAACGACAGAGTGAAGTTACAAGTACGAGAGCTTTCATCCACATCTTATCTCGTCTAAAGTGTACGAACTTAAGAAACCAAGCAAAATGATGTGAGAAGATACGTACTTCTGATATGTCGTCAGATAGATGTAGACCTGAGTCACAATCACGCCCAGCAGGAGCAAGTTGAACATGAGTCCGATGAGCATAGGTCCATGGCTGTAAATAGAGGCTTTTAGCGCATGCAACCAGAGGGATACAGAAGATACGTACGCAACGCCAGCTGCATTTGTCATAGTCAAGGTTGGAGGAGCTGGGAACCAGCGCGTAAAATATCATTACGGTGGTAGCGATGAATATAAGGAAACGGCGAAGATAGGAGCCGTTTCAGAAACTAAGATCGAACCTCCTAAAGCTTAAAAGCGCGGGGCCCACCAAAATTTGTGCCGCCTGGCGCGGACAGCAGCCTCGCCACGGTGATTTTCCGCATCAAATGTAGCCGTGAGATAGTGTGTAAAGGGGGAAATGCTAGGAGGCCATCATGTCCGGAAGTCCGTTCGTAAATAATGTCTGCAAACTTGAAACCAATTTGAGAAAGTCCTGTTCAGGCCAAGCTGCGTGATAAGCAGCGACTTGGTCAGCAGTCGACAATATTTATGATGAACTTCATGCCAACCACGCAATAGAATGAGTTATAGGTGGCCGCTTCAATGTCAGCGAGGCGCAGCCTGCCCCTTCAATTGCCGAGATTCCGAAGGTAGTGTGAAGTTTGAACCGGGGATTCAGAGAGACTAGTGGGATGCAGAAAGTCCTATTCTAATTTCTGTCCGACTATATACCATGTCCTAATTCCACGTACCTTTGTGAACCGGCATCAACTGACTTCAACTTTGTAGTTTAGAGGTAGTAGAATTTTTAGTATGTATCTCAAGCGCTCACAGCTCTCGTTCCTCTGTCACTCGCAGGACCAATTATCAGGCGTATTCACAGCGGCGGACGACCTACTACTAACGTCTTACACGCCCTTTCCGACTCGGCATTTCTCAAATAGAGTGGCTCGTTTGCGTTTACTATGTAGACTCATCGCCGAAATACCAGAGGAAATTATATTTTTTAATGAGCGGAAGGAGCGGATCAAGAAGGAAGCGGAAAGCTGAGGACATGTACCTCCGCTGCGTCTTATGAAGTAGATAGTGTACTTGTGCCAGTGGGCAATCAAATGCTGAGTCCAAAAAAAACTATGTAGATTCGGTTGGTCGCCATATTTTCCATTACAGAGCGACGAGCATCAGAAAGTAGAGCTTGTTCTGATAGCTATCTCGGACCGGGGTGAACGAGAGAAGAAGTTGCTAGACAGGAAGTACATGTCTCCTGGAGGACCACATGACAAGAGCTCGGGAGATGTCACTATCTGAAGAAGGTTGTAGGAGGAGAGCAGATGAAAGCCCTATTTGCGACACTCGGTGGTGCAGGATTAGATGAAGACCGTCTTCTAACATCCCCCGAACTACTTGAAGAAATTGAGAAATGATCGATCCAGTAGACGATAGCGTCCATAGGTCGCCTGGATACTCTTGATAAATCCAACTGTATGATGAATATCGATGAGTTTCGAGCTCCGCGACTGTAGAATGCCGACGGAGAACAACGTGAATACTGCCGGATGGCAAGGAAGAATGAGTGGAAGATTTGACAGTGGAAATGAATCGTTGCCGTATTCAAAAGGTATCACCACTTATTTCTGGTCTCAAAATCTGTTAGATACTTTTGGATGACCAAATATTTGCTTCGTCTGGGATCCCCCAAAGAAGCAGGGTAGGAATATTTTTCTTAGCCAGATTCATGGTGCGCAAGCTTTCGAATTTTCCAGAGTGTGTGCAGAGATATATGACGGGAAGGAATGATGGCAAGGAGCCTTAGCCCACATGAATGTGTTCAGAAGTAGCCCATATGTGCTCAAGCCTTTCCGACGATTAAGTGCAGTGATGGACACTGTAGTTAAAGCAACAGCGGCACACGGGGACCTGTCACTGGCTAGGGCAACCTTCTGTGAACATGAGAATGTACCGGCGAAGTGGGGAACTTGTCTCAGATGCCACATGCTGGAAAAAACTAGTGCCGATGTCTACTATTTTCTCTCAACTGTCAGCTGTCCAGCCGCCCAACTAGCGCTTAAAGATCTCACCCAATTTATTTTGCGTGGACGATAAACGAAGTCATCCGTTGCTCAAATACTCACGCCACAGACGCGTCGAATCACATTAAGGACCAGCGTTTTGCAGGCAATTTCGTGGAACACATGCTGTAAGATGGGTCCCCCCTAGAGTAGTCGCGTGCTTCAGTGTTTCGTGACACTGATGGTACCGTGTGCTTCAGCTACTATGTAAGCCGTGGGCCTCTACTGGCTAATAGTACAGACTGACAGGACCCAGGACCCAGGTAGACGAACACAAAGCCACGTGCATATACTGATTGATCTGACGGACCCCGGGCCGGGTAGATCTTACTCATTATTGACTTCCATCTTGGTCCACTATCCACGAAAATTTAATGACATTCTCTGGCGCGCTAGTAGGTTTTTGTATTTGTCGGCTCGTGAAAAAAATAATACTTATCTTTGCAGACGTTGACAGATCTGAATGATTTTATTGGCCCTTCCCAGACGTGCATAAAGCCTGTCGAACAGACCAATTTTATATCAGGAGCTGAGAAAGATGCAGGCGCTGCTGCTGTCCGACATTCGTTTTCAATGTGATCTTACAATTTCCTCATTGTCTTCAGACAGAAATCCGAGTTGATTCCAGCGGGTCCTATTATGAAGTTTCTGCTGATGGATTATCAAGTCTCCGCAACAACTCCAGTTCAGGGACAAAGTTGGAACAGGCTGAGGTCAATTTGAATGACTGCCTAGCCTGCAGGTGTGCTTTCCTTGCTACTTTTAGATTTTTCTTTCTTTAACTTCACCACCCCAGCGGGTGTATCACATCTGCCGAGTCTGTTCTGATCACACTTCAATCCCACATCGAAGTTCTCAAAGTCCTTGAGTCGAACCCTTCATCAGAATTCTGCGACAGCCGGAAAACACCAGTGATTTCCATTGCTCCTCAATCTCTTGCGTCGCTTGCTGCATCGTTATCAGATTCTTCCTCAACGCATTTGCGAGTATCTCCGCGGCAGGTCTTGCGAAGACTTCGCAGGTTTTGCAAGGATGTTTTAGGCTTTGCCTACGTGTTTGATACGACCTTTGCTAGGCATCTGGCCTTGAGGGAGCATGTGACGGAGTTCGTGGAGCGACAAGAGAAACACCGTAACAAGAACTCCATGGGTGATGGCCACGAAACAGCGGATCGATGCTTGCCGATGCTTGCCAGCGCATGTCCAGGGTGGATCTGTTATGCAGAGAAAGCTCATTCGGAAATGCTTCCTTTCATCGCGCAGACTAAGAGTCCTCAGCAGATCATGGGAACCCTAGTGAAGAATTGGATGGGTAGCAAGTGGGGAAAATTGTGTGTATTCTGTGCTTTTCGTCCTTATCTGATTCTTATTATTTCCAGACCGCACGAAATATACCATGTTTCTGTGATGCCTTGTTATGACAAAAAACTGGAAGCGTCACGTAGTGACTTCTACAATGAGGTATATTCAACGCGGGACGTCGATTGTGTCATTACAACTGGGGAGCTCGAGCTCATTCTGCGAGAGAAAGGCTGGGATCTGTCTAAATCAATTTCTGGAGAACTGGATATGCCCTCAGTTTCCCTGGTGCCAGACCCAAATAATGTCTCGGAAGACACACTCCCCGAGCTGATCAATCACCCAGGCTCGTCCTCCGGATCATATCTCCAGGAGATTATATCTCATGTAGTGAAGACGTCGGAAATGCCTTTGGTCCTCTCAGTCAGACAGATGAGAAACTCCGACTACGAAGAATACATATTACGTACGGAAGCTGTGGATAATACTGGCCAGGTCATATTCAAAGGAGCCAAATGCTACGGGTTCCGAAATTTGCAGAATGTGGTCAGGAAGGTGGGCAAAGAGAAAGGAGTCCACGTAGGGACGGGTGCCACTGGCAGATTGGGGGATGTGGCTACGAGTCGCAGAATCAAGAGAGGTGCTGGAAGCAACGACGCAAAAGAACGGCCATACGATTACGTCGAGGTCATGGCGTGTCCTGGAGGGTGTGTTAATGGCGGCGGACAATTGAAGGCGCCTTCGACGATTATCAAAGACACTGATGATGAAGGCTACACGCGAAGTTGGAGCGATGCCGGGGTCGAGATACAGAACGCCCGGTGGGGTAGCAAGGAATGGACGCGGAAAGTCGAGGAGGTGTACTGGGAAGAGTCATCGCCCTCGGAGGGTACCAATGGGGCTCTAGGGTGGGCGCCCGTGGAAACACGATGTACAGGGCCGGTCGTCAACGTGCCTGACGAGCTTATTAAGAGAGTTTTGTTGGAAGCTAATGACGTTGCGCGGAACTTGTTCCGAACTCAATATCGAGCAATTGAAAACGAGGTTGTTGGTCTGGCAGTCAAGTGGTAGATATTACTGTACTGAGTGCGTAGTGCATTATGAAGATTAGATGACCGTTAAATACTAGGGAATTGAAGTTGAAGTGATACGATATATATGAAAGAACTGATACAGAGAGACTAAATATATTGATCGACTATGAAAGCAATGTAGGAGTACAGAGAGCATGGGAACAGTGGTGCAGTTGAAAGATAGTCGAAGAGATCTAGAATAGACGCTAGACGGACGTGCGGGTATTGCAGTAGGCAAAGCCTATGTACGGGGCCGGGATCCGGGGCCTCTGTACCAGTACTCGCACTGAGTGCAGTAGTCAGCGGTGGTGCGGGTTACGGTCTCTCCGCGGTCGGGACCCAGATACTAGCATCACGTAAGAAACACGGCGACGAAATGTATTCAACACGTACACGGTTACATCCCGAGTCTGAGCAATCATGTCTGGGGTCAGAAGGGTGTCGGATTGAATGAATGCATCGGCTGCTGCCACAATCTATCTTCCGGATCGTCCGGGTCTACGATGAGCATGGATGAGCGCATGCTACAGCATTGGTGCAGCATTGGGAATCGATAATACCTTGATATAGTGGCCGCAACCGTGCTTGGTGCCTTCGCTGGAAAGAGAACGGTCAGCTGACTGGCAATGTTCACGAGCGAAACATACGTTTCGAGGTTGCACATTGCGGTAAATGACGATGAGGACGGTTGGATTAGAGGGCGAAGGATGGGGCGATGGATAGACCTCTTCATCGACGGGACTTTATACGAGACATGCGAGATCCGGTAAGTCCGGCGGAGATCAAATAAATTTAAATTTCAAACTCGCCGACCTGTCACACGCTTTATATTATTCAGACCTTTAATATATTATTTCTATTACTATTTTTTTGCAGTGTGACACTCCTTTTTTGGCAGCTCCTTCCATGGATCCTACCACTCGCTCCAGGACAGGTCTCTTCCTCTCCTACCGCGACTCCCGCGCGTCTTCGACCCGATTCTCTCGTTCTAGAATTACTTTTGACGACAGTTATGATGAGCAGCAGCAGCTCATCAACCACGATACAGTCGACATAGATCTACCTCCGAAATGGTCTCTTCCTGTATTCGCCATTGCCTCCGGATACTAATCTGCTTCTTAGGGTGGACATCTCCGAACAAGTGCAGCTAATTCTTGCCGACACTCAGGCGAAAAGTAAGCCCTACTTGTTACAGCTACTGGTCTATTCTCAGTATGGTGCTGTGTGCGGACAGTTACTGCTGTCGAAAAGTTACACGCGAAACACGTACTCCCCGGATTCACGGACCGGTCCCACGAAGAGCAAGAAATCGATGCTGCCACGACGGATATAACCAAGGTCAGCTTTGCTGTCACTTCTAGTTATCCTATCTTTCTAAAATGGTCACCTTGCAAGAACTTTCGACAATGTCAGTCCCTAATTCAACGCATTGGCGCCATCTCAGTACCCCATACATTCCCCCCATCACAAACTGAGGCCCAGGCCTTAGAATATGAAGTCCAGGCAGCTAAGAATGTCCAGCGTGGCCTTGCTGCAAAGGTACAAGAATTGAGCGCCACATTCCGAAAGAAACAGCGTGTATACATGGAAAGTTAGTCCCGTTTCCGTCTTACCCTCTCCTTGCCGCGTTTTTCTCTTCTGCCATCAATCCATCGCTTCCCCGTGTTCCGACTTTATCTGTGTGTTCATCGCAGTCTGCTTGATCGATTCAATCACACGACCCTTGTGGAGTTGTCTTTGCAGCGTTTCCTTGTACTGATCGTTTTCTTCGCAGAACTGCAAGGTCATGCGATCAAAAACCAGGATCTCCTGATCGCGTCAGGAACCATATCACTCAAAGGTTCTGAGGGTTTGAGTGCTGTCGATGATGATGTCGAAGCTGCCGTAAGTTTTCATTTCTCTTCACCGCGAGTTCATTCTCATTGTTTTACTTCGATCTCGCGTACGTTCTCTATCCTCCGATGTCATTCCTTTCCAATGTCCATTTTTTCTGTTGCGTTCTTACTGATCTCCCGATATTCATGAATGAATGAACCAACCTCTTTGTCCTGTCTCACTTCCGACCTCCCTCCGCTATAAACATCACATGAAACTTGTCCCTTTTGTCATACACCAACTGACGTTGTACAATCACATTGCATCCTCGTGGGTAACGGACAATTTTGGCCTTGTACCTTGGTTGGTTGATTATCCATCGCCATCGACACTTTTCTCCACATTAATCCGGCACTCTGGTCTTAAAAACAACGTTGCCCGCTTGCATTCCTTTACGACCCTGGTTCTCCTTTGCTCCGGCCGTGATTAACGCCTGACATTATCGCTAATAGACCCACACGCGATCGCAGTCTCTTTCCTTGACCCAAGTTAATCCTAGCGTCGACCTCCAGACCCGTGATCGGGAGCTGACTGAAATCGCGAATTCCATCGCGTCTCTGGCGGAGCTGTTCAAAGACCTTTCTGTGTTGGTGATTGACCAGGGGACGATACTCGACAGTGTGGAGTACAACATCGAGCAGACTGCCGCTCATGTGAGTGAAGCAGTTCAGGAGTTGAACACCGCGACACGGTATTTATTTTATTTTCGTGTGCTTCACCGATTATCGCTCATGTCTTTCGGCTGACAGATACCAGAAAAGTACAGGTCGACGAAAATGCATATTTCTTCTTTTACTCATCATTTTTGGGCTCATCATTGTTATCATTTTCAAACCTAAGCGACATCTGTTATCACCACCTACCCCTTCGGAACCAATACCTTCATTACCCGGTGTAGATTTTCTGTCGGAGAAATCAGCAGAACGTTCACTGCCGGATAGCAGGTTTTTGCGGCTGTCTAGGATACATCGATGGACAAATACATAGGCCTGGACGCGGAATAATACTCTGTATTTGTACATTTCTTTGTCACGCGCAAGAGCTAGGAGACGAAAGAGACGCGGGTGTAGATAAGCTCTCAAGGAACTCTCTCAGTCTGATCCGTATCGATACCGCGCACGTTCAGCTGATTCGTTATTTGACGCCAATTTCTAGTAATAGTAAATACAAGCCAGAGGGGGGCGTGACAATTGCCAGGGACTCTAATATGGAAAAACTGTAGCCCCATGAAACTTGACATGCTTGACAACGGTCGCAATGTCCGGGTCGAGGTCTGCTCTAAGTCCGGCAATTATAGGTAGTAACATACGTCATTCTAGTGATCGTGATCGTGTTCCCAACGTGTTCCAATCAGCAAACGCAAACTGGAAAATGTGCATACCTTTGCGCCCACAGCATGAGGATCAAATAGAGGCCTCGGGATTGAAAGGGATTGAAATTCTAGTTTCTTTGGATGGAAGGCTTCCAAAGTGGGGCGAGCTAGTGAAGAACAACACAACTTGATAGATGATAAAAAACAAGGCCGGCGCAGCTGTGTGCGTACATGGTCACGAAGGGTTCGACAAAGAACCACGAGGTTGTTCATATCGCTTATCAGGATCCTTGCTCACCGGTACGAAGTGGAGCTCGGACTGAGGACTTGAAATTCGGGATGACTACATTGATTGTTGGGGGTAACTCCTAGCAATAGGTAGGTACGTCGCCTGGACCACGGGGCTTGCCTCGAGGATATTGGCATGGCAAAGTCTTTGTCTAGATTTGCGGGACTATAGATAACCGTAAAGCTGAAGGCATACGCATAAAGCTGAACAAGTACCGGATGTCTAATGCTGCAGGCACAGCAGTGAAGGGACCATAAAAGAATTTCCGTTATGGGTATCGGAGTGATGAATGGTACAAGCTGTCCGACAAACGTGGCTGATGCTCATCTCTAACGACATACATCACACAAATGACAGTAAAATACACAACGAGCGCTTACACAAATCAAAGACGAGCGGGATCCAAGGTTTGATTCGCCGCCACAGCTGATACGTAATTCCCAAGCTTTATTTATTTAAAACGTAGCCGAATGAGTACATTGATAATGAATGGGTACGAAACTTGAAAATCGAGTAAAGAGTTACGAAAGGAAACACAGCACAAGGTTGGATGCATGAGGCCGGGAATACGCCCAAACTGCTTTGACCGTTCCTCCATTCCAGGCAGTCAAATCGTTGCTCAGCCGAGCAGCCACTGCTGGACAATAGAACAGACAAAAATGGCTCCGATTTCCTCGATGCTAGTACATAGAAGAACTTCGCACAGAAAGAATCGTGGGTAGTAGAAGGAGAGAGGTTTCCTAATGTGTCCTGTCGTTAAGGAGCAGCTCGGTTCCTAGGTATTCCTCTGGTAGGCTACCGTAATTGCTCGCAAATTCCCCTCCAGCTCACTGGTAAGGGTCAGGCAACAGGCAGGATGAATCCTTTACGGTCACCAGCACGCTCAGGATACGATCCAGTCAACTTGAACCATCCCGTCGACTCCCATATCAGGGGTGATAGCAACGACCTCGATAGTGTCCAAAACGTTTTTCTCTCCGCTACCTCATCGTCCATGTACCCCCCTGGCCCCCAACAACACCGGGGGGCATCCCTTTCTCAATCATCGCTGCCCCTCGGTGCTGGCGCGCCAAAACGTGTGCATATTGTGGACGATTCCTTAGACGCCAACGCCAGATCCCGGAGTTACGATGCTGAGCGCGGTGGCTTCCCCAGTCCTTCAATGTCAGAGCCCGTTAAACCTTCGGCGCACAGCCGAGGATCCAGCTGGGATATTCTGAATGGCATCAGGAAGTTTGAGCATTCCTACGAGGAGTTCGACTCGAGAAATGCCAGCCAGAGCCACCTGGTTTATGCGGAAGGGGATATACCCAATAACAAGGTGCGTAACCGCATATACGTGCTGCATTTATATTCTAACGGGAAGAGAATCTAGGTGTCTAGACTGTACAATTATCTTCTGAACGTATCAATCGTTACTAGGTGGATCTTGTTCATTCTACCAGTCATGACTATACTTTGGATCCCGGGTATACTTCAGTTCACTACCTTCCCCAATGCCTCGGTAAGTTCTCCTTCTTCGTTTGGCCTTGAGACTATAGCATCTATCATAGGTCTGGGGCGTCAAACTGCTCTGGTGGAGTATATGGCTTAGTGTCGTGTGGGGTGGCTGGTGGGTCGCTTTGGCCGGTTCACGTCTATTGCCACCCATCATTCGCGCGACCGTTGGCGCAGTAGCCGTGGCTGCGCGAAGATACATCGATTGGGCTTCGGCCTTGCATCGATACGTCGCCCTGTTTGCTTGGTCACTCGCCAATTGGATCACTTGGAATCCCGTTATCGACAGTCGTCAGAGTTCAGATGCGACCGAGAAATCTGTCAATATTATCAACCTTATTGGCAAATTGTTATTCGGAATATACCTTTGTGCAGCGGTGCTGCTAGCCGAGAAGTTTGCCATCCAATGGATTGCTGGTAAATTCCATGAACGGTCTTACGCTGGTCAGTTGCCATGATTTTTGACTTGTAGGTCCATCTTATCCGGTGTTCCCTCGTAACAGAGCGTATTGCCGGCCAAAAATTCGCTGTCAGGTCTCTCGTTACTCTATACCGACATTCCTCAGACATACCCGGCCGTTCTGATACCCTGAAGGAGGGTGCTTCTAAAGGTATTGCGGCTCCGAAGAAATTTTTGAAACGCGCGATGAAAGGAGTGCGGGCCGCCGCAACCACGACAACATCGGCTTTCGGAAATGTTGCAGTGCGTGTCTTTCTCCAACATTGACTGTCAGAGTATACTGATAGTTTCTCCTTCAGTCCGAGATTGCTGGCAGGTAGAGCGAGCTCTCCGTCTGGACTCGAGATTGGTCAGTCGGCTAATATGCCTTGACAGTTCAGTGCTTCAGCCCAATTCTCCTCAAGCAATGGTCAAAACTGCTCTGGAATCAGCCAACAAGTCCCGTTTGGTATGTCAAGATAGGATGTTACCCAGAGTAGAGATAATCTCCTCAAATGTATGATATTAGCTCGCCCGCCGGCTCTTCTACTCCTTTGTCAAGCCTGGTGCCGATTGGCTCATCGTTGAAGATATTGCGCAATTTTTCCCAACCCAAGACGAGGCCGATCAAGTGTTTGCACTTTTTGACAAAGATTCAAATGGCGATGCATCTAGGGACGAGGTTGAACTGGCCTGCTTGTCAGTGTTCTTCTTGCTTCGAGCCATTGTGACCCTGACAGGTGATAAGGGACTTTCATCGAGAACAACTGTCCATCGAGCATTCAATGCAGGATCTGGACAGTGCCGTTGGACGTCTAGATAACATCTTGATGTCTCTTTATGTCGTTGCCGCAGGTTTGATCATTGCGATTTGTTTGGTATATGTCCATTCTCTGTTCTCGTGATCCTGAGCTTCTCACTTTCGTACAGGAAGCGCAGTTGACAACCTTGGTTACTGGCGCTGGAACCTTTATCCTCGGTCAGTTCTTTTTGCCGCTTTGTCAAATCATTCGTAACCAATAGGCTTTTAGGATTGAGTTGGTTAATTGGAACAAGTCTGTCTGAAGTTCTCACCAGTATCATCTTCCTCTTTATTCGTCATCCCTTCGATGTCGGAGATCGGGTGGATTTGGCGAAGGTGTCCTATACCGTGAAGGAGATCCGTCTCTTGAGTACGATATTTTTGGACTCAAACGGAGTATATGTTCAGGCACCTAACAGCGTACTAAACACTTTGGTACGTTCTAACGGTTTCAAATTCGTATCTTTTTTCACCCTTTTGTAGTTCATCCAAAATATCCGGCGTAGTCCGCAAGTAAGTCATTCTGATTTCACAATACAGAAGTAGATGTGTATGGAAATCGAATCGTCATTAGATGAGCGAGACGTTCACGTTTGACGTTAGCTATGCAACTTCATTCGAAGATTTGGAACGACTTCGAGACAAAATGCTTGCCTTTGTCACAGAAGAAAGGCGTGATTATCAACCGATCTTTGATGTAGCGGTCGTTGGTAAGAAATTTGCGATACTTTTATGAAGATAAGAATTTACTCGGTTACTAGATTTTCCTGATCAAGAAAAGATGACGCTTTCGGCTGAAATTAAATACAAGAGCAACGGCCAGCAGGGTAGTTTGAAAGGTCAATAAGCTCCTTTGACACACAGTTGATGGAACTTAAATATTTTCCATTGTAGCCAAACGCAGAAACAAGTGGATCTGTGCATTGAAGTCGGTCCTGGCAGACCTGCACATCTATGGCTCAGCAGGCAACCCGGATGAAGGGCCTGTGATCAATCGTTACACGAAGGTTCCTTGGGAGAAAGTTGAAGCTGATGATAGGAAAAAGACTGCGGAGAAGCCTTCTGTGTCTGCTGAACCCGTTGGGGGTTGGCATTTGTCGGACTCGAACATAATAGGTCGGTCTTCTTCTTACAGCGTCACTTTATGTTGATATCTCTGGATTTGCTAGTTGGAGGTGCTGAAGACGACGTCTTTGGAGAAGCCGATGAGCTTCATATGACGAGTCCTCGCCTCATCTCTGACGATTCGGGACTGCCAAACGCATCCCCGGCTTTTCGTATTCGAAGCGCGATGACCATGCCGGTTTCCGATTCATCTGGTTCTGCCCTGAATACTGCAGGAGTAGATTTTATTGAAATGAAGCCGCGCCCGTGAGGTTGAGCTGGAATTGACCAAACACTTTCGAAATGGTGATGTAGTTGGACAATGCTAAATATCTTTTTGACTGCGATCTATATACAGCAGGAACCATCTTGAATTTTACGAAATAACGACGGACATACATATAGATTACAAACAAACAATAGCAGTCCAGACTACACAGTCCATCCATTTGATTGCTGTTCAGGACTTGACCAACCACCAGATCCACCCCATGCACTTGTAGCGCCACCTGAAGTTGGGCTAGCACCTCCCCATGCACTTGCTCCTCCAGTGCGGGAGGGACTGGAACTGCCACCCCATCCACTCGAGTCACCCCACCCGCCACCGGCACCACCATTACTTCCCCAAGCATCAGCTGCTTGAGTGGGAGCTGCAAGTTGCTGGTCTTGGCCATTAATCATGTCAACTTCTGTATCATGCTTGAGGCCTAAAATAAGGTTGGCCAACTTTGTTTGCAGTTCTTTGAGGCCCTGAGAGACGAAACATAAAAAAAGCAGTATGGGGTGAGATTGATGATGTAGAAACCTTCATAACCACTTCTTGAGGACCTAAACTCCCATCCGTCTCCACTTGGAAGTAGAATTTTTTAGGTTTTGCGTTAAAATCAAAAACTTCGTCATCACGTGGTGGGTCTTCTTCACGCGCATTGTCGCCAACTGGCCATTCAGCTCTTTCATCTACTTCAAACCAATGTGTTGTATGTCGGAGTTTGTTATAAGGATCGTATTCAAATGAGACTGCAGAACAAGGCGACCATTTGGCATGTTCTTTGGCGATACCCTTATCGGAAGGTCAGTAGCTGCGAGGGCAAAGGATGGACAAGTGATAGCAAGTGACCTTTTTTGCAATGCATCTCATCTTCAGCGCCTGCCCCTTCCGTATTTTACAAATAAGCACTGGAGGCACTCCGGGTCTATCTGGAAGAGAATGACAAGGTCTACTCTCAAAGATCAGAGTGCAGGACAGCTTACTTTTCCCAACAGGGTGGCCGAAGTCGGCAGTCCTCTTTGTAAGCTCATCACCGGCGTCTGTGGCATAAATATCGGTGGGTGTGGCCACGACGTCGAGATGATTGCTTGTTATGTCCATGGTGATAGCCTCATTGCAGGACACGTCCAAGATTAGTTGGACAGAACAATATGAACAAAATGACATGCAGGTACAATCCTGGAACGAGATTAAGCTGCTGTCAAGCAGTCAAATATCTGGGTGCGCGCACCCTGTTGTACTTCATGGCCTCATCGCAATTAGTACTGACCAAGGGCACCATTCCGAGCCTGTGAGCAATGAACTCGTCGGGTAGAACTGATGTATTAGCTTCCACTTCGACCATGTCAATTGCTATTTCAGAATAAGCAAGAATTCATCAGGCGAGCAACTCTATCCTCACCAATGGTAGGAATGTCCGCCATCATGACCCTCCGGAGAGAATTGGCAAAACTAACATCAGGGCCAAATTAGACACGGGAATACGCGCATGAAAATGCGGCGCACGCAAGGTCTACATTCTCAAGAACAAAGTCTGCCCTGTCTTTTTTGAGGTCGCGGATACGGACAGTGGGCTCGGGGTCGTCCTGGCTCTGCATGGTGGTTCAAAAGTAACGTGCCGAGGCGGAGTCCTCGAGATGTAACAGGGCCAAATAACAGACCACTCATCTTTTTCCGAGTGAAGTTATTATTTATTATATATTTACTGTAATCCATCATCAACGCAAACGATGAAATTCAGGCCTCGAGCTCTGGTATCATCCTTGGACGGCTCAATGTCCAACAAGTTGCCCTTGGGTGACTGAAAAACACATCCTTCGCTCGTTCTTTACAGACAGAACGTTATCTTTATACAGTGGAGTAGCTCGCAACTCAAATGATGTACTTGCGGACGAGAGCGCCTGTCAGATATGCCGATTTCCAGCCATTGGGCCTTCTGGCGCCCCGCATGGAAGCATGATTTTGGGAGACCCTGGGGGGTAAGGCACGTCAGCTGTGGACTTGACGGTCAATCTTCAGATTGTGCATTGCATCTGTGGAATATAATCTAGTGGATTGCCTGCGTGTTTTCTAACCTTGTTGACATAAGGAAGAACTTGTGTCAAACATCTTCGTGCGCTAGTTCGGGCGTAACATCATATTCCAGGTACTACTTACTAGTCTTCAATATTCAATGCCCGTCTAGCACCGCGCGTAGCAGCTAAACCTTTTCTGCATTTTAGACCCATAAAGCCGGGCAACTCTACAAATCGACTCCCAGTCGAGTGTAAAGCGTTCGAGACGGTGTCAATGCGAGCGAGTGCTACTTGAATGGCCGGACAAATTTGCCTTTGCTCGAGCAAGATAAAGATAGCGTTCACGGAGGTCCCTGGCAAGTTTCGAACGGTAAAAGGATCGATCGTGTGCTCTAAATGTCCAAATGTCCAAATGTCCAAAACGCACCCATGATTTGTCAAGAAAACATCAAAACGGTTGATGGGACCCATAATCCGTTTAAAACGCTTCGGCGCAACACAAAAACCGCGGGAACATCGCAGTCCTCGGAGATGTCGACCTATTCTCACCAATATATCACTTGAGTTGGCATGCTCAGGAATGCTAGGTTGAGGTCTTGGTCTTGTTATAAAAGTTACACCATCTCCCCCGTCCTTTCCGTTATCCTCGACTACTGTGTCCGTCACCACCATGTCTTGGCCTAAGCGTTCCCTTGCCGAGGGTGAGTACTTACTTTTCGACCCCGCGTATAGCGCTGATATTCCCTTAGTTGAAGCAATTCTATGTGGCCCCGGAAGTCCCCACGAGATCGAGACCCGTTTGGTCGACGGCAGACTCCAGCGCGTCTACAAGCATCTAGCACCCTCACTGCGGGCTTTCTGGTTATCCTCGGTCGAAAAATATCACAACGACACCTATGTTGTGTTCGAAGCAGAGCGGCTCTCTTATGGACAAGTCCACGAGTACGCCATGAAGGCTGCAGGTGTGTACTATACCGCATATGGCATCCGAAAAGGTTGGTAGTACCATACCACAGTCATTAGCCCTGCAGACGTCCTGAATGCTCTTTCCACAGGCGATCGGATCTGTATCTGTTCTCGAAACTGCCCGGAATTTACAGTCAACTGGTGGGCTTGCCGTGCGTCCTTTAGCACTACCACGTTGGGAACGCACTTATCCTTTTACTCAGACCTCCTTGGTGCGGTCCCGGTGCTGGTAAACGCGTAAGGATGCATCCCATTGTCACTTCATATAGTTTTACTTATTTTCTGTCTAGGTGGCTTCCACTGGAACCTCTCAAGTACTGCATCTTACATACGCAGTGCAGACTTATTCTCATCGACTCAGAGCGCGCTGCTATCCTGGAGCCGGTCCTTACAGCTATGTGTTCTGAGATCGGTGTTACAGCTGTTTTGGTACTGGACCCATCATGCGATACCTGCCTTCGAAAAAGAATGGAGCGCTACCACGACGTCGTCATTAACTTTGTCGGTCATTGGAGGAATGTCCTGGATGACAGATATCCAACCATTCGCCCCGAAGATAACGCTACCATCATGTTTACATCAGGTAACATCATCTCGCTTCTTAAATTCCTTTTTCTGACTTCGTTGTCCACAGGTACGACCGGCCTTCCCAAGGGCGTGTTAAGCACCCAACGCCAGTTTCTAACAAACTCCCTCAATGTACGCGTCCAATTCGCCTATCTAACAGTTGTTTATCTTAACACTTCCAGACGGTGGTTGCAAATCGACGAGCTGCCTTACGACGAGGCGAGAACCTCAATTCAACACCTTCCGGCCCGCAAAAGGGTGCGCTGATCGCTGTACCGCTCTTCCATGTCACAGGAACAACCAGTTATACCGTTAGCACTTCGTCGTTCTCCCTTTGTGTTTGCTGCTCAGTTTTTTTTTACCCCAGATGATGGCGACAATGTTGGGAATGAAGATTGTTCTAATGCGAAAGTGGATAGTTGAAGAAGGTGAGCGGAACCCTTGACGTGCCTATCTGGTCCCACTGATAGTTCTTCAGCTGCCAAGTGAAAACTCCATCTTATGACATTAGTGACGTTTTTCTCACGCGATCTAGCTTAATACGCCGCGAGAATGTTTGTGTCGCGGGAGGGTAAGTGATGTCCTGCGTTCTTGGTCGCCGGCTACTAACCATGTTGATGCAGTGTTCCGGCTATGGTGTCCGATCTCGTTGATAGCTCCCTCGCGGGATACAATCTAGAGGGACTATTTTTCGGTGGTTCCCCTGCTCCGGAAATTCTAACAGACCGTGCGAGACAGGTCTTCCCTGCCGCCCAAATGTATGGACAGTTCGAACGCACGAGAACACGTACTAACAGATATATACAGGAGCCAAGGATACGGTCTAACAGAAACCAATTCAATATCTGTCGGTGTGAGTTGTTGCCATTCGTTAACCACCGGCATTCAATTTATGTAAATGTGGTCGACAGAATGCTGGTGAAGACTACGTGACGCGACCAAGTAGCACGTAAGTCTTGGTCAGTTGAACATTCTGAATTGCACTAACGTTTTAACTTACACAGAGGTCGAGCATGTCCGGTCAATGACATTGTTATCATCAACGAAGCTGGGGTGTGCGTGCCTCCCGGTCAAGTCGGTGAAATCTGGATGTCAGTGAATATTATTCCATTATGGAGTCATTCTGGCCTGAACAGGACATCAATTTAGCCGCGGTCCGAATGTTATGAAAGAATATTGGCATGATCCAGGTTCGTCAGTTCATGTTGGTCAGGAGCATAATCTTTGACGTTCAAACAGAAGCAACCAGTAAAATATTGACGTCGGATGGATGGCTCAAGTCTGGCGACATTGGGTCAATTGACGAAGAAGGCTTTTTATATGTCAAAGATCGGAGTAAGTAGATTTCGACGACCAGCCCAGAGACATTCTTACACACCTTGATAGTCAAAGACGTTATCATTCGGGGCGGAGAGACCATTGTGCTGTGACTTTCTTTATTCCCTTATTCTGTTCAAACTCATTCTTTCCCGTAGTCCTCAGTGTCGATAGAAAACGCGGTCTATACTGATCCTCGGATTTTAGAGGTGGCGGCAGTCGGTGTTCCTGACAAGCGCTTGGGGGAGCTGGTGGTGGTTGTCGTTTCTATCAAGGCACCATATCGGGGACAAGTAACCGAAGCATCACTGATGTCAGTGGCCCAGAAAAAGTGAGACTTGATTCCACCTAGATTTTGATGTACGCTTACTGCTGTTCAACCAGCTTACCGAGATATGCAATCCCCGTTATGATTGTCCTTCGTGACGAACCGTTTGGTAAATAATTTTTTGCTGATGTCTGCTTTGCCGCCGAATTCTGACACCCTATAGAACTTACTCCGTCGGGTAAAATCATGAAGGGTGAACTGCGAAAGCTCGCTCGCTGGCACTGGGAGAAGCGTTGTGCGAATGCTCAACCAACTGCGAATCTATAGCAAGTTCTTGATTTTTATCTTCTTGATTTTTTTAATCTTCGGGGGATATCTATTGAAATGGGTATATAATCATGCAATAATAACACCAGGAGTCAAATCTTACGCAAATGCGATATGTTGGATAGCTATCGCAAATGGGGACGAGAAAGACACGGTAGCAGAATGTTCCGGTGCCAGCGCCCCGTGCATGCCAGCGGAAGATGCGTCAAACAACAATCGCAAGAGATATTTCGAAGGGAAGGGAGGGAGGGGGGGGGATAATGGAGGGCAAATGAGACGCCCGAGTTCAATTTATACCGAAAACATGCTTTTGAAGGAATGAAGACGACCCAAGTCCTCGGATTTTTTCTATGATACATTGAAAAGATCAGAAAGATAACCGAAACGCGGAGACGAAATTGAGTTGTCAAAGATGTCAGGGCTGGCAAAGGACGAACCCTAACTTAAATATGACACAGGCTCGCCTTCAACAAACTTGAATGCGGCGTGCGCAGGAAACATAGGGGTCGATACTCCAAAACAGGCAGTTCAAATTTTGCTTCAAGCATCCATCAGGTATTTCTCTTATGTCTCGCCACCATGGACGACGAAGGATATGTCGAAGACACCGACAACGACAATCACAACTCTCCACTCTACCTCGACCAGTTTCGTCACCATCTATCCCAACTACAAGCACATATAAATGGCTGTGAGCCGTTGCAACCAAATTATATCTCGCCGACAGGATATTGGACACCCTCGGAGAAGGATGTTTTCTTCCATGCATTGTCTGTATACTCTACACTACGGCCGGATCTCATTGCGGCACGTCTCTCACACAAATCTGTTGTCGATGTATGCGCATATATCGACCTCCTTGCCGCGGCGTCCACGAAGGACCAAAATCGCTTGTTACGACGCGATCTTAACATTTCTATGGAAGTCTCGGAGGACTGGATTCATCTGGAAGAGGTAGAGGGAGCACTGTTGAGCATGCATGAAGGGTCATGGGATACTGCGACGCAACGCAGGGCGAACCGGGAATTCCTGCATCAAGAGGAGACACCGTTATTTGGTATCAATTCAGACCAACGCCACCCTTTATGCGACGAGTTCGACTCTTGGAAGCGCTCACAGGAGGCTTTCTGGGCCAGACTGGATGCCCTGAAATGCATGACCCCCAAGCAGTTGACTGTCCTGGACAGCATTCTTAGAGACGATGACACCCAACTTTCTGTCACGACGGAACCAGTAGGAGACACGATTTCTCTGCAACAGATTAAACCTGTTCAAACAGAGCCTTCCACACCGCCTGGGATGCCTGTAGCTGTCGTGGGCACGAGTCACACGAATGATCTTACTATTGACCCCATTCTAATTGCACAATCTGCGACCATGATGGCCAATAACGTTGCAGGGCAGTCGCCTACAACAATTGCGTTGTCATCATTTACCCCACCGCCCCCCTCGCTGGAATCACCCTCGCCTTCTGTTGAACCTACTCCAGACCTATCTCAGCTCTCACCGAAATCTCGACGGCAGCACCAGAAACGTCTGTACATGAGACGGAAGCGGGCCGAGGTGCACGGGGGAGATGTGGTCCATAACATTGGGAAGCTTCGTCCTGGCCGAAAGCAAAAGCCAATACCCCCGAAGAAGCGAAAGAAAAGAGCTGCGGAGGAGAAGCTGAGTAACGAGTATATTCAATCTGGGGAAGAAACTTGCCATGATGAAGCACAAGGGCAACTGAGCAATAAAGATCATGTGAAGCCCATGCAAGGAAGAGATGGTCCATGCGTCCCTAGCATTCAGACATCGGGAAACACGAGAGGTGTGGAGCAACAAGGTGATGTAGAAGCTGAAATCAGAGTCGCGGAGACCGACTTTCACCATCGTCGTGCTTCAGGGAAAACGGAAACGGCAAAGTTCAAGCAGCTTCTTGACGAACGTGGTGTAAATGCTGCTTTTCTCCGTCAGGTTGATCTAGGCCTCCTGAACGTCTCTCCGCTAGGCAGGCTCATGAAGTACGTTTCTTCGGACACCGAAGCTCCTAGCGCGTGCTGATGTTTTATTCTAAGGATGTACAAGTCTGCGTATGAAGGTCCAACAGATCACCCCACAGTAAACACGACTATAGCAGCTGATACGTTTCGCCTGTTGCATGCGATCATCGTGGATTTTACGACCGATGTCATCCATCGGTCTATTGTCTACCGAGAACAAGATAATCTTCTCAAAGCCAATAAGAAAGTATGGAAGGGCGATAAACACGTTGGTTTTCTCATGCCGCATCATATGTGTATATGAGGTTAATGCGCCTGTCACTAGGATGTTTTGCCTCAGCACATCAAATATGCATTACATATGATGGGGATGCCATATTTATTGAACTTGGAGCCCTCTTCCGAAGGCGATGAGGATGCGATTGACGCGGGGAAGGACAAAAACGAGCTGACCACTGAATCAGAGTCGTTATCCAATGAAGCTGGCAAGAAGGCTGTGGAAGAGGACGACGAGGAAGAAGATTCGGTTGGCGATTCGGAAGGATCAATTGGATGGGACGAACAAGAGGATTCCATGACTTTACGTTTGTATCACGAAATGAATCCAGCAGTCATTCGTTTACCGTCACACTTGGATTCATCTTCGGAGGATATACTTATGTCGTCTGACACGGACGAAGAGCTGTTAATGGAAGAGCTGGAAGAGGAATTTGATCTAGACGAGCAGGATGCACTGTTAGAACACAGGTACGAGCAGGATCTATGGGATATGGGTTTTCAGCCAATAGGATAAGGGTAGTGCAGAAGAGTAAATCTTGGTTTATAATTTTACCCTACAAGTCAATTATAGCATTACTGTATTATTATGCGCAGAATATTTAGCCTATGGCGAGCCAGGACCAAGTCGTTTGAGACTGAGAGTGAAATAAAAATGGATACGTAGGTATACATCTGTACAATTGCTTGACAACGATTGAACTGCGACGCTGCCATAATAGATGACCTCTCTCGACAACAATATCTAGTAGCAAAAAAGACTCATAATTTCGCCTTTTCTGTTTCATCCTTGACCCTAACGATCGCTTTCCCCCACGTCTTCCTGTTCTCCAGCGCAGCAAGTCCGTCCCTGATGGTTTCTAGTGTGTATACTTCAGTGTAATTGACGGGACTGACACGACCAGAAGAGAGTAAACTTGACAAGCGTCAGTGAAGGAAGTTGACCAGTAGGTGTTCACTCACTCTAAAACAGCCTTCCAAACCGTAGGAATGTGACCGGGCTCTTGTGCTGTACATGATTCAACCGTGAGGATAAAACAATGTAAACGGCGGCAACGCACTCGTATAGGCACCCCAATGTGTTCCCACGATGGACACGTTCTTAAGGAGGACAAGATTCATAGGGATCTTTGACGATATATCAAGCAAAATATTATACAGCAAGAAATAGAAATAGCAAGCCTTTTCAATGGTACCGGCAGCGAAACCAATAATCAGTGCTCTCCCTTTCCATGCTATGCATTTCAAAGAGTCTAAGGGAGGATTCAGCCACCAGAAGACACGTTTTAGTGAATGGACCCAGCCTTTGATCAGTCCGACTGGATCGTAAATAACATCAGCGCCGTGCCCGTTCGTCATCTTGAGGACTTCCTTGGGCCAGTTCGGATCCGTGTAGTTGACAGTATAATCAGCTCCACCGTACTGCTTTGCAATGTCAAGCTTTTCCTGAGAACCGGCTGCAGCAATGACATTGGCACCAAGGACTGCATAAGCTTCAGCAGGATTGCCATCCGAGGTAATAGAGGTATTGGGCACCTTTCGCGAGCTGCACGGCAACGATCCCTACACCCCCTGCGGCCGCAGTGACGAGAACCCATTCACCTGAAAATGCAGAGTATAATGTCACCAACCCGGGTAAACGCCAGATGATGAGCTCACCGGCTTTTAACTGCGCTCTACCCACCAGTGCCTCGTAGCTAGTAGGCCACGTAACATAGAGACCTGGAAAACTGGTTGAAGGGTACACTTGGGAAAGGACTGATAAACAGTACCTGCACCTTGCTCGTAGGATAATGCATCCGGCAGCGGTAAGATGTCCTTCCAAGATACAGGCGCCTAGACGCACCACTTGGTCACGCCGACAGAGCAAAATATATTTGAAGAAGCACACCTTGTCCGCAAAAGCGCCTTGTGTCGCGCCGAAAACGCGGTCTCCAGGTCTATACGGACATCCCTTTGGAATTGGCGAGTCCTTTGCAATCCTCCCAGCAAACTCGGCACCAGCTACGAATGGCAGTGGGGGTTTACGCTGGTACTTTCCTTGCATTTGCAAGATCTGGAAATCCATTGAGATTCATCCGTAACAGAAAGAGCACCCAGACTTTACGTCGAAAAAATTGAGGCCAGCGCTGTACACATCGACAAGTACCTCGTTCTTCTTGAGGGTTGGCTCTGGTACATCAACAGAGGGCGGAATCTTGGACGGATGAGAAAGTTGACTGACGAGGACACCTCGCATGGTGGGCAAACAGAAAGGATATGGTCACAAGCATAATCCCTTGTTATCATCATAGAAGACGCAAAGCGGGGTATGTCATCATCTACTCGGTATTCGTAATAACCGACGTTCGGAAACAAGGGAAAAGAGTAACAGCCGTCGCAGGGAAGAGAAAGCGTCGATAGAAAGCGTTACATTGAACAATGCGAGTGTGTATATACAATGGGATGAATGAGCTACAGGATGGTGAGTAATAATATCTGCTTTTATTTTTTTCGTCGTGTTTAAACATTATACAAATCCGAATCCTTCGCCTCCTTCACTGATTGCCAGTAGCACTTGTTGTCGAAGCATCTCGTACGATGAGTACTGAGGAAGATCAATCTGGTTAAAGCCTATCGTCGAGTAAAATTAGAGCTCTGGATGCAAACAACTCAAACAGCGAGCTTACACGTGTGCGCCTGCGGCAGCCGGTCTGATTCCCCGTATGCACGATGGATCGAGAACTTTTGAACCCCTTGCACCCCTTGGAGATCGTTGAACCCGTTGAGTGGAACTCTTGATGTCCCGGTTGCAAAGCTGAGGACCTTGGCGCGCTCGTCCCGGTTGAACGACTTAAGAGCTCGCCACCACCAAACAATATTAGGATCGGAGCTTGTGTATCCATTGTATTCCGTCGCAGCTCTCCATTCATCAACATCGATGTCAGGAGTTCCTGAAATGAGAAGCTCCAGTTCTTGCTCGTTGAACTAGAAACACTAATCAGTATTGAGGCTGACGAAAATGTGCAACAACGTACGATAGTGACCAGATCCTTCGGGATGATTTCGTAGAAGCCGTTTAAGAGATGCTCAATCTGATCTTTGATAGATGAATATAGCCGGTATTGGGCAGAGAGTTGGACAAACTCCCGCTTGTTCTCTTGTGTCACCGGTATACCTTCACCATCCTCCTTCAAAGGAACAATGCGATTGACGCCGAACTAGTATGAAAAGTCAGGACAAGAATTCAAAGGTACATGATAGATAAATGTGCACACCTCATCAGCCTCGACGCTGAACGTCAGCTCAAGGAGTGTAGGATCGTTCTCCAGAATCCAGCACAGTGAGTTGTAATACTCTGGATCCACCCACTCAACATCTTTGTAGTCTACTGGCTTGCCGAGAAGCTGTCTGTATAGGCTCCTTGCAAAATACGCATCGAGCAATCGGCCATCGTAGATAGCTTTCCCGATGACCCGTCCTACGAACTTGAAGAAGGACAGATGCTCCGGGTTGACCCAAGAATTCTTATTGGGTTGATAGGTAAGTTTGTCGGCAGCACAGGGCTGGAAGAGTGCATTATTGGGATCAAACATCTGACGAGCGAGAATTTGAAACCATTCTCGCGTAAGTCCTCCGGCATCAACACCCTCCTCATCATAGAACCGGATGCTCAGTTTCCCATACTTGATCTGGTCTCCGGTCTTCCTTTGCAAATGCTGGAAACTGTCTTCAAACACACGTGCCCGACGAACATTGAGCTGTAGCGTACTATGATGATCTCGCGTATGAGGACGACGATGCAGCTGCTGCGAGAAGTAGTTACGCTTATTGTCGAAATCAAGGACGCGGGGGTTGTGGACAAGAAGGGAGAAAGAGCCACTCATCAATGATGGGTTATTGCGAACCATGACATTGAGCACTTTGCGGTGCGCATCAGTGAAGGTGACGAAGAGGTCCTCCATGGCTTCCGACGGTGTAGTGGGACTCTTTGGAGAGGATGTTGCACGTAGTGCTCGAGCAACACCAGAAGAGGACGCCTTAGGACCAACATACTTGCAAACAACCATCAAAGCCTCAATGAGAGGCAGAAGAACAGTTGCCACATGTTCCATATCTGACTTCTCTTCAATGACGGCCAAACAATCTCCCAACCGTTTCCAGAGAGGTGTAAACCGGAAGGACTCATAGATGCTTTGAACCTTCTCGGTGTCGTTGTGGCCTTCATTGGCAGCGGATGGCCTGGGAGAATACATGTAATCAATGGTCTTAAGAACGCGAAGAAGCTTGGCCTGTGTCGATGATGGGGCAGAAAACTTGGACGCCACGGAACTGATCAAGACGTCGCCTTGAGCGCTCAATAGTGCAGTGACAAGTTCATCGAGGTCGTCCAGGAGACTTTGTCCGAACTCTTGAGCTTTTGACCTCAGTTCTTGTGCAATAACATCACGGGCATCAGGTATGTTGGATAGATGCTGAATGAGGGCCAAACTCTGCTGGAAAGTTCGAGCAGAGCATTCGCCAACAGTGAGAATGTTGACAATGAAGCGAAGGACGCCATGGGGTATCTGTGGGGGGTTCGCAACGAGAATTTTCTCTTCAACCGCCTCGATGGAGAGGTTCTTGTCCTTGATTGCGCCTGGTTTATAAAATTCAGCAAAATATACTTACGATCTTCAGAGAAAATTCACATACCTGTCGACGCTGACGGTTCTGGAATGATGTCACTAGTTCCAGTGGGATTAGTAGCCTCCAGAGCAACAGCACTACCTTCCACGGTCTCAGGGAGTTGGGACTGTGAGGACTGGCCTTGCGATTCTGCAGACGAAGGATCAGAATCAGGAAGCTTCTTATTGTCCTTGATACTGGTGAGAGGTCGCGTTACTGTTGCAAGAAGGCCCACTACCGACTCCACGATGGACGGAGTACGAAGTAGAGACTGCCTATCAAGTAAGCCAAGGAGGAGCACAATGGGGTAGTGACTTTGTGGCATCTGTTTCTCCTTTCCTTTCCCTTTTTTTGAGGCTGCCCTCCGAAGACCTGCCGGTACTTCGTGTTCAGTCAGGAAGAACAAAGATGCCATTTGGTTGGCAGTTACGATATATACCAGTGCGTCGAGGCAACGCTGCGCAATGAGGTCGGGAATGGCCTCGCTGGGGACATTAGGGAGGGTGAGGGCTGTTACGAAATCGGATCCTGATTTTTGCTTTCCAAGGGCTCTCTGCGGCTTCGAATTGCGGAAGGACATTTGTGCAAAGCTCTTGTCGACGGCACTGAGATCTCCTGTTCCATCTTGAAGAATATTCAAGAGAAGGTTGAAAAGCTCCGTGCGAGTTTTGGAATTTTCGCAAAGATTTACTAGAACCTTGAACAGGAGACTCTTTCTAAGAACGTGCGGGAAAAATAGCAATCGCACAAGAATGGCAATGCCTTGCCTGTCGAGCAGCTGGATGGCATCATGCTGCGGGGAAAACTTTCGAGGCGCAGAGGAACCCGATGTAGGGCGAAGAGAAGAGTTAGCTCCTATATGAAACCTTCGAGGTTGGTGATCACGATATACACCAGCTTCGGCAATCATGTGCGATGGCAGAGATTGAATGAAACCGTCGTCTTGGTCCAATAGAATGGCTTGACGAAGTGTGGGATCCAGACTGGCGATGAAGCTAGCAGGATCGATATCTACTGGTCCTGGACCGACGTCTTGCGGTTCAGCGTCCTCAGCCCGTCGGCGCGATCTCTCTACCGCCTCCTGCTGGATGATCTCTGCCCGTAATTCCGGAGGTAGCGCGTCTAGGAACTCTACACTGATTTGAGAGTCCGGAGGTCTCTCAATTCTTGCTGCGCGCTGATCACGGACATGCTGATTGAGTACTTCTTCTCGCATATCATCTGGTAAAGCTTCCAAAAATGTAGGATCGATGCCCGTATCGGTGATGTCCACAACATTCCCGTTGATCAAAACAGTTACACGAGTTGGTGCCTCCGCTTGACTGCTTGAAGCGTGTCCTGGACCTGCATTCGATTCAGAGTTAGGAGCAGAAGAAGGCTCGCTTTCGACTGCTGGAGCAGGAGTCTGGGTAGTCCCATCAATCATTTCGGTATCCGTATCGATGGTGGGGTTCGCATCATCCATTGGATGGTCTTCTTGAACAGCAGCCGAGACGGAAATACTCTGTAAAAGCTCCTGTGAAATGGATTGAGATTGCGAAAGCGTCGTTTGTGTTCCCGCTTCTTCTTTTGCAGTCTGCTCTTCTTTTGCCTCCTTATCAGCAGCCTCTGCATTGGCTTGCGCTTCTCGTTCACGAGTCAATGCCTCTTCCCGAATCTTTGCCTGTTTGGCAGATTCAATTGCTGCGGGAAGGAGTGCCAAGAAGATATGGTTCGCGAGCTTCCCTACTCTTTCAGCGACAAATTCACCATGAAGGATTTTGACCTCCTCTGTCCACCGTTGCAATGTCAGCAGAGGGTCCAGATCCCTAGCGTTCCCATGATTCGATCGTGAGCCTCGCTCTACTCGCACGGAGGCGGAAATGACCGGTCCCGGTCGGCGCTGAAGGTAACCTCTATCCAAGTTCATTAGAGTTCCAGATGGAACATCTAGCCGTATGGTTTCGGGACCGCCTCCTCCGCGGCCGCGAGTCATAATGTGATGGAAAAGCTGTACAGCACCGCCACCAACAAGCTGCTCGATGGTTTGCAAAAGTTCACTGTTGCCATCCGAGATGATCCGAGGTTGCTGTCGTGAAAGACGGGATTGTGAAGTCAAAGAACGATTCCCAGTCGAAGCGTCCAGGAGAAGAGGATGAGTAGTTGCCTCAGGCGGAGGTGCAGCACCACTACGGGCGCGTCCAAATACTTGAACGTTGTCATCGGCTAGATCATTTAAATGAGAGCAAGAGCGCGATACAGTAGCCGACACGAACCTGAACTTCGATGTCGCCTAGGTACGAATACGCCTGCACCATCATTGATGTTGTCGGAGAACCCAAAGATGTCTCCAACGAAGTCGTGACCTTCAAGTTCCATCTCTTGACCAAATCTAAAAGGAAGGTGTAAAAACTGTAGTAATTGAGCATAGGTATGCTAGCTCACTCCTCATCATCCGAAACCATCTCGGGCTCGTCTTCGTCATCTTCATGTATGATTTGGATGGGTCCTACATAAAACCATTAAAGTCATGGTGATCAGGACGAACTTGATCACATACCGGCTACTTCATCCTCGTCGTCGCCATCATCGCCACCGTTATCAGGATTCACACCGTGAATATCCTGACAGACAGTGAGAATGCTAGTCGGGAACTTACCCTGAAAATCTACTTACCTGCCATATCATTTCTTCGTCCCCTTCTGCCCCTTCAATGCCGTCCCCTCGGTGGTCTTCATCTTCGTCTTCCTCATCATTGTCGTCCTCATCTTCATTGTGCACCAGATCTTCCTCGTCCTCCTCTTCATCTGGCTCCCAACCATCGCCACGCGGGACTTGTTCTTCAAGATCATCGTCGTCACCCTCATCAGCGGTGTTTGATGTATCTTCACTTCCAGTCTCGTCAGCGAAATCCATCTCTTCGTCGTCGTCATCGTCGTCATCGTCATCTTCATGCATATCATCCTCCCCGTTGAAATGCACATCCTCCATTTCCTGATGCAATTCGTCAGTTTCATCGAGGTCGACTTCAAAATGTCACGTACACCGCCATAGATACCCAGCGCAGAGTTTCTGTACAGATCTGGAGTCTCTTCGCGTGTTTCTTCAGGTTCTTCAGAGTCATCAGAGTCCATGGATACAACACTCTCCGCCTTCGTCTCGTCAATAACATCTCTACCTTTACTTGTTGTTCTGCTCATCTTGATGGCAATTTTGGTACTAGGAGGACGTTGAGTAAACAAAACATTTCGTTATAGGAATAAAAGACGTACAGCTGCTCCAAGGGACGTAGAATGGATATGACTAGGCCGCGTACATTGGGGTAGTTGAGATCGACTTCTGAAAGCGCACTCGTAAGGGTTGAGACGAAATTCTTCTCGAGCATGACCTTGGCCACATGGGTTGGTCCTTCGTCATGCTGCTTCCTCGAAGAGGAATTGTTAAAACGAACAGTCAACAGGCGATGGCAGAGGTCAGCTAGTGCTAGCAGTCGGCCATATCGAGCTTCCAAGCTGTCGGAAACTGGAAGGTCCTTGATGGATTTGCCAATCGCATCGAGAACGGTCTTCCTGACGGAGACAAGTAAAGAAGGGACATCCTTCGGTTCGTACGTGGATGAACTATCAATACATAACGCCACCAAAACAGACATGGCCCAATTGCATACTTGCATACGCCGGCGACAATCTGTATCTGGTTGGGGATTGATAGTCTCATATGCGACGAGATCAGAAAGGAAGAAGTGAAGCGTCATCGTCCGTGACTTATTGACAGTCTCTTTTCCGTGGGATCGGGACTTCTTGGGGGAATAAGATAAAAAGGCAGACTTGCAGGCATCGTAAGAAAAGAGCAATTCGGTCAGACATTGCATAAGAAAACACATGTATTGTGTTTTGTCCTTGACGTCCGAGCCTGAGAGCTCCGCGTCTGTGCCATCGCTCGCCTTTTGGCCGTCGACCTCTTCCTTCTCTGCTGCCGTTCGACATGTAGCCATGAGTTCCCCAATAAGAAAATGCATTGTCGCAGCAGCAGAATCAGAAGACTTTACTGCGGCGGCTGGCCCATCTACTTGCATGTCAGCATCAACATTGGCCGTGGCTTTATCGTCAGCGACTTCACTCCGCAAGGACAGATGTGGGTTGGAGGAGTAAGGCGATTCTAGTTGACATAAAGACTTGGTCGCTTCAATGAAAAGCTCTGAGTTCCTAAGCGCCATTGCGCTGCAATTGCGGACATATGTGGAAGGTTCTGAGGGCCGCCCACGAAGCTGAGTAAAGTAACGCTTGATGGACTGATGCATGATCTTGTTGACGACCGAAACGTCTTCAACGAGGTGACGAAGAATGGTTGCGATATAAGAGGAACTCCCGTTAACAGCAGACGTCCGGAGCCTCCGGAAAAGCATGTCAAGTCCATCGCGACTCACGAAGTGCGAAGCCACCGTATGGTCGCGAGTCAACAGGACAAGGAGACGCAGAGTCGAAAGTAACTCATCACTTGGGAGATCAGGAATGGCGAGTAGTCGCAGACAGAAATCGAACACAATGGTCCGGGCTTCCGTCAGAGGAGGGCCTGTCGAGACAGGCTCCGGGACGACAGGCTCACCTTCTTTGGGAACAGTGATACTTCGAGGTTCATCAGCCAGAGTGAACAATGCCTCAGTGACAAGTAGATGGGCAGCAAGCCACCGAGGAATGGATGGGTGATCTGGATTAATGCTGACAGGATTAGACAGCAGCAAAGCCAAGAGACTGTCCATTAATGCCGCTCGTAGTTCGGGATTCAATGATGAAGGCGTCTCGCAGAGCACGAGTGCAAGCAGTCGGCATCGGTTTGCGAGCGGTTGCTCCTGTACGTCGTACGCGTATGGAGAGAACGATTTGATATCATCAACAAGATCCTGAACAGCTTTTCGTTGATGCACACTCGACGGCCTTATGAAGGCAACGTGTAGATCGAAAATGAGTGAGAGATGCTCATCAACGAGCAACAAAGCTTGTCGACTGATACCAGCCTTCAGAGGCTCTCTGGCCTCGTTCAATTCCTTTTGCCAGTCCTCATTCATTTTCCCCGTTGGCGTTTCAGGGAGAGGAGTGGAGGCTGCATCAGACGACTCCGGCGCCGCATTGCTATCGTCCGACTGAGCCAGAGGAGCAAGGGCCTCGGAGGAAGCAGGTCGTGTGGCTGGCTCTGGATCGGGCGGAAAAGGGAACGGATGCGCTAGAAGCAACTCTGTTGCAGCATTGACATTGTTATGTGTACGGGTCAATGCACGCTCGGCAGCAGATCGAGGGAAACCCATATCAGTCAGTTGACGAATGCGATTTTCGTCGAGTCCTGATGCGCGCGTGATTCCAGTGGGAAGTGAGCCCAATTCGGATTCTCCCTTAGTCTCCTCGTTGTCACCATTGATGAGCTCCAAGACGGACTGAACCACAAATCTGCTAACGAAGAGGGGCGCCTGAATGAGCCAAGGGGCTTCCCAGACACCACGTAGGAATGGCAGACAGGCAGTCCGTAGCCGAACAAGGAAGTTATGGGGCTCGAAATATTCTGGTTCACTTTCCCTGACATCGCGACTCACGAGGAGAGCGGTTTGTCCAGAATCGAAGAGAGGCTTCGAGGAGATGAGGGGATGCAGCAGATGGAGTGCTACTTTGAGCCCACCATAGGCATGAGACAATTCACTTGCCTCTGCTTCTGACCGAGCCTCCTCTCTGATCGGCGCAATGGATTCGATAGATGAGGTGAAGGATCGGCATACTTCAAAGACGGCTTCAAGACCCCCCGCACGGTATAAAGCAAGAACTTGAACGGTGTGTAAAGTGCTTGTGGTGGTACGTTCTACAATGATGATAAAGACAAGTTCATCCAGATAACAGATAAAACACAAACCATCGACAAGAAGCATCGTCATTAAACCAAGAATGATAGCGTAGTACGCGAATGTTGAAGTTTTATCACCTATGGCAGCATTCAGCTTGCAACAAGTACAATATAAAATTGTACTTACCAAGATTCTCGACGTTCAAATGCTTCAGCAAAATGTCAGCAACCACGGCAGATGATTCCGCCATCTGCTTCCTCTGCGCAGGGTCCGGCGTCCTTCGAGCATGGAACATCTTAACCATAGCTAGTCAAGGCGAGGTGAGTTAATGGTAGAGTCAGATTGCGTAGACAGACCTTGGAAAAATGGAGCTAGAGAACTCGGTAACCCGTGAGTCAAATGCTTCAGCGCCGTCGCATTTTGCTCTCTAGGGCTGCCGGCTTTAGGAATCTCGGGTTCTTTGCTAACACTGGAAGGCGGAACACCGGATTGTGCATCATCAACGGTGCCATTTGTACCAGCAGAGGGTGCTGGTCCTGCCGTATCAGGTAAGCCGATGGCAGTTTGATCGGGAGACCTCTCCAAAGGCGACAATGTGGGTGTTTGCAAAACATCAATGCCCTTTGCTGCAAGACCGACTTTCAAAACAATGTTCTCCCAAATGCTGGTCCTGTGAAGAGCTCCGAGATCTTTCACGACTTGAGGAGCAGTACTACTCATGAGCGTCTGAAGAAGGCCGATGGCGGCACGTCCGTGCGCATATCCAGCAGTTGCAAAAACATCTGACAAAAGGGTAATACGGACGTGCAAAGTCACCAAGTTTCGGAAATAATAATTGGCGTTTACTTCTTCTTCACCTGGATACAAAGTTCATGAATGTGATTATAAATATCAGATATCATGACTCACTTGCGAGCTCAACAAACTGTAAAAGTTTAGATTTGTCTTCCAAAGCGCCCCAAAAGTTCTGGGTCAATTCTAGGGACTCTTTAACTAGTTTCGCCAAGTGGAGAAGAGTCTCGCTTGTTGCTACTTCAGTCATTGTACGCATGACCTGAACCATAGAATCTGATGCAAGGCTGTTGGCGAAATCGTACGGAAGGCAAGGGAGAGCCGTTAGTCTACCCAAGCTGGCGAGACCATCAGTGGAGGAAATAAAGTCTCTGCAATGTGGCGTATGCTGGAAAAGTCCTTCAAGAAACTACGATAAACTTCGTGAACACGCATTTTGAGCATTAGATTGCAGATGATAACTTACGCGGCCCAAGACGTCGATAAACGACACGATATGATTATCATGCGCCTTTTGGACACCTTCTTCGCTTAGTTTCTTGTCCTCAGCCGTTCTTGGTGCAGGAATAGATGCCTGGCCACCAATTTGAACATCCTCCATTGTAACATCTTCATCTGATGATGGCGTCACAGTCGACACAGCAACAAGTTTATACCACTGTTTCACCTCCTCCGGTGGCTCGAAGGCATTTCCCAGGTTCTCGATCTTGCTCAGCGTAGCCCTGAGAGAATCGAAGACTGGACCCTTAAGAAGAGGGTGATGTCGAACTAGTTCATCGATTGCAGTACCTATGAGGACAGCGTTTTCTTTCTCAAGGAGGACTTTCAAATGTCGGTCAGAGGTGAATATGGAGAATATGGAAGGTATGATGCTCGGCCTCGCTGTGAGTTGAGCTTGACCCACTTCATTGAGGCAAAGAGCACCGATTGCATTAGGGATAGCTTGTATGACCTATATTTGTTTAAACAAACGGTAATGGAGCTCAAAAATTAGCCCGTACCTCGATGGCCGGCTCCAACCCTAGTTCGATGGCCTTATAGAAAGCCTCAGGCAAACCAGCTTCCTGAATCACAGCAAGAGATGTCGGTTCATTATGGACAAAGGTTGCCATGATATTGATCGCTATAGGCCTTCAATACTACGGCATAGGGTGTGATGATAGTAACGTACCTATGGGCAGAACACTTGCACCAAAGAGGCCGCGATATTCAATTATTTTCTTGATGGACTTCAGGATGGAGGTATCAATTAACCCCCGGAGACCTTCTGATGTTCCAGAGGATTGCATCATACGATGCATTGATCGTAGAATATGTTTAAGAACTGCAGCGCGCGCAACTGGTATTTCACCTGAGCAGACGGGATCAGAGGAGCAAAATGGCGGAGTAATTCATAATCGCACTGTGGGATCCATATATTTCCCGAGACTTCTGATGATCTCCGTGTTCCTTGACGTTGAACGAGATCTCAAACTATGCAATATAATGATTAGAATAGAACTTTACAAGATAAATCAACAGACCTCGATTCTCTCAACCAGAGTATCAACGCCACGCGACGTGCAGAAAAGGTTGAAAGCATTGGTGAAGCTATACAGCACGTTATCGACCAATTGCATCGTCTTCGACAAAACAGACAGCCGATCCGGAATCCTGTTTTCCAAAATCTGGATGAGGAGAGGGATAAGACCAGCACCTACGACCATATTGCCTCCAGATGCATGAGAAGCGATAAAGGTTACAAAAGACAACAAGGCTTCCGCGAATGAATTCGGAACGGACGATCCTGGGTTGGCAATGTCGCCCACGGTCTTGCGCAATAGACCCATCAGAATGCCATGGTTGACACCGGCATTCACTGATGTGAGGACTTCTTGGATCTTTGATCGGTATCTCGCAAGCGCGTCAAGTGCAGATATAGCGGCTGTCTGAACAGCGATAGGGATGCCCTTGTCAGCTTGGAGTAATTCAGCAACATGAGTGATCAAGTCGGGCTCGTAAAGAAAGATGGAGGACGTTGCTTGAGCTTCAGGATGTGTATGGCCAAAGATGGCTATAGCCAAGAGTCGGATGATCACTAATTTCTCTCTGTCGTCTTCCTTCCCCTTCCTCAACACCACAGCAGCACGAATCCGGCAGAGCAGCTCGAATTTTTCGGAATCCGGTACCGAATATTTCTCAATCGTATCAGCCAAAATCTCCATCTCCGACTTGGACTGTAATGTTGACTCATCAATGTGAATGCTGACGGCGCCAGGAGGCGCCGTCTTCGGCTGCGAGCTAGATGCTTCGGGAACGTCTGTATCCATACCCTTCGCCTTATCGCTGCCGGAGCCGGCATCGGTTCTGTAATACGTGAAATGGACTTTCCTGGCCTCGACGGGAAGAGCTTCAACGTCTGAAGTATCATTGCCGACTGAGAGGTCGACGAGACCTACACCATACTCCCTGAGGTGAGGCCAGCGCTTTGCAAGTGACTGGAGTCGTGGCGTGGAAATATTGAGCGCTTGTGAAACAGATGGCTGGGCTGAATACTGTTGTGACGGACGCAGCACCAGCTTGAGAGTGAGGATAAGGATATCAAGATCAGACGTAAAAAGGAGACTGTTGAGGCGCTGAAAGGTATAGTCAGATAAATTTTAAGGGGTACAGGGCTGAGTCCGACTGACATCGTAAGAGTTAAACATCTTTCGGTTCGTCGAATTCTCTAACAGCAAGCGCTCAAACCTCAATATCTCTGTGAGCAGACTGCGGCTCTCTATCGTGAAAGGCGATATCTGAAGTTTGTCAATGGTGTAATCGCGAATTAACTCCTCCAAAATGGCGTCAAACTTGTTCAAGACCTTTATCCAAGCGTTCAGGTCCGAACGCTGCCACTTCCAGACAACAATATCTCCTAATGTCTTGGGAAGTTCGTCGTTTGGCGTGTTCTGAAGCTTGGCGATAAGTTCTGCTACAGGAGGCGGCTACACGAAGACGCGCATCGGTGAGTAAACGTATCATACAGTAAACTTTTTTTACTGTACCGGCGGCACTGCCCTCTTTGATTTGTGAAGAATCTTCATTTTCACGAAGAGCTCACAAAAAATGTGGAATCCACAAAGCCACGATTAATTTGGGTGAGGTGGTGGGAGTGGATAGTGATGGAAGGAAGTTGAGACTCAGAGCGATCTCGAAGAGGCGGTTGGCAGCCTCAGACGTTTGCACGCGTCAGCTGCTTAATCTGGCATATTTGTAATATGTCACGACACGTCACACATAATTTCACTTCCAGCAACTTAAAAACGCTTAGAAAAAACAAAAACCCTTTCTTATACCACAAAACTTTATCGATAACTGATAGCTGGTTATTTTTGCACGATAGAACGTGAATAATATTCCTGAGCGATTGGGATAGATGTCACTTCCCGAGGTTGGAAGGGTTCGGACTCTTGAGATCTGCCAGTGAGTGCTGAACTGAGTTTCTATCAAGTCTTGTGAAATTATCTTGCCGAACTGTAATTAGCCCATCTCTGTTTATGTTGTCCTTGTGTAGAATAAGCTGAACAAAGCATCGAAATACTGCAGATGGAAGACCGAGGCACCTCAATTCCAGAAAGGACATCAAGACATTGAGAACTGTGGCATTCAGCCAGGCGAAGAGCCCTTTCTGACCACAACATGGCGACCCGACGCATTGCTGACACTGCAACTGACTGTAGTGATTAGACACTGATCATGACGTCAGCATCGTAGCTGACACGTGATCCTGCGATTTCTTTGCCATATATCTTACACATGCAAGACTACTGCAATCCTCTGCCGTCGTCTTCACCAACCCAATGGCTAAACGAAAGGTAGCCGAGTCTGAGGAACGAGGCCTTTATTGTGACGACGCGCCTGATGCCTCCGAGTCCAAGCAGAAACCGAAACGTATCAAGGTCTGACTTCGCGTCTCACCGTTTGGATGTACAGTGGCTGAGCAACGATAGGCCGAAAGGAGCGAAAGTTCAGGTGACGAGGACGCGTCATTTCCCAAGAAGGGGAAATCCAAGCCATCGCATAACAAGGTATGCGTACATCATTGAATGTTGACGCGTCTAGGTGGTTCACAATTCTTAGAAGACAAAAAAGACAGAAGAGTCGAGTGACGAAGACGAACATATTGATGCTAAATCTAAGGCAAAGGTGTGTTTCCCGCTGATATGGTCTGTCCAAGGTCCTTAATGTGCCCAACGACTCACAGTTTGACGCCGAAGTTGTCGTGCACAAGACATCCGACGGCGACAAATACATCGATCTTGGAAAGAAGAAACGCGCGACTGTCCGAAGCTTCAAAGGCATGCCTCTGCTCGATATACGGGAGTTCTATGGCCAAGAGGGGGATGAAAAGCCAGGGAAAAAGGGCATTTCTCTGTCACTGGAACAGGTCCATTCCCTCTCGCTTTGCCTTGTGCCATCTTTCTCACGATGTTTTCAGTGGGAGACACTCAAGATGGGCGCGAATACTATTGATCAACTCTTTGCGACAGTGAAGAAATGAATACTTTGAATACTTAGTTATATCTTGTGTTGTATTATTTGTGTGTACTTAGCTTTCAACCACCATTGACATCTCTTATGAACGTCTTGCTTTCTTGATTCATGTCGCGACTGCTCCTGGATGGCTGGCATGTCGTCCTGGGCATTGAGACGCATGCACAAATCAAATCTCGCCAAAAATTATTTTCAAGCGCGTCGACCTCGCTATTGACCCATCCACCTAACACAACTTTCAACGTCGTCGACGCTGCCTTCCCTGGGACCCTACCCAAGCTTAATCCCAAATGCTTGTTCCTGGCACTTAGAGCATCGCTCGCTCTAAACTGTGATATCCAACAACGTTCATCGTTCGACAGGAAGCATTACTTCTATTCGGACTTGCCGTCTGGATACCAAATAACGCAGCACTATGCACCGATAGCGACGGACGGTTATCTTACTTTGCCAACGCTGGGGAGAAAGATCAGAATAAAGCAGATACAATTGGAGCAGGCACGAACCAGAGTCCTTCTCATGTTGCATAGTCGCTAATAGCGTCGTAGGATACCGCCAAGTCGATATTCGACCCTCAGACACGAACCTCCCTCATCGATCTCAACAGAGCCGGAGCTGGCCTTCTGGAAATCGTGACGGAGCCTGACTTACAGTCGCCAGACGAAGCCGCGGAATATGTGCGCGCCCTCCAAACTACCTTGCGCGCTGTTGGCGCCTGTGACGGGAACATGGACACGGCAGGTCTAATGGCTGTTATTGTGTCGTTGCTTACCCATCAAAGCAGGGATCCATGCGGTGTGATGTCAATGTTTCGATACACCGTCCTGGTGAACCCTTTGGTACCCGATGCGAAATCAAAAATCTCAATAGTGTCAAATTTATGGTTGCTGCCATCAGTTAGTTCGCACTTGCGCGGTATATCTTCGATTATTGACTATTTTAGATTGCGAAATTGCCAGACAAAAGGCTCTCTTAATGTCTTCTCGCATTGTACCTCAAGAGACACGGGGCTTCGATCACCATCGTTGGGACACGTACAAACTCCGTTCTAAAGAGGACGCTCCAGAGTACCGCTATATGCCTGATCCCAATCTCGGTATTCTGCACGTTTCAGTGGTAAAAATTTGTCATTCCAACCGCACGAACTATCTCATCTTTTTTTGGGTAGGCCCAAATACAACAAGTGATGGATAGCCTTCCCCCGTTTCCGGATGCCCTGCGCAAGCGTCTTATCGACACCTATGAGGCTTTTGGTGTCACTCAGACTGCTATCGATGTCCTCATGGGCCTAGACACAGGAAGAGATATAGGATACGACGGCGAAGACAATATCAATTTGGACGAAACATCATATCAGGACCCTGATATGAGTGCTGTGGCCTACTTTGAAAATGTTTGTGCTAACAAAGATAGAGATCCCAAGGACGTCATCAATTGGCAAGTTGATAATCCGTTTAGTTTCACTTGCATTTATATTCAACAGGATATTGCACTCCTTACATGGCCAACTCTCAACAAATTTCACCTCGAAGCGCATAACACCCTATCAGCTGGGTGAACTGATCGACCTTGTTGCATCAAACCGTGTAACCCGACCGTCAGGGAAGTTGTTACTTCGACATATGTTGACGGACCCGTCAATTACTCTGGAAACCTCTGTTCAACAGTTAGCAGTAAACTTGAACTTGATAGCCATGTCTTCGTCATCTAAGGATGATCTTCAATCGGTCTGTGTGCGAGCTGTTAACGCACTGCCTGACGAGGTTGCGGCTCTTCGAGCTGGACACTATAATGTGGTTAACAAAATCGTAGGCTGGGTCATGAAGGAGACGAAAGGAAGAGCAGACGCTAAGACCGTTAGGGAAATAGTGCTCGTCCTCGTAAAAACATAGGATTAAATGTATCATGGTTGATGACAAAATGCATTTACTACTTTTGATGTCTTCATGCGAGACCAGCCGCAGCTAAATGCGCGCCTCTAAACCCCTTGGTCAACAACCCACGAATCCAAGCCCTCGTTATCACAAAGTGGGCTTGGATGTCCATGACGGATTCGGCCAACACGACTTGCGTGTATGATTTTCGATATCGCCTAACGGACATGTCACGAAGTGAATATGAGAATATGACAGGGAAACTGTTAGTTACATACCACCAACACCTGAAATAGTCAAAAAATAAGCCAAGCGAGAACAATCCCCTGTCTCTTATACTGTCTATTACACGCAACCGATCGTCTTGCCATACCGCATATATACAATATTTGGCCATGATCAAAAATATTCGAACCTAGGAAGTGAACTCGCTCAGAAAGATCAACACTGACGAAACAACACATACATTTGAGTGTGTCGTCATCAAAGAGTGATCCAGATTCCTGGAATCTTGAGGATGGACTCTCAACAAAGAACGGACGCACATCTCTCACCTTAGCAGGTCGTTGACCTTTAACACCATAAGCACTCTCCTTGGGACATGTCTCAGGACGTGCAGAATCGATGCAAACATCCCCTCTCGCATCATGATCGTATCCTGTATCAGCCGTACTTCCTCCTCGGTTTGTCGAGATATGCTCATCATATCTGAGGCACGTTCGAAAGTACCGCTTTCGAAAGTCCCCTCTAAACCAGCACGTCCCGTCATGGCTGCTTCAAATATAGGGTACAAGTCCGGGCCAACATTCCCAACTAACTGAGCGTATTTTCGGCGATCAGCATTGGCGGCCTCGCTAGCGGGGGCGAAAAGAGAGAGCCAGAACTTGCCATAATTGACACGAAGTGGCGTATCAAGGTCAAAGTACAAGCCATGATCAAGTAGAACGACTTCAAAATTATAGGGAGATTTGGACGTTTGCGGTGCAAGCCGAATTAATAGATTCCCTGAATTCCGGGTTAGCTCGACAGCAGAACCTCAATAATAGCGTATTACCAAGGTGAGGGTCCTTCAGGTTATACTGTTAGTCGTCTGCCAAACGCTGAACACAAACGTACCGCGTGAAACCAGCCGTTGATGAAAATCATTTGATTAAATATGCGGGATAGCTCCAAAGCAACTTTATTACGGTCGATGTTGGCATCGGCCAAGTATTCCAGATCATCCACTATGATTCTAATATCAATAGCTGTTTTACAAGAGGTGATATCACGAACCTCGGGCTCCTTGGATATATTCCATAACGAGCACTCGTTTTTTAGCAACAATGACCTCGGGAATATAAAGAGAAGTTCTCGTATTCTTGAAGTCGTCGGCGGTCTTCTTCGCATTTGTTGCTTCGTGGACAAAATCCGTCTCTTTAGGAAGATTCTCTCGCATCTCTTCCTGCAGAAAAATAAGTCGAGTCCACATCGAATAAGTAGCTTTCTCCGTACTCCAAGCCAAGTGAACTCGAACTCTGGAAACCAATATTTGATCCATCCTATTCAAGGTATAAGTGTGAAGCTGCTGCACATAAGTAGAAAAGCCATGCACCCAGAGCAACTTCGACCATTGCCATGTCAATATCGCAAAACTCTGCTAAGTGAGGATGTTGTAGCTAACGAATGGGTGAGAGAGGATGGTCTCAAGATGGAGACAGTGCTCTATACCTTGACAGCAACGCGTTTACCGGAGGCCTTATGATGTCCGACATGTACCTGCGCTAGACTGGCCACTCCAATGGGATTTGGGTCGAAATCGTCGAACAGCTCGTCTATAGATGCGCCCATGTCAGAGAGAAATAGGGCTTCCAAATTTTCATACGGTGTAGGCTCGCACTGATCCTGCAGCGGCCTCATAGTGCTGGTCCATTCCCTCGGCAGCATAATAAGAGACGACATATGTTGCCCCAATTTTATGAAAACACCTTCTGCGACGTCAACGATGGAGAGCAGTTTAGAATAATTACGCACCTCCATTCGCCAGCAGAGCCTTCAATACCCTCTTCGCGCTGCGCGTGTGGCACTCTGAATATGCCTGCGCCATTTCTTCCTCCGTTCCGTACGATCGCGCAAAGATCCATTTGTAGTCGATGGCTCCGAGTACAGCAGCCTCTAAACACGTTCATGAGTGTTCCCGAGTCCATTCATCGAAAGGCAAGTACCTCCAACTCTTGCGCAGCGAACTATAGCGAGCAACGTATGCTTGAATGGCTTTGAGTTACTATACGCAACGTAACCGAGACCGGACAAAACGAGAATCATCGTTGGATAAACGAGCCAGGGATTCCGTCGACGGTAACTCTGTGTGGTCCGACCGGCCTCACCGTTATGCCTTCGAAGACGTGCTGGGGTGGTCCATACTTCCCTGGAGGTAGGACGAAGAGAGAAAAGCGCCCTTTGACTATAGGTTATGCATTGACGCCGCAAGAAAAGCATTTAGCAAAGTACGTGGTCGCTTCCGGTAGTAGATGAAAACGATCTCGGCCGATACATCCGCCCATCAGCAATACAATATAATTATTGTGTATATTACATGGAATTCGACGCGACTCAAACATTGCTACTACCTCTCCTGCTGAACATCGACACTATGGAATTTGATATTCGATTAGATGATTGACCCTCCTCGTTTTGGTGCATGGCTTCCGCATATCTAGAAAACATGAAGCTGATATTGCTTGAAGGTAAAAAGCCACGAACAAGAGTTTATACCGGACCAGCTCTCCTTCTGTTTCTTCATTTCGTAACCTTGCTTTTACAAGCTCATTCTGTACAGAGCTTTAGCAAGACATTAGGCAGGACGCAAGGCACTACTCACCAATAATTCTACATGCTCGGTGCTTAGTTGAGCAAAATCTGCTTCAAGGCTTTTGCTAACTTCGAATGAGTATGGCAGACAATCAAAAACGACAGATACCAACACTTTGGCAGATAAATTTCGGTTCGCAGTTCTGAGCTTGTCCATCTCAACTTTATGTTTGTTGGCTTCACGCTTGATCCCACATTGAGTTGATATCACTCGAAAATGGGGTGCACTTACCATAATGTCATCGTATTCGTGACTGTAGTTATCCAATTGAAATGGCGTTATCCGAAGCGATACCGCTTCGTTTACGAACTCGTCTGTGTTATATTTGACTTCGTGTGAATCTCCGCTTTCGGTAGACTGCGCCTGTAAGTATTATCCGTAAGTTTTCGATATACATATTATCTGTCTCAAACCTTGTATCTATCAAAGAGCTTCGTGTTGAGAAACGTCAGGATCTCATCGAACTTGAGGCCCAGTAGCAAGTCCTCGTTTTTGCGGAGTAGTGCGATACTAAATCCAAATATGGCCTCAATCCCGTTTGCTAGGCAGTTGTCATATATCCGGAAAACAACGTCTAATGGGAATCTGCAATGGAAGTGAGCTGGATCCGAACGTGAAAACTCTCCCAATCAAACCGGTAGCTGAACATCGTCAAGAACCACTGTGAACAGAACATGCTGGACTTGACACCTTGGCGAAGGAAATGTATATGGAGAACAGGCAGAAGCTCCTCTACCAAGCGGTCAAACTGAGAGAAACGGGTCTGGTCATCCTCTTGTACCGTTTGCTGAAATAAATAGGACAGACCTGAAACTGTTAAGGCGGTATGAGTGCCAAACATCACGACAAAACAGGCAGATCCTACCAGACGTAGTTGTAGCTTCGGCATCTCGGGAAGAAAGTGACCGCGAAGGTCGTAAACATACATTAGCCGAACCAACAGGGAGAAAGCTTCTTCGTCCGGCATCTGCATAATGCATGAGATATTATATCGCGAACACAACGATGAAACCAACATTTAGCAGTAATATGGCAACTACGAACGGAAGACCTTGGCAATATCCCACCTGAGGATCATGTCTGGCAGAAGAATATGAGAGAAGTAAAATGAACATTCGCCCCTGTAGGAACATACAGAGAATATGCTTTGAGGACATTGAATAAGTTCTCCTGCCCAATGCCGTCGCCGTCAGTAAAGAAGTCGTGATGAGGAAATGTTCTGGTCCATTCAAACTTCAGGCATGCGCATGGAGATGCTTAACAAGAGCTTACCTGCCTAAATCACGCGTTATAGCTTTCTCATGCGGACTCGTTTCCTTCAATAGTTTCACATACGTGTTCTCTAGCTCTGGATCTTTTGATGCCGCCCTTCATCTTCACCGTTAGTTTCAACAGTCACAAAGTAGATAGATCCTCTACATAAGCTGCCACATCATGCCTCGAAGAGATCCGGGGATCCCTTTGACGATAGCCTGGGCAAGTTTCTCTGATTCGTCGGAGGCAAATTGCTGGTAATCTAAAAGCGCATCAAGCATTGCAAATGCAAGGAAGATTATCTTCGTCACCAGACATGACAGCGCCCCAATAATCTATTTTATTGCATCAGCAAAAAAATCCATATTACAGGTATGGACGTACCCCAGTCAATAACCTCAGCGTCGCTGCTATTTTCAGTTTCTATTTGATACTCTTTCTCCTTTTGTAAACGAGCGAATTCTTCTTGAAGTCTGATTTGTCCGTCGACGCTGCCCCGCTTGGTAGGATCCTCCTCCAGCCTTGCCAGAAGAAACGTGAGATTATTATTGGACCGTATCGTCGTCGTAGAAGCTGATTTTTTGTGAGAGGGCTTCTTAGGAGCCTCAAAACTCGATGCCAGAGTGGATGAATTGCTACGCGGTCGAGATCTGTCCAAGGTATGTACCGACGAGCCTGCACTGGAACTACTACGCCTCGAAGAAAGTGCGACAGTCGAGAATCGAGCATCATCCTCCAGCGCCACATCATTGAAATCTGATTCTGCTACAGATTCTCGAACGGTTCGGTTGACATCGAATGTCTGGGCCTTGGGCGACAACAGGGAATCCAGGGAAGTGGCGACGGCAGTGGCGATGACCCCCTCCTCAGGCATTGTAGGTATTTCAGAGAACGACTACCTGCAACTTCTCGATGTCATGAAGATGGCGGTGCTGTCCGGGCACTTGGCGGTCGGATTTAGTTGCTGTTCGACGCAGCAGGCAACCTGCGATAATTCTCGAGTTGCTATTATTATCGTCGTTTTGGAATTTAAGTCTGGACCACGTGATGTATTTCCAGCAGGTGCACTGCCACCCTCACACAGACTGTCACGTCTCACGGAGTCATCAATAATGGAAGATGAGGCTACAGAGTGAGAAGCCCCGACTCATAGGTCGTCGATTTGCTTAGGCTATCGACGTAATTATTCAGTGCGCCAGTTGCTAGCTGTGGTGTTATGTATTTAATCCTATACAAGTACATTCCATGTTGAAAAAAATATCGTACAATGAATAAGAAGCGATTTCGAATTCAAGACCTTCCTGCGGTCACCGTTGATATAAGTATGTGCCTGCAGAAAATATGAATTTAGAACAGAAGGGAACTCCGACAACACAGAAAAGATCAGCTGCTGTCGTCAGAGTCAGAGGACGTTATTGAGGACGGGTGAACGTTCCGGCGTGTCACGATAGCGGTGAGATTTTCAAGTTCCAAGAGATAGTGACCCTTGAAGAAGAGTATCAGAGTATTGTGATGGATAGAAGTCCATCGACCTTGCCTCTTTCCAGCGTTCTGAATGGCTATGGGCTCGAATGATCCGCATTCCAAGGTATGCTGAGCAATTCTGGCATGATATTTGCTGCATAGTGTGGGCACCAGTGTTCATCAGATGCACTACGGGAGGAGAGAGGTCGACATGGTGACTGTGAAGGGTTCAAAACCAAGGCGGGTCTTCAGTGAAGCGACATACTTACATGTCAGTGAATAACGAAGCTTTCCCATTAAATCCTCTGAATGCGCGGGCATGGGTAGGGATCTGCCAGTATGTCGTATTGAAAGAGAAGAATAAATAATTGAGGACTACGATACGTACTTTGGCCAAAGGGAGGAGCGCGCCGATGGATGTTACACACATTTTGCAACGTCGGCAAGCTAGCGGACGGGGTACAGGGGGAAGGGGTCGTGACTGCCGAGCTGTCGGTAGACTAGGGAGACGACGTAGAGATACCGTTTGAGGCTGTTCGATTGAATAGCAATTTCGTTGTAGTTCAGAAGACATTAGAATAAGCGGGATGAGATGAATGCTAAATCTCGAGGGGGGGGTATGTGTGGAATTTATGAGACGACAAGCGGTGTCCGCATTATCAGCCAAGGCTAGTAATCCAATGATATAGGATACCATCAGTGCAGTGCGCCCAATGCAACATCGCCGGGAGACAGCCCATGTCCTGAGAAGCCCTGATGACTACGTCTGATTGATGGAATACGCGTGAAATTGTAAACAGGAATCAGTGAAGTACGTGAGAAGGATCAGAGATAAAATATAGTTACATATTTAAAATTGTCCACTGGCCAGCAGAAATTGATGCAACGTCCGAAACTAAATTTGCCTCGCTACCATAAGCGGGCGATAGTATCTTATGGCGAATCTCCTCGTGTGCTCAAGTACAAACGTTCTTCTACCCGCCTCCGACTCCCCCCAACCGGCCACAATCGTTATCGATACAGTTACGGGGAAAATAATTGATGTCCGTCGAGGCAGAGTTGCTAAGGTATCATTTCCAGATAACATCCAGTGGGTGGATGCCGGCGATAAATATGTCCTCCCTGGGCTTGTTGAGTGCGTCTTCGTCGGGGCTATCTACGGCATGGATTAATATCAAATCCTTGCTGCCAGCGCTCACGTACATCTTAACGAACCTGGTAGAACTGACTGGGAAGGCTTTTGGACGGGCACCAGCGCTGCAGCATCGGGAGGAGTTACGACCGTCGTGGACATGCCGCTTAACTCTATCCCTCCGACAGTTACTGTCGCCGATCTTGATGCAAAACGGGCTGTTGCTCTTGGGCAGTGTTTTACCGACGTCGCCTTCTGGGGCGGAGTGATCCCCGGGAATCAGGTACAATTTTTTGGTGTTAATATGGAATAATCTGATCTACAATAAATTTCTTCCATATCAGGAACATCTCAAACCTCTGGTTGAGGCTGGTGTAAAAGGCTTCAAGTGTTTCCTGATCAAAAGTGGTGTAGAGGTAGGTACTCCGCTGAACTTGTACGTATTTTGTCATCAATAATTCTGTATCAGGAATTCCCTTGTGTCGTAGAATCTGATCTCAAGGCATCTATGATTGTTCTTCAAGTGAGCGATGCCTTTGTCGGTCTTTCTTTCCCTGGACTCACGTTTAACCAATGGCAGGACGTTCCTACGGTTTTACTATTCCACGCTGAACTTGATGATCATTCCGAAGCCGCCAACGACGACCGTTCAGATCTTTCTCCGAACCTATACTCAACATTTCTAGGCTCTCGTCCTCAGAAATTGGAGTTCGATGCTATCTCTTTGATCACCTCCCTTCAGAAGGAGTATCCTTCCTTGCGATGTCACATAGTCCATCTATCAGCCTCCTCGGCGCTCCCATTAATACGGTCAGCCAGAGCTGCCGGCTTAAAACTTACGGTGGAGACTTGTTTTCATTATCTCTGTCTAGCAGCCGAAGACGTACCTCATGGACATCCCGAGTTCAAGTGTTGTCCTCCGATTCGAGAAGACAGCAACAGAGATCTTCTTTGGGGTGCTCTGATAGCAGGCGACATTAATTGTGTCGTGTCTGATCACAGTCCTTGCGTAGCGGAATTGAAAAAGCTTGACGAAGGAGATATCATGAACGCCTGGGGAGGCATCAGTACGCTTGGTCTCGGACTAAGCTTACTTTGGACAGAAGGCTCCAAGCGAGGCGTTACGATTGGACAGATAATCAGGTGGACGAGTCAGCGAACAGCAGAACATGCGGGCTTGGGTCATTCTAAAGGTCAATTGACGGTGGGATATGACGGTGACTTTGTGATATGGGATCCAAACACTAAGTTTGAGGTGATATATCTCTCAGAAGGCCGCTCAGAATCTATTTTGACTGACAGATCTCCAGGTTACGAAAGAATCGCTCAATTTCAAGAACAAAATATCGCCGTACGAAGGTCAAAGACTCCGTGGTCTTACAGAGAAGACTTATCTTCGTGGAAACCTGGTGTATGACCATCAAATAGGATTGCAAGGATTGAAGCCCATTGGAAAGTTGCTCTAACTACTGTTTACGAATTCTCTTGTGTAATGTACGTAGTCATGATTTGACTCTTCAGCCCTGAATCAGAACGACCATCATCATTGGAAGATCTGTCAAGGGGGCACAGGGTGCTTCTTACTTTATCTCAGTTCGTACATCCTTTTTGAGGTGGACGATAGTAACAACGAAGACCTCTAAATATGGTTGCCTGCATCGATACAAATCGTCGTAAAATCTCTATACTCCTATCTTATTGTCAGACTTGAGGGCGAACCGCAACCTTGGTCCTCTGCGGAACGTCTCAAGGCGAAATCAGACCGGGTGAAGTATCGTTTGTGCTATGAGGGACTTCTAATTTGTTTGATGAAGGTGCTGTAGTTGATTGAAGGAAGAAGGAGCGTGCAGCAATTTCATCAAACAGATTGCGATTGCCTGTCCGCCGAGTACTGAGTACTGAGTACTAAGTTACTAAGTACTGAGCGCCGAGCAGTTGTTTAGATTATGTTTCCATTACATACCAGTTTTCTAACCGAGACTGACTAAGACACCGAGAAAATGCTCGGAAATTAGGCTCCCACGTGTCGGCGGCTGTCGGCAATCCGTCCTTGCTACGACCATTCCGTCGATTTCGCCACCAAGTTCCTTGGGGGATGCTTTCACCGTGGACTGTCGTCGTGTTGCTTCTCTTTCAAGGCGCCCATTTAGGTCGACGCACAAAATCCGCCTATCTGTGCACTCTGATTTCAACTCTAATTACATTGGCGCCAGGAGTCTATTCCTATATCCCTGCCTCGCCGACGAACTCTACTCAGGATGCAATAGCTGGTGGACTCAATATTACGGACGTTTCCAAGCTTCATTTGCAGTGGTATTCGAATGGGTCAGTGCTCTGTGCCGCAGATCCAGAATCGGACTAATTCAATGTAGATCGTACTGGGAAACGGTGTCCTATCAGTTGGTTGGTCATGACAGTCTGGGGATTAGCAAGGTGTGTAATGAGCACAAGGTGTTCTTATCCACGATTGACAATATGTAGGGCGCCCTTGTGCATTTCTCGGAGACATCAGTCAATAACAATACTCCAGCAAGCAAGTCGTTGCCTTGCTCCTTATTTTCATCTCTAATACTTCTTCAGCGACGACGCCTTGGATCGCTCTGGTGTCTTGTGACTTCAATGCTACAAATGCTTCTCAGGAGATCGATATATTCACACTTGCGCGCGACAAGGGTGCAGTTTCAGCTGTAAGCGTCATGGCACATTTCCTCGTTTTAAACTTCTGAAGCTTCCTTTCATGCAGCTTCTCTACTCCCTCTACTCTACCGCTTGCGTGATCAATCCCGAATACGCAGATCCAGAAACCTTCGACCAAGTCTTCGATATTTTCTCGACTCAAAGCCTTACTTCTGCGCATCTCATCGAATACCAGTTCGGTCAAATCGGATCCACCAACGATAGTATATCTGGGACCTACAACTCTCAAAGTCTTAACGACTCAGCAGCAATCATGAACGCAACTATATCTTTAGGATATGCTACTACGTCCGGTTTCCTATATGCCACCTTACGGGCATATAACGCTACAGGCGACGATAATACCACGTCTACGACGAGTAGCGGTTCAGGATCAAGCAGTGATCAGCAGGGGGGTTCTTCTAATACTGCTTTGGCCATGTAAGCGCTTCGACTTACCATAAATCACCCGCACACTGACACACAAATGTAGGATTGTATTATACGCTATCACGGGTTGTGTGTCCGCTCTGTTCTGCGTTATTATTGTCACCGGTGTAAAGTTCTCCACCTCCTCGCAGTGCCAGTTCGCTAATGCTGCTATGCGTGTATCAGGCAATTCGTGCTATCCGACACCCCGAGAGATATGGCCCCCGAAGGCGTGGTGGAGGCGAGATGTACCAGAGCCGCACGCAAGGTCTTACACGTGCAATCTTGGACACGTTTCCGATCGTTAAGTTCGGTAGCTCACAAGCAAGGAGTGGTCCAGACATGGTTCTCAAGGATCCGGAAGCCCTCGATCCCAACGCTCCAACTAGTGCCGCAGTTCAAATGCAAAGCTTGAATAATGCCGCAGCTGGGCAGCCAGCTGTTCGCCGACCGTCGCGACGGCAAACCCGAGATAATAATCCCGACGCTGCAGCACCCGATGGTGAAGACCACTCTCGCAGTGACCAGCCTAGCCAGAGCTCAGAAGACGTCCCTGTGCCTGCTGCTATAGGTCGGGAAACGTGTCCCATTTGCATAGTGGACTTTGAGGAAGATGACGATGTTCGGATACTGCCATGCGAAGGCCATCACCGATTCCATCAACAATGCGTGGACCCCTGGCTTTTGGGATTGTCCAGTTCTTGTCCCATTTGCCGACAAGGTTCGTATTTCGCCACAGCTATCGTTTGATTTTCTATGAAACAACTTTCTTTTTTTTCATTCCAGATTTCCTCGCTCTTGAGTCGATGTTGTCCATTCCAGGTGATGTTGATGGAAATGAAGACCTTCACCCGCAAGCCTCTGACGGACATGCGCATGGCACTATGGGCAGTAGTCGTTTCTCACGTTATATCCGTTCGGCAATGAGAAGGCGTCGACAAGATGAAAATGACCCTACAGAACCTTACCTGCCTACCGCTGCACACACCACAGTCTAATATACCTGAACAATGCCTTTGCACACTCCTTTACCTCTTTCTGTACCATTAAAATGCATTTGTATGTATGAGTCAAGTATTTTCACCGTTACAACATAATTATATGTGTCATTCAATGAGACCTGATACTAGCGTTACTCAGAAAATAGTTATACAAGCATCGAAAGTACAAGTGATTGAGCGACGTTACACGTTCCTTGAAACCGCCAAGATCGTCTTCTACAGGGATTGGATAAGGGTATGGATTCCTCCTTCAAGACGAAAGGCGGGGTGGCCATCAGACATTGATGTCGATGACACGCTTTCACCGTCGACGGTGAAATCTGCCGATGAGGGGGGCCTCACGGTACCTACAGTACCAAGGGGTGCTTCGATGACCAGCGTGAAGTCATTGGTTGATGAGACGTTCCACTTCACTCCAAACCAGCCCAAAGACGTTTCAAATCCACCCTCAGCCGACTGAAGCCCACTTAGCACGGGTGCTACCGACCAGCTAGAACCCTGCGGGCCTGTGAGCGTCAGCCCAAGTACAAAGAATGTTAGCGCGGAAGTGGGGCCAGTAGACCAGCCATGGGAATGGCTAGTAAAAGCATGATCAAAGTTGTAACCTGTCGCACCCCGGTAGCTGAATCGAACTGTGAATCTCTTGATCATATTGAAAGTATATCGCACGTACCCCAATGAACCATTAGCGGTGTAGCCCTCCAAAAGAGTAGACTGCACTGATATATTAGTATATAGCATGTAGCCCCATTCTTGTCGAAGCAGATTGAGCGCTCGTTCTCCCTGCCCAGCGACGAAATGCGCTCGGACCTATTATGGAAATCTGATCAGTTGCTGTGCCTAGGAAGACAAGAGAATTTAACCTCTAAGCCTCCTACGAATGGGATGATGGTATCACTTAGTTCGGGACTAAGAGGGCCTATCGGTGTCCAGAACGATGTCAAACCCTCACTGATGGCTACATTCTGACTGGCATTGGCTGTGATATTGTAGAGAACCGCCAAGGAGTTGCCATCTTGGGGGTGTAGGCTTGTTATTTCGTTATCACGGAACATGGCAGCCGAGGAGTCCCAGAGTAATTCGTTAAAGGCAGACTTCACTGCAGACGCATTGGCAAGGTAGGCAGCTGAAAGCGAAGAATCTCCTAGTTCAGACGCAAGGTCTGCGGCAGTAATCAAAGACTGAAGAACAGCGATGTTTTATTAGCCTTGACACAGAAGCAAACGAAGGTGCGCTACTCACCCTATACAATAGCGCATTTGCTGCAGAGTTATGACCTTGTCCGCCCTCTCTTCCCCAATCATTCGCGAACCCTGAAGGTACATTCATCAAACCAGTATTGTCAACCTGGCTTTGTAGGAAATCAAGTGCATATGTGTAATTTGTCCAGATTGTTCGGATGAATTCGAGGTCACCTGTGTGTAGGAAGTAATTGTATGCACCTATGAGTGACCAGGAAATGTAGGTATCGCTTCCGTGAGCATTGATGGGTGGACCGGAATACTGAAGAGAGCCCGTAGAAGGATCTTGAGTAGAGAACATAACAGTGAGGGAGTTTCTTGTGGGTAGAAGGTCGTTTGTTGACACCCGCTGGGTATCCGTTGAGATTCCCATGTCGCCTATGCATTGATAAGTACAAGGAAAAGGAAAATTTATCAAGATGACATAAATCACGTACCAGGCCAAACGGTTCTGAGCGTATCGACGATTAAATTTTAGCATTAAAACAGGGATGATTTTTATTCACCGGTCACGCTTTGCACCGTCAACAAGGACTGGTCCAGATACGGGTCCTGCATTCGCACTATTGTTCCAGCCTTCAAGTCAGCGAGTTAGTTAATGACCCAAAAATCATTTTGCGCCTGAGTTACCACCGGTATCTGGGCAGCTTCGGGCTTGATTCGGACCGATGGTATTCGTCTGAACAGTGTAAGCTCCAGAATACCACAATTTTGTTAAAAAATCTGGATCCTCGAATATCGGATCCTCCGTAAGGAAATACCCCGAGTACGCTCTGAGATCGTCCCAGTGCGGCATGAAGGTGATATTGACCTGCACATCGGAAATTGACACAGGATCGCCGGATGTGGTAGCTATTGTTAGATATCTAAAACCACCTCTCTGCTGTGCTATCGTCTGCATCACTTTCCCTGATGGAGCGGGGAGGAAAAGTATCTGCGCTCCATCACTGTTCATGAGGGGGCTTGGGTTACAAGAGTCATCGGATTGATGAGGACTGATGAATAAGGGAGATTCTGAGAAAGATAACGCCAAAGATGTGTTTTCGCTAGCTGTGTCAACGGTGAAAGATAGTAAACCGCCAACCTACAGTTCGAAATGATTAATAACGCAGAGGTTATTCAGATTAGAGAGTTACTTCTTTCAAAAAATCCAGGGCTATGTATGACCCTTGACTGGCTAATGTCATAGAATTGGTGGCGTCTTCAACAGTGACTTCAACGTCCCCGACACTGTCGACGACTTGTACAGGAAAGACGGTCCTTGACCGCGGGGCATAATTGAAGGCATCCCAGGACCCTGCCGGCGCCACAGCAGCAACATATAGTGCACATGAGATCAAGAGACAAAAACCGGAGAAGGGGCACAAAAACATCACGCAAGCAATGGGTATTAGTCCCCGGACCTGGCATTTTATAAAGTTATTCCGGACCGCTCAGGAAGACAAGCCAAAAGTCAAGTGTATAGCTGCAGTTCGGAATAGAAACGCGTGACTAGGATTGGACAAAGGCAGAAGTCAAGAGGTTGATGAGAAATGGACTTCCTCGGCCTCTCAGTTTGAAACCGACCCTAAAACTATCATCAGAGCCTTTGGAAGAGTCACCAGACACAGGGCTGTTGCCGTACTCCGCAACAAAAACGGTCATAGATATATCGTGGAAAATGGGCATCGGGAAGGAGGAGTCTCGGTTGTTCACATGTCTTGAAAAACATCATACAGGCGCGAAGCATCCGAGTCGCGCGCATCCTTCGGGCACCACTCTCAACCTGTTCTCTTCCCTCTCTCTTAAGCCATCATGATTCCGACATAGTGCACAAAGCATACGTATCATTCCGGTAAGTATCTTCCCCAGGCCCCTCCTGGTTAGCCGTAGAAATATGGTCTAAGTTCAAAATTGATGATGGCATTAGGCAAATCCTTTTGTAAAGAGGGCCGTCAGAATGCGTCACGTATTTTTGCCGAGTCTCCTTGGAGCTGGCGAAATTATCCAGAGTGTATCGCAAAGCGAAAACTATAGGATTGGCTGCCGCCACGAAGGACAACAGTGCGACTAGTTTTGAGGGTGCCGGATGCTCTTCCGTTATCCTCGACAGCATCGTAGGATTGCAGCACTGGTCAGCCCAGGCTGGGGTAAAAATGTTGTGTGCTTACGTATATGACAGTTCGTGGTTGTTTCAATGGGTGGAGCATCATTCCTTGTCGTCCTTCAGTGCCCGACAAATGAACGAACGGTGGATGGACGAGGTCCCCGTCTCCAACCATATTCATTTGACTCGACGTTAAACTGTCTTGAGATCGATTCCAGGCATTATCTTCACGTACATGTGCGCAGCACTTTCATCCACGCTGTAAGCGTGCGTAATAGGATTTCGCGTCTATTCTTCCCATCGACTCGGCAACTTCGTCCCTGACGTTAGCGTGGATTCACAGCCCTGTGGTCATTGACGTGCCCGGTAAGCACGCACTCTTCTAAGAGTCTTCTTTTCTGTTATTGCCAAGAGGATACTGAAGTTACGCTGCAGCGCCGCAGAAATACCTAATGAACAGGGTACTCTCAGACTGGCCACCACTCCAGTCAAGTGCAAGTTCACTTTATTAAGAAGCCGGGTAGTAGGCTCGCAAGGCACAAAAACATGTGAAGGAACACCTCAAATTCCTCGACGACAAATTCCGCTAAAAGGTACCTCCGACGGACGACACGCTTTCTCTATTCCATAAGCGACCCTTTTCTGGAATCTCTATTATCATGATGGAACTTGGGCGGACTGGTCTGCCAATAATTATAATACACGCCGGTGGTCGTCTTGGCAATTCATTCTACGAAGGACAGCACACGGTCACCTTTCGGGGGCAGCGTTTCCCAAAATTTCCTTTCCCAAAGACCAACTTTCTCGAACTTGTATTCGCCGCCCTATGTGTCGTTCCTTGCTCGTTCTTAGTATTCGCCACGGTCACGCGCACCGTTGCATTATGCGACGAATACTAGTATTCTATTGCTATATCCATGTAAGTGGTTGACTGCAAACCGGCGTGTGGCCAGTACTTGTGCCAAGTAAACGGGTTTATTCTCTTTTTCCCCCACTGTTCAGTGAAAGCAGATTATGACAAGCTTTCCCAAAATATTCAAAAGCATATCGCCCTCTGGGCATTGAATATGGACCTTCGACTTGGCGTAATGTGAACAAGTTTTTCGTATAAATTGGCAATGCTCTGCAGGCCCTCTACACCCATTGAACGACTTATCTTCATACGGATCGTTGAGTCTGGTTTACGAGACTAACATACGAGCTCCTCTTCTGTCTGTGCGATTGACGTCAACATTCATGAGCAGGTAGCACGTAACTTTCACGCTATCATTGACTGAGAACGACGTAGAAGTAGAGCAACAGGAATCTGGATCTCGGCGTAGTGGCAAGTATTTCAGAGAACTACCGTCTCCTTTGACTCCATTGCTAAAGAAATATCAAACAAAAAAATCAGAAGCGATCAGTACTCGATAAAAATGAAAATGCGCCTTGAATGGGTGGAAGCAAGACGCAATGCATACGTAAGCATATACATGAGGTCTTCACTCTTCCTCTTACTTTTCGAAAATGATACTCCGGCGACATTGGATATTTTCCCTTGCCCTTTCTTTCTTCTTCTGTCATACTCACATTGCCTCTGTGCTTGCAGATGATGAGTTCGACTGTCATGTTACTGTAAGCTCGACTGTCAAATTCGACTTGACATCCATCGGCGGCGAGCGTACCGTCTCTCGAAAGCGCGATACGCCGCCGACATCAATGGTGGACACCGTCAGGCTAGATCTGTGCAGTGAGTTGCCGTCGCAGGATGGTGTGAACGAACGAGACCAAGTACACCATCCGTTACTTTCTTATCCTATGTTCTGACGTGCATTCCAGTGTCCTAGCCATACAAGAGTGTGTCTGACCAAGATAAATAAGAAGGAGGATGCGGATGACCGGATTGTTGCTGTCGTTCCCATTGTGCAGACCTCGACGGCGAATCCGTCATACAAGGCGCTATCAGGTACGTCGGCGGTGCAATGCAGGTCGTTGCCCTAATAATTGATTCCTTTCAGCGCCAAAGGGATTGTCCGTCATTATGCACGGACCGTCATATACCAGCGGCTCGGCGGCTCAGACCCTCAATCTAACTCTGCTCTGTGACCCAGACGCCTCCAACTCTGACCCTACAATTATGTCTTACGATGGGGCAGAGCTTCGCTTAGAATGGCACACTCCTGCTGGCTGCTCATTTGGCGAAGACAACAGTGGAGGTGGGAGTGGAGGTCCGAGTGATGGGCCTGCAGAAGAGAGTGTTGGGAGCGGCTTAGGCTGGTTCTTCTTAGTGTCAGTACGAATTATTATGGGACCATCTGGATTATTGACGTTTTCAACAGATTGCTGCTCGCCTTCTTGGCCTATTTTGGCCTTGGCGCCTACTACAATTACACCACCTACGGTGCCAGCGGGAAGGACCTGATACCGTACGTTAGGGTCTCCTAGTTCATTCCATTTTGCCTAACTGATTTCTTTCGAAGACACCGCGATTTCTGGCAGGAAGTTCCGTATATGCTCAGTGATGTTGCTTCACATCTATGTTCTTCTGTGCGCCCACGGCGATCATCTGGTCGTGGAGGATACATTGCCGTGTAATGGACATGGGGGGTACTGGATTATTACGTGCCCATCTCGTGTTTCGTAGACCCGTATAATATTGCTGTGGTGGCTACTGTATAGTGAATACATACTGAGTACTGTATATTGGTATCTTTGGTCGCGACGACCCTAACGCAAACAGTGCCAATTAGAAGGTACGAAAGTTCCACCATAATGCTGTTGAGCGATCCTCCCCACGAACCAGAAAATGGCCAAGAAGAAGTGGTATGCAGTTACCGCTGGACGAGCGGTTGGACTGTTCGATAACTGGTCAGTACAGCTCTTGGTGATTCCAAGTCATTTTATCAAAGTTATTTTAAACAAATAATCGCGTCGCCCAGGCTACTCGTCGCGCCGCTCGTCATTGGCGTCTCCGAGTCACATTATGTGAGCTTCACCTCTGAAGAAGATGCCTGGGAGGCATACGAGGAAGCGAGAGGGGAAGGGAATATACGAATTCTTCCCGCTGGTGGCAAGTCCAAGTCGTCGCGGTCGTGTAATCCTTCCCGGAGTGACGAGCACCATTCATCTGCTACTAATGCTGATCCCGAGCCGTCACAAGGATGCAATGCCATCTTGACTACTGCTGTCACTTCTCCTCCAGAGATGGTAACGTTGGTAGGAGGGAAGTCTCCTGCGAGCTCCAAGGCTGGCCCTGCTGCAGCGCCACCTTTTCCTCTCGCTCTCTCATTGTCTAGCAAGGCGACTAGGTCTATCAAGACAGATGAATTCGTGCGCCTCTACGTCGCCTCTTCTTCCAAGACGGAGAGTGAACCCACCAATGTGTCCCGTAGTAAAGGCAGCCCTGGTGGAGGCCGTACCACCCCCGTTCTTCCCAAAGTCAGGCGCATCGTAGTCCAGACACCTTCCTTTCTTTGTCCGTATCCCGACGAACCTGAAAGCCCTGATGATGAACAGCCCGTGTCGCCTTCGCCTGCTGATTTACTGAGCCCTCTCACATCTCCCCGTTTACACACTCCGGAACCCTACGAGGGACCGTTGAGTCCTCCACCACAGGCTCAAAAGTCTCCAGGATGTAGGCAGCATAGTACGGCTAGTAGTATAATGTTGGCCATGCGCATGGCTCCTTCTCAAGTAACTGGTGGGACATTGTACGATGCTGTGGCGGACCCTCGTTCACCTCTGGCGAAAACGGCTTCAATTCCTCGAGATAGCCGGTCTGTGTCTCGCGTTTTCCTTCAACGAATGTCGGCTCATTGATGACATTAAATAGGCCGTTCCGTCGTCCTTCCCCCAATTATAGTCTTTACGGTGCTCTGGTAGGACCTGATTAATAATGGAATTTGTTACTTTTGTTGCTGTATCTTGTGCTTCACATATATATATGCCTTCCCTGTAGAAATAATATAAAATACGACTGTGGTAAATAACGCGACTCTTGCCCTGCCCTGTTTTTCAAGTTGTTACATACGTGACGCTACGACCTGAAAGAATGCACTCAGACAGCTCTGATCTATCGCTCTCAGCCAGTGGCTCACAACTGCTAGCCGTACCACCGCTCTCATCGATAGGGACTGGCGACGACGACCTATCTGTTTCTGAGCTTTCGTTGTCGGATCGGACTGTCACGTTTCTAAAGAGCAACCCTCCTCCAACACCAACTCGAGAAGAGGCTCTAGAAGAGGAAGATGTAGAATCGAAACGAGCATCGGGTAGAACGCGAGAAAATAAGCTTCAAAACGACCTCTTCATCTTGAAGAATTTGAATGCGTCGATGACCTTGTTCAACGAAGCACTCGACAGTACTGGGTCTGCCAATGAGGTGCGTATTCAAGCTCTATTCCAAACAAACATTCATTATGATTCCTACCACCAGCGCATAGCTCAACAGTTGGCACAGACAGACCTGCTACTGAATAAATACATCAAGACACTATCTCGAACAGAGGATTTCGCTCGTCTCATATTCGACGATGAATGGCATGGCGCTGACGCAGTGAGCATCTTCCGCTACGTCTAATTTGATCTGTCTGTAGCCCTACTACGCAGGACGAAGAGATTATAATGCAAGAACGGAGGGAAGCAGAAGAAAAGGCACGTCAGGAGGCTGAGGAACGCGTCCTGGCTACTCGACGTGAGCGTGAACGTTTGGAGAGGGAAGCACAAACTCGGCACCAGCAGGAGGAGAAGGAGCGCCTTGAACGCGAGAGAACAGAACGGCTCGCTGCAAGAGGCGGCATCCGTGGAGTCCGTGGTACGCGTGCATCGATGCGCGGTATGAGGGGCGCCGTCGTTGCGACGAGAGAAGGCTTGTCTCTTTCCACAAATCATTGATTCTTGCTCAATGATGAACAGCTCCAACAACGGCTCGTGGTCGGATAGCAGTTCAAACGACAACGGGACGTCTCACGTCTGCTGCTGGCCGTGCTAGTGCCATTCCTGGTCGCGGGGTGAGACGCAGCTGATGTACTCATGGAATTCTTACACTGCACGTCTTTATAATGGAAGTACCGCTCGTAGCGGTTACCCTCTCCCAGGCCTGTTATTTAATGAAGCTCACTCAATCCGAGTCAGGGAACATCGAGGCTGCGGGAGAGTTTACTTGAAATTCCAGGATGTCTGTTCTTTATTGCGAGATGTAAAATGTACATGAATATTAATGTGGGTTTTCATAGATATAACAAGTACTTTTTGGTTTTTGTAAGGTTTTCGTTCTCTTAGACCGGCCCGCGTGAACCGCTTGTGACGAGACGCGTCACAAAGCTCAAAAACTTCTGTTAATTTTCTCCTCAATGCCCTCCCACAAGAGAAAACACCCGGACAAGAACTCAGACAGTTGCAATGGATATTCCGAAATGCAACTCTCAGATGATGATGTTGATATATCCGCAGCACTGACTGCAAAGAAGCTAAGAGTGGAAGAAGAAAGCGATGATGAGGGTCTCCAGCAAATGATGCTTGAATCCATTTCCAAGAGGAACGTCAAGAGCGGTACCGAGATATTGAAGAAAGCAAAGGGCAAAAATCTTATAAAAGGCGAGGTCGGAGGTGGTAGCTTCCAGAGCATGGGTACGTGCTTCATACACTGCGATTTGAACATGGTATTCAGCTTTCCATGTAGGCCTTCATCCTTCTCTGCTTCGCTCGTTGAATTTTCAGGGATTTCGTATACCAACTCCCATACAACGGCTTTCTATTCCCGCTCTTTTGGCTACTCCCCCGCGCGACCTCGTTGGAATGGCACGTACGGGATCCGGGAAATCATTGGCGTACATGATTCCTCTTGTTCAGCGTCTTGGTGGTCGTCATTCCACCACTTTTGGAGCTCGTGCACTCATTCTTCTCCCTACACGAGAACTTGCACTTCAGGTTTTGAAAGTTGGGAAGGAACTGGCGCGAGGATGGGATTCCGGGGAAGGCACACATGCTGGAGATAATAAAGACGCCCTTAGTTCGAAGCACGGTCAAGCTCTTCGGTGGTGCCTGATTGTAGGTGGAGAAGGAATGGATGAACAGTTTGAGATGATCACTAATAATCCAGACGTGTGAGCTTGATGATTTCCTTCCTAGAGCTGTCCACTTGACATTTTCTCAGAATCATTGCGACACCTGGGCGACTACTTCATCTCATTGTCGAAATGAACTTGGATCTTAAGTCAGTACAATACGTTGTCTTCGATGAAGCAGACCGGCTCTTTGAAATGGGCTTTGAAACGGCCCTCAGCGAAATCCTACAGCGTTTGCCAGCGGCCAGGCAGACTCTTCTTTTCTCTGCCACCTTACCCAAATCCCTGGTCGAATTTGCAAAGGCTGGCCTGCAAAACCCAAAGCTCATCCGGCTCGACGCTGAGAGTAAAATCAGTTCTGACTTAAAAATGGCCTTCTTCTCCATCAAACGTGCGGAAAAGGATGCCTGTTTGCTCCAACTTTTGCGAGATGTTATCAAGGTACCGTTTGGCACTGTGGAGGCAAGGGACGATGCCGACGTGTCAGAAAAAAAACGTAAAGGGAAAGGCAGGCGGCCAGAGCTGTTCACTTCTCCCCACCAAACTCTTATCTTCGCTGCTACGAAACATCACGTAGAATATCTGACCGCCTTATTGACGACTGCAGGATACTCCGTTTCCCATATCTATGGTTCCCTTGACCAGACTGCTCGCAGCTACCAGATGGATCAATTTCGTCGAGGTCGTACCAATGTCTTGGTCGTCACCGATGTCGCAGCTCGCGGAATTGATATTCCTGTCCTCGAAAACGTGATCAATTACGATTTCCCCCAGGGCGCCAGAGTTTTTGTGCACCGAGTGGGTCGAACAGCTCGAGCAGGACGACAAGGATGGGCGTGGTCATTCGTCACGAGTACGGAACTGCCATACCTTCTGGACCTACACTTGTTCCTCGGACGTCCACTAAGAAGTGAAGTGACGGAAGATGGAGATCAGGTGTATACGGAGAATTTGGTGTTGGGTACTTTCCGACGAGAGAAGATCGATGAGGATATGGAATATGTCAAATCCTTGGAGGACATTAATCACACACTCCCCTCATTATGGGAGGTGATGAAACGAGGTCATACGATGTACGAGCGAAGCAAGGGAAAGGCTAGCCCTCCGAGTTATAAACGCGCGAAGGAGATGTCTAAAGATCCAAAGTGGATGCTTGCTGGTTCTGATAGTGGCGTGCACCCGGTGCTGCTGAGAGGATCGGAAGCGACCCAACAGCGTTCCCAGGAGGAGGTGCGACATGCAATGATGCGTACGGTGAACTCATTCCGACCTTCGGAGACGGTATTCGAAGTGGGCAGCAAGGCGAATATGGCCAACTCTGCCTTGATGAAAGAACGGAGGAAGGCTTTACAAAAATCAGCACAGAGAGCTTCGGCGTCGACGTCCACGGCTTTGGAAGACGACGAAGATGTTGTTCAGGTGGCGGGTAAGAACGTCGAGATGGCAGATGAAGAGGAGATCATGGTCTGTCCTTTCCCCTTGTATTGCACAAGTGAAGGTACTGAAGCTCCTTAGGCTGTATTCGACACAGCGAAGAAGCCCGGTTATCGAGATGAAGAATTCTACATGTCGCACTACCAGAAAGATGCTTTGACAGAGAAAGGGTATGTCATGCTCTATTTCGAACGGCAGTTGTCTTACCCTCTTCCATAGATACTCACTCACAGATGGCGCTACATTCGCTGAACAGGCACGGGGTGCTACCTTTGATCTTGCGGGTGATGAAGGCATTGCACAACGAAAACGGAATCACACGTGGGATAAGAAAAAGAAGAAGTTCATACAAGGAGATGGTGCTGGTGCTGACAATGTAAAAATGGTGAAAACGGAGAACGGAACGAAGTTGCCGGCAACGTATCGCAGTGGTCGGTTCGATGGGTGGAAGGTCAAGGCTCGGGTTAATCTGCCAAGAGTAGGCGAGACCGAGAACGAAACTTCCCGGGTACTCAGAGGGCACAAATTCAAGCACAACAAGGTCGTTACCGTACCCAAGCCCCTTGATAAGCTCAGCAAGGACTATGAACGCAAAGTTCGGCAGTTGAAGAAGAAGGAAGAGGGCGAGACGCAGAGTTCTTCGTCCCGATTACCACCTGGGAAGAAGGGTAAGAAGGTCGGCGGACGATTCGCAACGAAGTCGGTCGGTAGAGTTAAAGGTGAGCTCAAGAACGCAGAGCAGGTTCGTAAGAACAGGAAACTGCTGGAAAATCGGCGCGCAAAGAATGGTCGGGGGAGTCATTCAAAAAAGCATCGTCGATGATGAAGGGCTCTATACATACTGGAACGTCTATCAAAGGTGTCAATTTGCATATTCCCATTTTGCTCCGCTGCCAGGTATCAGATTTACTGGGTGATCCTGCAGTAAGTCCACTCCTACGCTGCGTAATGCATTGACGCACCACTCGGGGTATCCGCCGTCTCCAAAATAGCCGGCAAAGAACGATCGCAGGTACTCTGGGAATGTTCCCGATAGTATGGCATCCCGGGCTCCACCCATGACTTGGGCTTGGAAAGTGATATTATGTATTGTTACCGCTATAATCAATCAGAATAAATCTGACGGGAGAAAGCAGGGTTTTCTACCGTGTGCAGCTGCGGTCTCGTGTGTGACGATATGATGCAGGTATGCACGAGAAGTCCCGTCGGTGCATGTCGGACAAGGACATGACTTGTCGATGGGGTTCATATCAGCCTCGTGTTTGCTGAGTTCTGGTACACTGTGGGTTATTTTTTCTGGGTTAGTGTACATGCGACTTACTGAGGTTGAGGGGGCCCGCGTGTGTCAAAGCCACACCGAATCGAGCAGTTCTTGTAGGGAAGACACAGTCAGCCTAAAAATTTGCAGATCAGATACAGTTCCCCATCTAGATGTACAAACAAAGAGACCATATCGACGCCCAGGGCTACACAGACCAGTAGATCTGAAAGAACAATGATATTAACCCCAATAAACGTAGAAGAAAGTTCCTGCCTTCGGCAAAGCCAATTCCCATAGAATAACGAGGTCCTAGAGACCGTCGATACACACACAGGCTAAGAGAAAATGGAGCTTACGATCTTCTGGTAGTTTATCTGCGCATAGCTTGATACTAACTGAGATTTAGTGCATATACCTTATTTAATCAGCCAAGGGTCCACACATTCGCCAAAAGACATCTGCAGGTTAATCAAGAGCAAGGCCGGTGTTGGTTGAGAAAGACACGAACCCTTTTCTTCACCGCCACTTAGGCCACCAATGGCATATCCGGAAATGTCGTTTTTCCTCTGGATCATAGCATCGAGACACTGATGTCGGAGGTGAGGATCAAGACCTCCTTGGACGATCGCAAAAAGGTTCTGGGTTGATTTCTTCCCAGAGCCTTCGTGATATTTGATACATCGATCCAGCCATCGGACGGACCTTTCCATAGCCTCTGCTACGCGTGGTCCTGTAGTCAGACTTGACACTGCATATAATCCAGTGAGAAAGCATATCGCAATATATGTGTCACTTTACACGTACCTACATCGTCCAGTTGCATGATAATATCTGCACCAATGGAATGTTGAATAGATATACTTTCTTCGGGCTGGGTAGGATATCTAGTCTACTACTCATACTTACTGCGTAAACACTGACCGTTAACATTGTCGGTTCACCGGTGAACGGGCTTAGAAAAAGTGCCCCTTCTTCAGTGATTGTTGTAAACTTGCTCAGAGAAACCAGTTGGAACCCCCCACTATCCTGAGCAACAATCAGGAAAGGTTACACGCTTTCATCAACATCTAATCTACCTACCGTCAGGAGGTTGCGATGCCAGCCCTGGAATTTGTGAGCACCTCCCGCTTGGTTCAATACTTTCATGCCAGGACGAAGATTGAGATGATATGTGTTATTGAGTATCAAGGTGACGCCAAGAGCTTCTACTTGCTGGGGAGTGAGTCCTTTGATGGCTGCTTGGGTCGCGACTGGCATGAATGTGGGTAACATAGTCACGCCATCTGCATGCTGCATTAGTTACATAATAACTGGACACTGAGTACAGCACGTACGGGTCAGATTCATTCGAGAGACACGAGCTCGCGTCGTGTGGCATTTGGCAATGACTTCGAACTGCATGATGGTCGGAAGGAATGCTAAATTTAGCACAAAGTCATTTGGCAGACACGCTGCAGCCAAACAATGGTCCTGAATTCCGTGCGACCGTAACAGTACCTCCGTAGTATTTCCTTCCTCGATGCGTCCTTTGTTGGCTCTTGCCGCCCTTTCTTTCTCCTGGGCAAATGCTTTCTATCTGCCCGGTGCAGCACCTCATGACTATCACCGTGGTGAACGAGTCGACCTTTTCGTGAATGCACTCACGCCGATGCTCGCAGGGAATGACGACGCCAAGCTGGTACGTGTTCAGCCTGCATTGTGGCCCTGGTACTTACGCCGAATTCAGAAATCCCTGATAAACTGTGCGCTTCTTCATTTACGAGACCAGCCGTGCTCGAAAGTTCATAATATATGCTGAAGATGATTACTACAATCCAAAATTCCGATTCTGCGAACCGGAAGGTGGTCCCGTGAAGCAACCGGAATCACTTGGGTCAATCCTTTTTGGCGACAGAATATTCAATTCTCCTTATGATGTGCGTGTCTTGTCGCTCAATCATCTATTTTCTCTGAAAAAAAAAACTATTTATATATCCTCAGATACGGATGCTGGAGAACAACGGAACGTGTCGAACTCTATGTCTGATCGACGATGTGACAGCTGAAGACGCTACATTTATCAACGACCGTATTCGAGAAGATTATGCCCTCAACTGGCTCATTGACGGTCTCCCTGCTGCGGAAATGAAAGTTGATCTGCGTAACGGAGACTTGTTCTTCGACATGGGTTTCAACCTAGGCAATGATGATGAACCATACCTTGATGTGCCTGCTCTTAACAACCATTATGAGATTGTTTTACGGCAAGTCCATGACTATTTGAGTGGCCAACTATTATTGAGCGCAGGATCAGTTATCACAAGCCTAGCCCGGATGATTACCGTGTAGTCGGAGTCCTTGTTTGGCCAGCAAGGCAAGGACTCTCCTCTCCAGATATATATCATCTAACACAACATGTTGCGCAGTATTGGAGGACCACAAGAAGCTGCGCCAACCTGCGAGACCGAAAACGTTTCCCCGCTTATTCTAAGCGAGACGCAATCTCAGAGTATTCGATATACTTACCGAGTAACTTGGAATGAATCTGATACTCCATGGGTAGGTCAACGCTCTTATGTTTTTTACTACGAATTCTGAAGGCGTACAGGCGACGCGCTGGGATAACTACCTTCACATCTTCGATCCTCGTATTCACTGGTTCAGTCTGGTGAACTCATTAGTTATTGTAATTTTTCTCTGCGTTATGGTTTCAATGATTCTGCTTCGGACGGTGTCTCGTGATGTACTGATTCTCGTTATGGTTTTGGAAAAAAATATTGACGTGGCTTCCAGATTTCTCGATATAATGCCATTGACCTTAGCGTATGCTGATACCCTCTGCGTCACACTACCAATATACTGACCATTTAACACAGGAGGATGTACAAGAGGACTGGGGGTGGAAATTAGTTCACGGCGAAGTCTTCCGAACACCAAGGTTTCCATTGGCCCTTTCAGTCATGGTGGGAAATGGCGCACAAATCTGTGCGATGGTTAGTGTGACATTGAGTTTGTTTCGGTGCTATTCATCACCGAATAACTTCCATTCAATTACGCATTTATAGTCTTTGCACTATTGGGCTTCCTCTCCCCCTCAAATCGTGGATCACTTGCCACGGTAATGATGATCTGTTGGACATTCTTTGGCGGGTGAAGTTCATATTCCTCACCTTGTTGTCCATGTTCTCACCTTTGCTCAGAATTGGCGGTTATGTGTCGAGTCGCGTGTACGCGTCCCTTGGTGGTATAAACAAAAGGAAAAATGCCTTCATGACGGCGACAGTGTTGCCTACGTGAGGAGTAACATATACTCACCGTATTTTGCTAATATGACCTACAGGGTTATCTTCGTCATTGTTTTCCTTCTGAACTTCTTCCTCCTCATGGCAGGATCATCGGGTGCTGTTCCTTTCGGTAAGTCTCGCTGACCAAATAACTTCAGCTGTGAATATAACATCGCGCCCATAGGGACAATGCTAACCATTGTTCTTCTATGGTTTGGGATTTCCGCTCCGTTGTCAGCTGTCGGTGCATACTTTGGTTCTAAGCATGGAGTCTGTCTCCATTCGAGTGTCATTTAACATCCACCCACTCATCATGCTGCACGTCTAGGCAATCCAGCATCCTGTGCGAGTAAATCCGATACCACGCCAGATCCCTCCCCAGCCTAAATACCTTCGCCCTTGGGTGCGTTATCCGCATTATGCTTCTTTGTTTTAGTTTACGAATCCTCATTAGGCCTCAACGCTACTCAGCGGCTTACTTCCTTTCGGTACGTCTACCTCAACTCGAAATTTTCAGAAACAAGTTTATCTGTCTTCCAGGCGCTGCCTTCGTCGAATTATATTTTGTCCTGTCAAGCCTGTTTGCTTCTCGTGCGTACTACGCGTTCGGCTTTTTGGCACTCACTGCAGGCGTTGTCGCTCTCACGACGGCGACGGTCACGATCCTGTTCACCTATTTCGTCCTTTGTGCCGAAGACTATCGGTGAGTACAACCAGCAATACGTTTAACTGATTCTAAGCCGACTACAAAGATGGCACTGGAGAGCCTTCTTGACCGGGGGTGGTAGCGCATTCTGGCTCCTCGCATACGGGTTATTTTACTGGGCCTCCCGCTTGTCTCTGGATTCTCTGTCCAGTGTAGTATTATACCTAGGATATCTGCTTTTACTTGCCATATTGGACTTCCTTGTCACCGGTACGTCGGGTTCCACTGTAACTACATCACCATCTGACCCATCTGACCTGATTTCCAGGAACCATCGGATTTTTAGCCTCATACTGGGCGATTCGCAGATTCTACAGCGCCATTCGTATCGACTAGGACACCTCTGATCAGGTTTATATAGTATTTATTGCACTAGACCATCAAAAAAAACACGAAAATAGTCCATAACTTATCATGCTCCCGCTTCAGATCTACTTAGACGCTAGGACTATAACTTTACCCTTGCCCGCTCTCAGGATGAGGATGCGTCCTTCTATAAGGTGTTCGGAAGTTGCTGTAAAGTGTATTTCGGGGACTACCTGATCGTTGAAGTATAGTCCTTTTGACTGTATTAAATATCGAGCGATGGCTAGCATGGTTTGAGTCAGCGGAGCATACACGACCAGAACCAATAATAAGTTACAATTTGAAGAGACCAAACCGTGCCTTGAAGCCAATTTCCACACGGGTGTTGACTGCAGCTCTTTCTGGTCACACCAGATCAGTCTCGGGTCTCCCTCAAACGCCTTAAGAAGGGAATGCATGTCAATATCTTGTGCACGAACAGAAGCTTCTCTGAACAAGATTTTTGACACAGTTTCCGCTCTCGCGACAGCTTCCCCTGCTTGACCATGAACTTCAATTCTCGGCCAAAAAGCAGATGACCGACTATTATGGACCAATTCAGTCACCTCAGCAGCCAGACGTCTTTGAGCACTACGTTTCTCGGGCTCTAACTTTGTAGAGGTTAAGATTGATGTAAGAATGGGACCACTAAGCGTTGTTACCTTGTGTGCCTCGACGATGTCATGAATTTCCGGTAGTGAGAGTAACGTAAATAGCTTGAGGTATTTTTCAACATCAGCGTCTTCGACCTTGACGAAATACTACGTCGGATGTCAGAGAATGTTCGCCGATGAATACAGCACTTCACTTGATAGAAGTCAAAAACGCTGGTCAACGTTGAATCCAGCCAGATGGCGTTGCCTGCACTTTTCCCGAATTTCTCACCCGACGCAGTTGTCAAAAGTGGGGTAGTCACACCGAAGGGCTCGGAAACTGTGTTTGAAGGTGCGTTCAGACGACCGATGAGTTCCACGCCCGCAACGATGTTTCCCCATTGATCGGAACCGCCGACCTGGATGGTGCATCCATAGTGCTTGTGCAGGTAGTAGAAATCGTAGGCCTGGAGGAGCTGATACGTGAACTCGGTGAAGGACATGCCATGCTTTGACTCTAGACGTGCTCGGACGCTGAAACATAGATGAATCATAGAGTCTATGGTGCGGCAGATGTCATCCCACCTCTCTCTTGTCAACATCGTATTCACCCTGGCGTTCACACCAACCCGCTGCAAGAACTCAAGGATGCCAAAGTTCTCGTACCATTCAAGGTTGCTCTTGACGTGGACCTCGTCCCTCGTAGGCTTGAATCCACCCTGCATCCGCATCCCGGCATATTCAAACGCGCCACGAAAGAACCGTGTTACGCCGCGTGAAAGAGCAAGCACATTATCATGCACAAGCCTCACATCTGCCGGGGAGCGTTCTGTCAAGCGGCCAGAAGGATCTCCAACGAGCCCAGTTGCGCCACCTATCTGACTTTTTATTACGGTGATGACTTTGTGGGATATCAGAAGACGCACCAGTGGTATGGTATTGTGGTTCCGAAGTTCGAAATGCAGTAAACACATCATTGGGAAGAGATGACCAATGTGTAGTGCGGGTCCCGTCGGGTCAATGCCGGAGTAGACGGTCTGGGATGCTGTTTCGAGGGCATGGCTGAGCTGCTGAGGCCTTGATGTTGGTGAGCAAGAAAAGGTAGAAGCTTGAGAAAAACTGGCCTGGTCACCTGCGAGATGAAGCCACGGTCGGTAAGGTCAGCGTACAGCGTCGAAATTCCTCTTGAAAGCGACGGCGAACACCTTGCTACGATGTGAGGTGCCGGGACAAGCATAATTTTTATCATCACATGACTTCACCGAACTTTGTGGAGTCAACAGATATTCAAATTAAGCGAACAATTCCTTCCGTACTAGACAGTATTAAATAAACAAGCGGCGCAGACAAACGGAGAGGTCTTCCAGACACAGTATCGGCAATAACCTCCAAATTGCCACCCTTGTGCAGCACTACCTGTTACCTGTACTACGCAGGCCATCTTCCACTCTCCCAGGACCACCCCAAAGATTGCGTTTAGATCTTTGTCGTTAGCCTGTTCAATGGATAATGAATATCGATGCGTCTAGACACCGAACAGCGAAAAATACGCAGAGTTTCGGAACATTTGGCGAATAAATGACAATGAGTAGCGGAACAACACGGTAAGGGAACAATGGTTCTTCTGTGAAGCCACACGCTGTATACGCAGCCGAAAGCCATACAAGACGCTTGTAGTATCGGCAATTGAAACCTTGGGGAGGCGTCAACTTGACAGTGGGTCCAGAGAGGAAAATGAGAGACAGATGTTGATATTTAACGCATGCAAGCAGGCACAGGAGGTGTAGACAGAACCACTGGCACGGTTTGATATGAACCGATAGATTACCGTGAACCATATTTAGCGGAGTGAGCACTTGTTCAGCCTTCGACGAAATCAGGGTACAGTACCGAGGGTCTAGAAGCGGAAGAACGTAGGAGTGATGACGGGAAGGGGACTAAATCAATGAGGGTCCTTGCATGCCGCCCAACGAGAAACCGATCACATAGAAGGATTGTAGAAACTCCAGGGTTCTCCGTGAATGCGTGCAAGGGCGCTTTCCAGAGTCAAAAGACGGCAGCGGTACTCGTGACGGCGTGAAGTACGTACATATTGCGTCGTAGGAACCGTTGTACGGAGGCGGCTTGACGCAACATTCTGAATTCGTGGTGGAAGCATAATTAGATCAATCAAATACGCCGTACGGGATTGGATGGCAGGAGGCACCTGAGAAGTGTACCGAGTAATCAGTGTTTCGGTCAGGGATCTTACCAGTCCTGAGGATCAGCTGTACGGACCGCACTGTTTGAAAACCAATGCAGATGTCACGAAGAAATTCTTCCTCGGATCAAGCAACTGGGGATAAGGAGCACTGGCAGAAGCACAGGGTACTATATATGTAGGCTGGCCTGACTTTTCTTCTGCAAGCAGGTCTGGCCTAGACGGGGAGAGGCTGGAAAGAGCGAGAAAGAAAAAGAAGTCAGGAAGACGAATTGCAAGCAAGTTGGCAGTGGGAAAGAGGATCCAAGGGTAGCTAAGAATTTGTTAGGACACGGTAGGTTTGGGACACGGTGACTGAATACGGCCCTGGACCCGAACGCGACTGCATGTAGGGGTGTAGGGGCAGCGGCGCATCTGAGAAGCTGGAATGATTGGAATGAAATGTAATATATACGTAGATACGGCAGAGGGGGGGAAACATCAGTATTTCCAAGGAAAATTGAAAAGACAGTAGGGCCAGAAGAAGCAATAACTCTCAAGGGGAAAGGATACGGGGCAAGGACGGGGAAATGGAACTTAATTAGGATCAAATCAAGCAAGTCGGATAATCGGAATTGGCAAAAGGGCCGGATCCCGGATTCAGTCGGAGATTGAAATATTGGTAGTTGGGGACAAGGTTTCGCTTCATTCCGTGATAAGGGTCTTCAACAGCTACTGCACCGACCTCGACCGCAAGAATGGGCTGTACGCTGTTCTCACCCCTCCTCGCGTTGCTGATCCTCATTTCGTCGTCATATAGCTAATAAACCTCGAGGACTTCAGGCAGCTCGCAAGCTGCGCAATGACCGCCGCGAAAACCGCTGGGTGCGTCTTTTTCTTTTTTTTCCCCTTCCCGGCCTTTCTTGGGCAGCGCGCTGAGGAGTATCGGGTTTTACATAGGCGGACAAAGCGTACAAAAAGCGTGCCCTAGGAAATATCTACAAGACGTCACCCACTGGTGGCTCATCGCACGCCAAAGGCATCGTCCTCGAGAAGGTCGGTGTCGAGGCCAAGCAACCCAACTCTGCTATCCGCAAATGTGTCCGGGTGCAACTGATTAAGAACGGAAAGAAGGTGACTGCCTTTGTTCCGGTACGTTTCTGTTGTGATTTGAGTCGAGCAAGGGCTTATCGAGTGCCACATCACCGGTAGAACGACGGTTGCTTGAACTTTGTGGATGAGAACGACGAAGTGCTCATCTCTGGCTTCGGTCGCCGTGGCAAGGCCAAGGGTGATATTCCCGGAGTACGGTTCAAGGTCGTCAAGGTCTCTGGCGTTGGTCTACTTGCTCTCTGGAAAGAGAAGAAGGTGCGTCGTTCTCGGGTCCCTGACTGCAGCCGAACTTTCTGACATACTCTTGAATCTGCAGGAGAAGCCTAGGTCGTAAACAATGCGCTCGCAAGAGACGTTCTTTTGGGCCACAATGGTTGCTACATCGTCCTTGGCCGTTTCATTTTCATGCTGTATCGCGTTCTGTTTATTTGTCCATGCCATGCGCCAATATACTAAGTATGCTCGCTCTGCTTGTCGTTTCAGTATCGTACAGTGTATAAGGTAGCAATTTGGCAGATGGCAGCAAAATGGCCAGAAATGACACCAGAATAGCCAGAATAAGGGCCACCAGCGTGACAGCGCAAGAAAGGAACGAATAAGAAGCCGGGTATTAGTTGCGCCGTTGATGAGTCCCTACTTGCCACATGCGACAGTCGGATGTATCGTCCTGCCTTGCCTCCCCGTCCCACCCTTCCGCCTGTCCCCTCGCTACAAGGCGCTGCCATCGACGACGATGACCAGCAACCAAAGGGAATCGCAGCAAGGATAGCCAGCTTGAAGCTCGACCGAAGCTCATCTGGCCCACTTCAAGGCCGAAGCTCGCTCGTCGTACGGGATCCCGACTTTCTTCGCCTTATCCGTCGCCCGCCACCGCCCATCCCGACATCGACACCCCACAGTGCCCTGCCGCCTCCGCCGCCTCCTCCTCGACGTCCACCCGCCCATCTTCCTACCCCACCTCCAGAGCCAGAACCAGAACCAGAGTCGTCCTGCCTCAAGTGCCACGACTTCTCCTACGTAGATGCCCATGCCGCCCAATTCCCCCGCCAGACAGTCAGCTCCCTCGACCAGCTCGCAGTCGACCTCACCTCTCCCTTCGACTCTGAAACAGAAAAGTGTCGTGCAATCTTCACATGGCTGCACCACAACGTCGCCTATGATGCTGCGTCCTTCTTTTCCGGAAACGTACGTCCCGCAACTGCCCAATCCACCCTCCAATCTGGACTGGCAGTCTGCGATGGGTATGCTGGCTTGTTCGAGTATCTCGCCCAGCGCATCGGGGTGCAGTCTTACAAGGTCACTGGCCATGGGAAGGGCTTTGGGTATGCCGCGATAGGCCCCGATGTGCCCGTTCCTCCCTACCAAGGGAATCACGCCTGGAACTGCGTACTCATGGACGGAGAGTGGCGGCTCATTGACTGTTGCTGGGGTGCCGGCGCCCTCGAAGGGTCCGCGTATAACAAGCGCTTCACTCCCATGTGGTTCAGCTCTTCCCCAGCAGAATTTGTGAGGCGCCATTACCCCGAAGACCCATCTTACCAGCTTATAGCCGAGGAGGATGGTGGCCCTGTGTCCTGGGAGCAGTACATCCTCGAACCGGAGGGTCCTGTCATCTTCCAGGACTTTTATCAGTTGAACTTTAATCCTTACCTCATCCAGCCCGCCGAAAAGTACATTCAGAGCGGGACATGGGCCACTTTTCACATATTCAAGCTCTGTGAGCATATGTCGAGGGCTGAGGTGGATAATTATGTTTATCTTATCAGCAATCCTGACAAGACGCGAACCCCAATGCAGGCGAACGAAGAAGGCGGTTGGAGCGCCACTGTGTATATTCCTAGAGGAGGAGGAGAGCTTTCTCTCTATTACGTTACACAATGCGATTGCAGGGATGGGAAAGGGCTAGGTGTTCAAGGGTTCAACAATGCCAATGGCCGCAAAGCCATGGCTTTTGGAGGTATGGGCAGATGGACTGTAGTCTAGTATACCTTAGCAATACCCAACCTATTTATCAATTCTTTGGTTCAAAGCATATAGTATGCAATATTTTGAAAGAAAGCACTATGTATCCCAGTCTACAGGTTAGCACGATACACGTATACCCTGCCCTTCCAGATATCGCTTCATATCGGCTATCAACTCAAGCTGCTCACCCACTGTCAGCCCGCTTACAATCGTCTGCAACACCGAACCTACCGTGACATGATGTTCACGGATAAGGCTGCTATAGTAAACATAGATGAAGACACCCATCAAGAACCTTAACGCCACAAGTCAACTTTATACCATTGTCCATAACAGCTGCATACGCACTGGCAATCCATACGATCTGTCATACCACCATGCCCTGGGATGCTGTGGCCGAAATCCTTGATGTTAAAGGCACGCTTGAATCCCGACGCAAAGAACCCTCCAAATGGTGCAACAAGAGACGCAAAGATTGACATGAACATGAGATGGAAGTGATATAACGTGTAGGGGATACTAGTAATCGAAATGCCGAACTGTCGAAGCAATGAGCATAGATAACATAAAAGATAAATAGGTACTCACACACGCAGATAGGACACTGGCAACTGGGGTCCAGATTTGCCATTCCTTCCATACGAAAACCGGGTTGGGTGTGCATGTAACGTTACTCCAAGCACTGACGCCCAAGTCGTGCACAGGACATATCATGTACTTGTATCTCATAAAGAATGAGCCCCACAAAAGAGAAAAAAGAAGTGTGGTCCAAAATGCGCCAACAAAGCCCTCGACAGTCTTTTTAGGCGACAGAGAAATAAGAGGCGTCCGTCCTATTGTTTTACCCCAGATGTAGGCGAAGACGTCGTTACAGATGACCAGTGATGCGGGAACAAAAAACCATATAAGTCCTTCAAGAATGTTGTTCATAATGAAATGACTGTAAGAAATTTAGCGAAAGCGGAGAGCGAATGAGTGGCGCAACCTACCTCGAAACGACGATGAAGAGCAACGTCATATGTACCCAGCAGAACAGTCCGAATTGCTGTTTGAGGTAGCCCTTCTTGAGAGACATGACGAATCCCATAAAACCAATAGTGTACAGCATAAAACTGATCATTCGGTGATTCGTAGCAAAGGGGAGCAATTGCGCATCGGCGAAAACCACATGCTGTGAAATCTTAGTGAGAAACAGCCGGCCACAAACTAGCTAAGGAAATAACCTTGAAGTAATAAATAATACTCTCCCCATAGAGGAAGTAATTGGTTACGGCGAAGAAGTACCAATTGAGGGTTTTGCTCCAAGGATCCTTTATATCCGACGAAGCAGCCGCCTTGATATCCGATGCCTTTAACGAAAAGAGAGCCGTTACTTCTCTGTAAACGAGGGTCTGGCAAAGCATAACCAATAGAATCATATAGCCATGACCCATGAGTAACAATCCTGAAGTGCAATTAGCCAGGATTTGGTGGAACATGAAATCAAAGTACCAATGAATCCGAAAATCATGATGAGCGTCCACACAGTCCGCGTAACGACATTCTGCCTCTTCTTTGCTTCTTCAGGGTCTGCGGCCTCTAATTTTGTAGGTGGCTGGAGTTGCTCGGCCTTTGGGGGCAGGATTACTTGGGGCGGCTCTTCTGGTTCGGTATGATCTACGACTGGAGACGTCGGCTTGGCAATACCATTAACTGGTGTGGATTTCCCTGGTCGCGACACGGTGAGTGGGGGCGGGACTTTGAGTTCAGGCTCTGGTTCGACTACGGCGGATGGGGCAGGCTTTTGGGAGACGACTTCTTCGACGATAGGATACTCTTTTAGGGGATTAGTAGCAGGAATAGAGGGGGTCTCCGTCGCCACCGTCGCCTCAGTCGGTGGCGGAGTTTGTGGTGGTGCAGGAGATGGAGAACCGTCTCTGCTCTTTGCCAAGGACTTCTGTTGTTTTGCTTCACGACGAGCGAGCTTTGCGGCCTTCTTTATCGCAGTTTTAGTCAATTTAGTGGGCCCTTCAGGGGGACTGAAGAACAGGAATTGTAAATGGTGAATCCATGCAACTGAGCCGTAACACGCACCTTTGATTCATTGTTACTTCTGGCACCTCCAGCACGGTCTCTTCTTCACTCTCTTCGCCAAAATCGACATCGAGTGCGTCAAATGCAGTTTTGGACGCAAACATGCTCATGGTCCTGTGTGTGAACCGACAAGGTAGAAGTGATAGAAGAACACGTGTTATTTTACTCTCGGCATTATACCTGCCAATCATCGAATCTTTTGAGTATTTCTCATTCAGAAAGGCTACAAATGTGTTTCTATGTAAGACATTGCGAGGACATAAAAAATAATAAGAGTGGTGTGTATAACGAAACATTGAGTGTCCACGCCCCAAGCGTCCTAGCCTAATCCTTGAAATGTATCACACAGTAATTAAAGGGAGACACTTCAGAATTTCCAATAGGCGTCTGCCTCCAGTGCCCAAGGGACTAATCATGATTTCAGAACGGTGATAGTCTAGGAGAAAAAGACCAACGTACATTTCGTGACGAGGGTCTTCGAGAAAAGCTTTTCGATCGGGACATCGTGGGTTTTGCACCAAGCAGCCGTTATTCTGATCATTGGTCAGTGAGGAAGTTAGTTATAGACAGCGGAAAACAGACCTAGGGTCTAGATAATTGATTTTACTGTGAGGAAGAATATTAGACATAATACAACGCGTCTTTGAGAAAGCTCGCAAACCTAGTGCCCAGTGCAACCTCTTTACCAGCGTCTCTGTCGACCATCTGGAGCTTAAAAGCCTTGATCCTCTGTCCAAGTTTCTCGATTGCTTCTTCCAGTTTTTCCGCTGTTTTGTTCGACTTCGCCTTCTTCGTACCCCGCTCCTTCGCCAGTCTCTTGTATTCGTCCTTGATAGCCTTGATCTTGCTATCGAGCACAGACTGGCCGTGAGGTTCTTTACCGTCTTCGATGAGCTTCTCGTTGTCCTTTTCGAACTTCTTCTCGGCCTTTTCCATATCCTTGCCCCTCATACTTTCCTCATGAGTAGTGATCCAATCATCGTCGATCTCGGATTCATCATCAGCATACTTGTCATCCGACTTGTAGCTGTCATCAAGAGCAAAGAGAGCGTGACGCATTTTCATGCGCTCGTATTTGAGTGATCGGTACTGCGAATAACCATCAGACAGCCATCCAACGGACACTCCGCAAGCCATACCTTATATCTCATCTTTTCCATCGATTGGTCATGGGTCTTAGGAGCTGCACGTTGATGGTTACATAGAATGGCGACAAGGCGATTGGCATGATTGTAGGCGTTGAGCTTTTCCTGTAGCGTCGCATTCTTGAGTTCCTCCTCTTTCTCGTCCAAGAGTTTCTGGAACGTGATAGATGCATTGTAAGTACGGAAAACCTTTGCTGTAAGACCCTTCATTTCACTTGTCAGATGCTTATTCAGGGAAGAAGTCTGAGCAGAAATACGTCAGACAATGCGAGATAACAAAGACAGAAGACCCTTACGTTGACACGGTCGAACAAGGCATCCTCGTCCTCTTTATTCTCCTTAAATATCCGGATGTTCTTGAAGACCTGAGGGTCGACGGGGACTTGGTTGTAATAACGGATCGAATCCTTGCCAAGGAAATCGAAAACGATGGTGTTTGGGGATTCCAGCGTCAGATGTTCGCAACGCAGAGAGCAGCAGCCTACAGTATCAGCTTCATCTTCTCCTTTCTCATTACCCGCACGAAGCGCAAGTTTGTCGATAAAATACATGGCCGTCGCACGCTGTCGATCAGCCATTACTTTCGACCTCAGGTCTGTATTATAGTTTTGCCGGATTCGGTCAACGTGGTTCTACAAGGATCATCAGATATCATAGCACAGTTCCTTACGTTGACCGACCTTCAGTTCACGGGCTTTCTCAAACTTCAACATATCGCTTTGTCCCTTAAGCGAACTGCCTGCGGCTAAGAAAACGTACTTGTGACTATTGTTGATGTTTTCTGTCCAGTTCGCCAGCCACGTAACGGTATTATCATGTTGGATTGCCTTCCATTTTCCTGGCATGTTCGGGACAGGAATGGGTGCATCTTTGCCAATGTTAAGCGTTATGTCTTCTGGACGAACACGGAACTGCACAACATATCAGTGAAAGTATTCAACAAAAACAACCGCTTGTCCGTACCTTTAGTGCTCCTTTCTTAGGATGCTCGCCACGCCCCCTGAATAGACCCGGAGGCTCTACGCGGAAATTGCCCACCTTTTCTTTGCGTCCATCCAATAGACAAGTCGTATACTTGGCCTCCATGTCGTCCCTCGCCTTCTTCAGCTCTTTCTTCTCTGCCGCCGGCAAACTCTTCTTCTTAGCCTTTTCAGTTTCGAAATGCTGGAACATTGGGCTGAAATCACAGAGCTCAAATGAGACTATATTTGTACCATTGAGCTGGCAATCAAAAAATGTCAGGTGAAGTGAGAAGCCCGACACGAATATGACAACGAACAGGAGGGTTTGCTTTTAAGACTTTCTTCCAATCGTCAAAGAAGTTCTTGTTGAAAGTTGCATCTTGGGCGTGGTCGGTTTCTATCATGGCAGCATAGAAGCTAGCAACCTCCTCAGACGCAGGCGGCAGATCGACTTCCTTTCCTAGAGTGAATGGAAGTGTTAAAAATGAAGAAATGCTGATGAGACCGCTGAACCATACCATCATACTTCATTTTAACGTCAAGAGGCAAAGGTTCATACGGAGGCGGGAATATTACACCGTTGTGTTCGAGGGTTTTCCACTTTACGGAGCCGTCGCCCCCCCCTACCTCCCACCATCTGAACACCTCTTCCTCTTCCTCTTCCTTCTTGTTCTTGCCCTTGCCCTTCTCTTTCCCTTCCTTTTCCTTCTTCGTACCACGCTTCTTCGGCTTTGAAGCATCAACCTCAGATGTAGCTCCTCCTCCATCCTCTTTCTTCACCTTTTTCGTCGCGCGCTGAATCGAAGGTTTCTTGACAGGCGCATCGTCTTCGGATTCCGGTTCCGGCTCGCTTTGCTCTTTAGCTTTACGCTTCCGAGGTACAGCTCTCTTCTTCTTAGTAGGTGGGGTTGAATCGCCACTATCAGAGACTGCTTCGTCGTCGTCATCGTCGTCGTCGTGCTTGGCTTTCTTCCTAGCCGGACGCTTAGATCGTCCGTTGGCGTTCACTTTGGCCTTGGATGGCGCGTCATCGGGTGTTTCGCATTCTGTGTATTCTTCCTTGACGGCTTTTCCTTTTCCTTTACCATTGACCAGAGACGCCGGTACGGTAGTGGCGTTTATAGCGCCTGGCTTGGTTACGGCGTCAGAAGAGGGCTTCAACGGGGAAGAGGCGAGCGGCGTATCATCCTCGCTTGACGATTCATAGTATACAGCTCTTTTACGCTTCTGCCTGGGAGGTTGCGCAGAGGAGTAGGGCGTGCGTGTCACTTGAGACTGATGAAGTGTCAAAAGCAAAGGGCGGTAAGAGTTAATGCTGAATAAATTTATAGTAGGTGTTTCGTACCAAAGGAATTTCCTCTTCATCACTGAGCTGCTCGGTAGCACTTGTGCCATTCTTACCGTTGGCATGGCCATTAGGAGAGGAAGTGGCAGGACGGTTGTCGTCAGAAAGCATTGCTGAGTCGGTAGACATGATCGATGTGGATATTTAGACGATAAGGCAAGAGAATAGATATATACAGTAGAGGGTGAGAGCACCGGCAAGGAAGAAGATGGTAGAACGAGGTAAGGAGGCGGACTGTTGGAAACTGATGAGAATTTGGCGAAGTTTTGACTAACCGGCCCTTAAGTGGTCACGCAACGTCCTTCCGAAATAAGCAACACCTCCCTCACCCGTCCATTCCAACGAACAAGGTGACCACGATTTGTCCTTATTTCCATCGTCTCTCAAACTCATTGTGCTTCCAGAAATGTCGAATCTTCCACTGTACAGAGATCCTTGGGCGAAGTTTGAGGCCTGGCGAAATCACCCGGTCTTCTCTCAAAAGACAATTCTCCGTAATCTCTTCCCAGGGTTTGGAATCGCTGTCGTGGCATTCACAGGCTATGTCATTGCGGAAAACATTTACCTGAAGGCAAAGAAGCCTGAGCCTCACCATTAGATGTGTAGGCGAGTATCACGCTTCGTCATTTGACTCATATGCTTACCCTTTCTGAACCTGCAGAATTATCTGTCCCGATGAACCCTGCACGTTTGCTTACTCAATGAGTGTTACCTTACGCCATCTTTGAGGCGTCTGAGGCTGGACACCGTAAATTCACTCTTTTTTCCAATTACCCTTTGTCATAGACACTGCAGTATTGGAGATATCAGCCGCATGCTGCAACAACATTTATCAAGTGGACGAGCACTTCGTACGATGGCCGTATCCCTGAACCTCCTTACCAGCACCTTCGGAGTGTAAGCTGGCCATGTCGCGAAGCTCCTTTACAACGCCTGGAACATTCACAATATCAACCTCGTGGACCTCTTGATGGTTGACATTCACGTCACTCATAGAATTATGGCTCCTGCTCCCTTCTTGTTCTGCCTTTATTAATGCAAGTACATCGTCTAAGATGATATGGAGCGACAGTGCGGTAGCGCTCAGACCTTCAGCCCGAGAGATATCCAGCCACAAGGATGATCTTTGATCAGCTGGACCCTGGTAGTACCCTGGTTCATATGAATGAACTAGCACGTCCTGATGACGAATTTTACAGTTAGTTCCGCTCTTCATGGAGGCTTGTGCATGACCAAATGTTCATATTCGTATTAGCGCCTCGGATATGAACCCGCAGGGTGGCGATATTTTCGGAGTGTGGCGACGATGAGACACATGCCAGACCCTAGGTCTACAGCTAATTGTCGTAAACCGATGGGCCGTCATTTGGATTCATGTGTTGTGAAATATATGTTTGCAAGACCTCCTGGCAGCCGTCTCGAAATAAACCAGCTATGACCGTCAAAAATTCAAAAAATGCTTTACTATGCTATCGCTTATCGGCATGCTTAGGTGCTGGATCCGCGGATAATGCAAGAGAACCACGATAGTTCTGGGTAAGGTTAGCATGATCCCTGCGTAGAGTTGGCTTTGCTAATGTTTTACCACATGCCCGTTCAGTTCTTTGTTTGGGGCTAACTAAGTGAGGCCAAAGGGAATCCTGACCCATCGATATGATCGTAGAGGCATTGCACAAGGCTAGTGGGCAACGCTGCCTTAACATGCGAAACTGCCAGAGAACAGTCCCCTTGTCAACTTCTGTATCACAGGCGGTGGTCGAGATTGTCCTCTCATGTCAATCGAAGAGAACGTGACTTCAGATCAACTGCAGGATTTCAGGAGACCTGACTAGGCGCTAAAGATACCCAAAAGCAAAGAAAGTACTTACCTCTCCCTAACAGTCTCTGTGCATAATGCAGGGTCCTGTCTGTGACCAGTGGCCACCAAGCCACAATCTTGCATGCGTGACACGTGGTTTATCGAGACGTCAGAATCTCAGTCTTGGCTCTTCACACTGTTCTACAGGTAGGTCATTCTACGTATCCCTATGTCATACCTTCCCTGCTCATTAAAGATCCGTCGACGATTCTTTACTTGTTTTTTTTCAGATCCAGGTCAATAAATTTCGTAATTTCCTTCGGTTCCCCCTCATTCTGAATTCACGTCGTCTAACCCACAGTGGAGAATGGTGCCCGCCCTGTAGGCTTTCCTGGGTATACCCTTGATGGCAAGCAGACTCGCGGCATTTAGATCGTATTAATCCGAGACATTGATGGGTAAGTACTTAGCACGACGCTTTGAAAATACATGAATGTACACTTAAGTACTAGCAGACAGAGCTTTCACCGCCTCTGGTACATTGACGCCATGCAACGTTATAATTGCTTATCTCCCTTCAAGCCTGACGTGAACGCTTACAAAGGCATGCAGACATGAATAGAATCGGCGAAGGACGGAATTCTCTATTTCAAGTACCACTCGATCTTCCGATGGTTTCGCTAATGACGAATACTCTCGAGGCATTCAACGGGTATTAAACCGATCAGTTTGAGGTGAATATTATCCTTCGTGCGCACAAGCCTACTCTCTGTGAATTGCACTAAGAACGAGTAAGCCTATCATTTGGGTTCACTGTGGTGCTCTGTATGCCTTCGAATGACTGATTGCGGACTGACCTTTCAAGTTTTGACCTGGTTTCGCAGGGAACGATTGTTGTCGATGGCGTAGAGTGCCGACCTTCCTGCTCTCAGCATGCTAGGTACGCAAGATGTGTTACGAGCCTATATTACGCCGGATAGGATATTTCTCTTGGTTGACGATCAAGTATCTGTGGTAACATGGCAAAGAATCGGTGTTAAGATGCTTGCCTTGCGATGTCATTTACAAGGCATTGTTTCCGCTAGGAGGTCGCAATTTACATCCAATCAACCCAATTCTGATAACGAATTGTTTTATCACAAAACTCTCAGTGATAACTATTGTAAAAACCTGAGGTTTGTTGCCAGAATCTGTACAGCAGTATGTTTTATGTCTATCCACAATCAAATTCACGTCTGCCACTGTAGCCAACATTGTATCCCTTCTCTCCTAAGCCGTTTCCATCGTATTTCAAGACGCTGTGCGCCCAGTGCAGTATTGATTTGAAGAGACGGGGTCGGGAGTAATCCACCGACAGTCGGCGGCGATATTCATAGTTGCGAACGCGTCACACAGTGTACCCAGTTTTCCAAGGTTTAAATTGACGCCTATTGAAGCGGACGCAGACGCATGGGTCTGACATGTTCGAGGGGTCCCCCTATCGTTCTTTTCTGACAGATGCAAGTGATATTTTAAAGAACAAAGCAAGAACAAAGATACGGATTGGGAAGTTTTTGGTCTTTGTGCTCAAAGCAAGAAAGGAGAATAGAAAATCTAACAAATGGAGTTAACGTACATACGCATCACGGTATTTTTTTTTTTTGTAAATTGGAAGCCGCACCTGCCACGCGGAGCACTTATTTGGTAGGAAGGAAAGGATATACTGGATAACAGAAAATAGGCACCGTCAGCCTGTTTCAGACAATGTCCAAGGACTTGAGGGGTGTCGGTTTTCTAGGAAGAAGCAAGTTCAGCGGCATGGTCAAATCAAGGCTCTTCAGTCACGATCACGGGTGATCAAACTAGGTAAGTTAGTACAAGCTTCATGATGGCCATACGCGTTTGACTCCGTTGAGCGACCGTTCAAGTGAAGTCGTTTGTTTCATTGACAGAAATTGCCTTTGCTTGTAGATAGTCCCCCTTTTACTATATCTTGTCGACACCGTGTACTCGCAAAACTTTCAGGAGGACGGGATGAAAATTCAAAAGGGTCACTATTTTTAACTTCTGCGTCGCAGCTCTGATTCAGCGACTCCGAATTTTTCAAGGAGATGATGCACGAGCTATGGGTACCAAAGTATCTGGCCGGAAACTTGAATAGACGCCAAGCGTCCGACGTAAGTAATATGTTCCTCGAGCCCTAGGACTTTCTTAGACTTTCATATGCTTCACAGGACGCACAGCAAGCGGATTTTACCCGCGGTATCTCAGATGAAATCTGCGACTGCGTATCATGTTAGTACAATATAGGTCCCGGATATCTTCAGGAACGCTGATCCTTGATCACCAAGGTGAATTCCGCTTCATGATATGTATTCCCATAGTAACTCACAACTCCTCCAGTGCTTAAAGGCGTAGAAGAGGATGTTAGGAAAGACAGGTTCCATTCAAGCTGCATAGTCAATATTGGGTCATGGCAGCACCTTTCAGAGTAGCCAACTGCTCCATCGGAGATCGGATCACAGTAAATTGAAATTAATAGGCAAGGCTGCGCTTTGTGTTATAATATTGTATTCAAATGATATATTGGCCGGGAAGATACGTAGATAACTATACCCATACGAATGAAACCGTGGGTTTGTAGGGGGCTTGAAAGGAAGGAAGCCTTCCTAAATCCCTTTGCGAGCTCGACCGCTGCAATGGAGTAGTACGCACACTTGCAACCGGTGTATATAGTAGGCTCGCAGATCCTACGCACCCCTCGCGCACTTCTCTGCCGCGTCTAGCCTCAGTTGATGAAATTTTGGACGACCCACGTATACATATTGACATATCATTTTCTTTAAACGTCTTGTCGTAATTCGCAAAAATGTCTTTCATGAGGTTAACCGGAATGTACCAGATTTCGTGTACTGCTGCCGCAAACTATGATCGCGTGCTCCCAGGAATACGCGGAAATATACGCCGCCGCCAAGGAAAGGATGATGCACATTTGATGACTTGAGATCTAATTCCAGTTTTTACCCCCTGTCCAACTATGAGCCAGTCAGTACCTGGGAGTGCGATCTAGTGCGATCAGAATCAAAATATCACAGCGGTTAGCGAGCATCAACGAAGCTACTAGACGATATCGGGCCGGGGCCTCGAGGGCCTGTAGTTATTGCACTTGTCCTTTCTCGTGCTTCAGGAACAGTATCAATAATAATATTTTCCCGAGGCTGATTTGTGAATTTATAGCTTTGGTTACCCGAAGACTTGCATCGTCGTTTATCCCCTATGCATTCCTTCGACACCATAATCTTCGACATCGGTGATGTGCTCTTTTCGTGGTCATCCAAGACAGAAACGAGTATCTCGTCTAAGACCCTTCGAAATATCCTCTCTTCTTCGACATGGATGGACTACGAGCGGGGCAAAGTCACCGAGCAGGATTGCTATGACCTCGTCGGTGTAGAATTCTCCCTTGACCCTGCCGAAGTTCGAAAGGCCTTCGACCAGGCTCGAGATTCCCTACAGTCCGACGACGAAATGACATCCCTCATTCGAGAACTGAAAGCTAATTCTCGTGGACGTCTACGAGTTTTCGCAATGTCCAACATATCCCTGCCCGACAACGACGTTCTTCGGACGAAGCCGGCAGATTGGTCTTTATTCGATCGCGTTTTCACGTCCGGAGCTGCTGGAGAACGTAAACCCCACCTAGGTTTCTACAGACAGGTCCTTGCCGAAACTAAGGCAGATCCTCATTCCACTATTTTCGTTGACGACAAGCCTGAGAACGTGTTAACAGCGCGTTCCCTAGGTTTGCACGGCATCATTTTCGATGACAAGTCGCGAGTGATGAGGGCTCTTAGAAACCTACTTGGTGACCCTGTGTCACGCGGACGAGAGTATCTGTCTAACAACGCCAAACGATTGGAGTCGAAGACAGATGGAGGTATCGTCCTGGAAGAGAACTTCGCGCAACTCCTCATTCTAGAGGCCACCGATGATCGGTAAGGCCATTATATATTCTTCTGACGCGTTACTCACCGCCCCGACAGCTCCCTAGTTAGTTTTGTCGAGTATCCACGGCTATGGAATTTCTTCCAAGGTACGTCTATGTTCTACAACAGTTGCTGCCTTATCCTCATCCACTTCAGGGGAAGGACAACTTACCACCAAAGACTTCCCCTGTGACCTCGATACAACATCTCTCGGTCTTACGGTGTTAAAACATGACCGAGAGCTCGTAGAGTCAATAATTGACGAGACGGTCGAATATGTGGATTCGGATGGAATCATTCAGGTGTGCAAATCTGACGATCTGGGTTGATCCGTGTCTAAATAGTTCAATAGACATACTATGATCATTCCCGGCCACGTTTCGATCCAATCGTCTGTGTCAACGTGCTTAGCTTGTTTTACTCGTATGGTCGAGGCGCGCACCTGAAGCGGACCCTTGCCTGGGTACGCGAGGTGCTGTTAAATCGGGCGTACCTCGATGGCACTCGGTACTACGCCACCGCAGAGTGCTTCCTATATTTTGTGGGGCGTCTTCTACAGAGATCTGGAGACGCTGATTTGCATGTGCTTCTGAAGCCTTTACTGAAGGAGCGGATACGGGAGCGAATCGGCGTCCAGGGCGACGCGCTGGCACTGGCGATGCGCATCCTAGTATGCGATTATGTTGGAATCAGGGACGAAGTGGACCTTCGTACCTTGCTTCCCCTCCAATGCGAAGATGGAGGTTGGGAAATTGGCTGGATGTACAAATATGGGTCGTCGGGAATCTGCATAGGTAACCGCGGTCTTACAACTGCCTTGGCTATCAAGGCTATCGAGTGTATCGTTTCTCCTCCCCCTTCACCCACTCCCACTCTGGTGGAAACCGCTCTCCCGACGAAAGCTCGTTCAAAGAGCAAACACCGTCGGAACAGTTCCCTGAAGGACTCCTTTTCTTGGTTAGTGAATGGAGGAAGGTTGCGAAGCCTATCCGCTGCAGCTGTGACTGTGCAGGTTGGATGTTAGCATCTCAATTATATAATAATTGTGGGACTTGCCTATGTTACGATGTATATAGCTCACCTTTGCAATAACGTAGTGGAGATGGATGCAACAACGTACGTGTAGAACTTATATGCTTTCGCTTGTTGTAATATAATAAATGTTGCCTCGTTTCGGGGCAGTGAGACGCGATTTTACAGCCAAAGCAATCGGCTCAAGCAGAAAGATCTATTAGATTATACTTCACCGCGTAGATATTGCTTATACACCGGGTTATTCGTCTCCTCTACGAACGTGTAGTTGATCTTGGTTAAGAACTTGTCAAAAGCGTCATATTCAGATAGTGGTACTTGGATACCAGCTAGAACCTTTCCCAAGTCTTTGGACAGCAATAGCTCAGTATTCCGTGTCCTATACGTTAAAAGGTGACTTACCTGCGCCATGATTGCGATAATGGAACAGGCTAATATTCCAGTCTTGTTGCATGCCCAGCAAGAAATTGCGAAGAGCGCTGGGCCTTTCGGGAAACTCTGTGGCATTCGTCAATACGCAGTGTCAGATAGAATATTGTTGCGCACCAAATCTAAAAACCCTTTCGTTCGGTACGACCTGCGTACCCCCTATCATATACCGCCCATGGCTTTTCGCGAATTCGTTGTCACTGATGTCAAATCCTTTCATGTCTTCATTTGCAAGAGCCAGGAGCAGCTGCTCAATTTCTGCTGCCCGATTATTAGACTCCAACTTGACCGAAAACACTATATGAGCTCGATCTGGGGAGCCATAAGCGTTATACCGGTAGAGGAACTCCGTAACAGCACGAGGATGTATGAGGGTATGTAGTCGAATGAAGCTACGCGAAGAGAGGAATTCAGTAATTCCTCATCCAAACTATGAAACGTGTCACCTGCCAGGTTTTTCCGGGATATCAACGCTGATGAGAGCTTCTCGCCCTTCTCCTAATTCAGCGCGCTCTGCGACAAATCTAAGTCGGTCAAAGTTCATGTTCGCGCCACTGACAATGGCAACGAATCGTTTTTGCGCGCCTACGAGGTTATTCTGTGTAATGTATCGCTTGAGACCGGCCAAAGCCAAAGCACCGGCGGGTTCTGTAATAGATCTAGTCTCTGCGGTGGTGTCAATAGTATATCACAACTTCGTATCAAACACGGCCTGACCTTCAAATATATCTTTGATAGCTGCGCATATTTCGTCGTTGTCTGTCTTGACTACACCATCAAGAAGCTCCTTGCATATTCTAAACGGTTCTTTCCCCACGATTCTAACAGCCGTCCCGTCACTGAAAGGACCGACCTCAGGTAGGGTGACACGGTCACCATTTGCAAGACTTCTTTCCATAGCATCACCGTCGACAGTTTCGACTCCTACAACTTGGGTCTTGGGACTTCCGATCCTTTTCACGTACTCGGCGATTCCAGAGACAAGGCCTCCACCTCCAATAGCCGAAAAAATGAAGTCCAGGCTTTCAGAGTCAGGAAGCTGCTTCAGGATTTCCATCCCAACCGTTCCTTGTCCTGCAATAACAAGTGGGTCGTCATACGGAGGAACGAACGCGAGTCCATGGGTCTCTGCAAGTCTCGCACACTCCGCCTTGGCTTCATCAAAATCTATGCCATAGAGGATGACCTTTGCACCTAAACGGGAGACGTTGCGGACCTTGATGGAGGGGGTACCGCAGGGCATGATGATAGTGCAAGGAATGCCTAGCTTCGCGCCGGATAGTGCAACACCTTGGGCATGATTTCCTGGAGACGAAAAGAGGAATTGAGAGATCACACGTAGTTCTGACATGTAGTACGCACACTGACCGGCACTACATGTGACGACACCTTTCCAACGTTCCTCCTCACTAAGACTCGCCATAAAATTATATGCGCCGCGAATTTTGAAGCTAAAGACTTCCTGCAAATCTTCTCGCTTGAGCCATATCTGATTTCCGAGTTTGGCACTCAGATTGGTCGCGAGAACGAGAGGAGTCTCTTTTAATATTTCGTAGACCTTGGAAGTCAGTATGAGGCGAAGATAGTCGGGCGTGTTATCAGCTAAAAGATGGTGCTTTGCCAGACGAGGATACTGCTGCGGCTCTGGCGCATCCGAGGAATACTCGATGGTTGCCGTGGGCGACATGGAAGAAGGAAACAAAGTTGGTTTTTTGGAAGTGACTCGGTCCGACCCAATTAAAAAAATACCAAAATAAACTCTATGAATCGTTCCGGATGCAATTAGACTCATGATAAAATATTGTACATTCAAGTTTTCGATAGCCTGGATACGATACCAATAATTAGTTTTTCTATCACTGCCTTTCCTGCTAGTGTCTGCCTCGCCCGAATCGTTCTTGGAATCGAATCAACTCCTCCATTAGTCGTTCCATCTGTTTCATCGTATCAGACGATGAAGAACTGAAAAATATGGTTGAAGCCTTTGTCTCTGAGATTGAAACTTGTGGCGTCGCAGAGTTAGGTCGTTGCTGTAAAGGTGATTCTGTTCGTGGCTGCCCGTCCAGGAACACTGAAGCATCATTCTTGATCAGCTCATCGCGCATCTGGACAACTTCTTCCCCAGCTTGCACCTCCTTAAGAGCTTTCTCTAGAGCGTCGCGACGGCGCATCCGCTCCTGGGCACTCGCCTGCTCTCTGCCCACCCACTCTACCAGCGTCCGTACTCTTTTATTCATGTCGCCCACACTCATCCTCTTTCCAGGCCACTTCGTCTTTACACCTCTCTCCTGGTTGACTTCAATTCCATTGTCGCTGCTCGATGGTACTTCCAAAGGTGTAGGCGTCGGTGTAGGAAATATCTCCTCTAAATGTGCCAAATAATCTGGCAAACCCCAAGATGTTAGCAACGGTTGTTGGGATACGACATAAGCATGCGAATTGCGGTATGCGCGTGAGGCTTCGCCCGCGGTAGAAGGTCCACCAGAACCATTGGGTCCATTGGCTTGGTTGCGACGACCATCGTGGGCAGCACTTGCAAGGACCGTCGATGCTTGAATCTTCCTGGCATGCGCGCCTTTCCCCCGGCCACCACCGTGGCCTTGTCGTTTCGCTGGAGGCGTAACCACTGCGGTAGATGATGAGTATCGGAGGTTGAGGAAATCGAAAAAAAAGATCATACCTTCTCCATTTTCATTGACCACGGGTTCGGTGTGCGCTGCTGCTTTGCGACCCCCGCGTTTGCCGCGAGCTTTTGGTTGAGGTACTGACAGCACTGGCGTTTTGATGGGTGCGCTTGGAAGAGGAGTTTCGTCCCGCAAAAGAACTGATGCTGTCTGCCGATCCGATACTATCGACGTCGATCGCGTTCGCTTGTTTGGAGGTCTGAAAGAGGCGCGCAATGGATGAGCATATGGCTCTCGAAAAGAGACATTCTACTTACGCGTCGTCCTCTTTTCGTTTGCGCTTTCTTCGGCTAGTAGGGCCCACATCTACCTCCTCGTCCTCATTTGTGTTCGAATGAATGCTTTTGGTATCGTATACGGCGTCAGCCTCTGCGGCCGTGGTTTCCAATATCTCCTTCAGATTCTCGTCGAAGGCAGCATCTCGGCTGTTCATGGTATTTCGCCGTTTGGATTGTTGCTTCAAGGTATGAGAAGGAGACCTCGAGCGGGACAAACGATTCCCGACCACTGTATGGTGGGAAGCTGTAGAGGACTGTCGGGCCTTGCGGGTCTTTTTCCTGAGAGACATGCTTAACGAACAGAATACATACACAAGACAAAGATCATACTTGAGGAGGTCTGTGTGAAGATCGGGTCTGCATAACTCGCAGTAATAGTCGTCGTTCTGGAGCTGATCTTCCGATTCGTAACCCATACACAGGCCGTGCTGCCATACTTTGCATGTCTCGCATTGGACCATGAATTCACCTGCATCAGGGTCGTCTTCGCCTTTTCGGTGTTTCTAAGAACGTGAAACGAAAAAGGGAGACGACCGACGCACCAGTGCTGCCACAAATACAGCGTGTGATGCCCTGCTCCTCCTCCTCCTCTCCTGCTTCTTGTAAAGGTTCTTCAGCGATGGTATCAGCAGGATACTCTACTGGGATGTCCTTGTCTTTGTCCTTGGTTTTGCGTCGCGAGCGACCATTAGATGCACCCTGGGTCGAGCTCGACGAACTTGTAGACCCAGCATGACCGTTCTTTCGCTCACTGACTACGTCATCTGCCTCTTCCTGCTTGAGGCGCTTGTTTCTGCTGCTGCTATTATGTGTCGAAAGGGATGGACGCTGCGACCCGTCTTTCGAACGAGGAACAGTTTCTGAATCCGGAGATTTAGACGAGCCAGTCGAGCCAGACTGTGCTGAGCGACGACCTGACCGTCTGGTCTCCCGGGGAGAGGGCGGGGGAGCCATGGACATTGCACGGGCCATTACGGGACGATTGGTGACGGGTGGAAAAGTGGCAATGGGCGATAACGAGCTGGCCTGTGTCCGTGCACTCTTCTCCCCCGCACGTGCGGATATGTTTCCTTTTCCGTTATTCCGAATACGCCACTCTCGGACCGAACATCCGATCGCAAAAAAACAAAAATGGAAAAAACCTAGATGTTTAAAACAAACCATTATTGTTTTATAGCACATAATCACACAATGATAATGATTACTTTCTTAATCCTTTCCCCCCATCATGACTGTCAGCATTCTGTCAACTTTACAAGTCTCTAGCTAGAAGTATGTCATCCTCTAAGCCTTTGAATCTGTGAAATGATCTGATGACTCAGAGCCTCTTCATGTCATGATTTTAGCCTCTAAATCATGCTCAGCCAAGGTTTGGTTTGAAGCAGTGAGGCAGTGGCTTGGTTTGAGACAGCCATAGGATCAGAGGCATTGTCATTAGACAATAAGTAGTTAGTTTGTGTTATGATTTTTTCATCATCTTATCTTATCAAATGCCTATCTAATCATATCATAGGCATCTTTGTCATATCTATCTAGCTGGACCAGTAACCATGCATATATCAGATGACTCATGCTATTATACTATGACCTCTGCTGCTCACTTGAGGAGTGGAATATAACTGGCTATAATGAGAGTCTTAGAGACTGCCCTCAAATCAATTGCAACATGTGAATGGCTATTATGTGCTTTTAGTTAGTGAGAGGTGGGGGTGGTGGTAGTTTGAGAAGGTTGAATGGGTTGCAGAAAAGATAGTTAGAAGAGAGGATGATAAGTGTGTAAATATGCTAACTGTAGCTGTGCTCATAGGGCAGAGTGTTTCCAAATGTAAGTGGTTCATGTTTTAGAAGGCCACTGACCAAGAGCTTGTATGATAGATTCTGAAAGTCTGAGCAATACATAAAACATAGCTCCTCCAGCTCTAGCAGAGTGACCATCAAAGTCTCTGCCTAAAATTGCAAAAAACTTCTTATCAAACCAATTTTGAAATGGAATATCACTATTTTCATGGAGGAAGAGTGGAGCACATGGGCCATGAAGAAGATCTTGATGTTTTATATATTGTGATAGGAGGATAACAGGGTCTGTGAGCTTCTGTCATGTGAGCAGGATGTCAGTGCTATAGTAGAAGAGGTTAGATTTGTTGTAAGAAAGATGGTATTGTACATCATTCTTTCAGAGAATAAAGGAAGAACATTTGATTATTTTGCAAAAGTCCTGAAGTTGTTTGTCATTTTTCCAAATGAGCTCATCTGACTGATAGCAGCCATAAAAGTGGCAAGCAAGGATGGTGGTAAATAAGAGGTTATCATAAGAATTTGAGATGTTAGTGAGAAGACAAAAGGTGATCAAGTGGGATAATTGAAGGGGTAGTTTTTGGGATGTGGGATCACCTCTCATCTTCCTTGAACCACAGATAGTAGCTTGTACCATGAGATGTTTCTGACTGGCATTGAAGTCAGAATAGAGGTCTTTTAAAAAGTGATGAACTCCAGTCAAGTATTTTGGGCCAGATGAGATGAACTGAAATATATAGGTAATATACCTGCTGAGAGTAAGTGGTGTTGGTTCAAGCAGCAATGCATGAGTAATGCAAAACCATATATAGTCACATACTCCTGTTGCATAACTCTTTGCTGCTCTAAGCTTAATCATATGAGCTTAGAGAAACAAAACACATTCATCAAGAAGAGAAAGGAAGAAAGCTGAGTGAGCAATGCAAGAGGCATGCTTGCCCAGCAAAGTTAGAAGGATTGTCTCCATCATGCTGGCAGTAGGTCTCTTAATGAAGTGAAAGTGCAGACATAGTCAGTGGGGAATTTATGATGATATTCATTCAAAAGGAGTCAGGAAAGCATATCAGTCTGAATATTATCTTTTCCATCAATATGTCAAACATGAACATCAATTTCTAATTGGAGTATCAGGTCTACTGCTCTAAGTAAGAGTCCATTATAAAGAGGTTCTGATACTGATAGAAGATCAAATGCAGTGACAGAATTGAGGCTATCAGTGAAAAGTAAAAGGTGACAAGGAGGTTTGAGTAGAGATACTGCATAATGGATGGCCAAAAGAATAGTGACAAGTTCAAGAAAGAAGATGTCAATCATATCTTTAGATGATAGTAGATAGAGCTGATATACAAAACTGTTTCCTGCAAAAATGAATGATAATATGTTTTTTAAGCTGGCATCTGTCTAAAATATCATGTCAGCTTCTGAGTCAGTCCAGAAAGCTGAGTTAACAAAATGAACACCTACAGAATCTGGCAGAATAGATGAAAACCAGAAGAGATCCTCTCTAACTGCAGTATTGATAAAGATCTTTGTGAAAGAGTGAGTCTTTCCAGCCATCTTTCTATATAAGAAAGAAAGAGCAGGACAGCTCCAAGGTAGAACATTCAGTATCCAGTTCAGATATCCATCTAAATGCTGCTATTTCTGTAGAATAGATGCTCTTCCAGGTGTTGAAAAAAATAAGTTGATCTCAGATTTGGCATTGATAACAGACTGCTGTGTAAGAGAGATACTTCTCTAGTTGGTGTCAATTCAGAAACTAATGATTTTGAGAGTCTGACCATGCATCTGTTTTGGATCATCAGAGACAGGAGATATATTCTCAAAATATCAAAAGTTGTACTTGCCATGCTGGTTGCTGCTGACTTTGATAGAAAACTTGGTGATTAGTGAAATTCCAGCCAAAGAAGTCATCTATATAAACATGGAGGTCAGTGATGTTGAGATAATAGATCCCAATCCAGCATAATAAGACTGAGACTGAGCACTAAATCCTGGATGAAGCTTGGCTTCCAAAGATGAGCCATCTAATGATGTGATATCAATTGTCAACAAAGATCACTTGACAAATTTGCCATAGAGGATGCACTGGTAAATTCAAAAACGTTTTGGCAACATCACTTTTATACAAAGTGAAATCAGCATTGGAATGTTGTATTTTGGCATTGCAAAGAGCCTCACTAAATAGATGCATATTATCATATTTGACCTTTGCCTTGCTAGCAGGGATTCCTGCATTTAAACCAGAGAAAGTATGATCTATTATAACATGGGATTTTTCATTCTGCTAGATCATGAACATAGGTGATACTTTCATACCTGGTAGAAGTGTAAACCCATCTAGTAGAGATGGTAACTAATGATCAGCTGCAACTTTGTAATCATGAAATGCTTGTATTTCATTGATATCTCAAGGATCAGTGGCATAATTCTCAGTCTTGTCATAGAGAGAGTCTTCCCATTTGCTAAGGTCAAGAGGTCAGAATCCATTCTGAAGACCATGGATGACTAAGGAGATAAAGGATTCATTTGAATAAAACTGAAGAATATTCTCCAAGTGATTGACATTGAATGATGTGTTGACTACAATAAAATCCTTTAAAGCATGTAGTGTAGACTGCAAGAATGGATCATTAAGTAGATATGAAGGAGGAGAGAGTAGAGAATCAGCCAACTCAGTAGATTGAGCAGCAGGAGATGTAGATATAGATGATGTAGAAGTATTTAACCAGATATAGCCATGCCTAAAACATAGGCCAATATTCTGGTTCTTGCATTTGTGCTTTTGAGGCCTTAAAGACCTAGGTCCTGCTGCTGCTGCTGCTACTACCTTCACCATTACCTCTTCTAAATCTAAGTCTCCTTTTTGATTGGAGGAGGTTGGCACATTTGACAGTATCTCTAGCTCAGTATCCTGATCCACATTCACTACAGATACTATATCTATAGCAATTAGTATATAGATCTTAGCAGAAATTCAGGTTTCAATTTTCACATGAAACTGTTGACCTTTTTGCAGCAGAGAGTGAAGCAGATAAAAGTTGTTTTGTGTCTGAAGAAGTCAAAGAAAAGTGAAAGACCTAGATAAGAATGAGAATTTGTAGTTCACTCCAGACATCCATATGAAAAGGAGACTTAGCATATCACAGCCAAACATCTTCATCAATATGAATGGCAACTGTGGAGTCATAAGGTGCAGCCCAAAAAACTTCAACCACATATTTCTGGTAAACTTTGAGTTTAGCCTCACAGTGCAGATAAAGAACCTGAACACCTCTAGCCCAGGCATTATACACTCTGCATCAGTCAGATTCTGACCTGAAAGACTTCTTGACAGATAAAATATCCTTTTTGATAATAGTATATCTCACTATAAGCTCTTTTATCTCCCTATTGTGATCATATTCTCAGTCTATTAAAGTAAAAAGTTTTGAAAAGTCAATATACTGATTCTGAATGATGAGTCACCAGAATAGCTGAGCAATAGATTCAGACAGAAACTGGGCTTAAAAAACCATAATGAGATTGTCAAATGACTTTTCAATCACATAAACTTGTCTGAGTCAGAATGACTCAGCAAGATGAGGATCTGAGATGCTGGTGGTGATAATAGATGCAAGATGAGATGCTTGAGTAAGAACTGTTAGAGAAATAGAAGCTGTCTTTGATGAGACAGTGTTACTGAGCCCTAGAATGCCAGCAAGAACTATAGTGATAAAGCTCTGAGGATCATTCATACTAAATATCTTGTTAGACTCAAGCATCATGTGAACAGATATACATAATAGACAGTCATCACCTCACACTTCAGGTGATCAGCTGAATCCACTGATGCATATTCTGATCAGTGTGTCACAAGGCCTGAAGACTGGCTCAAGGGTAGAATGAGATGAATAAACTTTAGCTCAAAGCTGAGGATTACCAGCAAGAGCAAGCCTCTTAAATACTGTACAAGTCCTGCTCTAAATATACTACTAATTGTATATTGTCAAGTCTTTTGTGCTCTTTGTCCTTGAGCATCACTACCATACATAAAAAGACAATTGTGCATCGTTGGGCAATGCTGCTGCATCAAAAGATAATGATGGACTCAGTTAGTTGTGATGACTAAGTCTTGTCCCATGGTTCTAAGTGCCTGTGTTAGTGCTCTGACTAAGCATAAATAGGAGTTAATTGAGGAAAAGAATGGAAAAATCATAACATTACCCTCTTCTTAA